ATTATTAATATAGGAATAATATATATAAGCATTATATGTTTATATAATAAGTGTATATAAGCAATGCATAAATTTAAAGGTATAAGGTTTAAATTAATCTTATTAATAATAGCTGCCAGCTAGTGCCAGCCGGCTGCCAATTGGCGGTCATGTGCCCCGCGCACAAACCATTATAACTAGCCTATAATTAAATAAGGAAAGGCTGCAGCTTTGCTACAACCTACCCTCCACATTATAGCCAAATTAATTACACACTTTATTTATTTATTACCAATCATATAAAAGCCAAATTAATATATTAACTTATTTTAATTAATATATTAAATTATAAAGGTTAAAAATATATTAATTATAAAAAATAAGCTAAGCTTTTAATATATTTAAAAAGCATTAAAGTATAATTAAATAGTTAAGTAAAAAACAATATTTAATTTATAATTAAATTATAATATTCTTTATTTTTTATTATATAATTACCTTTTAAAACTTATTATAAAAACTTAAAAAAAGAAAATATATTATAATTTAAACTTTATTTATTATAATTAATTAATAAGCTTTAACTTTATAAAAATAAGCTTTAATATAAATATAAATAAAAAATAAATCTTTTTCTTTATACTTTAAATATAAACTTTATTTAAGCACCTTTTAATAAATAATTTTAAGCAAGCTTATAATAAATTAAACTTAATTTAAAGCTTTTTTAATAATAATTTAATTAAAAAATTAAATATTTTTATATTTTTAAATAATATAATAATATAAAATATAATAATTTAATATATAAAAATTAATTTATAATAATAAAAAAAGTTTATTTATTTATTTATTATTTTTTTTAAGTTTTTTAATTATAAAAATATTATGTTTTTATTATTATAACTTATAATTTATTTATTATTACTTAATTATAATTTATAACTTATTTATTATTATTTAATTATAATTAATAATAATTTTAAAAATATTTTTTTTATAATTAAAAAATAATTAAAAAAGTTTTTTTAACTTTTAAAAAGTTAAAATAATATATAATATTATATTTTAATTATTAATTTAAATTAACTTAAAAGCTTAAAACTTTTAATAAAAATTTATATAAAAAATAATTAATTTTAAAATTTATTAAATTTAAAGTTAATTTATTATATAATTAATTATTATATTAATTAATTAAAAAATTAAAAAGTTAATTAAAAAATAATTAATAAAAATTATTTAAAATAATATTATATATAATAATTTTTATAAAAAAAATATTAATAAAGTAAATTAATAATAATAATTATAAATAATATTTTAAAAAAAGAAAATAATAATATATTATAATATTATATAATATAAAAAGATTTATTATATTATAAAGAATATATAAAGTGGGTAAAAGGTTTGCAGCTTTATAATTATAAGGCTTAAATATTATAAATTAACTTTAATCTTAAAAATAAAGGAGAGTAATAATAAAGTTTTTTAAGGCATAAAAGCATAAAAAAAACGCTTTAATAAGGCGATTAACATTATAATTGCGTTTAAAAGAGAAGAAATAAGGGCTTTTAATTAATGTAGAGAGAGTTATATTGTCTGTAGGGCTTGTACCGGCAGGGGCATTCGTTTTGAGGAAGCCCTGTACAGGGTCTTCCCTTAATCTTTATCCATGTTGCTACAACCCCCTTTAATGATGCAATGCTATTCCTACCAATTAAAGACCCTTATTTCTTCTCTTTTAAATGTAATTATGGTATTAATCGCCTTATTAAAGCGTTTTTCTATGCTTTTATGCCTTAAAAACCTTATTATCATTAAACCCTTTATTTCCCTCCTTATTTTTTAAGGTTAAGGTTAATTTATAATACTTAAGCCTTATAATTATAAAGCTATAAACCTTTTGCTTACCTTATATATTCTTTATTATATAATTAATCCTTTTATATTATATAATATTATAATATATTATTATTTCTTTTTTTTAAAGCATTATTTATAATTATTATTATTAATTTACCTTATTAATATTTTTTTTAATAAAAATTATTATATGTAATATTATTTTAAATAGTTTCTTGCTAATTACTTTTTTAATTAACTCTTTTATTTTTTTAATTAATTAATATAATAATTAATTATATAATAAATTAGCTTTAAATTTAATAAATTTTAAAGCTAGTTATTTCTTTATATAAATTCTTATTAAAAGTTTAAGGCTTTTAACTTAACTTAAATTAATAATTAAAGTATAATATTATATATTATTTTAACCTTTTAAGAGTTAAAAAACTTTTCTTAATTATCTTTTAATTATAAGGATAATTCTTTTAATAAGTTTATATAAGAAAAATGCCTTTAAAACCGTTATTAACTATAATTAAATAATAATAAATGAGTTATAAGCTATAATAATAAAGGTATAATATCCTTATAATTAAAAAACTTAAAAGAAAATAATAAATAAATAAATAAGCTTTTTTTATTTTTATAAATTAATACTTATGTATTAAATTATTATTCTTTATATTATTATATTAATTAAGGGTATAAATATGCCGATTTGTTTTAATTAAATTATTGCTAAAAGGCCCTTAAATTAAGTTTAATTAAATGCAACCTTTTTAATTTTTTAAATGCTTTAAGCTTTTATTATAATAATGCTTTTAATTAAGTAATTAAAGGTTTTTAAGGGCTAATTAATAATGCTTTTATTGCCATTATTATTATTTATAAGAAAGCTATAATTTTATAATAAAGGTAAGATTAAAAATATATTTAAATTAAGTACTTTTTATATCTTAAACTTATTTAATAATTACTTACCCCTTTTTATATAATTATATTATTATAATAATATATATTTTACCTTAGGTAAGCACTTAATTAATAACTAGCTTAACTATTTTATAAGCATTTACCTTTTTTATAAATATTATTTATTATAATGTTAATACTTTCCTTAATGTTAATAATAATGAAAAGGGTATTAATAAGTAGTTAAATAAGGATATTGCTAAGTTAATTACATTAATGCCTTTACCTATTTTTATACCTTAGCAACTCTTAGTTTATATATTATAAATAAGCTTTTTTATTAAGGGTTTCTATATTAATTATGCTTTGATTTTTAGATTTTTTAAGCCCCCTTATTTTTAATAAGCCTCCCTCTTTTAATACTTAAAGTTAATAAGCTTAATATGCCCTTAAGCGTTATAAAGCTCTTAATTAATTCCTATATAAAACCCTTCTTTTCTATATATCTTAACTTTCCCTTTTCTTATAAATAAGATTTTTTTTAAACAACCTTATTATTATTAATAATAAAAACCTTAAGTATAAAGCAGTTTAACCTATATCTTCTTTTAAAATTATATAATTTCTAGGATATTATTAATATATTGCTAATATTATAAAATATAAACGTAATTAATGCCATACCCTTTATTATTATAGTTAATTAATTATGCTTATTATTGCTTATATATTTAATTTAATAATTATATAAGTATGGTATGCCCTTATTATGTAAGATTTAATATAGCTTTATAGCCATCCTTATATAGTTTTATATAATATTATTAACCTTCTTTTTTCCTTAATAAACATACCTAGAAAGATAAAATGCATTATAATATATAAAACCGCTTAAAATTTATATTCCTTATTGCTTTTTTTTAATAGGAAGGCCTTGCGGAATGCTATGTTTACTATAGGGTATTGCTATATGATTTAGCTAGCCTGCTTTTTTCTTTTATTATATATTAAATAAGCTTAACTTACCTTTGCTTTTTAATAATCCTACTTGCTAAATATTAATTAATTTTATTAAGTATAAATTAATAAAACGTAGTTTAATAGCTTTAATGCTTGTTATAAATTTATTATAATTAGCCTTAATAAAGATATTAAAGAGTTCTTTAAAGCTAAATTTAAGCTTAATAATTAAATATTTTAAAGTTATTTTGCTAATAATAAAAAGGATTTTTTAATTATTTAAGAAAAGAAATAAGGAAAGATTAATAGTAAGTTATATTAATTAAAAATCGTTTTAAAGTTAAAAACCTTTTAAAGGTTTAATAATTCCTTTATTATTTAATAAGATAATGCTTTAATATATAAATTAAGATTAACTAAGATTTATTTTAATAAGCACTTTTTTAATGCTTATATTATTAATTAGCCGGCTTATTTATTAAATCTTAACTTAATTAAGCATATTTAAGTGTTTATAAAAAGGTGGATTAATAAATAATTTAGAGAGCGACTTATAAGTAAAAATTTAATAATAGTAATTTTCTTAGCTTAAAAAGCTATTAGCTTAAATATGCTAATGCATCTTTATTTAAATATATTAAGGTAAATAATAGTGGTTATTATAGTAAATAAGGGTTAAATTAATATATAACCTTATAATTAAGTAACCTATTAATATAAGTTATTTTCGCCATATAATTTAATACTAATATTATTAATATGTACTAACCGTTAAGATTAAGAAATCTATATAATTCATTACTATTAACTTAGGGGGCCCCTTGCTAACATACCAGAAGTTACGAATTAACCTTCTTTAGGGGAAAACCCTATATTAAGGAGTAACATTGGGGTTGCAGACTAAGTGGAGTACATGTGTCAAGCCGGCTTTGAGGTGGTGCCACGGCAAGGTGGGACAGTAGCGATACGAGGGGAGGGGCCTTTCAAGTAACAACTGTTGCATTATCTATCCCAGTGTTGCCTACTCGGGAAGGTATTAATTCGCTGACTGGAATAGCACTAAGCTACTCAAATCCCTCGCCATGGCTTTCCGGAGCGTAGCATTCCACATTCTACGTGGTAATTAGAGCCTCAGCCAAAGAGGCAGCTTTTATCTCCCGTCGGGTACATGGAGTGTACTGATGCGATATTGGGCCCATGCCACGACACGGCACAGCTCTCGCTTCGGGATTTTTGTACAGCTTAATCCATAAAGGTCACCTTGATACCTTTTTCTGTCGTCCAATCCCCCGCCTGCGCTACTCCTGAACAGCCCAAGCCTTGCTGCGCTCAACAAGGCGCAAAATTTCATCGCGGCGAAGACCCAGCGAAAAGAATTGCGTAGGGCCGTGGATCTGGATGTAAATGTATGTCTCATTCTCGTTGAATTTCTCGAGGAAGCTCGCGCCAACCTCAGCCACGATGGCACTCTCGACAAAAGCCAGCCTCCCCGCCTCCTCACTCAGGTCGTGATGTACAGACAGGCAGAGTACGGGGACCCTTGCCTGCACTGGAGAGGGCATCCAGAAGATCTTGGTGTCTTCTTTGGCCGCGTACCGGCCGAAGCCGAAGACAACGTCGCTTGGCAACGATCCCTGGTCGATGATCTCGCCATGGACGCAGAAATGTAGGAGGCTGCGTGTGAATTCGAAATGGGCGCTGCGGGCTTCCTCGATGGAGTTGATGTCATTGGCCTGGGAATATCTCATGATGAAATCCTGAACCAACGACGGCTCGGTGTTCATGTATGCCCAGCCGGAGGGATGCTTGAACGCATAATTGGGCTGTGGTGGTGTATCCTTCGAGTTGGCCATGGCGGCAAGGATGGAGAAGCCAGCCACGGCCGTTGACCTGAGAGGAAGCCGACCGTCGCGTCGCGGGCCCTGGCCTCTGGATTTGCTCGATTGTTGTGACCCGTGGGATCTCTTCTCGTGCTGGCCCCGGGCTGCAGATGCAATGACGTCGCACGCGTTGCGGGTTGAGGGGCGTAGCAACGACCGAGCCTGGATCCGCGATGCGCTGCGAAGAAGTGGTAATGCCGAGTTGAACATGGTGACGATACTGAGTCTCTCGACTTTGGGCGAGACTGGGTTGCTTTCAAATCCCTTGGGAGAAATGGAATGAAGAGGAATGGGGAACTTCCATCCCGCCGCGCCTAGACGATGCTGTGCCCTTTTGAAGAAGCGCTTGCCGCGTGGAAAGAACCAGTGGATGTGTGTCGCGTACCGGAGGAAGCAACAACAGATGCATGGCTTTCCGCTCGATGTCGCTTGCCGTACACGAAATACCTTCGTTCTCGGGCAACCGCGGGCACCAACATGAGACCCTTTACCAGGTTGCCGCAACCCCACAGGTATCGATCCGATCATCAGGGTGCTCATTGTCACGAACATAAATGAAGGCAACGACGTAAAATTTCAGTCGAAGGAGACAAGATGATAGCGGCTTGAGGAAAAATTTCGGGCTGGCGAGGCTATGCCATCGACTCTGGTTACACATTTTAGTCTAGCTCGGAACGTTACCGGGAGATTAGTAGTTGGACCAGGTGCATTTCACCATGTCCCATCAACTCCATCATTGTGTTGGGAGACCTTCTCCGACCACAGAACCTCGGCCCCGGTGCGCCTCAGAGCACTGTGGACATCGGTAGCCTACCAAATGCCATGTGCATCCTGCCTTGACACGGCCATTCGAAAGGAATTGGGTTGTCATGCGCAAAAGCAATGTTGCTCTGATCGTATAGCCGCACCATGCTGAGTCGGAATAAGGAGCTGCCGAGGTGTTCCGGGCGTCTCGCCATGCCGACTTAACAACCGCGCTCCCGCCCTACCCCAGCCTTTTGCTAATGAGGAGAAACGGGAGAAGGAATAACTACGACTCCAAAGTATTGAACTCGACAAACATCCAGCCTTTATATCACAAGGTCGACCGAAAAGATGGCACCAAAGCACACTCCTTCTCCGGGCAACGACTTCTCGTCGGGAGAGTCCCCAATGCGCCAGCCACACGTCGAGTTCATATATCGGATCGTGGCAGAGATGGACCCAGGCGCGTCTCCGATCCCAAACGTCCAAGGCACCGCAGTCTCGCGCATAGTCCTTCCGATTGTCGGCGGCACGGTGAGAGGGCCACTGTTGGTAGGTCTCTTGTATGTATAATAATCGTATGGGAAGCAATCGTGTATTGGTATTATTCTGTCTAAGTTTTAAGAGGCTATGTGCTTTGAAGGGGATAACTAAAGTAGCCTTTTAAGTAACGAGGGTTATACTTGCTAATACTTACAGTTTTTCTTTTTTTTTAATAAGTATATTAGCCTTAAAATTATAATTTATTGCATATTAAGTATATATAACCTTTATTATAAGAAAGTATTGTTAAAAAGGCTTAAAATTATAACTTATAAGTTTTAAAGTAAGTTTTAGCAACTCTTATTATTACATTACTCTTTAAACTTATGATTTTTATTATTATATTATTTCTTAAACATTATACCTATTATCCTTAATACTTAGCTTTTAAAGTTGCTTCTTTATAAAGATTATTAACTTTTATATAAGGGCCTTAGTTTTAAATTTTTTTTTATAGGGGAAGTTAATACTTATAAAGTTAATGCCAGACCTTTTAGCTTGCATTTATTTTTATTATATACCTTTATAATATAAATATTATTATTTTTATCTTTACTTTTATTATTAAAATATACTTAATATTGCTTTAAATTATTTTCTTTTAGCTACTTTTTATTTTCTTAAAACTAAGTATTATAAGTAGCTTAATTATTCATTAAGTTCTTTTCTTGCTTTTTATTATTCTTTTTAATTTTCTTAATAATTATCTTTTGCTTAAGTTGCTTAGGTAATGGTATATATTTCTTAATAAGTCCCTTTATATATGGGCCTTATATATGCTTATTGATAGTTTAATATAAAAAGTTTTAAAGCTAGGTTAATATAGTAATTTAATCTTTTAATAGCTAAATCTTTTTAATTTAATATATATAAAAGATACTTAGAATTAAAACTTTTATTAAGTTGTTTATTGCAAAGATTATAATGATTTAATATTTAAGATAGTGGTTGCCTTAATGGTTTTTATTATTAAGGATGCTATATAATTTTATATTAAGAGTTTTAATGCTTTTAATATAAATATATAGCTTTTTAATTATATTATTAAAAAATATTTACTTATCTTAATATTAAAAGTTATTAATAATTTAAATAATAGCTATTATAATAACATTATTTAGGAAAAGTATCTTAGCTTAAGTTATAATTATAACCTTTAGCTTATTAATTTTAATAATTTTATAAAAGTTAACTTTAATAAGCAGCTTACTCTTTTTAATGCTTAGCATAAAAGTAAAGTTAAAGGTAGTTTTTGCAATCTTTATTAAGATTTTATTAGCTTAGTTTTAATTATCTTTATTATTAATAATAATTAAATTACCATTAATATTAAGTAAATAAAAGTTATTATTATTAATATCTTTATTAATATTTATTAAATAAATAAGCGGATAAGAGTTATTATTATTAATATCTTTATTAATATTTATTAAATAAGCATTATTAGCAATGATCTTATTATAGGAATTAATAAAATTAATAAGCTTGTTTTTATCCTTATTAATTAAGATAATTTTGGCCCTTCTTATAGCCTTGGTAATAATTTTAATCTTTATCTTATTGCTTAATGGGAATGTAGTTATAATGTTTATTTTATTGGTTAAGGTTGTAGTTATAATGTTTATCTTGTTAATTAAGGTTATAGTTGCAAAGCTTGTTTTATTAATTAGGGTTATAGTTGCAAAGCTTGTTTTGTTAATTGGGGTTGTAGTTGTAATATTTGCAAAGGAATCCTAATTTTAATTAAGGGTTGTGATAGGGCTATCTTTAGTGCTGGTTATATTAATGGTAGCTATGGTAATAATTATATTAGGTATATTCTTAGCGTGGGAAGTAAATATAATATTTGCTAAATGATTTTGCTTATTATTATTATCTTTATAAAGTATATTAATGAAAGTATTAAATGATTCTTATAAGTTATTATTAATATTTTTTATTATAATGAAAAGGAAAAAGATTTTATAGGAATTTAATAATTAAAATAAATATTTATAATGTAAAACTTTATAATTATTATATAATAATTATTAATTTATTTTTTAATTATAAGAGAAGTTAATAAGTTGTAAATAAATTTAATGAAAGTTGGTTTTAATGTTATTATTAATAAATAATAATAAAAGGTAATAATAATAATAAGGTTAACTTTAAAATAATAATTATTAATAATATTAATAATTATAAGGTTATCTTTATGTATAATAAGGTATTAAGAAGGTCTTAATTAAAGTATGGAAAGTTAAAGTTTATATTAAGGGTTTAAGTTTAAGAGGTATAAGGTTTTATAGCTAGCGGTAATAAGGTTGGAAAGAAAAGGATATTAATAGTAAATTGCTCCTTTCTTAATAAAAAGGGGTTACTTTAGGTTTCTTAATTAATTTATTTATTTATATGCAAAGCTTATTATTATTAATAAGCTTTTATAATATAGTATTTAGAGTTGGTTTTATTATTATATTAATAGGGTTATCTTTCTTATTTATTTACCTTACTTTAGCAATCTTTTTCATTTTATATAATTCTTATAGTAATATAATATTAATTATAAAGCGCTTTTCCTTTATTATTCCTAGCTTTATAAGGTATTTATATAGGCTATATAAGTTTATATAAATAATTAAGGGTATGTTTAGTAATAAGAGTTATTTTATAGTTATTTTAATTATTATAGCTAAGGAGATTTTAATGTTTACTTTATTTATTATATTATAAATTTTACTTATTAGCATGCTTTAAATAATATATTTATACTTTATTAATAATTAATAAAAAATGTTATTTATTATTATAAATCCCTTAGTTTCCTTATAAGTTTTATTTATAAGGATAATAATATATTTAAGTTAAAATATTAAGTCCTAATTATTTATAAATAATTTATTTATAAATGTAAAAAGTTTTACTATTTTAAGATTTAAGGGTATATATTTAATTCCTTATATAACGTTATTTATTTACTATAATAATTATATATTTAGGCTTTTATAATTTCTTATCTTTAAGTTTTATATTTATACAGCTATTAAAAGATTATATAAAGCTTTTAATTAATAAATTAAAGCTATATATGCTTTGCGGGCTCTTTATTTAAGGTATTTCTAGGGAGCATCTTTAATTATTGCATTAATAAGGGTAAGTTTATTAGCTTATTTCTTTTATTAAGTAGTGATTAAGCTGGTGGTATTTATAATTATGCAAGCTTTATTATAATTTATTAAGTTTTTAAGTATTAGCTTTTATTTTAATTTTCCTTATAATTTTACAGCTTTTATCTTAGTTTTCTCTTTATCTTAAAATTTTAATATAAATAAAATTAATATATTATTTATTTACATACTTATTATCTTAAAGAATTATATAAGCTTTATAATTATTAAGCAAGGATTATATATAAAGTAGTTTATCTTAAGCTTTTATTAATAATATCTTTAATATATATTAAATTAATAAATGCTGGATTTTGCTATGCTATATAAGAATTAAATAATATAAATAATTATGCTTAAAGGGTATTTATTTTTTAATTTCTTTAATAGCTTTGCAAGGATTGTTTTATATAGTTTTAACTTTGTTTAAAAATAGGCTTAAGTAATATCTTAAAGTATAAAAACCATGCCTTTTTCTTAAATTAATAAGAAAGTAAGAGCAAGGATTATTTATTAGCTTATTCTTTAAATAGTTAGATTTTATATTAAAATTAATTCCTTTTTATTATTATTATAACTTTGGATAATAAATTAGGATTTCTTATAGGGTTTTATAATTTTGCTTTTTACTTTCCATATTATATAAAACTTAAAGAGATAATATTTATTATATTGTTTTGCTAATTATTTCTTAGTTTAAAAGATATCTTTAATAATAAGGTTATTAATTTTCATTTTATTAAACTTTTTAAATAATAAGCTTAATATTATAATAACTTTATTTTATTTTAATTTAATTGCTAAGTTATAGTTTTTATTTTCTTTCTTTAAGATATATAATATAATAATGCAGTCTTTTATTTTTAATAATAATAGTTATATAATAGGTTATATTTAAGGTTTTATAGCTAGGTTTTTTCTTTATAAGGGTTGCATTTCCTTATTATTATTTTAATAATATAATTAAATAACTATTAACTTAAATATTGCAGCTTTATTTAGTATGTTTAAGGTTATATTATAATTATTTATAGTAATAACCTTATATAAACCCTTTTATCTTTCTTTTTCTCTTTATATATAAACTTTATATTGCAATAAATATTTTGTATTAAAGATAGGTTTAACCTTAATATTTAATATATTTTATATTTACTATTTAATTATAGTTTTTTGCAATATTTTCATAGCCTTTAAAATAGCTTTTATTTATTTTTATATTAATAATAATAATAGTAACTTATGTAATATTTATAGGTAAACGTTAAAGATTAAGAGCATAGGGATTAGTTTATTTAGTTTAGCAATATTATTAATAGCTTTTATAGCTATTTATAAGATAATATTATTATTTATGCTATTATATAGTTTAATATATAGGATTTTATATACTTATTTAAGGGCTTAATGGTATTTCTTAACTTTTTTAATAAATTAATATGCCTTTATAAGGATTTATTTGCATTTAATTCCTATTATTTATGCTTTTAAATAAAATTCCAAGGATATAAAGTTTATTCTTGCATTATATTTAATAATATTTAATAGTCCTTAATATGTATTGATTTAAAGCATTTGCAATGTTTGCTATGTAATCTTTATAAATATAGATTTTAAGAATTTCGCTTTTTGGAAAGCAATAGCTTAGTTTATAATATAGAGGACTGGATGTTTGCTTAAATACATTACATTAATTAAGATTTCGTAATTAAATTCATGATTATTGCATAATGTAAACTTAAAACGCTTAGGCGCAGGTTTATTTATTTAATAATAGTAATATATCTTCTTAATCTTTATTATTACTTATTTATTAATATTTAAATTGCTAGCTTTTTTAAGCATTTAGCATAGTTAATTTATTAATAGGTATTTAAAGTAATGGTAGAGTTTCTTTATTTTTATCTTTAAAAGGAAATATATAGCATTAATAATTTAGTTTAGGAAAAACTATAGGTAACCTTATTTTCTAAGTATTAATATAATAATTGCACTATTAGAGGAAATTATTTTATTTATAATATTATTATAATATACTTAAAGCCTATTTATATTTATTAAGCAAAGCAGGAATGGAGTTTATGCTTAAATAATATGGAAGTTAATATAATTAACTAGGGTGGAAACTTTTATTATGCTAAGCGAATTAATAATTATCTTATTACTAAATTTAACTTTAGCTTTTCTTGCAGTAATTATATTAATTTAGTACTTTAGGTTTTTTCATTATAGTATAAGAAATTGCTTATATTTAATTATAAATATTAATAATGCTTTAGTATTTAATAGAATTCTTTAAAAATAAATTTAGTTATATTTATTCTTTAAGATAAATTAGCTGGTTGTGATAATTGTTTTTATTTAAAAGATATTATCTTTAGTGATTTAATATATAAACGCTTTATTAACTAGGAAATTAATATTTACATAATAAACTTCCTTATTAAGTCTTATCTTTATAATATAAGCATTATTATTGCAATTATTATTTTAATCTTATTTATCTTTATATTTATAAAATTTATCTTTATTATTTATTTTATATTTCTTAAACTTGCTTAGAAAAGTATTAAAGTTATTATTATAACCTTTATATTTATATTATATTAAGTAGCTTCTTTTTGCTAAATATTGCTTATTAACTAAATATTTAATTAATTAGCATTCTTCTTTTTTATAAATATAATATCTTTTCTTTTAAGGTTATCCTCTTTTTTTTTATAAGCATTATTACTTTAAGCTTTATAATTAATGCTATAGGATTTTAGCTGCTTAAAACTTAAATAGCTTAGGTTTAGTTAGCTAAATCTTTAATTTCCTTAAAACGTTTAAAATTATAATTATTATCCTTTTCTTAGCTTTTAGCCATTATATTTATAATTAACATAATATTAATTTAAAACTTTATTTATAATATAAATTATAATTATATAGCTAAGCTATATTTTTACTATAAATCTTAAGTTTAAAAATAACTCTTTGCATAGTTAAGCTAGCTTAAAAAAAGTTATTTTTAATTTAAGAACTTTCTTATAAGCTTTAATTATTATTATTTTTAAGTTATCCTTCTTAGCATAATTTTAGCTTAATGCTTATTAATAAAGTTATAGCTTATTAAGCATTAAATATAAAACCTTATATAAGTCTTTATTTAAGTTTTATGCTCTTATCTTTATAAATATTATTATTATTTAATTTATATAATAATGTTAATAATTAAGGTTTATATTAAAATGCATTTTAATTTTAAGGTATATTATTATAAATATATTAATTTAATTTATAAAATAAAGATAATAAGCTTTAGCTTAATCTTTAAGCATTTAAAGAAAAATTGCATGGAATTAACTTAATTAAATTTTAACATAATAATAAATATTAAAAAATATCTTTATCTTATTATTTAGCAAATTATATAAATTCTTAATATATTTATAAAAATTATTAAAGATTTTTATAAATTATATTAACTTTATTAAATTTAAGTATTTATTAAAAATATATTATAAGGGAAGAGTTTTATATAGGTTATATTTTTTATTTAGCAAAGGTATTTTTAAAGTAGCTTAAGGTTATATTAAGTATAGTATATATCTTTAATATAAGCTTTATTTTTTTCTTTTTATTAATAATAATAAGCCTTGCTAATTATATTAGTTTTTAATAAATTACATTATTAGGTTTAGGTTTTATAATTACGCGCTTAAAGCTAGCGGTAATAATAAATATTGCTTTAAGGACTATCCTTTTAATAATTATTATTATTTAAAGCTTGCTTATAATGCTTATAAGGGTTATGCTTATAATTACTATCTTTAAAGTTATATATAATATTTATTTATATTTAATTTTAAGGTTAACAGGGCATTGCAAAGCTTATTATTAATTTATTTTAATCTTTCTTTAGCTTAAGCCATAATAATTAATTATAATGTTATAAGTTAGTTATTGCATTTTATATAAATGCCTTATATTTAAAGGAAGACTTTTAAGCATTATTAGCAAGAATTTAATAATGCTTTAAATATTACTTATATTTATATTATATAGTTTTTGCAATAAGTAATAAAAAGGTTATTATTATAAAGGTTTTATTATATATAGCTTGCTAAAGTACTTATTAAGTAGGTAATTAAATGTTTTATTAATGTTCTTTATATAAGGGCCGTAAATTATAATTTTAAGTTAATATATTTATAATAAGCTAGGTTAATTAAAGTTTAAGTAAGCATTTTATTAACTATATACTTTTTAATAAAAGTTAATAGCTTCTTAACATTATTAGCTATGCTTATAGGTTTTTATAATAAATATTATAAGGAGTAAGCTATTAATAAAATAAGTAATGTTTAAAAGTAAGTTAATAATAATAGTTTAATAATAAGTAAGTTATAATTATTAAGAGGAAAAAGTTATTAATTTCTTTAAGCCTTAAAAGCTAGGGCTTTTTCTTATTATTAAGTCCTTTTATATTAGCTAAAAGCATAATGCATAACTTATACTTATTTATAATATAGCATTGCATTAGCTTTAATAATTGCAATAATTATAAGCTTTATTTATTTAATAATTATAATAATTATAAGCTTTATTTATTAATAAAATAAAGCTTTATTAAGTTTTATTAAATCTTAAAGAAAATTTAAAAATAAGTTTATTTTTAATAAAGTTTTATATATAATAAATGCATATTTCTTAAATAATAATAAATATATATATAAATATTATAAGGAATGCTACTTAGTTTATTTAATCTTTATAATATTTACTTAGGGAGTTTAATAATATAAAGAGGCTTAAAGAAGTAATTATTGCTATATAGCGCTTATTAATAAGAAGGATATAATTTTTAAGTTAGGAAAATTCTTATGGAATTGCTTCTTTTACCTTATTAATCTATAATACTTATAACCATTAATTAGTATTAATAGGTTTCTCATATGTATGATAATCATATGGGAAGCAATTATGTATTGATATTATTCTGTTTAAGTTCTGAGAGGCTACGTGCCTTGGAGGGGATAACTAAAGTAGCCTTCTAAGTGACGAGGGTCGTACTTGCCAACAGCCACAGATCAAGGGCGAGATCGTAAAGAACAGCGGCGCCGACTGGGCACAACGCATCGACTCTCCCAAGGTACGCAGGCACCCTGGTCCGGCTCACCAGAGCACACGAGCACGTCTTGGTACTGAGAGGATGGCAGTCTCCAACCAAGCTCAATGCTCGGTACACCCTCAAGACCGACGATGGCCACTTCATTCTGGTCAATGCCGTGGGGACCGTGACGGGAGGGCCGCTCGTAGAAGGCGCGGATGCAGCCTGGCCGCCCGAGCAGGGCAAGCCGTTGACCATCACGCAGGACCAGGCCGAGTATTTCACGCAGATCACATTCGAGGCAGCTGGCGGGAGTCCATATGAGTGGATGAACTCGGTAGTCGCACTGGGGGTCATGGTCATGGACGAGGGGAAGCCAATTATCGACTGCTACCGGCTGACCAACTTTCCGGGCACGGGAACGGCGCATCTTTGATACTAGTAAGGATACATGCCAGCGTACTTTAAATCCACACAATGTTCATTCATGATGAGGCTTTGAGGATCATCGAGGTTTGTTTCGCAAGCCTTTAAAGCACAATTAAAGCATACGCCATCATTTGAGGACACTCGGCATCGGACATGCAGCAATTTCAGAAGTTCACTTCTCGCCAGTCTTCTTCAACACCGCACATAATGAGCCAACAATTTACGAGCCACTTACGAGAGGTACAAGTCAGTTTCGCACACCCAGTCTCTTCTTACATGTCTCAAGGATGACTGACATGCTACATTGTAGCCCTCGACCAAACGCGGCACTACTACACTTTTCAACCAGACTCAACTCACTCACTCGAGAACACATCACATCTCTAGCTCGTGGAACAAGGCGAATTCTGATCCAAAAGAAAAATGGGGAAAGTGGGTTGCCGGGGGAAGATAGCTCACCCGCGGCATTAGGTGCTCCCTCATAACCTCCAAGACGACCATACTGCACCTGGCGGGATTCATGCTCGTCGTTGGTTTCGGGTGTCAGACAGGACCAGCGATGTCTTTTTTTGCAGTGCGATGTTGCAAGGTTCTTTGCCAAAGCTTGCTGTCAGGTCAAAAGACCCTTGAGCACACAGAGCTTTGAGTACGATAGGCCTTGGTCTTTTGCGCAGCAAGAACACACAGATAGACCGGCGGGTTTGATCTCCGGCGTAGGTAGTCATCATCCATTGGAGCAGCCGCGCGCAGATGGGGGACATGGGTGTGGTTGGTCTTCTAAGCTTTGATGAAAATGCACCGTCCCGACACAACCTGAACGCTGTCAGATTCTAGAATAATCCTCGAGCAGCGATTAAACCATAGCCAGTCGCTCGGCAACAACCGAACAGAACATGTGGAGTTGGGTGGCGCGGGTGAGCGAGGCCATCAAGAGAAGGTTTCGCGGGCAACAACCAATCATCTTACATGTATTGCGTCTTACGGCATGGTCACCACCACTACCCAAGCTCTGTACCTGTTCGATCACAGGTCTGTCTCCAACATACTATCACGCCGTGGCCGCCATCACGGTTCCTATCTGGTTGGATGAACTACCCGTATCCACGTGCTCTGTCGTTGACATCCGTGGGCGGGTGAAGCAGCTGGGACATGGCTCTCAAGAGTCCAAGCCCGCCCATCGCCAGGGCTGCATTAGCTAGCGCCAGGACCCCTCGAATGCCCCCACAGTCGGGACGCCCCCCTAGCTCCCCGGACCCTGAGATTCCAGGCGGGACCCACTTCGCGGCCGATGGCTGAGTACCCCCATCGTCATAGACGACGGCTCCGATCGTCACGGCCGATTCACTCGATTCACTCGTCCGGATCAGCATCAGCACACGTCTCCCTTATTTTAGCACATCACTACCCAGCGGATTGTGCCCAGTAGCTTCTGAAACGGCCAGATCAGCCTCTTCGATAATAGGCCCTGACGACTTGTTAGCTCGATCAGGCCATGCGGAGGCACTAGTCAGTCGTCCTTCGAACATCATGCCCTGCCTCCTCTGGTGTCGACCGGGCCTTCTGCAGGCTTCGATCTTGGGTCCACTGGGAGACGGCTAAGGCATTGAGGGCTAGACCGCGCTGGAACTTGCGATCGTATGGATTCTGGGGCCATCTGTGTCGATGGCCCGATCGGTTAGCCACAGGACGGAGAGCGAGGAGTTGAGGGGAGACGTGCTCTGCTTGGTCAGCTACTCGTCCTCGCGTCTCAGCGGCACGCGACCATCATTCGATTACTGTGTCTGCTCTGTTGCGGGGTAGTGTTATGCCCTCGCGAGAGTGGTACTCTAGCCATCAGCCAGTAAGGCATGAAGGAGTAAGTATCCCCATATGACGACGGCTCGTTTGGGCGGCCAGTTAGCTAAGACCTCCTTGGTCCAGGTGGCAGGACTGGGGGGGTTGGGCTCGCGGTAAACGTAGGATCCTTGCCCCCTTTGATCGGGCTTCCCCCCAACCGTCATCGTCATAATGCCCCGATCAGGGGCCAGATTGGCGGCTCTGCCGTGGCCTGGGGATGGGACGGTCGTCACCTCATTGGTGAGATCATCAGGGTTGACGCTGTGAAAGCTTATTCCCCCCAAGCTCCGCGACGCATTCAATGGTGCGTTCCCGCAAGCGAGCGGGTGAGGCATGCTCGAGAGGTTGTCTGTCATCGCGATGGTTTAAATACCCCGCTCCCCTCTCTGTTCTCCATCCCTTCGAACTGCCCGTATCGATCATCTCTACCTAGCTCGCACTCGCTGTACAACCTGACTTCCATCGAGAATATACCGTACTATCACCAAACAATACTTGCACACTCAGTCGCCATGGACAAGACCGAACGCTCCAACTCTGTCTCTTCTGATTCCTCCGTCACGTCCCCAATCTCCCCAACCAGATCAGGCCGCCGCGGCTCAGGCCCTCTCTTCGCCTCGCTCCACGAGAACAAGCGGCCCAACGACCCCACCCTCGTCGCGCGTCGCGCGAGCTTGAACGAGCAGAGGCCACCCCCGGGCCTCTTTGGCAAGATGTGGAACAAGTAAGTCAAACCATTACCTTTCCCCGTGGCTCTACTGGTGGTATCTTTACGCACAAGTACATAGGCTGACTACTTTGTACAGCTGGGTCCGAGGTCCCTCGAATTAAGAGGGCTGTCCGCGTGGAGGAGACGGCAGCACTATGCAAGACAGTCTCGGTGTACTTGACGACATTTGTTGTATGATATGAATTGCAATATGAAAGGTTGGCACAGTTTGGCGCTGATTGGGATTGATTTACACGGCACGTTGCATGATATCAAAACAACATGGCCACAAATTGACAGCAAAATTTATGCTCTATCACAACCATCTTACTCACACTCGTGAAGCACATGCTTTGTCCGCTCTTGGTGAACCTACGCTGCTGCCCGTAGTCCTCCCAAACTTTAATATGAACACTAGTTTGGAGCACACTGACCTTCTACGCGTATTATTTACAGACATATCCTCTAAGAATCTCGAGCTCATGCGATGGAGATACTTCGGGATCGGCCCTGACGGCGTACATGTACTCACCTTGACGCTACGAGGGTCTTTGTCACATGCCTTACCTGACAACTATGTAATATATCATTGCTCTGCGCCTTGCGCATAACCATGTGTTCCGAACGGCCTCGCAAGAAATGTTTGCTCGAAAGGAACGGGGACTCGATCGACGTCGACTCGTCCGCATCTCTGTGCAGCGCTCAACTGCCCTAACATCGATATAGGCCCTGCTGCAGTGTGTCCAGGTTAGCCAAGAGAACCGTGCCCCAAAGTAACAATGCGAAACCTGCAGTATCATGACTCGGCCGGGGCTGTGAGGTGGTGCCAGGAGGATGGAATGGACTTCATCCGCATGCAGGTCAGAGGGGTGTGCCTCAGCTCGAGGATGTGCAGACACAGTCCAGCCGAATTGATGGAGACATGTGCCCAGGCATGGGAGGTAGGCAGTTGGCACATGGATAGATATTTTGATATGTATACGGGCACGATCATGGGGGATTCGGGACAGGACATGTGCGTCAGGCAATGTACAACATGAGGTAGGTGTGGACGGCGGCGAGCGAGGACGGTGGGCGGTGATCGAGGACGACAGAACGAGGGCATCAGTGTAGAAATGAAAGAATGTGTCATTAGAAAGACTTTTGCCATGCAAGTCAGCTGGAGCTAATGAAGTCATAAAATCCCCAAAGTGTGCTCCGTGTGTGTATCCGCAGACGGGAAGACCAATGTTTTGAGATACCGTCATAACTCCTCCCACTCAGACGTTCAGTCTTATTCAGTCCGAAGTACTCCGAGAAACGAATGCTCAAACCTGTCTGTCAAGGCATGTCGGCGATGCTCCTGTAAACGCTGCCCACAGTTCAGCGCACTGTGCTCTGCATATCCGGCTTGCTATTTCCTCTAGATACGGTGCTTCTCGCTCTCTGCGTCGAAAATTAGCCTCGTGCTGGCGGAACCGGTCCCTTGTTGGACGCCTCACCGAGTCTGGAGTACAGCATGTACAGGGCCATACGGTTGCACTCCTCTGTACCAGTAATCGTGACCAGGCGCTCGTTGCTGTTGTCCTGCGGCTCGTTGATCTTGATGACGCTGCCACTGATTTGCCGGATCTCGTTGATCTTCTGGCCTCCCTTGCCAATGATGGCGCCGACCATGTCATTGGGAATGTAGATCTGCTGTGTGAGGGGGGCTCCGGGCATTCCTGCACCACCGTGCATCGGCTGCTGAGCTTGGGGACCGCCGTGAGGGTGTGCGCCGACGTGAGGGCCGTGATGGGGCTGTTGCATGTGAGCCGCCGGTCCATAAGCTGCTCCCGCCTGAGCACCAGCGTAGTGCACGGGAATGGCCGGGTTTGGCTGAGCAGGGTGCGGTTGGCCACCATAAGGAGGCATGTAGGATTGCGGCATCTGTTGACCACGCGGGTCATGTCGAGGTTGGTTCCTTCCGTAGTTTTCACTTCGGCCAAAGTTTCCACCTGCAGGCTGAGGCATGTATGGGACGACCTGCATTCCTCCAGGGATGGCTCCAGCTGGGCCACCGCTCCGCGTTGCGTAAGCAGACGCAGCAGGGCCGCCGAAACGCTCATTGAGCTGCTCAAGCAGCGTGCTGGCCACATAGTACGTAGCAATGTGGACAGCATCGGCGACACCCATGACAACCAATGAGCGCTCTGTTGATAGGGGAAGTACCGAGTCTGACGCGTTCAGGCGAGCACCAGAAGCTTCCTGAATCTCCTTGATGCGCGCACCGCCCTTCCCGATGATGGAGCCAATGAGTATGGACGGGATGAGCAGCCGGAGTGGATAGGTCTTGGACTGTGGGTTCGAAGCTTCGGCCAGGGGCTCGTTGTTCAGAGTACGAATAATCAGTCCGAACGCCTTGGCCACGGCATCAACGCTGCCGCTCACAGTAAGGATACGCTCTATGGCCCCTTTCTGGTAGTCGCTTACAGTGCACTTCGCGTTGGACATTTGCCTGATCTTCGAGACATTCTCGCCTCCCTTTCCAATAATGGTAGCCGCCTCAGGGCTCGTGATCACGGCTCTGATGTGGATCCACGCTGTCTCGTCATGGGCGGAAGCAGCCTGGGCAGAGTTGCCACCTCCCAGAGAGCTGGTGCTCACGATAGGCTTGGTCTCCGCAGCGACGTCGGACACCACAGCATCCCCCTGAACGTCTTGAGGCTCTGCGTTCTCTCCGTTGGCCTTGGTCTCGCCGTTTGAACTGACCTCAGCAGCTGATGTCTCCACGGTATCTTCGTGGCCGTTCTCCGAGGGGACATCGGTCTTGACCTGAACCTCCTCTTCCTCGCCACGGAGGACTTTATCCAGGGCCGGCCGCTTCGCATCAGGCTGGTCGGTTCGGGATGGGGACGAGGTCTCCTCGAGGGGCCGCTTTGCGGACTGAGTTGGGGGTGAGGCCGACATTTTGTCTCGTGCAGCAGAAGTAAGGCGATTCTTCTTTGGGTAATATCGTATTGAATTGATTTTTTTTGGTCCTATCTACACCTGTGGGGGCGGATTCGCAAGGAAAACGTGCAGGTGTAGTGGCGCGTCGGGAGTGGATGTAGATGGATCGGACGGGCTGGCAGGCAACTGGGATCGAGGTCTCGGGAATGAAATGAAGGCCGGGTGAAACTATCGCGGAGGGCGACTGCTGGCACTGCGGAAGAGGGGAAGTGCTGGGAAGACAACCTCCTCTGATGACTGCTTCAGATGGATGATGGGTGCAGCTTTGGTCGGGAGGCAGGGCGAGGCGATGTGCGGGCCAAGATATTGAGGTTGAGGTTGAGGCTGAGACTGAGGCTGGAGGTCGGGTAGATGTAGTCAAGGGAGGCGCAAGATGAAGAGTTGATATGCTGAAGCAGGCGCTCAAAAGAACTCAGAAGAAGGTGACGGGTACGGTGAGGCTTGAGAGTGTAAGGCAAGCAGGCAGGCAGGATACCGAGAGAACCAGATCTCAAACCTTTTTGCTCCGTCACAAACAGCCGCAAGCACCCGAGGTGGCCGTCTTTGGCAGTTTGCCGGCTCACTTTTTCCTGTTGGCTGGCTTAGAGCTAGCTAGACGCCGCGTCGACGCTGAGCCTCGTTTGTCAGTCTGCACCGCGTTAGAAGTGTGTGCGTGTGGGTGTGCGTGCCTGTCGGCGTGCGTTTGACGGGCAGAATCGGGGGACGAGAGTGCGAAACAAGAGTTGCGATGTGATGAGTAGGGAATATCAACAATGGTGGGAGCTGAGGGAGGGGCGGAAGCTGGGGGGAGCTGGGTAGGGGAGGTGATTGCTGAAACAACAGCTTGGGGCTACACGTACCGTACTGCCTACGGGGCAAAAATAGAGGGACGATCTGTGGGTACTGTGTACCACAAACTAGGTAAGGGGCGGTTAGTGGTCGACAGTGACAGGCGCGGACGGTGGCGACGAGGATCTGGGTGACTCCGTGACTGGGTGATTGATCGCCAAAGGGGATGTTGGGTGTAGCGGGAGGTAGAGATTTGGGCAACGGGGAGGGACAGGAAAAGAGGTTGACGGGGTAGTGGGGTGGCGGTGAAAAGGCTTAAACTTGCCCCAGGCGAGTTCGGACGTCGCGCAAGGTAATGCGGCAGGCCGTCGATGCTTGTGCTTTGGTTTTCAGGAAGGGGTGGGGAGGAGATTCAGAGACTCACAGTGAAAGAAGCTGGTTGGGATGAAACTGGAGGAGAGGTGTGCCGTGCCGTCGGCGGGCTTGCCCTTCGCAGCAGGAAGGTGCACACTGGCAGAGCTGGAGGTCAAATATTATGGGACCCTGGCCCGTGCACGATTCCTCCAGGCCCGTCTGCAGGCTCTGGCCACAGGGCACTGGGCTGGCTAAGGCTACACAAAGTTCTGATAGAGTGGAGCCGGACGGCTGTTGGACTGCCACCTGGCACATTACGCATGCCCAAGACCTCTACGTAGTCCCTAACGGCAACTCACGCCCCCGCCGCCACTCCCGCGTTACGACGAGACTGGAAGCCCAAGGAGGCGCTGCTATCTAACAATAACAGATTGCCTGTTGGCTGTTCTGCTTCCAGCAGGATTGTTCCAACCGCGGAATGAAACAGAGTAGCTGGGCAGGAGGCAGCGCATGTCAGTGGCCCATCGACACAAATCCCTCCACACGTCTCACGTTCAGACCTGCATAGGTGCTGCGGGTGCGCTGTGGGTGCGCTGTGGGATGGGCGATACCCATGCGGCACTTTGCCTGGGATTTGCATACGGCGGCACCTCCTTCCCGTCTTCCGGATCTACCATCACTGCCGTGCTCGCTGGGGGCTCGCTCGGCGCATAAATGCCACATGCACACTTGAGATCTCCTTGAAACTCATCTTCTAGAACCTTGCTTCACAAAGCTACCCCTAGCTGAGCTGATTCGTCAACCCCGTGCCTTGGCCAATCGGACCGAGCTCTTCGTTGCTCCTGACGCCCGTGGGCCTCCTGCCAAAACTTGCCTCCAGGGTAGCTTCACCCGACGCGTTTTCGACGCGACGGCGGCGCTGAGTCTGCTCAAGATGGAAGAATCTGCAGCAGCTTTGACCAGCGAAGACCTGCACCCGGGTTATCTGGAACGCTCGAGGAAAGAGCTGCTAAAAAAGGTCGAGCAGCTGAAGCGAGCACTTGCAGAGGTCTGTCAACGTTTTACACAAACAATAAACACACGACTCATACTAATTATGTCCTAGGAAAATGAGAAGTGTGTGGCCATTTCCCACAGGAGTCATGGGCAACAGAGGACTGGCGGGGCAGTCAGCACAAGCAAGCAATTGCATGCCGTCGCCGGGGCCTACCGAGATGTTTCTGCATCCGAACCATTCTTGCCATTCCCTGACTCTGTTGTACCGGCGCTTGTAGCTCTACGTACTACGAACTCGACCATCACGGAATCGAGGAAGTTCCTTGCTTCTCAGAAATTATCACTCCAGGATGCCCAAGAAAGGCTAGAGGCTGAGAAGGCCAATCTGTCGGACCAGACAGCTCTGACCAAAGCGCTGGAGGAGCGAATCCAGTCTCTACGTGAAGGTATCGAGTCAAGGACGGCTATGAGTCCCAACCAGATCACCCGGGAGCGGATCTCGGAGCTCAAAAAGAGCATCAAAGCGACTGATACCGATACATCCAAGCTTCTCAAGGCCCTGAAAACATTCATCGATCAGCAACTAGCCTCGATGCTGGCGGCTGAGCAGAGTGGTGGTCCTGTGGCCGGCGACATGATGGACATCGACTCAGATGATCTGGAAGCCGGCTTCAGCGCAAGGGGCAAGCGGAAGAAATCCAAGCCAGATGCTGTCACGGACAAGAGGCAGCGTAGGATCGACGACATGTTTGAAGGTGGCCAAGATCGAGAAGGCAGGGGCGAGGGCGAGAGTGACAAGAGGGCGGCAGCCAGAGAAGAGATGCAAAGACTCACCGAGGAACTCATGAACAGCCTCATGGATTCTGGGGGGTCGAATTCGGATGCGTACGTCAATGTTTCCGACGAGTCGGCGGCCGTGCGGTTGCTTGTTCGATCGAAGGTTGCCGAATTCCATCCAAGAGATTCAAAGCGCCTGCGACTCGTGGACTTTGGCCGAGAGATTGGCGATTAGACGCCCCATCGGGATGATCTGGGCCATCTTGCGTCGTCCCTCGTTTCGCTCCGCTGTCAATCAAACTCGACACTGTCGATCAGTGCTAGTCAGACGGAACGCCGCCCAGCATGACAACAGGAGGCGTTTGACAAGCTGTAATACATATATTATGCAGGCCACTCAAACACCTCGGTGCCAAACTTTCATATGATGATGTCGATATCAACTACCTGCATACTAATTACAGACCGGTTCAGCTTGGCTTCAATCACTTCAAGAGGGCAAGCAGCGCGCCAAGTGCCAATTCTTGGCATGAATTGATACTTTTGCCGGCACTTGTGATCGAGGCTCACCCCTCAGAATACTGGTCTGGCAGCACTAAAACGCAGGAGAATTATAATGTGTGCCCTTTCACGATGGCGACTCACAAGTTTTGGACCAAATGTCAATGTGGTGACGCAAGATTGGTATCTAACGGGACAACCCGTCGATGGCGGGGTGTTCTTCCGTGGTTGCAACACAGGGGTATTGTCGTCGCCTCAACTTCCAGACGGCAAGTTCGTCTGATAGCTGTACTCCCTCAACTCGATATTCTGCCTGATAAGTGCCTGGCAGCAACATTGGTGAGTAGAAGGGAATACGGGACGATGACCTCTAGCGCTTGCAGTGAGAACGCAAGGAAAGTAACAGCCTGAATGCCCACTGATTGTTTCACCCCTTCTCAACTCCACGATGAAGTTGGGCTGGGACGAATTCCGCAATAATCCGGTAGCGTGGACAGATGTGCTTCTAAGTAAAGCCTCACGTCCACAGAAGAGCTCATATTGCGGCATACAGCCTGGAGAGTAAGGAAACAAAGTAAACGACCTGCTGCTTCCTGACAGAAAATAGTGGGTCGGCTCCAGCCAATTGACCAATGAGATTGTAGGTAAGGAACGCGTCCGTACAACGCGGTTTCCATTTATATCCCTGCTTGAGTGAAAGTTAAGAGAAAGAACCACCATGCTACGAATCGTTGCGACAACAACACTTCAGACCTTCACTCGCCGTGCACTCCGCGTCTCCCAAACTGCTCCCTCTCGTAACATGAACACAGACAAGAACAACTCAGTCAAGTCGCCACCCCACTCTCCTCCAGCAAAACGCGTCAAGACAGACGGAACTGCATCAACCACCAGCACGATGGCGCACGTGAACGGCAGCACCATTCCCGTCACCACAATGGACCAGGCCCCTCCTCTGCTCATCAAGAAGCTTTCTGACAAGGCACGCCTCCCCACCCGCGGCAGCGCCTTCGCCGCCGGCTACGACATCTACGCAGCCAAGGCCACCGTCATCCCCGCGCGCGGCAAGGCTGTCGTCGACACTGACATCAGCATGGCAGTGCCTGCTGGGACTTGTAAGTCTTGCGCGACATACAGGGAGGAGAAGGGGCACCCTGGGATCTGTCAGAAACTAACAATACATTCTTCTCTCAACAGATGGCCGCATTGCTCCCCGCTCTGGCCTCGCCGTCAAGTAAGTAGTAGCTCACCTCGATGACGAGAGCATGCCGCTGATAGCAGAACTTAGGCACTCCTTGACCACCGGTGCGGGTGTCATAGACGCAGACTACCGCGGCCAGGTGAAGATCCTTCTCTTCAACCTTTCCGACACCGACTTTGCCGTCTCTGAGGGCGACCGCGTCGCGCAGCTTGTCCTGGAGCGCATCTACACCCCGGACGTGCTCGAGGTCGCCGAGCTGGAGGAGAGCGTGCGTGGTGCGGGCGGCTTCGGGTCCACGGGCGGCTTCGGCACCGCCTCCATCTCGGCCCCGGCCTCTAACGGAGCGACCGACGGCGCCTCCGACGCGCCTACTACTGCTGCTGCTGCTGCCCCTGCTGCGGCTGAGAGACCATCGTCCTAGGGGGCTTGGTTGCGGGACAAGAAGAGGGCCGTGGACGCTGCTGTCGCCGTGCACCCAGGCGTGGGCAGGGCCAAGTCGAACAAGGACGTGCCCTGGCCATGGGGTGACAGGTATATCGGGTTCTCTGAGGCGTGCTGGATGGGAAATGCCATCTGAGTGGGACCTGCGGCTCCCCGGCTGCCATTACTATGGAGGACTTACGTGCGAAAAGACAATGGGTCGATACAGCTTGGTTACAAAAGTCGTAGGATATTGGCATCAAGGAGGCGTCGACAATGCGGAAAGAAGGTATATTTATATTACGGACCGATCATTACGGCCGCATGATCACATTAGATGTGCGACAGACGAATTCTAGGCCGCCTGCAATGGGTAGGCAAAATAATGAAGAATGCAAGGTTCAAGATTAACCTGTCTATTCCGACTCTGCTTGTGCAGCAGATGATCCGTCTAACTCTAGTGTGAATACCCACGTTTTATCAAGACATGCCCCTCCCTCACATCGTCTACATTTTCTGCGCCTTAAACTCAACCACCGGCTCCCTTAGGGACCCAAGATGCCTCACCAGCCTCAGCTCTGCGGCTTTCGACCGCGCCAGGTGCATCCTCTTCTCGTCGCCCCCGCCAATGTCCGCCTCGGCCCTCTTCACCTCGGCCTTCATGCTCTCACACGTCGCGGCGAGCACCTCATGCATGCTGGCCAGGACGCGCTCCGCCGCCCTCGCGAGCGGCAGGTCCAGCGCGTCGACGTCGTCCGGGCTCAGCCACGACTCCGTCTGGCCCAGGGCGCCCGCCGCGGCCGTTACGGCCTGCCGCATTCGTACGACCATCAGCGCCGCGAACATGTCGCCCGTTCCGGAGAAGTAGGCGTCGATGGCCGGGAAGCGGATCTTGAAGGCGCGCGGCTTGCGCGTCGACGCCGTCATGGTCGAGCCCACGACCGAGAGCGTCCTGTTGGGGCTTGCGCCGTCGTGGTGGTTGTCGTCGTTGTCGAGCGACACTGAGGTCAGGACTATGTGGGGGACGCCGTACTTTGTGTGGATGACCTCGATGGCGCGCGTCAGGGAGGTCATGTCTGTTATTTTGACGTCGGAGAGGAGCCTGTTTTCGGACGGATCGAGCGGTTAGCACCTGATTTCCTCCTTCTCTCGGGCAACGACTATGAACAGACGGCGGCAGAGCTGCGCGGGTAGGGACTGGAGTCTTACTCGGCCTCGAATTGGTTGGGTAATATCAAATCCGCATGCGGCAGCAGCGACTTGTAAGCAGGCACTACGTCGTCGGCGACGTACAGCCTGCCGTTGTCGCCCATGACCGGGTCCAGCACCCAGAAGAAGCCCCCCGGGCTGGACCTCGCCTTATCCTTGAGCTCGGCCGCGATCCGCCCCACGGCCTGCACGGCCTCGGCGCCGGGGATGTAGCCCGAGAGCATCATGTCGAAGTCATCGAGGTACGACTGCTTCAGCCCATCGTAGAGGTCGGTGATCTCCTGCGCCGACACCTTGGTCCCCTTGACCTGCTTGTAGCCCGTGTGGTTGCCTGTTTGCGCGCGAACGACGAGAGAAGGTTAGGGCCGGGTTCTTGCCTGCGGCTTGTCTTTATGTTTGTGTATGGGCGGGCACGTGGGATCGAGAGAGGTTCGGAGGTGGTGGGACTGACTGAATTGTACTGTGTTCAGTGCGGCGACGTCGCAGCCGAGCGACTGCATCGCGAAGACGGCGATCTTGTTGCCGACATATCTGGAGAGCGACCCGCGCCGTGGTCAGCTGGGTGGAATGACCATTTGTATAGTCGTTCCCCTGCCGGAAAATGCGCGGTACTCACCCAGAGACAACCTTCGCATCTTGTCAGCACACACCTATATCTTTCTCTGTGTGTATGTATGATGGGTGGGCAGGTGTTGGGTTGGGTGGCGGTGTGCTCATGGGAAGAGGGCGCGACTCCGTACATGACTGGCAACAGCGAGGACGCGGGTCTCTGGGACTGGCAAATCGGCTGACATCCTCTGTGCGACTTGGCTAATGCTGCCCATGGAAAGTCAAAGGGTGGTAGGGTGGCGGCAGGTTGGGACTCGAGATGCAGGTGGTGCTGGCGTGCGCATGAGCCGAGGTCAGTGAGGGGGAATCGCACACCACAAGCGTTTCGTGGCGTAAGTATGCGAGGCAGTTCTGCAGACAGTGGAATTGGGAAGTCGTCAGACTCTTCCAGAAGATGGAGGATCAGGTCATACGTGCGATGTCGCGCCCAGTCACCGGCATCGTGCTACTAGAAATTTCGAATGACACAGTCAAGGCGACTCGGACTCGTCCAAAAAGTGCCCCGCATACTGCCCGGCTCGGTGCCGGTGATCTGGACGGCGCCAGGGGATCTCGGGAGGGACGCTGGAACCCCACGTTGTGACCCTGCCTTGCATGCCCGCGGTCCATGGCACAGTGATCATCGGTGCAGCCGCGCCCTGGGCACATTCCAAAAACACTGCATGCTTTCAAATATGCTCTTCTTGTGATCTTGTTTTTCATTACCGTCGAATATCGTATCGAACATGATGCTGTTGCACTCCCCATCTCTATGATGATAAACAGTGCCCTATCCTGCAACGCCCAGACACAGGCTCGCCTCCACCAATTTTCACAATTCCGCCCCTAACAGGAGCCTAGGCAATATTTCTCTGCTCTTGGAGGGGTTGGATCGGCAATCACGATATCGGTGGCGCTCTCCGAGGCGATGAGTTGCACAGGACTGTCTCCAAAGGTCAGGCATTGCTGCCTCACCGTGCCTATTCTCGCTCGTACATCAAAGCGACTTTCCAACCAATTACTCGTCGTCACCGATCTGTTCAATCGGGGAAGTGATTAGCATAGGGTTCAGGAAGCGGGCAGAGATAGGAGACATAGAGACTCACCTTGGGGGCCAGGTAGAAGCGCAGGTAGCTGGTGCCCTGCACACCGTACTCAACCAGGAGAGGCACCTCGTTGGACAGGCAGATCTTGACTTGTTCCGAGAGCGCCGAGGCCTTGCAGAAGTTGACCAGGTACTTGAGGGAGAAGGTCAGGGACACGGGCTCGCTCAGCTCAATCTCGATGTTCTCCTTAGGCTTTTCAACATTTTGATGGCTGCGCAGAGTCACCGAACCGTTGCCAATGTCGCCGGTGCAGGCGAACTTGACGCCGTCCTTGCTCGCCTCGATCGTGACTGTCACAATCAATGAATGTTAGCCAAACCGTGACGCACTACGGGTAAAGTATGTGTTTTGCTGTTTGGGGCTCTTACCAGACTCAGACATGGCCAACAGATCTGTGCAGATCCTCCGGAACTCGGATGAAGGCATGGTGATGGTGGAGGCGTACTCGGTCTCGGGGATGCCCAGGTGCTCCTGGTCAATGTCCATGAGCTTGAGGTCGTACTCGGTCAGGCGGTCGCTGTCGGCATTCTCAAAGACCAGGTTCAGGCTGTCGGGCGCGTCCTCGGACTTGAGCGTCATGATGTCGTCGTTCTGGGCGGCGCGGAGCACCTTGGTCAGGGAGGTGAGGTTGACGCCCAGCGCGATGTTGCGGTCGCACCGGTACGGCGCGAAGCTGTCGGCCTTGAGCATCATGGACACGAGCGCGACGTGCGAGTTGTCCATGGCCTGCAGCGCGATTCCCGAGTCATTGCAGTCGAAGTTGCAGTCTTGGACCAGGTCCTTGATGGCGTCGACCACCTGTTGGGGGCGCGAGGCGTCAGATAAGTCCACATTTAGAGAGAGAGAGAGAGAGGAAGGAGAAGTTGTCCCTACCTTCTTCAGGATGCCCGCCTGCTCCAATCGTGCCTCAAGCATGGCTGCTCTGGACTTAGTGTATGCTCGCGTCGAAGAGGGGGAGGCTCTCGAATGTCCCGCTTAGTGGAACTTACTGAAGGTCTGAAAGAGAAGTGAGAGTTGCTGCTGAATTAGTTACGGGTAGTGTAGGACGGAGAGATGTGATCGACTGGAAGAACTTGGTGGGTATCGTGCCGTAGCTGGTTTGCGCAAGCAGAAAAGTCGTTTGAAGTTTGAATAGGCACCGAGAGAGGAGGAGGTAGGTAAATCAGAGTCGCAGCCCAGGCTTTTTGAATGACGCGCCTCCAGGCGCGAGCTCACTGCATTTACGCGTCGGACGGAGCCCATTAAATTTTAGTGGGGCACAACTCAAGTACGTGTGTACATCGATTGACAGCTGAGTCCCCCATGATCCTTGTACTGCAGCCTCCTTCACCGAGGGCCCCTCTTCCTCGAGTCTAACGAACCTCGCCGGAGAGACGCCGCCCTAGCCACAGAGTAACATGGAATCTATTCTCGAAAATGCTAAGGAGGTTTGGTATTCATATGCTGTTGAATGGCAAATGGTGGCATTCACACGCTCTAAATGCACAAACCATCGCGGTATTCACCCTGCAAACGACCATCTTGGGAAACGAAACCAAGCAAAGATTCTCGCGATCCTATGCTATAGACGTTTCAATAAGTTTTTGTTGATTTATTTTTGGCTTGTACTTCGGTCAGTAAATTCCTACTGTACAGTGACCAAACATTATCGACTATTTTTTCCATGGCCACGTGGGCCCATTGGGTTCAAACACAACATATCCTCCAACGCCTTGACGACCCTTGAGTTCCGTCGCCCCTCAAGATCTATATAGTTTTGTACAGGTCGCTTGGATATCGCCTCTGCATGCAGTTTTTTGACACAAGGAAAGTGATGGTAGAAAATCTCAAGAAAAGGTATCCTCGAAGGACTGTAAGCCGCCGCCGCCGCCTCCACCGCCGGATGGAACGCCGATAGCCATGGTTGCAAAAGCAAGCAAGCATGTAAACCAGAAAACCAAAAACAAGCAAATCGTTAGTCATGAAAGGAGCGGCACGGGATGCGGCCTGGAAGAGTACTCGCTCACAGCGAGACGACGCGGCTCGGATTCGGTGGCAGGGTCTGTCTCCTGTTCTTGTTCGGACGCAGGTTGATGACCATCTCGAGCTCTTTGAGCATGCCGCGGTTCGCCTCGAACTTGTCTTTCGTCTCTGCTCTCCTCTCGCGCTCCTCTCTCATCTTCGCTATTCTCTCCCCTCTTGTCAGCATGCTCCTGGGTCGTAGTGGCGGACCCGCAACAGCCTCAAATATCTCTTCACTCTCTCCGGAATTGCTGCCCGCGTCGGGGCTGTCTGGCGATTCTCCCGTAAGTGCCTTAAGCGCGTCTGATACACTACCACCGCTTTCCTCAACGGTGGTCAGCCCTCCCAAGGATATAGCTGGGGAGAGCATTCCACTAATGGACGAAAGACGCTTTTCGTTACGGTCGATACCCGACGCCACAGCGGCCCGGCCGTCCTTCCATGCCTGCTGGAGCATCTCAAGGTCTTGACCGATCGACTCGTATTGTGCCATCAGGCTTGGTCCCAGCTCCGAGAGGTCGGAGGCGGTATTCAGCGCGCGATCAGATTCCTCCCGCAGTAACGTCATCTTCGCCTGCAGTCCGCGAATGCCCGTCGTGAGAGAGTTCAGCTTGCTTAGTTGTGAGCGCCATCTCTCGCGTCCGGGTGAGAGCGGGCCCTTGTCGGCGATCGACACCGCCGGTTGGAATGACTGTTCCTCCCCCAGAATATCCCCAACCCGCTTATACGATGCAGCCGTGGCCTCGTTGAGTGTCCGGAGAGATTCCACAACGGTCGTCCATCGCAGGAAATCAGAGTCGTCGCCTTGTGCTTCCATCGAGAGGAGTGCGCAGAGGAACATCTTTCGCAACACGTGAAATCGGGACGCCACGATCTTCAGGGTTCGCAGGGATTCCATGTCCTCGAATTCGCCCTCCGAGTAGCCTTGCAATGCATCCGACATGTCCAGATCGCTGATGTCGTAGATGTCGTAGTACCGTTCCAAATCCAGCTGTTCAGAGAACCCTTTGATCACCGAGGAAGCCTGCTCATACTTGGAAATAATTCCCCCAAAGCTCTTCCTCAGGGCTTTCCTGAGCCTCACGCATCTCCGGGTCTGGCTTTGGTCCTCGATTCGGCTGATAGGTGGCAGTGGGGCGCTGAGGCGATATCCGCGAGAAACAAGCTCCACCTCCTGGACCAGGGCAACTGCGGCGCTCGATGCGCTGTCGAAGTCCTGTGCTCTTGAAACAAACGTTGTGATCTCCGTCAGTGCCTGCTCCCTGACATATTTGAGCCATTGTTGCCTTATGTATGCTTGCGACGCGACGCCAGCGACGCCAAAGATCACCACAAAGACCACCACTCTCTTCTTCGTCAGGTGCGAGTATCCTCCCCCGTACAGCCAGCTGATGAACCACGCGAGCCCAAGTGCCCCAACAGCCGTGAGTAGCAAGCCGGTTTGCGTGGGAATGTTCGGATCATGGTCGCTCCCGGGATGTATCTTGGAACTCTGCGCCTGGCCATGCTGCCCCAATATCGAGTGGCCACTTAACAACTGGGACGCAACAATGGTGTAGCGGAATTGTTCCAGGAACTTGGAATTGTCTGCGCGGTCTAGCTTGTTCGCGACTGCGGTCTGCATATCTCGTGGATCAGCCAAAGATGAGAGTGCTTGCACGGGAACCTTCTTACCGCTCCATCTTGCAAAGAGCTCAGGCGCTTCTTGGGGGTGGGAAGCTTGATGTTTAGCGCGTCGGGTATCTTGCTGCGGAAGCGCGCCTTGACTAGAGGCCTCCCCGTGGGCGCGAACGAAGGACTTGGCGGGCTCGGTGGTGGTGTGTCTATGATCACGTCTGGTTCCTGTTGTGCCCAGTCTCGTTGCTGTTCCTCGCCCTCGTCTATTGTTGTCAGAAAACCGGTCAGCGTAAGGGGCCGCATGTTGATGTTGTATCATGTGATAAGAGAAGAACAATACAATAGGTCGCAGGAGAAGAACTGTAAAGCACAGGTCGTGGACTGACCCTTGAGGTACTCGGCGAGAGGAGTCTCGTCGTAAATGACCGTCTCCATGAAAGAGACCTAAATCGAGGAAGACAAGCTGCGGCACTTGTTGCACCAGCCATGCAGTTACATGTGCACAAAAAGGCTAATGATCCCAACGGAGGTGTTCACGGACTCCCGAGGTTCTGTGGAAGCTGAAAGGGGTCGGTCGGTATACGGGCCCAGACCAACAAAGGATGCCTCGAAACGAAACGAAACAGGAAGCAAGCACTGCACTGCACACTAGAGCACTGCCTGGGAGGTCGAGGGCGGTGGCGTACTGGGGACTGGGGGCGTGGGATTGGTCGGGTCGGAATATCGGTGTGTGAACAGCGACGGAGTAACGAAGGTGTGTCAGTGCCAGAGTCAGTGCCAGTATCCAGAATGGATTCTGGCTGGAGATCTGGGTCTGCGTGGTACCGACGTCGTCTGCAAATGAATGCAATTGCCAATCACTATCTGATCAGCAGAAAGAGAGAGAAGGACCAAAGGCATGTGCAACCAAAAGGGAAGAAGGACACTTGACGAGGCTCGTATGCCCACCGCTCCCTCTCTCGCTTGGGCGGTGCCAGGGGTGTTCATCAAAGTAAAATGAGTCGACGGAACGAGCTAAGGGTCCAACTGTCCCTGTCCAGAGTGGACATTCGGATTGCAAGCGCTCCTGCGTGCCCGGTGCTTCTGCTGGGCGGTGGATGGCCCGCCGTGGGATGGGCCCAGTGCTCATCTCGGTCTGCGGATGGGAAGCTGGGGCCGCAGTTCGTCAGGTGCCATTTTTGGGGCGAGACCACCTGCCTGCTGCTGGGTTCAGGGCCGCTTGAGACGGGAAAGCTGCAGGGATTCCCGCTGTGGCCTAGCGGCGGGCATGGGCTGGCTTGGGAAGGCGGAAGAAGCCCCAACGCTTCCAGATCGACGACAGCATTCCGAAGCTCGCCCCAGCACTGCACTGCCCCAGTTGGTGAGCAACCTCCGACAACGAGAGGAGACATGCCCCGAGCTTCACCACAGCAATCTTGATCCCCGAACGCAGCCCAAGATGCCGTCGGAAAAGGAGCTGCAGATCTCCCCGATTGTGCAGGAGTCTGTTTGTGCACAATACCAAGGTCAGAGACACCGCGCCCAGGCCCCGTCGTCAGTTTGTCGCCAGCTAACTAAGCCAATCCATAGGCCCTCGCCAACCTCCAGTCTCTGACAGCATCCCTCTTCGGTGTCGCGGCCGGCATTCTCGGCCTCGAGTCTTACGCCGGCTTCCTCTTCTACATCGGCTTCACCCTGCTGACGGCCGTCCTCTTCTACGCCATTCGCGTCGCCCCGGCCTCCCTGTCCGCGGGGAAGCCTGTCTTCGACACCAGTCTTTACTTTCGTGGGCAGCTGGAGCTATGGACTAGCGGGCTATCCGGGGGACTGGCTGGGTTCGTTCTGACATGGACACTGTTCTACGGGTTGGTCAGGGCCTAGGAAGGCGATGCAAAGGTGGAGGACGAAGATGATACCAGCGCAAAAGGAAATGGAACGATGAATACTGCGTCCGCCCTGCACCTCAAGCCTGGAGTCGCGGACCGATGATTGTCAACGAGTCCAGAGAACTGCATGTTTGTCTCGTCTCTCCACGAGCATATCCTCATTGTCAATGCCAGCGTGTCTTGATACAAGGTCGGGTTGTTAGTGTGATCTCGGCCATGGCCATTGGCAGGGCATCGAGGGCCGTACATGTCCAGCTCAATGACTTGTCCAGCCCAATGACATGCCGAGTTGGTATTCTAGCTCTCAATCCGTGAGCAATCCATCAGTCTCGTCATGGTGGCAACGGGGTCCCAAGTACGCTTCATGGACAACTGCCGTAGAGCGCCCCAGGACGACGCAGATTGGCAGATCAGAGGCAGTATACGCAGCCAGAAATCACCGGGACAACCCGAAAATGTTGGAGGATCCGTGACACAGCCGAGATGTGTGATATTGTGAAACTCGGAGGCGATAAAGCAGATGGAATTGAATTGGGACAGATGACAGCACCGACACAACCAGACATGAATGGGAGACAGAGCGTCATCGAGGAAGAAAGACATGGAATGCGCTCTATAAGAAGACTAAATCAGAAAAAAAAAAAAACATACAATGCTGTTGTCTATCGACTATTCCGCTATCTCTATGACGCGGCCCACAAATCCTAAAAGCCCGGACTTGTCTCTGCTGCCTCCCTCCAATATCACAACCTGCGAGCCCATCTCGACCCACTCCCGCTGCGAGAGGAGCTCAAGCTGCACCTCGTATACCAGCTTGCCATTATCCTGTTGCCTTGCGGACTCTTTCTCATCGCTGATGACGAAAACGTCATCGTCGTCGTCAACAGGCGTGTCAGGATACGTCCACGTTGGAGACACGCGTAGTATCCTAGCCGAGGCGCGAACGCTGGCGATATAGACCTTGACGTTGCTCCCCACTATCAGTTCATCTGTCGAGGCATCCTCAAAGACTGCAGTGACGCCGCTTGCTGCCTGAAGTGACAGGCCCGTTTCCACCATGTGCTTGCTAGGCATCGCTAGCACCATGCCTTTGCGTATTTTAGGCAGCGGCCGCGGGTGACGCTCAAAGATGCTGTCGGAGAGGTCCTCGTCTGGCATGTTAAAGACAATGCCGATGGTGCCTGCCTGGCCAGGTTCCAGCACGCGCACTGGGAGACGCAAATTGCGGATGGTGGCGATCTGGGCATCGTACCATTCACCCTTGATGGCAGAGGCTGGGACAGCGTTTCGCATCGCGAGTCGGCTGAGTTCCGAGGACGAGTGATGAGAGACAGAGAGCCCTTCCCCGCCTGGCGAGGCCCGATCCTCGGGAGTGATGGTGCTCGAGTCGTCATCTGGTGGGAACGGTCCTACCAGCACTTGGTCGCCCACCGCCAGATGGCCGAAGCGAAGATAGCCCGCAACAACTGTTCCATGCTCGGCTTCTTCATCGTCCTTCACGGCATTCCCGTACAACGCAGAGAGGCTGAACTTGTCTTCGATGTGAAACACAGAGTCCGGCTGCTCGGGATTTAGAGCTAGACCGACATAGTCTCGAGCCGTGGGAGTTGGCGGTATCGGCAGATTTTGGAGCAGTGCGTGGAGCAGACCGATCCCTTCACCTTTCACGGCACTCGTCGACACGATCGGGACGAAGTCGAGCAGGTTGCCACTCCTCTTCATGTCGGATATCAGAGGCTGTATGTCATCCTCGTCTACTGCGGGAACTCTTGTGGGGTCAGACTGTATTCTTTGCTTGATCAGCAGCTTCGGCACCCTTCCAGCGCTCTTCATCGCAGCCAAGACTTTCGTCAGCGTGGCACGGAGACTTATTGTGGTAGCAACATCGAGCTTGGTGATGACGATGACAAGAGGCATGCGGAGTTTGAGACACAGGTCCATGTATGCCTTGGTCTGATTAACTTCACCCATGGGAGAGTCCGCTTCATCTTGGGAAGACGTTGGCGTAGACCTGCCCTTAGCATCACCATCAGTGGCAGCCAAGCACAAGATTGTCCAGTGAGGTGCCCAGCCGACGAGTCCGCGCAGTATTGTCCGTCGAAATCGAAGATGGCCGGCAGAATCGGACACGAAGACTAGCCTGCCGTCACGCGACAAGTCGTGTATGCCTTCCCAGGAGTCAATGTTGCGGTCCGAGAAACTGTAGATGAGGTTTTCATCATGGCCGCTGTTCTTGTAGCCAATCAACATTTGGGAGACCGAGGTTGTCATTCCCGACGTCAGCTCATGGCGATGCCGCAACAAGAAGGTCCGGCTCCGTCCTGAGCCATTGTCGAAAATTCCTGTGCAAAGCGTACCCAGTAACGTCGACTTGCCACCGTCAGTTGGGCCCGTAAGAGTGACTCGAAGCTGCTCTGTCGTCGAACTGGCTTCCACGTCGGCTGCTTGCCCCGGCGAAACAGATGTAGTTCGGTCCACTATGTCCGGTGTCTGATCTTCAATACCAGGAGAAGGTTTCACGAATGCCTCGACCACGTATAGCTGCTCTTGATGAGTGACGGGCTGCGGAGTGGCATCACCTGTCTTCTTCGGAGAAGGCTTCTCGGTCCATTGACACTCTCCGACGCACTGCCGCCGGGTCACTTCCACGACGCACCCAAGGCTCGCTGCCATTACTCGAAGGGTCAAAAGACTCTCCTCCATCTCATCATCGGGAAGTCCAACCAGCGTGCCATCGTCGGAAACTCCTATCTCGTATAGCGCGCCCTTAGACTCCTCTAGCCCTTGCCACAGATTTCCAAGCCGTACCGCTGCGGCTAGATCAACGCTGTCATCAGGGAGTTTGGGGATGAGCGAGTCAGTCGTTCCCAGCGGGTTGTACCTCATCGATTGCTGAAGCCTCCAGAGCAGTTGAGTTGTCAGATGATAAAGACGCAGTTTGCGCGATTCGCTGGTAGTGGTGTTGGTTTCAGAGGGGGCTTTCCGCCGTGACCCATCTGTCGGGGCCGAACTGATGGCCAGACGACCCACATCAATGAGGCTGCCATGGGATGAGTCTGGAGTAGAGTGAAACTCATTCCGTCCAGGTCGTTGGGACCCCGAGGCTGTTCCGGTTGTGACGGTCTCGTACGGTCGCCTGGGCCGTAGGAGCAAATGCAGTTTGTACTCTATCGCTCCCTCCTGTGGCTCGGCCTCCAACTTCGTGACCCTCTTCTCCGGGTTCTCGGCCGGACGTAACCACGGGGATGAGACCCTTGTTGGCTCCGTCTCGAACGTGAACACTGACATTGTCGATGAGGACGAAGTCAACCTGGTGATTTGGACACCAAGGCAGGTGCACAGGGTCAAAGACAACAAGGGGCGGGCTCTTGGGCAGGTATGGCGGTGTGATTCGCAGCAGCAACGAGTGGTCTTTGGAACAGGTAGCTATGCCACAACCGCGCACAGAGCCCAGCCGAGTCCAGCCGCTCTCTCAAGCTCTCGCAGCCTAGGACTGATAACCAAACGCTTCAATGACTGTGGTCGTCTCGATGCTCGGCTCCTAAGGATACCGAGATGCACTGGGGCCGAGTGAAGGCGATGAAATGCTCAGGAGTGGCGGCGGCCCGAAAGACTCAGTGTATGGCAGGTTTTCGTATGATTCTTAGAGGTCTTATGCAAGGAGAATAGCTTGTTGGTAATTGAGGTAACATCTTGACCTAAGTTTGACTGCTTTCGCAGAGAGTGAGGGTAGTGGGTCGACTCGTAGCTTGCTCTTTTCGAGAGGTGGAAGCTACACTTGCGGTACAATCTTGAAGATTCAAGACCGTCTGCAGCGTTGCGCAGTTTAGCACTGCATATTTGCAATCGGGCAATCAATTGGATTCGGTGTGAATTTCAGTATTTCTCAGTCTTCTTGCAGTGTCGAGGCCCTGGTCGACTGGTCTGGGGCGGGAGACGTCCTAGAGTTGTGGACAAAGGTAAGAAGTGAAGTTGGGTAAGGTGGAGTGGCGTCGGTTTCCTTTGACTGCAGGGCTGGCAGGCAGCTTAAATCGACTGCCACGGCTATTGCTCACAACTGGCCCAAGGCAGAGACGACTATGAAGAGTCACACCGCTTACCTTCGCAAACGAGCAGCTCGACGACCAGAGATCCGACAGTCGTCTTGTCTACTTTGGGAGTCCCAACTCTCGCGTTGCCAACCATGGCAACACCTGTCATCTCACGGCCCACGGCGGTGGACTCATCGCCGCTACTTACGATTGGGGACGAGAAACCCGACAAGGGTGGGCGAGTGGGGCAGGCTACGAAGTTAAGCACAGCACTAGGCCAGGCGACGGCCGATCAGCAGGACACGAGCGACAGCGACGACCAGGACCTCGAAGGCGAGAAGAAACTCGAGGTTCAGGCCGACAAGATTGACAGCGACAACGAGACCCTTGAAGACGAAAAGGAAGTTGAGGTGCAGGCTGACACGCAAGACAAACCACGCCCACGCCCGCGCCCAATCCTAGTTCCACGGCCACAGCCACGCCTACAGCCGCCTGCTGCTGATGTTGCCGCTGCTGATACTGCCCCCAATGGCACCAAGCGTTTGGCTCCTGCTAGGCCCCAGGCCTGCGGCATCCACGAAACATGGCACCGGCAGCACAAAGACCCAGGGCACAGATGCGAAGAAGCAGCAGAAAGGCGCAAGTGATACTGCATCTAGAAGAGCAGATGCCGGATCGGAAACAGCTGCAGCAGATGCAGGCGCACACGACAAGTCACGCCTGCCGTTCCGCCGCAATAAAAATGGTCCCCGCAAAGGTGGGAAGCAGAAAGAGAAGGGTGCTCTTGGCAGGGCCTACGAGAAGGTGAGCCTGATACATAACCCCCAGACATACCTGACAAGGCAGCCCACTTCTTGGTTTCTCGAATCCAGCCATGATCCCGCAAGCCCGCTTTGATGATATTGAGTTGAGGAAAGGGGCTCCCAGCTTGCTATTCCCCCAATTCGCAGAGGCAGAGAGGGAGGGCAGAGGCCCGATCCTGACGGCCAGCGGCTGGCTGCCTGTCCCAGATGCCACCAGTCGTGTCATGGTCGCCCGTCAGATCAGGTCCTCCACGGGGGCTGTGGTTCACGTAGAGAGCGCAGCTCGAATGTTGTGGAGTAGCCCACCACGTACGCAACCCCCCGGCATGTGGCAATCTTGTTACGAGGGGGGCGGTCGGGATCCTGGATCTGCATGGACGGCATCTGACGGCCAGGCGGGTTCCCAAGGCCGCTAGAACGATGGGATGAGCGGCCAGTGCTAGCCATTGGTGCCAAACCACCCCAAGCTAATTGCAGTGTCCCCTATACCTTGCACAAAGCCGTCCCACTCCCCGTGCCTGACGACTGTTTTAGCATTTTGCCAGCATTGAAACCCTCCCACTTCAGGCCGCTGAAGTCCCCACCGCTACCTATTCCTATTTATCCCTGTCAACCCTCTCGAAACACGCCTCGGTCTCAACACCCTTCCGTCCCCTTTTCCAGATCCTACATCAGAGTAAAGGACGCTGTTGATCATCGACGTGCTTTCTTCCCTCACATTTCTTCCGTTTCAACTTGTCGTTCCGTGTACAACAATCGGTGTTCGCTACAACAAGACTTGTGTATTAACCACCAAAACAGCTCAAGATGGGTCTTTTCAGCAAGAAGAAGAAGGAGCCCGTGGACGAGAACCCCTACTCCGCTCCCATAACGCCATACCAACAGGCCCGTAACGACCTCCATCAGCAGAAGCTCGGCGGACCCGGCGGGCCCGGGGCGCCCGGAGGACTTCCGTCGAACCCGCGCATGAACTCGTTCGCGTCCAGCACCGCACCTCCGCCCTACCAGAGCCCGTCGGTGGCCAGCGACAACAGCCGGTTTGGAGACGAGAAGTTCGGCAACCAGAACGGGTACGGATCGAACCGGTACGACAACGACAACGCTGCGGCTTTCAGTGCCAACCAGAGGCGTCCTGGCGGATACGGCGGTTTTGGCGATGACGCGGGCAGCAACGAGCTATTCGGTGGTGCCTCTAGTCGCTATGTACCTCCGCAGCAGGGCGGAGCTCCATCCGTGCAATCCCCTCCGAATGGGTCTGCTCCTTTTCGGTCCACTCCGAGTCGGTACGACAACGACCCTTCGAAGGGCACCTTGCTTGGCAATGCTCAAGATCGATACAACCCCTTGCCTCCGACGGCGAGACAGGAGGGAGCAGCAGAAGACGATGAATATGGTGGTTATGGTGCGCCTCGCGAGATGACAGGTAAGAATGACTGCGTGTTCTGCTGCCCAGCCTCTTTTACTGACACGACACAGAGGAGGAGAGGGAGAGGGAAGATGTCCGGGCCACCAATGCCCAGACCAGAGAGATCAGAAAAGCTGGCATAGATTCGCTCGCCCGGTCGAGAGCTCTCGGAGAACAAGCGCTGGGCCTTGCAGCCTCCTCAGCTGCTCGTCTGGGAGAGCAGGACAACCGGCTCGCAAGAACGTGAGAATTCCCAAATCCTCATTGCGATGATGAATTTCGCTGTTCTGGTAACAGCTGCTGACCAATATTGCGCAGGGAGCGGAACGTGGATGCAGCACTGGTGATGAGTCGCAATGCGGAAAAGAGCACCAAGTACGTTTGATTTTTCACACTTCGAATCATCATATACAAACGCGCATTTTGGGGCTTTTTCTGTTCTCTGAAGTTTCTGGGCTGAGAACGCCCGGCTCCTGATACTGGCTATGAGCAACTGACTGAGATCTCGTAGGGAACTCAAGACGATCAATGACAGCATGTTTTCCGGCATGTTTGGGCCCTCGAAACGCACACTGAACAAGAGGGACGCCGAGACCCTGGCCCAGTACCAAGAGGATAAAGAGGCACGTGAAAGCACAGCAAAATCGGCTTATAAATCAGAGCAACAGATGGAAGACATGTTCAAAGACATCAATGGCAACAAACCTTCTGGGCCACTGGGGGCGAGGCGCAACAACGCGGAGAGAAGTAAATTCATTTTCAAAGACGACGAAAGTGATGATGAGCTGGCCAGGGAAGACGAGAACGACGAAGATCAAATCAATGAAGGCATAGATGACTTGACGGACATCGTGGGCAAACTCAAAGGTGCTGCCATCGGCATGGGCGGCAATCTCACAACACAGAATGAGCGTCTGGACAGGCTTGCAGGGAAGGTGAGTTCGCTTACCACCAATCTTGACCATCTGGCCACATCCACTAACATGATATCACAGACCGATGCAGTGGACGACCGTGTAAGACACCCCTTGCACCCAAAGTTTTCCGCCGGCCCTTCCTACTTGCGTCTAAGCCATTTTACATCATGCACAGAGGCGCTCTGGTTGCTTAATACAGCTGCTACCCTTCGCACACTTCTGCCCCGGTATCATGTTGTTCACCTCTCGCTGACTTACAATCTCACAGGTCCGGATGAACCGCGAGAAGTTGAGCCGCATTCGTTAAACACAGCAAACACCAGTCATCAGTGCAATGTTGCATGCACATCGCAGGATCCTGACCCGGGACCCAGGTCTATTGTACAGTCTGGCTCGGATAGTTCTCGAAACAGTGTCGGCGTTTATGGTTTCATGATCGGAATCCTGATTACAGTCTTGAATTGCACAAGAACATGTGAGAGGGAATGCATGCATGGTAGACCGGATGATGAGTTGAGGTCATCAAATGAGAATGTGTCACAATTAGTACTCCTGAGTAATCCACGAAGACCATTTCCCGGGCTTCATTCTTGGCTATGGTTTTTTGCAGCGTTCCTGCTCACACACTAAGACACTCCAAGATGTCGTAGACTGTCCAACCCAGCCCTTTGGGGCTTGTTCGGGACCTCAGGATATGCTGACAGCTTCCACTGGGAATGCTAAGACTGCTGGAGGTTTGGTGGTTTAAGGTAAGGCGGCATTTGCTGTCAGGGGAAGAAGGCATTGAATATTTCCAGCTTATCCAGCCACGTCGTCCAGTATCAAGGCGGCCAGGTAGATGGTGAGTGCGTGGATAAGCTCAGATAATTTGTACACATAGGTGCTGACGAGCTGTCCTCAGCCAAAAGAACTGAGCGGAGGTCGGCTCTGTAAATCTGATGTCCAGTCCTTGGAGCCAGGCACCCAGAGTTTGTCTAGCACTGAGCATGAATCCCGATCAGGCTGATATTGAGAGCCGAGCGAATAGGACGCCCACATGTGTGTATCTTTTGGACTGACAGTCGTTTCACAAGTCATACTATCCTCACGAAAAAGAAGAAGAAAAAGGGGGGGGGGGGCAGAGATTCACATCTGCAAAAATAGAAGGTACACCAGTATATCGCCAGCCTTAAACTACATAGAAATTTAAACACTTAACAGCTACACTTAACTTAACTGCTTAATTTATATACTTAATACATATGTAATTAATTTATATAATTAATGAAGCTTAAATATATGAATTAAGTATACAAATCAAGTGTGTAAATTAAGTACATAGGTGTTGAGACGGTCCTCACGTCGAAATGGCAACGAGGGCACAATATGACAGTGAAGAATGGTTGATTTACAACTAGGGTTGCCTAAGAAAAAGAAAGGAAAAGGAAGAATCGCCGAAAGGGCAGATCAGAGTGGTTTTGGAGGCCAGTTGGGCTGATAAGATAAGCCAACCAGACGGGGCCCAGAGGGCCCCTGCGCACGATCAGCCCCACGGCCCTGACAGGTGTTGGGTGTGGGTGTGTGAACTAGGCCTGGGTGATGCGCTCTGGTTGGCTGCAGCTATGCCACGAGTTGATGTACCGGTGTACCCTCCGTTTTTCCAGTTGCGAAAAGAGTGTTCAAAAAATAAAGAAAAGAAAAAAGGAACAGACCCCGAACCATACTGCAAGCGCGAACTGCAAGCACAGACTACGACGGTAGTTTAAGCTAGTGGGCGAGCTGCCAATCCGCTTACCTCAGCACCTGTATGGACCCACACATATCATCTGCTGAATTATCTGAGGCTGCTCACCATCAACCAACTTACAACATACTTCCCTGTGGTGGCCTTGGTACCACTACGGTGTCCCAAAAGCAGACGCCACTATGACGAAACGACGAAAAACAACCGATTCTGGTAACTTTATCAGAATCGGTGATAAGACAATCTCACTAGAGGGTTATTTCGCTCCCAGCAAGCCAAAGGACAGCAAGAGCGATACCAACGCCACCCACACACCACAGTCAGAGACATCGAAGAAGGACCAGGTGAGGAAGGAGCCAGTGAGGACTGAGCAGCATCGTCAAGGCAAGGGCGACGAGAAGCCTCGGAAAGAGGAAGGAGACAGAGACCTGCTACGGCTGCGGGAGAAGTTGCCCATTTGGGAGCACAGGAACGAGATCCGGGATGGCCTCAGAAAGAACGATGTGCTTATCGTCACGGCAGAAACAGGCTCTGGCAAGAGTACCCAGGTCCCACAGTTCCTCTTCACGGAAGACTGGTGTCGAAAAAGGACGGTCAAGGTACGCTCGGGAGGCAACAGAGTCAACGACGCCTCCGTCGGAGGCGTGATTGCCATTACTCAACCACGGCGGGTAGCTGCGACCACACTGGCTCACAGGGTCTCAAACGAGGCAGGCACGCCGCTCCGCCAGGCAACCGGAAACCGTGAAGGTCTGGTCGGTTATTCAGTACGGTTCGACCACAACGTTCCACGAGGAACGAAGGTCAAGTTCCTCACGGAAGGTATGCTCCTCCAAGAGCTTCTCCGTGACCCTCACCTACGACAGTACAGCGCTGTTATCGTGGACGAAATTCACGAAAGAAGCGTGGACGTCGACCTGCTTTCTGGCTTCCTCAAACAGATTATCTCCGGAGATAAGGCCGGCCGCGGGGGTATCCCATTGAAGGTTGTGGTGATGAGTGCCACCGCAAACTTGGAAAAAGTCCAGTCTTTCTTCACGGTTGAGAAGCCCACCGGGACTCTGAAGCCGGCTACCCTAGACATCCCAGGTCGCCTGTATCCTGTCGAGTTGATCCACACGCCAAAACCTGTTCCTGATATCCAGGACGCTCTGCTAAAGACCATTTTCAAGATTCATACAGAGCAGCCGTGTCCAGGTGATATCCTTGCCTTCCTCATCGGCCAGGAACAAATCGAGACTGCCCAGAAGATCATCGAGGACTACGCCAAAACCCTGGATCCGAAAGTCCCAAAACTCGTGCCAATCCCACTGTTCGGCCAGATGTCTATAGAAGCGCAACAGAAGGCTTTCCAACCCGTCAAGGGCAGGGTTGTCAGGAAGGTTGTTCTGGCCACCAACATCGCTGAAACATCAGTCACTGTGCCGGGCGTCCGCTACGTTGTCGACACTGGGAAGGCCAAAGTCAAACAGTTTCGTGCCCGCTTGGGGATGGAGTCACTCTTGGCAAAACCCATTTCAAAATCGTCTGCCATTCAACGAGCTGGCCGAGCCGGAAGAGAAGCTGCAGGAAAGTGCTTCAGGCTCTATACGGAAGAAGGTTTTGAGTCACTCAAAGACGCGGACTTGCCAGAAATCCTAAGAGTGGACGCTCTGGGTGCCGTCTTGACAATGAAATCCCGAGGCGTTACTGACATCTTCGAGTTCCCTCTCATGGATACACCTGACGATGAAGCGTTCGAGAAGGCTCTGCTTCATTTAAACATCTTAGGAGCCATTGGTGATGACGGATCGATCACCGAGATGGGCGAAAAGATGGCGTCTTTCCCTGTCACGGCTCCATACGGAAGGGTGCTCCTTGCGGCAGCAGACCCCAAGTACGACTGTCTGTTGGAAGCGATCGACATCATTGCCTGTCTCACCGCCGGAGAAGACATCTTTCACCAGCTACGCTCCGAGGAAGAACGAGAGCAAGTCGAGGAATACCGGAAGGAAGTTTATCGCAGAGAAGGCGATCTCCTCACTTACCTTACCACAATCCAGCAATACACAGCGGAGAACTCGGATCGAGCCGATTGGTGTAAGCGCAGGAAAGTCAATGTGAGGGTCATGCGGCAAGCTCTGAACATTCGGAAACAACTACGGGGTCTCTGCCTCAAGGAGAAGATGTTGTCCGAGGCGCCAGAGCCAGATCCTCAGCCTTTCAACCCCATGTCTCCAGATCGCGCTGAGTCCTTGTTGAAGTGTTTCTTGAAGGGGTTCTCCGTGAAAACAGCTATTCTCGCGCCAGATGCCAGCTACGTCACGACACAGGGCAAGCACGTGGTGGCGATACACCCATCCAGTGTCCTGCACGGACAGAAGAAGGAGGCCATCATGTTCCTTGAGCATGTGTTCACGACAAAGAATTACGCGAAGAAAGTGAGCGTCGTGCAGTCGAATTGGATCTTGGAGGCTTTAGAGCCATAGAGTTCTTCACAGGCACGTCACGAGAGATTCCAAGTAGTAGTTAATTAAACAAGCCGCTATTTAAGAATATGAAGATTAGCACCTGCAAGAACGGAGGGTACACCGGTACAGCAATTTGGAGCGTATCACCCATGCCTAATTGGCAAATCCACACCCAACACCCACACACCCACACACCTAACACCTATAGGTATGTGAATTAGGCATGGCTGTTGGCTGTGGTATTGGGTGTATGAACTCTCATGTGGTTTAGTGCTCGAGATGCACTGGTACGCCCTCCCTTTTTGCAGGTGCGAATCTCTGATTCCTATTTAATGCAACAGACGCTACAACGTGAAACCCTTGTGAGGTCGCACAACGCCAATAACGCGCCTTATTGCCATTGCAATATGTTCACCGCGGTCTCCTGCCCGGTATACTCTTTGACCGGGTTCAGCCGATAGAAGGGCAAGCCATCGACATCAACTTCCTTCATTTCATACCCGTAGACTATTTCCCCACGGTCCAGACGCTCCCGAATCATGGCCTCATCGGAAACAGGTTGCCATTCCCGCATCCACTGTGGGGCGGACTCTCCCAAAGCATACGCATCTTTGTTTGCCTGGATCGCCTTATTGCTGATTCTGGTCCTGACGTAGTCGGGAATTGTCCTCAGGTAGTACCGATACTGGACCAGGAGGTGGGCGCAGATCTGTGACTTCCTATGTTCGGTGCCCAACGCGTGCTTGTAGCCATTCAGGCAAACTTCGACGAACGTGACTGCCTTTTCGTACTCGGCCTTGGCGGCCGAGATTAATGCCAGATGCCACACACTGTCGAGAGTCTTGGGGTGAAAGAACCCAAGCAAATCGTCGTATTTGGTCATCGTTACGGCATATAGGTCCCCAGAATCATACAGCCGATTCTGCTTCAGGTACAACTTGGCCAGGGCAGACGTCGCGTCCATGTGTCCCAACGAGTACTCACCGTAGAGACTCTTGTTCCAATCACACACCTCCCATAGCAGCGTCGACGCCTCCCGGAATGCGCCTTGTCTTGTGAGCACTTTGGCCAGTTGCTCTTTCGCGTGGGTCGTTGAATGGTGGACAGGCCCTAGCTCAGCCACCGTGCTCTCGAGCTTTTCTTGTGCCTCTTGGATGGTCATGGACTGACTTTCGTCGACCTGTCGGTCAAAGCTGGTGTCTCGAGCCTGGCTGGCCCGCTGTCGCCAGCGGCGTGCCTCTGCGCTATCCATCCCATGCTCTGTCTCGCTCCACCTCATAAACTCCTCGTAAATATCCGCTGCTGCTGACATGATGTCCTTTTTGGCCAGCACCTCGGCTAATACCATTTTATCTTTTCGGAGATTCCGATCGTCAAAAGGATTATATTCGTCAAGCACAGTCTTCTGACGCACCTTTTCGTCCGCAGTGGTCACGTTTGCTTCCTTAAAAGCCTGCCATTTGCGCTCTTTCAGATAAAGTGTACGCCTGTCGATGACTTCCAAGAGCATCTCCTCTGCCTTGTCGTATTTCCCCTGTGTCTTGTACAAACGTGCGAGCTTTGACATAGCTGAGAACGGGCCACTATGAAGAGGGCCAAAATACGCCTTCCTGTACTCCAATGCCTTCAACATCATCGCCTCGGCGGCATCCAAGTTGGAACTCTGTTCGAAAACAGTCGCCGCTTTTCCAAGTATTCACTCTCAAGAGCAGAGTTTTCATGTTCGGCATTGACGTGCTTCAGGCAGGCTTCCATGTTAGGCAGTATATCGCGGCGGTATCGAGTGCCCTGGACACCATTTTCGAGCTTGATTGAGTCCATGACCAGGCTTTTGGCCGCAACACCCCAGTTGGATCGCTCGTCCCCGTCCATTCGGCTCCTGGCCCATTCGTGCACAAGGACATGCATATTGACGTAGTCGATTGAGATGTCAAATTTGATGAGCGAGAACTCGTTGAGGAAGCCGAGGCCTCCGACGACGTCGGCGCATAGCCAGTCTCTTCCGTCTGGATGCTCCGGTGTGATTTCCGTTTCACAAGTCCCGATAAGACTCTCAAGGTCGACTTCACCAGCCTTGAGCGGAAACTTTTCAGCCCTCCCGAGTTCACAACGGTTCAAAGCTGCCCGTTCGAAAACGATACCCATAACACCCTCATTGTGATAGAAAGAAATCAAGCTGAGGAGCTTGAGCGCATTCGAGGCGTCCTTGACCCTAGCCATGTCCTCTTTCTTGTCGGCGAAGGCCTTGATGGCTCTGTAAGAGATGTTGAACGTGGCATAGACAGCAATATGTCGTTGCTCATCGCCTCCCTTGAAACGCGGGCTGCGGAGCAGCACTTCCTTCTGTTCGTTGAAGACTGCCAGGTACTCATTCAGCGGACATGGAGCCATGTGTATATAGGCCCCAGCTTGATCGATAGCCAAAGGCAACAATCCCAACGCATTGACGATGGACCTTGCCAATTCCCGGTTTTCGGCTACGTCGGTGGCTTTCTGTGCGGATCTGAGGAGTAGCAGTATGCCTTCGGGAGCATCCATGGTATCGATGCTCGCCACGCAATCTGGCCGTAGGCGTGGCTGCAAATTATGCTGTCTGCTCGTGTAGAGGATGTTACCATGATCTCCGTCGGGCAAATACTTGGCGAGACTCGAGGGTGGGGCGTTATCGAACACCAGCAACCACTGTTCTTCTCTTTTCTGCAGCCAGAGAAGGACTTCCTGCACCGGGTCCTTTTTCTCCTCTGAACCGAATATGATCGTGGCTATCTGCTTGTAGCTTTGCTCCGTAGTGACGGCGTCGGTCGCATCCACCCATAAAATATGGAATCTTGCAGTGGTCAGCACTGTGACTAGTAAAGTAGGACGAGACGATATACTCACCTCTTTTCGTTTCTTTCCGTGAACTTCAAGGCGATCTGGGTCTTACCTACGCCGCCCATGCCACGGAGGTGGAATTCTCGCCTAGACGTATCACCAGGCTTACGAGGCCCAAAGTGTTTGTCGAGCCTATTCAGAATTGCTTCTCGGCCTGTGAATATGTTGCTAGATTTACCCCTGCGAATAGCTCTCGGCTCTGCTGGTATGGTGGTCTCTTTGCTCAGACTGCCTATGAAATCCATCAGTCAAGATCATCTTGACACGCCGCGGTGACATTGATGAGAAAAGTCCGTACTTACTGCCGTGAGCAAGGTTCAAGCCTGAGCTTTTGTTCTCCACTAGCACCTCAGCCAGGTCATCAATCGTCTTCTTCACGCTGGGATTTTGTAAATAGTCCCGCGTCCTTGCTTTCAGCTGTCCTATCTTCTGCCAGTCCGAGAGCTCGATGCCTTGAGCACCTCCGTCAACATTCAGACGGAAGTAAGTGTTTTCGAATTCCTCAAACTTGACCTGCCATCTCTGATGGTCCTTCTCCGAGTCCGTGCCGATCTCTTTCATCAACTTGATTGCGCTGATGAGGAACTTGGCCTTCTCCTTCAACTTTTCTCCCCCGGGCGCCATTTCGACTTTGCGAGACCCCGTGCCAAGGCTGACCACGCAGCCGAGCCTGCGTTTTCTGCCGAACAGATTGACAGCCTCGTCCCACAGTATCGAAATTGGATTGTTAGTCCCCAGGGCGGCATCCACGAGCTTCTCCTCCTTGCCCTCCTCGTCCTTGATGGTCATGGGTTTGAAGTACGTGGTCGCTGCTGTGGTCGCCCGGGCCGCTTCGTATATGAGACAGTTTGGATACTTGTCCCCTTCGACATCATAAGTCCTTAGGCAGACCATCTCCTTGTGTCGTTGAGCGGGCATGGTGCAGACGAAGGCATGGCCCTTTTCTTGGCCTGGGCGCCGGCTCCGCATGACACTGCCTTTCTCCTGGGCGCGGACGAGCTTCTTCACGGTCTCTTCGAGAGCCTTCGCCTTGTACTTCTCCGTGAGGCTCCTCCGCCTCTTGGAGAAGATCTCGCTCGCGAAATTGTCGTACGCCTCCAGCGCTTCTTGGGTGCCCATACACAAACGGCCGAGCATGATGGCCACGAGGCTGCGGTCATCTCATATGTCAACTTGCCGGTGATATTGGAAAGGGTGGGAGTTGACTGACCCTCCGGTGCTCGTGCCCCCAACAAGGTGGAAGTAATCGCATGGCTTTGGAAGGCTTGTAAGGTTTCCCTTCTGCTGCACCCTCTTCATTACCTCATCGAGTATGACAAGCTCAGAGACTCCCCTGATGCCGCCGCCATCCAGTGCCAGCAGGTTAACGGGTGCATTCTCACTCGAGGCTGACATTGCCAACTATGCAAAAAGAATAGTGGTACTACTTCATGACCGAAATGAGACTCAAACGACATCACAGAAATCGATCATAAGCTTGAGAAGACATAGCAGCAACACCTACAGGAGTGAGGTCAAGACGGGGTCGCCTGCGACACTTTATGGCCGGAGGGCTGGTTTGGAAGGGCCCAGCGACGCGGTTGCTCCACTGCAACGTAAATTTGCAGCCTCCATTGGTTGTGGGCCCGGTCGTGCATGTTGGGCTGCCTCGAAGGCCTATCGCATGCAGCATCCCGAGCCTGTTGGCTGCGGCCCGGATGCGGCACAGCTCGACACAAGATTCCGGGCGAATGGGCTGCCCCTGCTCGCTGGAGAGACCCATGCCACGCTGGCGCAGACATGTGCGACACTGCCACAGCATGTTCAATAACTTTACGTTTGCTCCAGGGAGTTGTGAGACGACATGATGAGCCGGGCGGACAGAGGCGTGGCATTGTGAAGTGGGAAACTCGGAAGACAAGAGACGGGGAATCGGTCAGTGTGACGCAGTCAGTCGTAAGATACTTCTAGGAGGCGGTGTAAACTACGCGAAAACTACGCCCCACCCGCCGCCTGTGGGGTTAGGCACACAGGGTCGCGCGCTTAACCTGGCGCAAACATACGCACGGTCTATGACCGGTCCAGCGTCATGCTGGGTACCGCTTAATGATCCACCAGTTCCTCGGACCGTACATTGAGGATACCCACTCTGCGATGGCTTCGACTCAGCATCACCTTCACTCCTAGCACCAACGAGATTATTCAATAAGTGATCTCTGAGCTAGTTATACCATTCTCACTTCCTGGGGCCCTGGTTGAAACAAGAGAGAACTCGATCCTATCTCTCAGCAGGGCCATCGGCGCCAATCCTCACACACATCCCCAAAAAGCCATGAACTCATCAAGGCGCCTCCTGGCCTCAGCAACCTCCGCCCGCGGCGGCAACGGCCTCCGGCCCGAGCCCCTCGCCCTGCTGCCGCCAATACCGCTGTACCGGCGGCTGTTCCGCGCCCACCGCAAGCACCTGCCGCAGCAGATGCGCGTGCTGGGCGACGAGTACATCAAGCACGAGTTCAGGGCCCACCGCAACGTCGACAACCCTGCACATCTGGTAAGTTCAGGGCAATGCTCTCGATGAAGTATCCCGATCAGCTTGCTGACATGAGCTGCTCAGATTGGATTTTTGACCGAGTGGCAGCTTTATGCCCAGAAGATAGAGGGCGACGCCTGGGTCGGTGAGAAGTTGGACCCGGGAAAGGTCGAGAAGATGAGCAGTTCGTTGATCCCAGTTCTTCATGCACCCCGAAATTTGACCCTGTGCTGACCTGGTAATTGTAGATCAACAAGTAGGGCAGCTCTACGAGCTGATGCAGGCGATAAAGAAACGCCGCGAGGAAGGGGACCCAGGGGATTCGACTCCATGATGTGAGACGACAGGCTATGTACGGCATGTTGTGTCAAGTATCAAGTGACACCAACGGACACCTACGAGTTCTTTGACCCACACGCAGTATTGATGTGAGGATGGCGGAAATTTTGTGGCGATATATACGTCCGCACACTGGCATTGCTCAAGGATGAAATGCCTATAGCCTTGCCTACACATATTAATAGAATAACAGACCACCCCTCGAGGCCATACAGGTCGATGGCGAAGAACACAACGCAGCCGCAGCTTCCCAACGCCGACATCAAAGAGACCTCGTCCATAACAAAAAGACAGAACCTCCCTTAAATGACTGCCGACTCGTCCAGATACCAAGTGGAGTCAAACGCCTGATCCAGCTCTCGCACCGAGAATCCGTTCCCCAGGTACGCGAAGCGGTTCTGCTTCCCCTTCCCGCTGCCAGCCTCGCAGTCGTATACGTACTCGAAGTCCTCGCCTCGGAGGGTCTCCAGCATGTGAAAGAAGTGCACCCGGCTACCCGGGTGCAACGCGACGACTGGACCGTCCTCCTTGCCCGCCTTGAACCACGACCTCCCAGGGGCACCCCACGCCGTGCGCGGCATGAAGTGTTTGATGTGCTCGTTGAAGTCGTCCACGGCGTCCTGGGTCGGCGCTATGGCACGGATGCGTTCCGTTTGGCACTTCTTCAGGACGCGCACGATATACTTGGCGATGTGCTCGCTCAGTGTGAAGACGGAGCCGTGGCCGATGGGGGCGTTCGGGCCGAGGAATGCTATGATGACAAGGTGGTCAGCGGCCTGCAGACGGTGATCGGTTCAGCAATCGTTGGAGAGTGTGGAGGCTTACTGAAGTAATTTGGCATCCCAGCCACGGCGCACGACATGTAGGCCGTGGGCGTGTCCTCGCTCCATCTGTCCTGGAGGTTGCCCTCACGGCCGACCAAGGGGAACCGCGGCCGGAAGGAGATGTCGAAGCCGGTGGCGCAGATTATTGCGTCGACCTTCAGGACTTCTCCGGAGGCCATCTCGATGCCGTCGGCCACGAATCTCCTGATGTCGCCCTTCACGACCTCCACGTTGTCTTTTCGGAGTGCCTCTAGGTATCCGGGTGCAGGTGTCATTCTTCTCGTGCCGAGGGGAAAGTTGGGTATCAGCGCCTGGCACAGCTTCTCGTCGCCCCCAAGCATCATGGTCATATACTCTCTGATTTTGGCGCTAGCGAATGCTTGTATGGGGCCATCTCTGACCATCTATAAGACAGCGGCACAGTCAGCATGCTTAATTCTACTACCTGGCAGCGTGCATGTCTTACCAGTCTGAAGTTTCCGCTGGTATCTTTCTCGATACTTTTCACGAAGCGCCTGTAGAACTTTGGATCATCCTCGAATTTCCGGATCTGCTCGGGAGTGAAGTTCTCTTTCTCGTCGAGGCTTATCTCCTTCAGGATCTGGCCACCTCCCATCATCGCTTGCCCCTGTCGCCATGGTGGTGGAATCCAGGTTGGCGTACGGACGATGTGGTACAGCTTCTTGACATCTATGCCCATCGTCAGAAAGCGCTGTCCCGAGCGGCCGCGACCTATCAACTAACCTGGCTCGATTGCTGGTAGCAATTGGATTCCGGATGCACCATTACCTATCAGCGCGACATTCTTGTTGGTAAGGTCATACCCTTCTGGCCATGAGGCAGTGTGTACCAAGTCTCCTTTGAAGTCGTGGAGTCCCTCAACGTCGGGCCACTTCCAGTTGCTGTTTGATGTCAGCACTTGCACAGTCACCCAGTGAATACCCAGAGTTGGTTGTCTTGCTCACTTCAGTATCCCTGACGCATTGATCAGGAAGTTTGCCTCATCATCGAACTCGACTCCCGTCTGAAGGTCTTGGACCTTCAAACGCCAAACACTCGTGGCCTCATCCCACAACGCAGCGGTGACTTGGTGTTGTAATTTGATCAAGGGCATCATGCTTTCTTCCTTGCATACCTGGCACAGGTAGTCATTGATTTCCCTGGCTGGGGCGAAGAAATTGCTCCACTCCTTGTTCGGCCGCCACGAGTACTGGTAGCAGTGACTGGGGATGTCACATCGACAGCCAGGGTAGCGGTTCTCGAGCCAGGTACCGCCCACTTGCTCGTTCTTCTCGTATATCTGGGCGTCATAGTCGGTAAGGTTGAGTCGGAGAGTACGAAGAAGGTTGATGCCGCTGACACCAGCGCCGACACAAACGATGCGGATGGGTTTCGGGGTGCCCAGGGGCTGATCGATGACGGTGTAGACCGGATGCACCCCGTTACCGTTAGTGTGTGCGTGGCCGTTCATCGTCGACTTGTCAAGATGTCCTGATGTTTGGTGTAAACGTGCAAAAAGTAGCTCCTCGCGCAACTTTGGATAGATGTAAAACTGTCTTCCCAGGCACTCTGGGCACCGGTGTTGACCGAGGAGTCAAGTATTTATCGAGGTGCCAAACGCCCAGGATCGATTGCAGAAATGGAACCGCTTTTATCGACGCATGGTCCCAGCAGTGGTTAACAAACAGTGTCTTCACCTCGGCCACACTCGAGGCCCTTTGGGTTTCGATCGTCCACAGTCACCACCCAATGATACATGGGATGGCCGGCAAGATGGGCAAATTGAACGCCCCGAAAGAGCGAGAGACATGAAGGGCATCAGGATATCGAGGACTTCATCGCTCCTGCCTCACACGGCAAATCCTAACTCCGCACGTCGCTTGACACGCACGAGTGGAGTCCCCGTATACTTCCAAAGTGCGAAGTTTGCGGCCTGCAAGGCTAAGGATCGGTCCCTGCCAACTGGCCACGCAATGGAACATAAGAAAGAGGGAACCGAGCTCTGTTGGCTGGTTTACGGAGGGCAGATAGATGGCCATCGACCATCAGTCCCCGCCGAGCCCGATCAGGTGGTCTCCCCAGCACGTCTCCATCCTGAGGCCCGGGATATGTCCCGTAGATCATGCAGCCTGGCCGACGGCGTCGATCAGGCTCCGGGAAAGTCCATGAAGAAAACGAGTCGAGAGGCGTTGTAGGCCTTAGGCTCACAGGGTTCACCAGCAGAAGGAAGCCGTTCCCTTGGACTAGTTCATGCGGCCGGACGGTGGGATGGAGGATGCCCAAGGGCGAACTTGAGCGGCATGGCTGTTGGTAGATAGAGGCTGTCGAACCGGGAAACCGGTAGAGAACGCCTCAGTTCCCATAGCACGGTAGTCCGTACCAACAAATCACAAACGCCATGCAGTCGCCAGGGTGTACCCGCTGATTGTGGGTGCAACGAGCGATCTAAGAGGCAGATGCTTGAGTGGATGTTTGGGCGTGGGAAAGTCCCGCCTGGGCGGAAGCGACATCGATCGTAAATTGTCCTATCACAAGGCTCAGCCTCTTCCGACCTGGCCGTGGCGGCGGTGAACAGCGAATGGGACAGGGAGGGGGCCACAACTCAGAACGGGCCAGGATGAACGAGTGACAGAGCTTCCAGACTGTGTGGGTTTCACCGAGAGCCCGGCTTCTGGCCTCCGGCGATACGGCTTATGTTGCGGTATCTAGGTCGGTTGTGAGGGCGATGGGGGCCGTTTTTTCTGAGCTGTCGCGGCTGGGCTGTCATGTGGTCTGCCCGGACTTCCAGCTGCAGCTCTTGGGCGGGGGCAGAGCAATGCGATGCGAGGCGATGCGAGGGGCATGAGGAGGGACCGCCGCGTGTCTTGGTCGACCAGCCACAGGCAGCCACTCCCTTCGCATGTGCATGGTTGGGCATTCCGACTGACATGTCTGCATGTTCAGCTGCAGTGTCTCATCGCGACAAGCTGAAGGAAGGAGGCGCACGAGGTGCAATGAGGTGCATGAGGCGGCCTGGAGGCGGCCTGGAGGCACACATTGGGTGCGATGAGCGTAAGCGGCGCTCGCATTCAGAACCCTGGAACGAGTGCAGTTGAACTTGACCAATTGGAACCAATTGGTGCCCCTGTTCCTCTTGCATGCGATGGCGATGCCATGCCTCGATGCGACTTGTCAACGGCTCTTGACCATAGCCCCGGACCGCCTGTGAAGCGTTCGGCTCCGGGCAGCTGGAGCTTGGGGGACCAGGGGATCCACTACGGAGTGAGTGCTTGGGTGCGCCGGGGTTCTTTTCCCACCCGTAAAAAACGGCCTCAGGTTTTTTTCACACCTGGTATCAACCGCGAGGCGCATGAGTTTCCAGGCTTGCTTGAACGCCACATGTGAAAGCCGCGTATCATATCCAGGATTCGAGACTCCACCACTCATCGCCCATGTCTTTCTCCTTCTCCTTCTCCGGTGATGACATAGATGAGGACGTTTCTGCGCCGCAGAACGTTCCTTCAGTGCCAGCACCGGCTGTCTCAACCTCTAGCGCGTTCCCGGTACAGGGAAAACCTCAGCTGCCTCCAGTACACCATGACCTGGGTCAGATGCTGGCGAAGTTGCCGTCCAAGATAGCATACGGCCTTTTGGATGTGGACTTGGACGGCAAGGGGTCGATACAGATCCCACGGAGAGAGCTTTGGGATGTCAGGGTTCAGCTGATGGCCGAGGAGGACGGAGAAGGCGACGAGCTGGAGCCAGGTCTGGGAGCCCACGATGTCAAGACCGGCATCTACGAGGGAGGATTCAAGAGCTGGGAGAGCAGCGTTGATCTTGTCAAGGTGCTTGCGGCCAAGGACGTTCCCGGGTCCCTGGCTTCGGCACCTTTCCATATCATCGAGGTGAGTGGGCAAAATGGAACTGTCTTCGTAGCGTCCGCCAATCGAGAGGCTCACTGACTTTTGCCTCCTCCATCGACAGCTGGGATGCGGCACTGCGTTACCATCTCTCGCCCTCTTCCAGTGGGCCTTGCTGAGCAGGGCTCAGACAACCAAGGGGTCGCAGGAGGATCAGACCCCCCTGATTCTCACACTTGCCGACTACAACCCCAGCGTCCTACAGCTGGTCACGATGCCCAACCTACTCCTCGCGTGGGCTCTACACCAGCGGCACTACAACCAGCTCATTGAGGACGCCATGTCATCCACTGAGGGTGAGCTGGAGATTACGGAACAGGTCATCGACTCTTTCAAGAGCTCCCTCACTTCGTCTGGCATCGATGTATCATTCATCTCGGGTGGCTGGTCGCCCGAGCTCGTCGAGTTGGTCTATAGCAACTCTGCGTCTCTGTCGAGCGGCGCAGATGCTGTCGGCGCTACCCAGACTCTGATCATGGGCGCAGAGACTATCTATTCTCCCTTTGCCCTGAGTTCTTTCACGGACACATTGCTCTCGGTTCTGCGTAGAGAGCGTGAAGTTGGGTCAAGTCGCCGGGCTACAGCCATCATTGCGGCAAAGAGACTATACTTTGGGGTCGGCGGTTCTCTCGACGATTTCGTGGACAAAATGCGCGACCTCGGAGCTGTCATCAGCATGGTGAGAGAAGAGACCGAAGGGGTGAGACGAGGTGTCGTCGAGTGCGCTCTGCCTTGAAGCACGGTGTAGAGCTGTCACACGGTGTGCAGACATGCTGGGCGGCGAACGATCCAGTCAAGCATACGTGAGAAAGGCTCCAAGAGCCTGAGGAGGCCTGGTCTCTTCGTTGACAGAGGAACTCCGACTCATCAATAACAACAAGGCCCCTCCTGGTCAGACTCGAATTAGGTGGAGAGGCGGTGATTGCTCGCTGTTGAGCGGGTGCTTCACCTCGGCGGCAGCGCGCGTCTAAGGGCAATTTGCGCATAGGGCGCGGAAGCCGCCTTACTGTTAGCGATTCAGAAAGCGACTCGTCCATTTCGGCCGGCAGAGAACGCGAGCGAGTCCTGTACCATCAAGAGTCCGCCGCATACTCCCTACCATGTCCGCTATTACCCGGCCTCATCCTTGAAGCATACCCGTACCGCTAAGTAGCATCCGCGATACGGGCCATTGCGGGGCGCGGCATTAACCCTTCACTCAACAAAATCGTCTCCGAAGAGTTCTGTATGAAGGTTGCCGAGGGACGGTGTGCTCGTTGCCCTACAGATGGCGAGTCGTGCGCTAGTGACTTCCACGGTGTGGAATGCACGATCGTTCGACCATCGGCTACCGGGCTGGGGGTAGCCTCCGTTCGGGAGGCCCGGCCGTTGATGAGCGACGAGGGCAATGCCGGCATGGGCTGTACAAGATGAAGCAAAATCGATTTCCAGAGACCAAAACCAAGCCAGACGCCACCGTCGTAACATTCACCTAGCGAGTACCAATAACAGTAAGATGGTGGTCACATTTCGGTGATCTAAAATACCACCATGCAATATTTTTGCCTGGCGATCTCGGTTTGCAGATCAAGATTCTGATGAAGAAGGGTGAGCGGCGGCGTGTTGCCACGCCACCGCCAAGGGTACATGCTGCAGGGACGGCGTCCTCTACGATGCAGGTACAAGCTCCATATCCCTGATGGGGACCGAGATAATTGGGTCATGCAAAGCTTGGCGGTCTGACACCCTTCTGGGGGCCCGGAAATTTGGGCACGGCTAGGCGTCGGGCCAACTTACCGCAAATGATGGCCTCGACCAGTTTGACTTTTTCCCGGTTTTAAGCTCGCGAATTGCCAACCCTGTCGACTTGGGGGCCTGTCAAAGCCGGCGGCGAACCATAACGACTGATGGGGGTGCCTAGTTCGTCATTAGGGGCTGAGCACAAGGCGTAGGAAAGTGTGACAGGACCAGTCTTGTGTGAGGATGATGGATTGACAAGACAATGTGACAGGAGATGCTGTGTTCTTCTTTTTCTCCATCTGTGCGATGCGAGTATAGTGTAGTATGTGTGACAAGGACAATCAGCTAATGAGTGGGCCGTGAGCAGAGGCGATGGAGCGGCGTGCAGAGACCCACAGGACACAGACATTGCCAGCTCTCCGCGATCAAGGAGGGCGCGGCGCTACGACTTGCCACTGATACGCGATTGATGAGCGAGATGAGCACCAGTGGGAGAGGCTGGGGAAGAAGCAGCGCCTCGTGATTGGCATGGGGTGACGATGCGGGCTGCGACAATGACGAGCCGACGAATTCCTCGGGCGCCGCGACGCACACAAATCTCAGGAGGGATGGAGATGGTACGGAGTACGCCGTATACCTGCCGCGGCATGGGCCAAAAAGGACTGTTCTCGGCACGTCAAAACCTCATGTTGGGAGGCAAGCGCGAGCACACAGCCTCACGGGACGGCCTGGACTGTAGTGCGCAATAGTGCGAGTGTGCCACGCAGTCGAGACAGGAGAGAGGCGCAGCCATGAACGATCTAGCTGCCGTGTGCTTGCAATACGGGGTAGATGGGCGGGCAGCAAGGAGCTGGGCACATGGATGGAATGGACGAGACTGCAAATGAGAATCGATTGCAATGCGTGAAGACGAGCCCAATGAGGCCGAGGACTGGTAGCCTGGGGGGACAACTGGTGCTTTTCCCCCTGAGTCCGCGCTGGCCATCAGGCTGGCGAGGATCCTTGCCCCGGTGCCCTCTTGACCAAGCTCGGCATGGCCTTGACCTGGGCGGCCCTGTCATCCCTGTCAACCCCAGAAGAACCGTGTGTGCCATCGCGCTGGGATCATCTCGCTCATTTTAAGCTAAAGTGGGTCGGAGGCCTGGAGGCGCAATGATTGGGCAGCCCCCTGCAGGAATGAGTCGCATTGTGCTGGTGCCCCGAACGATTCCCACGGTCCACGAGGTTCCTTCTGCGCTTCCGCCTCGACCGGCTCATTTCCTGTCGTCAAGGCTTGCAGCACCGCGCCTGGGCACAGAGCGAAGGCATAAGACTATTTGACTGCCTGCCTCTGCCTGCTCTGCCTCGCTTTCTTTTTTCCCCTCTCCTACCTCCATCCGTACCATATCGTATCGGCGCACACTCGTTGTCACTCTTTCCAACGTGGACTACTGTCTTAATACTCTAATCCGCCACTAATAATACCTCGTAAGTTCCATACCCTTGAACAACGCGGTCGCCCGTCATTCCTCCTCGATTGTTGCGTCGGCCGTGATTCAGTCTCGACCCAAGACAAAACACTCGGGAGCCCTTGGCGTGCCTATTTTTATTTGAGGCGTTGTGCAAACCTTATCTCGAGCCGTCCCTTCCGACTAACACATAACTGTGAAGGTTCTCGACTGTCTTTTTCATCCCCCAACTTTCACCGGTTTCCAAAACAACAAGCCTCAACCTCTCCAACCGCCAAAATGAAGTTCACTGCTGGTTTCATCGCCGTCGTCACGGCTGCCGCTCCCGCCTGGGCCATCCAGCTCACCAACAGCGCCTACGCTGTTGAGGCTGGCAAGCCCTTCACCCTGACCTGGTCCGACTCTGAGGGCCCCGTCACCGTCACCCTCAAGAACGGCGCGAGCACCGACCTCAAGGACGTCGAGGTTCTCGCCTCCGGCCTGACCACCGACTCGTTCACGTGGAACCCCCCTTCGTCGCTGCCCAGCGACACCTACGCGTTCGAGGTCGCCGACTCGAGCTCCAACTCGCCCAACTACAGCCCTCAGTTCACCTTCGCCGGTAGCGCCGCCAGCGCTTCCGTCTCTAGCGCTGCCTCCAGCTCTGTCGCCTCCACCAGCAGCGCGTCTGTGTCCACCACTCTCTCGTCGCTGACCATCACCTCTTCGTCCGCCTCGGCCACTGCCAGCGCCAACTCCAGCGCCACCATTACCAGCACCAACAGCGGCAACTCCACTACCACTTCCTCCTCCTCTTCCTCCACCCGCACGTCCACCAGGACCTCTGCCACCTCCGAGTCCTCGTCTACCTCCTCTTCTACTCCTGGTAAGCCTCGACTTCTCAATTACAACACCTCGTTGCTCATTACTAACGCGTCACGTAGTCAACACCAACGACAGCCAGAAGCTGGGCTCCCCTCTGGCCCTCATCCTGGGCACCATTGTCTCCCTGATGATCTTCAACTAGGAGAACAATGTCATTGTCACAGTCGTCAGACAGATAGACAGACCGAGCTGCTGAAAACTTTTTCTTTCCATTTCGGTAGTGGTACATAATAGGGTTGGACGGAGGGTACATGTGGTTTTAATACGTCGTTCACGTTGTGCATCATGACCTTTGGAACGGCTTCTTGGCCGATGACGGTACGATACCTTGCGGTGAATTGACTAGAGATGAAAATCAAGATCAAAAACTCAATACAACGGGTTATTTTACCCATATCACGAACACTTACCTCCTCTGCTCACATATGATGACGCGGGTGAATGACATTTGCCTGCACAATTGGTTTCTACATCATCTACAGCTTGCCTTCCTGTCTATCGTCACCCTGTCACGGCACACAACAGGACACAACCTTGGAGCTTGCATCTGCAGCCTCCCGTTCCCGGAGCCGCTTGCTCCAGGTTTCGAGGCCGCCAAACCTGCAACGGAGTGGCCCGGCCGGCTGCAGGCGCACCCTACATGCAGTAGTTTGAACGTTGGACGAGGCGAACCGGATCCCGCGTTTCGTTATTTGTTCCGTCTGATGTTCGCACCAAGTGACGACACAGACCTGCGCTGACAGGTCGCCAGGCCGCCAATTCAGGCCCTGGCCTGAGGGGAGACAAAACAAAACAAAAAAGAGGGCCGCGAGGGGGATCGGCAGCCCGCTGGCCGCTGGCTGTGTGGGCCCCACAGCATCTGCCGTGATTGATTGATGAGATAGATGGAGACTTTATCGAACCCTCTCTTTCAACCCCCCTTCCAGCCCCTCGTTTGCAGGCGTGACCGTCTGTTCGCAGCGGTGATCGGAACGTCGCCGTTGATCTCCGTCCCTGTGATTGGGATCGGCCGCGTTTACTTGTTGCTTGCGTATCGGCAGGGCCTTCCTTTTTCCCTCGTGGATTCGGCAACTTGCGAGGGCTCCAGATCTCGGCAGATGCCGCGCTTGTCGCTCGCCGTCGGAATCTCCGGCGTGAAGGGCGAGCGGTATCGCTTTCGGGTGATGCATCTAGAAGACTGGCACGGGGAAGCTAGGTGGTCTTTATGCTCACAAAGGTTTGGGAGTATTATTAGAGCTACCATGTATCTTTTCTTTGTGTGATTGTCTTTTTTTAACGCCATTGCCTTAAGTTGCCTTGCCGTCTGAATATGGTAGTCTATGTATCTGCCTTTATTGTACAACCAACATTTGTCTTCTGACCAGCTACTGCAGAGCCATGTAGGCAAGCCTTGCGTTCCCCAACGCGTGCTCGCGTATTGCGTTTTGCTGATGATTGACGATGTCAAGTCTATGTGTCGATCGACCCCCGAGCTGTTGTGACTTCTATGCCGGTCGACCGCATTCACATGCTTCACGGCCACTCCGTGGACCCCTTTTTGGCACGATGCCTTACAGCTTGGCCTTGACTGGGGCGTCATCGGGCGTGGTCTCCGAAACCACGACGGCGACAACGCAAATGTCATCCACCTTGCCACCCCTCCAGGTCTCCATGGGGTAATACTTCTTGACCTCCTTCGCAAACGGCCCGTCCAGCTTGGTGTTGACGCTCGCCGCCTTGGCGGCCCCCGTGATCGACGTCGCTATCAAGCTCTGGAGGCTCACTGCCTTTCCGTCCCCGTCCCCGCTCGACGTCGTGTTCGTGTAGGACGACAGGTCCGGCCTGACCCTGATTCCCCCGGCGTCGCTGTGAACCCAGGCACCACTGCCCTCCATGGCCGCGCTCACGATGCGCAGTATATCCTGGTTGAACAAATTGTCCCACACACCGTCGGTCGCGAAGACGAGTACATCGCCGTGGCGAAGGCTGAGCCGTGAGACCTCGGCGTCACTGGGCATGTCTGCGAGCTGCGATCCCCCGAACGCCGACATCCGCCGCAGGATCCATGGTGGTATTATGGACAGCTGAAAAGGCGTGTTGAACGCATGTGTCTGTGGTTCCGAGGAGCCGTGGACAGCGTTGAGTCGTAGATGTATATACCCGCTGTCTCCGAGGTTCGCGACCTCGAGGGTTCCGCTGGGCTCGAGAAGCCCAACGATGGCAGTCGACCCGCCGGCTGTGACCGAAGGGTCGGAGCAGATGGCCTCATAGCCTGTCTGCATAAGAGAGCGGGCAGAAAGCGTTTGTGATTTGGAATCGCTACCTGGAGCGTGAGAGTATGCTGCCTCGGCCATGTAGTCGCAGAAACCGTGGGAAAAGTCCGCCGGATCGACACCCGAGTCCATCCACCCGCCAACCCCATCTGCCACGCCGAGGGCGACGCCGCCGGTCCCGTTCAAGCGCGTGACGAAGAAGGCATCCTGGCCGCTGTCGGGGCGGGTGCGCTTGGTGTGCTTTCGAGGAGGTTGGACCCGATTGTAAGGGTTAAAGTGGAATACGTGGGTCGAGGGGTCGTACGGTCGATCTTTCGCAATGTAGGATGCGGCAACGTTGTACGTGAACTGTTTTGTCGGCTGCTGCGAGCCCAGCACCGGTGTCGTGGAGAGCTTCCTATGTGTCGATGGCATTCGAGACGGTGGCCTGACGTTGTTCGAGAGCCTCGGTGCCCTGGAGGAGCGAACAACTGCTGCGAATAGGCTGATATTGAGCACGATGCAGGGCGATATTGGGGGGGTCGCATACAGGGCGCTTACACTGCAGGTGTGGTCGAATTGACTGCGCGAACCTGGTCGTACAGCTGGGTGTTGCCATTGCGCCTTGGCGGCTGGCAGGAGACTGGACGACACTGGCAAGGGGAGGCACTCTCGATTGCGCAAGGCCCGGTGGGGCTTGCTTTACTTTCAGATCGTGTTGGCAGACCGCTCAACAAACACCATCATCGACACGAGTCCTTGAGGATGCCGGAGCGGGCGGCAGACGGGCTGACAGAGAGGATTGGGGGCGGGCGAGCAAGCGAGCCGACTACAAATGTCCGCAGCCGCTGGTTGTCCGTCACGGAAATCATCAATCTAAGAGTCTCACTCCGGACAACCAGCATAGAGTCGGGGATAGAGAGCTCCATAATTAGCACCTAGGCATTATGTCATTAGCCCTCCAGCAGCCACGGCCACCGCGCATCTACCTAGGTATCGCTACGCCGCCGCTATCCAGCCAATCGCTGCTGAACCGTTTTGACCCGGTGAGGCCCGTTTTTCTGAGTCGAAGCAGATGTGCTGTGTTGTTTTGCGGCATGTCGTGGAACAGCCACCCGCTGTTTGCATCCCTGCTTGGTTTGCAGCAGTCTTTGTTGCGCAGGTGGAAGGACAAGGTTCAGAAGACCCGAGGCCTAGCTGTTCCTGAAGAAATCAGAGATTCGCCCTGCAAAAACGGAGGGTACACCGGTACATCGCCAGCACTAAACCACGTGAGAATTCACACGCCCAACACCTACACCCAATACCTACACCCAATTCTGACGCCCAACACCCAATTTGTATACCCAATTAGTACATTTGATTAGATTTAGGTACATAGACTTACTCTGCACATTGGGTGTGTTAATTGAGTGTATGGGTGTTGGGTGTTGGGTGTAGGTATTGGGAATTAGGCCTGGGTGATGCGTTCTAACTTGTAGTTATGGCGCGAGTGATGCACACTACGTTTTTGCAGGTGCGAATCTCCGTATTCTTCCTGAAAGTTATGTGCATCGCCCAATCGATCAATATCAAAGAACAAGTGACTGTAGCAGAGAGCGGAAGGCCGCTAGGCTATGCCGAGGGATTTCGATTTCGTCCGTTGCAGGCGAAACGGGACGGGCTTGCTCCCGGCACGTGATATCCCGGAGAACGGTTGCAAACTTACCAACGAGCGTCTTGTGATTGGCTGGTCGGTAATTTCGGCTACTTCAGAGAGAGAGAGAGAGAAGGCTCCGTGCATGTCGATGACCTCTACAACTTTGGACCATCGCCACAGACGCCCAGACTGCCAAACCGAGTAGGAGGCTTAATCTTGTTGTTTCAGGTCGTGTTTAATCGCTTTTGAGACATTTTCTTCTCTCTATCCACTCAAACGTTATTCTTTTCTCATGAACTGATCAACGCCACGACTTTCACGATCGCGACCCCTTGGCCCGCACCCGTCCACACAAGATGGCAGCTCTCCGCTCCACCTCGACCCGATTCCTGGGTGCTGCCACAAGGCCAATGCTCCGGCCGGCGACGACCCTGCTTGCATCGCGATCCATGGCAAGCGTCTCCGAACCCAAGGCCAAAGTGGAAGAGTCCAACGCGCACGCCTCGCCCGCCGCCGAGGAGTCGCGCCTGAAGAGCTTCCAAATTTACCGATGGAACCCAGACAAGCCGACAGAGAAGCCCCGGATGCAGACGTACACATTGGACTTAAACAAGACCGGGCCCATGGTTCTCGATGCACTGGTGCGAATTAAGAACGAGCTAGACCCAACCTTGACCTTCCGCAGGAGTTGCAGAGAGGGTATCTGTGGTAGCTGCGCGATGAACATCAACGGCATGAACACCTTGGCTTGCCTGTGTAAGTAAACACCAGGAGCTGCCTGCGGTCAAGAGCTCTGTTGTACGAGAAGCTAATTTTGTCTATTAGGTCGAATCCCTGCCGACTCAAACAAGGACATGAAGATCTACCCCTTGCCACATACCTACGTCGTCAAGGACCTGGTACCTGATTTGACGCACTTCTACAAGCAATACAAGTCCATCAAGCCGTATCTGCAGAGGGAAACGCCAGCACCAGATGTAAGATTAGATCCTTCGCAATATGTTTAGACTCTACTGACATCTCCACAGGGCAAGGAATACCGCCAGAGTAAGGAGGACCGGAGGAAGCTTGACGGTCTTTACGAGTGCATTCTCTGCGCCTGCTGCTCAACATCGTGCCCGTCGTACTGGTGGAACTCAGAGGAGTATCTTGGACCCGCAATTCTGCTCCAGTCCTACCGGTGGTTGATCGATTCTCGAGATGAGAAGAAGGCCGAGAGAAAGGATGCCCTCGATAACTCAATGAGCCTGTACCGTTGCCACACCATTCTCAACTGCACACGGACTTGCCCCAAGGGTCTGAACCCTGGCCTGGCCATTGCGGAGATCAAGAAGGAGATGGCTGTATAAGGGAAAGAGGAGAAGGACACACCCGGAGAAAATGGGTTTCTTGTTTCGTTGGTCAATTGGAGGCAGCGATGTGTGAGGATTGAATTGTACATTGGGATTATTCGTATGCCTTCGCGCATGGAATCGGAGTTTACGCTGTGAGAGTATCGACGAATCGAATTTCAGACTTCAGCCGGCCTGTTCCTGCAGCGTGCAACTTCATCTACGACCAGTGCTTGCCATCAAGGCTGGCTCGTTCTTGCCGAATTCTCACAAAAGCAGGGCGAACCGAGGATGGTTACAGCCCGGGAAGGAGTGCCTGCTGGATATCAGCCAACGAATGGACTGGCTCCGACAATCTGCAGGATTGGGCTTGCCGTTGATGGACAGTAATCGTGGTCTGCAGACTGCGGTTGCGGTTTCCTGAGAGCGGTGTTATGTCCTCCCCAACGCCCACTTGTCTAGATCTCTCTTCCGTCAGAGCTGATGAACACGCAGGCTTCTCTCCTTAACACCTCTCCATTGTTTACTGCTCTCGTTGCTCAACCTCGCTCCATCACGCAAATAATTCGAGGTCTTGTGATCTATCAGCATCCTCACCAGTACCAGTACACTTGCACGGATCTTAATCATGGCGACCAAGTCCTTCTTGCTGTCATGCCTTCTCGTGGGATTGGGCATCGCCCAACATCCCATCTTGGAGGGAACTCAGACTCAAGACACCCCAACCTTCACTGTCCCTGCGGGTTTCGCGACCAGTACTCCTCCTGGCTTTCGTCCATGCAAGTTAACGCCAGAGGATCTCGCCAAATTGGTTGAGCTTCGTCTTCGCGTCGCAAACATGTCAGAGGAAGACGAGAAGAAATGCACACCTCGCCCTATTGTCCCGCATATCCCAGAATGTGAGCCGATCCATGAATTCGATGACTTCGTCGCCTTCCTCAATCGGAAGTGCTCTGGACCTCAAAGCAACGCGCTCTCACACATCCCTGAGAATGCCAATAGCGACAGCAGCGACTCTGGGACCGTTGAAACTGCCGACCACAGCTCATTCAGTCTGGAGCAGCGGGGTGTAGACGAGCCGTACCATCCCTCCCTGAAGCCAATCTATGACGACTGCAATGTCTTGGGAGGACCCGGAAAAACACACAATGTACGTTCTTGCAGAGCTCGAGCGTGCCTTGCGCGAAACGGAACCGTGGATCCCGTTCTGCCAGGATTCGGGGTCGGGCAGGGTCGATGAACTCTCGTCCCAGCCTAATACTATCGACAATGATTTACTTGATGAGATCTTCGACACGGACGGCGTGGTCCCAGTCGCTGACGACGACGACCTCCCCCGCCGACCCCAGGTGACCGCCGCTCCTGAGGCAACGCAAGCTGCTTGGCCCATCGAAGGGTTTCCTTGGGTAGACCTGGAGCCGTTCTTCCAGGAGTGCGAGCATGCTGATGGCTTCGATTCTCTAGAAGATTGCGTGTACGAAAAGATGAGGGAGGATGTGTGCTCCAGCAACCCCGGAGACGAATCATGCCAGGTCCCTCGGGCGACCTTGATCAATGAACGCGACTTGCCTCTCTACACCAAGGCCGCCGCCCTCAGATATTGATGTTCATGACATCGTCGTCGGGGAATGAGACCTTTTCCAGGAACGGTTGAGTCAATGGTCCGGCGGTACGATATCTCATGAGCCAGGGAAATGGGCGAGAGAATAGAATCACACAGAACGTAGGCCGATTCTCATAGGATTACCTAAAAATCATCAATGCAATAGGTTTCTCCTGAGACCTTTCCGTCTCATTCTCGATTCTCTCCCAGTGCAGTGCAATACGCTCACTACGACCGGGGGATTTTCGCTGAAGACCATTTTGCTCCGTCTACTTGTCATCTATCTGTTTTCTGGGTGGCAATAAGAATACCAGACTTCTCAGAAGGATGAATACAGGCAAGACACTGAGAAATGTTGTTTTGGATGACGAGACCCTTGTTTGTGTTGTCATTTAATCCTTCTCACTCCTCGCTCACAGCTCCAGCCTTTACTTCTTTCCCATCTTCTCCAGGTAGGCTTGCACGTCGATTTGCTTGAGCAAGTTTGCTTTGTCGTGGACCTGTTGCTCTATCTCAAGCTGATAGCTCTTCATCTTGTCGTGCAAGTCGGGTATGAACGCTCCCAAGAAGCGGATGGCCAGGAGCGCCGCGTTTGTGGAGTTGTTGATCGCCACCGTTGCGGTGGGCACGCCTCTCTGGAATGGTCGTTAGCAGATGGACAACAGGGACACTAGGAAGGGTATAGGGGAGAAAGGAAAACTCAGATACGTACAGGCATCTGCACAATGCTCAGCAAACTGTCCAGCCCATCAAGATGTGTCGCCTTGACAGGCACACCAATGACAGGCAAGGGGGTGTACGCCGCGATCATGCCCGGCAGGTGGGCAGCTCCGCCCGCGGCGGCGATGATGACCTTGATTCCCTTCGAAGCAGCCTCGGTGGCCACCTCAGCCATCGTGCTCGGCGTCCGGTGCGCGGACGTGATGTCCACGGTCCAGGGAACGCCAAACTGGTTCAGGATGTCGATCCCGGCCTTGAGCACAGGCAGGTCGGAGTCGGAGCCCATGGTGACCAGGACCAAGGGGTCCTTGGCTGCCGGTTTCGCTGCCTCTGTTGGTCGGAGGGCTTTGCTAGACGCCTGGAGGCGCTCCTGGCGGATCTCGTCTGCGGTCTGGATCAGAGGCTGAGCGAACTTCTCCAGCTCCTCGATGGGGCAGGATCCGGTGACGGTGATGTGACCAATCTTTCGACTCGGCTTGGACTCCTTGCCGTACATGTGTGGGTACACGGCTTTTCCTTTGCCGTGCAAGTTTTCGGCTTGCTCGATGAGTCTGTGGTGAGAATCGGGGTTGGCGCCACCCAGGACATTCACCATGATACTTGATGATACTTGCGGCTCCAAGACCTCTGGGAAGGACTTGTCCAGAATTGAGTAGAGCTGTGCCTTGTACTGTGACATGTGCGGCACGGCCTCGATGGTGTAGTGACCGGAGTTGTGTGGCCGGGGAGCGATTCTTCAATGATGTTAGCAGATCGAAAATCGATGCATTCGAGGATGTGGAACTCAGAATAGTAGGCCATAGAACTCACTCATTAACCAGGATCTTGCCCTCCCTGGTCAAGAACATCTCCACGGCGAAGACGCCCCTGCCCCAAAGCTTCTCGACCACATCGCAGGCAACTTTCTGTGCCCGCTCACAGATTGGAGCAGGGACAGTCCGAGGTGGCATGAAGACCTTAGAACAGATGTTGTCCTCGTGTATCGTCTCGACTGCTGGATAGGGAATGACGCGTTTCGTCTTGCCCTGGTTATCCTCTGTCCGGACAACCATGACGGCCAGCTCCAGCTCGAACGGCACCCACTTCTCCGCGTAGCAAGAGAGCGTGCCGAATTCCTCGAATGCCTTGTCTATGTCCTTCTCATCCGATACCTTGAAGTTTCCCCTCCCGTCGTAGGAGCCTTTCCTAGCCTTCAACATGAAGGGAAACCCGAACTTCTGAGACGCTTGCTGCAGCGACGCAGGCATGGTAGCACCGCCCTCGATTGCCATCTGCTCAGCTATGGGTAGGCCCTCCTTGCGCAGGTGCTCCTTCTGGTCGAACTTGTCCTGGATCAGCCTGAGCGTCTTCCAAGACGGGTGCACGGCAACTGTGCCCTGTGCATCGATCTCCTCGAGGACCTCGGTCTCGATGTGCTCAATCTCAACCGTCAAGACGTCAGTCTTGGCCGCCAGCTCCCGGATTTTGGACGCATCCTTGAACGAGCCGGTGACATGCTTGCTGTTGCTGTTGATCTGCTTGGCGGGGGCGTTCTTCTCGTCCAGGATGGCTATCTCGATATCGAGAGGAGACGCTGCCTCGCACAGCATGCGGCCTAGCTGGCCGCCACCGAGAAGACCAATTACAGTCATTTTTTTGCGGTCCGTTTGCCCTGTGTGGGGAGGATTGGAACAAAGAAATCTCCTGCGACTTCGAAAATGACAGATTGGACAGACGACTTCAGTTGCTTTCCAGAATCAATGGTGACTGAATTTGGGAGAGGGTGGGCCCTTTTGCCGCGTCTGGGCCAATCAAGACGCGGCATTTGCGGCTTCTATGCCCCAGCGCTCTTTAGGGTTGTAAATTAGCTTCTTAGTTTTAGTTAAACTAATTTAGTTTTTTAGTTTTTAGTTTTCATTAACCTTAAAAAAATTAAGTTAATTTTCTTAAATGGTGGTTTAAAAGTAAAATATTTTAAATTTTTTTTTAAAAGAAAAAGAAAATAAATATTTGCACTGGTAGGAATGAATGGTGTGGATCCGTAGATAGCGGGCAGGCAGCTGCTTATATAAGCAGCATTGCAGCTTAAAACATTAAAGGCACTGCCCTTTAAGCATAATTAGTAATTAAGCAACTTATATATTTATATTATATAATTTATAACGTTTTTTATAATTATTATAATGCTATTTAATAAGTTAAATGCATAAAAAGTATAAAAATAATTATTTTTATTAAGAAAACCTTATTAAAATACTTATTTAATAAAAATTATAATTATAAACCTTTACATTATTAATTAATAACCTTTTTTAAAAGTAATAACCTTTTAAGTAATTAAAATTCATTAAATTATTATTATTAACTTTATTTTTTATTAATAATTTATTTTTAAAAAGTAACTTTATTAATTAATTTATATAATAATAATATTTATATTAAAGTTATTATTTATAAATAAATATTTATAAAGTTAATTAAAAGTTATAATAATAAATATTATAATATTTTTTATTAATAATTAATAAAATTATAATAATATTAATATATTATATATTTATATTTATATTAATATATAATATTATATTTATATTTATATTTATATTAATATATTTATATATTATTTATATTTATATTATTAAAGCTTTTTTATTATATATTTATTTATATATATATTTATATTATATTATAAGCTTTTATATTAATATTAATATTATATTAATATATAATATAAATTAATTAATTTTTAAAAGCTTATTAATTATTTTAAAAATATTACTTAATAAATAATTTAAATATATAAATAAAATAATTTTTATATTATTTTTATTTAAATATATAAAATACTTTATATATAAAAAATTAAAAAAAATTTATTAAAAGTTAAAAAGTAACATTATAACTTTTAAAAATAAAACTTTATATATAATATTATTTTTTTTTTTTTTAATATTTTTATTAAAGATTTAAGTATAAATAAAAAGGAATAAGAATTTTATATATTAAATTTAAGTTTATTTTAATATATATTAATAATATTTTTTTAAATTATATTTATATTATATATATTATATTATTTATATTATAATATTATATTATATATTTATATTTATATTAATATATTTATATTTAAATTTTATTATTAAAAATTTATATATTTATATTTATATTTATATTATATTATATATATATATATATATATTATTTATATTATTATAATTTTAATAATTAATAAGCAAGTTATAAGGTAATAATTATTAAAGAAATATTAATAATAAAAGATTTATTAATTTAATATTATTTTTATTAATTTTTTTTCTTTAATTATTATTATTTTTACTTTACCTTAATATAACTTTTCCTTTTTCTTTTAATATTATAATTATTTATATAAGTAATTATAATATTATAATTACTTTTATATATAATTATATTAATTAATTTATAAAAAAAGTTATTATAAAGTAAAATAATATATAAATTACTTTTATTATTCTTATAAATAACTTTAAAGCTATTAATAATAAGTTTAATAAATAATTAAAAAATCTTTAAAAATAATTAAAAATTATTAATAATAAAATAAATTAATATAATAATATTTTTTATGCTTAGCTTTAAAGTATTTTTACTTTTATTATTAAAAATTAATTATATTTTTAAGAATAAAATAAAAGCATTAAGTTTTTAAATTTATATTTTTATAATAATAATATTATTATTAAGCTTATAATATATTATTATAATATAATAATTTATTATAATATAATAAATAGCTAGTTTAAAGAAAACATAAAGATTTCCTTATTATACTTTAATAATATAAACCATTATATTATAATAATATTTTCTTTAATATTTTTTTAAAAAAGAATTAACTTTTTACTTTTAACTTATAATTAATATTAATAATTAATAATTATAACTTATTTATATTTTATATAAATAACTTTTAATAAAAGATTTTCTTTATAATTAAAGAATGCTTTTTATAATTAACGTGGTTTACTAATAAATAGCTGTTATAAGCTAGCCTTAAGTTGTTTGCTATAAGGTGTTTAAATAAGGTTTATATTTAAAGTATAAAGGAAAAGGTTTACTTTTTATTTATACTTATATTAAAGCTTATTTTTATAAGGTTAAAGCTTATTAATTAATTATAATAAGCAAAGCTTAAATTATAATATATCTTTTTTTTTTAAGTTTTTATAGCAAGCCTTAAAGGACAGCTATATAATAAAAAATAAAGAACATTATAATTTAATTATAAATTAAATATTACTCTTTACCTAGCTATTTAATTACACCTTAACGCCTTTTAATTACATTAAAGGCTTAGCTTATTATTTATAATTAACATACCCCAGCCTTTATAATTTAATATATTAGCTAAAGCAAATTAATAAAAAATAATTATTTAAGCATAAATTAGCAGTTAAATTAATAATATTCTTATAATCCTTTAATATAAGCTTTTTATATAAGCTTTTTTATTTAAAACCTTAAGATTATAAATTTATTATATAATTTATAATTAATTAACGCTTAATTATAAATAATTTGCTTTATTAATAAGAATTTCTTAAATTTTAAGTATTTTCATAGCGTTAAATTAATTAATATGCAGTTAATTTACTTTAAGCTTAAGCTAGCGCTAAGCTAACATTATTTTTAAGCCTTATCTTATAAAAAAAATTTTATACCCCTTTAAATAAACTTTTTTTCCTTGCCAGCCTTAATTAATAAAAGCTATACTCTTATTTTCTTATAATAATTAAAATAATTATACTTATAATAACTAAGTTAATTATATATAAAATACTTAACTTTGCTTATTAAGATTATTATAATATTAATATTTATTACTTTATTATTTTAAGATTAAGTATTATTTTTTCTTATTATAATATTAAAAATGCCCTTATATTATTGCAAAGCAAAGCAAAAGGCCTTAAATATATTTAGCTACTCCTTATAATTAAGCTAAGCTTTTATTATAAAGGTTAAGCTATTAATTATTAATAATATTTTACACTTATTTAACTAACTTTAAGCTATTGCTATATAAGCTAATTAATTAAACTAAGCGAAAAATTTTATTATCTTTTTTTTATAATGTTATTATAACGCGATTAAGCTAAGCTTAACATACCTTTGCTTAAAAGGGTCCTTAAATATAAAGTAAACCTTTTTTAAAAAGCTTTTTAACTACTTTTTAAATATTTTTATAAAATTAATATAAGGTAAAAATTAATTATAAAAAGTTTTTAGCTAATTAAATATATAAAAAAATTAAGCTTTTTTAGCGTTAATTACTTTTTTATTTATTGCAAACTTAGCCTTTATCTTTATTAATTAAGTTACTAAGTATTCTTAAGATAAAAGTTTCTTTAAATAAAAAAGGGCTTAATAAGTTATTATTATTTTTTTTAAGTTTCGTTATATTAAGTTTTATATAATTATATTATAAGTTTATAATATAAAAGGATTTTAAATATATATTATAAATTAGCTTTAAGTTATTTATTATAAGGTATTTAAATAAAGTTTATATTTAAAGTATAAAGAAAAAGGTTTACTTCTTATTTATATTTACGTTAAAGCTTATTTTTATAAAGTTAAAGCTTATTAATTAATTATAATAAGTAAAGCTTAAACCGTAATAATAACGTATATTAATAAGTGGCGCACTTTTAATAACTTAGCTAAATTTAAATAATAATTTTCTTTTAATTAAATTTAAGCCTTTATAAAAAAGCTATATAATTAAATAACGCTTTCTTTAAATAAAGGTTTTTTATAATTTATAAGTTAAGGTTATAAGGTTGTAGTTATTTTATATTAAATTAAAAATTATAAGTTAAGGTAAGTGCTATATTAAATGCAAAAAAAGCTAGAAAACCTAGTAAAATTAGCCCGTGCTTTTTATTTAATAATAATTTAAAATTAATATAAAGTTTTATATATATACTTTATTATAAACTATATAATATATCTTATTTTTAAAGTTAAAATTAAATCTTTTATAAAGATAAATTAAGTAAAGATTTATTAATTAAAAGTAATAATTTACTAGTAATTTTTAACAGCTCTCTAAGTACCTTTTCCCCGCATTCCCTGCAAAAAGCTATAAAAATGCAACACTCATTAATATGCGCCACTTATTGGTAAACCACGTTAAGGAATAAGCTTTATAATTAAAATAATAAGCAATTAAAATAACTTCCATACTTATAAATTACCATTATATTATATATTAATAGTTTTTACTTATTAATAATTACCTTAAAATCTTTTATAAAATTATTATTATTATATAAAATAATGCATTTATTTTAAATTAAATAAGCACTTTAAAATTATTTTAATATTTTTTAATTATATTTAAATATATAAAAAACCTTATTATTATAAGCTATTTATTAATTTATTAAATATTAAATTTATATAAAAAAACTTTTTAAAATATAATAATAACTTTAACTTAAAAACATTATATATATTTAAAATAAATAAATCTTACGTTTAATTAAAAACCATATATTTAAATTTAATTTTATTAATTATAAAATTAAGAAAACCATTAAAAAATATTAAAGCATATATTATATTTCCTTATCTTAGCTATAATATTTTAAATGCATTAAAATTATTATTAACTTTTAATTAAACTTTAATACTTTTTAAATTTAACTTTAAAATTAAGCATTATTAATAGCATTATAATAAATATAAATAAAAGTTAAAGCAACTTATAATACCTTACTTAATAAAATATTAAAAGTATTAAAATTATTCCTTAATTATAATATAAGGATTCCTTAAATAATAAAAAGGAATTATTAATATAAAAATTAAAATTTATAAACCATTAAGCTAAAAATACTTTTTAAATATAATAAGCATAAGCTTAATATTATATTAAATATTTATTAAAGTTATTAAAATAAGCTTAAAGTAGTAATTTATTAAATAATAATAATTTAAATAATAATAATAATAATTATAAAAGTTTAAACTTATATTATAAATATAATAACCTTTTTTAATATAATAAAAGTTATAAAAAAAAGCATTAAATATTATATTATCCTTTTATAACCTTTATATATTATTAAGTTTAACTAGTTATAATAAGTTTAACGTTAAAGAAATAAAGTACTTTAAATTATTATTAAAATAATAACTTTATTTAATAATAAAAAAGATTAATAAAAATAATATTTAAATTTAAAAGAATATATTTTTATTTATATATATTTATATTATATAAATAAAGAATAATAAAAAGTAAATAAATTTACTAGCTAAATAAATATATCTTTTCTTATAAAAATTAACTTAAAATTATTAAAGCTTAAACTTTAATAAAAAATAATAAGATAACTTATAAACGCTTAATATTAAATAATTAATATAATAAATAACCTTAAAAAATCTTTTATATACCTTATAAAATAACTTTAAACTAGCTTAATAAGCAATATTATAATATTAAGTAACTTTTAAAATAATATAATATAAGCTATTTTTGCAAAAATATATAAAGATATGCTTAAAATATAAACTTTTATAAAAATTAAATAGCTATTTTAATATATAATTAAATTAATTTATTACTTATAATGCATAAATTTAATTATCTTAACTTAAAAATTATACTTAAAGACTTTAAATAAAAACTTAAACTTATTATTTTAAGATAATATAAACTTATAATTAATAATCTTTTATTATATATTTAATAAATTAAGGTTAATTATTTAAGTTAAAATATTACTTTTATAAAAAGATTTTCTTTTAATATATTATAATTATTATAAGCTTATAAATAATAAATTAAAAGAAATATTTAGTAATATTTAATAATATTATTAATATTTTCTTTTAATTTATTATAATAAATATTTAAAATATATATTTTTAACTTATATTTTAATATAAATATTAAGTTATATTATTAATAAATAACGTTTTTATATAATATATTTATAGCTTTTATAAATAACTTTATTATTATAATTTAAAGACTTATTAATGCTTATAAATAATATTTAAAAGTAATTATTTTTAAAAGGTTTTAAAAAAGAATAATTAAATAATTAAATAAGTAAGGTTTTTTTATAATAAGTTTAAATATTTATTTTCTTAAAAAAATTGCCTTTATTTTAAGGGCTTTAATTTACTCTCTTAATTTTAATTTAATTAGCTAACTAAAATAACTAAACTAATTTCAACCTTGGCGCTCTTGAGAAGTGCCAGGTTTTAACATCACTCGGTCTGAAATGACTCCCAATACCTCATCAACGCGAGGCTCACACAAAGATGGGAATTCTCGCCATTTAAGCCCTTGAATGTTCAGTTTAAAATTTACCATGGTGTAAAATTTCTCCGTTTGCCTAAATTCTAAGCTTATCGTGCCTGGAAGCATGTGTTGCCGACAAACTCATTTCTCACAGATTTTGGGGCGCTGAGGGCCAAATGAGGCAGGCTCACAACCACTGCCCACACCCAGACATTTGAGCACGAGGCACTATGTTGATTGGATCAGCCTAAAAGATCTCCAGCACTGTGAAGGGTCTCTGTCGCGGAAACTCTTCTGATTAAAACTTGTCACCAGGATGGGTTCTCAAGATCTGCAGGGCGAGCCATCGCTCGTGCAATTAGAGCAGTAAGTTTGGGCTCCTCTTCTGCTGGGAATGCTGTCACTTGCTAACTATGTCATATTCCTAGTCCTCTCAAGATCTTTGACCTGGCCAAGAAGCAAGGCAGGCTGCTCTATGCTTGCGCACCCATGGTGAGGTACAGCAAGCTTGCCTTCAGACAGACAGTCCACGCCTACGGAACGGATTTATGCTGGACTCCCATGATCCTAGCGAAGGAGTTCAACCGCAGCTTCATAGCTAGGGACAGCGGTAAGCCCCTTTAGGACCTAGCAGTAGTCTCTCGCTCATTGAGAGAAGGGCCCCACGGCTGACGTGCGATTTAGACTTCACCATTTCGACAGCGGGACCAATAGTACCAACAATAGTCCAGTTCGGCGCCAACTCACCCTTGGAAGTCTCCCGGGCCACGTCTCTGGTCGCCCCTTATGTGAACGGCGTCGACCTCAACTGCGGCTGCCCCCAGTCGTGGGCCTGCGCAGAGACTCTCGGCGCTGCCCTGATGGAGAAGCGGGAGCTCGTGAGGGACATGGTGCTCGAGACACGGCAAAGATTGCGGGATGAAGGCTGGGCCGTTGGCAAGGAGAAAGACATCGACAACCCGAAAGGCAGGAGCGTGAGCGTGAAGATAAGAGTACACAAGGATCTCAGGTGAGTTCTTGCATCGAGGTCGTTGCCATGTCCGCCAACCCTGGGGCTCACACTGACATTTCGGTCTAGAAAAACCATGGACTTCATAGAAACAGTAATAGGCAACCCCCAAGACCGCAACATCGACTTCCTCACAATCCACCCACGCACCCGGAGCACACCGTCGACGATGCCCATAAACCTCGAGGCCCTGGAGATCCTCACCAACAAGTACGGCGACCAGCTCCCCATCCTCGTGTCGGGCGACGTCTTCTCCATGGGGCTCGCTGCCGTACGCGTCACCGCTGCCCTCGCCTCCGGAGTCGGAGGGCGGTGCGAAGCCGCACCTGCCCAAGCTGGCCGGCCTGATGTCCGCCCGGGCCCTGCTCGCCAACCCGGCGCTCTTTGCCGGCCACGAGTCCTGCCCCTGGGAGGCGGTCGAGCTGTTCATGAACAAGGTCGTGAGGGCGCCACTGCCGCTGAAGCTGGTCCAGCATCACTGTACGTTCCATCTACTCCACTCTTTCCTGGCACGTCAAAGTCCGAAACATTTACTAATCTACAACATAGTGGGTGAGATGTGTGGACCGGGCTACGGCCCCGATAAGAGCTCGTTGCTCAGCAAGAAGGAGAGAATGGAGATGTACAATTGTGCAAATATGTGTGATTTGATTGATTTCTTGGACGAGAAGTTGGAAAGCAGAGGCAGGAAAGAAGGGCTGAGAAGGGACAAGTCACCATCAGAATAGGGAAAATACAAGAATTTTCAAGTATCAATGTCAATAGATTCGGTGGGCCTGTCCTATCGGAGCACGCCTTAGTGGTATGCCTGTCATCCTGGGATATCGCAGTCTATCAATCCCTGCGGCCGAGCCTCAAACCTCGCCCGCTACTCCGAGAACCCCCTCATTAACTGGAAAAGGGGACTCCGTGGGCCCTTTCCTGTTGTCCTTTGATGCTCGCACGCCGTGTCCTCGGAGACTCCCAGGTCACCGCTGGGCTCCAGAGATCAGCCTATGACGAGGGCCTCATTTGCATGAGACGATATTCCATCGCCTAGTCACTGCTGCTGGGAACTGTCCCCACGGAGACATTTGACACGCTTCCTTGGTAATTATCAGGCGTTGTCCCTGTGGATCCCTAGCCTGGAACTTCTCCTTCGTCCTCATCGGACAACCGCGCTCGCTTCGTCTCTCGGTCCGGATCGTCCAGGTCTATCTCGGGAGTCTTTCGTTTTGAGGCTGGCGATTTCAGGCCGTTGCTGACGCCGTTGCTGACGCCGTTGGTTCTTCGACCTGCCACGTGGGTATCGACATCGTTGGCTGCAATCTTGAGATTCGCATCAGAGTCGCCCTTCTGTTGCGATGCCGCCGGCTCGTTATCCCCGTTCTCGCCACTTTCCTTTCTTGTATCGGCGTTGCCGTTGGTATCGTCTTCTCGATCCGGCCTGCCTTGATACCGCGCACGTGGACTTTGTGTACCACGATCCGTTCCCATTGGTGTGCCGGTGTGACTCGATCCAGCCTCTGTCTGGCTGGGAAGCTCGCGCCCTCGCCTAGTGTTCTCCAGGCTGAAGATAGGTGATCCTTGATAACGGGAGTCCGACTTCCTAAGAGGATTCTCCGAGTAGAAGTCCATCACCACACTGATAGCTGATTGCGTGAGTGCCTCGTCGCCCTTCAGGACTCGCCACCACGGATCACCGTCCCTCCCATCTTCGATCTTCTCATCCAACGAGACTGTCGCGAAGAATATGGCACTGATGGCGATCGCGGTGGCGTTCATGAGTAACGGAAGGACTGTGAGAGCCGAGTCGCAGCAGAATGCCCAAGCAGCATCCCTAATGCGCTTGTTGTGAAGCATGTCGAGCTGTGTCAGACACTCGTACAGCCGCTGGTATGGATTGTCCACCATCAGGTCGAAAGTCAACATCTCCAGCATCAATTCTTCGTGCATCAAAATGCTGTCACGCCACTTCCAATACTCTTTGCTCTGCTCATCGACGATGAGCCTCGGGTTCTTCTGAGCAACTTTGACCACGGCATAGATGATGTCCTTTGTCTTTCGGCAGTTTTCCTCGGTTTTGTTCGCCAGGAACAAGGCCGTCGCAGCTATGTTCTGTTCCAGTGAGGATTCGTGTCAGCACTCTTCTAAGTTCTTCGATTCATCCGCGCGTGATTGCGACCGGGAAACCTACGTAATGATGTATTCCGCCCTTCTCCTCTGCCATACTGCAGCGCATGTAGAACCGGTGGAAGAAGACGGCAGCAACCCATAATGTGGTCTGCGGTAACTCTACCATCGCGCCGGCCTGATAGATAAAGTTGACCCCTTTCGCTCTTCTCAGTCTCTCGTCGGCCGGCGACAGGCCGTCGACTATGCTCGGCGAGCTGAGAGCCTCATCCGGGTTGAAGTACCACTGGTTCGCGCGGGCTCGAGGTGTTGTCGGCGACGGGTGTGCTGGAGAGGGTGCGCCTCGTCGGGACTGCGGCGGGAGCGAGGATGTGCGCGAGGAATGGGCGGGAGGCGATGGAACTGCCGGGGGCACGTCGCGTTGCTTGGACGGAGATCTGGATGGGCGAGGGGGCTTCGGAGGGAGAGAGGGGAGGCTGGTAGCCCTCACGGGGCGGTCGATATCTGTCGATGCTGGCCATCGCGACTTAGATCATGGAGAGAAGCGATTCTGGAACCTCACTCTGGTTGTATGGATGCGAGTGGCGGTTGTTGGTGGGGGAGGGCGAAAAGGATTAAATAGCCATGGGTAAATTGGGGATGGGAGTGGAAACGGGCGAGCCAGGTTGATGATGAAAGACGGGAAGTTGAAGTTGGATGCTGCAATCGCCCTTATCGGCCAAGCCCCCCTGCGCGGGCTCAATAGCGGGCCCCATTGTCAAATATTCAGGGCAGGCAATAAAGTACGTACCACAATCCTCAATACCCGGCAGTACAATAGCTCGAAAGTCAACTTTCAATAGCAACTCTCCACAGCAACCTTCCAGCGCAAGCTCAATAGGCAGCCTTCCTATTGTTCGTCGTTTTCCCCTGCCACACCACAATATCTCGCCAAGATGATGCACCCTTCGAGACAAGCGTTTGTGGAGGACCATCCCATGGAAGAGGTAAGCCAACGAAATCGCAGCTTTCCCGTGGTCTCTGCCTTTGCTCAAAACATCACAACAGCGCGCGGCTCGACTGACTGGTGTGCCTCGTCGCAGGATAGGGGAGGGTTGACCCTTGATCAAGTTCGTGAGTACATCGGGTGCCCAATCTACCAGTGCTATTGAAGCTGACAACAAACGTAGCCAATGACTATAATTATGACCTCGGCACAGGCGAGAATGCATCGGCGCTGCTGTCCCAGTTCGAACGCAAGCGCATGGCGGCGCGTCTTGCCGTCCCGACCAACGATGAAGCAATCAAGGCCATGCTTCGCGAGAGAGGGCTGCCCATCACCCTTTTCGGCGAGAACAACCCTGCAGACCGCCGCGAGAGGCTGAGAGAGACCTTGGCCGATGAGGCTGAGCGAGCAAAGGCTCAAGGCCAGGAGGGAGTCGATATTGAGATGGATGATGCCGCGGACGAGGAAGATGACGAGGAGCAAGAAGAAGAGTACTACACGCGAGGGAACGACGAACTGCTCCAATCCCGTGTCGAGATCGCAAAGTACTCGCTGCCAAGGGCAAAACGACGAGTTCAATTCCAACGGCAAGAGGCCAAGATACCCCTGCGAACGCACGTCAAACACCGGAAGCAAATCAGAGAGCAACTACAGGATTTCGAGCTGCAAAGCTCACAGGTCGGGGGACAAAGGTATCTGAGCGTCGTCAGGCTGGCACCACAAGGGCAGCTGTGCGCGACAGGCGACTGGGGCGGCAGCTTGAAGGTTGTCTCCACGCCTGATCTGGAAGTGAGGAAGACGCTGAGGGGCCACACGTCGAAGATAGGTGGAATCGACTGGCTCCCTGGACTCACATCTCTAGAGAGCGACACGGCCCAGCTGGCATCATCTTCAGCAGAGGGCGCAGTCCACTTATGGTCACTCCAAAAAGTTACGCCCCTTTCTACATTATCTCAGCCGGGTGGGGCAAAGGTGAACAAGATCGGATTCCATCCGTCGGGCCGCTATCTGGCTACAGCGTGCGAAGACACGACGTGGAAGCTCTACGACATAGCGACCGGCAGCGAGCTCCTGTCCCAGGAGGGGCATTCGAGGGCGGTCATGACGGTCAGCTTCCAGTCTGAGGGTGCCCTGGTTGCAACAGCAGGTATGGACAGCATCGGCAGAATCTGGGACCTTCGAAGCGGCCGCACGATCATGCTTTGCGAAGGCCACATCCAACCCATAACGTCCTCGAGTTGGATAGATGGGCATCGGGTATTATCCGCCTCCTTGGACGGCTTCGTGAAGGTCTGGGACGTGCGCAAGGTCGCGCAGGGTGGAAATCTGGCCGGCAACACATCGGGAGTGACAGATGTACGTGTGTTCAGGGGCCTTGATGACCCTGTGGAGGGCGAGGCGCCCGGACAAGATGAAAAAGGGGCACAGATACCGAAGAAATCTGCGACCTTCTTTGCGACTTGTGGCTTTGATCGGAAGGTCAACGTCTACTCGATGGATGATTATTCCCTCATCAGCTCGCTCGAGTCGCACACGGCGCCAGTGAGCTCGGTTGACATTTCAAGGGACGGAAAATGGATTGTGTCCGGCAGCCACGACAGGACAATCAAACTCTGGGCTCGCAATGAGATGGAGCCGTTGTAATAAGGCAATTCGAGGAAAGTAAGAGAGTCGCAGGAGAAAAGTTGTAGATACCCAAGGTGACAATTTTGCAGGCGCCGGATCAAGGAAGGTTTTCGGTGACCGGCCACCACATGGCGAGCTACGGTTTCAGTCGCTAGTTCCCGTTCAATGTCTATCACTGCCGTGACAATCAAGTTCCCGGAATATCGGGACCGATCAAGACTCGCCACTGTCGGGTTCCATTGTGAACGGACTGTGAAGGGGAACTGTGAAAGACTTCAAGGTTGCAATTGGGCTTTCTCTAACTGTGTTCAAACACAGCCGTTTCCAGCCGCTGGCCGAGTTGCAAGACTGGCTGACCATGGCACGGGTGGAGAGCGTCCGTCACTGGATCTGGGGGATCAGCGCTAACAGGGGGCCACAGTAAGTTTTCAAGCGGGCGGGCCGTCACAAGCCCCACATTGCACTTTGCGAACCGGTAATTTTAGATTTATGCCTGACAGCCCTGCCTGCCTCCCTTTTCCCTTTCAATCTTTTTTTGATTCCCCATCACTTCCAAAGTGAAAGGTCAGCCCACGCCCCGCCAGAGACAACAAAACCACGACGGACCAGATCCAACAAACCGCAAATGCATACCAGTAACGATACACGCGAGCCCCCGTTTTCCTACTTCCTGAAGTCTCAGATGCGCCTCCAGAGCCACCAGCGACTTGCCCGAAACGAGTTCAACGACTCCCGCTGCGACCCCGAGGGACGACGAGGCGCACCTTGAACGGCCAGACCCGCCACGAGAGTGAGCCAGTACGCGACTATTGATCGCGACTCGGTCAAATACCATAAACCACGAAAAAAAAAAAAAAAGGTCGTAAAAACGCGATTCCACGACCATGATACGCGCAGGCGCACCCGCGGCTACCACAGTAGTCCGCGGGTTTCAGACTTCAGCCGGCTCGGGAGACGATGACTCCGACCATGGACGAGTGACGCCGCGACTCATCGCCGCCGACAAGGCTGCCACCCCGGTTCTGCGTGGCCGCCGCTCCAAGAACCCCATGATCGACGACGTTGTAAGCGCCAACTGCAGTCCCTCTTTGCGCCCGGTGGCTTCTCCCGCTATGAGCGGCATCAGCCTCTTGCGATCCCAGCACATCGACTCCTTCAATCTCGATAGTGCGAGCACTTCGCGCGCAAGCTCTGTGACTCGCAGCAGCAGCCTGCCCAGGATCGGATCGCCCTTGGCCCGACCTCGCCGTGGACGGGGTGCGCGGAACGGAGTGCACAGCAGTGACGGGAGTGGGGACGAGGCAGCCTCTGAGATCTCGACCTCGTACGAAATCAACCTGGAGAATGACTTTGTCAGTGCGAGCGCCCCCGATCAGGGTTTTGCTTCGGGTAGCCCCACGCTCTTCGAGGCTATCGAGGGAGACCTTTCGAGTGCGCCCGTTAAGAAGACCGCTGATGACTTCGAACCCCTCCGGTGCCTCGGCAAGGGATCCTACGGCACGGTCATCCTGGTGAAGCAGCGCACTACCGGCAGGCTGTACGCGCAGAAGCAGTTCAAGAAGGCCTCGCTCGTTGTGCATAAGAAGCTCGTCGAGCAGACCAAGACGGAGCGCCAGATCCTGGAGTCTGTCAACAAGCACCCGTTCGTCGTGAAGCTCTACTACGCGTTCCAGGACAGGGAGAAGCTGTACCTCATACTTGAATACGGCCAAGGCGGAGAGCTCTTCACGCACCTTGCGGAGGAACGCATGTTCTCTGAGTCGACTGCAGCCTTCTACCTGGCTGAGATGGTGCTGGCTCTCTCTCACCTGCATGACGAGCTTGGCGTCGTCTACCGTGACCTCAAGCCTGAGAACATCCTCCTGGACGCAGAGGGCCACCTGCTTCTCACTGACTTCGGCCTCTCCAAGGTCGCCACTGACGATGCCACCTGCAGCTCCATGCTAGGAACAGTCGAATACATGGCCCCCGAGGTGATCAAGGGCGAGAAGTACGGCAAGGCTGTTGACTGGTGGTCGCTTGGGGCGCTTGCCTTCGACCTCATGACGGGCAGCCCGCCATTCCGCGGCAACAACAACCACAAGATCCAGCAGAACATCCTGAAGCAGAAGCTGATCATGCCCTACTTCCTCAGCCCCGACGCGAAGGACCTCCTGAACCGCCTGCTCAGGAAGGAGCCGGGCAAGCGCCTTGGGAGCCACATGCCCAAGGACCTGGCCATCATCAAGGGCCACCGTTTCTTCCGCAAGATCGACTGGAAGAAGCTGGCCGCTCGCGAGATGGAGCCGCCCATCCAGCCCATGATCACCGACCCTGAACTCGCAGAGAACTTCTCTACCGAGTTCACGGAGCTGAGTCTCAGCCCCCGGCCTTCCTTGATGGAGCCGTTCAGCCCGGCCATGCCCAACTCGGATGAAAACCCGTTTGGCAACTTCAGCTTCACGGCGAGTCACAGCCTGCTCAACTCGCATGGATTTGCATGTCTTCAGAATGCCTGAAGAAGAGGTCCCGTCCTAAAGACATCAGGGGAATAGAACAGAGTCCCGTCCACGGATGGACTGGAGCTTGGTTAGAGCGCGATACAGCGCGCACACACAACAGGAGATATACAGGATACACCCATCATGATACATGATAGATGATACAGGGTCAAGGGGTAGAGATCAGTCCGGCGTCAGCGACGCGCGTGTCCACAGCAGTGATTCCACACCTGCTGCAGATGGCCACCGCACGCGTGAGCCGAGCAAGTGACGGTGGAGCAGTCTTCTGATGGCAACACCAGTCACCGGCGAAGACAACTCCTTGTGACACCTTGCTCGAGAAGGGGTCGTTGGCGGTGAAGATGGATGACTAGCGAGCACCTGCATTTTCTATGGCGCATAGTAAACACACTGTAATAATATTTCTTTTCTGAACTGGCATGCTTGCAACTTTGCGAAAATCACCCCGCCTGGCCAAATTGGCTTGCTCTTGGCTGCTGCTTAGCAATTCATGACCGTGAGAGCCATGTGCCTTATGTAATGTGGAGACCTTACTGACATACACCTGCCCACGAGGTGTTGGGCCCTACTTGGCGCCAACGCCTGTCATTACGGCGGCGGCGGTGCCCTCTTCTGCAAAGGGCGATCGTGAGGGCTGTCTTGACAGGAGTCGGTCAGACGAACGCCTGCGCCACTCCGGGACACAGGAACCCTGGGCAAGTCTGGGGCATTCTGGGGCAGGCGGAAGGAGAGTTGCACCGGGTTGAATGACCCAGGCGGGCCACGCCAAGTTCGGTCGGGACAAATTGCTCGGGAGATGGGACAACCAAGCTCCGGGGCCTCGACGAAGCTCCACGGGGAAGGTCTCGACGGACCGGCGTCACCTACCTTGCCTACCCACCTGTACGCGTATCGGCGCGCCTGGGGCCCGCAGCGCCAAGGGCTTCCCCCCTGGCTCGATCCGCCGCGGCGCGCGCGCCCTGCCATGGTCTATCTGTCTGTCTATCTGGGTTTCTGTGGATGGAGAGGAGGGGAAAATGGGCTGAGACTTGGCATTGGGCCGATCTTGTGCAGGTAATTGCGAGTGTGGGCCGCGCAAGCCAAGGGTGGCTTGGACTCTCGCGCCGGTGCGAGGGACGACTTTGATCTCGCCAAGTTGAGCCCCCTGGGGCCCGGAGTTTGGAAAGCGTTTTGCTGATCGCGGTGTGTAAAAAACTTGTGAGGTTGGGCTTTGATATCTAGAAGCTGCAGCCGCTATCGCCCCAGTGTTTCGGCCACTGTGCCGCGCTGTGTGTCTGCGTGGCTCCTGTCGGGCTTGCGGTGATAGGGCGCTTTAGTGTGAAGCTTTTCTGGGCCCTGCAGGGCGTCGTTGATGCGCCGTCATTGTGCATAGATACCACGGGCGGCGTCACTCGGGATCTTGCGTGTCATCGTCTCGTCCTGTAAACCGGAGGCCGCCCATGCGTATTTCCGCCGCCATTCCACGTGTCTGAGAGGCCCAGGCCAGGCCGATACGGACGAGTGGGGGGAGCCGAAACTCGTCATGTTTATCTCAAAGTCAAGGGACCGGTGGGTTGACACACAATGCGCTGGCGCGGACGAGACGACGGACAGAAGACGGGATGAAAAAAGGGCCACGGACAAACCAGCAGGTCCAGGCGCCGATGCGATTCGAGGTGGGGGAGCGAGCAGAGCGGCGGCGCATGTGGCCGATGAAACGTGTTGGAATCAGCAAAATTCCGAGGCGCCGGAGTCTTTTTCTCGCTAGCTCGGCGGCGGCGGCGACGCTGCCACACGGTTCAGGAACCGTCGCCTTGCATCCGCAGAGGGGCACGCAGAGAGTGTGGGCATAGTGGTTGCTGCTGGCAGTGGTAGCAGCCCTGCCGAGCCCACATTATAGAGTTGAGGCGGAGCGCAGGGTTTCCTTCGGTGGGGGCTTCCACACTCTACCAGGGCCTGTTCAGCTGGACCGGGTCTGCAAGTCTGCGACAGGGCAGGGCAGGACTGCCAGAACCTGACAGGGCCTGCCATCTCGTGAGGGGCCAGGTGCGGGCAAGTGACTTGGCGTCATACAAGGGGAAATTGTCAAAACCCTTGGCCTCGGGCGGTTTTCAAACGGCTCGAAGGAGATGGTGACAAGCGAGGAAGGAGCTTTTACCTGCTTCCTTACTGGCTCCCTGTCACGTCGCAGAGTGGATCACAACTCGCTCGGCAGCCTAACCGAGCGGGAGGAACCCAACCTAAACCCCCTTCCCCAATCCAAACCCAAGACAGCCCCAAGGCCAGCCCTTCTGCCGAACCTTGCAGGCAGGGCACACGCTTAATGTCTCCGTTACAGAAGTGGTGGTGGTGGGAAAGAATTGTCCACGTTATCATGATGTGTAGACTTCAGAGCCGAAACCTGCTCGCTCGTCCGCCTCTCACACCGACCGGACTAGGGATTCAATGACACGCAAGCTCGATGTCGAGATCGACCACTGCTCAACGCTCGCTCGCTTATGCTTTCATGCTCCCCAATCTCGACCGCGCTCGCTCTCTATCTCGGGGTCTGATGGCCCAATCCTGCGGCGTCGCTGTCAGCGCTACCGGCCGGAAAGATTGACCTCCACCAAGCTGGAAATCCACGTCTCTATTTCCATCCGCGCCACAACCCCCCGGCCCGCGCCCTTTGTCTGCATCTGCATCTGCACCTGCACCTGCGCGGCGTGGGAGGTAGGTAGATTCCATTCTGGGCACCTGCGCTGTGACATCGAGTAAGACTAATAGCGATCGGCTGGACGAGAGGAGGCTCTCTCCCAGAGGGGCCATCTGTACCAACACCTCCTCCATGCCGTGGTGTGGTGGGTGAGATGCTGAGAATACCGCCCCTTCATTGGACCCCTTTGCTGCCGGGGTCCAGTCCCACCCACAGCCGTGGATGTTGTCATGTATTACTACACCACTAGTGGTCTGCGACGGGGCCATATCGTGGCGGAGCCGTCTCTCTCCTACTGAGCACAGGTACAGTAGCAATTCGTCCCCCAACCCCCCGGGAGCTGAATTATTCGTGTATCTGGAGGGCACAGACGGGAGGATTAGCCTGAAAGGGACGGAAACGACCATCGGACGGGGGTTCGGTGGCTTGCTGTCATGCGCAGGAACCCTCCCTTCCAATCTGTCACCGACCCCAAGCCAGCCCAGGCAAGGCTCCGGATCCAAAGATCAGAGTAGGAAGGAGTGAGTACACATGACACGAGAAGGGTGCTTGGCCCACCCTCGGGCGAGTCTCTTCTTCGTCTTGCCCAAGCGAGCTAGGTACGACCTACGACCAGGAAGCCCTCACCACGAGTAAGGCCGGCGACTGCACCAACCTTGTCTAAGTCAGCACGAAGGCTTGAACGAATAAGTGTTTCTCGATCCAAAGCCAGGCTGTCAGTCGGTCCCGTCGTCCGCGACGTGAGATCCTCCTGTCTTGCACCTTCCAAAACAATCTTGTTCGAGCCGACCATCACTACTGGGAGTGTACCCTGTCCTGTCCCTTCTCCCTCCCCCTAGCTCCCTCCCCGAGAGCCACTCGACCTTCGAAAGGTTGGAACCCAGCACTTATTAGTCCATCTACCCACCTCATCCCAGCCTATTCCCGTCCCCATTTTACCAAGCCGCACTGTCAACCGCGAGGACCAACCAGCGCCAACGTTTTAGCTACCGACCTGTCTCAAAAGCCTCGTCAAGCTCAAGCCCTGCTTGGCGCCGCGTCACGGTCATTGTCCATCGTCTTGCTCTTTCCCCAAGCTCTAGTCCGGCGTGTGGTCCGCCTTTTTTTCTTGCGACACATGAGTGACCGGCCTGGATCAGGACTGACATGACATACCCCCCAACTCTAACTTACATGAGTATCCACATACCCTGACAGTCGGAAATCCACCGCCAGAATTCGAGGCCGGTGTATGAGCTTGCGGGTATAGGAACAACATTTATATACCACCTCTTCATTCTTTCCCTCCCCCCTCTCCCTTGAAAAATTTTATGCCAGGAGCCGTGCCGGATATCTCACGAGACTCTCACACTGAGCCGCTTCGACGCCAGTATATCACCCCTAGTGACAATACAACTAGGCAAACAAGTGCCATTCACATCAACATGCCGTCATATTCAGGGCTCGCAGCTGCGGCTGCGGTATTGTGTGAGTAAACACACCCCGATATACCTTCAATAATCCCCACCCACGTATACACACACGAAGAGACAGAGACACCGCGGTGTATCATCCCTCACTCTCCAGCGCGGCTGCTGACATCAGACGACCTCATCAGCAACAGCTGCGACCACAGCAAGCGCAGCAGCAGTCAGCTACTGCGCCTCAGGCAGCATCTGCTACGCCGTGGGCGTCCCAAGCACCACGGCTTCCTCCGGGAGCGGCAACATCTACTTCCAGATCTCGGCGCCCACGACCTACTCATGGGTGGCCCTGGGCACCGGCTCGCAGATGTTGGGGGCCAACATCTTCATCATGTACCAGGACGGCACGGGCAACGTGACCGTGTCGCCCAGGCCCGGCACCGGCCACCAGCAGCCCCAGTACGACGCGTCCACCGCGTCGCAGATCACGGTCCTGTCGGGAAGCGGCGTCAACGGCGACACAATGGTGGCCAACGTCCAGTGCGCCAACTGTCAGTCGTGGTCGGGCGGAACCCTTGACGTCGCCAGCTCCGGCTCGTCGTGGATAGGGGCCTGGAAGTCAGGGTCCGCGTTGAATTCGGCCAGCCCGTCTGAGGCCATCTCGTATCACGATGCGCATTCAGAGTTCAACCTGGACCTGTCGCAGGCGAGCATTGAGTCAGACAGCAACCCCTTCACCGGCGCCGCAGCCACGCCTACCCCGACGGGTTCGTCCGGGTCTAGTGGCTCGACGACGGTGAGGCCGAGCCAGACGGTCATCTGGGCTCATGGCCTCGGTATGGCGATTGCCTTCGCAGTTCTGTATCCTCTGGGTTCTGCTGTGATGCCTCTGTTCGGAAAATGGTATATCCATAGTGGTTAGTACACACGCAAATGAACTCTTTCTCCTTCCAGTACAGTCTTGGGTTGGCTTGGTAAAAGCGTAGACGGCGAGTCTCGGCGACCACGTCCATTGCCTCTTTGCCTGCTGGCAGGAATGTAGACAACATGTACTGACAAGCTCCTAGTCTGGCAGATGGTGAGCTGGCTGCTGATGTGGGCTTGCTTCGGCCTCGGCGTTTACGGCGCGCAACAGCGAAATATGGTGAGTCTTGGTAGAGCCACCCAGTGCGGACGATCCGGCCTTGCTAACATTGCTTCCTCTTTAGCTCTTCACAAACTCTCACGTCCAACTCGGCACTGTCGTGGTGTGCGTGCTCGCGATCCAACCTGCCCTCGGCTTCATCCATCACTCGCAATTCGCCAAGACGGGCAGCCGCGGTATCTTCAGCCATGCCCACATCTGGTGGGGACGGATCTGGCTGGTCCTGGGCGTCATCAACGGCGGCCTGGGCCTGCAGCTGGCAGGTTCCAGCAACAGCCTGGTCATCGCCTACTCTGTGATTGCTGTTGTCATGTACCTGGTGTACGCGGTCGTCAAGTCGCTCGTCTCGTTCCGCTCCCGGGGTAGAAGGAACAACGGCAGTTTGAATGGACGTAAGGTGTCCGGCGCTGGGTCCGGGTATGCCGAGCACGGGGATGAGATGAACCTCAACAGGTACCCGGACCACCAGTACGCTCAACACGGGAAATAAGAGAAGAGAGGGTCATTGCTAAGAGAATGATGGCATAGGGGGTGAGAGGACGGGATCGCGAGCGATTTGTGAATGAAACAGGTCCTTCAGGAATTCTGTACTGAGCACGTAACTGAATTGTAGATATGTAACAAAAGAAGACCGCGATGACAAACCTCTTTTACCAAAAAGTGAAGCTTGTAACCTTAGACCACAAACGTGCTTAGCTAAAAGCGACGGCTGTCAAGGCTGTGAAGCCGTACCTTGAGCAGCTGCTAAAGCAGTGACGTATGCTTGTGTGCACGTCTTTGACGGCATGAGCAGCGAGTAAGTGAAGTTAGCTTTGGGCCACGGGCTAACAAGTAGGTCTAGAATAGTAGTCTAGATCGGACGGGGGGCGATGGCAAGAATCTGGGGGCGGAAGAGCTGGAATCGAGCGCGTCACCGTGAGGAAAGTCGGGGGTGGATGCGGGGAACACGTGACTCGAGGCTCGCCTGCAAGCTCCCAGGGAAGAGGGACGGCGTCACCCGTCCTGGCCTTCCGAATTTTTGGAAAAAGACCTCAGCAGCCAACCGCAACCCAAACCCAACCTCGCCCTCCCCGTCTCTTTCCCCCCCTCACGCGTCAATTGAGCACCCCCAGAACAGCCAAGATGCTCTTCTCCGTCTCCCGAGCTTCCGTACGTCGAATTCCTGATGAGCCCGGCGATGGGCGCCCGCCCGTTCGCGACGGGGTGTTGTTGCCCCGTGCTGCGGCAAAGTGGTTTTTCAGAGCTGGTCCGCTAACACCCGCGTTCACAGAGCCGCCAGGCCGTCGCCGCAGTCTCCCGACTTGCTGGCCGCAACTCCGTTCAGATGAGGACATTCCTCAACCCCACGGTCTCGCGAAGAGGTACGTCGAGCAAGCACCCTGTCTCTTCCCCCTTCGTCATCACACGTGTTCGCACCCCAGTCCGGGAGCGGCAGGAAGGTGGATTGGGGTGGAGGAGCTCCTCGAGCGGGCCGGACCTTTGGAGATAGCATCACGTCACGACTTGACCTTGCCCGCCCGAGCTCTTCCTCATCAGCCACATCTCCCTGCCTGCCTGCCTTGCGTGACATGCCCTTCACATCTCGAGTCTTCAATTCTTCCGTCGCCTTTCACCCACCTGCTCCGACATCGCCCGCCCTCACCCACATCCTATCTATCTATCCCTTCCACCCACGCTGCCCTTGACACATCCCTCAATCGCATCGATACTAACACCGCCGCGTCCTCGCAGCCGACTTCGTCCAAGAACTTTACCTGAAAGAGCTCAAGGCCTACAAGGCACCAGCACTCAAGGCCAACGACGCCGAGGGCCAGGTCCTGACCTTCAACCAGCCCAAGACCCCCAAGTCCCCCGAGGAGACCGACCTCGCCTCCTCGCTGCAGGAGTATGAGAACATGGCCGTCGAGGTCGAGGGCCAGGAGCCCGCCAGCGCCGGCAAGCCCGCCGCCGCCGTCGAGGACTGGCTGGTCGAGGAGGATGAGGAGGAGCACGCCCACGGCCACTAGATATGCCGCACGAGCCGGCAGCCCGGGGCGGGAACGGAAGACCCGCAGAGCGATTGGATGGGTATAGGAGAAAGATAACGACGTGCTCTCGAGTACGGGGCACCCACGACCTCATCCATGCAAACAAGGAAAACAGCAGCCGCAGCTGATTTGTCTGACGAAAAAGAAAGACGTTCCTGGTGGAGAGGACATCGGTGTGCGAGGAGCAAAGGGAGACACTCGGAGGAGTAATCCGTGTACATTTTTTATCAGGCTTTCCTTACGACGTTGGGAATCGACAGACATCGCCTCATCGGGGCACACACTTAACACCTTTTCTCTACATTGACGTGTTGCCAACTTATCATTTGCTAAATACCGCTACAGCATTGCCGCCGTCTTCTCATGTCACATTACGGGGCGACATAATGGCCGATTTCGGTCAACAGGCCGGCGTACTCTGTTGCTGAGTCTCAGAATGAGAAGGCTCTCCCGCTCAGTCATCGTCACACTAAGCTAGTTGTGCCATGAGCAGTAGATGAAACAACTGTTTTTCAAAGGCTCACATACTCACAAGAGAATACTTCCCAGACATCATCACGACTCGGCCATGCCAGATTCATGTGTGTGACAGCCCTCCCCGTCGCGGCCGCGGCCACCCCAAGCCTCGCAGATTGGGAAACAGTACGCTTGGGCCTGGGACATATCGGTCCGACACGCAGATCGCACCTTTGATGAGCCATCAAAGGCACCGAGCCGCACAGAACTACAGAGACACAGGGAGACAAACTGAGCCTCGCAGCGTCCGCACCCAGGAAGCTCCTCGTCTCGAGCGAGACTGCTCACAAATCATGGTCGACCACCGGAGAGCCGCCGCCAAAGGAATATGGTGACACCAGCCGCGGGCGTAAATCCCTCTCTCTCTCTCTCCGTTCCACGAGGAGATAATAAAAATGCACACCAACCAGGGCACTTGGGGATCCGTCCGATGTGGTTTCCCGCGGTCGTCCCCCGGCCCCGTTCGTTTTCCACCATGTTAGCTGCGGGATAACAGGCACTAGGACAGACAGCGAGACCATAGCCACAGCAGTTCCACGACTTGAGCCTCGTTCGAGCAAGCGTCAATTGGGGGCACAGGAAGCACCGCGGCTCGCAGAGAAAGGGGGGTCCCTTGCTGCGCCGGTGCATCTAGCACGGCGCCCACATCGCACGCCCGTGGCCAGCCAGTCCATCAGTTCCGAACGGCTCGTAACTCCCGAGGTCAATCGGTTCGAGTTACGAGCCTAGGGTCACTGGCAGGGTGAAGCGTTTCGCTGCTTGGTCGCAGGTCTTGCTAGGGCAGGGGGTTTGGGGGTCTGAGGGCTGGGAATCACCAACATTCTTTCGTCTCCCCTGGGGGTCCTGGTGGCAGCTGGTGTGTAGGCCCAATGGATATAAGATGGTTGCGGACCTTGGGACGAAAGATGGTACTGGGTGTTCACTCACATGAGCTCCTTTTGCCTGGTCTGCCCCTGCTTTCTCCTCCTCTCTTTTTCTCCTTGATCTCCGCCTGCCTGCCTTGCTATCCCCTCCACATCATATCTCTCCTCCAAGTCCCCAACCCCCACCCCCCTTCCTCCGCAGGCCTCCCCTCCTCCTCTCAAGTCTGTTCCCACAGCCCAGGATAGTCTGGCGCCTGCCCTGAAGAACGGGGCCGTCGACATACGAGAGCAGAGCTGGTGGGGTTGAATCACAAGGTCAGTATGGCCCACTATGCCTTTTCCGTGCTCGATCTGTTAGACTAGTCAGTGAGACCATTACTAAGCCGCACTCACTCATTGAGAGGCAACGCAAGCCAAGGCAGAAGAAACCTCGGAAGGGCCAACCACCTGGCACATTGAAGACAGACTCCCGGCTTACACAAAAATTTGTGGGTATCATCATAAGACGGATATTTAGCTCGCGTTGGGGCGGTCTGTCGTGGGAAACACGAAGACATGCCCGGCGGGCCTGCATTGTTCTGTGGGCTAGTTCTTAACAAGGCAAGCTCTCGAGTCACCATTCAACTGTAAACATGCGAGACATTGTGGAATGGAATAGTACACGCCCACTCGAGGGCGTTGGATTATTAATTACCACCTTAGACATTGATTTCCATCGATCTGTTGGAGACCTAACTACATAATGGTATCTGGCTGCCCTTCACGTAGTGCAGCGGAATCCCGCCTCCCACCCATGGCGAAGCACTTTGCTGCTGCTGCTGGAATACTTGCTAGATGCCATACCATTTTAATATGTCCTGTCTCAAGTGGCCATCGAGATACTCGTATGAGGTATCGGGTCTTGCCTGGTGGCGCAGATTAGCCCAACCGCTCCGATCAACCCCTGCTGTCTGACATACAGTCACAATGTGAAGCGTGCCAAGCTGTGCTGTCCCTGTCCCCTCTCCGATCCTGCTGGCGGTCATCCACTCGTACAGGCTTCGCTGAATAGCAGAGTCCAAGTAATCGTCGTGACTCCCAAATGATCAGAGGGACTCGTACCCCCTGGCAATAAGAGCCCTCCCCGGAAGAATCGTTTTTTGTTTTTGCAATCATGAAATCAAACTCTGTTTCCAGGACGCCAGGGCCTTGCGCTGCATCATGTGCCTGACGCAACTGTTTCTGAACCGCCCATATGCAAATGCGTGATGCGTAGTACCAATCTCATGAACGTGAAATCCGTTGATCGCCCTTTTTTTGTACCCCAAATAGGGAGAGAAAAATTTGTGAGGCGTCGGCAGCCGATACCGCTTCCTCACATGTCGAAATCACCACCGCCGACGAGGTGATCGTCGTTGGTGCGAACCACCCCGCTCATTCGATTTGGCCTTCGAGTGTTGACGTCGTCTACATCATCCCATTCATTCTTGCTCCGGTCCACATCCATCTCATCGTCATGTAGTCGATCCCTCATGTGGTCGTCCAGTGCACTCTCGTCAACAAACGTGAAGCCCTGGAAGTTGGCCTGCACAGAGGGTGACAGAGGAGTAGACGTGGCAAAGCCGCGTGCCAGGGCGGCCGCCCGCTCGTTGAGGGAACCGTTCGTGTTCAAGGCGTTGGTGAACTCAGGATCGAAATATGACACGTCGGTGTCAGACTTCAGGCTGGGCTTGAATGGCGGTGTGATGACCTTCTTCGACAAGGCCTCCCAGTCAACGTCATTAAAGAACGGGTGGCGCTTGAGCTCCTCGGCATCGTCATTGGCGCCCAGTCGATGCTTCGCATTCCTGTTCAATAGCCCCTTGACAAAGTTGCGGCCCTCCAGGGACAGCGTGTCTCTGGGAAACCTGACCTTCCCGAAGGCGATGTTCTTGTACATCTGCTGAGTGTCCTCGGCGTAGAAGGGACTCCAGCCGCAGCACATCTCAAATACCAGGACACCCAGCGACCAAAAGTCGACCATCTTGGTGTAGCCTTGCTCGTCCAGCAGGACCTCCGGCGCGAGGTATTCCGTCGTCCCGCAAAAAGTGTTGGTTGTGTCATTCTTAGTGAGGTTCGCCTTCGAAAGACCAAAATCGCACAGCGCGATGTGTCCGTTTGCGTCGAGCAGGATGTTCTCGGGTTTCAAGTCCCGGTAAACAATGTCGTTCTTGTGCAGATGCTCGATTGCTAGGATCAGTTCCGCGATGTAGAATTTGGCCCTCTTCTCGTCGAAACGTCCCTCTTTTTGCAGGTGCCAGAACAGCTCACCCCCAGACATGTAATCCGTCACGAGGTAGAGGTCGGACGGCGTCTGGAACGAGAACTTGAGGCCCACGATGAATGGTGACTCTGATGTCGCTGTCCGGACCAGGATGTTCCTCTCTCCGACAGTGTGGGCCACCTCTTTCTTCTGCACAATCACCTTCTTGGAAAGAACCTTCATCGCGTATATGCGGCCCGTGTCCTTCTTCCTGACCTGGTAGACCTGACCAAAGGTACCCTTGCCGATTAGGCGGAGGATTTGGAAATCTTCTGGGCCGACGTGTCGCCGTTCTGTCCGTTGGTACAGTGCCTCAACGTATAGCTCTCCGGTTGGTGCGTTCTCCTCCATCGTGTCTGCGTGACCCTTCAGAGCAAACCAGCCTCGGATGGGCTCTTTGCTGTCAGGGCGTCTCGCTTGCAGGTCAACGTGTCCTAGGAATTCCGAGCCTTTTACGCCCTGGTCGTATACGGAGATGTCGACCAGCATGTCCGAGTCGACGACGTCACTATATCTCGTAGTCAGCAAAACATATTTCGTAACCTGTCTGCGCCCATCTCTTGACTTACAACACAGCCTCAGCGTCCCACTTTGGGTTTGTGAACGACTGACGCTGGGTGCGGTTGCGGAAGCTGTGTGGTTCGCCGGTGCTGGTGTTGCTGCTTTGGCGACTTCTCATTGGGATGGCCATCGGCCGGCCTGAATCGCTGCCCTGCCGTTGAATTGGCACGCCTCCCATGGCGACATTTGAAATCGCCGTCTCGTCATCATCCTCATCCATACGTGGGCCGCTCGAGATCAGCTCGCTCCGTTGGAAGACGGCAACCACATAGGGCGCTCGGCATTTTCTCAGGCCCCTCGCCTCGCTTATCTTGATGGTGAGTTTGCCCTTGACCGCTGGCAAGTTTGATGCCCCGCCAGAGCTGGGAGGGGTCTGTGTGCCCGTGGCGCTCGAGCTCTCGTCGCTGGTCCTCCGCTCCTCCGTTCCATCATTTCGGGCTACTTTCGTGGACGACAGTGTTCGGGTTGGGGTAGATTGGCCACTCTTTGGAGCCACGTCGTTTGTTAGCTTCTTAAGTTGACGAACAGAAGCAGGGTCTTCAGGAACATCATCCGTCTTCGCGGGAGAGGGGTGCTCGTGCTTTGGGGAGTTAAGTGAAGTGGAATCTCTGCGACTGCCAGGAGTTGAGAAGTGACGAGCATTCACGTTCGACTCGGTGATCGCGACCGAGGCCACCGGGACAAGCGCAGATGGCCTACGGCCGTTCATGCTTGTGAGTTCCGAGATGCTCGTCTTGTGGAGTTGAGGCGGGGTGACGGCAGAGCCAGCCCTCTGCCTCGAGGAGTCCCCACAGTTCTCGTCGACCTTGGCACCGCGCACTGAAGAGCGCGAGGATGCGGGAGGAGTGGGATACGGGTGGAACTCGGCGCTCTCGGGAGGAGGCTTCTCTTCTGAGAGCACGCCCACCGTCTCATGAGGGAGGAGAGGTGGTCCTTTGGCCTCAGATGGGCTGCGAGAGGAGGACTCGACAGGGCTGACTGGCAGGTGTGAGGGTGGGGAGGAAGTGAGATGCTGGTCATGCCCTGGCTCCGCCTCTGCCTCTGCCTCTTCTCCGTGCTTCTCCTGCTGAGGCGCATCACGAGGCGCAGCCTCGGCCCGTGTAGTCGCATGAAAGGTGCCAGACCACAGACGCTGAAGAGAGGCTGGACGAACCTGGCCAGTGAAGTAGCTCATGATGCCGGGCAGTCGCTTGTCTTGTAGATCTGGTTGGGGGGTAGCGATGCCGGAGCGAGGAGCTTCGTAAATCTGGTCTGCGCCGTCCTCGTTCTCTGCCGCGGCAGTCCTGCTGCGCTCGTTAGGATTTTGATTTTCCATGCTGCCTCGCTTTCTTATGGGGGTTGGTAGGGTGCAGAAAAATGGTAGAGGGCGGAGGGGCAGGCGGCAGGAATCGGAAGACAGGGGCAGTAAGCTTGTGAAAGTCCCAGCGGTGACGATAGTGTGCGGGTCAGGGTGTTTAAAGAGGCAGGCCACGATGGGGAATTGTTAATCTGCGGGAGGGGGTGCGCCCATGTGCGGGTCAATGAATGACGTCCTTGGGCTGGGAAAATTGGAGAATTTTTCAACGTGCTGGAGCCATGCTGGGGCACACTGTTTTTCGGGACTTTCAGGGCCTGAGGGCTACTGGGGCAGGGCCGAATTGCAGGAGGAGATTGCAAAACAGTGCATGCAAGAGCGCCAGATGCGCAGCCAGTAACGTGTATCATCTCCGAAAACCCGCCCACCTCCGTGGCTAGCCCTCTGGAAGCTGGAGGTCAAGCATCCTTGGGACTACCTGGAGCTGTGCGGCCTGTGGTCTGTGGTTGATGAACCGAGCCTGGGACAACGAACCAAAAAGGTGGGCATGTGGGGGGGAGAGTTTGCCCGGGGCCGCCAGGCACAGGGTGCTTCGACCTCACTTGGGGCGGGTGGGGGTGAGTGCAGTGACGGGACATCAGGGACACGCTCGGTCAGCGAGTCATTGGCAAGCTCGCTCGACTGATTTGAAGCTCAGTCAGACCCCCCCCCCGAGGTCGCGGCAGATGTGGCGGGCATTGGCCAGCTTGTTTGCAAGTGGGCTTGCTCCCCGGGGACCGCAGGCCTCCCTCTTTGGAGTTGGCCGGAATTCAGACTCGGACACCCGGCAGACACACAGAGATAGGGACTGACGGCCGGACGGACAGACAGACAGACAGGCAGACAGGCAGACAGGCACAAGGGGGAGGGAGCCTCCTGTGGGAAAAGCGACGGTGTGCAGGTGTAGGCTTGGGTGCAGGTGCAGGACTAGGTGCAGTGCCCAACGCACCGCCCAGCGCTTCCAAGGAGCTGGTGCTCGGCCAGTCCGCGAGTAGGCTATCTCTGGGTGTGTCCAAACAGGTACAGTACCGCTGGCTGCACGTCAGTAGCCCAGGCACTATGGTGCTATTGGTGCTATGGTGCTATGCCATGGATGGTGCGGTAGGCCACCCGAAACACCGCACAATCTCCAGTTCCCAGGCTGGTAACGCGGCAGCCGGGAGAACGGAGATATGTCCCAGGGAAACCGGTACTAGACCGAGTCAGGCTGGGGGGGAAGGGCAGGACGGGCAGGACGGGCAATTGCTCGAGCTTCACCATCCGTGACGTTGAGGTGATAACGGGCTAGCTGGCGACGTCGGGCAAGTACCGCACCACGGACACGGCGCGACAGCGACAGATTGATGCAATTGTCGCCGAAAACGCTGGTGTGGAGCGTGCCATTGGATGCTTTTTTTGAGGGGAGGTCCAGTCGCCCCCCACACAGCCTGGACTGGTGTGGGCTGGTGGGTAAATACTGTCAAGGACCCTGTCGCATCTGCCATATGCCATGCCGCTGCCATATGGCAATTCTGTTCCAAGATTCCGCGACCTCGAAAAACAGCTGCCTGGGCCAGCCGCGGCAAGCTGCAAAAAGGGTGCTGCGCAGCACAAGTCGACGCCTGGGACAGGAAAGGCAGGACGACGCAGCACAAAGCAATCAGCCAGCCCAGCCAGCCGACCGCTCAGCCAGCCGGACAGACAGCCATCCACTTGGTTTTGGGCTCAACCGTTGCAGATGAGGCAGCGAAGGTGGAGAGGCAGACGCAGGCCGACAGAAATAAACAAGGCAGTCCGTCTGTGTGGTGACGCGCATTGTCGTGTGTGCCAGGTAGACTAGGGGTTCTAGAAGGAAGCAATGGGGCGGAGAGGGCAGGGTGTGTGCGCGCAAAGATGGTGCAATGTAATGTTGGAGCACTCCTTTTGGTGCAGTTAGGAGGCACTGGGCCGGGGGCAGTCCTGCTATGACGGCAGGGTGCACCCCTCCACTGGGGGGGGGGGCAGCTCCACCGGGACAGACTGCAGACTGGCAGACTTGGAAGCTGGGACGACCTCCATCGAGTGTGAGGTTGATGCGCGGTGAATCACGGGCGGGAGAGCGAGTAAGGAGGCTGAGGGATGACTGACCGATTGTAGAGCATTTTCGCCGTGGCCCTGCGCAGCAGGTCGAAACTGCCGCCCGATGCGGCCTCAGCTGGGTTGGTCGACATGCTGCTGCTGGCGTGTTGACGGCAGGCGAAGAGTCATGAAGGCCCGGTGCGCGCTGATGGACGAGGCAATGACACCATGCGATGCGCTGGTGTGCGCTTCGATGCGTTGCGGTGCGGTGCAGTACGGTGTGGTGTGGTGCGATGGGGCGGGATGGAACGGGGTGTGATGGTCTGAGTTTTGAAAGGCAGGTAGGTAATAAGGTAGGTGATGGGTAATGCTGCCGCCCGAGGCACGGTCGTCGTCGCTGGTGCGCAGCAGACGGTGGCGACCGGTGGTGACGGGTGGTAATTTCAAAGGCAGTTAGGTAAGGCGAGGTAGGTGGTTTCTGTGTCCTCGCCAAGGAGGCTGAAGTCGAGTCGGGTCGAGGCGAAATCGAATCAGGTGGCAGTGGTGTCTGGGTCTGGGCCAAGCTGAGATCAGAGACACCGCCGATGTAATTTGGGTGTGGTGTGTGTGCGTGGCGAATGAAGGTCGCGACAGGCCAGGCTCCGCGGGATTCCCAATGTGGGTTTTTTTTTGTCTGTGGTCTGTGTTCGGAGTCCGTGCCTTGTGCTGGGGGAGTTGCCCGCCCGTTTTAGTGGTGCTTAGTCGACTTCACCACCTCACCCAACTGCACTTCGACTTCAACATCCGACTTTCAATGTTGAACTGGAGTCTCGTCTCGCTGGCACACAGGTCAGCCCACAGGGCTGGAGGAAGGGGTGCGACTCGTGCGAATGTTCGTCCGTTATTGCACCGCAAGTGCCCGCCGCCCGTCTGATCTCGCGCCTTGACTGCTTGAATGAGTGCAGTACGACGGATTGGGCGGGACTGTCGGTGTTTTTTTTGTTGGTGCTGGTCCACGGGGTATGGGCCTAGGAGTTTGAAAAGTTGGGGGAACGGGCGGGAAACTTTGGGTCCAATGGGCCCCTCCCCTCTCCTCAGCAGGCCCTTTGGGCCCTTTGGGAGGGTGGGGCAGGCTCGACAAGGGCTCGCCTGAACCCGTTCGGGCTCCCACGCGACAGACCAGCAGGCGGGCCAGCCAGGCAGGGCAAGGGGGAAGACATCTGACAGTGGACGAGATACATAAGGGTACCCGGGTAGTCCAGCGAGGCCAGAGGCAGCCCCTCTGTACGGTTCAGTACCTACCTCCATGCATACCTATCGATTTGTTGGTCCTAGGTACTACAGCAAGACCATCAAAGTAGACATACGGTGTACTGTTTTGGGCTCGCTCGCTTAATCCGCCTGCGTGCGTGCCTACTTGCGTACCGACCTACCCAACTAGGCGTCCCCGGATACCCAAAGGAGGCCCCCAAAGCTGACATGTCAGCGAGCACAAGCAAGAAGGCGGCCGGTGCCCATTCCTACTCCTTCCCATGTGACGGCAGCATGCCTGGGGCGACATGTCAGGGGCCTGGCGAGAGACAAGAGTGGCATCCAGCCAGCCGTCCAGCCCGTCTGGGGTCCTGGGCGGCGACGGCCCAGGCCTGTAGGCCCGAATCGATCACAATCCAGTCGAGCTCCAACCAGCCTGCCAGCATGCCGTGCCGTGCGTCTCGACACCTCGAACCTCGAACCTCGAACCTCAGCCTACCACAGTAAGGGCTAGGAGCTAGTCTAGGAATCGATAATTCCATGTTCTATTTTTGCCCTTACCCGCCCAGCACCAGCTCGGTACGACTTGCTCCAGGTACAGTACCTGCTTGCGTTCCATGGTTTCAGCCTGTAGCCCGTGCCTATAGTACTGTACAATGTACAGAGTGACAGCTCGGCTTCTTGACCACACACCGCAGCGTCGACAGCAACCCCTTTTCCCCAAAGCCGCGGCACATACCGACTTGTCCACGGCGAAGCCACCCCCATTCTGCGTGGAGAAGGAGCAGCAGCAGCGGCAGGAGTAGCTGCACGAGGAGTAGCAGCAGCAGCAGCAACAAGGCCGCGGCAGCTCCGTGCGCTGGGCTTGGGCCAGGAATACGGCTGACCGAGGAGGCCAGGCCGCATGTCTATTTTGCGTGCTGGACGGACGGCCGTGTCTCTGCGTGTGTATACGCACACACATACACACACACACACACACATCGTGACACCTGTGACTGCGACAAAGGGACAACGCGCCGCTCCCGAGGTAGGACCAATCAAATCGTATATGCAAGTCAGATGGCGAGGAAGAGACCAGATCATGCAAAGCCACACAAATCTCATTTCTCATCTTCCATCGCCCATCAGCATGGACGAGCCACCTGCCTAGTACATGAACCAGCCCGCCCATGCGACGAGGAGCAGGCCGTGGGTTGGTCCTGTCCGAACCTCGATCTGGAAGCTCTCCCGCCTCACTAAGCAACGCATAGTCTGTCTACCTAGGTAGTATGGTTGTCCACGTCCCTAGTCCGGGAATCAGTTGGCCTGGCAGCCTGGCCGGGCTCGTCCTCCGGGCCTATCTTTGCTTCTTCCAAATCATGGGCTCTAGTGGTCAAGGCTAGTCCACCAAGAGGTCAGGCACGGCTGGCCCGAACTTTGGCCGTCCAGGAGCTCTGGACGACGTTCCGATACTGCCTGTCGGATAATGTGCTGGGGTACTATCCTGACCAGCGTTGTACGTCCGTTTCACCGTATCGACGCAGCCCAATCTTTTTTAACTTTGCTGTGTCCAAGTTGGCGCTTCTTGCCCCTACCACAAATGCCCGCATCTCGATAATGCAAGGCAACTGTGATCGCACCACAGGCGACACAGACATAGATAATCAAGCGAGGGGGTCCGCGGGTGTTTGTGGGTGCTGCACACCATTTGCCGGCTGCGCGACCCGACCCGACGGTCGGACCTAAATCGTGAACCGCCAGTTATCATAGCCTACCTATGAACCTCACATTCACATGCGCAATATCCCAGGGCCTCTCCTGGAAGGTTCAGGACGAAGTTTCAGTCCAATTACAGCGCTCGGAAACGCTCTCCGAGCCGGAGCGCGGCGCTCAGCTCAGGGAGATGGGGGCATGGGGATGATGTGCCCGTCCAATCCTCTGCCCCTTTTTTTGACTTTGCCTCGACGTCTCATCGCGCGTGGATCGCCCACGAGGTTGCCACGTTTCCGATGAATCGAGGCCCTTCCCGTGCGCGCCTCTGCTTTCCTCGCTCGACCCGGGGGCAATCCCAAGCCGCGGTGCCCCGGAGGTAACATCAGGCGCAGGGCGCTGCCACGAGGGGCACAAACGTGTCTCTCGCCGCGGGGAGCTCCTTCGACGCGACATTGGGTGAAATCTGGAAATTTCGGTCTCGCCACAACGCTGGCTGTTTCGCGCCGCTCATTACACGACGCCGGGGGGACAGGACTCGTGTGTGCCCAAGCCACAATGTTGGGCCGCCTCTTCCCCTGCGCCATATATCACACCGTCTTAATGGCGAGCCTGCGCGCGGGATCAAGCGGTCGGAACGTGCCATTATTAACTCGCCCGGCTCAAACATGTGTCTGCTGACTTTGCCTGCCAGCGAGCAGGCATAAGGAATTGTGAAACATTATGGTGCCGTACGACTCGGGGGCTGGGGAGGCGAATACGACGGTTAAGAGACCTCAGTCGCCTGGAAGCTGTCGGCCAAAGGGAAACATTTTTTGACTCTTTGAGATTAACCGGCTCGGGAGAAGCAGCAATGCTTGTGTATTCCTTGGCTGAGCGAGAGTCTCATCGCGCACATGCACACACATGAGAAATGGAAGGTTTCCAGACAAGGCGCCGTCTGCTATTGCCTGGCTGTGAGCAGCCAGACCTGAGTACTTGAACAAGGCACAGACGATGTCAGTGAAGAGAGCGAAGGCGTCGTGCCTGGAGACGGAACGACTGGGGCATCCTCCTATATCCCGCCGGACTAATGTAGGAATAAGGATTCAATACGCGAATATCACGTAGGTCATTGAGAGAGGCTCTTGCGCCGGACTTGGGGATCGCATAGGGGGGCACCAGCAACAAGGCTTTGTATCTTTCTCCAGTGCGAGAATCAATGATTCGTTTCATTCTCGGTATCTCTGGTCGTAACTGATTCTCTTACGCCAGCTTCAAAACCCCCATATTGTCCCCACGCATCCCGTCCCTTCGGCGCCAACCCTCTTCACTCCATCTCCGCCAGCGACTTCTTCAGGTTCACCTCGATATGTCCGAGGATCCTGCCCACCTCCTCCTCCCCGATCAGCTCGCTCAGCCAGCAGACGACCCAGGGGCTCAGCATCTCATGCTCGTAGACGCTGGCGATGAACTCGGCCTTCTCGTCGTAGCCGGGCATGTATGCGTCCGACGCCTGGAACAGCCAGAGGTCCTTGACCCGGTGGTACTTCTTGACCTCCTCCTTCAGCTTGGCCTCGGCAAGGCGGCCCACCCAGACGACGCGGCGGCGGCTCGGGTGGAGGAAGAGCGCCTTCTTGATGTCGTCCTTGATGGGCGCCGGGTACCAGAACCGCGGCTCGATGTCGGGCTCGGGGCTGGGGCTGGGGCTGGGGGTGGTGCCGGCGGGGGTGGTGCTTTTCTGGACCCGCCACTCGTACTTGACGGGGAGGGGGTTGATGAGGCGGCGCGAGGAGAGGTCGAAGAGGTCTTCGTTGTAGAAGCCCTTGGGGGGCTTCGCGACCTTGTGGACCGCCTTGGTGTTCGCCATTTTTTGGCTTTTAGGAGGAAGGGAGATGGGGTCGGGTGTATTCTTCCGCTTCAGTGAAGGAGGCGGGAGGTCGGCGGCTTTGGTGACGAACCTCCGGCGGATGCGAATCTTCTTGATGCTCCGAGCAGGCGTCGGGTATTCGTCCTCGGCGGCTCGCTTCATTTTGAGTAGTGTGGTAAGTTGGGGTGATTGGTAAGGTAGGTGACTTAGAGGGTTGGGTGACTGAAGCTCTGCTCGCTGGATGAGTCTGTCTTCTTGGATGAAGAACAGCAAGTGAGAAGGAGGAGACGAAAGTTTTCTTTTATATGTGTTGGCATCTGAGGAGTTGCCGCATGTCGAAGTCCCATTCAGAAAAAACGGAACAATAGGATGGTAGTTGGAAAAGCGTATACGATACACCCGGCATCCCAACAATGACTTTCCCCTCTATTGCCCAAATATCAGACTAATGAGAAGAGGAAGCTGGCAGATCCCATTTGCACAGAATAGAAACTAGGAAACGCGTCCATTTGCTTTCGCGAGGGGCCCAAGTTCTGTTTCCTATATGTTCTTCTTTTATTCTGCAATCGATGTTGTAGCAATACTCGAGACCTATTCTCCTGGCACGAATTAAACATTGCTGGTCGCGTGTGACGAAGGGAGAGCTTGCATCAATAGCACAAAATGCAGAAAGATGTTCAGCACCGGCAAATGAGTAAGTCGACGTGAGTTCTCTTGATGAACAGCATAGCCAAACCTGGAAAAGAATAGAGAGAAGCCCAGGAACAATAGAACACTTGCAGGGCTTGTCTGAGTACTCGAATCAAGCCTTGAGAGCTTTTCCACGAGAACAAGGCATGTAGCGCTCTACTGTCTGTATTGCGAATCCGTAGGGGGCGACCTTAGGGGCCCTAGCTCAAGGCAACAGCTTGAGAAACATGTCCCTGTGGGTTGTCAGTCACAGGATGGTTTCCACAACATAGCATCCAATTAGACAAACTGGTATATGATCACATCTGATAGAATAAACGTTTGAGTCACAAACTGCTGAGAACAAGGGAAGACAGTGAGCAAGTCAAAGATCATTTCACGGATGGACCTAGCTATGTGTCAAGTTCGTCAAAAGAAGTTGAAACGAGGTTTGAGCATCAGGACAATGGCAATCCTCATCAGCCGAAATTTTGCAAGCTAGGCATGAGCACCATCGGTGTGACTGAGTCTTGAAAGCAAACCCTGAAACAAAGTTCCGTGAATGTCGAGGGCAGTAAACGGTGAACCAGTGCGTGTCAGGTCCAAGAGCAAGGACCAAACGGTCCTTCCTCCAGATACCTTGGCAGATGCCCCGGGAGTGAACGAGGTTCATCATGTCCTGGTGTTCGGGATGTGAGGTCTGAGGAGGCGCGGCTCATTTGCGTAGCTGGGAAGGCCGAACGGTTCCAGACGGCACTGGACAGAAAGCATACTCCAAGTTAAGGGTCACGTATCATAGGAGCTGTTGTAATTAGCACAAAACTGGTAGCAACCTCTCAGAGAACATCATGCCCATTACGACACAGAATGCCTAGGCTTACACTCGAGGCTTGCACTGAATGACAATTTCACGCTCTTCAATCTTGGTACGGCAGATGAGAATTAATTGTCAAGTTTGCCCCCTGAAAAATGGCTTGAATTTCCAACGTGAGGCGATCTCTCATGGAGAGCCTATGCTTGATGTTCCTGTCCATGCGAAGATAGACCCCGGTAATGGCTCCCTTAGCTTGTCAGCACCATGCCTTACTACTTCAGCTTTGCCACAAGGTCCCGCAAGCGGGAATCCAGCTCTGGGGTCATGCCCGGAACGTTCTGAGCCATGGGTGGAAACATGGGATCGCGGGCTAAGTCATATCCTCCTGTTAGAAACTGACTTTGTCTTGGGAATGGGACCCAGGAGACGCTGACATGGGAAAAGGGGGCCCTCACGAGTCTTGAAAGATCGATGCTCCAGTCTGGTGGTTACTGTCGCGTACTCGTCCCTCCACTTCTGATTGTTGAGCCAGCTGGTAGGCGCTGCTGTCTCTGACATTGTTACGTCGCCATTCGCGCCGTTGGTGGCCGGTGGAGGTTGACTTGGATTGTGACTCTTCGGGGTGGGCGTCTGCGCTGGGCTGTCGAGCATGATCGCGTCTGAACTCATAGTCAAGTGTAGTTTTCTGTTTTGACGGCGAGATACGGTATCAAATTCTTGACGTGTGACAGAGCCCTGATTTTCCTTGTTTGTGAGATGAGAATGAGTTGAGAGATGTGGTGCATCGGCCTAAGAAGCTCAGATTGATGAGTCCACCGCAATGCCTTAGTTAGTTGGAGTGACGTTGAACGGGACCTTGATGGGTGCCCCACCACTTCAGATCCGGACAGGGGATCCCTGCACAAGCACTGTGTGTGGAAAACGAGCTGCCGCCCCCCCCCTGTCGCTTTGGTTAGCTGTCCCCCCCCGCACCAAAATTTGGCTGTGAACGCGGAATACGCACTAAGATCCTTAAGGATACCCTTATTAACATTATTACGCACTTAATTTAGCAAAAGAAAGGTTATTATAACTTCATTTTATGTATATCTTTAAAATAATTAAGAGTAATAAAATTAACTTAAGCTTATTATATAAGGGAGTATATGCTTTGCTAACCCTAGCTTAAGGTAATTATAGCCTATTTAAATTAACTAAGGACTTATTTTAATAATCCTTAAAAAGCAAAAGCTTAGCTATTGTAATTATATATTTATTTATAATATTAAGTTATTTACTTTATTAATAAGGTATATATTAATTAATTAATAGCGTTATTATATATAAAGAAGCTAATAATAAAGGTAAAGGTTATTGTTATTATAAAATAAAAGCTAGCAGCTTAATTAAAGCCCTCTTAAGATAAGTAAATAGCTGCTTAATATGCTGCTTAATATATTATTAAAAATATTAAGGAGATTGCCCTTAAAACCATCCCTAATAAAAATAATGCTTTAAGCAGCTTAAATAAAGCTAAGAGTGCTTATATTAATTAAAAAATGTTAAATATATTTAAATTACTGCTATTAATTAATAATGTTAAAGGTAGCAATATTAAAAAGTTAAAAAGCTATTTTCTGCTAAGGAAGTTATTAGGGAAAGCATTTTTAATATTATATATAAAAGTTATTAATATAAAGGCTTTTTTAACACTGCTAATAAAGCGATAAAGCTTTGCATTTAATAATGGTAAATATAAGGCTTTTAATATTAATTTATTATTTAAAAATCTTTTTTTTAAAATAAAGAATTAAGTTAAGGCTAAGCTTATTAATATAAAGAGTATAATAATTAAGTTATTATAAGTCTTATTTAAGATAAGTTATTAGCTTTAAATAAAAATATTCTTAGTTTAATTAAATATAATAAAGAAAAATAAAAGGCATTTAAAGGAAAAACTTTTTAATAATGAAATTATAAAGATGCTTTTATTAAGTAAGGATTTTTATTATTTTATAATTATATATATTTATAAAGTAATACTTTTAATAATATAAATAATGCTTTATAACATTATAATGTTAAGGTAACTAAGTATTAAAATCTTTTAACCTTTTTTATTAATAAAGTTAATACTTAGCTTAATAAATAATTTATTAATAATTAAGCGCTTATAAAGTATCCCTTTAATAAGAAAATTATTATTACTTTAAGGCTTTTAAAAAGGGTTAATTATTGCTTATATAATAATTATAATAAATAATAATTATTTATTTATTTTTAAGGCTTATAAAAAATTAATATAAATATAATAATGCTTTAAGGGTTTTTATTATAAGGTTAATTATTATTATTATAATAAAAAAAACTCTTTATAATAATAATGTTATATTAAGAAAGATAGTATATATATAAATATTGCTAATATTAATTTAAATTTATAAGTATAAGCAATAATTAATAGCAAGGCTGCTGTTTAAGGGCCTTTAAAAGAGCTTTTTATTAAGTAAATAAATATTACTAAAGTTAATAAGAATAATAAGGAACTTAATAATAATAATATTAGCCTTATATATAAGTAAAAAAAGCTTAAAAAGGGTAATAAGTAAAGGGAAAGTAATATTAATATAATGGTTAACCTATTAATTAATTTTTATGCCTTTAGCTTTAAGTATAAGCACTTAATAATGTTATTATTAGCGCTATTAACGCCTTTATTAATATACTTATTAAAGGGCTTTAAAAAGCTGCTAATATTATTAATATTAATAACTTTTTATTTAAATAGCCTTATATATTATTATTAACTGCTTATGCTTTTATTATTATTATTATAAGTATTTAATAATTAAAAGGCTCTTAATAAAGACTTTATATTTAAGGCCTTATAAAAGCATTTTTATATATTGGTAGAAAGAAGGTAATTAATAAAGTTGCAAAAGGTTATAAAGCGTAAAAGCGTTAATTTTTAAGCCTTATATTTAAAGGAGGATATTTAATTTAATGAAAAAAACTTAAATAGTATTAAATTAATTAAAAGGCTTATAAAGTTATATTTAAAGGAAAGGGAGGACTTTTTTAGGCTTTTTAAGAGTAATAAAGAGGAGAAGGGCTTATTGCTATTATTAATGCCGGCATAGGATGAGAATTATAATTTTTAATAGGTGAGAAGCCTTTTAATATTAATTAATAATGTATTAATATTAAAGAGTGAATTTAAGGCATTTTTTAATGAATTTTAAGCATTTAATTAATGTTATTTATAAGAGAAAGAGTAGTATAGTTAGTAAAAGAGTTAATAAAGTAGTTATATGTAAAAAAAAAGTATTTATTTAAGTATTTAAAGAGTTAATTAAGAAAATTAAGGATATTTCTTATAATAAATTATTAACTATTCTTTTTTAATTGCTTTAATAATACTTTTTTTTTATTAACTTTCTTATTATTAAAAAATTTATTATAAATAACCTTATTGTAATACTTTTTTCTTTTTATTAATATTATTTTTTTTACCCTTTTTTTAACTATATAGCATTTTTATTGCTCTTTATTACTATTATTACTTTTAAATCTCTTTTTTAATATATATATATGGCGGAAATATTCCTTAATTGCCTTTATATGCTGATTAACTTTTAAAGTGCTTAAGTATAAAAAACTTATAAATTTCTTATTATTATTATAGTTATTTATTTTATATTAATATTAATAATAAATATGCCTTTTTAAATTCTTAAAATATGCCTTAATTAAGTTAAAATTAAAGGAGTATGGCAGTAAATATATTAGCTAAATACTTCTTGCCTTAATAGCTGCATAAATAGTATTATTATAATGTTATAAAGCATTATTTATTATAAGCATTAATTAAGGGCTTGGGTAAGCATTTATTTAAGGGAGAATTTTTTTAAGAAGCTATATTAAAAAGAATTTCTTTATTATATACTCTTTATATATTATAATATTAAGAAAACTGTTAATTGTAATTGCCGGTAATAAATAAAAGTAAGCGCCTTGCTTAAGAAGACTTTTAACTTAAAGAATATACTTTAATAATGCCTAGCTTATTCTTTTTATATTATTATGCTTATTAAGTCTTAATTTATTATAAAAGATAAATATTTTAGCAATATATTATAACTTAAAAATCTTAAAAAAATAATAGCTTTAAAAGTTTTTATTGCGCTGCTAAGTTAATATATATATTTGCTTATTAATTTAATTGCATGCCTTAAGGGCCTTTGCAATAATTAATATAATAATATTAATTTAGCATGCCTTAGCAAGAAAGCATTATATTTTATTAAGGTATATATTTAGCTTATTAAGGAAAAGATCTTTAAGCTTTTATATAATAATAACTAGGTATTAATAATACTTAAAGGGCTTGTTATGTTAAAGAACGTTATATACTTTTAAAGCTTATTATTTTAATTTAACGGCATTTAATGATAATAATAAGGGTATGCTTAGCGCTATAATGTTTGTAATTATAATCCTTTTTTAATATTGCTAAATTATTCTTTTATTGCATTAAAATTTAGCTTGCAGCTATTTATTTAATAGCAATGAGTTTAAGCGTAAATAGAATTGCAATATTTATAACTTTGCATTTATTAGGTAATAATTAGCCATTATAATAACCTCTTTTTTGCTAAATTAGGTGCGTGGGCGATGTTAATAAGGTTGTTTAAAGAATCTTAGTGCGTATTCCGCGTTCATAGCCAAATTTTGGTGCGGGGGGGGACAGCTAATCAAAACGACAGGGGGGGGGGGCGGCAGCTCGTTTTCCACACACAGCAGCTGCCAAACACAGCCGCAACTGCTCCCGTCTGGGTGGTAGTAGAGCCAGCTACCAAAGGCACATTCGCAATGGCTTTGAAGGCAATCACTCCTACGGATTGAACAAGCGCAATAGCATAGGGACTTTGTGTCTCACAATATTTTGCTGTGACCAACAGCAACGACTAAATTCTTTTTCTTGCCTACAAAATCATTTTACCATCACAGCGTAGCGAACACGATCGAAGGTCGCCAGTTTTCCTATTTTCTGCGCCACATCGGTCCTCAACTGAGTAGGCTTACTTGCTGTAGGTGAGACCACCCTGGGCCCGCTTTTGCAGACCGTACTTCTTGAGGCGGATGGATGTGATGCCGATGAACCCAGTCGTGTCCTCGGGGCTGAAGTTGTCAAGAGTGTCCATGGAGGCCTCCTCGGCATCATACAGCTTCTCGGTCTCAGAGCTACGGCCCAGCACATAGGCATTGCCCTTGTAGAGTCGGAGGCGGACGAGACCGTTGACACGGTCCTGTGCGGCGATCAGGCAGGTGTCGAGCCACTCTCGCTCGGGAGAGAAGTACATGCCGTTGTACAGAAGCTCGCTCCACTTCTGGGTGACAAAGGTGTCACGAAGGGACCGCAGCTGGCCGTCCAGGACAAGACCCTCGAGGTCAAGATGGGCCAGGCGGAGGATGGTCATGGCGGGTGAGTCATAGCAGCCGCGAGACTTCAGGCCGATGAACCGGTTCTCGACAATGTCGATACGGCCCACTCCGTGAAGCTTGCCCAGGGCATTGAGCTTGGTGAAGAGCTCGACGCTCTCGGTGTAAGTCTTCCCATCAGCGAGGGTATCCAGCTTGACGGGGATTCCCTTCTCGAATGTGATGTTGATGTCCTCAGGCTTGTTGGGGGCGGTCTCAGGGTCGTCAGTCATTGTCCACATGTCAGTAGGGGGTGTCTGGTCTGGATCCTCAAGCATGCCGGCCTCGTAGCTGCAGTGGGCCATGTTGGCGTCCATGGAGTATGGCTTGGCCTTGGTGCTGGAAACAGGAATGCCCTTCTCCGCCGCGAAGTCGAGCAGGTCGTTACGACCCGCAAAACGCTTGAAGAAGGTGGGGTCACGCCATGGTGCAATGACCTGTGATGCTCCTTGTCAGACATACTCTTGTGGGGCCGATTTCCCAGATTGGCATACCTTGATGTCGGGGTTGATGGTGTAGAAGGCAAGCTCAAAGCGGACCTGGTCGTTGCCCTTGCCAGTGCAGCCGTGAGAGACAAAGTCACAACCCTCCTGCTCAGCAGCTGGAACAATAGTCAGTCAAGAAGTCTATCTTTAGATGAGTCATCCCAGGCTTCGTTCGTATACGCACCTCGCATTTGAGCGCGGGCAATGACCGGACGGGCCAGAGATGTTCCAAGGAGGTATCGCTGCTCGTAGATAGCGTTGCACTGAATGGCGCGGAAGCAGAGCTCATCCACGAACTCCTTGCGAAGATCCTCGATGATCCTTTTCTCGATATTAGTATAAGCGTCATGGGCTGGCTGTGCTCTTGAGGCAAGCAACACGTACATCTTGGTGGCACCGATCTTCAGGGCCTTTGCTCGAACCTCGTCCCAAGGCTCGTCCTGGCCAACGTTGGCCAGGAAGCACACAACCTCGTATCCCTGCTCCAGGAGCCATCCGAGGACTTTGGAGAAGGTATTAGTTTAGCTAATGTGGTTGGGAACTGGATCTCCACACTCACTGGTGCTGGTATCAAGGCCGCCTATATAAATGCTTAGCGTTCGTGGTCATCCTCTTACTTGAAGGGCCATTGACTCACCAGAGTAGGCCAAGCACACCTTGCCCTTCGCCATTGTGATTATTTCTGGGGTGAATGAGCTAATTGACAGTCAGTTGACGAGCTACAAGTAAGTGCAGAGCAAGGTAATGAGGCTGAGGGAGGAAGTTGATCGAGACTGAAGGGTAATAGTTGGGGCTCGAATTTCAATGACACCAAGTTACTCACATGTGGAGCTGTAAAGAGCAAGGGACTGAGCTCAGGAAGGATGACTGGATCTTGGGAGATGCTGAAGGAGGAAGAGATTATGACTACGACAATAACATGAGACGGAGACCAGCGAAATTTCAACGAAAATTCCTGGGCGAGATCGGTGCCCAGCGGTGTACTTAAATACAGGAGCTGCAAGTTGCTGCAGGCCGGGGATGGGAAAAGTTTGGAGGGGCAGCCGTAGAGTCACTGATAAGCACGAAATGCAACAATGGAATCCCTGCACCTCAGCCGATAAGCCCCGCGTAACCTGGCAATCCCAGGCGCGCTAAAAATACAGGGAGCCAGCCCGCTTGCGGGTCGATGTCCTCGGTTTAGGGGCTGGCCGCAAGGTTCAATGGTTTGTTGCTTCGAATTGGACCACCACATTTCACACACGTTCATCGACGCCGACCCTCAACTTTCTTCTCGATGCTTCACCAACGAACAAACGACACATTGCTCACCTATAAGATATCGAACACATAGTTAGCAATGAGCGAGCTCCGATAGCGACACTAGAGAACCATAGAAGACTCTGACCCTACAAGCACCGGCTACAAAAAACACACAAAAATGGGAAACCAGAAAATACCCGACGCCTGGGACGAGGACTGGGAGACGCAGGCCGACAGGGCTGCCCAGGCAGAGGAAAAGGAGCCTCCTACAGCGCAAGCACCCAAGAGCAAGGCGGAGCGCTGGGCAGAGCACCGCGAGCTGAACCGCCAAATCTGGGAAGCAGCGTATGTTTTCCCGACTCCTCAAGACATCTGCCCTTCAGACCACTTGTGCTCACACCCCAGCCCAGTGAGGCTCCCCCGGAGATGTATCATGTAGCCGCCACCAGCAATGTGCCACTCACCCAGGGCTTCAAGCCGCAGATGAAGCTCCTCAGCCGCAAGCCGCCGCCCACGACAGTGAAGACCAAGGACCCCGTGACGGGCATGGAGAAGCTTACCATCCAGGACGACGTCGAGGAGGAGGACGAGAAGCCGCCGCAGCCGACACCAGAGGAGATCAGGGAGCGCGCCAGCAGCGCGAGCTCGAGGAGAAGCAGCGCAAGTACGAGGAGGCGCGCGCCAAGATATTCGGGGAGTCCCCCTCGGGGGTATCGTCAGGGGCCTCTACGCCGGGCACCACAACACCCCCGCTCGCGGGGGAAAGCGGCCGGGGGAATTACCGGGGGCCGGGGCCGTGGGCGCGGCGGGAGGGGCGGCCGCGGCGGCCAGCGGAACCAGGAGAACTACAACAAGGCCGAGGTGCAGGACCGACGACCAGGTAATACGGGGAGTCCATTCCGGGAACTCTTCGACCCTGACGCTGGCTCGAAGCCAGGATCACGTCAACAGCGCGGGGTTGGCACAGCGTCACCTCCTCGTGGCCCAGAGCATGCGATTCGAGCGCCGAGGGGGCCAGATGACAGCGGGCGAGGTGGGTTTGGATTTGCCAATCGTGGCGCCAAAGAGGGTTGATTGCATTTCAGTATGTCTGTGCTGAACTACCATCCTCCGCCAATCTTTCCCGCCAGTTGGACGACATTTGCCTTGTCGTCGTTGTCCTTCCCGACGTCACTGATTACCTCCCGGAAGCTCGTGCACGCCAACCTCGCCAGATCTATGCCTGTCATATCCGACCAATGCGCAAGGGTATCTCGAATGTATGAAGGACAAATTCCATCAACCAAATCTTCTGCGCCACCTCCATTCAATGCAGATAAATCAGCGTCGTCCATCTCCGAGTCAGAAGCAGAAAAGTACGCCTCGTCGACTTGTGCCAGCCACTGCTTCTGCTCCTCTGGGCCGGGGTTAGAAGTCCAGCCGTTGCGCTCCACGACCAAAGAGTCCGATACCTTCACCTGGCCCCCACCGTTGGTGCAACCGCCCGGGCAAGCCATCACCTCTATATAACCATAGTCCAGGCTCTTGCCCTGCGCGGCGGGCTTCCTTGCGGAGCCGAAAGGTCTACCACCAGGCATCCTCGAAGCCTTGGCTGGTTTCAACTTGCGGACGATATTTTGGATATTGCGGAATCCGTAATATTTCGCCGCCTTGAAAAATGGCTCTCCCGACTGGGAGACGATGACGTACTCGACCACGTCCACATTACGGCCCCTCACAGCCTGGAGCTGTGCGCCAGGGTTCCTGAACAGCATGTCCTGCAGGATGAAGTGGAGATTCCCACCTGAAGTACCCGAAGCCGGAGACTGGCGTTGCCTCCTTCGCTGAGGAAAGAGGAATTTGTGGAGCTGCGGGTCGGGGAAGGGAGTGGTCGTCTGTGATATTGGAGTTTTGGGTAGACCAAAGAAGTCGATATCTCTGGATTCTGAGAGCATCAACACCTCTTTGCTGGTGATGACACAATCGACGTCTCGTACCCCCCGCCCAGGCTTGCCATCACCTGCCCACACACTGTCGGTCAGCTCTTCCCGGCTGGCCTCCAGCTTCTTGTCGAGGCACGGCATAACCGCCAAGTGCCATATCCGGTCCGGCGTTATTCCCAACTTCTTACTGAGCGTCGTCTTCAGAAGCGTGCCCATCAGCGCCTGTGGAGACTTTACTCTTGACAAGTGAGGGAGGACGTGTGGATGTGTCTTCTCGGCGTAACATATCCAACCCGGACATGACGATGTGAGAATGGGCTTTGAAATCGCCGCGTCGCCCTCCCGCACCTCGTCGGCCCCTAGGACCAGACAGGCCTCGCGGGCCGTATTCGTGTCGACCACCCAGGCGAAACCGTTGTTGGACTTCCCACCGGCCCTCAGCCCCTGCTCGCCCCTCAGCAGCTGCTCGATCATGTTCCCCGCCTGGCTCTCCGTCGTGCCCACCCCGCAGGCCGCAGCCAGGCTCGCCCTGGTCTGCGGGCTCACACTGGCCACGAACAGCTTCGCGTTCGGGTCCTCCAGGCCGTCGACGCTGAAGCGCCCCCTTGCGTCGGGCCCGCGCACCTTTAGCGCCGAGGCGGCGTCTAGCACGCTCAGGACCTCATTGTGGCTCTGAAGACTGACGAGGACGGCCTCGGCGGATGTGACGCAGCCAGAGCAGGCGAGGCAGTCTGTGAGTGAGATCTTGGAGGGGCCGTCGGATGACGTGGCTGTGGAGCCTGTGGGTTGTTGCTGGCCGCCGAGGATGACTTCGTGTTCGAGGGACGAGGGACCGTCTTGAGGCTGGGACGGGAGGTTCTCGATGGGCTTGATGCAGGCTACGGAGGGGGAAATGAAGTCGTTTAGGGCGTCGGTTGAGAGGATCGCGGACATGGTGGCGGGAGGGTGGAGTTGTCCAAGGGTCCTCAGAAGGCTGAAAGTCGCGACCAATGCAGGTGGCGAGGGGCAGCTTCTTGCAGTAACGGGGTAGAGACGCAGAGTTAAGTTGGGTCCATGCGATGTGGTAGAATCAGCCGCCCGTCAAAACATGCAAGGTTTCAAAAGTTAAGAAGTTCGTCGTCATGTATGTGTTTGCGTACGTGAAGTGAAAGGAATGCGTCAAGGTGAGCGATTGGATTCTGCCGGAGATACCTAAATTAACCAGTTTGCTTGATAATGCGAAATTTCGAGAGGCTCTGAGAGTCGATGCGACATCGGATAGTGGCGGGCTCCAGGTGGGTACCAGTGCCGGGGAGATCCACTAGCTGAGAAAAACAGTCCAATCATATCATTGGTGAATCGACGCGGAGTACCTGAGTACATGATAGGATGACGTACCCCAGTCGCCAATTCAGCTGCCCGCAGTGTGAGCTGTTCTGCACAGCAACGAACGTCTGGCTTGTGAATATCCACCGTCCGTTTGGGACCGAGATCATCGCCAGCCTGTATCTATTTGCTTCCCAGCCTGCAGAAATTAGACTTACCAGATTCTTAAACCTATCTTGCAAAGCCGCAAGAATGGACGTGAGTGGAAGTTGATCCCACAATACCAGGATGTGTCTGACATGCTCCCGTAGGCCGTCTCGTCGTACAGCTTCACGACACTGGCCTGGCTTTCCGTCCAGGCCGTGCCTCTGATAGTGTGGCCAACATTCATCGCATCGCTACTCACCCCAAACTATCAACATGCCAACCGTGCGTGAGCCCAATGCGAGCATCACATGATGTATTAGTGCTGATCCCAAGTCAGTTGTTGAGCAATACTTCGCCCGGTCTCTAGGCTTCGCACAGCTCACCCTAGGCCTCGTCGTCGTCTGTCTGACGGGAGCCGTACCCTTGGGTTCCCTAGCTGATAGTGAGTGCAACAGTACAGCACTGTGTATGTATTTTCCTATGATCCTAACTTTTAAACAGCCCCGGCGGACGCCATTTCTCCGTTCGCCGATGCCGTCATTCTACTTTCCTCATTATACCATTTCTCTACATGTTTCTACAGCTACACTAGGTTCAACGCGACCAATACTGGAGGCTTTCTGTTTGGCGCGGTGGGATCTGGCCTCCTGGCAGCGTTTGGCTTGTGGTGTCTCATGTTTGGCGCTGGTAGCCACATTAGCAAGAGAACAGGGGCGGATAAGAGGACGAGTGGATTCCCATTCAAAAACAGGGAGGCGAGCAAGAGGAAAGGCAAGGACTTGTAGAGTCACAATATGGCGGCCATCACGAAATCTCGACTGCTTGACAGGCTCTGAAAGGCTCTGAATTTCTGTATACGACTTTTCTTTATGCAAAGAATCCCTGCCAAAATAAACGCGTACGTCTCGCGGAGGTGTGGTTCCTCAACGCGTGCCGAGCGAAAGGGAAATTTCCCTTTGGGATCATGTGTATTAGGGAGCTCCCAGCCATCTCCATCTCGTAGCTGATCCCGCGGTCAACTCCTGAACTCCAAGAGCATTTGTCACATTTTATCTCATCCGTTCCGAACCATAATCACCAGCGCCCACCACTCGTGTTCTTCGTCTGTGTCCCAAAAGCATGTCTCAATATCCATCAAACCTAGCCTCAAGTTTTCACACAGCGGATATTCTCCTGCCCCGCAAGCCTGCCTGGTTCGACCGTGGCGGCCAATTCGAACCGATCACGCATCGTGTCTCCTAACCTAGCAGCTGCAGAGTTACCTCCACGCCGCTGGCTGGAGTGTGTCGTGAACTTTCTCTCCGGAGCCACTCCCAAGACCTCGGTCCAGAATGTCGTGCGATCCGGGGAGGATAGTCGAAACCAGCCCAGGACAAGAAGGGAAACTCGGGACAGTACTGTCGTTTGGGCAGAGGCCGGCACATGTCACTTGGGGGGTCCTCCTGCCTGAAGCCGATCAATACGCCTGACTGGGCTGGTGAGGCCGCTTGCTTTTCATGAATGAAAACCCTAGTCTTCCGCTGCGTTACCTGCGCCAGCATCGCCGTTGGTAGTAGCAGGCACCGCGGGTGCAGAGACCGCCTCGGAGGCGCCTCCATTAACGACGATGTCCGTGGCTCCCGTCAATATAGCTTGCCGGCGCTCGTGCCAGCCAAGTTCACTCTTGACAGTCTGGTCCAAGAGAACCTCCTTCTCCAGCCAAGCCTTCTTCACTACCTCCTCCCATTTCTCACACTCTTTTCTCAGGGTCTCAGCGTCCTCCTGGGCCCACTGCAATTGACTCCTGCAAACGGCGTGAAGCTTCTGCCACTGCATTTCCAGCTCCCGTGGCGTGAAGCCGTCTTTTTCTGTCAGCTGGGTCAGGTGCTCTGTTGAGTTCTCGTCCCCGCTGTGTCCATCCTCGACAGCGTCGTCCTGACCTGCGGCGTGTGACTGTGGCGTGCGGATGATGATCTTCAGCTTCGGGGTCTTGCCAGCTGCGCCGCCAGATTGCAGACCTTTTGGTACAGGATCGGAGGGTCGGAGGGCCTCGGTTTCATGGACTGTTCGCATGTGTTTGGCCAGCGCGTCGGATCTAGTAAAGCACTTGTCGCATTCTGTTCGTACATGTTAGAATCATCCTGAGAATTACATCGACGCGTGCTGCAAGCTCAGGCCTTACCTGGAAGGTAGCAGAAGAAGGGCTTCTCTCGTGTGTGACTTCGCATGTGCGCCTTCAAGGCGTAGCCACTGGCGTGGTTGGCACCCTGCCTGCTGCAACCGATCCATTGGCAGGTGTATTTCTTCTGTCGACCTTCTATATGTTCATCGTGGATGTGCTTGACCAGTCTGTCCATTGTCCCCAGGTCCCCGGCGTCGCAGTCCTCCCATACGCACACTGTCACTTGTGGTTGGAAATCTTCGTCCTCAAGCCGCGCGTTTGCTGGTGAGCTGGGAATGTCGCCCGATGAATCGGAGGATATCGACATGGCATCGTCGAAGTCCTCAGCCTTAGTTTCGACTTCTGGCTGGCTCTGGGTCTGCTTCGGCCACGACAGCCGAAGGTGTCGCGGAGCCTACATCGCCCAGCTTTAGGCGCTTCGCCGGGGGCTCCGTCTCGTCCATCGTCACATCGTGGGTGACCTGTTCATACTCGTCGCCTGCCTCCGAGGAGGAGGACATTGACGAGAGAGAAGAGTCGGACATTGTGTTGGTCGGTGTATTCGCGCACGATGTCAGGGACCGGTGGTGTCGAGCTTCGGACAAGGTAGGATGAAGGGGGCGTGGGCCGTCGTAATTCGTCGATGACCCTCGCTGGCGATGGCCGAGAAGCGAAGTCGAAGTCGAAGTTGAGTCGCTCAGCCAGCCTTTGGTCCGTTTGAGAGGTCAGTGATGCTTCGTAGCCATCCAATGGTACTAGAAGCGCTTCTTTCTCGCGAGATGTGAGTTCGGGTGTTGCTAACACTGGCGCACAGCCCGGTAAACGCGCAGTTGTCCCTGTGGCGCGAAACCAAGGCTGTGAGGGAGGCAAGCTTGGTTGGTAGTGTCTATATGTCGCAACACTACCCTCTCTACTGTTGATGGGCCGCTGTTGATAGCTCTGATGCTCGAAAACCAGACAGTCGATTGAGTAAACCTCGGGCAATGTTTTGAGTTTCTATGCGGTGGACGGTAATGGAAGTGGAAGGATTAGAAGCTGGCATTCCATCGGCGAGACTTACATGAACCTGCGAAAGGCACATGCCTGCCTACTGCTGAGGTACCTGAGAGACTTTGCCATGCCAGCAAACAACAGGCCGACGGCTGGCAGCAGCTGCTGGAGTGACCTCTCCCGCTAGTGTCATCAGTATCAACGTGCGCCATTCCAGGCGCTCGTCTCTTGGGGTCCCCTGCAAGGGGCAACCCCTGGAGACACTTGCCCCACCCCCACCAAGGCCAGTGACCAAGCGACTCTGTGTTCGCCTTCGTCTGTTTTGTTTTGAAGTTTGTCAAATCACACTTACTCCAGCTGCCTGTCGAATCCCAGTGGGAATACCGCAACTCTGTACAAATCTCTCTCTTCTCTCGAAGTCCAGCTCTTTGTGCCCCTCATATAACCATGACCGATCCAAAGAAGGTCTTCTCGCTCGAAGGCAAGGGCTTGAAGCTGACCACAGCCGAGGACTTGGAGCCTCACATCAAAGACCTGAGGGCTTTGGAAGACTTGCAGGAGATAAGACTGCTTGGAAACACCCTGGGAATTGGCGCTTGTAAGCTCCTAGGAGAAATACTGGCTACCAAGAAGTCGTTGCAGGTAAGCGACCATATGTCGCAACCCTTTGAGGCACTTGATTCGGTCGTACTGACAGGCGGCTAGGTAGCAAACCTTGCCGACATCTTCACCGGCCGCCTCCTGAGCGAGATCCCCGAGGCCCTATCCTACTTGCTCACGTCCATCCTCAACCTGCCGAACCTCCATACGATAAACCTGAACGACAATGCCTTCGGCCTTAACACCCAAGCGCCGCTTGTCGCATTCCTTGCTGCACACGTGCCCCTTCAACACCTCTACTTGAACAACAATGGTCTTGGCCCTCATGCAGGTATCCTTGTCGCCGATGCGCTGAGTGAGCTCCATGGGAAGAAGGAGGCGGCGCGCAAGGAAGGAAAGACGGTACCCGACCTGGAGACTGTCATCTGTGGGCGCAACCGTTTGGAGAACGGCAGCATGACAGCATGGGCCAAGGCTTTCAGCCTCCACAACAAGATCAAGGAGGTCAAGATGGTACAGAACGGCATTCGCCAGGAGGGTATCTCGCATCTCCTCAGCAACGGCTTGAACAACGCCTCTGGCTTGGTCACACTGGACTTGCAGGACAACACGTTCACGCTAATGGGCGCAAAAGCCCTCGCGAAGGTCACGCCGACCTGGAACGATTTGAAAGAGCTCGGAATCGGAGATTCGCTCTTGGGCGCCAAGGGCGGTGTTCTCCTTGGTGAGGCTCTTGCTCAAGGCAAAAACAAGAACCTGGAGATTGTGCGCCTGCAATACAACGAAATTACCTCCAAGGGCGTGGCAAGCCTGGCCAAGGCTGCGAAAGAAGCCCTCCCGGCACTCAAGAAGATCGAGCTCAACGGAAACAAGCTCAGCGAGGACGATGAGGGCATTGTTCTCCTGCAAGAGCTCCTGGAGGAGCGCAAGGAGAAGATTGGCGGCGACATCGTCATCGAAGACGACTGGGGTCTGGATAGTCTGAGTGACCTTGAGAGTGAGGACTCTGAAGAGGAAGAGGAAGAGGAGGACGAGGAGGAGGACGTCGGGCCTGAGGAGCGGGCCGAGAAGCTGGTCAAGGAGGCCGAAGAGGCTCAAGAGGAACCCGTTATCCAGCAAAAGGACAAGGAGGTGGACGATCTGGCCAAGAGTCTGGAGAAGACTTCGATCTAGAGTGGACACCGTCATCGCGCGGCGATCCGCAGTTTCACGGAGTAGAAGTGTCAAAGGTCAGGCTAGGAATGATTAGACGATACCCGAATACAACATGACCTCCCGGTTAGGCGAAGGTCCTTTCACTTGGATTAATTTCTTCCAGGACCGGTTGAGAATGGGGTAGAGCAGTGAGTTACGCTTCGAGCATCAATTCCTGGTCTATGAAGACCATCGGTCTTGTGTTCGGTCCCCTTTGCTAACATACCACAGTTCCACTGACAGCCCTTGCTGCACCACATTCTCTCATTTGCAACTATCGATTTACCCAAAATTCCTTCTATTCATATAGTGTCGTCCAAAGATGCCTACTTGGTTCACCTCCCTTCTCATAACTTGGCCGCCCTCATGTGAGACACTTGTGGTACTTCATTTGCAAATTCAAGGTTTTGTATCCCGTGTCGACAACATGCTGCCAGCGAGTTCGCATGCGGTTGCTTCAAATGGCAGACACGAGATACGTTGGCTGGTTTAAGAATTGGCATTGATAATCCGCCAGGTGGTCTCCAGCAAGATCAGTTTTCATAATTATTCGGCAAGGCAAATCCAGATCCGAGGCTCCCCATGCCATTTTCCATGATCGAAAAGATGCTCGACTTGTCCATGAGGCTGGGGGGGGGGGGAGGAGTTGACTACCATTACAAGCTTTCATGGCACATTGAAAGTCACGCGACCAGATTATCTCTGCTTGGAATTCACTATCAGACTATTGTCTGTCGACTTCCTCGGCCACCGTCGCCACCATATTTTCATGGCCCATACGAGTCTGGGCTGATCAGTCCAGCCACGGTCTGAACATCTTGTTAATAAAGCTTTCCTCGTGTCCACTCAGTCATGTCTCTTTGGATATCCAGGGGGTTGAAAAGGGAGGTCTGTAGCTTCTGTAGGGGCCAAGGGGCGAAGAATGTCTCACTAATCTTTGTGCTTGCACACGTGGGTGCACGCTGCCCCAGCATTCCTGTCAACCGCTCGGCGAGGCTAGCCACACCCACCCGCATTCCTTTACACGGCCAGAGGCGAGGCTGAGAAGTTTCAAGGGCTGGTATCGAGGGCTGGTGTCGAGGGAGACCAGGACGATATCTAGGAGTCGTCCTCGACGTCAGGGTTACAGTCATGATGGAGTTGCACGATCAATTCCTTCTGCTTTCGCAGCATCAGAACAAGGATGGTTGCTCTTGCCCCGTTTACTCTGATCCTATCGATATTGGCTGGGGTGTCAGTGGAAGCCATCCCTCAACATCAACAGAAGGACGATCCTATCTGCGTTGCTCAAACGACAATTACCGTAACAGCACCAGCAGTTGCTGATCCAACTCCACTCCCAGACGCAAATGAGCAACAAGCCGCTGGTATATCTGGAAACGCAGTGAACGCAGAAGTGACAGTCACCAGAATTGTCACTGTCATCCGGACGATTGATGGCGTTCCAGAGCAAACACCAGATAATGGCGTTACTGAAACGGCGACGGTCATCAGCACAGAAATGAGCACCGTGACTGTTCAATCACCACCCGAAACCAAAATTGCGGACCTGAAGAAAGAGGCACAAGAATCTTCGAGTCCTGAACCAACGGTTCCTTCACCACCCATCGTCCATCCCCACTATGGCAATGCCACACAACCCGTGCCTTATGGTAACTCCTCTCTGCCCTCGAGCAACTCCTCATCCGGCTTGCCACCCATCCCAGTCTTACCGAAGCCATCTTCTACTGTGGGTATTCAACCTTACTCGGAATATGCGCTTCCCGTCCCTTCGGGTTACGAGAACTCAATATACTTCACCAACTGGTCAGTAACTTGTCCCTCGCTTCTCAAAGTCCTTGAAGCTGAATTCAACCAGGGGAATATATGGCGCCAACTATCAGCCGCAATCCATCCCTGCCTCCAAGATCACTCGTGTGTACTATGCGTTCGCCTCATTTGGCAGTGACGGCAGAGTCACCTCGTCGGACCCGTACGCCGACCTGCAGAAGCATTATTCCACAGACTCATGGAACGACGCAGGGAACAACGCCTACGGCTGCGTGAAGCAGCTGTACCTGCTCAAGAAGCAGAACCGCCAGCTCAAGGTGATCCTCTCCATCGGCGGGTGGAACGACTCGCCCAAGTTCCCAGCAATAGCGGCCAGCGCCACGGCCCGCGAGACCTTCGCCCAGACCGCCGTGAGGCTCGTCACGGACTGGGGCTTCGACGGCATCGACCTCGACTGGGAGTATCCCGAGGACGCGGCGCAGGCCGCGGACTTTGTCAAGCTGCTGGCGGAGCTCCGGAAACAGCTGAGCGCCTGGACGGCCGCCAACGCGCGCGGGTACCGCCTCCTGCTCACCGTCGCCAGCTCCGCGGGGCCAGACCACTACAACGTCCTGGACCTGAGGGAGGCGGACCGGTACCTCGACTCGTGGAACCTGATGGCGTACGACTACGCCGGGTCCTGGGACACCACCGCGGGCCACCAGGCGAACCTCTTCGTCAGCCCGGGAAACCCCGGCGCGGCAAAGTACAGCACAGACAGGGCCGTCTCGGACTACGTCGCCAAGGGCGTCCCGACGTCCAAGATCCTCCTGGGCCTCCCGACCTACGGGCGCGCCTTCGACTCGACGGACGGCCTGGGCAAGCCCTTCCACGGCGTCGGGCCGGGCTCGGCGACGCTGCAGACCCCGGGCCTGTGGCTGTACAAGGACCTGCCGCGCCCCGGCGCGGGCGAGCTGTACGACGAGGCGGCCGGCGCGAGCTGGAGCTACGACCCCGCGGCGCGGGAGCTGATCTCGTACGACAACGTGCGCAGCGCCAGGGCGAAGGCGTCGTACCTAAAGGGGAAGGGGCTGGCGGGCTCTTTCTTCTGGGAGGCGAGCGGTGACAAGCAGGGGCCGGAGAGCCTGGTTGGGACGCTTGCTGGGGAGCTCGGGAGGCTGAATGGTCAGCGGAACTTGTTGAGCTATCCGACAAGTCAGTACGATAATATTCGCAACGGACTGCCAGATGCGTAAGTTGTGTTTTGCAGACCTTCAGCAACATTGCTTTCTTGGAACTCGGGCGTTTCGCATTCATGTATCAGCCTGGCATTTTCTGGTCGCTTCTAATGTCGGTTCTATTGGTGTTTTGCAGCTTGGATGCATAGATAGCAATAGAGCGTTTCTCACGGATCGTCAGTCATATGCTCGCTGGGGGCAGCATCCTGGGACCGCTACCTGGCCCTTCTTATTATCCAGTTCCACATCAGATGCTGGCCTCGTAGTTGCGACATCTGACAACCCGGCCCACCCATGACTTAGTCCATCGCAATGCCTCTCCTCTACAACTGAAGGTCCTAGCCGGCATCGAAGCTGGTCGGGGTTCCAGGCGTTTGATCGAGCTGTCGCTGACAATGAGTGGGGATTTCTGTGGTTTGCGAGGCCTGGGTCCCTAGCGGAATTATCGCCGGAGACCGCTAATTGATTAGACAGACAGCCATTCCATTCCGAATGTTCTCACCAAGAATCCTTCCTGTCTTCACGCTCACGCTGCTCCCGCCATCGCCTCGATATCGAGCTCCCATAGACACCACCAGCCAGACCCGCGACAGAGGCGGCAAGGAAGGCGGAACCGTGGTAAGCAGGCTTGAAAAGGCCCTTCTCCAGCAGTTTTAGGTTTGAAAAGTACCGCGCCGTCCCGTAGACTATTGACCCGGAACCAAGGGCCATCAGGGTGCCCACGATGACTTGCGACTGTTCCTTCGGCGGCTCATCGTCGATATCGGCAGGCTCCCTCTTCGCGTTCCGATCTTGCGGCCGGGGTGGTCGGAGGGGCTCCAGCAGCTCCTTGAGGTCGAGCTGGGAAAACCGCTCGATGGCGATGCCCAGTGCTATGAAGCCAAGCCCTGTCCGGAGCCATGCCAGAAACGTGCGCTCGCTGGCTAGGTGGTCCCGAGCCGTAGAGCCTGTATTCTGGTAGATTGGGGTCTTCCAGGGGAATCGGGAGAGCATGTTGATGGTTGAGTGGGAAGGTGAGACCAATACACTGGTACACTGAACCGGGTGACTTGAGAGGCTGGCTGTATTGGGAAAGCCTGGAGTGGTGATGGTCGTCTTATTGGCCACCCGTTCTCTCAGAGTTGTGTGGTGGATTGGTCGTTGCTTTGTCCCTCGGGACGGACGTGGCTTGCGCCTAGAGGCCGATTCTTCTTCGACAATGGCAATCTTCAAATTAGCGTCAAAGAGTCGGGGGCCTCTTCAAGCTCTGGGGATCTCAATGCAAAGGATTTCAGCAATTGAATGAACAAGATTTAACACAGTTTCCGGCGTTACTGCTTCGATAAACCTACCCCTGTCGTACTCCAACCACATCCGTCCTCTCCACGCGGCGATCCCTGGACGCCGACCACCCAGACGGCGATCCACAAGCTTATCTCATCTCCGATGACTTCACTCACATGCCTTCTTATCATCTCACGAGAATACCGCCGATTGCCATAGTCAGCAGCCCAAACCGAGTCAGAAAAGGGGGCTTTCTTTACATCATCTGAACCTACAATGTCGACATTTGCCGTCGGCAAGACAACCGGGGATGAGCACCGCCCGTTGCTCCCGTCAACGCCGGGCCCGAAGCCGAGGCGCCAGAAGCGCGCGAGGGCGGCGCTGGGCCGGGTATGTGAGACCATCGCCTGGGCCTTCTTCCTGGGTTTTGCCCTCTGCGCCTTCATAGACATGTACTTCCACCGCGACGCCTGGTGGCCCCAGTCGGACCTGTCTGCCACGTCGCTGGAGACGTGCGCCTGGTCCCACCTGGGGCCACATGTCGGCCTCGTGGACGTGGCCCCCATCAGCCGCGAGGAGTTCCTCCGGCGGCAGGGCACCCTGGCCGGCGAGCTCCGGGCTGCCGGCGCCGACGCCTTCATCGCCGAGCCGTCGGCGTCGTCGGCCTACTACGCCAACGTCTCGTGCGAGTTCGACCTCTCGGAGCGGCCCTTCCTCGTGATCATAGACAAGGACGCGCACTTCTCCTACCTCGTCCCCAAGTTCGAGGCGGGCCGCATCGCGGGCCTGGAGATGGTCTACAGCGACAAGACCGTCATCGAGTGGGCCGAGGAGGAGTCGCCGTATGAGGTCCTCGCGAGGGCCACGGGCTACTCCAAGGTCGTCCTGGACGAGCACGCGCGGTTCATGATCGCCGCGGGGCTGCAGGGGGCGGGCGTCGAGGTCGTCCCCATGACCGAGGCGATCCAGTCGCTCCGGTCCGTGAAGACGGACGCGGAGGTAGAGATACTGAAGGGCATCAACGCCTTCACACTGGAGCTGGTCCGCTCGCTGCAGAAGTGCATCAAGGTCGGCGTGACGCAAGAGACAGTCGTGACCTCGGCCAAGGCCCTGTTCACCCGCGCCGGCGTGGGCAGGGGCTTCTGGTCCATCGTCCTCTTCGGCGACCAGGCGGCCTACCCCCACGGGGGCAAGCACGGCAAGACGCTCGGGGAAGGGGAGTTTGTGCTGATCGACATTGGCTCCAAGCTGCATGACTACGGCAGCGACGTGACGCGGACGATCCTGCCCTCCGGAGGGCAGGTCAGCGACGGGCTGAAAGGCATTTGGAAGACTGTCCACGAGGCCCAGTCTGCGGGGTTCAACCTTATGCACCCGAATGAGACCTGCTCCGAGGTTGATTCTGCTTCGCGTAAGCCTGTCTCTGACGCCGGGTATGCGGAGTTCTATACGCATCGTCTCGGCCACGGATTAGGTTTGGAGATGCATGAGCACCCCTACCTGAACGGGGCGAACAGTGAGAAGCTGAAGGTCGGGGAGGTTGTGACGAATGAGCCGGTAAGTTCGCAAACTGCTATGAAGGGCCGCCTCTCGAACGGAACCACTGACATGTGCCAGGGCATCTATGTGACAAGTGAACAGGCCTACAGGGTCGGAAGAGAAGTCGGCTTCGGGGTCAGGCTCGAGGATCCGATTCTTGTCACGAAGAAGGGCGGTGTCCCGCTGACTGGCAGCAGAGCGAAGTCCCCATATGAACCCTGAACACATGTTCGCTTGCGTAAAACCATTTAGATATCCTGATCAATCGAATCAACTTGCGGTCCCTGCTGTATCAAGAGATGTCGATCATCATCAGACACCGACAGCAATGGTGACGTTGACGAATGCATGAGAAGGAGAAAATGCTGAAAGCCGACTTTTCCCAAATATGACGGGTGATATATATTGCCAATAGAAAATTACAGAAGCGATGCATGCCCATCTTCTCCATCATCTGCACCTCGGCCAAGGAGATCTAGCTCCTCAAAGCCACATTCAGCTCTCTATGCCCCGGCCGATGGGTTCTCGCCTCAATCACCGCTTCCACATCTGAATGCGCGCCCATCATTCAACCCATCAGGTACCCCAGCAATCCCACAACCCCGCTCAAGACAACAGCAACGCCCGCCGTGCCCGAGCTCCTCGAAGCCGAGGCGCCAGCGACCTGCACCGTGCCGCTCCCGCCGGTGGCGGTGGCGTTCCTGCCCCCCGCCGCCGCAGCAGCAGTGGCGTTCACGGGCGCCGTCATCGTCGCCACCACGGTGCTCCCGTCCGGGGCCGCCACCGTGAGGGTCATGGTCGTCATGGTCTGCGGCGCAAGCGCCATCAGGCTCGCGTCCGACGAGATCGAACCCGGCAGCGGCTCCAGGTCCGCGGCCTGGGGCGGCAGCGGCAGCGCGCCGGGGAGGATGTCGGCGGGCGGCGTGGCCGTGGCCATCGGCGCCTCGACCGCGCCGCCTGGGATCGTCATGAACGCGGCGGGCGCCGGCGTGCTCGCGGCCGGGGCGGCTGCTTCGGCCGGCGGCATGGCGGCCGGGTGGGTCCCGTTCGAGAAGGACCCCGGGGTGGCTGCCGCCGGGGGAGGCGCGGCCTTCACCGAGTTCGCGATGGACGTCAGGGCCGCCAGGTCGACAGTCGACGACGCCGACCCGGGCGGCGGGGGCGTCGTGTTCCCGCCCAGGGGCTGGAGGGCCGCGGTCGCGTTCGCCTGGGCCCCACCCAGAGGTTGCAGGCTCGCTGGGGGCGTGGGCGGCTGGCTGCCCAGTGGCTTGAGGCTTTGCGGCGGTAGGGTCGCGAGGCCTGGCAGAGGCTGTAGCTGTTGTGCGGCTGAGGCCTGGCCGGGGAGAGGCTGCAGGCCCTCGGTGGCGTTCTGCTGAGCGTCCTGGCCGTTGTTGTCATTGTTGTCATCGCCGCCATTCTTGTTGCCCTGGTTTCCTCCCTTCTGGTCCTGGTTTTGTTGTTCTTGGTTTTGCTGCCCGTTCGACTTCTTGCCGCCTTGCTGTCCCTGTTGGCCGTCGCCCTGCTGGCCCTGGCCTTGTTGGCCCTGTCCTTGTTGCTGGTTGTCGTTCTCACCAGCCTGGTTGTCCTGATTGCCCCCCTGTGCTTGCTTCTGGTTCGCATTACCGCCACCACCATTGCTGTTGTCGGCACTGACTTCCTTCGAGTCTTGCCCGCCCTGGCTCTGGTCACTGTTCGCCGCCTCCACCACGGCAAACCCCAGCAGAACCGTTGCCAAAACCTTTGACACACGCATGATGAAGACGAAGAGTGTTATTATACGATATAGAGAATAAAAGAACGGCTACCAGAGCTGGTGAAGTGAGGAAATAAAGAATGTGACCGTGGCAAGCTGGCCTGCAGGCTGGGGGTGGGAAAAGAGAGTGAGCGTAGAAGAGAAGCGGGTGATAGAAGGGAAGGGCTAGACGGTCTCAACCGGAGGATGCTCAGTTGTAATCGGCGCCGGGAGTGGTGGGCAGAGCAAAATGATATACGCCCAGAGCCATAGCTTCCCTTGGTCACCCCAACCCGCGACGCCTTCGGTATGATTTACCTACCTAGCACCAGCCAGATCCCAATGGTAATCATGCAACAAGCTTTTCCGCCCCACACGAGCTTAGCGTGCGTCTGGTCCTCGGAGAGATGCGATGGCAGGAACTGTCGACGAGCTGGGATGACGGCTTAAAACATGATGCGCCTGGGGGTCGAGGAGCCCTTCCTTGTCCGAGCAACAACATGCCGGGTGCGTATCAACTTACCCGGCTCACACACTCTCACGAACCGCCCCCACCGGTGCGGGTGATGGAAAATCGCCTTACCTGGGGCGAGGTTGACGGCTTACAACATGCGACTATTGCAGCTGCTACCGCTGCCATGCCGCTGCCCGCCCTCAGCTTCAGACAGCAGCAGCCCCCTCCCTGATCGCGCGGATGTGACCTCCGCCCTAGCTCGGCCGTGCATAGTTTCCTCGTGCCCATGGTTTCCCATGTCCCAGCAAAGGGCCTCCAACGCCCTGCCCGGCTCGGAACAGAGGAAGGGGCCCTCGAATGAAGGGGTTGAGGGGGGGGGCTTCGCCTCGCCATCGTGAGATCCTGCCGGGGCTTGGGAGTCTCGAGGAAATTGTATCAGGTTGGGCGGTAGGTCTATTAAGCCTGAATTTAAGCATGAGGAAAGGCTCCGAGTTGGGATGGCATCCAGGCCGTTCCCGCCAATAGGGCCGCGGGGTGGGGGCTCTGACACGTAGTGCCGCTGGAGATCAAACGAACCCCCTTGCTCGGCACACGGCTTCATTCACGTGGTCGGCCCATCGACTTAGACGAGCTCTCGCTGCGCATTTCGCATACCTGTAATCATCTTGCCGCCTCTTGTCGGGCATCGACCACATCGGCCGTGGCTCAAATTGCTTGGCAGTCAATGTCGATAAGCTTTTGTCGAGGTCGCGTTGTGCGTTGTGCGTTGAAGTTGCATTCACATATACCAAACTTACACCAACCGTCAGATACATAGTCCACGGTGGATATAGACTATTAAATAAGCCTCGCAAGCCTCAAGAAATTTTGTCTAGGGCCCAGGTGCACTCCTGGCAATCGTCTCTGTGTCCTTCACTATTCCTCATATCATGCCACTCCGAAGCCGAAATTTCTGCCGCCCAATTCTCACTCCCTGCACGATGACAAGCTGGGCTTATACGCCACCGTCTGCAGGTGTGTTCGAGGCCGAGTCCCGTGAAACTTCGGCACCGTACATGGCCTCCCCAAAAGCTGAATCTTCCATGCCTATGTCGCCAAAGTCCCCGGGGGTGTCATCTGCAGCCGACTGGTCAAGTGCCTCGCCGGCCGAGTTCAGGAAGTCGTCGTTATCAATCGGTTTGTTCACCTCTGTGCTCTCAGTCGGTATCGGAGCAGAGTCCGCTGCAGGCGCGGCACTAGTAGATGCGTTTGGTGACACCCCCCCCTTGGGCACGACGACCCAGTCGCCGCTCTCAGTTCCTTGGTCTGGAGCCGTGTTCACATCCCTGACTTGATCAGAGTCTTCCATTGTGACATCCTCAGAAGCATTGCCCGGGACTTGCTCAGCCGTGACCTGTGCGGTCGCAGCATTGGTTGGTATCGCAGCATCCGACGCGATGGTAGATGGTTGAGGCTGGGGCGTAGAAGTGGACGAGGCTCCACCCTGGATTTGGTCCAGGAGACCGGCAGCGGTTCCGCCCATGTCGATGTCAGAGTCGCCAGCCAGGAGCCCACTGGCCGTTGAGCCTGCCTGCGACCCCTGCCGGGATAGCTGGCCTTGCGCGGCGCCATTCGCGCTAGGGACTGGTGCAGCTGGAGGCATCGGGAGACTCTCCGGCTCAGGCGCAGGCTCCTGGTATCCGCCGTCTTGGATGCGCTTGACATCACTAACAACCGCGATGTGTCGGCCCAGGGCTGACTCAACATCAGCAACTATGTCGCTGACCTTTCTGTGTTCGTTTCCGTTCCACTGGGTGATACCCTCGCCCTCGTCTTCCTCTTTTCCTTCAAGCCGCCAGAATTCCGGCCCTGTTTCATCGACAGCGACGCGTAACTCTTTCTCGGCCCGGTTGAGGATCGAGTTCGACTTGAACTTATCCATCATCTTCTCATGCTGCTCCTTCAGGCGCGCCATCTCAGCCTTGTCATTCTCGATTTTCTGCGAGACTCTGTCGCGGAATTCGCTCGCCAGCTTTGGGTCAAGGTGGCCGACCACTGGCTTGGCTGGTGGCTTCTTGTGCGCATCAACGCCTGAGGCCTCGTAGATCCCTTGCGTTAATGATGCCAACTCTCCCTGCAATCCAAGACCAAGATCTGCCGGTGTTATCTGTCCTATCCGGTACGCGGAGCCCAGAACCTCTTCCATCCACTCGTGATTGCGCGTGTATCTGGCCATGCTGACGTCGCGAGGACTCATGTGATCAAAGACGTCGCCCTGGTGGGTATCATCTTCATCGTCAAAGGGTATAAAAGGAGCAGCACTCATCATCTGCTGATTCTGATGCGCACTAGTCCTTGCACGCTTGTTTGGCACGGGCTGCTGCGGAGGGTAGGCCATCTGCTGGGGGATGGTGCGCGGATGAGGTTGCTGAGCCATCATTGGGTGGCCTCTGCCCTCCCGTGGCGGATTGATGGTCGGCCAGTTAAGTCGATCGGCAAGCATGAACTCTTTACGAGCGATCTGGCCGCCCCTCTGTAATTGCATGCGAGCTTGCATCAAACCATGTGTGCGGGGGTCAATGGGTATCATGTTGACCGGCACTCTATCTTGGGCCGAGTTGGGTCCGTAGTGCACGATCCAGAGGCTGGGGTCGACCTGGGGCGCGCCGGGCACCTGAGGTTGCTTGGGAACCAGGCGAAAGCGTTTCCTCGCATGTTGGGCGAACTGCTCCCCTTGACGGTAGCCAACCCTCTGGAAGAACATCTCCAGTACCTGTAAAGCCGCGTCAGCATTGTAGAGGACCACAGCCGGGTCAAAAGGCAGGACTGACCAGGCCGTTGCCAAGATCCTGCTGGTAATAGGTCTCAGGATATGGCCATATGTATCCATCAGTCGCAAAGTTCGTATCCAGGCGCTGCAAAGGCTGCCACGTGAGCATTATGGTTCCGTCGGCCGGGGCGTCGAGGTACGTCCAAAAGAAGGGCGCTGTGTCGCGGGCGATTTTGGGAGCATTCATCAGCCACTTGGAAGCGTCGGGGACGCCAACATCGGCCATCGCGGCATATCTGTAAGTGCTGATGAGATGCAGATGATGAAGCTAGATAGCCGGGACTCGCGTTAGCACCGAGCGATTCATTGACGGGAACGTTGGGGGCGCTGGGCTGCGGACTGACCATCTTCTCGTTGATGTTGTGGCTCGGGTCTCCCATCTTGGCTGCTGTTGCTCCCACGAGGGAGACTTGGCTTGTCTATTTCAAATGGCAATTCGGATGGTTGCTCAACATGCAGTGTGCAATGTTGACAATGCAGCTTGTAGATGGCGTTGGCTCACAATTGCGGGTGGCGCATACGGTGATGGTCGGAGTGCCCTTCTTGTTGAATGTGGTCGCGACAGGCTCCCAAGGCTCGCAGCTGATGGTGGAAAGGCGCGCTCCAAAGTGATGCGCGCCTAGTTCCAGGGTGCGGGTCAGAAATTGCAAGCTGGGAGTTACGTAAGCGAGGAGGTGAGCCAGCAGCCAGTTGGGGTGCAATCGAAGCTCCAGCATGGGCAGGGGGCCCAGAAATAGCAGCACAGGGAGGACAAGACACCGGACGTTGCTGGACTTCCTCTCGGGCAGGAAGCAACAGCACGATGTGCACAATTTCGTTTCTCATCTCATGATGGAGCTACACAGATCTTATAGGCAGAATGGCCACCTGGCCCTGAACTTTGGCAACTGTCGAGGTCCAGCTCGGCATCGGTCGGTTACAAGCGACGAGACACCACCCCAGAAGCTCTGTGCGCCGTCCTGCGCGTCTCTGAGGAGAGGGGCCATGCGGGCCTCATGTCGGACGCTGCTTAACTGACCAACCGTCATTCGAAAGCGACTCGTGTTTAAGGCGGTCTTTGAAAGCTAGTTCACAGTGTCGTGGACAGGAGAATCATTTATGGTCCTCACGGAACCGCGAATGGCTTTCAGAATTTGATAGTGTTTGTATTTTCCATATTACCTTGCCAGGTCATGCTATTGGCACATCCTTGTTTTGATTCTAGAGAACGGATGGTTTAATCCCTCTGGCTACAACTATCTAGTAAGCTGCGCCTGTCTTATGCCTGGTATGTGGAGGCAGACACGTTTCCACCACGGCCGGTCCAGTTAACGTGGATGTCCTGTCCCTCGGGGTACTTCGCGTTGGCAGCCTCGGGCTTGACCCTGAAGGTGTGGGCACCGAAGTAGTCACGCTGGGCCTGCAGCAGGTTGGCTGGCAGGTCTTTGGTGCGGTATCCATCAAACCATGACAGAGCAGTGGAGAAGGCTGGGGTCGGGATTCCGAGCAGGGCGGCCTTGGAGACGACGTCTCTCCAGCCGGGCTGAGCCTTGTGGATAGCCTTGTTGAAGAAGTCGTCGAAGAGCAGGTTCTTGAGGTCGGGATTGTTGCGGTACGCGTTGGTGATGTCCTTCAGGAACACAGAGCGGATAATGCACCCACCACGCCACATCAGAGCGATCGAGGGCTTGTTCAGCTTCCAGCCGTACTCCTTGGCAGCCTCCTGCATCAGCATGAAGCCCTGGGCGTACGAGATGATCTTGGAGGCGTAGAGAGCCTGCTCGAGGTCATCGAGGAACTGCTCCTTGTTGCCCTCGAAGCTGTTGGCACGCCCGACAAACTCGAGCTTCGTGGAAGCCTCAACACGCTCTGGCTTGATGGCGGACAGGCAACGAGCGAGCACGGCCTCGGCAATCAGAGTGACGGGCATGCCCAGGTCCAGGGCGTTGATGGCAGTCCACTTGCCAGTTCCCTTCTGGCCAGCCTGGTCCAGAATCTTCTCGACAAGGGGCTTGCCATCCGACTCATCATTGTAGTACAGGATGTCTCTTGTGATCTCAATGAGGAAGGAGTCCAGAACACCCTTGTTCCACTTGGCGAAAACATCGCCCATCTCCTTGTTGCTGAGGCCGAGGCCGCGCTTCATGATGTCGTAGGCCTGTTTCAAAGTCAGTCGACGCTCCCTGTATGTGACGCGTCCAGATGAGGGGAACGACGTACCTCAGAGATGAGCTGCATATCACCGTACTCGATACCGTTGTGCACCATCTTGACGTAGTGGCCAGCACCCTCGTCACCGACCCAGTCACAGCATGGCTCGTTGTCGCTCTTAGCAGACACGCTCTGGAAGATCTCCTTGATGGGGCCCCAGGCAGCCTCGTCACCACCGGGCATCAGAGAGGGACCGTAACGGGCACCCTCCTCACCTCCGGAAACACCGGAGCCAACGAAGTGCAGACCCTTGGTCTTCAGGTACTGGGTTCGGCGGTTGGAGTCGGGGAAGTGCGAGTTTCCACCGTCAATGATGATGTCTCCGGGCGAAAGCAGGGGCAGGAGGGTCTCGATCCAGTCGTCGACGGCCTTGCCAGCCTGCACGAGGAGCATGACGCGGCGAGGCGACTTGAGCTTGGAGATGAACTCCTCGGTGGAGTGAGCACCGACGACGGACTTGCCCTTGGCCTCGTTCTCAAGGAAACGGTCGACCTTGGAGACGGTTCGGTTGAAAGCGCAGATGGTGAAGCCGTGGTCTGCCATGTTCAGAATCAGGTTCTGACCCCTACGCAGCTGTTAGCACCACGGCGCCTCACCAGGTGCAAAGTTGGGCTTGGGAGACTTACATGACGGCCAGGCCGATAAGGCCGAGATCAGCACTTGGAGTAACATCATTGTCAGCATTGCTTGGTCCTGAAGTGGTCAAACCGCCAGCAATGCCGGCGAGCCGGGCGCTGCAACAAGCCCTCAGTCTCGAGTGATTTCATAGGGAGATGTGGGTGGAAAGCAACGCTCGCGTCAAAAGCAATCTTGGGATTGCGCATGCTCCTATAGCAAACATGATGGTATCATGCACCGAGTGCCAGAATCAAGACTGTGTGGTCTTTGTTGCTTGTTTGTATCTGGCTGTGGCTCGATGGAGGGGTTCGCTGTGGCAGCGAAATGGCTCATCGGAGGGGTAGAATGTGGGGTTGACGGATGGGAGAGGACTCACACTGCGCCAGACATTGCGAGGTCGACGGATGGGATGTTGTTGTTGGGATGCTAAAGGGTTGGAGGCTGGCTCTCTGGATGGATGGACTGTCTCGAAATCAACCGAGAGGAAGTATGGCCAAGTTATGGATGGAATGGAAGAAGTGAGAGAGAAAATTTCGAGGGAGCAGGTTGAATGGCCTCGGGGGAGCTGGGAAGACGTCGTCGTGCCAGCAGAGAGCTAAAGTGGGTGGGGGCTTACTCAGAAGCTCGAGACCCGACACTCCCAGTTCCCAATGCGAGGAGGAGCTTGCGCTCCAGGTGCTGGCTGCGAAGGACCTTCCCTGACCATCAGTGCCGGGTCCCGCAACTCTTGCCAATGCCAAGGAGCGTAGCTCTGTCTGTAGCCTACAGGCGCGGTATCTCGCTTTGTCACTTCCTTCAACAATCATGGTCAAAATGTCCGGGGGCCCCTTTCGCCGCCCCAATCCACGCTGCGGGACTTCCTCGCTTCCGCGCTTCCTCACGGAAATCCTCCAGTGGCTTCACCTCCCACCCTGCCACTATCCCCTCTGGCCCCGTCTGGGAGGAGCGTGGGGGTCGTAGACGCTTCAAACCGATCTCGTCGGAACTTGTCAGACACGTGAGGACCGGTGTCCACTTCTCGCGTTTCGCAACTCCGGAAATGCTTTGTGCTTGGCTCGGGCCCTACACCCATGCCATACGTTCAAGGAGGTCGGGGCGCTCCATGCCAACGCCCACCCTGTGTCATGGCAGTGGCCCGGCCTCGTCGAGGTTGTTGATGCACCTTTCAGTTGCCAAGCTGACCGTTTCTGGCCACTTCTATGTCTGCCTCCGTGAAGCCTCGCCGCACCGAGTGTGCCTACTGTCCAGTGCCCGCATCCTGCATGGCTGGGTGCTTTGGACTGGCCGTTCTTGATAGGTCAATTCAAGCGGACGAGCGTGCCGCAATTCCCATATTACAGGTGTGCTCTGCAACGACATGCGTTTGCAGTGACAGGCGAGGCCATAAATCCCAGGGATATATCCGGACGAGCCGAATCTGAATCTTTCATGGGCCACATCTGCGACTATCCCGTAGGTTCCGTATACTGTTTTCGCAGTCGTTCGTCATTATTAATCCTCCAGAGACGAGGGCAGCCAGCCAATCTCATCGAGCGACATCGCTATTCGCAGCTCCGGCGTACGGAGGCTCTGGACCACACAGCAGCTCTTGGTAGATGCCGCAGGCGCGAATTTATCGAATACCATCAATACCGTGACCGCAAAGAGGGGCGGATGGGGGGGCAGTCAAGAGTGGGATGTGGGCTGCCCCGCCAAACTGCGTCATCAAGCAGGGACAGAGCATACTCTCAGTCTTCGAGAGCCCAAGACACCAGACTGACAGACTGCCTGGCTTGTCAGAACGCTCGACCTAGCTTCCCGTAGTTGCAGCAGTCAGAGTAGCTAGTTCTGCCACATGCCAAAGGGTTCATTCAGAGCGGCTCCGGGATGGGCTTGGCTCATCGACTCACATGTGTCTTGGGATGTGAATATGTACAATAGTTACGTACCCGTTGGCTGGCGCGACTTTCGGGTGCAATTCGAATTTACCGACCAAAAGGACGGCTGGCAGGCAGGGATTCCGGCTAAACCCAGGCAGCTGCTGACTGATCCATACCGTGCCTCTGATTGGCCGAGTTGAAGCATGCGTGAGACCATACCTCGTTGCTTGCAATGATTTCTCTTCGCCTCACGATACGCACCTCGCAACTATCCATCCTTCTGTCCATCAACCAACCAACCGCTCACCAACCAGCCAAGCCAACGCAGCGCTGTTGAGACTTCAAACCCCTCGGCCGTTGGAGAGAGCAAAGACATTGCGAGCAAAGTCTGTGTGACCCGGGCTGGGCTCATAGGTACGTGACAACGAAACAAAACAAAAGTTCGTTCAAAGGCACATCAAATTCATCATGTCCTACCCGGGACCCCCAGGTTTCGGATCTCTTCCTCCTCGACCGCCAGCGAGCAAGAGCGCCGGCGGATTCAAGCCAGCATTCCCTCCTACGTCGAGTGCTGCCCCGACCTATGCTGCAAGCGCACCCTACTCCGGCCCCTCATCCTACAGTGCAGCCCCCGTCTCAGCACCCCAGTATGGCGCCGCTGCCTCTACCTACTCCTACCCGCAGGCACCCGCCGTAGGTGCCGGTCGTGGCGGCTACGGGGCATCAAGCCAATCCTACAACTACTCAGCCAGCTATGCGCAACAGCCAGCCTACTACGGTGCCTCAGCTACGGGGTCCTACTCCACGCCGCCACAGATCCGTAACCCTTTCCCACAGCCGGGAGCCGCCTCCGCTGCCGGCCCTGCTGCCGCCTCTGCTGCGCAGAACCCGTTCGACCGCAGCGATCCGAACTATGACCCCGAGATGGCAGCGCAGATCGCGCAGTGGCAAAGCGCTTACCTACCAAAGGAAGGAGCCGAAGCCAATGCCACTGCTGGCGCTAAGGCAGCCGGGGGCAAACCCGGCACTGGATCCGGACCGACGTTCAACGCGGAGATCGCCGCCAAGGCCGCTCAGGAAGGAGCCGCGAACACCGCGGGCGACAAACAGAAGACGGTTTATCGCGAAGGAGGAGGCAAGAAATGGGCGGACGATTCGCTGCTAGAATGGGACCCTTCTCATCTGCGAATCTTCGTCGGTAACCTGGCGGGCGAAACGACCGACGACTCCCTGCTCAAGGCGTTTGCGCGGTGGCAATCAGTGCAGAAGGCGAAGGTGGTACGGGACAAGCGGACTAATAAGTCCAAGGGCTTTGGCTTCGTCAGCTTCAGCGACCCAGACGATTTCTTCCAGGCGGCCAAGGAGATGAATGGCAAGTACATCCAGAGCCATCCGGTCGTGGTGCGCAAGAGCACGACGGAGATCAGGCCTGCAGTTGTCAAGAATGACAAGCGCAAAGGCAAGAACTACAAGAAGGGAGGAGGCAACAAGTCTGGCAGCGGCGCGGGCAACGGTGATGAAGGATACTCGCCGCACCTTGGGCCCCAGGCTGGAGGCGTCGTCAAGTCTGGTTCAAAGACCAAGGGCGGCATGAAATTTTTGGGTTGATGGTTCAGTCGAGCATCTATTTCTCGGCACATACGGCAGGACGCTGGCGTGAGGCGGAGTTTAGAGATACAGGCCTCGTCACCTAAAGACGCGAATGAGGTCCCTCGAGATGGTTAGGACTCCGCAATGGGTAGCGAGACCGCGCAACGAGAGGTGGTATCCATCAGCGGTGCATGCATCGCGGTCACATCGGCACAGGGACAGGGTGCGGTCATTCTGGACGATGGGTTCGTTGCGCAAGACTACTGGCGCCATGATTGTTACTGAGACGATGCTAAAGGTAGAATAGAAGTTCTTGGGCGCTATGAGCGAGCAATCCGGCCAATTTGGGTATCCGACTCCGGGACTACTGCGAAGATTTAGATTGGTAGTTTGAGGTGGGATGTTGGCTTCTCCACCCCTGTACCCTGGAAATGGACACCAGTCGACTGGTCGTCAACCTGCGGCAGACAAGACTCAAGAGGGCCGGGACGGCAAGACATCACTGGTGTATTCTCGCCCAGAGGCCAAATGTGCCTGAGCATGCAATTTACGTAGAGTTGCTGCCCCGGCAGGCTACCTAGTTAATAACTCATCATCAATTACTGCTTCCCCTGCCTGTCACAGGAGACGAGTGTGTCTCAGCTGCTCTTCCCCAGTTCAGCTCGGTCAGCTGCGAAGCCTCGGCTGCCAGCGACGACGGCGAATAGTCCAATACGTAAAACCAGAGGATAAACGAGGCAGGGCCTGCCCCCAACAGGCTGTGTTGACGTAGGTTTTGCGGGAAAATGAGTGAAGACGCCCAGCAATCGAACTCTGTCAGATGTCTTTTTGGCTGGGCGGGCATGTCGATGCTCATCTCCGGGTGTCAGTGTCGCGGGAAGCGCTCCATCGCAATTTTAAACGTGCCCTGCAGGGGATCTATCTGCCAATGCCCACGAGTTGTTGGTGCCGCTGCCGCTGACGCAAGACCCCTGTCGTCGTGCAATTGAACTCTGGCACCCTCATCAGCTTTCCTTGAGGGTATGAACTCGGCAGTTTGCCGTCTTTCTTTGTACCTGCAGGCCTTTTTGGATCGTGCCCGCCCCCCCCCCCTTCCTCCTCTCGACCTGTCGCGCCGCCCGCTGCAACTCAACTCAATTTCCCTGGAGCAAAGCGCCAGTTGAATTCAAGGCTGCAGCTGTCCGCTTTTTTTCTCCGTTCTCGCGTGGGGTCGACTGCCAGTAGTCTATCGTTTATTGCATTCTTTGCAAAAGCCCGGCTGCGTTTAGTCCTTGTGTTTGTGCCTGTGCTTGTGCTTGTGCTCGTGCGTCCAGGCTTGGGACTGGCTATCTTCATGCCGTAAAGGGGCTGACCGGTGATCACGTCCATCTTTCACGTCGATCCTCAGTTTCCTCCTCCCATCCTATCTATATACTTCACAGCGCATCCCCTGAGCCCGGCTTCGACTTGCATTTGCGACTGCAACTACAAACTGCGACACGTCGACTTCGAACGAAAGGCCTCAGCCCCATACAGTACATACATCATCACTGCCTGTCCTGTATCACATCCGACGCGGGACACAGCAGCTGGGGGCGATCGCAGTGCCAGCGAGTCAAGGGTTATTTTTGTTGCCGAGGGGCTGAGCCATATTCACGAGACACTCCAAAAGGCTGGGCTCCTGTTCATCACTCGAGTGGCTTGACCCAGCGGCTTCTGTGACCGCTTGCGAGCACCCTCAACCACAGAGATCTGCGCTAGGGACCCTGGGGTCTGCCCAGCTCCCCCTCAGACACGCACGCCCGCCTATTTGCGTGCAGCCTTCCTGGGCCCCCCCCCCCACGATTCCCAGCAGAGACTGGACGTCTCATTTCCTGACTGACCGACACGACTCCTCGTCGACGACAATCGCTCCTGCGGTCCTGGCCCGTCCGTCTTTCTTCGTACCTTTTTTCGCGCCTGGCTGCTATTCTGTCTTTACTGCTCGACTGAGAACACCAACCGACCCTCGCTGTTTGCTTCAGGCCGCCCGAGAGACCAGGGATCTTCTGCCGCGCCGTCGACATTTCATTGGTCACAAAGGAGTGGTCACTGATCGACCCAACCGCTGATCGTCCGACCGTTTGATTGAACCGACCGCATTTGGCTGGATTTGGGGGCTGCACTCGGGAAGTTTGTTGCGAGTAGAAACATCGGACGACCGAAAGCGCCTGGGAGAGACCCAACCATGGAGTTTTGAGAAAAGGGACAGCAAGACCGGCATTTTTTTAAGGCAACGCAATTGCAACGCGGGCCCGAGGTGATTTCTCCTCGGATCTGCGCGTTTGGGCACTCACTCAACAGATCTGGGTGAGCCGACGCCAAAATGCCTTCAATAGACGTCGCGATGGCGAGGAGTGTGAGGGGAGGAGTGATGGACATGGTCGCACGCAGCTTGCAGGCCGGACTTGAGCAGAGAGGCGTTATCTCCGAGGCCCAGGGACAATTATCAGATATCAAACTGGCATTTTCCAGCTGGGATAATTGCATGCAGGCAACGTACTGCAAGTAGGTGGAAAATCCTCCCCGCTGAGCCATGTTTGATGTGCTAACATTTCTCCAGATGGCCAGTGATTGCAATAATCATAGTGGTGGGCCTGTTTGTATTCTCCATCGTCTGGTGTATTGCGAGATGCCTTTGCTGCGGCCTGTCCTGCTGTTGCGAATGCTGCTACTGCCTGAAGTGCTGTGGGAATTGCTGCGGATGTTGCGATACGCCGAAAAAGCACAGGCGGAAGTACCTCGACGACCCATACGTTCCAGCTACCGATCATCAAGGCTACCGCTCGGAACCCGCCATGACTGCGGGAGCCATACCACCAGCGCGCACAAAGGCTGCCGATCCGCCACAGTATGCGACTTTCGACCTGTCCAAGAAGGAGGAAGGAGAGGACTCGCTGCCCGCCATGCCGACCTGGGAAGCCTCGGAAAGCAAGAGGTTGGAGGCGGAGGCGGAGGCTGTCGAGTTGCAGAACATCAGGAAGCCCGAGAACAACCCAAACCAGCCCCTGCTGAATGGAATGTCACCAGTAGCCACACCTGGCCCCACCACTCCTATCGGGCAAACCGGCAGAAGTCCCTACGGACCACAGGGACCCCAGGCCGCAGCCAGCGGCTATATGGGTGCTGGCCCAGGTGCAGGTGCATATGGACCGCCCGCGCCGGCCTACAACCCGATGCACAATGGTTATGATCAATCGCAGGCCTCATTCCACACGGGTCAAAGCTGGGGTGTGACGGGAGGCCAGGACTATGGACAGATGCCAGGACCATCGCCGACGGAATACGGATATAACACATCCCCAGCACAGACGCCTCTATACGATGAGCACGGGGCCTACAGCGAATACGGCATGCCAGGCAATGCCCCTGTTCAACCAGCCGTGGACCAGTACGGCATGGCCGGCGCTCAGTCAGAACGGCGAGGACCTCCCAGAGGCGCCAAAGGCGCAGTGGGAGGCGCCGGCCCTCGTGCGTCTCCCGCTCCACGTGGCTCCCCGGCGCCACCTCCACAACAAGACTTCGGGTTTGGCGGCGGCCAGTTCGATGCGCCACCACGAACTTACTCTCCGGCTCCCGTCCAGCGAACATTCTCTCCTGCCCCTCCTCAGCGCACCTTCTCCCCCAACACCCAGCAACAATTTGGCCCCGGACCTCAACGACAATTCTCGGCAGACTCAGCCCCGGCCCCAGGCCGGAGACCGATGCCGCCACGGGGCCCTCCCTACCGACAGTTCTCGGCCGACTCTGCTCCCAACCCCCAGCGACAGTACTCGTCCTCATCACCGCGGCCTCTAGCAGGTGGCGGGCCCAGGCCCGGACCAGGTGGTGGGCCCAGGCCCGGGCCCGGCGGTCGTGGGCCGCCCCGGAGGCAGTACACAGACGTCGGTCCTGCGCCCAGTTCACCGGGCCCAACGAACAATGGGGGCTTCGATTTCGAGTCCGGCTTCAGCAGGCCACCTAGAGCGAACACGTTTGATACCTCATACGATAATGGAGCCAGCAGCCAGCCGGAGGAGACGTCCGCGTATCCGGGCTACAAGCCATACCAGCCTAAGAACTAGGACGGCACACCTTCAAAAGCCTCCTTGAGGAGGAGAAGCATTTCAATGATCGATATTTTTTGGTGATGTTTTTTGCCCTGGAGTTTGGATATTTTGCATTTGCACGTCTTATATATCCCGGCCTTGGAGCAGTGGGCGGCGACCTTGGAAAACCCCAGAGCATTTCTTGTCGTCACCTTTTGGTGTGACATTTCTCTAATTCTCTATCCCTGTTCACACCATCCAGGACTTGGTTTCCCCGTCCCTGGGTGGTCTTATCAACACCCGTGTCTTTGGCAGTTGGTCGCGTTATTTTCTCACCGGCATTTGGGAACGGAAGCGCAGATGATGAGTCTTGATTCGGCCAGCAGAGCTGGTTTCGTTTGTCATTCTTCTTTTTATGGGTGATGGGGCCTTTCTTGACTGCATGACGATGGGGTTTGAAGAAAGAAAGAGAGCGGAAGTTCATACTTAAGCCGGTGTCTTATGTGAGCACCGAATACATCTAGATGTATATTTGGGTAGACCAATCCCTGGAGACAGGGCATGACAATGAAAAGAACAAATATTTCGAGAAGCCGAAACCGGTTGCAGGTTCGCAATCACTCTACTGCAAGCAATAGACTCCAAAACACCGCGCTGTTTGAATTCCGACCACAGCCTGAGACAATACGTCACCCTAGCGGCGTCCCTTGTACTCCCTGCGCAAACTCCTCAGAGTCCTCGTGGCCCAGTCTCTCCTGAAATACAGCACCTCAACCTTTGGAGCGAACCGAACTCGTTTCTTCCCTGCCGTGCGGCGCGCCTTTCTTCCCGCATGTCCGCCATAACCACCCGACCAAGAAGGCATGTCGCCCCCGGGCAAACCACGGCGCCCGTTGTCAGCATCGGAGGAGAAGTGAGGAGGCCTGGACGGGCCGTATTCCCCCTTGTGTTCCCGGGTCCTACTACCGTCCACGCCGACACCCTCGCCCACCCCGCCGTGAACCCACCGAGACCCCTCGACCCGGCCATCTTCGTCGCCCCCGATCGACATCACGCGCTCAAACGCCGCGGACAGCGGACAGCGCCCGTCGCCCCCCGCCCCGGTGGGTATAGGGTACGCCGGCTGGGCCCTACCCTGCCCGGGACAAGGGTAGTACGACGGAGGAACTCCTGCCGTCTGCGCTGCTGGGTCCCTGCCCCCCTTCGCGGCTGCTCCATTCCTCCTCGTGCCGTTGGGCCCGCCGCCGCCGCCGCCCGAACACCGGGAGCCGACTCTTCTGCACGCCCCGCATAGCTCGTCGCGCTGGACGAAGATGTTGCCCTTGCGATCGTTGGTCGCGCAGGGCCGTGCGTGGCGCGTTGGGGGATGGTAGATGGTCGGCCTAAGGTGGGTGCTGCGAGGACAGAAGGTGGTGATCGAGGCGCGGTGGGAGCAGCGGTTGAAGTGAGTGACGGTTGTGTAGCACATCGTGACTGAGGTTGTTCGTTTCTGTCTGGCTTCCTCGCTGCTCCGGATGAGTCTCTCCTGGAATGAAGGCGCTGCGTTGGGAATGCCGCATCAGTAGGTGTATTTCGAGGGATTCTGAGGATTGCTAATACCGATGTGACTTTCAGGTATTCCAGGGTTCGAATTCTCAGTTTGCTTGAAAATGACATCAGGGTCCGGAGCCATGTAGGTATGTTCCTCTGGTGTTGATGTGAGAAAGGCTGGTGTCTCCTCGGTCTGGGTTGATGTTCTTGCTGTATATAGGCAACGACGAGGATTCACTGTTCTGGAGTGTGACATGATGATTTCTCTGGGTACATGCACAGAGTGAATCACCTTGTCTAGGACTGCTCACCGTATCGAGCGGACGTAAAGTGGCTGCAAGGTAATTGCTTCTTGGAGTGAATGGTCACAGCTATCCCACTTGTAACTTGAATGAACTTCCAAAGGTGATCACAGTGTTTATTCGATGAATTCCTATAGGACTGACATGTAATGCTATGTGCTGTCCTCCATCTATACAAACATGTACTCAAACAGACAAATCAAACTCCTTGCCATGCATATATGCTCGTAAAATTCAGGGACCATCTCCAAACTGCCCATACCATATACTATCCTTGGGAGTCGAGCCCCTCTCAAGCTCATCTATAGGTGCCTCACACAACTTCATGTTCTCCTCTGGTATCGTCCAGTTCCTCATCAGATCAAGTCTAGATGCGAATTGCATCGCCATGCCCGCCTCGGCATGCCAGATCATGTGGCAGTGAAACAGCCAAACTCCCGGGTTATCGGCGATGAAACGGACCAAGGTCCACCCGAAGGCCTCGATCGTCGTGACGTCCCGCCGAACGGGGTTCGCGACGATGGTGTTATTGTCAGGGTCGAGTAGGCCCTTGCCCTCGTCCTGCAGGCCTAGCTCCTGGTATCCCGGGAAGTACCCGTGCCCTGCCGCCAGGATGAACATCTGCGCGCCGTGTAGGTGGAAGGGGTGGTTGCCCTCGTCGAAGTTCTGGAGTATCAAGTCTACCACTTCGACGCCGCCCGAGCTGACGACCAGCTCGTTCTTGGTTTCAAACGCCTCGCCGTTCACGCCCTCCACGTCAAACGTCTCGTTGGCGCTGTTCAGACCCTCGACCAGTCGGTGAAGCGTGGGAGACTGCAGCTGTGGCCGGAAAGTGCTCTGGTTCACAAAGCCCCTCTCCAACCGCCAGTCACCGATTTCCACGTTCACCCGAAAATACCACGAGTGGTGTGCAAATTCGGGTGCAGAGCGTGCAGGCACGGGTTTGTATGTGTTGGGGGCCTTGTCCTTGCATATGACGGTGAACTTTCCGCTATCGTCCTCCGTGGTAGGAAGGACAGACTGGCCGATGGATTTGGTCGTGGGCTCTGTTGAGTTGTATCGGATAACGGCTTGCGCCTCGGCGACACCATCGTCGGGAAGAATATTCTCGGCGAAACAATGGTTTATCATACGTGCCCTGAGCCAGTACAGATTGGAAGGGTCAGTCTGGTTGGCCGACAGCACAAGGCTATATCGTTGGCCCGGTGAGACGAGTAGGGTTGAGTCGGACAGAGGCTCGACGGTGACTCCGTCGACTTCTGTGACAGAAAGATCTGTGTGCCTGTCAACGCTGACTTCGAACCAGGCAAATCCGCCGACATTGATCACTCGAAGTCGGTGGTGCTTGTTCGGCGCCAAGTCGAACGACGGTAGACTTGCTGATGAAGAGTCGCAGTGCCGGTTCTGGTGCAGAGAGCAGTCCACCTTGTTCGCTCCGTTGATCAAGGCTCCGTTTGGGGTTGGCGATGACTCGCTTCCAGGAGAGAGTGTCTCCCTCAAAAGGCCATCAGATAGATCGTGGTACCAGTCCTGCACCATGACCACGCGGTCCGAGTCGTATGCAATGGGTTGGTTGTCCCTCTCCTTCTTGGAAAGGACGATCAGGGGTCCAGCCAGGCCGTCTAAGTTCTGAGCGGCTTGATGGCCATGATAGAAGACTGTAGAAGTACTCAGTAAACAGAGCGAATACACGGGGTCCAGTCAACTTACATGAGCCAGATTGCCCCTCAACCGCGAATTCATAGCGATACGAGCGACCCGGTGCGATGGGGCATTGCGTGACTCCTACGGTTCCGTCGTTCCAATTCGTGCCGTTTTGGAAGAGGCCGTGCCAGTGTATGGCAGTGGCGTTCTTGGCCTCATTCACCACGTTGACGACGACGGTGTCCCCTTCGTTGCACACAATCATGGGGCCCGGAAACTGCCCATTTACCACCATCATCGGCCGGAAGACTCCATCCGGGTTGGCAGTAACGTCGGAGATGACCCAGTCGTACTCGCGCACCGTTGGGGGCGCATCGTAGTCCCAGGCCGGGTCGATAATGTAGTCGGATGACGGGCGCCGGAATGTGCTGACTGCCTCGCCCTCTGTTTCTTCAAGATGGAGGTGGTTCAACGCGACGGCCACAGCTGTCAAGACAAGAAGTCCGATCAGCCCAAACAAGCCTAGACGCCACCATCTCCTCCGTCGTTTCCGGGGCTGGTCGTCGTCATGATCGTCTTTGAGTTTCTCCTCGTCGTCTTCCGACAAGAGGCGTTCGTGCTGCTCACCGCCTGGGTCGGGCGCCTCTTCCTGGACGACATGCTCCTGCAGCTCGAGTCCGTCGCTGTCGCGATGTTGATATGAGGGTGAAGACGAGCGGACCTGCCTATAGTCGCCCATTTTGGACAGCTGCTGGGTAGTCGGAGCTACGGTTGCGCTCTGATCAAATAGCTCCAACGGCTGCCACTGTTGTCATCTTCTCGACGAAGACCACCAGGACGGCCGTGCGGCTGAGCGGGCGTCAGAGTGTCAGAGGTGAAGTCAGAATCCCCCTGTTCCCCCAAGCCAAGCCTCTCATCCGATACCTGATGGCTTGGCGCAAGCAAGCCAGACCGAGTGCTGGATTCAGACTCGGGTATTCAAAGACGCTGTCACTTGCATGGTGAATAGTGAATTCGAAATACCCGGCCGATGGGAACTCGAAAGAGGTAACAGCTGACAGATTCGCCCCTGATCGAGTAGCGAAGCCACCAACCAGCGGCCCTGGCCGGTCCTCGTGGATGTGCTGCAGGGGTCATGCAGCGGATGAAGGCGATCCAGTGGGACCCTTGCCAATGCAACGTGGGGATTTTGCTGTCCTGGAATTCCAAAGATTCGCCTCGCCTTCTCTACGAATGTTTCTGCAAGACTCATCTTCACGGAGTGCCACATAACTCCACAGTGGAGTAATTCGATGGCATATCAACACCACACGCGTGGTCTTTGGATTGAAGTTATCCAGGGTGTAGCGAATGCCCAACACCTCCTTGCGTTCGTTCTCGGCAAGAATGTCGACCTCGATGTCACCAGTCCAGGCGCTCCAAGCCATTCCGACCGGTTTAACCTCCACCAAGAGACCTCGCACCATGAGATATCCATCGGTCACCTTCACATGCTGATTCAAACTGCTTGTCATCGGAACCACTGCAAAATCCAGAATCGACGCAAGCGGTGTCGTGTCCCGGGGCCAGACATGCTTTACCCTGCCGGGAACTGTCGCCCAAGACCATGATGGCGCCATATACTGGCGAGGCGCTGACTTGTGCTTTCTGTCCCCTACTTTCTGCCACAACAGGCCTCGAAGCAAACCATTCAACCACAATCCTGCTAGGAACTCTTCACGGCGGTGTCCCGAAGCACGGGAGTATCTCAAAGCGATTTGAGAGAAAGCTGGAATCCTATCTTCCAGGAAGGTTAGGTTTCGACCAGAGTATTCCTCTACCAGTTCGTACCACTCTGATGAGTCTTTCTTGGTCGCCGATCTTCTTCTCCCATTCTCCCATCGGATCTCCTCCTGGCTTTACATATACAACAGCTGAGAAGTCAGCATCGTGCTTACCATGTCCGAATCTTGCGGCGAAGTTTCGTCACCTTGGAGTACCAGATTGCAACGAGCAAGTGCCATTTCTTGCGCTGTCCATGCCCGTAAATGAGGAGGAGACTCGTACTTCCACGCATCCGGAAATAATGAGACCTTCAGCCCACGGGGGTCGTTGTACGCGTCCGTGCCGAGCCATGCAATGAATACCTCTTCCGTACCATCCAGACGGGTGGGTGGAAATCGTGGCGGTATACGAGGGCCCAAAACCTTAGTCTGGCCATCCTTGACGCCCGCAACGATATTGAAATCGGCGTTGGCGTAGTAAGCCGGCATCCTTTGTAATTCTCTTTGCACGTCTGCTTTGTCGTCTTGAATTGTGCACAAAACATCAATCCACAGATAACGAATTCCAAGACCTTGTGTAAGACGGACCACATCCTGGAATAGACGAGGCAAATCATCGAAACGTATCCCCGGTAGCATCTTTGACAGTTGCCCCTGGCGCAACGAAAGCATCGAACGGGCCTCGCCCCAGCACCACGTAAGAGTTACAAATTTGCCAGCTACTCCTTCAGGATTCTCCAAGAGACGAATGCGCTCTTCGCTAATCTCAATCAACCTCGAAGGAAGACAACTTGACGACGCAGCTATATTGCATTGTGGGTGTTTTTTTCGACATTCTTGAAGCCAGTGTTGGCAATTGGCGACAAATGATTGAGAATTTGAGTGTACTGGCCTTCCACAGACACTGGATGCCGCAGGGGACTCTTGACTCCTGTTGTCAGTAAGAAGACCAAGAATTCGCAACGCAATCAACCTCTCCTGTTCAGCCATGCACCTGGATTTGTGTAAATATGCAGACGGCCGAAGAAGCAGTAGCAGTTGATCAACAGGAATGGATCCTGTGTTTCCACCCTCAAGATGATCTCCGAGTCTCCTGCAATCCGATGTATTTCAGCATCTACTGCCTCGGCAAGTATTTCGGACGCCTCAAGAGATAGTGTGTTTTCTGAGGACATCTGGCAATGTCGAGCGATCCCGAACTGAAGCAGAGCACAGTGTATCATTTCGCAAAGCCTGCACTCGTGAGCTGGGGTAACCAGGGTGGCGTACGTCCTGTGCTTCATTCCTCGCGGCCTTTGAAGCTCTAGATAGGACATTCTCTGGCAGACTGAACACAAACTGGTTTCCTGGATGTCCTGCTTGTTGTTTCTACCCTGTTCTGGCCTGGAGACACTGCTGCCCTGCCAGGGGTTGTACCTCGTCGAAATATTTGGGTATGTGACGAGCCGGTAGATATCCCATCTAGACTGAAGAGCATCCTCAATCAGAATGGCTGATTTCTCATCATGAGTAAGGGATTGCTGCACGTGGTAATACCAGTGTTGAGTCGTATAGTTGAGGAGGGGACAACCATGTACCGCCTCCAATGGTACGGCGGCTGAGCCCAAATACAAGATATAGGCGAGGCATGATTGAGCAATCAAAGCGTGTCCCTCAGTCTTTGTGATAGCAAACTGCCTGCTGTGATCAGAGAGCGTTTCAGTCCGTTCAAGGAACTGAACGACACTTGAATGAGCTAGTCGAAGTACAGAGGTATCCTGCCATTTTGGTCCAGCGCTGGGCTGAACATTGTCTATATCCACGGCGAAGGCGTCTTCCATATCAGACGTTTCGTCCACTACGACCAAAAAAGTACACTGGTCAAGAATCTTCGGTCGCTGATTGAGGCGCTTTCTCGAATCAAAGTGTGGCTCCTCAAACTTGTTAATACCAACTGTTTCACGAAGCTCCTCGATTCGGAGGGGGCGACGAGTGTAAAGAAGCCAGCAGAGCAGCGTTCTGAGGTTTTTTATATCCTGTGGGGGCTTTATTGTCGAAAGTACTTGCTCATAAGTCTCGGTCAGACTTCCTGGTAGTGATTTCAGGGCTGCGTCCAACTCCTGTTCGGTGTCACATTGTTGGATGTTCGCCAGCTGACCAATAGCCCATCGGAACTGCGGTTCCATTGGTTCCAGCAGAGACGACATGAGATTTTTAGCGGGCAGCTTACGAGCCGTCGGAGCGTTCTGTCAAATTGCTGACGATTTTGTCTCTTTGATCATCGTCCCACGGACCCAGTTCCAGCTCTCGAATATGTGCTTCGATATCCTTGTTTATGAACATGGAGTTGACACAGACCATTTCCGTACTCAAAATTTTCAAAGTCGACTCAGATTCCAGAGACTGGGTGGTGTTGCTGCTGACGAGGACTCGGGTTTTGGCCGACCGGTAGTCGCAGAGATTCTTGAGAAAAGCACAGGTTTCGGTCTGGTCTATGCTCTCATCTAGGGCGTCGATGATGACGAAAATTGCCGAAGGAATCTTCAATAGGCCCTTTAAGACGGATGACAACTGATTGTAGTCAGCAGATTGGGTCCTGTCGCGTCTTTTTTTGAAGGCAGCTAGTGCAAAAGCCTGAGTTTTTTCATCATGGTCTGCAAGTTGATATACGAGATTGCGGATTAGCGCATCTGACGTTTGGGATTGGAGATCCGTAAGCGTGAAGAAATGATATATCAGAGCCTGGTTGCTAGATGTGGACGACAGGTCTTGGAGTCTATCAATAGCGGACGAGCTTCCGATGAGTTAGTCCACGTAGAGCGTGCAATGCATCCGCTCCGAAGTAGTCGGTCTTACCACAGCATCGTTTTACCACATCCGGCTGCTTGAATTGTCAATAAAGCCCATGAATTTGGGTCCAGCGACGTGTACGATCTTTTCCCATGTAACCATAGGAAGGAATTTGGCTCTTTGACCCACTTGCCAAATGCCTCATCCTCTAGGAACCACCAGCTGGTACGGCTTGCCACTCGTCTTCTTTGCATTGATGTCTGAAATATCTTTTGAGAAAACACCGACCTTGTGCCAAATATCCACTTGCTAATGGCTTCCCAAGTTGCTAGAGTGAGGAGCATGAGCACGGTACTTAGTAAATAGGCGTTGATAGGCTTACGTTCGTAGCTTGGCTGCCATGAACCACCATGACGGGAGGGTCTGCTCATTATGAGTGTATAACTAAATATCAATCATCTCACTCTGAATCTTTGAGGCCTGTACAACTCGTATTATGGAAATGATTTCGTGGTTCCGCTTGTTGACAAACAGCTTTGATGCCTTCTCCGGGAATCCAAGATTTGCCAGCAAGGAGGGCTGAAGTCGCCGAGCGGGGGGTGGGCAGCATGATAATGCACATTCACTAAGCTGGCCTCTTCACTGTCACACCAGGCTTCCTGATGCAGTGGCTGTGTCTAACTTGCATAAGCGTTACGCGGAGTGCCACATCGCACGAATCACCAATTGATACTTTGGGACATGCAGGCGTAAAATGCCGCCAGTCAGTCTCCACCCCGAAACTTTGAAACACACGAGTCTGCATGAAAGACTTGTGCCGCTAGGGCGCATGCTTCTCTGTTTCCTTCCGAACATCCAGGCTGAACAAAGTCTGCACTGAAAACACTTCCATCCACCGGCTCCAGCTGGTAGACAGACTAATTCGCTGATGATGGGGGTTGCTGTTCTAGTCTTTGGTAGAGTGAACTTTGCCAGACTTTTCAATGTCTGTGTGGGATTTTTTTTTTTGATTAGATCTTAATCGGCCGTGAGCTTGGCAAAAACTACCAAACGGCACTGCTGAAGCTCGACCTTCTCAAACTTCGACTTTCTCGATGGTTCACTGCTGTCAGAGACTCGGCCGTCACAGCACAATCCGAGGAAGAAATCAAAAAGGCGCATGATGTACTGGGCCAAATCATCTACTCATTTGAGGAGACAGAAAAGCGGTCCAAGAGATTCTCAAAGCCACTGAGAGACGCTAGCGAAGGCAGCTCAGGGCAAGCCCCCGACGTGGATGCCGACCTGGAGGCCATCCACCAAAAGATGAGAAGCCTTGTACTCAAGCGTCAGAAACAAAGCACCTTCACACACAAAAGGCCAAGTGGGCCCTGTACGAAGAGAAGCAGTTCCAGCGTTTGATTGAGGACATTGACCCTCTGGTTAAGGATCTGGTGGACTTGTTTCCAGCCACGAAAGCCCAGGAACATCAACTAAGCCTTGAAGAGGCGCAGGAACTGCAGGCGGGGCCCAGCAGGGGAATCAACATGCTGCCGGAGGCTAATGAAGGCGAGGACGAATTACTCCAGGTTTCAATCACTGAGGTGATGGCTGGTCAGTCAAAGCACAAGTATCTAGGCAATTTGCTTAAAGACGAAGCTCATGCAAGATACGAGACGAGTTTGAGGGCGGGCATGTGTCCACCGGAGTCGGGAGCCTGTATAAGGACAACAAGGCGGAAGGCAAAGTCAAGGTGCACTATGGAGACCACCACGGCCGAGGATCTATCTTCTCTTGATGGATGAAACCTTGAGGTCCGGTGAAATATACTTCGATGTGGCCTGAGGAAACTAGAAAAATGTATGAATGTCAGCCTGGGCTCTTAAAATTGATCATGACTCTGATGATAACAAGGAAAATAGACACCACCGATGTGCTTCCCCACAAGCCACTACAGCAGGAAGTGATCGGACACCTGGGTAGCCTGTGACAAGCTTTCCATCTGGAAAAAAGACCGAGCATTGGCCCAAGCGGGCCTCAGAGAACCCGAATCAAACAAAATAGCCTCAGGGGCTTCATGATTTTCATCCGATATACAGCCCGGCCAGAGCTCCGTTTACAAAAAGAACAATACGTAATTGAAGCTCGGCTGCCTAGCAACTCAGGCTCACCTAATGTGGTGAAAGCGAGGGACAGACCTCAGTTTTCACAGATGCCAATTCAATCTCCCCTTCAAGCTGAATCCTTTCATTCACCATCCTCCAACGCCCTTCACTATCTCTTTTCAGCACGTTTGAACACTTTTCAGAGTCACCCATTGACTAGCCATGGACCACAAACAGGACATCGCAGGTTTGGTGGAATCCGGTGCCTCCAAGCTTGGCAAAATGGGCAATCAAGACGATCCATCCACCAGCAAGCCCGTGGCCAAGTCCTTGGACAGCATGGTCCGAGTCCTTTGGTAAGAGCCACTCAGGGTCCAGTGCGTTGAGAAAGATCACTCATGCTTCAGTAGCGACTTCACCGACACGATTACCATTCGTGTAAAAGAGAAATACTTCAAAGTCCCCAGGGATCTCCTCACCGCTACATCAATCTTCTTCGACGAGGAGCTCAGTTACAGCACACCGAAGAAGTTCTTCCTCGTCCTCGATGACGTCGATGCCGATCTCTTCAACACATACATCAACATGCTCTTTAAGTCGGCCTTCTCGCCAGGGTTCAGGGTTCGAAGCCGCAATGCATCGTCCGTTGCAAGTTCGACTGCCAACATCGAGTTCCTCCTGCGACTCTGGCAGCTCTCCCACCGTCTCAACAGCTTCAGGATGTGCCTTCTCGCGGAGGAGGCCTTGACGTCGCAGTACTTTGCCAAGTTCACCGCCAAGACATGGGAGATGGCATACGTCAAATGCACCGAGGCCCACCTGCGCCAGGTACTTTTGGCGCTGCAGAAGTGCTACACCCTTTGCACCGATGAATCGATCCCGTTTGAGAGAGAGTTCGTTACCGCTTGCGCGAAATGCCCTGGCCAGATGGTGGCCACGTACTTCGACCATCTCGATCCTGGCTTCAGGGCCGAGATTGTCAAGACCTTTGCGCTTCGCATGGCAGACCCGGAGGTAACCCAGAAAAAGAGGGTCCGAGAAGACGGCGACGAGTCCAAGGCTTTGAAGAAGAGACGGTGCTGAGCAGTTCCCCACGATTGACTTGTCCAAGATTGAAGAGAGAGAAATCAGATCCATAACGACAAGAAGAAAAAGATTAAAAAAGGAAAGGAGAGGCGAGGGACGTGTGACGGTCACTCACAGAGTCGATTGTCAGGGAGTGATGGGATCAACAAGCTACCCCTCGAAGATGCAAAAGATATCATGTCATCAAGACTTTGAGGCACTTCGGAGGATCAGTATTCAGAAGATGTGCTGGAGGGAACCGGCTTTTGTGCCTTCGATTTGATAGCAGAAGCTGTCACAGATGAGACTGTGTCCTGAGAATGGCGGGGTTCGTCGGTTTAAAAACTGCCAAAGGTCTGTAGAGCACAGAACAGGCTTCCACTACCAAATGCTACAGGGTGCGAGATCACCAGACGTCTTGAAAGTGGACTGCGACGGTGAAGTGAGGTGAGGTTGTCAAGTTGATGTCGTGAGGTGATGCATGTTTTCCGGCATAAATGCAACACGTCATGCTCTAGATATGTATTTAAACGGTATGTACGCCGAACACATGAATGTGGGGCACCGCAGTACTTTGGAGCCATTCTCACCAGCGCGGCCCCTAATCAAAACACCAACCTTGGCTCTCTTCAACATCCACTACACTCAGCAGCAGACCTTCCGAAAAAGGTCTCAGTGAAGGAAACGCAAATAGCATGGAGAACGGAGCGCCGCAAAACGAGGGCAGGGACCCATCCGGATTCCTCAGCCAGATCATCGGAAACGCGGTGACCGTCAAGCTCAATTCAGGCGTCGTTTACAAGGGTGAGTTGCAAGCCCGCTGCTGGCCCTTTCAACGCCCCCAATCTTCAAGCCCGATACTCATCCACATCACCAACACAATACACCCTTCCCTGTCCGACTTCATGTACGCAGCTGCTGACCATCCGAGGCAGGCGAGCTCCAGTCTGTCGATGGGTACATGAACATCGCGCTCGAGAAGACCGAGGAGTATGTCAACGGCCAGAAGAGGCGGTCCTACGGGGACGCTTTCGTGAGAGGAAACAACGGTCAGTCAAGCAGAACCCTCAGCTCCGTAAGCACTTCAGAAGAACCACTGGCTGATTGAGTGACCGCAGTCATGTACATCTCTGCCGACTCGTAGTGCAGACCTTCAAGGACGACGCGATGGACCCGTCGTTGTCAACGGGTTGCTTGCATGGTGAACCGCCGGTCTGGACCCAATAGACGTCCGGCAGAAGATGTCATGTTGATGCAGGAAGTTCTACGCCCGGTCGCGATGTCGAGGTCGGGATTGAACGGCGGGCATTGGTGGTCGAGTCCATGGATGCAGATCAGGCTGGACAGAGGCTCCGCAGGCTGTTGCCAGAGGGGGGGGGGGATGTTGCCCACGGACATGGCCATGCCCGGCCAGTGGGGCTGTGGTAGAGCAGTCCCGAGGTCAACAGGTCTTAATGATACCAAACTTCTTGCATACAGATCTAGGCCACCTTCCCGCCTGTGGATTATTCCCATCAAGTGGTGATCACCGGCCCATACTCGACTGCAGCGATGTCGATGGACGGTTTCTCAAGGGAAAGGCCGTCCGCTCCGTAGAAACGCATATTGACTGCCACCTCCCTTCCCATGGCATTCTCGTCACCGCCCCTCAGACACCCTACATCCTATCCGCCCAAGCAAAATACGTCTGCCCATGGCACTCCACCTCGCCCTTCTCATTCCTCACCACATCCGGCATAGCCATCGCCTCGCGGAACACCCTCTCGCCCGCCTCCCTGTCAGCACCCTTGAGCATCGCGACGTGGCTGAGCGTGTTGATCCGTCGCCACAGCGCCTCCTCGCTGAGCCAGTGCGTCCACTCGACCTTGTCCTGCCCGATGGGCACCGAGAACCGCGGCAGCCTGTTGGTCAGCGTGTCGCGGAGAACCTGCACGGGGTTCGACTTGACCTGCGCCGCGAAGACGTCCTGCCACGCCATTGTGTCGCGGAAGCGCGGGTTGTTGTCCCGCACCGCCAGGCTGTGCACCCAGTCGTTGAGGTGCTGCGCCCAGGCTGTCGATGCCGGCCAGGACTTGGGCTTGTTGTCTGCGAGGAGGTTTCAGTGCCACAGTTCAGAAGGGGGTTTTGACCGAGGGACCAGGGCGAGGACGACCTCACAGTCGTCGATGTTCCAGATCATCCCGAACACCGCGCCCTCCTTCAAGACCCGATAGATCTCATCAAGCGCCTCATTCGTAGCAAACCTGTCATAAACCAGTCAGAACAAATCAATGAACCCCCTTCTCCCAAAGCACAAGATCCACCACCCTGCCACCGCTCACCAGTGAAAAGCCTGCGCAGCAACACACCCATCCCCCCACCCGTCCCCAACAGCACCGCCCATATCCTCAGCAGCCCCGTCCGCGACCCTCACCCCGCGCAGGCTCTTCCCCTCGAGCTCCCTTCGCATGTCCGGGTGCGGCTCGACGGCGCGCACCTCGAAACCCTCGTGCCGCCCCGCCAGCGCCTCGGTGAACTTGCCCGTGCCCGCCGCCACCTCCACCACCCTCGCGTGCGCCCGGTCCGCCAGCCGCATGTGCTCCAGGAGCCTCTGCACCGCCTCGGCCGGGTACGACGGCCGGTGCTCGTCGTACGCCGACGCGTCCTTGAAGCCGTCCGCCGCTGCCGGCGCCAGGTTGCGTGCCGAGGACATCGTGCCGGCGGGAGGGGGCCTGGTGTGAGAGGTACTTATCTGGGCAAGAACAGGACTGGCTGTGAGGGTTGAAGATGACCTTTTCAACGTGCGTGCATGAGCATAGGCTGATGAGCTTAGACAGGAGCTGGCGCTACCAGTCGGCGGACCTCAAATGTGGGAATGCTGCAGCATGGATTTGGTTGAGCTAGACAACTCGTTGGTCTTGCGTCATTTTCGGCCGGCTCCATGCTTGGCTCCGGGAATTGTACAATCTGGTGGACTCCCAAGATTTCCATGATTACAATGTCAACCCCTTTTGAAAATGAATACATCACCAGGTCCGAATGTCATTCACTGGCCCATAGAGCATTACTACAGATAAGACTTGGACGAGCTCGTACAATTTTCAGTATGTGTGGCTCATGCAGAAACAGTCACGGATTGGACACAAGCTGCGAGGTAAATGGGTAATGGTGTTGTTGCTAGAACAAATCTTCTCCAGACGTCTTCAAGGAGCCTTCCCATATCCGAATAGCAGGTCTAAATCATAGAAAACCAACAGAGGCCAGCATAACTATGCATCCTGTTACTCACTCTGCCTCTGCCATTGCGGTTGCTTATGTTTCCATGATATCCATGCTCTGTGTTTTCTCTTGGAATGGCCTGATCTACATATGCTATGTTTTCATCCCTCCATTACAGCACGACCGATAATAGAAGGTCAAGGCTTGATGCTGCTGTCGGATGGCTCGCTTCGAGACTGGTTCCGACGGCTGCCAGTGTATCGGGGTATTTTATAGCTGACCTTTCGGGGTTGCTTCTTCTGTTCAATCGCCTGCTTGGCTGCTGGCTTCGTCGTATCTTTGACCGCCACGAGGCCACTGTCGACACTTTCCTCGGAGGTGCTCTGCGTCCAGGAGCGGCCGGTTGGCCGGGGTAACGAGACAACAGGGCCGCCCTCAGCCTGGATTTGAACGGGGGTGGCCGATGTCATCACCACAGGCGCCGGTAACAACGAACACAGGTCGTTTGCGGCATGGACCTTGGTAGGCGTAGCCGCATTCGGTGCTGTGATGCGCACTGGTGACTGACTGCCCATCTTGATCCTGGGCGCTGGACTGTGAACCTCAGATGGTCCAGCAACCATAGAGCGTGGAGTGAACTCGGGGGCGCCTGGGTTCAACTTTGATCCCTACAAGACAGAGGTTATTAGAAACTGCCAAAGAATGCATATAATAATGATTCTTCAGCGGAATCTATACCTCTTTCTTGTGCCCCGATGGTGTCTTCACCTGCGCAGATTGCTTCGCGCCATCTTCGGTAGAATCCTCGTCCTCGACCACGACGCCATTCGTGTTCGATTTCGTTGTTACCTTCGAGGTCTTCGGGCTGTCCTCATCGCCCGTGCTTCCGTCTGCATCCATGTTTGACTCCTTGGGCTTCACAAAGATCTACAGATGCATGATTAGCTTCGCCTGTTTTGAATCACGCACGGGATGGACGATCTTACCTGCTTGGACCACAGCTCGGCATACTTGCCTCCGGCTGATATGAGCGTCTCGTGATTGCCTTCTTCCGAAATCTCGCCGTTCATAACCACGACGATCCGGTCGGCGTTGACAATAGTGGACAAGCGGTGAGCCACGATGAATGTGGTACGGCCCTTGCAAAGACGGCGAAGAGCCCGTTGAATCTGGAACTCTGTCTCAGTATCAATCGCGCTCGTTGCCTCATCAAGCAACACAATCTTCGGCTGTTTGAGAATCGCCCGAGCGATCGCCACCCTCTGGAGCTCTCCGCCAGACAACTTCATGCCACGTTCTCCAACGCGCGTGTTGTAACCTTCTGCAAAGCCAAGGATTTGGTCATGAATAGCTGCAGCGCGACATGCCTCATAAACCTCCTCGTCGGTTGCTTCGAGCCTCGCGTACCGAATATTGTTCATCACCGTGTCGTTGAACAAGCTGGGATTCTGTGGGACTACCCCAATGTTGGCTCGAAGACTGTGTAGATCGACCTCGCGAACATCTTGGCCATCGATTTCGATGGCGCCTTCAGTTACGTCGTAGAAGCGGTCCAGTAACTTCAGGATAGTACTCTTGCCGGCGCCGGTCTGTCCCACAAACGCGATAGTCTGTCCCGGGTCCACGGAGAAGTTGACATTCTTCAGCACCTGCTTTTTGTTGTCGTAAGAAAAGTTGACGCCTTTGAAGTCGACAGAGCCTGCATTGAATTGGAAGGGGGGCGCATTTGGTTTGTTGACGACACTCGATTTTGTTTGCATTATATCGAGCAGTCGTTCGGCCTGAAGTAAGTCGCGAGAAATGTTGCGGCCCAGCCCAGCGAAGAAATTGAGAGGCGCCATCAGTTGAGACCAGTAGGTCAGGAGTGTCAAGAAGTCTCCGGCAGTAGTGATTTTGTGGGAGACCTGATAAACGGCCAGGAACAAGCCTGCGAGCAGACCACCGAGCAGCACAAGGTACTGGAATGCATGAGCAGCATAGTAGCCGACCCAGACAACCTTTTGCTTGGCGATTCTGTCCTGAACGGCAGAAGAATACCGGTTCTCCTCGTATTGAACTTGGTTGAATGAGCTGACAGTCGTCCATCCCGAGATCCCTGACTGCAGAACATAGTGTTCCTCGAAATAAGCCGAGATCTCGGTCTCGCGAGCGGAGCGTAGGCGTGCTATGACGGTGGTCGAAATGTACAAAAAGACAATGGAAGTACTAATTGTGATCAGTCCCTCGTACGGGCCGAACTTGAAGGTCAAATAGATGAAAGCAACGACCAAGTCGATGAGGTTCGGCAGGGCTTCAAAGCAGATGGTCTCGAGCATGTTGCTTATGCTTTGACCGTTCTGAATGGCCACCAGGACGTCTGATAGACTTTGTGTGTCGTGGAAGTTGGCATCCAAATTCATGACATGAGAATGCGCCGCTTCAGTTATCGCACGGTCGGCGTAGAATTCGACCGGCATCCACAGTCTCCGCCTGAGCAGGCTAATGCCTGCTTCGGACGCGCTCAGCTTCAGGCCTGCAAAGATAAGAACCTGGATCCAAGGGCTGTCCCAAAGGCTGTCTGGCACATCGTCGCCCTGGTATGACTTTGTGAGGGTATCCATAACAGTGCCGAGCTGGGTTGGGATCAAAACATTGAGTCCATTGTTTGCGAGGAGACAAACTCCAACGAGCGCGGCGCGAATCTGCAAGCCCCGGTTGTTGACAGGCCAGACGTAGGGGATGAAGAGCTTAAAGCCGAGGGCGTAAGTCCACCAGGATCCCGTCTCTTTGAGACGCTTATCTCTCTGCTCCTTGGCCAAACGTTGACGACGTTCCCATTCGCATTCGGGGCTCTTGCTCGATGACTTCGCGGAATCATCCGAGTTTGTATCGGTCGCGCCGTACTCCGAGACAAGAGTTTCGTCAGACCCTCCCAAAGCTTTCTTTCGAATAAGAGACTGCCGTTCAGCGTCGCTCCCAGCTTCCTGGGCGCTTCGTCCATCCCTCCAAGCAAAGTATGTGAGAAAAGCGGTGATGATGCAAATGAGTCGTATGGCAACCAGCGAGATGTCCACGAAGCAGGCCGATTTCGAGTAGGCGCCTGGGTTGAGATGCAGAGACGACAACTCCAGTAGTGGATCGAATACGAGGGCGAGAGCGTACGAGCCAAGGTAAATATACCACAAGGGAGACTTTGTATCATGCAAGATTGCCAGCTCAAGGCCAAAGACCAAAACACAGGCAAGAAGCCCGACGATGGCGTCCTGCCGAACAGGGCTGGGCGAGAACAGGATGAGCACTGCTTGTGACAGATAAGTGAGAATGGCGATGAGCATCAGAGATGTCATGAGCCGCCGGCGGGGGTGCTGCTCTTTCAAGGGCGTTGTCTGGAGAGTGCATGTCGCAAATGCATAGCAGACGACGTAGTAGGCGAAGACGAGAGTTGGGTATGCATAATAGGAGATCTTGAGGAGCAGTTCAAGTGAGGGGGCCATGTTGGCAGGTTCTCTGCGCAGCCACGATGCTCTGCGGGACGGAGGGAGATCGAAATGTTGGTCTGTATCTTGGTGATGTCAAGAAGGCGTGAGGTGGGTTGAGGGAGTCTCAGGTTTTTGTCGATACGTCAAGCCGTGAACATAGACGCAGACAGCAGGTGGACGGACAGCCGGGGTCTCAGCGGTGCGACAGTCGGTAAGACAAAGAGAACAATGGATTGTTTGGGCGGAGGCACCAGGGAAGAAGAGGTTTAAAGAAGCAGGTGAGGGCAGAGTTTGTCAGACGGGGTCCCTCTTCTGGCTCTGGTTGGAAGTGAGGAATGGGGTGGGGTGGTGAATGGTGACTTCTGTCTGATGTTCTCTCCTTCTCCCCCTGTCTCTCGGGCGGTTGCCTTGAACAAACTTGTGGGCAGGTGAGTCAAAACTCGGGCCTCCCGTGAAGGCAGGAAGTGAGCCCAGCACCTCACTGCGCCGTGCAAGTGCGAGTTGAGCAGAGCACAGGAGACAAGTGGTGGCCTGCACTCGTCAGATGTTGGTCGAGGGGTCGGAGGCGTCGCGCGAGCCCAGTGTGCCGTAAGAACGACCAAGTGGACAAAAGAAGAAGGGCCGTGTCGGTACCCAGTGTCCTTTCCCGGCCCTTCCTCAAGCAAGGTTGGGGAAAGTATGTTGTGGTGTGTCCCAGCCGGCGCAGGAAGGTGAGGTGCGAAGTCGATGAGAGGTCAGCCGTGACCGTGCTCGACTGCAACCGTGAGTGCGACTGCGACTGCGGCCGCCCTGGGACCAGAGCCAAGCGCGCCTTCCCGGCTCCAAGGATCGTGCTCTGGTAGAGTCTCTTTGTCCCGCCAAATTGCCCAGCTGCTAGTGTCAAACGGCGCGCCTCCCCAGCGTGACCCTGATCGCACAAGTTGAAATATAAGATAAGATGGCGCAGGGAGGTCCGGCCTTTTTAACAGCACGACACACACGGCACAGAAAGAGTTCGGTGGAGCACGGTACAGCACAGCACGGAACTGTCAGGAGCCGTCAGGAACACCGGGGCAGTCACAGCTTGCGCGGCCACGACTTCCTCACGCTCCCGTCTTAGCCTTTTGGGAGTTGAAGGATCGAGATGACAAATCCCGGCCCAGGAAGGTTCTGACCTCCAAGAACAGTGGCGGTGACAACGAAGACGACGACGTGGACAAGATATACCACTCGGAGGCCTACCAAATCATCGTTGCCTCCGTCAATAGGCGTCTGATATTGGTTGCAGTTAGGTAAGTAGGCAGGTGCCTATGCCTACACCTGTTATGACCTGTACCTATGCCTGTACCTGTGACTGCACCTGTCTGCCTGTCTGCCTGGCAGGGCAGTGTTCTTCTAGGTGCAGTTGCGGTAGGAATGGCACGGATTGTGGTGCGTATTATGCGTGTTGGTGGTGAAGAGCCTCAACCAAGCCTTCAGGAACACGCCCAAAGTGACTCAGTACGGGCAGTGACGGCACCTTCCTCCACTGGTCAGCAAACTCAATGGGCACATGGTCGAGCTTCGCCAGTCGTCCAGGTATGCCAATCCGGCGGTGGAGGGTTGAAAAGGAGGCGCGCTAGCCGGGCTAGTGTCGAGTTGGACTGAACTTACGTGTTATAGTCTCTTCAGCCTCATCCGGTTGCCTGCTTGGGACACCCTCCTTCGCGCGCACACACACACACACGACGTCGGCATGCAGAACATGCAGCCCCACGCCTGGCTTGCAGAGCCTCACTCGACTGCTTACACGTCGTCGGTCTCCCTCGTGGCCTTGTCACATGGAGGCCGTCCCGCCGTGTTGGATCCTGCTGCACGTCATCCCGCAACAATAAGCATATACGTCGTCAAGCCGCGGGGACTCATGGGTGTGTGCCATTGGGCGTCATGGCGGGTGGGTACGCACCGTCTGACCTCGTAACCCTTTCTCGCTGGTGGCATATATCCACAAGGGCGAGGTTTGTATGGCACGATCTGTCCCAACTCCGGACTGCGTGTCTCTTGTCTCTTGATGAGGGCGTATCGAGGTGAGGCGGACAGGGCCAGGCACGTTGCAGCGGGGCCTTGTTTTCGGAGGAGGTCAAGGCTTTGCCGTCGGACGAGACACGCAAGCAATCACCAGGAGTCGAGTCCGAGAAAACACGGTCCGCCCGTGGGATCAAAATGTGCAGCGACTCATGTCATGTACACTCGCGGAACCACCAGCATTTAAGGGGAAAGCCATCACTGAGAGAGCTGGTCGGCGCCCATCCATGCAGTGTCACCACCGACCCAGACTTTGGTTGTTCATCCCGGGATTGCTAGTCGATCCAGCTCCTTCAGACCCATCCTTGGCCGACGGCAATACGACTGTACATGCCATGCCAAAAGACCAGGGTCGGCGCCAGCCAAAAGACTGTGCCTCCAGTAGGCATTCCACCATGCTGCTACCGGGCACACTTGGTCGCACACCTTGGGGGGAGGGCCACCTTGGAACGGTGAGAAGGCCCGTCTGTGGCTCTTGGAACCAACGCGCCTGCAGTCACACCTCTGATCGGATATTTCTGCGCATCGGGTGTGGATCGCTAACGAAGTCGGCGGACTCTTCGCCGGGGCCCTGGGGGTCTTTTAGGGGGTCAGAGGCAGGTCTGACTGGCCGACGTTCAATCCCCGGTCCCGTACGGCCGGGTCCTTGTCAAACAAAAGCAAATGGCATGATGCAACGTCAAGGTGACCTACATAAATAGGCCCTGCCCGATCCTGCCTCGGCCGCGGTAATGTATGTAGGAGCGGCCAGCATGGCCAGCTGCTGTGTAAGTCGAGAAGTTTGGATTCACTCATGACTGGCTGTGCCGGTTGTGCTCCAATGCAGTGCGTGCATCCCGCTCCTGGCGGCCCCGGGTCGCACGGGTCTTGGAAGCATGCCCCCATGGGCAACGCTTGCGAGCGTGCGAGCGTGTACCTCTGCAGCCTCTGCAATCTGCGCCGCTGCAGCGCTGCACCGCTCGCCCGTGCAAGCCGGCAAGTCTACGACTACGACTACGAGGCGACGTGGCGATGTGGCACGCACGCCACCATGGGACACCCCCATGCGCCCCCCTGAGTCACGGAACGGACTTCTTCTGATGGCAATGTGGAAAGACGGTGTGCAGACATCGCGAGGTGGATCAGCTGCCTCCGTCTGGCGGGCTGGCGGGCTCGCCTCGAGGCACAGAGTCCCAGTTTTCCGGGAGGATGGGGTCAGACCTAAAATAGGAAATCACCTCCACAGCTCAATCTGGAGATGAGTGGATGGATCAGCACCAAGCTCGCAGATGTTGGACATAGTCTCCACACCATTGACGGTGGTGCAATTGGTGGCAACTGCCGATACCCTGCGATATCGATTCTTCCCCCTGACTCGACCCGCGCAACCCTTCCGTCCCTGGAACCAACGTTGACACCCCGGCCTGCAGATGTGAACAATCCCACAGGCACCGGTCAGTCTCGAACATCTCCGGACTAGTTATACTGCTCGCTTCTGAGACAGACCGCCGTCAACCGACTGCAGTATCCCCGTGTCACTGAACCTGTCTCATTTTTCTCCGATCGGAGCCCCTTCCCGAGATCTTGTTCTGTCCCCACCCGCATCAGCTACTGCCAGGGATGACGACGGGATGGTCGCAATATTGATCACGTTCCACCGCCTCTCCTGCCCAGAGCGTTGGACTGCGCATGGCCACGCAGGCCCAGGTTGCAACCAGAGACGAACTCCCCCTAGCACGTGTGCTGCTGCTCCGCGTCAGGTGACACAAACCTAATCTCAAGGCAAATCTCAGCCCAACCTTCACAATCGACGGCAGCGGCCTCACCGGCCACAGGCCCACGCGAGGGCCGGAAATATCTGGCCCTGGATCTCGCCCGAAATGCGGTGTACACCTGCACAGCGCGATTATCGTGACCGAGGGAGTATCCCGGGCCTTGGACGGTATGGTCGTCCGGGAACGCGAGGCCAGAGCGACTAGGGCTTATGCCGTGCGCTCACATCATTCTCCCACGCGGCCGCGGGAAACTTTACCGAGCTTCTCGTTTGCAGGTCAAGTGACCAGCGTCCCGGAGCGGCCTGTCATTTCTCACGCCCGAGTGCGATATCACTCTGCCGTGGTCTGTTTCCCGCATGTGTTCGATTCCGCGAAACGTGGTGCAGCTGGACCAGCCGTTCTCGTACGAGCGACCTGGCCGCCGTTCAATGGATTGCCTGGGTTTCGGCTGCACCCAGACTATCGGTGGTGATCTTCCCGTCCCACGGGATCACGCGGTCTCCCGCGTGTGCAGTATTATTTCACACTTGATCGCTTTTGTCTGGATTTTGCGAGCAACTGCAGTGAGACTCACCGCCGCCGTCATCTTCGACAATCGACCGTTCGGAACCTTGACACCTGTACCTCCATTTTTGCTCGGCAGTTGGATTTCAAGAAGCTTTAGATCAACAGCTTACGTTGGAATCACACTACGAACAGGGTCCAGCTCTCATGCTGCGGCTCGAGCGGCAGATGGATGCATCAAGACAGAGTCTACAGGGGGTGGGGTGGTCTTGCCGAACAGGTGCCGATGAAAGGGACGGAAGGGGCATAATCTCGGAAGACTTTGACACGTTCTTTCACATGTGGCAACTTCCGAGAAAAATCTTCAGGTTTGCTGTTACGACCTCAGTTGAGACTGGGCCTTTAGTCTGAGGAACATGATGGGGAGAGGAGTCTGAATCAATTGGTGGCCGTTCCACAACGCGGCACAAGGACAAGGTACCATGTGAAGTTTGATCGATCATGTGTAACGGCATAGTTAATGATATCAGATACATGCAACTCCTCGCATTCCAGTCCCAGGCTATCCAATGCGATGTGGTGCGTCAGACCGAACTCCTTTTTCGACGTTCCCAATCAAATCCACCAACGCCGGCGAAGCAGTTAGCATTTTGGAAAACAAAACCGCAGAGTATTAGCACCGTGTTGCTCAAGATCCCTCACGCCGCATGCCTCACGCCGCAGAACGCTCAGCCTTCTCCCTCTCAGCCCCGTTGAACAGATACATCACCGTCACCACGGCCTTGCCACCGGCACTCACGAAGAGGGCCGCGGACGACCCGGCCGCCTTGTAGATACCCGCGCCCGCCAGCGACCCCACGATCAGCGTGACCAGGAAGAACAGCCTCCTGTTCCGCGGCCGGTTCTTCTCCCTGACCGCCAGCAGGTGCGGGTCGATCAGCAAGTCGACCCACGCGGCGGTCGCCATGGCCGTGGAGATCTCGGTGATGCGCAGGCTGCGGCTCTGCACGACCTGGCTGCCGCTGGCAAAGGCGAGCAGGGCGATGACGAGCAGGTCCCTGGGCCCCGTGTGGCGCACCCCGTAGTGGAGCTGGATGGCAGCCGCCGCGAAGACCATGGCCGTCTGCGCGAGGTTGCACAGGACCAGCCAGAGCCGCAGCCGCGGGCCGACGATGTGGCTCAGCTGGCCCGTCAGGTAGCCGCCCGCGAGGAAGAGGCCGAGCGCGACGCCGATGTTGGCCGTGTAGAACATGTCGCCGTTGAACTCTGGGACGACGACCGAGACGGCTAGGAAGACGGTGTTTCCGGTCTGGTTGGAGGCGAAGCAGTGGTAGTCGGGGAAGGAGATTGCATCTATCAGGTTGGGGGGACTTTGTGTTAGTCGAGGACGACAATGAGACATGACGGCATGAAAGTGATCTTGCCTAGGTCAAGCACTGGCATGGCTTGAGCTCCTGAGGTTGCAAAAGATCGGGAGAAATTTGGGTCTTGACAGTTACTCACCTTGTATGCCGGTGCAAAACGTCAAGAGCAGCAACTCAAGCTCGGCAAATCCCGATGGCCTGACAGATGCAAGAAGATGTCGCTTTGATTTTGATATAAAGGTCTGTGGCTCCGGAGCTTGTCCTGATGTGGGCTCTTGCTTCCTTGACGGTGAGGATGAAGCGCCTGCCGTGGTGGGTGTGTCGTGCTCAGGGGCCTGTAATGTTCCATCCGTATCTGAATTAGACATCTCGAGGGTCGACGGTGATAGCAGTTGGTTGATAAGAATCGAATGTGATCCAGAAATGTTGAACTGTGAAGTCCACGTATTCAAGGTGTTTGGTTAATACGTGAAGGTGAGCGAGATAGACGAAGAAATGCGAGATAGCCACGTGGAAAGACGGTCTTTGTCTTTTGAACTTCTACTGAGTCTAGGTGAGTCAATGACCGCGAGAGAAGCTTACAGACCGCTCCTTGTGCATTATATGCTGCCTCAAAGGGAGGGCGAGCCAGCTAGCAATCCCCCTCCAACAACTCTGGAACATCGTGCTGTGCAGTTCTGTGTGACGTTGGGGCCTTGGGCTTGGTCCATACCGACTCCCGATGTCTTCGGCCGTATAAGAGCCGCTTGTCAAGTGGTCGCCGACCACTTGTGTGGAAGATGACTAGGCGCCCGACTTGTTGCAAAGCCAGGGGGCGGTGGATATGCGGCCTTCCAGGCCTTCCAGGCCTTCCAGAGGGGCCAAAGAGCCTAGAATATGGGTCTTTCCACGTGTGTCCTAGCTTCCGGGCTCCATCAACTGCGTCTTGACAGGTCAATCCATTCGAGCGACGGAACGGCGGCGACGGAGGCACAGAGCCATCTGGCCCACATCTCCGGCCTCGAAGTTTCGGCGCTCCTGATTGTATGCTCTGCGTCGTGGCTCTTCGTTGATAGCTCCATAACTTGTAACAGTGGGCCGGTGTTGATATTCGCCAGTGTCTTCATGTCTTCATGAAATCGGCCGCATGAGCCCGTCCTTTAGTCAGGACCCTGGCGCTTTCCTGTTTCATCAGGACGTTGGAAGACAGTTCGTTGTAAGTCGGCCATAGCGCCGAGGAGTCTGCCGATCAGCCGTCGTCCGGCGGGAACGGCTCGGGGGGCCCAGTCGTATCCACTTTCTAAGCCCAGACCGACACCCGACAACAGCACCACCGACTTCCGAGCACCTGCCAATATCAAGGGAATGAGTTGAGCAGGTGTGCAAACATTCTCGAACTAGGCGATTGGCATGACAAAGAGTGACATCAGATTATTCAAATGATTCACGGGTGTTGGGGAGACCTGGCGAAGGTGAAAGACGGTGGCGCAAGGAAAACGGCAAGAGCAGAAAGAAACAGAACACGATCTTTCCGCATGTGGCCGCAACAAAACAGTTGCAACCCAGCTCTGAAGAAGATGCTACGACCGTCGAATAGTCCATTGCATGCGCAGATCGACCAGCAACCCGACAGTGCAGGCAGAAGGGCATCTCGCTCCCGCACAGACTCTCATTGACGAGGGAAGGAGCTGCTGTTTGGAATGCAACAACGATAGTCTCGTACCCTCACTCCGTCTTTCGCCAAGTACGGCTCGCTGGCAGGGCAGCTCAAAGCAACATCCTTGCAATAGTCTGGCAGTGCTCTCGCAGGCTGATGTCCCCGGACTAGCCGTGGCCGTGGCTTGTGTCCTCAAGCAGATCTGCGGGAGAACTTCTTCGAGACGGACTGAGACCGACGATTTGCCCGTGATAGGATGGTAATTCGATGAGCAGAAGCTGTCCATGGCCCGAAACTAAAAGGCAGCCAGAGTCTCCAGGCCCGAGCTTGAACTGGAGCCCTCGAACCAAGCCCGGAATGCTTTCGGCCTCATTATGGGTTGCAGAGAGCTTTACCCGACAACATGGGCCGTAATCGAGATGCCACACACCAAATAGTAGCTACGTCGCACAATCTGTATGCTGTTGTCCTCGCGGGCGATGCTTCGAGCAGGAAATGGACAACCGCTTGACCAATCGGGACAAGCCGTGCAAGCGGGATCTCGCGTGTGGATATAAAGCCACCCACACTGGTGGTCATGATATGGATGTGCTGCAGGGCTGATCAAGGGCCAAGACATGTTGCCGAGGCGGGAGGGTGCTTAGTGTCCCGGTCTGGCCAGCCTCTATCCACCCACACACCCACGAGATGCGATGGCCAGGGGAGGGGACGCAGGACCTTGAACAGATCAATGGTCTTATTTGCCGAGTGAAAGTGCAGAAAAGTTCAACGTCGGGTCTTCTCAGCCTCGAGCGATGCAAGTTGCTCGCTGTGTCAATCCTCAAATGAGCCACTTGGCCAGCCCTGTTTCCGTGCATGCACACGGCCCTTGCCAATGTGCCGCTTTGGATTTCGGAAGTGGGCAATACAAGCAATAACGAGTACAAGGGAAGAAGAAGAAAAGACTATAGACTTCCAAGGTTATGAGCAGGTCGCAAGCGAAAATCCACCAGGCTTAGGCTTGACGTTCGCACCTCACAATAGCAGTCTGCCTTGTCTCCAACACTGGCGCCATGAGAACCCGAGGACATGGGCCCCGTTCGAGGCTGGGCCTTGACGGCGGAACGGAAGTGTCAGATCGATGCAGAACGGTCAGGACGTCGAAGATCAAAATGGCCAGGATCGGCCGGGCGACGCGGTAAGCATGTGAAGGAGGGAGACACAGCATCGGAGGGCTGCTCCTTGTTCCTGGATTGAGGCTGAAGGTATTGACGATTTGACATCTCCGAGGTGAACAACCGTCAAGGGTTGTGGGTGGGCCGTGGGGGTGGAGGGGGGGGCACCCGAAGCCCACCAGAGCGGGATGTACTTCTTTAACACCAATGCTGGAGACTTGAGGCTCTAATTTGATAGAGGCTACATGTGGCCCCTGGCAATCCGTGACACATTGGTTTCTCTCAACGGCACATGCCTTGAGCGCGGCTCTGCAACGCCGGGTCGGATTTCAACGACAATGTTTGGAAACAGAGATCATCTCATTGATTGATGGCACAGCTTCACCAAGGGGACAAGATGGAACAAATCAATATGTCCAGGACCAACATCTCCAGCGCTAGTAGAGAAGAAGGTCACGGCTAACATCATCCAGAAATGACCTGCAAGCGATAAGAGGGGTGCGACCTCTCTGGGCACGACGCAACGCAACTCCTCGGTCGACAGTCGTCCCCAAGGAGCAACGAGGACGACCATCAAGATTCACAGAGCAAAGGCCCTGTCAGCACAACTGGCGCGCATGCCCAACCCTGTCTTCCTCTCTCTCGGATCCAGCAGCTGAGACGAAGTGTGAGCGTCAGGGCCATTCGCGTCCGGCACTCTTATCTCTGAGCCCCCCCCCCCTTGCCCGTATCAATCTACGCTTTTAGCACCCGAATTTTCCCTCCCTTATCTCGACGCATCTCAGCCAATGCGGCCGCCCGCGTATCTCGATCTGCCTTTCTCCGTCACAATGGCCTTGCGAGCGACCTCGTTGTTCTGGCTTTCCAATCAGCTTCAGCCCATTGTCGAGCATCCTCGATAAGCCAAGTCCCGGCCGGGGTGCAGCTTGATTCAAGCCACCACGCACCACGCCATCCCCCTCTCCCCAGTCAGACGGGACTGGCGGGCTGTTAGTGCAGCACCCAGCAGACAGCCAACAAAGGACTAGGGACGTTGCTCGGTTCTGTATCCTGCCGGCAGTCTACTATCTCCTTCTCACTGGCACAGACATTGGTGGTGGTATTGCTGAGATCTCACCCTACAGCAGTGGCCGCCCAGGGTGTGACAAGGCTAATGCTGGTGGTGGTCAGCTCCTTACTTCTGGTCACTTAAATCTATCCCATCTACAGTACTCCAGCCTGGAGACCACCCCTTCGTCTCGTTGCTTGACTGCTCTGGCTGCTATCCTTTCCTCGTTCGGAAGTCTGCCTGCTGGACATCCTGGTTATGTCTACAGGTCACCTCACGTATTATATCGTGCTGGACACTTCACATATACTGGCATCTCAGAGGCCGCAATATACATATAACAAATAACCTGCTCGTCGATGTACTCCCATTGAATTGGCAGTCATAGAGCTCGACATCGCTCCGGGAAGTCTAATTCGATCTTGTCATCGTGCATGATACCCACCTATCTCTCGTCCCAGCATCAGGCCCTTATCAGGAGAGACGTTCGATACACCCGCGCCCAGGCCACCAATCGAGACGCCCAATTCAGCCTAGGAGGCCCTCAGGGCGATCCAGCGCTCCGGTAACTGGCTGTCTCAAGTCGTTCGACGCTTCTCCGGGGCGTGGTTGTGCATATCCACAAGGCTGGGCCCGCGGAAACGGCCCCATTAGCGCAGGTATTGCTCTGCTCTCCGGAGATGCTTCCATCGCGGAAGAGCCCCTGCTGATTATGGTATTAGAGACTATTCCTGGCGGGTTGATATATTGAGTCTGCCATATTCTCTCGCAGACGTCGCAGTAGAGAACCACGACAGACTCATGAGGCTCCCATCTGGATTTTCTTCCGCACACCTAGACTGTTCACGATTCAATCGGCCTGGTCTATATTCTGTCCCCCTTGGTTGTGCGAAATCTATCGATATGGGGCTCCCCTTCACATTCTCGGACCTCGTGAAGGCACCGAAGATCAACCCTGTGAACAGGAAGGCCAGAACTGTGCCTATGCTCAATGTCGTCAACATCTATGGACGTGTATTCTTCTTCTCATGGTTCGGGTTCATGATCTCATTCTGGGCATGGTACACGTTTCCTCCTCTGGTAAGTGAAAATTGCTGAATGACTTGTCCATTCCATTTGAAAATTACTAAACTTTTCATTCTACAGTTGACACATACGATCAAAGCCGACCTGCACCTGAGCCCCCAACAAATTGCCAACTCTAACATTGTGTCGCTTTGTGCAACGTAAGATACATTGTTCAACACTCCACGGAGACTCATCTAACATCAATTGGACAGACTAATAATACGGTTCATTGCTGGCCCCTTATGTGATCTGTTTGGTCCCCGAAAAGTCTTTGCCGGATGCCTGCTCCTCGGAGCCCTACCGATAGGTTTGGCCCCACTGGTCCAGTCCGCCAACGGTCTATACGTGAGCCGATTTTTCATCGGAATATTGGGTGGTGCCTTTGTCCCATGCCAGGTATGGTCGACAGGATTCTTCGACAAGAACGTCGTGGGCACTGCCAACGCATTCACCGGTGGTTGGGGCAATGCCGGAGGTGGCATCACATACTTCATTATGCCCGCCGTGTTCGACTCATTCGTTGCCCACGGACACTCCATGGACCAGGCTTGGCGACTCACCTTCATCGTCCCCTTGATCATGCTCCTATTTACCGGCATCACGCTGCTTCTCCTATGCCCTGACACTCCCGTCGGCAAGTGGAGTGAGAGGCACTCGCATGTCCAGGAGAACCTCCACTCCCACGGTGTCATGGGCGACGGCATCGTCACCGTTCCGGGGAGCATCAACGAGAAGCCCCTCTCCCCAACAGGCACCAGGGACGGCTCCGTCGACAAAGAAGACAAGGATGAGAGCAAATTGGAGGGTGCCGGCAGCCCCAACCCCTACGCCGACAACGAGGCGGTGCTGTCCAAGGACGAGCTGGTCCAGACCGCCCAGGGCGAGGTCATCATGAAGCCGTCGTTCAGCGAGGCCATGAAGGTCCTCGCCAGCCCCCAGACGTGGGTGCAGATGCTGTGCTACGCCTGCTCCTTCGGCGGCGAGCTGGCCATCAATTCGGTCCTGTCGTCCTACTACCTCAAGAACTTCCCGGCGCTGGGCCAGACCAAGGCGTCCAACTGGGCCGCCATGTTCGGTTTCCTCAACTTCGTCACCCGGCCCCTGGGCGGCGTCGTCGCCGACCTGCTGTACAACAGCTTCGGCCGCAGCGTCTGGCTCAAGAAGGCCTGGCAGCACACCTGCGGCATCATCACGGGCGTGCTGCTCATCATCATTGGCCAGGTCAACTCGCACCACCTGCCGACCTTCACGGGGCTCGTCGCGCTCATGGCCATCTTCCTCGAGGCCGGCAACGGCGCCAACTTTGCCCTCGTCCCGCACGTCCACCCCCATGCCAACGGCATCGTCAGCGGCTTCACCGGCGGCGTCGGCAACCTCGGCGGCATCGTCTTCGCCGTCATCTTCCGCTTCATGGGCCACGGCTCGGACTATGCCAAGGCATTCTGGATCATCGGCTGCGTCCATCTTGCTGTTAACGTCCTACTTGCCTGGATCAAGCCTATTCCGAAGGGCCAGGTTGGCGGCCATTAAGGCAGCGACCTCGAGGGCGATGTTGTTCCCACCGTGCAAGGCATGATAATGATGTTCGGGATTTTTGTTTTTCCACCTGCCGTTTTGCTTGAATGTTCAGCGTCTGAGTTCTGGCCGGGATCACTATTTAGAATGAGATTGTGGCAATGTGAACACGAGAGAGTGTTGCAGCTGCTGGATGAATAAGGCGTACATAGAGCAATGGATACCACGAATATACATCTTTGATGAATGAACTGATGTCCCATAATGCCTGCTTCGCGTTATGTGACTCGTCCTCGCTCAACTGTGCCAGTTTCCGCTGCCTCTGGTGAGCTAGGGAATACGAAGTTGATGCCGTGCAATTCCAAATAGCTGCACCGTCTGAACTTGTCATAGGTGGTCCAATCGGTAGTCTTTGCCACCACACTTTTGTTCCAGCACAGCGGGTCACGGTCCCTTGTCCGGCAAGATGACCTGTGGCACGCCAAGGACGTATGGGGGGGAATCAGGAAACACTTCGCAGTAAGACCTCTTTGGAGTTTCCACGGCCTAAAGAGTAGCACCACACCAGTTTACACCCCATGAACCCGGGACCAGCAAGGCATGACGATGATGCCTAGACAAGCTTGCGAAAATTGCCCCGCGTCCGTCACATGTGAGGGATGAGCGGGGAGACCGGGTTAAGACAAGAAACGCAGCTGAGCGCACGGCGACATTGGGCTCGAAAAGATGGCGGGGCTCATTCGGAAACTCAGGGGACTAAGGAGCCTCAATCATGTAATCGTGGTCCTGTAACCTCAGTATCCGTAGGAGTAGGTCACCGTCAGCATCGGCACCCACAAAATCGCCGACCGGCACCGGGCCCAAGACCTCCGGCCGGGCCGCCCGGCCGGTTCCAGGCTGTCACAGCAGCGGCGGTGGCGGCGGCAGCAGCAGCCAGTCGGAGGGCCAGCGTGCCAAGACAGCTGCCAGCGTTGCATGAACCGCGCTGCACTGTCCAAAGTTAATTTGCACAAGGCTGTTGTGTTACTCCGTCTCCCCGCAGCCCACGCGGTCGATCATCTTGTTAAGCCGTAATGGTTTCACCCGAATATCACGAAATGGAAAAGATTATGGGTTTAATGATTTGGCTTTCCCCCTGATTCCAGGTTGGTGTGCCATGTGACTCGATTGAAACGCATTTATACTTTTCTATGTTCAAAAAGACGAAGACGCAGGCTCAACCCAGCAGTCAGCCCAGCTCTTTGCTGCGTGCTACTGATTAGGGAGACCCGATTAATGCCCAGACATTTATGCCCCAAATAAAGAATCGAAAAATCATGCAAGCGAGTTGTTGGGAATTCATTACGCATTTTCCAGAACCGGTACCCGCCTTCATGTTGTGATGCAAGAGAAGAGGAAGAGGTAGGGGCCTCGAAATAAACCTCTTATAGAGCAAACAGCGCAGCGGCGAGACCACCCATAGCAGCGAAGGAACCAGCGACCACCTTCGCGGCGCCAGCAGTCGCGATAGCGGACGAGCTCGAGGAGGGCGTCCCAGAGCCTGTGCCAGTGGGTGTCACCTTGGAGGTCAATGTCGTTCCTGTGGCAGTCGTAGTCTTGTTCACGCCGCTGCCTCCGGTGGGAGTCAAGGTAGGGAAAGTGGTTGGGGCCGACGTGGTGGAGACAGTGGTTGAGACGCTGGAGGAGAGAGACGAAGAAGCGCTGGTGGACGAGACCGACGCAGAACTGGAGGAGCTGCTGACGGGAACGCTGACGCTGCTGCTGCTGCTGCTGCTGCTGGAGCTGCTGGAGCTGGAGCCGCCAGAGGCAGAGATGTGGAATGGGAACGAGTACTGGAAAGTTGCGGGGTTTGAGTCGAGGCTGATCTTCAAGCCGTAGGTTGCGTCAGCCCCGAGGCTGGAGTCGATGCTCCAGGAGTAAGATCCAGCACTGTTATCGATGCCAGCTAGTTGTTTTGTTAGTCTCAGACTTGGAATTTGGGCACCAGCTTGATGGTGTGATCTGTGAGGAAGACTTACTTGCGATAGCGCTACCAAGCTGCAGCGTCTCAGGAGTCGCGCCCTGAAGGAGGGTGATGGTCACAGTTCCAGCATACTCGGGCTTGTATTCCCAGGTCACAGTCGAGGTCGTCCCAGCAGTGAGGATCTGGTCCTTGGTTGGTGCAGTGATAGCATCGAAGCCCTCGGTTTGTGCAAACACACGGCTAACGAGAGCCAGGCAAGTGGCGGCATAAAATGAGAACTGCATTTTATCTGATTATTGTTGTTGAGTGTGATTACGAGGGAGAGGTGGTGACAAGATTCGAGCTGGTATTAGGCGGCCGTATCAAGGGAGGATATGATGAGCAAGCAATATCTCTGAGTGAATGACTAGACGGTGGTTTGGTATTAATGGCCACGAAACGGTGCTGCCGCAAAAGAGAGTGACTGATGGTCAGGGGGATGTAACGAGGGACTATTATTATAAGCTTCGAAGGAGTGACTAGGTGTAAAGCTGCGACACCAAAAGGCAGTTGACGAGACGAACACTTTGGACCCGGGCTGTGTAGGCAGTAGCTGGCGAAGAGTTGAGAGAAGAGGACCAGACCGCCTCTCGCTCGGGGGGCCGACGATGGTAAAAAGAGGTGTGCTGCCTGCTGACTACTCTCGTGTTCCCCGTTGCAACCTCGTGCTTACTTACACATTCATTCCCATCAGAACACTGGCTGCGCTGTGCCTGTGTGCATGATGTGATTTGGACAGCCAAGGCCGTCACAGAGGATCACGAGCGAAGGAAGTGGGCTTGCGGCGCCTCTGCCTCAAGCTTCTGCACAATTTCCTCTTTGCAGGGGTGAAGCAATTACCCGAGCCATCGTGAGTCTGCCATCGGCGCATGGAAATTGGCCGTGCAATTAGAGCAGAGTCCGCTATTGGCCGACACAGCCCAAGAGGCGTCCATAAGGATGCAGTAGTTCCTGATTGCTGGGAACTAGTGCCGGTGTGGGTCAAGTCGAGGCCGGGCTGAGCATCCACTTCGGACTGACGCCCCGTTCGGGCCTGGTGGCCAGGGCGAGATCCAGGGGCTCGCAGCGTCAAAGCAGGGGCTCGTCGCTCGAGCTAAACCTTAAACCCTGGGTCTTGATGGGGCCTAGAGTCCAACGTTAGGCGGCAGCTGTCAATTGCAAAATGGTACTCTAATAAGTAGCCTGGTGATCGGCCTGACGTGGCCTGACGTACCACAGAGGCGCTGCGAGCAAACACCACGGGACTACTCGCTGCCAGCCAACGCCTAGAAATAATCGGCTTTCGCCGGGCTGCACTCATCGCAGAAATAGTTTGATTATGGCGCATGACCGTTGAGGGGAGGATCTAAGACAGACCGGACGGAGGTGTTTTAGATCCTACGCCTCATGCCTGCACTAGTCAGACCCCTGATTCCACGGGCTGGTCGCCAAGAAGTCATTACATGACTGACATCTGTACTGTGCTCGGCAAGCAGTCAGGCAGTGTTGCCAGCCCAAGGCGTCGACTGAGTCAAAGTGCTTCCAATGAGGCAGGATATGCCCTCTACGTCAAGCGTCATCGGAGAAGACTTCTTCCCGGAGTTGTCGAGTTCATCGGAATGTACTGCCTTTGTTGGCCTGACAATGTCCGCCTGCCCACGCTTCGGAATGCCGCGTCGGAGTAGGGTTTGCCTTCCAATTCATTTCCTAAGCTCGCAGAGATTGTCTTGATTTCAAACCTTCGTTTGCCCTCAGCGCTCGCGATACGATTCACTGCTCTTGTGGTGACAGTGTCGACAGTCTTTGATCAGCCGCGTCGAACCAGGCGACGTGCACTCCCTGTGCTGCTGAGGACCCTGTTGTGCGTCACTTCAAATGCTGCTGTGCCACAATTACCCGGGAGGACAAGCGACAGCCTGCATATGCCAAACGTATTTGAAATTTGTCCGGCCGAGAGCACCTGGTAAGCCTGAGCATACTTTGAACGTGTGGGCATTTTGGCGAGTGCAATACACGAAAGGTCCTTGCGAATCCTCAACCTGGATGTAGAGCTTGGCCGACCAAAACACCACGGCGAGGACCAGGCGGCCGCGGTGTAATCTCAGGGTGTAGACTAAAAGGTAACTGGCATTTGTGCCTCATCCAGCGTTATGTATGACACAAGCTCAGTAACGATTCGGCCGCCAGAAATTGGATATAAACCTCTGCTCTTCTTGGTCGACGTGCGAATTGTGCATCAAGCCCCCGCCGACATCATGGGTTCCGCCGATCGACAGGTTCTTCAAGTGACTGTCCTCCGGCGAATCACGGTCGTACGCACCGGCGTAAGACTGATGTGCCTGGGACGCACAATCTGGATAAAACGCATCGTTGTCTTGCATCTCATGCCAGCTTGGCATCGGTGCATCGCCATCAACGTCGTCTTCCTGCGGACGACACAAGACTTCATTCTCTATTTGAGCAATGTACTCTTCCAAGCTTTGTTGCCGATTGGACCTCTGTGGTGATAGCTCGGCAGCTTCCGGCAACACTGATTGCGCTCTGGAAAAGTGGTGATCGCTCACAAGCTGGCCATGCTCGGTAGCAGCCCAATCGTTCATAACAGCATGCGAACCGGTGTCGCTGTTGGGAGAAATGATCGGGGCATTGGAAGGGCTCCCCAAGGTGTAGCGAGCCATTGAATGAACCCAGGACTGTCCGCGATGGGCACTTGACGCAATTTGAGAGTCAAATGCTGGCCGTTTGATTTCACCAGCCCGGTAAGAATTGCCGCTTGTCGGCCTCAAGGCGATTTGCGGAGTCATATTGACTTGATGAGCTCGCTGCGTGTCTCGTAGCCCATCAGCGATTGTATTGAGGCGATTGTTCTTCTGAACTTCCTCGAATAGATCCAGCTGCCTGTCGCCAACGAAATGCGGTCTCATCTCAAGAGGGCCATGCTGGGACGCGTCGTGGGTACCCAGGACAGGGTGGTTGTGGTGACCAGAAGCTGATTGCACGTCCTCCCGGACCGGGAGAGAATTCAATCCTCTGGCCAGATGATTTTGATTCTTTTGTGATACAAAATTTTCAGCTGCCGCCTCCAACTGCTCAACCACCGCGCACTTGGGCGATCTTGGGCGATCCAGTCCAGTATCATGGTCCGCTGCATGAAAGGCCGCGGCTGTGTACACATCTCGCTCTCCTTGGGGTTGACTGACTGTTTCGTCTTCAGATGCAAACCGACTGCATTTGACACTACTCGCGGAGGCCGTAATCTTGGCTGGTGCCACCCCCCGGGGCTGCTCGACGGCGTCTTGTCGGGTTTCTGTGACTTTCTGGCGCCATCCAGCTGTATTGTCAGCCTCCTCACTAGCCATCACTCCTCGATCGTGATACCGGACAATGCGAACGTCCTGCCTCGACGTATCCGGTTGACGATTGACAATGTCAGCAGACACCATAGCCAGTGGCTTTCTGTTGCTCGAATAGTTTTTGGATCGAGACGTGACTCTGGACGCTTTCTTTGGGCGTTCAACGCAACTTATGCCCGTATTCTTGAATATTCCCGTGCGCTCGAGTGCATCTCGTGATCGCGACGGTGTGGAACTTTGTGCAGGTACATGCTCTCTAGCGACGGTCGCCTGAGCGGCTCCTCGTTCAGGCGGTACGTAGCTGCTTGACCAAGTCCAATTCGTCTCTCCTCTGCTGCTTTCTCTGTCCATGGTAGGTGGCTTATGCCTGTGCTCGCCCGATCTGGATTGATGCGGTGGCGCGTCAATAATGGAAGCAGGACTATTTCGTGTTGCTCTGTCCAGGCTCGATGCACCACTAACAGTAGGCTGATCTCGTCCTGATGTACCAGACGCTTCTGGCAAGCCTTTGTGCAGGAAAAAAGCCGACACCTCTTCGAGTTCCCTCTCGCCTCGCCTCTTCGCCCTTTCGCGGCCACGCGGGACGGGTTTCGGCGGAGGAGGTCGCTTCAGGAAATGCATCTCATGGAACGTGAGGTCAGGTACTACTGCCGAATTAGTTTGCGTGTGGCATCGCTGTGACAGACACATTACGCTGATTTTTTGATGTCCGGCCATTGTCGAACAAGCCTGGTCTCACGGTAGGCTGCATCTATTCACAAAGTCAGCCCAGTCTATTGGCGAGGAGGAGGCGTGCTGACAGTGATACGGTCGCTGAAAATAGACTTGGAGTTGAAGTTATCCATGACCTCTCTTGCGGAAGAGAAGTCTCCACCCCTCCTGGCATGCTTTGTTCTGCTTTGGTCTCCAGGCTTCTTCCTCTTTTTCTTTCCAGCCTTGCGCTGCCCATGATCCCTCATAGTGTCGTAACGGTCGCTTCTCGTCTTGTGCCGGGCCTTCTTTGCGAAGTGGTATTGTCCCCCTGATCTGATAGAGACTACACTGCCTTCGGAGCCCATGTGTGACCTTTTCTTGCCACTCTCATAGTTTGACTCTGTCGCGGCCGACACTGATCGGACAATTTGAGAGTCTTCAGGTCGGACTTGAACTGGATCTTGGTCGTCGTAGAGGCCAAGGACAGAATCGTCTTGGGCTAGATCTCGAAGACGCTTGTGCCCTCTCCGACTTTGTCGAGGCAACGTTTTTGAGATCTGCCCATTGTGACTATCACGAGAGGACACTCTACTTGGGGATGGACCTCGCAGCTGATAGCCAGAGCCAGGCCGAGAGTGTGCCTTCGAAGTGGACTCTTTGGACAGCGATTCATTGTGCCGCGGCGTCTCGATATCCTCTAGCCAAGTGTCGACCAAGCTTTGCTTGTTGCCATCATGAGCATGCTCATGCCTAGTGGGCCACAGCGGGAGAGACCCCCTTGGGTCTGAGCCAAGAACTCGCGAGGCATGTGTCACACGATGCTTCCGATGCCTGCTCTGGTGTTTGCTATGGCGACCTTGATGATGATGGTGGTGAGTGGGGATGTCCGAGAGTTCCATAGCCTCCGATGGTGGTCTGGGTCGAACAAAGGCGAACAGAAACGAGGTGGGCTCAACGACACGCGCGCTACAGTACCCAAGACCAGACACAAGCAAAGCGCGGTGCGGATCAAGGAAAGCAAAAATAGACTCGAGGGATGACGACGACCTCTGCAGTCACGTTTCGTGCATGGGTCTGGCAACCATGGCTGTGGAAACAGGAGACTCTTTCGAGGGTACGCGGAAAAGACTCGAGCTCGACAGCCTAGGAGCAAAGTGACGCGACGCGAGCGAGCGAGCGAGGGCCTACTGGTTACGGCTACGGCGGCGGGATCCTTGAGCGTCTGAAGAGTGATCGATCTGGATGATGGTTTCGTTTCGATGCCGAGGATGGTGTGTCGAAACGTGCCTGGATCTGCACCTGCATCTGAACATGCACCTTGCGCCTGGTACCTGCACCCTCCAACGGGGCCCATACACGCGACACGCCCGACTGAACCTGGTGGGCAGGCGGGCAAGTGGGTACTGGCCTTGGGTAGAGTCAGGGAAGGAAGGAAGTAGCGAGGTTGACGATCTCCCCGTACCCATTCAGCTCAAACGAGAAGGAGCAACCGAAAAGCTTCCACCAATTCCCAGGAAAGTGCCCAGGGGTGTGTTCTGGTACTGCGTGCGTGGGTGCCCGGGGACTGTGCCGTGGTTCGGGCCACGACTTGGCATTAATGACCTGTCATCTGTCAGTCCAGCATTCAAGCTCATGGGAATTCTGGGAGCTTGTCCGACCTGGTGCCCTGTGCTCTCCAGTCATCGTCGGGGTATGTCACCGTGGCCCTCGCTCAACTCTACCCCGTCTCATGAGCGTCTTGTACATATTGCACAGAGCGCCAGGCCCCTCTCACTCTCTCTTTCTCTTTCTCTTTCTCCTTCTCCCTCCTCTTGTCCTCGCCCTACTCACTGCCCTCCTGTTTACGGCATCCTATATCCACATCCCCTCACGGGCGTCTGCAAAGCTCAGACGTACTGACTCGAGACGTCCGAACTTGCAAGTGGTAGTGTAGTACAGCCGCAACGAAATCTGCCTACCGGCGTGGCAGCAATCCTTGGCAGAACCCTGCAGAGACCCAGATGTTCCTCGCATACGACCATGTGTCAGGCTCGATATCTGGAGCAGAGAGTTGCCCACACAAAGCCCTGGACCTCGTCGCAGGTAGGCAGTTAGGCTGCTGGCTCACATCGGACGAGCACGATATGTGTCTCTGACCCGGTCCCTAACACCGCAGGATTCACACAGAACCCGCTGCGACCCGCTCAGCAGCCCCGTCTCCTCCCCTGGCACGGGGAAATGTGGACGATCGCCTGCTCCCGGTAGTGTTACTGCTGGGATGGTACATACTGCACTCGCTCTCGCATGGTTGTATGTACCTCTACCGCGTTTCCAAGAGATCCTGGTTTCAAAAGCACAGGGCGTTCTTTTTGGATCGAGACAAGGTGGCACACGTCAGAGTCACGCCATTGCTAAAGATCCTTGTTTCAATAGACGCGGCAGACGATACAGGCCATGGACCAACATCTGCCAATCCAAACCCGCCCAGCGTTGCGCATCTGGCCTCTCCCACCTCCGCGGCGCTCAGGGTGCAACCTCGCCCTTCACCTCATCACATGGGGTGAACATCCGCGGCCAACTTCGAGGCCCGCAAGGTGCCCCCGCATGATGAGTCTGGTGGGCTGGTGCGGCTCAAACGCCACGATCGGCAACAAGGGTGTCTGTCAACTTGCATCAAGCGACCGCTGGCCAGGGCTACTACAGTAACAGTATGTCCAGTACAACCGTCAGGTCCGTGCATTACACAGTGTTTCCTGCTTGGCATGGCGATTCGGGTCCCCCAAAGGTCAGACCAGTGGTAGGGCAAGATGAGCAAGCTTTTCGCAGCCAGCTGTGTCTGATCTCGAGACCCTCTTGCGGTGCTCTCGGAACGCTTGGCATTGGCGGGCTGGCGGGATGATTTGCGTTTCTGAAAATCAATGTCCCCACGCTAGCGGCTGTCTCAAGGCCAATCTTGGCGTTTTTGGCGACCAGATCTGGCGTCTGGCTGGATGGCAGATCCTCACTAATTAATCCTGCGCGTCTCCAAGAATAGCACCACCTGCCCAGTCTCGGAGATGAGCTGGCTGGCTAGCAAGCTGGCCTGGACCGTTGAGTTGTCAGTTCCTCAAGCCTGGAATTTCCTGTGGGCTAGTGTGTCAGCGGAATAAATGGCAGCATCCATTCGGAATGCATCTTCTGGATCCGCAAGTTTATTTGCAGCTCTTGCGGGGCACGGGCGCAGGGTCTGGCTGGATCCCTTGCTGGGCCCAGTCCACTGGCAACTTCATTGACATCTCCAAGGGCGAACGGGCAACATCAGACCCTGGACTTCCAGTGCGCAGCTAGCGAGGTACGGGCAGCAGTTTCATCTCGTGTTCCGTCCATTTTCGTCACTGCAATAGTGAATGCTTCGTCAGTTTCGCATGCGGCCAGGGTCATCCCAAGGTCTGCAAGCTCCTCGCCGGGGGTCCTGAGGGCTTGCGCTCGGCGACCAGCCGTCGACCAGGACAGTCTTTGGGTAACCAGCACCATCGAACTGTCCGGGACGGTTGAGAGAACTTTCATCGAGATGCAGCTTGCCGCCAGCGGAACTCTGTGGAATGTCAACCCCTGCTCCACAAGATGTCGTTCAATTTGGCTTTGCGCACTTGGAAGACTGAACCTCCACCCAGGGGTTGCTCCGCCGCACAGGCACGATGAGCAGGGGTGGCGGCAGGGGTCCAAGTTGTTACATTCTTGGTTCGAATCCTGCTCCAACACCTGTGGCATCGTGGGCCAGAATTTGTTCGGTTGAACATGACACAGAATGCACAAGGTGGATTTATCCGGGCCAGAGTTGCGAAATGCTGAGTTTTTGCAGCACGAGGCCAACAATGCTCTGGCGGCCCCGTCTGTCAAGAGAGGCAGGGCCTTCTCCGGTCTTGTAGCTGCACGACTCGTAACTTCACGACGTCACCGGAGCAGAAGAGGAAGGGCACAGAGCTAGGCATTGCAGTAAGCCAACTATTCGTCCCAGTCTGCCTAGTTTTGTCGATTCACGACAGCCGGAAACATGTCAATCAGTGCCCACATCAGCCCTATGTAAGCTGTGGTCCGCCCAGTCGACGGTAATCTGGGGCCGGAGGTGATACTCTTGTGGTCTCCGCCTCCTGTCCTCCTGCCGGACTAGCTTCTGTGGCAGTCAGGTAGCTACCTTTAGACCCAATCAGCTTGGCGGGCCCAGCTTGAGTGATGCTACGGGCTCTCTGTCTCTTTGTTTGATGCTTGTCTGGACGAGTCACCCTTGCTGCCACATTTATGCTCCTCGAAACAACCAGTCAAGCATCGAATTCCCTGCTCAGGGCAGAGACAATGAGCCATTTATATTGAGATGACGGGCTAATGATAGAGCTTGACGAGCGCGTCTCGTGTACGCTATTGCATATAAGTAATATGCGTTGACTCTCCAGTAACCGTCTCGCTCTGCCAAAACCTGGCGTCCTCCAATGCTTCTTCAAGTCTACGAGCATTCTCCGGAGAACCCCTGATCCTTACTTGTCGAGCTTTGCGATACCACCCCACCAGTCCTTTCCCAGATTCGGTCATTTCCTCCAACTTCCCTTCGAACCAGACAGGATTGTTGTGTGGATCTTACATTATAATTGCACTGTGTCGCCATCACGACATCTATTACCTTCTGGCAGTACATCAGTGTCTCTGTTACTTGGTAGACTTGCTCGCAGTTGTGACTTCCTCCGCCATCGTCAGAGGCAGAGAGCAAAGTGTCTGGGAACGGACCGACCGCGTCGCGATCAGGACCAGATATTCGCCGCAAAGAGGGGTACTTTTCCTTCCCGTTTCGCAACCAGGCTTTTTCTCGCCTCAACACCCTGTTCCTCCTGGGAAGAGACATTCGCATCTTGCGCATCAACTTCCATCTGCCCCGAAGACTACCGCCTTGGTTTCGTGGTCTCTAGAATTTTCAACATTCATCAGACCCAGACGAAGCTATCGAAATCAGGACAAGGCGATCAAGATGACCTCGACAACGAAGCTTTTTATCGGGTATGCTCCGCCAGCATCCCCGATATTGGCCATGATTTCCCTGCTGACAGGCAACAGCGGCCTCGCTTGGCACACCGAGGAGGCTACTCTGCGCCAGAAGTTCGAGGAGTTCGGACTCGTGGACGAGGCTGTATGTTGTGCTCCTGACAACACGTCGCAAGCTCGGCCAGAATCTTCCAGTGCCTGCTTCGCCCGTCGCACAAACCTTCTTCTTTACTGACGTGAAGCCTCCCCGTCTCTTAGGTCGTGGTCAAGGATCGTGACACCGGCCGCAGCCGTGGCTTCGGATTCGTTCGATACACGAACGAGGACGACGCGCAGCGAGCCATCGCCGCGATGAACAACATCGAGTAAGACCCACCACAGCAGACTCTGACCGCGACGTAGGACTCGCAGCTTGTTCTGGACCGATGCTAAAGCTCTGCATTCAGATTTGACGGTCGCACCATTCGCGTCGACAAGGCCTCTGACAACGGTCCTCGAGGCGGCTACCCTCCCCGAGGCGGCGGAGTGGTCGGCGGTTTTGGGATGCGCGGCGGCTACGGTGGCATGCAGAACCCAGGCATGCCTCAGATGGCCTACGGACATCCTCAACAGGGATACCCGATGGCTGCTCACCCGCAAATGTACGCTGCTCAACAGCAGCAGTACGGCCGTGGCGGATACCCACCCCAGGCAGCTGCGATGAACTACGGTGCCATCCCGCAGCAGGGTAAGTCGGCCTCTCGCAGCGTATTGGTCTGACTTCTCGCGGACGATCTTCGTCGCGAAAATCAGTTGTTGAATAGACTTGCTGACAACATGGCGGTTGGTACAGCTTGGCCCCAGGGTGGCTACGTCTACGGACAGGACCAGCAGCAACAGGGACAGCAGCAGCTTCCACAGGGACAGATCCCCCAGCAGCAGATGCCAGGGCAGCAGCAAGCTCCTCCCGGTGGTCCGCCTGGGTACTAGATGTTTCAGGGTCGCCCCAGCGCTCAGTGGCTGGGCGTGCTCTTGGATCTGCCGGAGTTGAGGCGTTGAAGGGGAGGAGGTGCGCCCGCGGGACCTCCTTCAAGTACGACACGAACCGTGCGGACCGCTCTTTGATACCTCTATCCGACTGGAGCAACTAGCTGTTGATGTCGAGTCCACACACGATTTCAAAAGAATCGACCACGGCCGAAATTGCGAGACATGGTACGAAACGTCCGGACGGAAAAAAGGAAACGAACTCCAAGCATGTGCGAATGTCAAGAAAAGTTGCCATCGTTCTTGTTCACGACAAACATTATACCCCCTGACCGAGTTCAGATCTTCGATACCTTTTTGTTTTCGGGTGGCGCTTTTCGTTCTTCGGCTGGCTGTCTTCGTCCTAACATTTCTCTTCTTTTTATGCCTCCTTTTTTTCCTTCCTTCCTTCTTTACAACTTCTATGATGACCTTCGGGTTTGAGGGCAGGGAGAGGCCCCCTTTCCTGTTGTCGTCCAACACGTTCTTTGTACAAAATTACAGTCAGCAGGCTCACGCGTCGTGTCTTAAAGGTATCCCGACGCGTTGAAGCGAGGCAAAGAACGAGCTCCCAAGCTCGGCGCGCGGGACTCTTGCTCCAGAGCAGAAAAAAGAGCAGGGCGTCTAAGGAGGAAATCAAAATCCGGTGTTGACTGATCCTGTGGAATGCTTCTATTGTGTGTGCGTGTGTGTATCTCCGTGTGTGTGTGTGTCTCAACCGACTTTTTCGGTCTCCTCGTTCTGGTCTACGCTGCCGACTTCCTTGGGATCGTGAAGAGCGTCCGCAGCCGCGTCACTCCCCTGGCTAACCACGTTCTTAGTAGCCGGCGCCCCCACGCCTCCCTTGCCTCCTCTACCGCGCTCCTCCTCGCGAGATATTATCGCCCTGACACGCTCCGACAAGTCTGTGACGTGCTCGTCACCGCTCTCGGGGCTCAGCTCCTGCAGCGCCTTGTCCAGGCCCAGCAGGTAGTCCCGGTTCAGCCCGCTCGGCCCCTCTGAGCGGTAGATGTGCTCGGCCAGGGCCTGGATGTCTTGGGGGCCGACGAACTGGTCGTTGTCTGGGGTCCCAATGTCTGTGATGTGTCAACAGTCCGCCGCCGAGCCCGCGGTGATAAACCTTGGAAGATCATTCACGGAAAGTGGTGGAGACCCAGAGCAGGAGGAGGACTATACGTACAAACAAGAGTCCTGATGGGCTTTCCTGGATTCGAGGCCGGGGAGAAGGGTGTATAGTGCTATATCCAGAAAGAGTCAGTGGTCCCCGAACAAGCAGAGTCGTAAATATGCGGCGGCAAGCAAGCAAGCGAAAGGAACATGACCAGGCGCGGAAAAGAAAGGGTGGTCGCTGAGCAAGGCGACCAGGATTAATCCACTCAGAGAGGAAGGGACGTTACCCGAGACATGTCCTGAGAGCTCTCAGCGGAATCCTGCTTTTGGCAAAGAACAGGTTCTCTTCTCCCGCCAAACAGGCGGGGGTGGACACGGATATGCGAGCAGACTCCAGAGCTTGACTTACGATGGTGTAGCCGTTGATCTCCCGGATGTCCAGATACTCCTTGACCTCCTCCACATGTTCCGCCTCGATCCTGTAGGCGACGCCCCAGACCTTGTCTGCGGACGAGTGTGGATCCGGCAGTGTTTCCCAAAAGGACCGCTCGATCAGGGTCACGACACGGCCTGGTGCCTCGGGAGTGCCGCGGTGGTCCTGGCTGTTAACTGCATCAGCTGGCATTGCCGAATGGCTGTTGGGATACGGATATCAAGTCCGTTGATCCCTTCCTTTGGCGCATGCGTTGGCGCGTCGCACATTTCCCCAGCAAGGCTCGAGGGTGAATTATCCTCGAGGTACTGGGACCAAAGATGTACAAGGAATGTTGACCGTACCTTGCCTGTTCGTAACCCGTCAGTAAGTGTGCCTTTGACGAAGTCCTCAGGGGGGAGAAGATGAGAGGTATGTTAAGGTTCGTTGGACGAGAAGCCATCAGTGTGCGTGCACACGATGATGGCATGTCCCTGGGAAACAGAAAGCGCCAACTCACTTGCCAAAATCTACGAACGTAGCCTGTGACCCAGCCCGGAATCCTGCGATCTGTTGACAATAACATCGTCTCAGTCCATGTACAAACGTAGAGACGGAAGCGATCGCTGTCCTGATCGCCCCAACTCCGGGCCAGATTCGCACAGAGACGAGCACCTACCAAAATGCGGCGGTGGTTTCCATATCAGGCTCCTGTAGGAATACTTTGTTAGAGACACGCCTGAATGCGCCCCGGTGTGGGGATTATGATAAACAGCCAGAGAGGAGGAGCACACCCGTATCCAAAGAGCCAGAACTCGCCGTTGGCAGCAGCGGGAGCGCCAGGGTCTTCTACAGTCATATTCACGCAGCCAATTCCAGTCTAAAGTCTAAGACACCTATGCGTGTGATTCGGATACAGTAACAAGTGAGCGGAGGCCAGCAGCGACAATGAGAAGGTGTCAACTGTGTTTGTAATACTCGTGATCCGGACCGCACCGCCGGTACCTTTCCGACCCGGTGCCGAATGCACGGACCAGCTCACGGGAGGCTCCATGACTCTGTTTAGCAGAGTATGGCGTCAGCCCGTATACCGGTACGACTTTCTGTCGGTCCACTTGTGTGGTTCCTTCCCTCGAGGGACCCGGAACATCAAACTTCGAATCTACGCATGTGTCTAATCAGACAGAAATTCCCCACTGCCAACGCTGAACAGCCACAAGTGGACCGCCGTCTGGCTGGTACTGTACTTGAAGATCAAGATGCTTTACGTCGTGGTCAGGCTGAGTCACAGGTCGCCCAGAGGCATGCGGTGGAGGCAGGGGAGGTCGGATGAAGAGTGACCGACGGTTGTGTAACCTCGTCCAGATGCCCTCTGACGTATCGACGTGAGCTTGTGAGCATGAACAAGAAGAAGCATGGCGGTGCCGTCGTCTGATGTTCCCCGGGTTCACAGAAAAGGGGGTTCCATGGTTCCAACTGTGACCAACCGCTGAGGCAGGTGATATCTCTCTACCCGGGTATACGACAACTCACAATGCTGTGTATGTTTGCCCAGGTGTGCGCGTGTCTTGCGGATTCCCACCCCTGCCCACTAACAAGTGTTTCCCTGGCCGTGTAGCCATATGCCTTGTCACCCAGGTAGGCAATGAGTGGCCCTTGCGAGACAGAGACACTCCAGGTAAATCGGGCACGTACGTGTTTGTCCGGTGGTGCGTTCAGCCCAACACACACAGCCTCGTTCAATCCTTGACCTTGGCGTGTGCTCCCCCACCGTGTGCCCCTCAGGCCCACCCCGAGGAGCTCTGCCGCAATTTCAGGGCTCCTCCCGCCGTCCCCTGCCAACTTCTCTTGAGTCTCGTGGATTCCGACATAAGCACCCCCGCGCTTTGACACATGGCCACAGGTAACTTCCAGAGCACAATCACAAAGGAAAGCCCCTAACCGCTCTGCGCAAGAGACACGAGACACGGCCAACGGATCAGTCTGATACGTAAAAGAGAGTGCGCCGGCCCGGAACACGACCAGCAAGCAAAATCCAAACCTTCCTTCCAAGCGAGCTGTAACCCCGCGGCTGAACCAACACACAGAACCACCGCGACCGCACCCGCGACCCTGACCAGGGCCGCTCGACTGACCGCGACCCTTATCAATCCTATTTGTTGTTGTTTCCAGCCTGGACATACCCTGCCAACAACAACCCCAACTACATCATCGGTCCCTCGAGCCACTGTCGCATTTCTTGGTGGCACTTGATCTCGGCTTGGCGTCGACAATCTCAAAAACAACTCGACACGACACCACTATAGGCTTGCCTCGCTCAAGCCTACCCCTTCTCCCCGCACTCGACTTACAACGCGCAAAGAAGCTAGGTCACACAGCACACCATGGCCTACAACAAGCCTTACAACCCGGATGCGCTTCCACAGTGAGTTTGCGCTGTGCAACCACTCAACCGCGCACCTAGAAGCAATCACTAACAGGAACCCAACCAGATTCGCCGAGCCCGAGCGAAAACATGCCTCCCCTTCGCCCTCCCACTACGAGAACAAGCCGATGCCCCCTCGGCCACAGGAAGGCTACGGACGCCCACACGCCGGCTCGGCAGGGCGGCTCTCCCCAGCAGGACACCCATCAGGAGGGCATCATAACACCCACTCGGGCGTCATGTCTCCACCTCCCACCGGCGGCCCAAAGCCCACACACCACAACCGGCCCCCTCCCAACTCGAGACCCCCGCCCAGCCCGGCGCCGACTGACGGCGGGGCCGACCCCACGCTGCTGCCGCTCTTCAGGGCTGTTGACAAGGATGGTACGTATCACACCCAGCACGCGCTCTGGTGATCCGCGGGGGGGAAGCAAAAGAGCCACAGAGAAAGAAAATGCTGAGACAGCGCCAAATCGAACAGGCACCGGCCAGCTCTCGGAGCGCGAGCTCTCGGCGGCCCTCGTCAACGGGGACTGGACCGCCTTCGACCCGCACACGGTGCGCATGATGATCCGGATGTTCGACAGCGACCGGAGCGGGACGATCGGGTTCGACGAGTTCTGCGGGCTGTGGTCGTTCCTGGCGTCGTGGCGCACCCTGTTCGACCGCTTCGACGCCGACAAGAGCGGCAACATCCAGCTCGACGAGTTCAACAACGCCCTCGTCGCCTTCCGCTACCGCCTGTCGGAGCGCTTCGTCGAGCTGCTCTTCCAGACCTACGACAAGCGCAACGAGGGCGTCCTCAGCTTCGACCTCTTCGTCCAGGCCTGCATCAGCCTCAAGCGCATGACCGACGTCTTCAAGAAGTACGACGACGACCGCGACGGGTACATCACCCTCAGCTTCGAGGACTTCCTGACCGAGATCCTGAGGCAGCTCAAGTGAGCTCAGTCGCGCCTGGTTGGCTGCTCACTGGAGGGCGGGGCGGATTGGATGGAGGGGACATGGTGGAAAACTGTGACATTGCGCACAGTAGCATTTGCCAATTTGTTTTGGACGTTTGGCCATCATCACGTTGATTTTTGCGCTGGTTACATGTGCCATGCATTCACGACGATAGAGAGAGTGAGGGACTTTTTTCGGGGTATCTGACACGGCCAACATCACAGGTAGTGGCTAGAGGAGAGTTGATACCCTTGCGAATATGATCACGTCTACCTGGAAATGGTCATGTACTCGATGTGTCCCTGTGAGGATTTTGTGAGGCGGGAGATGACGAGGCCACGTGATGCGCGGTCAGCTTCTAATCTACTGGTAAGCTCACAAGCCCGTCTCATGGTGCTTTGGCGTAAGACTGAGGAACTTTGTCGTTAAGAGGTCGAGTATGGCAGGATCTCAGTCATCGAGTCGATGACGCAAATTCATGATTGATATGATCGTGTCGTTAATGTCCTCCACGTGAACCACCGCTGTGCTGAGCATTTGCCCAACACTGCAATGTAAATGGATGGACCAGCCAGACACGAACAAATGATTCTTCAACTTGTTCCACACAGAAACGCCTTGATTGGAAATGCAATGATCCAGAGTGGGCTGGGCTCTTCTCATCCTCCACGCTTGGGAGATGGTGCATGGCTCAGAGTGAGCAGAAAAGATAAACATTGCTTCGTCTGGCAAGGCGATCTTGGGCTTTAATGTACTCTACCGTCTAAATCGTTTCTGAAGGAGAACTGTAAAATATATCTGGGAATCGCGTTCGTGTGTGATGCAAGAAAATGATGAACAGCTCACCTCCCTGCGCATACCATCAAGGTCTTCTCTAGTAGTCCAGTTGAACTCAACTCCCCCCCCCCCTCCTCCAAGCCCCCTCCTTTGCTTCCCTTTATAGACCACGAAAGTCAACCGATTCGTACCACATGGCAGGGCGGCTAGGTCCCCGAGTTGTCTGCGGGTCAATTGTGGTCCAGTCAGGGAAAGCTGGAGGGTGACAACCAGGGTTCGATCCTCGTCCCTGGCAATACAAACATTTTTTTCCCCTCTCTCTTTTTTGTTGCTTGTCCGTGTTCTCGCTCTTTGGCTGCTTTTGGGTGCTGCCCACGTTGAGCTTTTGGTGTTGAGTCACCCGCCATCACCGTCGACGTCTTCTTCCACCAGATGGATCCACCAGCCAGAACCTCGCAACAAGAGTAGGTCACCACGTGCCTGAAGAACGATAGACGATCCTGCCTTGTCTGCCCCTGCCAGTTCTTGCGAGAGACCTGCCACGCTCCAAGGTCGATCCCACGTTCTCTCCCCAAATATCCTCGTCAGGACCCCATGTCTGATGTCTGATTCCGCCCCTGCATTCCTCGCCATCCTTATCACAGCACCGCGAAGGGCCAACGAAGCTCCCTGTGACGGTCGCAGTCACGGAGAAGCGACCATCACTTGCCTCCCTACCAAGCTCCACCGCATCGCCGCCATTAGTGACCCTCTCCCCCGCCTTTCTCCCAATCTCGCCCTTCCCCGGCCTACTCGACTTCAGCCACGCCGACCGAAACGCTCTGGCATGTCTACACACCATGGCGATGTACCCGGCAACTTGCGCCAAGGCAGGACGCAGCCCCCCCGGCTGCTGATGTGGTTGGAACATCCCCTCTGGACCACTACGGCTTCGAGGAGCAGAGCTGTCGGGCTGGCGACCTCGTGGGGATGGGGTGTGGGGGTTGCGGGACTGCTCGTGCAGAAGGCCCGTCGTGTGGACTAATGCGGATAAGGGGCGCTGGGCTGACGAAAGTGAACGTCGAGGCTGGAAGGGCGCTCGTGTAAGTGTCAGGATCATCCAACTTGGCTCAGTGTGGCTGCCATGAGCTCTGCCCGAGGCCCAGATGCAATGGTCCAGGACACAATCACCCATATATACTGGCCGAGTCTGGAGATACGGTAAGTGTAGCTTCTTATATTGGTAGACTGTGCCGCTATGTATGTCTCTACTACGGAGTAGACGACGTTGAACACGTCCGACATCCCACAAGACACGCTTCAGTCCAAGACAATCTGTGCAGATTCAACTGGAGTGTACTGTAGAGCAAGAATTCCAAGATCAAATCATGGACCACTGCGAGTCCGTCTGATTTTGGATGACCAGGCAAGAAGACGAGGGCTGTTCTTCTAGAACAATTGGCCACACAGGAAGCAAGACAACGAACATGGCGTGGCGAGACAGAAGATGAGAACGTCCAGCCAATGCCCCCCAACCCCCCCTTCTTTCCCGAACCATTATCGAGACAGACTAAACATGGAATGAACTAGCCTATACCGGCCTCATCCTGTCGACGACTAGGGCAAGCCGCCTCGACAAGTTGCTTGGTGGCAGGTTTGCTTGACGTGCCGGTTTGCGCATGCACAAAAAAAGGTCATGGACAACACACAGAACCTAGTGCCACATGGCTTGACAAGCACTTGCTTGCATCCAAACTTTCGTACCTTGCAGGGAGCTGTCCCATCCAGCCCACACCCGGCCAGGCTGTTATGACTGATGCCCAAACGGTGAGCTATTCGGCCGATATAACCGATTACGAGAGACATCCAGGGCTGCAGAAGCTGTGATGTTGCTTCACTTGAACGGATCCCCTTCGAGGAACGCATATGAGAGAGTGGACAGTGGCTTACATACGTATGGTCTCATAGCTTGCTGCAAGGTACACGTATACTGCTGGCTGCTGCCCAAGCTGCGGCAAGGTGGTTTCCCGAGTGTGATACTGCTGCACTCTAGGCTTGCTTCAGCCGCGCAGTGTCGCTTCGGCCTCCCCGAGCAGATGCTCTGTGATGAGACTCCGGCCAGGTACAATGCAGCTCCTCGGCCTCGCACTCCCAGTCATGCGTGTCTGGGCTACTGTTCCCGTGCAAAACCTTGAGTCAATCTATGTGACAGGGATGCACACACAGACACACACACACGGGCACCACAAGCAGGCGCTGTATGGTCCTGAAGCCTTGGTTGTTGACGCCCAGCTGAGCGCCAATGGCGGTGGGGGGAGGCGGTGTTGTGTCAAGTCTTCCTTAGCAGCGACGACATATGGCCTCCGGAGACGTGTTTGACTGTTACTTTCTGCCCGCAGGGCTGGGCTGGTGTTTTATCCGATCAGCAGCTGTCGTGTCGAGCAGGCGAGTTGTCGATGCTGATGGCGTCCGCTGAAACAGCTGGCCAAAACGGGCACGGCAGCAGCACAGGGCAAGCCCGCGCGGCTATCGCATGCTGCCGATAAAATGAGTTGGCGTCCGGCTGACAACCCCGGAGGCGGAGGGTCACGGCGCAGCCTCGGATGTTTGCCGTCAAAACCTGGGGGCGCATGAGGTCTGAAACCGCATGCAGACGGTCTCGTTTCGTGCGGCCCCAGGGCGGTTGCAGTCTTGAAATGCTGTGTGCTCGATGCTGCCGAAGTCACGGGGAGGCAACGTCCAGCGAGTCCGATCCGAAGGGTCAATTACAGACGACTCGAGCCAAGTCCGAGTATGTCCTCGTGTGAAGTAGAGGAGAGCTCTTGTTAGTAGCGCGTAAGAAGACCGTCAGCATCCAAGGACATCCCCAGATACAACCTCGCCGCCGCTGGGGGCTGAAGACACTGCGGACCGATCAGATGCCACGGAAAGGCGAGTAAGGCAGGCGGTTTAGATTGCACACCGACTAAATCTGCGACTGGACTAGCCGGCGTTGCGCGTCTTGGTGTCAAGGAGTTGTTTAGCTGAGAAGGTTGGCGACTACACAGGCAGGCAGGAGTTGAGTAGCTGGCGGACGGAGTGGGTCAGGTGCCGGAAGCCGGCTCTGACGGGCTCAAGCTACCACGTAGACCCGACGCGACAGAATGTAGACTACTATAGATAGCAGCAAGCTACCGCCGACGCGGGTGGAAGAGCAATCCAGGGCATTGCACAAGGAGTGCATGCTAGCCTGGCCTGGCTGCGGAGGCAGGGAGGTCGACCGACTGACTGCTCAAGGATCGAATCCACAGGCATGTGAACGAGCTGCGTCTGCAGCTGTGTGTTGGATCACAGCCCCACCGCCCTTGGACGGGTTTTTGCGGACCCACTTGATCATTCTGACGACGGTACCCAAGTGGGTACTTCCTGCCTTGCCGCCTCCAGACGTCGGAATCCTTCTCCCCAAGGATGCCCCGCCAAAAGCGGCGGGAAATCATACTGCTACTGCAAGTGTAAAGCTCCGGCAGAATAATCTGCCTCCTTAACTTGCGCCTCCTTCCCCGCCCTCCCGACATGGCACAGCCGCCGCCACGAGGGATTGCATCCGCTGGCCATCGTTGTCGATGGACATGAGCTCCACGACAGAGGATGCGTGGGAGAGCACTGAGGGGCCTTTGCCAGCTCCCACAGCAAGGAAAGCTTGTCTCAGGGGTGAGCTGGGAGATCGGCGTCGCCGTCTGCAGAGCAGGCAAGCAGCTCGCCAAGCTTGGACGGAGCTCCTCGAGCTGTCGAGACGCATGCTTTCGTCCAATCGGTGGGAACTCCTTTGTCTCGAACGCAAAGGCGTGCATCAGTACTATGTACACTGATCTGGATCCAAGATAACCCGAAGGGTCAGAGCCCAGGGCTGAGCAGCGAGGAGAATGGCAGGGCAGGGCCAGAGATGAGCCTGCTTGGGGCGCTGATCTGAGTCATGACTTTGGCCACTGACGATTTGGTCATTCTTCGCATTGCGCCGGATCGAAGTCTCTGGAGAAAGCCTGGCTCGTCGGATGAAGAGCCCCAACCTGACTCTCGGTGACAGATTCACCGCCTTGCGCTGTAGCTATCAATAGTATGCGCAAGAAGCTCAGCTGCAAGGAATACCTAAGCTGAGCTCTGCAAGAGGAGCGAGCCCTCCGGCAGTTCTTGAATTATCAATCACAGCGAGGTAGCTGGCCCCGCGCGGTCGCGTCGCATCGCATCGCATCTGAGCTGATAGCTTGCAGCTGTCCCCGGCTTTCCCAACGGCACGGCACTGGGCTGCGTCATTGTCATGGGACAGGGAGGGTCGCTGAACCTGGTTCAAACTTTCACTGCGTCCTCCATCCCCAGGCAAGTATCCGCACTTTGCGGTTTCTGTCTTGCAGGTACCGTCCCAGCCCAGCTGATCAAATGAGCTTTTACGCAAGGCTAGGGACCTGCCAGAAGCAGCAGGAAGGGCCAGATAAGATGGTAGGTAGGTAGACTAGATGGCCTTGTCCGACGATAGCTTCAACGTCCAGAGCAACGGGCTCCGCCCTGCTGGAGCTGGAGCTGGAGCTGGAGCTGTGTACAGGTCTGTCGTCCCTGCTATGTACAGCCCTGCCGTACCACTTCCTGTACACCGTACAAGCCTTTTGGGACGGGACCCACGATGGCAAGATTTCGGTGGAGGTTTCAAGGGGCCTACCTCTGCCTTCACTGGGTACCTGAGTGAGCGGGTCGGATCTGCAACTGGGACCTTCGACATGGTCATGGTCATGACCATTGGACCTTGACGGGGGCTTTATTACCTGGCAGCTGAGCCGTCAAAGGCTTCGAGCGGTGCTTGCTTGGTCTGGGGCGCCGTTAGCCGTTCCTGTCGTGCCGGAGTGACAAGAATTTTGCACCTACATAGTCCACGACGGAGGCATTGATTGAGACCCCTATGATGTCTTCATGCGCCTGGATGTCCCCTCTGGCCCTTTGCCTTTGCCTTGATTATTCTCCCCTCGACTCGTCCCAGGCCAGGTCTGCCCAGCTGCCCAGCTGGCCCCTTTCGCCTGGCCCCTTGCACTAGGCGGACCACCCACCTCGTCGCAACCCGACCTCCTGACCTCTCTGACCTCCTCTGACCTCTCTGACCTCCTCTGACCTCCTCTCCGTCTCGCCCTGGCGTCTCTGCTGCTGCTGCTGCTGCTCCTCCAGCTGCTCCTCCTCCTCCTCCTCATCCTCCCCAGTCTTTTTTTGTCAAATCGAGTCGGGAACGTGCTTGCTCTAGCGCTGCTCCCATCAGGTCTCGGTCCTGAGCCAGTCTAGAGCTAGCTACAGTAGACTCCTGTCCGACTCATCTACACAGTACATACCTGCTAGGAGGTACCAAGGTACCAAGGTTGGCTGCTACCTACAGGAGGTTGCAGCTTAGTCGTTCTCAGCTTCTTAGTGTTAGCCGCAGCACCGAGCAAAGCACCCAATCCATCCAGTCTTCCGAGGTTGCGCCCCCTCTCCCTCTTCCGGTCACCTCCTAGACCACGTCCTAGACCACCTCCTCTCGCCGCCCTCTATTCTTCGAAACACCTCTTGTCACAACCCGACAGCTGAGGACAAGCTTGGAGCTCTGGTGCCCATCCTGCTGCAATTCCATCCCCTGACCACCTGCCTCCCCTCGCATTAGGCGGACAGGAGTCAATGCGACAGCTTCACTGCCCTAGCAACTGCTCTCCTCGACCGCCGTCAGCTCTCAACTCTATTCTTATCGACAAGAGCTCCAGCCCACCATCCCCGCCCACGCCCAACCTCGACCTCGACCCCGACCCCGAACTCGTACTCGACCTCGACCTCGAATGGTGGGGTCAAGGCAATTGTAATCGCCCAAGATGCCGCCCCGATCGTCTTTGACATCATCCTTCTCAATTACCGATGCGAACAATGAAGTCGTCTGTCCACTGCGCAATCAGGATGGATCAAGCTGTAGGAAGCGCTGCGTCGGCGTACGTCCTGCCCCTCATCCCCCCCCCCAATTGACGCAATGCGCTTCAATTGCGACGCCTTGCGCCGTTATATGCCATTAGAATTCACCGGTCCAGCGTTGGGGATGGTAATGGTATGCCGTGCTGCTGCTGATGGTGATGCTAACCACCATTCGACCACCAGGAGAAAAGGTACCGCTCCATGCAGGAACACATCCGCCGAGCGCATCCAGAGCACTACATTTCCAAGCTTCCCGCCACGGAGGAGAGCTTCCATCTGATGATCAACACACCACCAAGTGAGAGGCCACCACAACCGCAGCAGAACCCGGCGCCGACCAATGCTCCAAACCACCAGGCAAAGGCCTATGCACCCGACCGCAATGCATATTACCGAGACGAATCTAGCAATCCTGGAACTCCTCGGCAATATGAAGATTACCCGGGCGGCTTGCTGCCAGCTGCAACAAATGCGGCCGCGGCGCTGGCTTCCCTGCACAACTACAAGACGGGCACTGGATCGGACTGGGACGCTGAAGGCGTGAGTCTTGCAAAGTTTCACTATGAAATTGATCCTATGAATCACTTTAGTGACCTCCAAATGCAGGAGTGGGTGTCGGATTCTGAGAAAGATAGAATGCCGAGATCCTCCGTCGAGCTCCCTCCCTTACAGCCCAACAATACTGCCATCACGAGTGAGCCTTTCTCTGGGCTTAGTTCTAGCCGGCCAAGAGATCTGCTCTCCTCAATCATGGCAACCTCGCCTCCAGGGCGATCTTCCACCCTGCCTCCCCTTCAAAGGCCCCTGGGGCCGAACCGGTCCAGGAAACAGTCCGTCACCAAGCGGGGCAGAGAGACACAGCACCGGAAGCAGCGGTCCAGAGACGCGAAAGACTGGGTGAAGCGAGGTAAGATCGACATTGCTGGGGACCTTCTACAACCAACGGCACAGGAGCGGCCAAGGCCGTACTCGGCCGAGCCAACGGCTCGATCACCCTGGATGGACCTCCTTGAGGCGGCCACATCGGTTGCCGATGACCTGAACGAGGAACGGACGCCGGTGAGTCCCTCCTCCCCTTTCTGAAACTCCCATTGGCGGCCAGGGCCGTGCTGACTTGTCGCAGATGCCCCAGTCTCCTGTGTCTATACAGCGAGCTTCTTTGCCGCCCTTCTCCCAACAGCAGTTTGGCCAGTCAGGATACCAGGCGTCCCCCTTGCAGCAGGCCTTGACGCCGCCCAACTACGCGCAAGAAATTCCTGGGCCCTTCCCATCCGTGGAGAGCGGCGAGAGTGCAGAGAGCTTTCACATGGGTACTCATGGATTGACAGATTCCTCACCCAGCTACTCCTCACAGAACACTCAGATATACTGTGCTGCCTGCCAGAGTGTTTCCCTTTTACGAGACTCGTACGCCTGTACGGAATGCATCTGTGGCATCTGTCAGCAGTGTGTCGAGGTTCTCATGGCCGAGCAAGGTGCCCGAAGAAAGTGTCCTCGCTGCGCCACGATAGGTGGTCGATTCAAGCCTTTCCAGCTCGATATTCGCTAAATGCGGCCGCATACACCGCGCTCTTCGCACCTTTTCTGGTTCTTCTTTTCCTGGATATCCTCCTGGCCTTTCCTTTTTTCTCTTTGGTTTTACTTGCAGAATTCCAGCATAATCGGTGGTATCGAATCATTTTCCACAGGAGTAGCAGGCGGCCATCTGGCGGAGTTTTTTCTTTTTTAAAGGGATTGGATTTCCACTACTGATCACTCACAGAGTCTATTCGATTGCGTCTGCCTTTATTCACACACGCCCGCCACCTTTGGACTTTTGAATTGTTTCTCAGTTGTAACTGCGGTTTCTACTGGAGCCTGGAGCGCCCTTTCCGATCCTGGAACATGATCTCGAGTCCCAGATGGGACTATGTTTAGTTTGCGTTGTCGTTTCACTGTTGGTTTACAGGAACAAATCTCATGGAGGCGTCCTCCACCGGGTTGGAGGGGGGTTTGTGAACTTTTCACGTTATGAACTGGGACCTGAGCTTTGATTACCCCGACTAAAGGTTTAGATTTGTGGGATTACTCGATATAGCCAGACGATAACGTCTAGATAACACGGTCACGGCTATCAGTAGCTCGCTCTTGTTCGATGCGAAGTTATGTGCATATGTAGGACGCGATCAATGACGACCCTTTCAGCCGAAGAATAAAGCAAGATATACTGCGTCTTCTTGGGTCCCATTCGCAGCAGAACTGACTTATCGCGGGCGTTTTCCTTGGCCTCATTCAGGCTCCTGGTCCTTCCACGTTTCTCTGACCGCGTTAACATCAAACCCACATCTCTCCGCCCTGGCCACAACGGCCTTTGCCCTGCCCACAACCGGAGCATCGATCATCTTCCCGTCCAGAGTCCACGCCCCCCTGCCCGCTTCCCCTGCCCTGTCCCCCTTGCTCGCCTTCTCATCCGCCACGACGACCCTGACGCTCCACTCCACCTCGCCCTCGGACGGGGCGAACGCCCCCTGGACGACCTCGACCTGCGAGGGGTGGATGCACTGCTTGCCGTTGAACCCCAAGCCTTTCCCGTCGGCGCACTCCTCCCGCAGGCGGCTCACGCCCTCGTCGCCGCGGAAGGTGGTGCAGACCAGGTCGATGGTGGAGGGCAGGCCGAAGGCGCGCGCGTGCGTCGCGATGGCGGACCGCGCGTACAGGAACTCCCTCAGCGACGGGGTCCGCGTCAGGCTCAGGTCCAGCGAGAAGTCCTCGGCCGCGAAGATCAGGCCGGACAGTCCCACGCCGCCTGCGGTCCCGGCCTGGCAGATGGAGCCCAGGTTGAGTATCGCCTCGGCCGACTCAATGAGCGCGAGCAGCTTTATTGGCTGCGGCCCGTCCTGGGAGTACCGCTGTGGTGCGACGTGCTTGAGCACGTCTGCGACAAAGGTCAGGTCCGAGGCCGTGTTCACCTTTGGGATCACGATGGCCTCGAGACTTGGCTCCTTGCCCAATATTTGCAGGTCTTCCAGCGCGTAGGGCGTCGAGACGGCGTTGACGCGGGCGGCGACCTCGCCTATGCCCTTTGGGCGGGACGACGGCGAGGACGAGAGGGACGAGAGATGCTTGGCGAGCGCCTGCCGTGCGTTGGGCTTCTCGTGGGGCGTCACTGAGTCCTCCAGGTCGTAGGTCACATTATCTAAGGTAAGGCCCAGGGACTTGGTGAGCATCTTCTGGGAGGAACCGGGGACTGCAGGGAGGGAGGTCAGTCTACGGTGTGAGTGAAGGTGGATGGGATGGGTCGTCTTGCCGTAGAGCAGGGCCCTGCGCAGGACTGATGCTGATGTTGCCATTGTAGCGAATTGATTAGGGTGCGGCCTATTGGAAAATGCGGTATACACGCTGCAACTCCATTCCTATCTACTCGATATATGTAGTGACGATTTCACCGTTGAAATAGAAACGTCCAAGTATGTAGCCGAGGTGGCCTAGGACGTTGATGTACCGGCGAGGGGGAGCTTCGAGTCGGCTACTACCTTGGTACTTAGAGAAGGCCGTCACGGTTGGTCCCCTGTGTAACCCCTGTAGCCGTTAATACCACAGTGCTGCGCCAGTGAATTTAGCGGGCTGCCGGCTCTCTCTGTACGAAACAGAACAGCTGGAGCTTTCAAGCGTCACGCATCCCAGCTCCCAGGGAGCTGCATACGTACCTGCCTACGTGCCGAGCACCGCGCAATCTATCACCATCCAAGCTTCGGCTTCAAACACGACACTGTGGCCAAATGACCCACCCGCGCGACGACACACAACAGTCCCCATCCGCTCTTTATATGCATTAGTCGAAAGGCTGTCGTCGCCGTCCTAATTGTCAAACCGCCATGGACCACCAACAATCGCCCGCGCCGGGCTCGCTGAGCTGGCGCCTGAGCTCGCATCCCATCACATTACTTACCTTCCTGGCCTTTCGATCGTGTAAGTCGGCGCCCGCGCGACGGCGGCGCCCGCGCCTCCTACTCGAATGCGCTTGATACTGACACTCAACCGCAGCTAGCCTCCTAGTCTACCTCTTCGGCCTCCTCTTCACCGAGAACCTGTACGCCATGGCTCCCTGTCTCCCATCTAGGCCCGCGCACGAGACCGGCCAGACTTAATCTTTGCTGGAAAGCAGTTGCTAACATGTTGCGCCTGATCACAGCGTCCTCATATTCATCATCACCATCCTCCTCCTCGCCGGCGACTTCTACTACCTGAAAAACATCGCCGGCCGCCGGCTCGTCGGGCTGCGCTGGTGGAACGAGGTCGACCCGTCCTCGGGCGACTCCAAGTGGGTGTTCGAGAGCAGCGAGCCCGGCACCAAGGTCATCAACCCCACCGACAGCCGCTTCTTCTGGCTGGCCAACTACGTCCAGCCGCTGCTGTGGGGTCGCGCTGGCGATACTGGCGCTCGTGCGCTTCATGTTCATCTGGTTGCCTCTTGTTGGTGAGTTACACGTGGCGCTTGCCTGGATCTCGAAGACGGGAAACAAGTCAAATAATTATGGAAGCTGACCCTTTCGTGGGAATAGCCATTGCACTGGCCCTGACGATCACAAATTCCCTGGCGTTCTCTCGGTGCGACAAGTTCAGCCAGGCGTCCAGCATAGCAGGAGGTGCCTTCTCCGCGACAGGCATGGCCGGGAACATCGCGAGCGGCATGGTAGGAAGGTTCTTCAACAGGGGCTAGACAGATCGGTGGGTGAGCAGGCCGGCGAATGCGCCCTAGTCCTTACTGGCACGGCCTTGTAGGATATCCAGGCAGAGCAGCTCGTGGGATCCATGGCGTTGGGCCCCTGGCACAAGGGGTTCATTTTTTCTTACATTGGGGGTACAACGCAATTGCATTTTCAACGGCGAATGGGAGGTCAAAAGGGCCGGTAGACAGGCCAAGGGACAATCGAGGCGCGCATACAATTCGCAGGTAGCTCGCCACACTCTATACAAAATTTGTTCAACAAAGGTCTGCTTAAAGCAGCGACTGGGGCTTTGCAGGTCAAGTGAGTGGTCTATGTTTCTCGAATGATCTCACCAGTATCGGCAGTTTGATGTGCAATTCCCTGTGTGAGAGGAATTTGTATTACAGTTGCAACAGGTGTGTTGAAATTTGGACTGATGGATTTCCCATACATACCGGAGTTCGAAGCCTTCAAAAGCACCTGGCTGTCCATTGTTCAGCAGATCACCATCCGCCATCGTCATGCCACCCACGGATTTCATTATCAACCCCTTGGCCGCCGCTCGCGCAACCTGCAAGAGCTGGCCCACGTCATTTGTGTCAATACTTCTTCCTTTACGGGCTGCGGCCGTATGCCTGATTCGCTTGGATGAGTTTCAGAGCCGGGTCCTGAGCCGGGTCGAGAAATAGCTGGACAGCCTCCTCGTTGTTCCCCAAAGCGTTCCCGGTCCGTTCGAGTGTTTGTACCTTTGACTTATACGCTGCGCTCGCATGTATGCCGCCCGACGTATTCGCCAATCTCGCGGAGGCCGAGGGCCGGCTCAGCTGGCTCAACACTATGATCTCCTCGATAGAGTCCCAGGCCTCCGATGATCGCCGAGAAATCAACATATGAGCGGAATTACAAGCTCCAATCGTAGTGCAAGCTAACATGACGGCAATAGCCAGATATACCGCAGTACTGTTGGCTTTATACGCAAGACCAGAGACAGTTACGTCCCACTGCAAGCGCGTTAGCGTCACACCATTCGCTGTGTTTGGCACAGCGACAACGTTCTTCCCATCGAGCAATAGATCGAAGTATCTCCCTGGGTCGCTGACTCTTGAGGGTAGCCAGTTCATCCGCTCCAGGCAGTCCGTCACGTGGTACATGTTGCCACCGTTGTCGTTGAGACCAATGCGAGACATTCCATCCACGATCAACATGGCGATGGTGCTTTCGAGAGTGTGGCATAGAGTAGCCCAGTGGATTAGCAGGCCGGTGGAGTCGTCGAAGCCGGCAGACGTGAACATGGAGGCGGCCGTGGTCCAACCCATGTCCCTCGTGCCTCCCAGCACAGGGAGCAGAGCATCGAGCCATGCTTGATCGAGCTGGGCGAAACGCCAGTCAGGCCCTGGTATCGGCGAAAATCCTACGTTGGTGCCGTGTTCCTTTGTTGAGGTGAGAGATCCGAAAACTATCATGTTATCTGTCTCTGGCAACGCCGAGCCAATGTTGGTGCCGCGTGCCCAGCGAGCGTCGATTGAGCATGCAATAGGCGCCACGAACCGACCACCGCTGTCGGTATCAGAGTATGTTTCCACGAGCATAGCTGCAGCAAGGTGATTGTCCGTTTCCGGGGGCGGAATGTCAATCCAGTGAGTCGCGATTCTTTTCAAGTTGTCTTCGAACGTTCTACCCAACTCCACCGTTGCATTCCAGAAGTGGGAATCATCCAGTCTGTCTGCAAATTCTGGCTGCATGGTGAACTTAGAACTCAGGGTCAGATTCAAGAAGTCTCAACTCGGTAATTTCTCGCCATTCACTTACTGGAATTTCGGTCGTGATCAGTTCGGTCGCAGAAATGTTATACCCGCCGGCGTCGTCAAGCCAACATGTAACTCGGCTGACAGGGAGCCAACCGTCCACCACCGCCGTTCCTAAGCCATCTGTCGCGGTCTTAAGATTGCGATTAGACCCAGAGTTTTTGGTGCTGGAAGCATTGTTACAGGCCATAACCCATTCATCGGCAATCAGCCTTGAAATACGGGCCGTTGGGACGTGGATCCCCAGAACAAAAGGATCTCTCGTTGTGATATCCGCGCCGGCTTGGTGTTTTGTGAACTGACGTTTGATCACGCCGTCATTAAATGTGATGTTACTCTGCCGGTCGAAGTGGCGATTTTTGAGCCCTTCTGCAATCTGTGTATACCCAGCCCAAGAGCAACTGGACATGTATAACGGAGCCGTCATGAGCTCAGTCTCGTTGGGATTGAGACAGATGTCCCCCCCCCCCCCCCGGCATGACTGGCATTCAGCCGATCTGGCCAAAGGGTATCATCAGTGCCCACAAGCCAGAAGTCGGTTCCGCCTGCCGGCCAATTGTTCTCTGTGTAAGGAACTATCAGAAGAGCGGTGCTTGGTCCAATCACGGCGGCCAGAAAACCACAGGCAAGGACTGGGAGGGCCAGGGCAGCTTTCCATGGCCAGCCCGGGACACTCATGGTCCCAAAAAGGAACGATGGTGACCAGAAGTAGGCGATCTCACTGAATCGGAAAGGAGAGCTGAGCAACCCGAGAGGGATACCTTGCGATGATAACGCTTGAGTCCGGAAGATGTTCATGATCGCCGATGCCAGGGACGCGATCACACATAATTCCTGCAGAAGAAATGTGGTAAGCAAGGTCTTCCCGGACCACAAAATACTGCGTATGGTGACAGACCGTGACTTCAGCTGCAATCTGCAAGAGTAAAAAATCTCTGTCCCGATTTGCAGCGCCTCCGGGCATCTGATCGCCGAGAAAATGACCAGCGAGGTTGAGCCATGTCACAAAGCTTGTGACAGCCATGGGGACCAGATGGACGCAGCATCGCAGCAGCGAGACCAGAAGTGATCGTTTGACTATCACTTTAGGAGTTTCCGTTTTACCCACAAACATATAGAGAGCTGAAGTTCCCACATTCCTGAGGAAGACCCAAGTCATTATGCTAGAACGAGACCAGGCCGATAACATGCTTTTCAGAGCATATAGAAAGTATACTTTCAAGAGATCACAGCTTGAAAACTGTCGGAAACTTTTTCTCAGAGACATGGTGGTAGTCTTCAAGGATAAGAACATGAGATTTGACGGCTTTTGAACAAGTGATTTGGGAGCAGATTCATTTGAAAAAGGAGGTCCGTCCATCGAGTGTTAATATCCTCGCCAATACATGTTTTAGGTTGTTGAAGGCGCAAGTGCACTCTTTGGCCCATCCAAGAGCCACACACAGCCTGCTGACTTTGTCAAAAGTCGGCCACCAATGTAATGCTCTAAAGAGCAGAATATTTGGGATCATCCCATATTTGCAGCTAGTGATACCACACAGCCGGGAAACAAAGGTCTTGGCCGTGATAATTTTTCTCTTCCCCAGCCCAGACCTATCTATGGGACTCTGCGTGGCAGCTTAGTAACAGCGAGGATGTACTCTTTATCTACTATTTGACTGGTTAATTGATGCACTTGGGAAGCACTACTTATACATTGCATCAACTCACCGTGACACTGCAGGCAATACGCTCGCCCTTCAATGGGCTGTCAGGCATTAAACACCTGGGGGAGTCAAGCCTTACTGTCTGTGTGGTGTGCAGCAAAGCCGCCCAACCTGCCGGCCTTGTTTTACATGCTCTATTTCAAACAATGCAGAGCTATAATCTTCATAATGTGGCTACTGTGGCGCCTTGCAACAGCTGGCATGGCCTCCTCAAGTGATCCCGATGCCAACTCACCCGTCATGGTGCCCCATGGAAGGATTTGGCTAGCAATCCTAGCTGTAACCATCCTTAAACGTTTGGCTTGAAAGATGACTTGTCACACCGGCTTAGCGTTTCGGAGGGCTTAACGGAAGGTGCATGGAAATGAGAAGGAAAATGCTGAAGAGGCGCCCTGCTTACCACCCGCAGAATCAGGGCTACCAACCAGTATGAGACCAAGCTACCCTTGCATACACACCTAAATTCGTCTATAATCGGTATATTCTTGTAAGATTGTGGCCTGCAATCACACTCTGGAGGTCATTATTTGCCTTGACAAGGCGATCCGGAGGACGGGGTCCCCAAGCATATGTATTTTGCTGGTACTAGACTACAGCCTTCTAGCAGAAGATACACCTGGATTTTAAATGGAATTTCATTTAGAAAAACGGCAGTCCAAAAGATAAACCATGCCTGACAGTACAGCACCAGTGGGCTCTTATCACTAGCAAACAAGGCTGAAAAAATAATGGGTAGAACAAAGCACTACCCACGCTCTGCACAGGCTGCTTCTTAATGTAAGGTCAGGATTTCAAGACATGTTCTAAAGCATACAGCAGTCTATACAGCCTGAGAGGGTATGTAATTACTGCTTGCAAATTACACCTCCCGGCTAAAAGACCATAATAACCAATCTGGAAGATTGGCTATTCCAAGCAGTATATAAGAGCCGTACCGTCACACAGCCATACCACTACATCAACAATTAATGCAAATAATGCTTCTACTTAAACAAGCCTAATATAACCCTTCTTCTTTACCCCATCCTCTAATCACTTTAAAAAGAGAACCACCACACATGTTGCCTCCTAGAGAGTGGTTCTGCTTAGTAAGGGCTTGTTATATACCTGTAGGGGAAACAAGCAAAAAGGGACTCCTTCAGGTGGGCTCGAACCACCAACCTCCTGATTAACAGTCAGACGCGCTTGCCAATTGCGCCATGAAGGACTATTGACATGCAACGAATTTTGTGTGTATAGATTGCTAATAATAATCATTTTGAAGCTGTCCTGCTTGTAATTCTTATTCAAAGGTGTTCTTAGAGGTGAGCTTGCTCTCTTAAGGACCAGCCTTTAATTATGATTATTAAGCTTATATGTTAATTTATTTCTTAATACACTTAATATTAAAAGAATTTCAAGTATTTTATTAAAAACTAAAAATGGGAAGGAGGGTAGTAGTATCTTGTGGAAAAAGTAGATAGAATGATGAGATACCCTCAAGCCTGGCAGGACACAAAAGGAAGGGGCGGCCGACCAAGTGAGACATGGAAGTCATGCACCACTCGCTCCTTCCCTGGGACCACAACTTACAAGCATTATACCCTAGCGGCTCTATGGGCACAGGGACAGCAACAGACACATCAATTGACCTGGGATCCAGGATCAAGAATCATTGAGCTCAACCATCATACCAAGTTAGTCTCTACTCCTGTTTCCCCCATGGGTAGAGACATGCACGGCACAGGCTCTGCATTGTTCCCAAAAGCAAGCAAACGCTTGTATTCATGAAATAGAACGCTTAGCTAAGTACAAGAGCAAGAAGTCTGCCCCCGACAAGTAGAGAAGTAGTGTACTGAGAATCCCAATCATCTCTGCCTCCCAGACGTCCCGGCCTGCGCCTCGATCGCCTCGTCAAGCGCCCGCTCCTCCTCCTCCAGCCTCCGGATCTCGTCGGTGGTCATCCCGTCCTCCACGAGGTGCGCGTACTGCTGGGCTATCCCAGACGGCGTGTTCGACCGGCCGTGTCCCGTTGGCTGTGACGATGCCATCCCTCCGCCGCCACCGGTAGCGCCGTTGTTGTCGTGGGCGCTCTCCGGCGATATGGGCTGCAGCTCGTCCAGCGGGTTCGAGTACAGCGACGAGGGGCTCCGCGCCGTGCTGTCGTTGGAGTGCTCTTGCTGCACGAGGTCAGCGCCGTCGACGACGTGGTGGTGGTGTTGGACGTAGTCGAGCTGTCCGGCGTTGTCTCGGTACGGCGACAGGGACCGGTCCAGCTGCGACGACGATCGCGGCACGGGCGATCCCATCGCGGAGCTGCGGTCGTGGACGGACATCGTGGGTGTGTGTGTCTGTGCCCGCGGGCTGCTGTGGCCGCCGGCGAATGCCCCAGAGCCGATCACTGGCGTGCCGTGGGCGGAGTTGGCTGCCCCGCCCAGCGAGGAGTACACGGCCGAGTTGCGATCGTTTGCGCCTGTGATGGTGTGGAGGCTCTCGGTATGGACGCTTCCACTGCGTTCGCCTGATATGGCCTGCCCGATGCCCAAGTCTACACCACTCTCGTTCCTCCCAGCCAAGCCCAGGCCCCTGTGCAGCGGGTGTTGGCTGTTTTGCTCGGAGTAAGGTGTGTCCGGTTGATCTTTGTCCAGGATACTGGCGCGTGCCTCCTTCTCGGCAACTATGTCCTGGACACCACGGCTCCCACCTCTTTCGTCGCCAGCATCTCGTCGCCGGCGGAAGCAGAGACATCCTGCCACGACACTGACAAGTATTACTCCTCCGACGCACCCCACAACAATTCCAACAATGGCCCCTGTCGTGAGTGCCCTGGATTTACTGCCCGTCTTCTCTGCTGCTGCTTCCTCTGTAGGCGTGGTCGAGTCGGATGTTGTAGATGCAGTTATTCCGGGTGACGCTGTATTGAATACTACTGAGGGCACCGTTGTGGGTGCTGGGCTCGTGTTGGAAACACCCTGCCCCCCAGCTGTCATCGTGTAACTATAGGACTGAAATATCCTGGTTACGTCTTCCCCGTCTTTCGCAACAGACCATTCCTGACTCCATGATGACTGCTCTGGTCCGCCGCCATTAGGCTGCCAGTCGAGACGGAAGTACAACGCCGCACCGAAGTATCCAGCAAGTCGCACTGTCACTTCAGGTTCTAAAGTGATATTATACGTCCCATAGTCGACCGGTTTCACTGCATTCGCAACCTGTCAGTCATGTCGAGCTCGTTCAAATCAGTGGAAAACATGCATAGAACACGAACGGGAAAATCCATCAGTTGAGGCACAACTCGTAGCTGGACACCATGAGGCCAGTGTCAAGCTCTCTCCATTCGGCTCCAAATCCATAAGATCTAGACGAGTGACGCGCACTCCATAGTCTCCTTGATATAAGGTGAAATTCTTGCCGTCCTTGATATTGTCAAAACGAAAAATCGACGCCGAGGTCTTGAAGTCTTCCGGTGGGCTAGTAAAAGATGTGCCATCGAAAGTGAACTTTGCCTCCTGCGCTGCGGCACTGCTAAAGCGCGCGGCTAACAAGACCCATGTGTTTGATAAGTTTATCCGCATGGTGAGAATGTGTAGGAGTAGGCGAATACTCTTAGGTGATGCTGAGCAGCATCGCACTCAACACAGAATGAGGCTATTGAGGAATGGTCCCAAAGCGGCAACGGGCGAAGGATGGGAGCGAAAAAAAGAATGGGGCATACAAGAAAATAGAGGCAAAGCCCCCGAGCGATAGTGTGTCAGGTGAAAGAGAGGCAAAGTACGGAAAGGAAGGAAAGAACAGTGAGAGCGAGAAAAAAACGTTGGCTGTTGGTTGGGAGCGTAGAGAAACGGGGGCATGCAGATCTGGCGTAGGACGCGGCAATCAAGAAGGGAGGGGCCCCCGTTGTTCAGCTCACAAAGATGTACCATCCAGCCCGGTCGCCATTTGACCTTTTTTCAGCTCCTTTTTCTGGTACCTTGAGGGTGTCCAAGAGGGGACCCGGCCGTCTGACAAAAGTCGACGGGTCGCAAAGTGCACACACACGCGCACACACGTACTCGGGAAGCCACTGCAGCCTTTTGGCGGCGCGAGGCTGCGCCTTTCTTCTGCATCCCACCACCGATACTTAGCCCAACCAACAGCTAACGAAGGGGCAGGCAGGCAGCCGTAAGAAAATGGGTTCGGTCTCCAGACCGAGGCCCCCTCACACAGCTTAATGCAGCTCTTGCTGACACTTGTCTCTGGGGTCGACGTACAGGAAAAGCCCTCGGTTCCCGCTCGAGAATGCGGCACAGCCGAGCGCGGTTGGTGAGGCCCTCGCCCGGCAACAGGTGGGTGGGAAACACAAAAACCCAATCCCATGCTACCTACACCCCAGCTGCCGTGGCGCCCCCATCCCACAAAGTTTGTTCCTTTCTTTGTGGCCCCTCGCCCCTCTCTCGGAAAGGCAATTCAACCCACGTTGTCTCTTGTTTGACTTTGCCATCCCCTGGGTTCAGACGCGTGGCCCCGATGGAACACAAGTGTCTAATGAAACCAAAAAACGTGTCTTGGAGGCAGCAGCAATCGTGGAGCCCAAAGATGGGTCCCGCGCCGCGGGGGCCAGAGCCGGGCAGGCGTGAAGTCGTCTCTTCAGCTCCCCCGTCCAGCGATGCTCATCCTGAAGGATCCAAGGCTCCTCCTACCTCGCAGCCTGGGGTGGGGTTTGGGCGATCCACCCTCATCAGGGCGCGTCGGCCGGGTGTGCGAGCAGGAAGAAATCCGTTGCGTCTGGAACGGGGGTTGGCTTTTGATTTCTTTTGTGCACGCGTGTTCGACGTCTGTGGTGCAACCTGCACGGGATTGTTGCCCTTATGACTGCAGGCAATCTATTGATCGGTACCGCGGTCTAGGTGGGACATGTCTGGAAAAGACAGCAAGCACGACACCCAGCTCGCACTGGCCAACCGGAGACGCGTGCTATTTTAAAACGAACGTTGTGGCTTGGCCTGCCCACGGTAGCCGAGTCCAGTCTATATGAGAGAGTGATATGCATGTAAGATACTACATACAAGCCCAGTAATTATCGATCAACTAGGTCAGACACACACGTCTCACCTGTGTGACAACCACCGTCGTCGCCATCCGAGCAAGACCGTCGTAGAGCAAGGCCACTGTAGCAACCAGTCACGTTGCATCACACAGCGAGGCAAGTCGCCGCCCAAAGCCACAAATGCGGGGCAATGGATGGATGTTTCTCAAAGGCCGCGGGACCCAGACCCTATTTCTTTTAAGCGCGCGCAAATATGGGCCTTATTCACCATGGCCGTGGCGTTGGTTACCCGGAATCGTCCATCACGAGGCCCAGATATCCCAGTGATGTCTCGTTCCTGGCCGGCGTATCGCTTGCCAGTCTCACTGCCATGTGCACTTATCGCTAGAATAGTGAAACAATGTTTTGTCCACGTTGGCAATCTGTGTGCCCTTGTCATTCTTCGACCTCCAGTGGGGAGGGCGGTTGATGCTCGAATTATATGCACGGCATGAAAACCTGTCGGCAAGATAGACTACACCTCCCTCTCCCGGCCACGCTCTCCGTGATAAGATCGGGCTTGAGCCTTTCAAAAACAACCGAATGAATGTCTTCTTGACCACTTCAATGCATTTTGCAGGGTTGCTATGACGCCGCCTCCGAGAAATCATATGCCCATGGACGCCCCGAGTCAATCAATCGGCCAGTCATCTCTCCAGCCCGAAAATATATGAGAAATCCCTTGATATGGTTCTAGGCAAAAGTCATTGAAATCTCGTCCTTCTCCTTGCCGAAATCATCGTCATCTGGGTCGACCGCCCAGGGGTTTGCCGTCGGTATGCTCGGCACCGTCTGTGTCGGCTTGAGGCCGGGCCTCGACGACGTGTCCGATACATTGCTCGAGAACGTCTGGCTCCGCTGCGACCGGTGAGGATCCTCGAAGGACGTGTCGAATGTCATCTGGATCTCATCATCCGTACGCTTTCGGGTGGATTCCGGGGATGAGGGGTTTGAAGAGCCCCATGCAGAGTAGGCGTCCATGCTCCTCGTGTGTGTCAGCGATTCTCTTGGGCTCGTGCTCGAGGCCAGGCCGGGGCTCGGCAGCTTCATCGGCGGCAGCGTCGACTGTAGCTCCCGCACCTGCAGCGTTTCGTCCTCCTGGGTTCTGGCCAGCTCTGCGCGGATCGCGTCGACGTCGAACAGCACTCCGTGATTGCTCCCCTCCTTGTATTCTAGCTTCCCAGAACTGGTTCCATTTGCGGCCGCCTTTGCAGAATCCTCGTACACCTCCCATTCGGCCTTCTGCGCCTTCTTCTTGCGGCTGAAGAAGCCGCCGAACGCTCCGCTTTTGCGGCTATTATTCTTGCTGTTCTCGGCCCCTTCCTTTTCAAGCTCCTTTCTCGCCTCCTCTATCTCGTTGATCAGCTCGCGTTGCCTCTTGGTGTGGTTTTCTGGATCCGGGTCCTCAATCTCGGTAAACTCATCGCTCTCGACCGTCCAGCCTACTTCCCGCAGGAGACGTGGCATGGCCCTACGATAGTCCATGTGGCCATTGACAAGCTCCGAGGTGTCCACATTTTCCAGGTCCGGAATATTCTCGATGGGGTTCAGGCCCGCAACGGTGCGGATGCCTCCGTTCGTTAGGCGGAAGAGGTACCCAAGGATCCAGTCGTTGCGGTGGTACCCGTTGACAAAGCGACCAGGCACCACGGTTCTGACTTTCAGAAACTCGTCTTGTTTGACCACGATGGGTGAGCCAAACATGTAGACATTTTGAACAATCCCGAACGCGCCCTTGCGGGCCAGCTCAAGCAGGCACGAGAATATGACCCTGGCGCCAAGAGAGTAGCCCACGAGAGTGATGGGTCTCGTTCCCAGGTTTCGTTCAATCAGCGAGTCCGCCAGAATCAGACCAGCAGCCCACGCTCGATCGAGCGAGACGGACCACGGGTTGTCGATTAGGTAGGACAGCTTCGTCAGAACAACGGGCAGTTGCAGCGCTGCCATTAAACTCACGAGGATGGTGCTGCCGAGGACTTGTTGCAGACCTTGCGTGAGAGCCTGTCGTCCGGTTAGTTGAATGCAAACATTTCAAATGGATGAGATGGTTGTCAAACATACCTCAGTGGCCAGGATGTTGATGGTGTCACCCATACTGGTCAGCATGTCGGGCTCCCACAAGACCGAGTACATGTCGCCCATCACCGGGTCGACGGTACTGAATGGTAGGCGTACGTCATCGACTTTACCCGTCATCCAGCCCGAGATAGTGACAATAAGATTGACCCTCTTGTTGTTGTGCAGTGGGCGGTACTCAAATGTCTTCACGGCACCTGTCCTCCGGTTGGCAGCCTTTGCTCCAATCACACTACCCGCAGCCGCAGAGCTGGACGTGATGATTGCTGCGCCTGCTGTTCCAGCAAGGAAACTGCTAGTCCCCGTGACGCCAATTGTCGTGAAACCCGCCGCCAGACCGGCGCCGATCACGGGGGCTAGGAGACCTGCGGACAGGCCAATGACTAAACCGCCGCCAACGGTTGCCAGACCCATGGCAATATAGCGCTTCTTCAACGCCAGCTTGCGACGACTCTCCATGTGCTCGTCTTCGTTCCAGTTCTCCCTTTCCGCTTGTTGCTGCATCTCCAGGGCCTCCGTCACCTTCTTCTCGAAGCGGCAGATGTCGATCCAATCTATCTCCAGGGCCTTTCCGATTCTCTCGAAGAGAACCCTCGACCTCGCGTCATAGATGGAGTCCGCAATCAACACCAGGAAGAGATCGCACAAGACGGTCCACCGGATGTCTATGTCTAGCTTTTCACTGCTTGGCAGCTGGCTCGGAGTCCGCACTGCGGGTAGCTCTTCACCCTCGTGTTTGTCGTAGGCCGGAGGTGGTTCTGCCGGGGTCTCTTCGCTCGGTAATCTCGGTGATGAGACTGAAGGTCTGGGAGACGCCATCGAGGGTCGCGAGCTTGATGTTGAACTTTTACGTTCCGCCATAGGGTTCTTGACCCTGGCGTTGGCCATGAGCTGTGGCGTCAGGTCGCTGGATATGACTCCGTGCTCGCTCAGTTGCTCGATCATGATCTGCTCAGCTGCGCTGATGTCCATGTGGGTGTAGAGGCGGATCATGATCTTCTGGGACCACATCTTGGTTGCCTCCGTTGCCAGCTGGCCTGCTTTCTTGGTCGCCTTGGTCCACGGTGCTTTCTCCAGCGCCTTGACCAAAAGCGAAAGCTCTATCCTCACCAGGCCAACGTACGCGATTTTCTGGCCCTCGGTCAACAGATCCTTTGTAGCTTGCATCTGTGAGACGGCATCCCTAGTCTGTTCGTCGTCGTCCATCGCACTCGTCCCGGCGGGATTCTTGAACAGATAATTGGTGTTGTCGTCCATGCTCGTCGCAGACTCGGCGTCTTCGTCGACCAGGACCCTTGTGTAGCCCTTTCCAGCTCCTCCCATCCCCGCGTAGCTGTAACTTTCGTCCTCTTCCTCATTATGCTCCCTCGCAATTAGCCTATTGTCGTCATCGTATATATCGTAGGGTGCGTAGGCCGGCATGGTCTGCCAGCCGTCGTCGTCGTCCTTCTCTTCCTCCTTCTTTTGTGTTGTCAACTGCAGATGAGAGTATTCGGAAATCTGAATGCCACTGGCGTCGGCGGTGTTGACTACTGTTGACTCGCGCTTGCTATGGCCCACTGGCGCATCCTTCTGCCCAACATCAGCCGTTTTGCCGTTGGCTTCATTCTCCTTCGCCGTCTCCCCTTCCACTTTCGTAGTTTCTGCTGTGGCAGTTGTTGCCGGTTCCCGCTTTTCCGTGGCCTTCTGACTGTCACTCTTGCCTGTGACGTCCTTCTCTGGCTCTGGCTCTGGCTTGACACCACTTGCTGGTGGTCCGTTTGCCTTGGGCACTTCATCGGAAGCTTCAGCTTCCGCCGGCTGGGGAGCAGACTGGGCATCTTTGAACTCGTCCTCCCCGCTGCTACTCTCGTCCGCGACTTCTTGCGCGCTCTTCCGCGACCTGGTTGAGGCGGCCGAGCTTGTCTTTCTGTGCATGCTGCCATTGGGCCTTGTGCGATACGAAGTCCTGCTGCCACTCCGATTGCGGCGTGGCGGCCGCGCTGTGCTTTCCTGCACCGTGTCGAGTTCCTCCTCCGTGTATTGGACTTGATGGTTTTGTTTGATGGGTAGGCCAAAGTCGTCGTACTCGACAGCCATCGTGGATGGGGCGGCGTCAGGTGGAGGAGGTGGAGTTGGGCTTGCTGTTGAGGCAGCTGCAGGAGGTGCGGACTTGGACTCGGGTGGCTCTTCTTGGGCAGTTGAATCATTCCCATTGTTCGCTGAGGCTGCCGGGGTCGCCGGCACCTCGTCCTCGTTCCCTGCAGCCATGACGGAGAACCTTTCTGTCCCTATACACCGGATGCTCAACTCATCGGAATTTTGGAAAGTGTCTGGTGGGCGGGGCGCCGGGCTGGCGCAATGTTTCGACGGGTGGTGGGCGGATGGTTCGAGGCGAAGTGAAGTCCAGACGAAACGCTGATATCAAGAAACCGCGTCACGAAGAAAGAAAGTCGCCGGAGTTGACTGGACGGATGGCTCGCGGCTGTACACACACAAGTCAAGCCTTGGTCAACCCTTGGTAGTCGCCAAGCGAGGCCATGCAACAAAACTTCAAGAGGCTCCCTCAGCTGGACCCAGGCTCAGGGGTTGTTGAAGAAACAAACAGCTTGGCGTATTATGAAGGCCTGTCGGTTCGGATCGCTGGGACCATGATTATACGTACATAATGGCATGGCAGCATGGGCAGGTATTGCCGTATTGCGTGGGCATGTCCACTGGCGGGTGGGTTGCTTGCGGCTTGGCCCCGTGCTTGGCCCCCCGTAAGACTAACGGACAAGCGGTGCAACGCCAGAGTCTCCAGGGGCACGGGCCGCCATGTGCAGGTGCTGCCCTGGTGGTGTGCCAGTGGATCACTGGCTGCATTGCTGCTGCGCCATCATCGGTGTGGATGCCCGCTCACGTCACTTCTCTGATCCGCTGCATCCAGCCTGCAGGACATGAAATAATCGCGATCCCCTAGGAGCACTGGCACTCACTGCCCTCACTGCACACCACTGGGTTCTGCAGGATTGGAAACCGCCCATCAAGAGCCACAACTGCGTGCATCACAGGACTGCTGCTTTTGGGGACACTTGCGCGATTTCTTAATCTACTGTATGCGACCGCGGGGGCCAAATTCTAAATCCTCTAATCCTGAATCACTTGTGGGATCACCTACCAGGGAACAATGGAATATTTAGCCGCGTCTCCGAAACCCGGAGCCCTTGATGCATGCGCATTGGTCGTCAGAGTTGCGACAAGATGTGCATGTTGTCGGAATTACCTTTTCAGCTTTCCATCTACAGTCGCTGTCTGAACAGCACAGCCAGGCCATCGCACGCCGAAGCTTGCCGTCGCCTTGCAAGATAGGAGCGCTTCTGTGCTTGTCGCTGTGCACTGTGCTCTACTATTTCTCGTGCACTGTGAGTTCGCTCGCGATGTTGTAAAGACTGTGAGAGCATCAGTCAGTAGACATGGGCCGGCAACAGAACAGGCAGCAACGTACCTGATATCCTCGCGGTGCTCCGGGCGACTGCTGCCGTTCTCGTTGCCGTCCTCTCCAGCATCGTCATCGTCATCTCCACGGGAGGCAACATTAACAGGCCCCGAGTTGGTGACCACGGTTGCGTGTCCTTGGCCGGGCTCCCCTGCCTCGATCGCACGAGCCGCAGTCTTCCGCTCTTTACCTCGAAGCCTGCTCAGGTGCTCGAAGTACCCCTCGGGCACATCTGTGACATACTTCCCACAGAAAACGCCCACCTCGAAATCCTCGATCTCGGTCGGGCCCTCGGCTGCCTCAATGCATGAGGCCTTCAAGTCGTCAAGGTCCTGGAAGATCACCTCGTCGGCGTGGATGTGTTGGGCGATTTCCTGCCGTGTCTTTCCGTGCGCAACCAGGTCTTGCGCGCAAGGTGTTAGTACGATATCTCTTTCTCTTAAGGGGAGGAGCGTGGCTCGACAGAGGCTGTTTGCCTCCGGGAGTGAGTATCGGTGTTGGTTGAAATTTCTCACCATTAGGGTCGGCAAGATCTATGCCATACTTTGAGAGTAAATGGTCAGTATGTACTCCAAGAAAGAAGACAGGCAGTACATGTGAAAAAGATTCGTGGAACTGAAGAACAGGAAGACCCGGTCCACCAGCTCCGCATTGGAATCACGAGACACAAGTCTACGTGAGCCAGAAGACCAGCTCTTCTCCGGAAACCCCGCGGGATTTCCAATATGAACGATGGGCGGCGGGAGAATAGTAGTTGCACTCACAATATGCGGGTATATGCATTCTGGGGAGCACGAAACGAAGATGACGCGAACCGCGCCAGCTTCTCTGGCCATTTGAACCTAGAGACACCACGGATCAGTAACGCTCTGGCTGGGAGGACAAGGGTCTCCTCTGAGGTGAGGTTTGTCTAAGACCGAGTGGCGATTTTGCAAGGCTCACTCACGATTTCGCGTGAAGTAGTTCCTCTCACTATCGAGTCGTCGACCAGGCACACGGTTCTGCCCCGGAACTCAGACTCTATGGGGGAGAGCTTGCGGCGGACGCTCTTCTGCCGCAGAGCTTGGCTGGGCAAAATGAAGGTACGGTGGACGTATCGGTTCTTGTTTTGATCAGCTCGTGCTCATCTATGATATCTGGGACTTTCCAGACTTACCTTGATCAGAGCAGTCACGTACGGCTTTCCCAGACGATCAGCCAGAGTGGCTGCCGCGATATTGCTAGTCTATGCACAATTAGCATCCTGTTCGTGGGCCGAGAGTGTGTATGTCGCAGGGGCTCATCTACCTCGGGAACAGGGATGACTGAAAATTTGGTCAGTACTTTCTCTCAGGGGACGGGTCTGCGGGGCAGCTTTACGTACCAACGTCAATGTCTGCAACGCCCTTCTCTCCCAGGATCTCTCTCATCTTCTTCGCCAACTTCACACCCATGTTCTGCCGGCTACGGTAGACGGAGAGGCCATCAATGGACGAGTCTGGGCGGGCAAAGTAAACGAGTTCAAAACAGTCTGGTGTGTATGACTTCCTCTCCACGATTTGCCGGAATTCGACCTTGCCGCCCTTCTGAATGAAAACAGCCTGGCCGGGTAGGATATCCACGATATTCCCGAAGCCGAGCTGCTTCAAGGCGACAGATTCCGACGCCAGAAAGTAGTCTGTGGCTCCAGGCAACGTAGCAGACGGCCGAGATCCAAGACAGAGTGGACGAATGCCGTTTGCGTCCCTAGATTTTGATACCTTGATTAGGATTCACCGCCAAGAGGATAAGTGGATAGACTTACCTGAAGCCCAAGATACCGAAGCCTGCGAGCATCGCAGTGCATGCGAACGCACCCTGGCACTTCGAATAGACCTCACGCAGTGCAGTGAAGACGTCGTCTGTGTTGGCACGGGCCTTCCCGAGCTCACCGAGGCCATGCGCAAAAATGTTGAGACTAGAGGACGGATCAGTAAGCCTCGGTCAAGACGCTGACACACGTCCACACACGGAAAGTACGCACAGGAGCTCCGAGTCAGAGTCGGAGTTGATGTGCCGCCGGGCTTCCACGTCCAAGAACTCGCGGAGGTACTGGGTGTTCACAAGGTTGCCGTTGACGCTCATCGTGAGTCCAAATGGCGAGTTGACGTAAAAGGGCTGCGCCTCAGACCTGTTGTCCAGACTCCTGTTAGTGATACTTAAAAGCACGGTCCTAGGAGTACCACGGACGCAGATGATGTCCCCGCCGTAGGGTATCTCAAGTGACCAACGCCGCACCAGCCCGGCAGCTGGTCGAGGCGTCGTCCTTCGGCAAAGACCTTGGCGGCCATACCATTTCCCTTGCATTGGTAGACCCTACCGCCCTGGCATACTGTGATACCTGCGGCATCTTGACCTCGCTATTTAATGTGTCAGTCACGAACCGAAATGGCGTCGCCGAACAACGTGTAGCAAAAATTGGTTTTGGGGGTGACTTACGTGTTGGAGAAAATAGAGAGATTCATGCAAGTCCACGGCGGCCGTGGTGGCTTTCGTATCGCCCAACTGGGAATCAAAAAAGTTAGTTTACACAAGTGAGTCGTTTTCGTATGAGGGCACGAACCAGGACAGCGGTGACACCACACATGTTGCAATGATAAGACTGGCAGGCGAGGTCTGGAATGCAATGGGGCGTTTTGGCCGTGTGAGTCGACCGAACAAACCTGGTCGCGACGCGGCTTGGATGCCGAAAAAACTCTCCAAGGTTTGATGCGGTCCCGGAGCGTACGGCTTCTACCTTAGGTAACCATTCGCAGCGGCAAGAACTACCCGGTCCAATGGTTCTTCCGTCTCGGTATCTGCACTGTACGTGCTACCTAGGCCTACCAGTACCAACCAAGAGTGGGGCCAGGTAGCCGAACCGCTCTAGCAGCCTGACAGTTTCCCAGCCAAAACCTAAAAACTTAAATCCAAATATAAATAGCTTATCATCGCAATGCACAACTTCAAGCTGTGTCAATAGATCAATCCTGGTGTTAGGAACATTTATGTAGTAGACAAGTGCAATAATGAGTGCTCCTTGTAAGGCTCTGGTCCCATGTAATGTCTCGGCTCTACATGCGACACACAAACCAGCCCCCTTGATCACGATCTGCAGCGCCACAGACCATTCTACTCATGGTGCTCACAGACAGTAACTGCCTTGATTATTGCATAACATAACAATTCTGGGGTATATTTATTGCCTGCTCATAGAGTGGTAGCTTTTGGAATTCCCGGGTAGACCGAGGCTGAGTCTTGTCATCAAGGACCAGACAGTAATATTGAGGACTTATCCTTGGGAATCAAAATGTTGTCGGACCCAGTCTACCTAAATCGAACTTGTATTTGGCCTCATCAGGAGATATAAGGGGGGGGGGAGGGGAGGAACATAAAGCGAGAGAGAGGGTGAGGAACATCAACCTGCCAGCACCGGTGCATTTTCTCCTTGCCTCTTTTCACATATCTGTGGCCATGTCTTCGTCTAGTGCCTCTGATTCTGAAGACGAGGCTGCCTTTGGGCGCTTGGTAAACATCACCGCTGCTGACCTCGTCGCCCTCGGCTCACGGATACGCGAGCTCGTTTCAGAGGCTAAGACCTCCAATGGCTGCCTCGTGGAGACTTTCAGTGGTTCCTTCAATCTCGTGCACATCCTTCAGCTTGACAAAGCTAAGATGGTCATTCGCAACCCAATCAGCGGCCAGTTCGGCGACTTGTCTGGGCCATCCAAAGAAGCGCTTGAATCAGAGGTCCAGACTATAAACTATATCCAGGAGCACACCAGTATCCCGGTCCCCGAGGTCTTCCACTTCGACACGACGGCAAACAACGAGATTGGCGCACCTTGTATTGCCGTGAGCTACATCAGCGGACGCACTGTCTCACGCCTCTGGTTCGACGCCGCTCGAAGAGAGACGGCGAAATATCTTGAAGCAGCTCGCGCAAGCCATGTCGCAGCTCAACAGACTGCACTTCGACAAAGTCGGTTCGTTGATCGCAAGCTCCCAAGGCGGCGGTCACGACCTCGGCCCTTGCTATTAATGGAACTAGGCGGAGGATGGAACGCTCAGTGTTGCTCCCTCGGGTCCGTTCTTAACAACAATACCTTCCTGAAGAGATTCTGGGCCCCAACCAATGACAAAAGCCCGTATGCCGTTGGTGCCACGAAGCTCTTGGAGGAAATGCTGCCACTCTTGCCCCATTCTTCTGAGTACGTCCTGGCTCTGCCCGACTTTGACCCTCAAAACGTTATGGCAGATGGCGAAGGCAACATCACCGGCTTGATCGATTGGAACAACGTCCAAACCGTGCCTGGATTCATAGGATGCCTACGGTATCCCGGCTGGATCACTCGCGACTGGGACCCACTCATGTACGGTTGGCCCGAAAGTAGCGAGAACTCACCGGAGGAGTTGCAGAAGTACAGGGCGTACTGCCTCTACGAAATGAAGCAGGCCCTCAAGCCACAAGACAGGGATGAATGCAGACTCACTGAGAAGTCTCACATCTTTGAGGCCTTTTGGATCGCTGTGTCGAATGTGGGAAATAGGACAAGCATTTGTCAAAAACTTGTCGAGGAGGCCAAGCGCAGACTCGACAAAAAGGCGACGCCAGATGGTTTGGACCAATATGCCCTCAATATACTTTATGGCATTTCAGCTGGAAAGCTGGAGGATGAAGATTCGAAGGGCTTGAGAAAAGGACTACAAGCACTGATGACACTTTGAGTTAATGATCAGTGCGGCGAGACCAGTGATTCGTGATGTCCACATCTTCCGGAGATGCGGATGGCCGGTCTCTCGTAGTCGAATGCAAGTTTCAGTCAAAGAGAGCATGCAGAAGATAGTAGGAATGTCAGACTAGGCTTTATTTAAAGCTGAACATGTGTGCGCCGCGATGGACTTGAACGGTCGGACACGCTACCACAATACAAGTATGCTTCGACACGCGGTGGCCGACCATGGTTGCCAAATCGATCATCTAGCTTAGTGCAAGTTGGCTCCAGATCAACTCCTTTTCTCAGTGCTGATTCCAGCGGGACGCGGAGAAGGGAGAGGATGTCGTGCATACATTGCACTATGTTTGACTGATTATTTAGTTGCTGATTCACTTGCAAGGCCTTTCAGCTGAAAAGTAGACACACGGGACAGTAGGTAGATCCAGAGAGCCATCATCAGATCACACCAACTCCAAATATGTCTTTCTCGGCCCCATCGGCAACCTTTTAGCCCCTATCGTCTATCCAGCTCCCGCACACTGCGAGCCAGAGAGAATGTTTGATTGGAGTATACTAAATGAGGCAACAATGTGACGCAGCCCCCCGTATCAATCATGACTAAGACCAGAAATCGGTCGCATGTTGCAGATACGATCGAGAATCCATCACCGAATTTGCAATGCCAAGAATCTGTCTTGGGGGCAGAAACAGATGCCTTCCTCTCTTCCAGGATGCCTCGTTCCACCAACATCCACTGCGCTCCCACGAAATTTCTTGTCCCTGTTTTTCTCATCACTTGTTCTTCAACTTTCGAAAAACTCCCCAACCAAGTGAAAATCAATCCAGACCGGACCGAAGATGTTCTCACAACAGCTGTTATGGCTGGTGTCATCCGTGGTTTTCCCTGTGTCTGCCGCAGAGTGTAACTCTACACCAATCTCTATACCTATCCAAGATGTTCAGGTCCTCCCTGAAATACCAGGCTCTTTCATGACCGGAATCTGTGCACGTATCGGCTCTCCAGCTCAAGATATCTCATTGCCGCCATGGGCGTGAGTGCCTTAATCCATCCCACGTCCTCCCGCATGCTGAGGTCATCGGGACTGAAGTAGCTTGCCCCCCCCCCCTGTTCCCGGGATCTGATAAAAAGCCAACAGAGAATTAAACAACACTTGGATATACGACTACGAGCCGGACTGTGATCCCACTGTCATCTGGAATGGCATGATCAGTCAAGTTCGCCGGGGCAACTACTTCTACGAGAATGATTCCAGGACCTTCGACAAGAAGACCAACATATTTGAAGCTGGAGGTGCTACGCAAGAAGAAAATGATCAGATTGGACAAACACTGGGTATACCCAACCTGATCTCACAGTCACTACATGGTACAGATGTTTTCAAGACAGGGTCAATCCAATTGACAGGTTTTCCAATCGGCATTCCACGATCACGATGGGACTACGGATATACAACCCTGCATGCTCTGGGTCTGGGCAGGGACTCAACATTCCTTAAATACCTCGTAGGGACAGGGCAGATAGCCTCACACGTGTGGTCTATCTTCTGGGGCCGAATGTGGACAACTGACTGGCTTGATGGGTCCGTTGTATTTGGGGGTTAAGACTCAAACCTGATCATTGGTGATGCCTATACTGACAAACTCAACTACGACAAAGACGAAGGCTGTTTCAAAGGGATGAAGGTTACGGTTACCGCTATATTGCTGAACAAGAGAAATGGAGAGGATGTCAGCATTGCGCCAACGTACTTCGCCCTGGCCTGCTGTATAGTCCCTCAACGGCAAATGTTGCTCGAAGCTCCGTCTATCACCCGGGTCAACTTTGAAAGCCAGACTGGAATGAGTCATCTACGCCCTTCATATGGCCTTCACTGGTCTGCTACACAATACGTGGCTACTGAGGTGTATGCACGCACTCCCGCATCGATTTGACACTATAGATACCCAAGCACTTTGACAGGCAGTTGATAATGGGTCTCCGTGCTTGCAGGTACGACGGCGACTTGACTATACGCTTATCCAGCGGGCTTTCCATTCGCGTATCCAACAACCAGTTTCTGCTCCCGTACGTCGACATTGCCGACAACGGTACGCGGGTCACCAACGACAGTCTGGTTGACCTCCTCATCAACAACATGGATCGGAGGAGACCCGACCGCAAAATTGGTCCGGTACTTCCTGACCGCGGCCTACCTCATGGTCCATCATGATGCGAACGAGTTTATGCTGTGGAAGGCCAATCCATCCACGGAAAACCCAATCTGATACCTGTCATCGGAGAGTCGACAGACCCTTCGTGTACCAGTGTCGGTAGTGGTGATGGCGGCGGCGGCGGCTCTACAGGCACTCCTTCGACTGCAACAGCTGAGTTATCCCCATCGATCTCGACTGGTGCCGTTGTAGGGATCGCTGTTGGGAGCGTGGCTGGCTTGACCGCCGTCGCCATCGCCGTTTTCCTGATCCTCCGGCGCCGGAGAAAGAGGCTGGCTGCACGAGCAGGTTCTCAGCCGGTGGGACCTTCGGACAACAGCACTGACGAGAATGCAAAGCCAAATGTATTGACCGAGATGCCAGATGGCAGCGTGCCGCCAGAAATGGTTGGATCCGATCTGTACCCCGAAATGGCTGGATCCAATCTGCCCTGAAGGACATCGAGAATCGGGGCTTCAACAGTCGTCATACGCGGCGGAAATACCAGTCTTCGAGTTGGATGGTTATGGTCGAGCTACGCAGGTTTATGGATGGTCTTCCTGAAGAAGTTGAGAACACACGAGGACTCGGTCTAAATGTCGCATAGCTAATATCACGTCGTTTAAGTTTCAACAGCTTAGGAGCTTCTAAATGCACCAAATGGTACTGACCTACAAACCAACTAGCCTCATGGCTTTCTTCGTAGTCTATGGATATGTAGCAAGTAACATCACCATTCCGAATTGCACAATATCTACTGCATACCGAGGTAGATCCGTAGTAGAGAATATAACTAATGCAGGAATGGCCGTAGAGTGTGTCCCACATGTATCCATTCGTCTGCATTTAATACGGAGAGAGAGGAAATCCAGGCTCAGGTATCCTAATGCCGATTTGTACCATGTGCTGTGGATCCCATCAAGCTCTTTGCACAAGCGTTTAAAACCATGAGGTCTGTTCCTCAGAACAACCCAAGCACTAAGCGCAAAAGGTTAAGACACAAGACGGAATTGCTTCAAGCGGGATGCGATCTGCTGTAGGAAGAATTTGCATGAGGCTTGTACTCCGTAATAGTAACGTTCGTATCTATATAATCTAAGGGCTGGGTGCTTCATCCGCCAATAACACTGGTGGCAAGCCCACTCAGGGCTGGAACAGTTTCGACTTCTGAGCTTAGGATCGTCCCCTATTCAATCCGTCACAGATCTCGCTCTGAACACCTTCTTCAAAGGAAGATTATCCCTCTGGATGATTACCGAGGCATGTAGACGCCAGTGTCGAGCCCCTACTCCGCCAGCGTCTGCCTTAGCATGACCAGGAAGTTCTCCTTGAGCTTGTGCACCTCGCTCACGGCCGGCTTCTCCGGCTCCCCGGCGGTCCGCCGCAGCCGGTCCTGCCTCTTGGCGCGCCTCCTTCGCTCCGCCTCGATCGGGTCCAGCTCGTCCTGTGCTTCCTCCTCGGCCTCGTCCTCCGAGTCGTCGTCGTCGTACCCCATGTCCTCCAGGTCCATCTGGTCGAGCCCAAAGTCGGCGCTGGTGAAGTTCATGCCGCCCGGAATAATGTCCAGCTGGCCGTGGCCGCCGTCGGCAGCCATCTTTTGTCGCGTCTTGTCTTGGTGCCACTTCTTCCGTGCCTCCTGCCACGCGATAAGCGCGTTGATCTCCTTGATGGCGGCTTCCTTGTCTATGGTCTTGTTGCTGCTAGCTCCTTCGAAGAGGGCATTGATATCTAGGGCGCCGTTGTGGGGTCCCTTGCGGAGGAATTCCAGTATACCCTCAATCCACCCCATCAATTGTGTGAACAGGCCGTTGTCGTGAACATGTACTTCATGCACAAACTTGTAAAAATTGTGCTCATGCCTCTGGCAAAGGTCGATGAAAGCTTGCACGGTCTGATTTGGATCTGCCGAAGCGTCTTGCTCACGGCACTTCTCGACCACCTGCATGAAAATGTTAGGAAAGAGTTAGGCAAATCTCATGCAACTCGACGTACCTGTATCATGTCATCCATAAAGACCGCAAAGTCCGTTACACTACTGTAGACATTTGCAGATTTATACACCCGGACGAGAGGCTCGTAGAAGATTGTGAACAGGTCCCGGAACAACTGCAGCGTTACAGGCTCTTCGATAAGATGCAACATCATCTCCTTGTCCCGCTGCCTAGTGTATAGTTTCATGAGCGTCTTGAGGTACGAGAACAGTTGTGCGCCCTGCTTGAGCTCTTCGTCAACGTTCTCGACCGCACTGTTGAACGCAACGTAGGCATTGTATAGTCGTTGGATCTGCTCGCCTGTAAGGCCCGGTTCGATGAGGTCTGATCTCAGGACAGCAACGACCAGGTCGACATCCTCACTTGCGGCCTCCTCGCGGATGGCGATCTTGAGGTGATCTTCGAGGTCAGTGTACTTCTTGAGCTTCTCGACGAAGACGTCATCGCCAATGTTTGCTGCCACTGCATCTATGGACTTTTGGAAGCTCTTGATGCCATCGTGCAACGCGAGGGAGAATATCCTCTGCATCAGTGATTTGGCTCCGAATGGCTGGGCGAGGAACACATCCAAGATGCTCGACATTACTGCCGCGGGATTTGCTATCCGGATGATGTTTTTGATGATCGTGTAGGGGATGAGAGAATGTATCCTCTTCGCCTGCGTGAACAATTCCGGGGAGTTGTCTTCTGCCAAGAACAAGTGATAGATTGTAGCTGCGACTTCTATCCGCAGCCACTCGGCGAACTTCTGGTACTGAATGCTCAGGTCCTGGATCGTCTCTTTATCCTTAATCTCCTGGAACAATTTCGTGAGACCGTTGGCGTCCACGATTTCTTGGCGGAACCTAGGAGAATTGTCAGCCATGTACGACGCAGGGTGAGAGAAATGAACCCACTGTTCCATGTAGATGTCCAGCTCGGCCGCACGCTTTCTTGCGATCTCATAGAATTGTTTCTGCTCGTCCATGCGCTTCGCATCTACTGCCTTGCGCCTCATGATGTCCACCACGTCTTCATCGCTGAGTTTGATGGGATCCTTGGTTAGGAATTCTTGCATAGCCTTGGTCTGCGCAATCTGCTGATTCTGCAAAAGTGAGCGCAAGAAAGACCTGAGCGATATCCGTTGGCTCTCCCGAAACAGAACAACATTATCTGTCTTCCCTGGGCTGAGGGGTGTTACGGGTCTGTCATCCATCGATGGCCTAGGTGACCCCCTGATCGACGAGGCGGCGGAACCTTTTCTCTTATGACCCAGGGCGTCTACGAAAGTGTTAGTGCTGTAATGGGCGCCAGGTACAGGCTTTGTCAACAAACCTCTCACTGATAGTCTCTTGTTGCTGGGATCTTCTCCGTTATTGGGGGCGAGACCTGTTCTTTGAGTAGACGCCGACGAGACAGAGTCGTCGTCCGAATCGCCGCCGCCCGAGCCGAAAATGCCAGCAGTGGTGGAGCTGGACTTGTTCTTCTTGGGCAATGGTGGTAGGACCTTGCCTGGCAGTTCGATACGCAGGTTCTTGTGGAGGCGACTGAAGTCGCCATAGCGGCGGCCAATGAAGTACTCCAAATCTCCCTTCTTCTTGACGCGTAGCAGGAATTCCTGGCGGGTGTTAGTCAAAACTCGAGTTTCCAGGGCCAACAGCCGAGACTGACAGCGTGCTTATGAGACCTGATGTTCCCCCGGACTTTCGTCACGCGCACACCGGCCATGTTCACGTCCCAACCATTGATGTAATTACCCTCGGGCTGCGTATGAAGAACCCCGGTGTCGATGGCGTCCCTATCCACGACCTCCATCTCAGAGAAGCGGATCCTCTCCTCAAACCCAGACGAGGTGGGGATGCCCGAAACCATCATCAGCTCCACAAGCTTCTGGCTCTTGAGGGCTAGTTTGCGACGCTTAGTCTCCTCGAGACGGTCCTCTGAGGATGATATGTTCTTGCTCGCAAAGGACTCCAAAAAGACCTGTAGCTTGTCCTGCCAGAACTCCTTCTCCCTGGCCTTGTCGAGGAACGGAAATTCGCGGACATGGTGGACGAAGATGAATCGCAGGATCGGTAACTCGGAGTCGTACGGGGTGACCTCGCCCAGGTCGGACTTGAAAGGCGCGCCAAACCGCCGGAGGGCAGTGGGCGAGTTGAGCTCGCTGATCTCCCAGCGCACCTGCTCCGAGATGAGCTCTCTCTTCAGATCTGTGCGCCAGCTATTAGCCCGGGGTCTCATGTGTTCCAGTATGCTGCGGTGATTACGAACAATGTTCCTGCTTGCCGGTGAGCGTCTGCCCTGGCGGTGGCAGGCTGGACTTGCTGCTGTCTGTCCTGACGGGCAGCGTCACAGCATCTCCGGACTCGGTCGCATGGCCGTTGGCGCCACTGCTTGTGCTGCTTGTTTTGCTTGGGTCTACTTTCCCGCTTGCGCTTGTGCTTGCATTTGCGGACATCTCGACAGCGTCTGTAGAGAGGGGTGATCTCGCAGCGGTGTCACTCTTCAGCTGCGGCGCAGTGACAGGGAGCGACTGCACGGCGGATCTGCGAGCTGCAACAAGCAGGTACCTGGGGTCCTCTGGCACGGCGGGGTAAGACTTGGGTGTATTAAAGTTCCGCTGGCCGTTTGAGGCTGGATGGGGGAGTCCGGCAAGTTGGAGCAGATGGGTATTAAAGAATAGAAACAGAGGGTATGGCAAGAGAAGAAAGAAACGGCCGGAAGAGGTCCCAACAAGTTGGTGGAAGCGGCGGGGGTTGCGCGGTGCAGGTGATGTAGAAGGGCGAGGAGGAGGAGGAGTGAGCAACTTAGGTACATGTGCTATGTACTGTTGTGGTGCAGTACCTCTGGCCCGGGTGCTTGTGCTCTGGTGTGGAGCAAATCTTGGCTGGGGGACGAGACGATGAATTGGGATCAGTCAGGATGACGAACGCCGCCGCTGCACTGCCCAGGCTTGATTGCCCAAGCGAGAGTCACAGGAGAGAAGGAGCTGACCAGAATCGGAAATTTCGTGTCAGAGACGGCCGGGGGCACAGGGCGCGCTGCCGGGCAGGAGGGCAGCGAGACGTGATCATCTGGGATCCATGGCAGCAACTAGGACCGGGTCATACGCTCTGTTTACTTGCGACAGCATGTTTAGCAGCCAGTTGACTCCAAGGCAGACAGGGCAGACAAACTTTCTCCTCTCCAGCCTTGGAAGGCTGGACTATGCTATAGTCCTGTCTAGTCTACCGATATATGCGCTGCATGCCATGCCCACCTGGACGTGCTGTGGCGGTGCTGTGTTGTGATGCTGGTCTAAAACCGGGGGTTGAGTGCCAGGCGATGACGTCTGGTCTGGAGTGTGAATGACTGGTGTCCCTGATAGCTAATACCTAATCTCTCACAAGGCGCTCCGTACTCCAGGCCACTACCCAGTACCTAGGTACTATAGACCTGCCCAACCTACCTAGACACTTATTAGCCCTGTGCTGCCCTGTGTCTACGCCACGGCGTTTCCGGCCAGCCACTTGCGACACAGCTGGGCGCGAAGAGCGACCTCTGCCCAGCCCTGCCGAGAACCCGAATGCGCGCCTGGGATGGGCCGGTCGCCGCATCCGAGTCTTGCCCGATCGAGGTGCGGATTTCGGCATGACCACCCACTGGCTGGCTCGCTGCTCCGGCCGCGGGTTTTCATACGCTTCAGCCATACAGAACAAAGGCGCGCAGCCTCCGTCAGCAACTCGCCCCGCGACAGGAGGAGGAATTTCTTTCCCTGCAAGAGGATCACTCGCATTTCCCTGGCAACCTGGACAGGCTGAACCTCATAATGTGTGCCCCATGCCAATCTGCACTGCGCCTCAGTGGACACGCCATCTCGTGGAGCTGCCGACGACCGTCTTGGGCGCGCGGCCAGGCATCTCGGCAATCTGCAACTTCACCAGCCGTGTCCCCGGGCATTCAATGGCGGACTAGTTCCGGCTGACTGTTGGCTGCTTGGAAGCGCCTTGCATTCCTCCTAATGGCTATAGTGGGTATCTTGGAAACAAAATTTGGTCTGTACCGTAGTAAATGCTGCAAATAAACGCCAATGAGCCCAAAATGCTACAGCTCGTCCAGAGCCCTCAACGCCTCCTCCCCTCCCTCAGCCGCCTTGTCTCTGCTGAAATTGAGAGCAATACTCCACTCTTCGTCGTGGCTGGCAAAAGGTCCCTGACCCCCGGACTCCAGCTTCAGCTTCGCCAGCATGGCATCCTCCTTCAGGTCCGCGGCAAGTTCCTCGAGCTCGGGCGCGTAGGCCTTCGCCCCAGCATACAACAGCAGCAGTAGGAGGACAAAGCCTAGCAGCATCCCCCACACGATCTTGATCCTCCTCCGTGTCTTGTTCTGCCACATGTAGTCCGCACGCTCCCAGCGCTCCACCTTCTGCCTGACAATGTCCACCCTCTCGCTCAGCGCGCCGATGCGCTCCCGCCCGCCGTGGACGCGGTCCTGCAGGGCCTGCACGCGTGCTTGCTGCTCGTCGAACTGCCCAAAGGCATCGAGCTGGGCCTGTGCTTCCGCGAGGACGGACTCTGATTCGGCCGTGAACCCCTCGTTCATGGAGGCCGAGGCCGACGCGAGCTCCTTCAGGGCGGCAACGGTGTTCTGCAGGGAGCTGAGCTTCTCCAGAACGCCGTAGTAGGTGTCGTCGAGACGCCGCGTGGTGCCGGTCGAGACGTTGGCCAGGTCGGCGAGGGACTTCTTCAGATCGCTGCAACTCGTTAGAATCAGACAACCAGTGCCGTTGTAGCCGAAGAATTGGGAGAAGACCGTAGATCGTAGCCACATACCTAGTCCTCGCACCAGTCCTGTCCTTCGCCCGGCGCAGTGCCTCATCCTCATCCTCGCCAGCGGGCAGCCCGCGGAGACCTCCAGCGATCTCCCTGCCTGCTGGTATCAATATACTTCCAGCTCGGCTAGGGTTGGCACTCGTGGCCGCAGGCGTCCACCCCTCGACTCGGGGCACTTCCAGCGAGCCTCTAGGGGGCAACTGCAGCACAGGGGCCGCGGATAACGGTATGCTTGTCTCATCTGACTCGTCTCGGCTCCGGTCGCTCCTGTGATGTGACATCCGATGATGATGGTGGTGCGACGTGTGGATGTGGTGTTGATGGTGTTTGCCCAGGCGGACAGGCGACGTGAGTTCGGTGAGAGACCGGTGGATTTGATGGCGGGCACGGTTCGGAGACGATGCTTTCGGTGCGGCTGCTGCAAGTGGCTGCTGCTGCTGCTGCCTCTGTGCGGCCGGCTGCGATGAGGCTCCGCTGCCCGACATCCTCGGCTAGTCTTTTGGCTCTTTGTCCGGCTTACGCTTTGATGTCTCGGCCTTTTGCGTAGTACTGGAGGCGACCAGGGAATATGTTTGCTGCCGGTGATGTTGGATCTACGTAAAACGTTGTACTTCGTCAGGAGGAGTGCTCATTCAGGGGGGTGAATGAGTAGCTGCTGGAATGATGTCCGTCGTCATCAGCTCAGATCAGCTGGAGGTCTTGTTACCCCAAGGTTGCATGCAAGGGTCCCTGCTGCGGGTGCCGCCAGATTTGCGGGTAGGGGACTTGTCAGCCCTGCTGCCAATCTCGTAGCGCCGATTTCACGGGGGGATAGATGGATCGATGGTTCAGCCTCCGGGAGAGTGAAACCCAGGCTCATATTGCGATTCCTCTGTGCCACACATGCTATGTACACAATCAAGTGCAAACTCGTCAACGGTGGCATCCTCCAGCCCTTCCAAGCCGGTTTCACATTGAGTGTCTCTTCCAATTGTCCGGACCGCTTGCGCACCGGCGGCCCGTGGCATTCGGCCACCTCGCACCGGTTTGACTTCTGAGACAGTCGTCTGTCGAGAAGCTTTCGCAAGGCTCAGTGTCACAATCACAGAGGAGCTTGCACTCCGACACTTGGTCTTCATCCTAGTTGCCGTCCCTTTTGGTATACGTAGAGCCGGCCAGGCCCAGCCCCGTTCCATTCGGTACGGCCCCAGCCTGGGTAGCCCAGAAAGACGCAGTGGAACTGTATCGGCTGCAGGTGTCGCTGAGGTCCCCGAACCAGCCGTCCTGGCCCTGGCCCTGGCCGCGACGATCGATATCGTGTGATGGTGAAATCGCAAGTCAGGTCGCGGGTTACCTCGCTCAAGAGTTGAGGAGCTTGTTCCTCTTCTCCTTCCTCTTCAGCCTCTCGACCCGCTTCTTGTGCATCTTCTCAGCCAGTTTCTCATATCTCTCCTTCTCCTCCTTAGCCGCGCGCTTCTCCTTCAGTTTCGTTATCCGTTCCTGTACGCCGAGCACGCTGTCAGCGACACCAGTTTGAGACTCGGATGGGTTGTTTGTCGCACTCACCTGTCTTTCCGCCTCCTTCTCATCCTTCATCTCCTTCTCTTTCGCCTTTACTGCTATTCGCGCAACCCTGTCCTGGGCCCGTTTCGCGTACGATGTCAGACCTGAGCCCGGGCGGAAGGCCTTCTTTGGCGCATGCCATTGTTTGCCTGATCATTCCAAAGCTGATCAGCATCTTGTGTGTCAGGCTGCAGGCGTCATGGGGGAGCGCATACCATTCTTTCTCATGCCCAACGGCTTGGCGGCTGTTGAGGCTGCTGCTGGCTTTGCGCCGGCGTCGCCGACCATGGTGGACATGGTGACAAAGGGCCGCAGGAAATTAAGTTGTCAAATTCTAGAACCAAGAAATTGAGCCCTCTTCTGCACGTTGCGGAAGCAGGTTTCTCTCGTCGTCAAGCGGTAGGGATTGCCTTGGTAGACAAAGACACGGTGAGTGAATTGCTTCAAGTGCCGCCGAATGCGCGTAGAGCAAACTGGATGCGATAGGGTGGAGCAAATTTTCTGCCAAAAGTGCCTACTTTTTTCCTCACCGCTTTGGAGGGGCCGGAGAGATTGCAGGGATCTCGCGTCTGCACCTTTAGTTTAGCGTGCATATCTTCACTCTCCCATCCTTCAACGCGCATGCAGGCGTGCAGCACCTCGCTGCAACTTGGCCCACACGCCGTTTTCGCCTCTTAGGCGGTGGGAACTCTGCTGGTGAATGGGGGTGTTCATATTATAGTTATCGACCTGTACTGTACAGGAGTGCATCTGGGCTGCCACACTGCCAGACTGCCCAGATCAACCCCTTCAACGTGCAGACGACAGCTGCAGCGTCAATAGCAACCCGGTCCTTTGCTATGTAGTTGTCTGATACTTGACTCTCGGCTTGGGATGGGAGACTATCCGGCCATCCAGCACGACCAGATCGATGGCCGTGTCTCAATGTACTTGCACTGCAAGTTGCGGGAGACTAGCTCGCAACGTGAGGCACACGTCCAATGTTGGCCGGGGGTGGCATGCTTCATACACGCTCAGGAAGGCCTGAAATCCCGGCGGAAATAAATAAACAACTCAATACAATCTCATCTGCTGGAGACTAGTCTTGCAAAAATCGTGGCAGCATTGAAATGCAAACAAGCGGCAGCTGCCGCGTGTAATGACATAAAAAACGCGCAGGGTCCAGCTTACCTGTTTGGCCGCTGAGCGCAATTAAACTCGAGCTCTTCATAGTCGACAAGACTTTCAAGTTCCACTTCTCTGGCATCAGCCGAACGTTGAGTCTGCTTAATGAGCCAGTCTCAGACAAAACTTGTCAAGCGGTAATGGAGACATTCATCCAATCTGAGCCCAGGAACCCCGTAAATCTGTCCCAAGAGTGATATGCCTGGCGGCATTCGCCCGAGATTGCGGTCATTCGAAATCCGGCTGCACCTCGGCTCCGCAGCCCGTGTACCGAAATGTATCGCGCCTAGTAATTTGAGGGATATTGCTCCTGTGCTGGACATATGTGTACCATGCCTCTGTGCAGTACCGTACATCTCACTAACGCCTGCCCAGATGTGCTCGAGTGGGACCTCAGGATCGAGTTTGAATTGACTACCCACTCTGGCTTTTGCCCTGGCAGCTCACACGACACATGCTATGGCAGGGACATGTCTTCGCAAGGTCTATGCTGTTCGATCTCGGTTGTCCAAGTCGAACGGACGGGGCAGACAGGCAGTGTAGATCTCGCAGGTGACGAGCGACGAACAGTCAGCCGAACCTGCAGTAGTTGCAGTAGTCGCATTAGGTGCAGTAGCAGAGCACGCCAGGCTGAAGGCGAAGCCGAAGCCGAAGACAGTGTTGTGCGTGTCCTTGAACGTGAGGGGACTGTCCAGATTGAGCGGGCTGCTGTGCTGCATGGCCGGTTTTCCCAAGCCCGCGATTGACGACCGATTAAAGATTAGCTTCTTGACTTGACCCCTCCAGGCCAGTAAGCCATAGCGCGATGCAGCCCAGAGTCACCAATCTGTGCTCATGGCAACGCCAGGGACATGCAGCGACAGGACTGGCCGGCCTACCGACTTGGCATAGTAAAGTCTCCTACAAGCAGCCAAGGCACCTTGTGCTGCAAGGACCGCTGCAGGCCGCTGCGAGGCCACTGCACGCTTCAGGGACAAGACGAACACGAGGCGGGTCTTCTGTCTCGATGAAGCAATACGTACACATGACGGGTCACAAATGCGTGGATGGATGACGGATGGGCGTTTCCCTTTCTGTCGTCAACGCAACCGCCGCAGGTCGTGTCACTGCGCACTGCGACGCCAGCGGCAGGCCCGATTCGACTCGGACGACTCGAACGACTCGAGTCGAGGGCGCCTTGTGAGGGCGCCACCTCCGAATCGAGGCATCGATGAGTAGGGTTAGATCCGGTAGACAAAGGAACCGTGTTCGGCATAACAAAGAATGGATCGAAACACCACGGGACTCGGCACAGAACCCGAGCCCTTATTAGCTCCTTCGGAAGGAGAATAGCAGCTCGTCAAGGCGCTGGGACCAAGACTTATCTGGACGTCTCGATTCCATCTCGCTTCGAACTGCTTGGTCCCTGGCAGCGCTGATGTCGGGCATTGGATCGTGGACAGAACAGCGCCAGTTTCATCCGATTCAGTGTTGGACCACGTTCAGGCCAGGCCATCATGCGCGGGAGGACGGCCGAGCCAGGGATGGCCGATCAAGCTGATCTTCGCTCCCATCAGCCCTTTGGGCCCAAGCGACGGCTGCTGCCCCCCCCCCTCTCTGCGGCGATTTGCTCTTCACGGCGTCGATCTCATGGATCAATTCCCGCATGGCGAACTGTTCCCGTCATGGTGGTGGTGGTAGTCGCGGTGGTGGTGGTGGCGATCACGCTCGCTGATGTGCTTGCTAGCAGGCTAGTAAGTCTGGTAGCCTGCCCTTGCGATCATGGCCGGCTGAGACGAGACGTTAAAACCAGCAGAGGCCAGCTGCAAGGGCGGGCGCCGCGCATCCATCGCACGCAGCTGCCAGGGGCAGCGCTTGTGCACGCACTGTGAGCCGTGAGCTGTGAGCTGTGTCCTGCACGCCGACCAGGCACAGCATACAGCATACGGTGCACAGTGCAGGTGCAAGCGCAGATGGAAGCGCAGAGTGAAAGTGCAAGTGCATGGCACCAGCAGAGTGCCTGATATGGGCGGCAGGGGTCCGAAGCGACGTGCATCAGCTGGCACTTCCCAGACCTGACAAATGGGGATTTTCAGGGCACTGCCTCCGCAAACACGCCCCTAACTTCGTCAGATCGCAACTTGATAGCGGGGTACCACAGCGTTGGATACCACATCAGCGCCCAAAGAGGAAGGGCACTGCTCTGCACCTGCAGTTTAGTATTTGGCGGGCGAATGAGAGGCGGCGCGTGCCTGAATTGACGATAACACAAGCTCCAGAGCCAGTCAAGACGTCGCACTCGTGCTGCCGGGGCAATATATCCATTATACCCCATACCCACAGCATTATCCCGATGCTGGACGGGATCGCAGAACAACACAGCGAGCACAACACGCACAATGATCTTGAGCAGAGATCGCAGATAAGGTACGTACATACTCTGTATGTGCCACTGCCAGGCCGAGCGGGTGCCCTGGACGGGCCCTCGGGAGACCCCCCAGCTGCCCTCCCAAGGTTGGGCCCAAGGTCTCATGTTGGCGTCGGAATCGGAAAGCAGGGGCCGCCCTCTGTACTGTGTGTGTCGTGGGTGAAGCGCTGGATATGGGTCATCCAAGATTTGGCAGGGGCCAAGAGCCCCAGAGTCAAGACTCCCTCACTCCACGATCTCATCTGGGAGGAATCACAATGTCCCTCACCAGCAGCGTACCCATCATGCTGATGAGACACAGAGACAGACAGAACGGTGTGGGGGGCAGACGGTTGTTTTGGCCGCCCCCCTTGCTTTATTCATGAATGACAGTCGAGCGTGTCCATGGTAATAGCATCAATCCATAGGCTTCCAATTTCCAGAGTTGCAATATTATGTCGACCACATGGCCTCTCTAATTCCCTAATTTGCAATGGGCAGTCGGGTCTTTGATTGAGACAAGAACCCGGGAACGGGATTGAGGAAGAGGAGGGAGAGTGGCAGGAAGAGGGTGTGCCTTGGCCAGCTGGGGTACCGTGTCTCCCTTGGTGTCTCGAACTGTGGGCGGGCCCTTGTCGCGAGTCATCTGAGTGGCTGGCCGGCCCAAATTTCACAGTACGACACCAGGCACACAGTGTGGACAGCATGGGCCGAATCCCTCTCTTCAGCCTTTCCGGCCCTGACAATTGCTGGTACACGCCCAGCAGGGGCTTACCCTGCTGGTCCCTTGGGTCATCCCCATCTGGTGGGTCCAGTCGGTTTTGGTTGGCGTGGGGCCTGTGCACTGTTTTGCTGTTCCCAGTCTCCCCCCCCCCCTCCAGTGCCCAGAGCCCATTGCCCAGGACCCAGTGCCAGCGCGGTCGCCAGCCATGCCCTGCCCTGTCCTCTGCCCTGCCTGGCCATGCCTTGCCATGCCTTGCCGTGCCCTGGTTTCCCAAGTCCAACCTGGAAGGTGCCCGCCCGCCCGCCATTGCCCAGTGACCCGACCCAGTCAGTCCAGTCGCACGCGGCCGCCGCCTTCTCGCCCTGTGGTCTGCCTGTGTCTCTCTTCCCACCATCACCACCACACCATCACCTCCTTCGGTCTTGTTGCCCGCCTTCTTTCTTTCCCCGGCCTCACCTCGCCTCACCCTCACCTCTGGCTCAATTCCAGTGGGAAATCTTCAGAGGTTTCCTGCTTGGTCTTGACCGTCCACTCCTTTAATCCATTTTACCTTTTAGATTCTTAGAAAAAGCATTGCCTTAATTCCTCCTCTTGCAGCACGCTGTCGCTTTCGTTTCCACACCCACCGGAAATCGGGACGACCAGAACAGCTCGAACTCGGATCAAGATCCAACTCCAACTCCGGCTCCAGCTCCAGCTCCGCTCCAAATCCAGATTACACGACCGGGCACCCTGACGGGACCAGTCAATCTCGATATTCGACGACAGTAGTCAGGTGACAGACATCACCGGTAACCACAAAGGTACTGCAAACAACCGTCCGTCCTGCTTCGGTCTCGTCATTGCCAGCCCTCCATCCGAGCACCTGCTTCGTTTGCCGTTTCTCTCAACGTTTTCCCGACTTGGGTTGACCGCTGCGATCAGACGAAAAGGCAGACCGGCTAACCTGTGGGCCCGGTTGCATAGTGAGGTCGGATTTCACGGGAATTCGTCCCATCTCTTGAGCCCACGAAACCCAAAACGAGTCGAAGATCGATTCAACCTAATCCAACTCGCCCGCCGTCCCGAGAGGAAAGTGCTGGGGTCGTTGCACCGAAGGACCGAGCAACCACTTTGGTACCCCATGTCACCTCTGGTCAAGTAGTCATCAGATCTTCTGGCCGCAGCGCGGCTCTTGGTGAAGATGGCGACTACCATTGGTCCCGACATGCCTCACGATGGTCGTGTCCACAACCCACGCCATCTTTCGATTCCTATTCATGGAGGCAACCTAGTCCTCGGAGACCCTCTGGACACGCCCGAGTTGTCTCCTCGCTCCCACGCCCCACCACCAAACCCGCCATTCGTTTTCCCGCCGAGGCCAATGTCTGCTTCCGCACCATCCTCATACTCCCGCGCCACCGGCAGGCGGCCGAGGTCTGCAATCGAGCCAGGCCTGGCCGCGCTCAGCGCCAACAGTAGCGACGACACACCATCACAGGGCTCGTCCGCCCTACCCGCATTCTCGTTCAACCCTGGCGCAAGCCTCGCCTCGACAACCGCCACACTTCTGCCCGCCCACGACTGCCTAACCGCCCCGTCTCCTCAGCAGTCGCCGCGGCCCTCTCCCGCGAGAGGGACTCATAGGCGTGGAGGAAGTGAGTTTGTTGGTGGTGAATACCGATCCGGCAACGCGAGAATGGAGGTCTTGAGCTCGAGTCCAACAAAATCAGGAAGCGCGACCACCTCGCCCCAACTGCGACCAGTCGAGCCAACCCGGCGAGGGCCTGCTCATCGCCATGCCCACCGTCGGTCTGCGGCCATGTCCAGTCATGACCTCAGCAGCATAACCGGGCTTAATCTCCCCAAGAACTCGAGTGATGTCTCCCGGGGAAGCAGTGCCCCGTCGAGCCCATCTGGGCCAGAGCTTAACAAACATTTCTCATTCCCCATTCTACGTCCTGATGATATCACACAAGAAGCAGAAGACACAGTTGGTGGCAACAGGCCCCAAAGTGCAGGACTGGACCCAACTCAAGGCTTCCCCAGGCTCGCCGCCGCGCCAACCCAGAGGAAGTCGTTTAGCAGGGCCAGAGTCGGCTTTTCGGATACCCTCGAGTTCATACCGCGGCCACTTTCCCTTGTCTCCAGCGACACCTCGAGTACCGTGACAGTCCGGCCTGGTCATTCTCTCTCGGGCAGCATCTCATCAGTTCTTTCGGCATCGAACACGCCCATTTTTAGAGAAGGATGAATCTCTGGCGCCTCTTGAGGCCACCCCATCACAAGTCGCCGAGTCTGAATCCAGACCGAGCACGGCTGGTCCGGTGCTTGAGAGCACACCGACGTCTCCACAGGAAGGCGCGTCCCGCACTGGTCCAAAGAGGCGAGGTTCTCTGCCCCTGCTTTCTGGAATCCCCCTTCCCTCGCCTGACAACTCAGCGTCTCCTGATCCTAGCCCGACAAAGATCGCAAAGAGATGGTCTTTCTTCGGACTCGATCAATTCTCTGGATCCCATTCACCGTCAAAATCTCGGCCTGTCAGCCTAAACTCCTGCGAGGTTTCAAGGACAGATTTGCCTTTGTCGATACCTTACGAGGAAGTGGCAACGGCAGAAGGCGCGGCGCCAAGGGCGAGCAAGAAGTCGAGCAAGAAACAGAAGAAGGTTAAGACCTGGGCAGGCTCAATACTAACCAAGAGGCCAAAGGGTCGCCGAAGCAAGAGCAAGAAAGCCAGTCGCCGGGGTCCAACGCCTCCGCCAAGCCGTCCAGGGTACGAGGATGAGGAAGACACGGCCTCAGATTCTGCGGATACAAAGAGCGAGCCGTCGATGCCCACTGTGATGATAGAAGAGCTGGACCAGGACCAGGAAGGAACGGAGGCTTGGAAGCCACCCAGACCTGTTACGGAGGAAGACACATCCTACCCTGTGATCGACCTTGATGCGGCGCTGGGGCCTTTCAACACTCCTTTGCCACGAAATCCGGAATGGGAAGCAGCCCAGAAAGCTGGTGGGCTGGCGAAACGGCAACTGCACAGTGCTGCGGGGCTGAGTAGGTTCACTGGACCCGGAATGCATTACGCTCACCACCAGCGAGCTCAGAGCTCCCCTGAGATGCCTCCATTTGAGTTTCGCCGCGGAATCCACCGATTCGGTAGCAGCTCCACGATGGCAGATGTCTTTGAGGAAGAGGAGGAATATTACGAGGACTCCGACAACTCTGGCTCGTCAACACCCCAACCCGAGTCGACCGGCCCCAAGGACAGCGAGACTTCGAGTGTCAGTGGCTTTTTCTCAGCACGCAGCTCGGCGGAGAGATTAGGAGCAGACGGTCGAAGCTCCGATGCTTCGCTTGTAGCCAAGCGGAAGGCCAGCGATCCCGAAGATGGCAGGTCTCAACGCACGGCAAGCATGAAGTCAAGAACTTCGCTGAGTTCTCTGCAAGAGCAAGTAATCGAAGAAGAACCCCCTGCTCTTCCAACACAATTCAGGACCGTGGAATTTGGACGCCCGGCGCAGATCAAAGCTCCGGATTCGCCCATGTCTTCGCCAGTTAGCCCAAGAGCTCCAATGGACGGCAGCTCGTCTTCACACACGACTTCGTCCTCCCTGGCGCCAGTCAGCCCTTACTCGTCGGTCACCCAGTCGTCCTCTTTCCCATCGCCGCGTTCGCCTGTTTCGTGCGATGCGAACATCATCTCCACCGCACCATCGTCAGTGACAGACGATAGCTTCCAGTCACTGCTCATGGGAGAGCCTGGTCCTGAAGTTCGAAAATCCATGGATGTCCCCTCCATTTCCAGCAGCCACTCCAACCAGCCGAGAGACAGTCTGTTCGCTCAACAGGCCGCCTACATGAACCGCCCTCCAGCACCTGGCGAGCGCCCGGCATCTTTCAGTGCGATGGCATTTGGTGGCCGACGAGGCAGCCTGGCGAGCCTTGGCCGTCTGATCAGCAGCTCCCATGGGGAGCGCAGCAAGCTGTCGACGGAAGTCTTCAGCGGCGAGTCCGAGAAGAAGCTGAAGGGCAGCAAGTCCAGGCGGTTCAGCAAGATGATGCAGTTCTGGAAGCCGAAAGAGAACGCACAGGCATGACTGCACGGCTATCACTTGGTGAACGGCCCCACTTGACGGCCAAACCTGCATATTCACAACCGAAGGGGCGTACCAGGCTCCAGCATTTATGAAATGGGTGACGAATCTCCTTGTGGACCCTTGGCTTTCATCTTGGCATTCTCGCAAACGGCATGGAAACCTCTCGCATGGACTTGTATGATAGGCGGTTTACAGTAGGGGACGGACGAGCTTCGCTCCAGAGCTCATATGACGGATGGATAACTCGGCACACCTCGCACAGTATCCGGGGCACAAATTGAACTCGGACACGCACGTGCATTACACAATTCATGACACCGGCGTTCGCAATGATGATTGCACCACGAAGGCTGCACAGCAGCCCACACGACTTTACAATTGGCTTCTCGAGCCCGGCAGAAGCAGTCTGGCGAGAGACGGGGGAGAAAACATGTTTATGTTTGGCGGTCACAGCAATCTGGGAAAGATGAGAATCGTGACCGACCGTTTACAACTTTCAATTCTACGAGGACAGATATCCTTGCAGAGGAGGTGGGCGTCGAGGCGGCCGACCCATAGCAAATGGAAAGAATCCAAAAAAGGGGAGAAGGCGATCAACGTTGTCCTTTTTTTCTTTACATTTTAATTTGCTTGCCTGCTCAGCGCGGCACTCAAGACCACCCGACCTCCTCCAGCCTTTAGAACATTGACGATGGAAGTCGAGGGGGGGGGGGGGAGAAAGGACACATCGGATACGCAAATTACGTAGACATAATAATGACGATCCAAAGTACATAGTGCATGGTACCGAATGATCTACGAAAATAGAAGCGCGTGTCCACACAGTGAACTGGAGCAGGAACCAGCTCGAGATCCGTGGGCGGCTGCCGCTAGCTGCCGCTCATCTCGGGCAATCTCTGTGTGATGGGGCAGAGCCGTAGTGGAACCTGGGGGAGAAAAGCGCCCCGCGATCCCAGCCAGGTTGCTAACAGTGCCTCGGCCGAAGCTGGACCCCTGCGTCCCCCTCTGTCTCGTACCTAACGCAGCTCAATTTTACCTCCTAAGGGAGCTCGTGGTGGGGCTTGCAGCCACACACCGGTGGACCGACCTAGTGTACAATTCAACCCCGAGCTTCACACCCAGGACGAACCCCATCGACTCGCGCCCTGCCCACTTGTCCACCCAACCAATCGAGGACATCTCACGAAGCTCTCGCCATCTCCTCTCACATCGGGTGTGCCGTATTCAGCACCAGCCCTCTTCTGCGCCGGGAGATTCCCCTAGAATTGGGCAGGCAGTGTTGGCCCCCACCCACCACTCGACTGGCTCAATGTCCGCCGCGTCGGGCTCGTCCTCGCGCTCGGCCACACGGCGCCTCATCAAGGAGCTGGACGCCTGGCGCGTGGAGGCGCGGGACGAGAAGGGCATCGAGCGCCTCGGCCCCGTGAGCGAGGACGACCTGCTGGTGTGGGAGGCTGTCTTCAACGGCAGCGGCATCAGCGGGGGCTATGAAGGTAACCTAGACAACCAGACCAATCCTCCAGCAAATAGATCACTATCTATTTGACATTCTCCTCCCCCACATTTTCCTCCCAGACCCGGAAAACTGACGGGGCACTTCTCACTCACACACACAAACAGAAGGCCGCTGGCTGCTCTCGATCCAGGTCCCGGCCAACTACCCGCTGTCGCCGCCGGCGGTGCGCTTCGTGACGCCCATCGTGCACCCCAACATCTCGCTCGAGACGGGCGAGATCTGCCTGGACCTGCTGGGCGACGCGTGGACGCCCGCCTACGGCCTGCTCGAGACGGTCCGCGCCGTCCGCGAGGGCCTGCTGCCGCACCCGGAGGTCGACTCCCCGCTCAACGTCGACTGCGCCGCCCTGCTCCGGGAGGGGGACGCCGTCGGCGCGCGCAGGCTGGTCGAGCTGTGGTGCTCCTCCCGGGAGGGTAGGTACGAGGGCGCGTGAGGGGGTTCGGGTCGTCTGCGTGTGCGCGTGTGCGATGGTGCATTGGTCCCGGGGCGCGCATGGCGTGTGATCTTTGACATGGAGCCGAGTGGTCAGTTGGGAAATTGATATGAAGGACGGCTGGGTAGTACGGAGTTTGGAGTCTGAATCTTGTCTGTGAGAGCTAGAGGAATCCGCTCAAATTACTCCCATTTACACAATAATCACGCCTCCAGCATCAGCACGGCAGGTGTATCATCATATGAACATCATTCATGGCGGGTTTCACTTGGAGCATACGGCGTTGTGGCCTGAGTAAGCGTCTTTGTATGTTTTCATGTACACTGGAAGCCGACTGCCCCCGAACGTCGGCTCTCGCAGTCGCAACGTCGATTGGGCTACGATCACACCGGCTCTCGGAGGCTTCGCTCGCCTTTGCAGTCGATCGACCCAAACATGCGGATGGCCGTGTTAAACCGACCCTCTCTTCTGCTTTAACCTCGTAGATTGCCAGCCAGTTCCCTTGGGCACTCCCCGGACTTGTTCACACGACGCCCTTCCTTTCGTTGCGTCTCACTCACTGTCTACCAGATGCTGGATAAGGAATACATTCCACCCCTTTCGCCGTGATGCTGGATTCACGGCCCGATGTCTGTCAACCTGGAATTTCCCCGGCGGTGGCTCAAGGTTTGCCTGTGCGACTGTTTCAAGCACGAGATTTTCCAGGTCTGCATGTAGTATGACAATCCGACAGCGACTGGGACATTGGCGGTACTTGTTTTCATGATTATAATGATAATGTGTTGGAAAAGGCCACAATGAGCACATCACTCGTTATAGTGGTAAACCTGTGGAGACCATTAGTTGGTGTCACGTACAGGCTAAAGGGTTGACTGCCTACCTTGTAATTGGGAAGACCGGTGGATTTCCAGCCCAGGCGCGCTGCCATCTTGGCGAACCCCTCCGTCTCGATGAGATGGTAGAACGGGAAAGGAGGGAACATGGCTCCGTCACGATGCACGTCTGCCTTGACCAGTACTGCCGTGCCTCCGACACCATCCAGCTCGACCTCAAGGTGAATATCTTCCCGTTCGTCGTACATATAGGCCATGAGCGCTCGGAACGTGGGCATCTCGGCGTAGCCTTCCAGCAGGATATCATCCTTGCCCATCTTACTCGCAAGCTCCTGGGCCGTAGGGCTGTCCTTCCAGTTGTTGAAGTCGTATGCACGCTCAGCCATCTCCTTCGTCGTCTCGTCATAATACCTCTGGAAGCAGTTCGGGACGACAATGGCCTTGTTGTGAGCAGCTAGGTCCTGAATCATATCGGGCGGGGACTCGACTACATCAGCATCCAGCCATAGAACCCAGGACACCGATGGTCCCAGCGTTGTGAAGAGAAGGGAGTTGCGCGCTTTCGCCATTGAAGCGCGCCGTGGTTTCTGGTTCTGCATCTTGTGCCTTTCACTCTCGTCCTGCGAAGACAGCGGCGGGTCAAAGTCCTGCCTGAGGATGATGATGCTCTTAAAGCGGTCCTTCTCGGGACCGGACTTTTGCGTCTTGGATATCTGCGCCTGTAGCAATGACGTCGCCTCGTTTCCTTCTTTGTTCTTGGGAAGTATGAAGCCCAGTGTTATAAGTTGATGTGGGTATGTGAGTCTCAGTAGGTTGTCCCAGTACTCCTGGTAGAAGCGGGCCATCGGGGTCAGGATGAGGACGTTCTCATTGTTCTCGATGGGATTCGCAGAGATTGTGACGTTGTTCAGGTTGTAGTGAACAACGGGTGGCGGCGCAGACCTGCCATTCTTGTCGGCGATGGGTTTCCGGAAGGGTGAGGTCGGCGGGGACAGAGGATGGCTGGCGACGGTCGGCTTCTTGACGTTGGCAAGGGAGATGCTGCTGCCGCCGCCGCCGCCGCCGCTGCTGGACCCTGAGGGAGCGACGAGGAAGTATAGAATGAAGATGCACAAGACAGTGCCGATGGCGAGAGTTATGGGGTTCGCCTTCTTGAGACGAACCGGCCCCATGGCACGCGCCATGAGTGCGACTGTGTTGTCTCACAAGCCAGGTATTCGAAAGAGTGGCATAGACCGGGGCCGGGGACAAGAGCAGAGACGATCTCTTCTGTATGTGCCAGCTGGCTTATGGCGACCCTTAGTCCATCCACGCTCTTCGAAAGGCGAGTCGAGAGGGAAGCAATCCAGGTGCAATGCGGTTCTGGGTTGGCTCTGGTAAGGTCGAGGTTAGGGGTCGAGCAGAGTCGAGTCGAGGCGAGCGGGATCGATGCCGTGGCAGGGCTGTTCGAAGCGAGGCCGAAGCTGCCAGACACCAGCCGTGTGTCTCGTGTCTCGTTTCTCGCTTGCCCGGTGTGGCTAGGCCGTGCTGGGCTCAGTGTACGGTCAGGCGAAGATGATGACACGCCCGTAATGCTGATGGCAGAGCTGGGATGTAATGAGATACGAAGAGGACAGCGGTCGACTGGTGCTCGCGGGTGGAACAGGCTAGACTGGCGACTGCGGTTGGACGTGCGTATCGAATCGAATGCGGTATAACACCTAAGGTGCACCACCAGGTCCCGGAAGCCAGGGCCAAAGCCAAAGTTCCAAGTTCCAAGGTCAAGGGCGAGTCCGTCCAGCAAGGAAGGACAGAGTCCAGACAGGCCCAGTAAATAGAGTGAGGTGAGGTGTCAAACAGGGGATGGCAGGGGGGTGGCAGCTTGAGCCGACCGACCACCTGCACCTACCTGCTGCGCCTGCAGGCGAATCTGCCATCTGTCGTCGGCCCTGCCCAGGTGCTAAGCGTGCTCAGGGGGTCCACCGGCTGGGCTCCGCAGACCCTGGAGACCCTTGGCCAGCCCAAACACCTCAGGGGTTCAATGTGAGTCTAGACTGTCTGGATTACTGCACTGGATATGCTTCTCTCGAGTAGCCAACTGTCCATCGTAGTCCAACTCAACTCTAAGATCTTGGCACTACAGATTTCCATCTGGTGTTGGCGGTCTTCAAAGACCAAACATGGCGCTCTCACGTAAGTGCAGGTGTGCAATCGTATTCTCGGTAGAGAGAGGCAGAGTAAAAAAAGAAGAAGAAAAATGAATAGATGCTGACCACAAGCCCGCAGGCCATCTTGACTACGCCGTCTTCTCACTGTGCCTTGTCCCGCTGGTGATACTCATCCACCTCTGGGTAGCACCTTACACCAAGGTGGAGGAGTCCTTCAACATCCAGGCAACACACGATGTCCTGGTCTATGGCACTCCCCTCTCCAGCATCTACCAGAAGCTGTCCACCAGCTACGACCACTTTGCGTTCCCCGGGGCCGTTCCCAGGTCCTTCATCGGCCCCGTGCTGCTCGCAGGCGTCGCCCGGCCATTTGCAGCACTGCTCGGCCACAGGCACAGCCAGTTCATCGTTCGTGCCCTTCTTGGCTGGTTCAATGCCTACTCCCTCTTGTTCTTCAGGAGACAACTTCACAATGCCTGTGGTCCTGCCGTGGCTAGATGGTACGTGGTGCTGCAGGTCAGCCAGTTCCACGTCATGTTCTATGCATCCAGGACGTTGCCGAACATGTTTGCATTCGGCCTGAGTAAGTCACCAACCGCTTCGGATCCTTCGGGAAGACACCCCTCTGCCTCACTGCTGATTGACCTCATTCTATAGCCACTTTTGCCTTCGGCCTGCTACTCCCGCACAAGAATCCCGCCAAGGCCAACCCTAGGATTCGCATGGCATTGGCCCTGTTCGTCTTCTCGGCCGTTGTCTTCCGCTCAGAGATTGCGCTTCTCCTTGGAACAAATGCTTTGTGGCTGCTCATCATCCCCCAGATCTCCCTTCAAAGGCTCATACCTCCGTTCCTGGTTTCCTTCGTTGCCGCCTTGGCCATCTCTGTCCCCATCGACTCCTACTTCTGGCAGAAGCCAATTTGGCCCGAACTCTGGGGCTTCTACTACAATGTCGTCCAGGGTTCCTCCTCCGACTGGGGCACTTCTCCCTGGCATTGGTACTTTACGTCGGCTTTGCCCAAGATGATCTCGCCACCTTTGGGGCTCTTCTTCGCTGGGTGCTCCCTCTCCTCTCCTGCATATGGCCGTATAGCCCAGCGCCTCATCATCCCGAACCTGCTGTTTGTGGCTATATACTCCCTTCAGCCACACAAGGAGGCCCGCTTCATCTTCTATGTCGTGCCACCGTTGACAGCCGCCGCCGCTCTTGGGGCCTCGACTCTGGTGAATCAGGTTCCCGCGAGGATGGCTGCTGATGAGACCGGCCGGCGCGCAATCAGGAACATCATTTTCTGTATCATCTCAGGCTCCATACTCGTCACCTTCCTCAGCAGCGCGGTCATGCTTGTTGCCTCGAGCTTGAACTATCCCGGCGGCGACGCCCTCGCTGCCCTGCACGGCATGATAGAGCACGACCAGAGCACAGTATCCACCTCTGTCGTGACGGTCCACGCGGACGTGTTGAGTTGCATGACAGGAGTGACTCTGTTCGGAGTTGATGAGGGCAATGGTCTCCCTCAACATCACCGGCTGGCCGCTGACCCCGCTGTTGTGCTCAGGGGCCACGACAGTAAGCCGTCAGTGTCACTGGTGCTGGACAAGACAGAAGACGAAGGCACTGTATCAGACCCCAAGTTCTGGACCAAGTTTGACTACCTCCTGATGGAAGATGAGAAGGCCGTCAAGGGCGGCAACTGGGATACGGTGGCTGTCGTCGAGGGCTTCTCCGGCCCCGAGATCTTGCGTCCGGGCGTTCCGCACGTAGAAGAGGAACCGAGGGGCGTCAGAAGAGCTGGCATGGCGGCTCATGTTGATTCCTTCCGGCGAAAGGTCATGGGGCTTACAGGAGGATGGTGGGTCGGTCCCAAGACAGTCCCCAAGATCCAAATCATGAAAAAGCGTGTAAAAGACACGTCTGATAAGGTCACAAAGGAGGCCATTTCATAAGACTAGGTATGCTCTCTGCTCATGGGAGCTTCTTCATATAGCCACATCATTGCCTGCTTCCAATACGAATGGACTCGAATGATTGATACCGAGCTCATTGTAAGCACGTCAGAAAGTTATGCTACATCCCCTCATGCTGCATGATGGAGAAAATACTGTTTCTGAATCAGATAGACCAATCGCCAGCAGAGTGTAGTTGACAAGCAGAATCAAGGATGCCTGATAGAAACATTATCGAACAGCGCACTCCCATTCTTCACCCACAAGCCATTCTGCCCCGAGGTATCCGCTCCATTCGTGACCGTCATAACGGGGGCCGCCATATCGTTCACATACACCGAGGCCGTAGTGCCCTTGAACTCAACCCGAAGGTGATACTTCCTCCCGCCTTCGACGTGCACATCCGAGCTGCTATTGAGGACAGTCATCCCCACCCTGCGCTTCCCCTTCTGGTGTCCGAGGAAGACCTCGCCGGCCCCGGCACTGAGCCAGACGGCGTACCCGTTGAACGCCTCTGGCCGCTTGCGGTTCCTCGACGGCGCGGTGCGGAACGTGACCCCGGCCTCGCTTCCGCTGTCCTCGAGCGTGATATCGGCGTCATACACAAGATCCGCGAAGTGCGAGTCTATGAGGGCGAGAGCTTGCGCGGCCGAGCCACGGAGGAGCTGCTGCTGCTCGTCATCGCCGTCCTTGGTGACAATTGTCCAGTCGCCGCTCCTCCTCTGCCACAGGTGCGGCGAGAGCTGCCCGTCGCCGAAGTTGTCCTTGACCAACAGCTCGACGGGCTCGATGTCGCCGTCGGCGTCAAAGTACATGCGGTCCAGGGCCACCACGCGGTTGTCCCCGTTGCTCTCGTGGAGCGGGCGCCGGTGGTAGACGATGTACCAGATGTCCGTCCCGGGTATGTTGAGCACGCTGTTGTGGCCCGTCGCCACCGCTATAGCTGGGTCCTGTTTCAGGATGACGCCTTTCGGCGAGAAGGGCCCCAGGGGCGAGTCTGACGTGCCGTAGGCCACCCGGTAGTTAGGGCTGCCATATGTGTTTTCTGACCACATCATGTAGTATGTGCCGTTGCGCTTGAAAACTTTCATGCCTTCTTCGAATTTGCTGGGCCGCGGTGTAATGCTCTTGAAGTACTCAGCGTCTGTTCCCCTTGCGGACTTGGAGGTGTTGATCGGTTGGAAGCTGATCATGTCGTCGTTCAGAATTCCAACGTTACCCTTCGTCCCACCAAAGTATAGGTACCTCTTTCCGTCATCATCAGTGAAGACGTCAGGGTCCATGGGGTTACTATCTGCATTGTCAGTCAAAGCATTATCGCTGTGATACAGCTACCCTGGTAATGTACGAGACACATGAACCATATCTCATGTAAGTTTGTGCTCGAATAGAGACACAAAATGCTGTTGAGACATTCCATGCTGTGTTGAATTGACGAGTGAGGTCATTAAAAGGACTTACCCGCCATGAATTGCATGATCGAGCAACCGCGTGCCATTAAGAGCATCTCTATACGGCCCTTCCGGCTTGTCGGCTACGGCGACGGCCAATCCAGCGTTTGGCTGCTTCTTCGATCGTACGCCGTTATGGCTGCTGAAGTAGAGATAGTATTTCCCATCCCTCCCCTTGGCCGATGCAGGCGCCCACATAGTGTGCTTGATCCATGGGATAGTACCATCTGTCAGGATATTAGGATGCTTAGTCCTATTCAACCGTCAGCTTGGTCGAGAGAAGCATGTAAAAATGGGTCTTGAGTCCATTTCTCTCTAAAAAAGCCGGTAAAGGATGACCGGGACGAAGAGGCAGAAAGGAATGCATATACCATTGAACCAAATCAGTCGAGGACCATGCATCAAAATGCTCCTGGTTCTTAAACAAGACGGACGTGGTTGCGAATATCCAAAAGACATCGCCGTACACACGGATCTCCGGATCAGCGAACCAACCGTCGAACAGTGGGTTACCAGCCTCAGCGGTGGTCAAGTTGAGACCAGGAGAGTGGCCAAGTGCCGTGAGCGTGTCCGCGGCCGCGGCCGCTGCTGCACTCAGGAGGGAGACGAGGATGGGCAACTTCATGGCGTGTAGGGGCAAAATGACAAGAGTAGGTCGATATGTTACCAAGTTTTCCCTAAGTGGCATACAGACCTCTTAACATACATTCATCGCCTTGACATTCTAGGGCCCTCTGCCGGTCTATGTGCAGCGCTGGCCAACTTCGTGGCATCCGCCGGCCCGCCTAATTCCATGACCAGCGCCCGTCCGCGATAGCCTCGTGGCTATGGGCACACCTTCAAAGAGTGAGGCTTGTGCAAGAGTGCGGTACTAAATCCTGTTAGTGGCCAGTAGTCTACGCAGAAAGACACATAAAGGCCCACATAGGACCAGGAGCCTTTCTAAAATTTTGACATTAGCATTGGCTGGGAGAGACTATACTGCGAAAGTGTGTCACCTGATACGTGGTTTCTTCCCAGGCATAATAGCGGACTGAGCGGGCGAGTTCGTACCATAAATAGGACCTTTCGGGGGCTCGTTTAAGTAGGAAGATACAGATCGTGGTGCTAGCATGTGCGTGGAAACAGCCACCAACAAGTATGAAAAATATCGTGGACGGTTGTATAGGACAGACGAGGACTGCGGAGACAGATAGTACATTTGAAGCAGTTTATTTGCTCTGTATTGCCTCCTATCGGATAGAGCCTCTCGGCTCAGTCCACAACCACACGATCGCCCACCCGCAGAGTCGGATATTGCGACTCCCTCGTCGAGTTCGCCAACGTCTGACCTTGCTGCGGCACGTGGCACATATGCGTCCCGAAGAAAACCTTGCCATCAAACCTCCTCGTCTTCGACAGCGTGACGAAGGGCTCCTGGCTCTTTTCCGCACTATCCTGGTTGATGCAAACCATGTGGCAGCGGCGGCATGAGCCAAGCATCTTGAAGTCTTGCTGTCCGATTCGGATCTTGCACCAGTTGTCTTCCGCATAAGCAAGGTTAAGGTTATTGTCTGTGCTGCCAGGTGAATCAAGTACGATATTCGCTCTGAACACCGCGGAGGGAATTTCCGTGCCTCCATTCTTGACGATTTCTTTGTTGAGAGCTCGCAAGCTGGCCGTGTTGATGGCTAGGATTGGCGACTCATTTGACAGTAAAATCTTCCGGCGATTGTTTTGCTCAACGTCGGAGTCTGGGGGTGAAGGCGGAGTGATTGCTGATACAGCTGGCGAAGAGAAGCTTTCATGGCTGCTATCTTCACTGTCGTAATTCTTTTGATGCTTTTGCAAGTGGGCCTTGGAATGTCTTGCGCTTTTGTTGGCCGCCTGTCCGCCTGGTGGAAAGCGCGCCAACATGCACGGAACACCAAGCACTGTAGTAAAGAAGTCATTGATCTCATCAGAGATGTATGTTTTGGCGCTGATCTCTTCGCCGCATACACGTGACGAAAGAGGACGGTGTGATGTTAATAATGATGAAAATGATGCATGGAACAAAGCCGGATTGGAACTCAAGGGCACGAATACTGCTTTGGGCTGACTCGGATCTGACAGGCTCCCAGTGTAAGTTATGCGCAGCTGCCCAGTCTCGAAATCCAGGAACGGCTTGATGAGGGCCATCCTGGGATAGCGTTTTTGACTCAGTGCGTGGCCAGAGCCTCTGTGAAGCAGACACCACTCACGATCCCAGGCCAGGCCTTCGGGTCGGACTTCCCAAACTGTGTCCTGCGGAACGGTGAACCCGCCACAGCTCTTGATGGGGTAGACGGTTATTCCAGCAACGAATAATTCGGGTTGCAATTCCGGCCTTGAAGATATACCTTGAGGTGCCTCATCAGGCAAAGTCTGCTCGCAGTAGAAGTCTGTGATGAATGCCACGAACGCATCGACATCAGCAATGCTACTCATTGCACCAAGACTGACCCGGATGACGCCGCTTGGTTTGCCTGCGATAATGTCATTCTCAGACCCGCAGCGGAATCCAGCAGAGAAATTCCTTTTGATCTCCCAAGGCTCGAGTTCCAGAGCATAGGCAACCCCGCCAGGGTTGCACACTCCTCCGGTTCGAATGTGAAAATTCTTCAGGCTCGCCAGTTTCTCGACCTCGGCGAGGCTGATCCAAGCTCCGGCCTGGTTGCGTATATTGAATGCTATAATAGGGCCTGCAGCGGGATCCGTAATTGAAACATGATCCGGTGAATAAATCTGACACACCTGCATACCGTTGTGGTGTCGCAGTTGTTGGAGGCCTTCGCGCAGACGCCGTGTCAAAAATGAGACGTGGGATGCCACGGCGCTCATCGGACCAAACAATTTTCCGCGAATGCGCATCGCTATATCCAGTGCAATGATACTGTGAATAGGCAGGGTGCCGTCTTCGAGACGTTCGTGAAGTCGGTGGGTCTTGGGAGCATGCCATTGCTCCTTGTTGGTGACGACCGTGTCAACGGTGCCTCCGCCGAAGTACCTTTTGAAATCAAAGTTGTAAAACGCCTGGCGCCTCACAATCAAGGCTCCCAGGTCCGGGAACCCAAATATTTTTGAGAAGCTAAGCACTGTGAAGTCTGCAGCCACGTCTGAGTTGCGGAGATCCAGGGGTGCGGTTGGTGCAAGAGCAGCAGCATCCAGGATGGTTAAACAAGAGGTACCGGAAGGCCGGTCGAGATTTCTGAGGCGTTGCGACCAATCTAATGGATATCTCCGACCATCCATGTTCGACTGCGCAGCATACGCAAAAAGGGTAGTAGCCACGCTCTCCGCCTCGTGCTGAAGGGGCATTTTGCCGTTTATCCATTCCTCAACCGCGGCGTCGTCCAGGCAAATACTGGTTCGAGCCTCCTCCCGTACACCAACCAGGCTTGTGTGAGCTGACTGGTGGTATGCATAGTCGAAGCCTCCGGGGGCAGCTCTCAAGGCCTCCCCGACCAGCTTGATGCCCGCCGTGGCATTCGCAACGAAAATGAGATCGAAATCAGCCGGGTCAGCATTGAAAAATTGTAGGGCCCGCAGCCGAGTATCCTCGATGCGGATTGTGGAAAGCTGAGAGGAAGGTGATGCCGAGTGCGGATTCCCGAGCAGACTGCTTGTCATCTCAGCGGCGAATTCATCCACCAGGGACTTTGGATACAAGGTCGTGCCGGCATGGTCAAGATAGATCGAACCTGGATTGGGGTCAGCATGTCATTTTCCATTGTTGAGGACGCCGATGTTTTCCAGAGGGCATACCATTGAGCATGGGATACTCCGTCTCCCTCAGCCTCTCAACCGCGGAATTGTATCCTGATGCTAGTCCTGGTCCCCGGGACGCATCCATCCTGGCGACTGCGCCCCTGCAATTGTTCCCAGACTCGTCTCTGTCGCGATGAACATTGAGGCCCTTACACTCAACTATACATGTAAGGATGACGGTCTTTCTCGGGCAAATTCACGCTCTGAAGCGCCGTAGGAATGAAACACGGAGGTGTCGGTGAGATGCTGAGGCAAACACATCTTCGCCGCTCACCCCTTCCCTTTGATTCATTCCGTTCATGAGACGGGCGCTTGCGGCCGAAGAATGGGGGGAACGCCGTGCCGGCCTTATCCAGCTGCAATCAAGAATGGGGAAACGGAGGCGCTATGGCCAGAAACTCAATTAACGATGTACCTAGGTACCTGGCCCGAGCACCGCGGCTCAGCTAAGCTCGTCTCGAGCGCGCGACGACGCGCTCTGGGCAGTCGCGACGCGCCCGAGTTTAAGTGCGGGTCACTAAAGCTCCTTCTTTTCGTGACAGCTCTGCCTCACTCTGCCGGCCTCTCCTTCCACACATCTGTACATACATTCATCCACCTCCACCTTCCATTGTTCTTGTGCCTTCCGTCTTGGTCCGCTATCCACTGTGCAGCAACTGCATCTTAATTGACTTGTATCGTATTGTCGACCGCGAGTACCATGGCTGTGAGCGTACTGGGCAAGAGGACTCGAGGCGCTCCCGACCTCCAGGAGCTGCAACAGCAACAGAACAGCACCAGACGCTGCACAAGGCGCACCAGGAGCTTCCAACAAGGCAACGACGAGAACGAGGACCCTGAGAGCACAATCAGCATCGAGGCCGAGGACCAGTCCGAGTCAGAGGAAGTCGCGTTCTTCAGCCCGTCCGTCACACGCACGCCGTCTGCACGCCGGACCAAAGACATCTTCAAATTCGAGGCATCTGACTATCGTGGGTTGCATGCTCCGCCGATATCCCATCTCTCTCCTGCTGACGCTTCTCTCAAACAGCTGCCAAGGTCCCAATTACACCCTCGACCCCTCGTCACCGAGATGTCTTCGCCAAAGTGCCTGTCACCCCCCGTCACCGGGTCATGTCCGTGGGCAAGCTGTCCCGGCGGATGACACCCAAGACCCCTCAGACACCTTCAACATCGCAAACGATCTACCACCAAGCTCGGCAGCTCTTCTCGCGAAGCTCAGACCCCGGTCAGCTCATTGGAAGAGAAGAGGAGCGAAAATCGCTGCGCAGTTTCCTGGTCCGCAGCGACTCATCCCAGCCCCACGGCTGTCTCTACGTCAGTGGGCCACCAGGGACGGGCAAGAGTGCTATGGTCAACGAGGTTTCCAACGAATTGGTCGCCGAGTCGCCGACAGTCCGCAAGGCATATATCAACTGCATGAGCATCAAGTCGTCCAAGGATCTGTACTTCACTCTGCTGGAATTATTGTGTGACGAGACCGAGACGACCGAGGAGGACGCTACCACGATGCTGCAAAAGATGTTTGTACCAAAAAGAAAATCTTCGAGCGTCTACGTGGTAGTGCTGGACGAAATCGACCACATTCTGTCCCTCGACTTGGAAAGCCTGTACAAGGTCTTCGAGTGGTCGCTGCAGAAGTCTTCGCACCTTCTCCTGGTCGGGATTGCCAACGCACTCGACCTCACGGACCGCTTTCTCCCGCGTCTCAAGTCACGAAACCTCAAGCCCGAACTTCTACCATTCCTGCCATATACCGCAGCGCAGGTCAAGATGATCATCACGAAACGCTTGAAGAGTCTTCTGCCCAGCGACAAGGCTGCTTCGGACTTTATTCCTTTCTTCCACCCGGCCGCGATTGAACTGTGCTCCCGCAAGGTTTCCAGCCAAACCGGTGACCTGCGCAAGGCCTTCGAGATCTGCCGACGGGCACTGGACCTGGTAGAGGACGAGACACGTCTAAACGAAGAGAACGAGGCGAAGGACCAGGTTTTGCAGATGACACCTTCGCGTAAGGTGCTTGGGGAGATGAAGAACGAGACATCACCAGGAAAGAAGAGCGGGAGGAGTGTTTCAGCTATTCTGTCCAGCTCTCTACGCTCCCTTACGGTCGAGACAGCGCCACGCGTCAGCATCTCTCACCTCAACAAAGTCACTTCGGCAGCTTTCAGTAATGGTGCCAACCAGCGCCTCAAGACGCTGAATCTTCAGCAAAAGGCAGCCCTGTGTGCTCTGCACGCACTCGAGAGACGCAACCGCGAGGCCTTCCGAATCTCCACGTCTGGCGTCGCTGGCAAATCATCTCCCAGCACACCATCGTCAAAATCATATATTGCAGCGCCCACTATTAAGACGTTGTTCGACACCTATGCCCTTCTTTGCAAGCGGTCTGATGCGGTGGCCCTGCACCCGCTATCCAGCTCCGAGTTTCGTGAAGTAGTGGGCAGTCTGGAGACCCTGTCACTCGTTGCCGGCGTTGACGGGAAGAATGGATCGTTCGTCGCGGGTTCACAGCCAGGGACTCCAAGCGGCAGGAAAGGTGGACGAAAGGCCGCTTTCGTGGGCGGCACTGCAGATGACAAGAGAGTGGCGAGCTGTGTTGGCGACAGAGAAATCAACCAGGCGGTTGACGGACTGGGAGCTGACATCCTAAGGAGCATACTGAGCGGAGAAGCTCTGGACTGAGTTGTACTTGATTTACAACACAACCGCGCTTGCATATCATGGTCTGCGACTGCATGGCATAGCTTGGGTGCATTCTAGAGGTCTGCATGTTTGGGAGGAGGCCGATGAAAACGGGGAACGAGCAGAAGACTTGTATTAACACATTGTTTGGAATACGGTGCTTGCATTAAGGCGTTGAGGAATTGGGATACCCGCGTCAAGGGCGACGCAATGTAATCAGGTGTAATGCGGTCCGCAAACAGGACAAGAGAGTACATACAAAATACACCAGCTTGAAATATCTTGACTTTGGGATTCAGCATCTACTCAGGAGCTGGCCCGCATGACGGTATGAGCGTGTCACACAAAAGATGATTTCATCATTCCCAACATCAGTCGTTCGCCGAATAAATGGTACAGCGGCTTCTCTTTGCAGTTCCTCTATATCACATTGACTGCACCGGAGTAAAGAAAACAGCATGTGCATTAAGAGTAAAATTAGCTGTCGCCTGGCCAGGCTGGGAGAGCCCAATCGTACCCCGGAGTGAGGATTAATAGCCTTCCCAGGTCCGGTCGCCAAAAGAAAGAAGCTGAAGTAGTACACAACCCGGAGCCACGTTATTTCCCGGGAGAAAAGTGATCTTTTCCTCCTTCCGTTAAGAAGACAAAGAAGGTAATCGCAAACGGGGGAACTTCCACGCCCACGCCCCAAACTCCAACCTCATTCAGCGTTTCGCCCTACATGATGCGGATCTTGTAATCTGCCTCCCCCCAGGTAGGCAGCTGCGCCTCGCTCGAGGTAGCCTGGACGGGCCAGCTGACGACCTCGATGCTCAGCCCCGCCACGCCGGCCGGGTCGGCCTCGGTGCCGTCCGCCCCGACGACGCGGGTCGTGAGGTACCCGCGCAGGTACGGCTCGACGTCCGCGGGCTCCATGGACGCCAGCGTGCCGTCCGCAATCTCGTCGACGAGCGCTGCCGTTAGGGGCACGGTGCCGGAGATGAACTCAGCGCCCGGTGCCAACTTCTTCATGCTCGCGATTGCTGGGGGAGAAGCGAAGACGCTCATGGAGCCGACGTAGAGGGGCTGCCTGCCCGGGCCGCCGAGCGCGAGGTCGACTGAGAAGGGCCCGTCGAGGGCTTGCCTCGTGACTCGGACGTTTGCGATCCACTCCCGATACGTGCCTTTCTCCGAGATGATTTTTGTGACGGGCAGCGAGGCTGTTGATCGGCGTTCTCGGCCCATGTACCATCCGTCCTGGCCCTGGCTTTGGCCATGTCGTATGTGATTCCTGCCGCGCTCAGAGCGTTTGGACTGGATCCTGATGCTGTTCACGCTGTATCCACCGTAAAGCTCGTTCACAACCTTGGCCACTTGAGCCTGACCGTTGAGGATCGAAGTCATGTTAGACAGCGATATCCCTGAACTGGCCAGCTCACCGTAAGTATACCCCAGAGCCGCAGTGTCGCGGAGCATGTCCGAGGTCCAGAAATCCCCGCCGGGATTTGCGTAGAATGGCGTCAGGGCCGACGTGGAGTCCAGAAGTTGGCCAACGGATGTGGTGTACGAGTTGACCCGGGCGACCTCGGGGACAATCCACGCATCGGGGTGAAATACCTGCCACAAGGCAAAAATGCGGTCCACATTGCAATGATGGAGGAAGAACAAAGGGTCGAAGGCGGAAAAGGGCACGATGGTCATGTGGCCCTGGGAACCACCAAGTAAGGCGTGAAGGTTGTCGTGGAGGTTTTCGAGTGAGTCATATCTGGTTGTATCTGCGGCCCAGCCTTCATTGCTGAAGATGGTGTAGTTGTCGTAATTTGTGAAAAGATTGTAGAGCCTCTGCTGGTTCTGGACGTTGTACAAGACAAGATTTGCGTTGATGACGGAGTTGTTGGACAGGGCGTCTGGCTGGAGGCTCGTTGGAGCTCTCCTCGTAGCAGTCCAATCTGCCCACTGGGATTGCATCAGAACAAGGTGCCTGATAAGAAGAAAACAATGACTCCACTTACTGGTGCCACGTCCTGGAAGACCTCTCGGTTGGGGGGTTTGAAGGCGTAGGCGAACAGAGGGTTTGCAATCATTTGCGTTCCATGCGGCCCGGACACGTTGATCTTAGGACTATCTCCAATACTAGCAGGAAGCATGCTGTCCCTTGAAGACGGGGGCAGTGCGGCCCAGTCGAAATATGGAGCTCTGCAGTTGGCCGCAGCAGATTCCATGCGGTTCTTTACGGCCCCGGTGTACGCGGTGGCAATATACTGCATCCGTTGGCAGAGCTCTTGCTGTCAATTCTATGTCAGCAATGTACCCGTATTCTTGGGAATTCGATATGTGGGAGTGGGGTCAGCCAAGAGGTATGGCATTACTAACCTCGTACAGGGCAACGTATGCCCGATGCCATGTCGGAAAGAGGATGTCCTGGTGATGGCAGTAGCCAGACATCTCGTTGCCAGGAGTTGGGTTCACCCCACTCCACGGCTCAAACGGCACGCCGTGAAGGCCTATGTGTTTCAAACCACTTGTGTCAGACTAGGAAAGAAGATTGAGGTGGTTCATGGGGTCCGGAAAGAAAGGGAGCACAGTGCGACGTACCGCCGATCGAGAACCAAGACGTAGGCTGCGACTGTTCCGTCCACTGCATCATGTCGAGGGCAAGAATGTACAGGGACCACCTATCTGGGTCCTTCTGGAGATCACGGATATCCTGTCGAACAGGGACAGGTCCTGGGCCAGCGGGCATGCCAGTGGTGACAACGATGTTCCCTCCAAGCTGGCGCTTTGCGTTGTATGCTCTGGCGACGTCGAATCCATAGTCGTAGGATTGGCCCATAACCAGTGAGATTATGCAGCAGCACAGGATGCAAACAACACAAAGGCTGCGTACCTGTGGCACGTAAGGAGACATGTTTTCGCTCAGGTAAAGAGTGGCTGTGTGAAAGGTAAGGAAAGATGAATGTCAAGTGTGGCCTCTGGTCGATCTGGCGGGTTGTGTTTGGGTTGGCTTTCCTAAAGCGAGTCAGGCAAAGTGAAAGTGTATTGCGTCGTCACTTGCCATGCGAATAAAAGAAACGAGTGATGATATGCCCTCTAGGGCATCGTAGGTCGGTCGCCAGACGGAAAGGAGTGATATCGCAACAAAAGATGCAAGGAGAGGTTGCCAAAAGTGTGCCGGTGCTGTGACAGATCACAGGGCAGGAAACCCGTCCCAATTCTCTTGGAAAACGAGACACAAACAATTTCGATGCGAGAAAGGAGTGGTTGTCGGTCAGACGTTTGGAAATAAAGGAGCGTGGGATGGAAGGAGCAGCCCTGGGAAGTCCAGTCCACGTTGTTTCCAGGCGACTGACGAAAGCTTCTCACCTTATCGGACCGGACCACAGCGGTTTCCAAACGCTCTCTGACGGAAATAAGTCAACGCAAGCAGACCAAAACCGAGACCATATGGTCAACGAGGCGTGGTGCGCCAGCCAGCCGGGAGCCCTGCAGGTCGCAGTCTCCCAATATGCCGTTCATCTATCCAGGACGCCTCCCGATGGTGCTTTTCCGAGATCAAACACGCCGTCTCTGGAAAAAAGCAACGATTGGGATTAATGACCGAGGCCCCGAGAGTGGCTATTGCGACAAGGGCACATGCCCTCTATTCCCCCTCGTTGAGACCACGGCAGTCACCTTTTTTTCTTCGCCAAGGAGCGTGATGGGGAGGTCGAACGTGCAGCGACCGCGATGACGCGAGGACAAAAGGAGATTTTTCCAAGACATGGACCCGTCGAGCAGCGCTGCGCCCGGGCGGCAGCACACATGAGGCCTCGAGTTCAACAAAAAGGGCTCGGCTATGCAGCTTGCCTCACAAGTGCGACCTTGTCTGGGATTGAAGGGAGCGCCAGTAGCGAAAAATTGGCGGCGCTGTCAAGCGGGAGTGGTGATGATCTCGTTAGTTTGACAGTTGACAGAAAGCCGCATGGCTTTCCTGGCGCCGTCACGGTCATCATGGGCGTTCTCAAATCAATGTCGGTCAACTTGGGCGGAACTACGCCCATGGAACTCACCATTATCGGTGCAACCTTAAATTAGACCATTGCTAAATCACGACTCTGCTATATGCCTTCTCCCCTATGAAGAAACTGCCAACGCCGGTGCCCCTTGCTTCCATTCGTCCAGTCCGATCCGTTTCACCCGCTTCCCAGCGCGGTCCTTGTCGACCGGGTCGATGTGGTACTTCAACTTGACTCCCATGGCCGCAAGTTCCACATCCAGGTACTTCAGCGCGCCGGGCACGACAATGACAGTCGTGTCCTCGCCGCCGACCCATTGAACACCCTGGCCATCTTCCCAGATCTCCCCATCCAACTCGGTAAGATCCGTCTCGTCATCGAGCCGCCTGGCACAATTCCTACAGCGGACGGTGTCGATGGTCTTCTTCTTCCCCACGTACGGCGTGACTGTTGGCTGTACAGATAGGAACGAGCCGCACTTCCGACAGACCCACGACTTGGTATAGTCCGAGCAATTCAGCAGCCGATCTTGCAAGAGGAATGCAGTGCCGTGGGCGAGCAGAGCGTCTCGTTCCATTTCTCCCACACGGATACCACCTCCCTTCTTCCTGCCTTTGATGGGCTGGCCCGTCAGGGGCACCACCGGACCGGTGGTTCGTACTTGGTACTTGTCGTTGACCATGTGACGGAGACGCTGGTAGTAGACCACTCCAATATAGATGTCGGCAGCAAACTCCTCACCAGTGATTCCCGAGTACATTGGCTCGTTTCCGTGGTAGTTGTAGCCGGCCTTCATGAGCTGGTGGCCAAAATAATCGCCGGCCGTATTCTCCTCGTCAAACTTGAAGGGGGTCGAGTCTTGCGCCAGGCCGTGCAATGCACCTGCCTTGCCAGCAAGCGATTCCACGAACATGCCAATGGTCATACGAGACGGGAAAGCGTGAGGATTGATAATCACATCAGGCTGTATCCCCGACTCCGAGAATGGCAGGTCGATGGACGGCCATTTTTGAGAGCAAACACCTTTCTGACCGTGTCTGGAGGAGAACTTGTCGCCGATGGTGGGAGACCGAGGTATCCGAAACTTGATGGACAAGTTTTGGGCGGGCTCGGTGCCACTTTCGCTGCCGATTATGCGGACCTCTTCGATGTACGCAACTTCATCCTCCTTGTACTTTTCGAAGTGCGTCATGCCATCCTTGTTTTCCAGTCCGCCGTGCCCGTCGGAAGAGACAGTGTGCCATGCACAAATCAGGTCACCAGCCTTCACCTCCTGGCCAACATAGGGGAGACCATCCTCATCGAGCGTATCGCGGTGCCACGACCGAGTCGTTCCTCTGGGTGCGAAACCGAACATCTTTTCTATCGTGGCGGATGACCGAGTTCTTGAGTCGTCTTTGAGGCTAATTTTCTTCGTCTTGTAGATTGTGCCATGCCCAAAACCCCTTTCATGTGCGGACTTGTTGATAATCATGGCGTCGTCCATATCATAGCCAGTGTAGGAAATGACTGCGACAACAGCATTTGTTCCGTTGGGGAAATTGTCAAAGCCATACGCGTTGTGCAGAGGGGCTCTCACGATAGGCGTTTGTCCTGTCTGTAAACGGTACATCTTGTTGTCTGTGCGGTGACGAATAGCTGCTCCTGGAGTTCCCATGGTTTGTTTACCCATTTGACATTGATACATGTTTCGAGGAGATTGGTTGAAGTCGGAGAATGGTGTCATGTTGGCCAAGATGGACAGGATGTTAGTAGGGTCGAATTCCACATGCGTTGACTCTCCGGAAACAATCTCATTTTCAACACAGGCGATTGACATGTAAGGTTGCTCGTACGGGCCAACCAAGTCTTCCTTCTCGAGCGGCAGGTATTTGACCGGTCTCACCATCCTCGAAGGTTGGGAGGACATGTAGATACCGGGATAAGACCCTCCCTTCGATGGTGGCACATAGCCGATTTCGAGTGACTTCGGTACCCGGTGAGAGCCTTGCACTTTCCAGTACCTCAGGGTATCTGCGATTCTCTTGGACTCTTTTGGAGTGCACCAGCCAACAATCCTTCCATCGAGTATTACAACGACGCTCTCGTCCGTGGCGGCCGACGAGATCCCGACGACACCAAGTTCGAAAGCCAGCTGTGGGATCGGGGAAGCATCGACATTGCTCGTCATGATCTGGCACTTGTGGGCCAGATGGTTGAGCAATCCACAAGGAGCACCATCAGGGGTGTGTACTGGACATAGAAAACCCCAAGACTCGGGTAGAAGTTTCCGGACTGTTGTGGTTTTGAGTTGAGCAAAGAAGCTGCCACGATGGACCATGCGGAAGTGGCTGATGAAACGAAGGAAGTTGAGCTTTTCAGCGACCACCGTAAAGCCCGAGGTCTGTTGCAAGTCCAACCCAGAAGGACTCATCAGGTTGCCCGTCGAAAGGAAGTACTCCAGGAGCTGGCCAAGATTTTCCGTCGTCTTCCGGAATATTGCCGCCGGAAAATCTTTCGAAAACTGGGGTGACATGAAGTTGTGGCCAGGCTTCCTTCTCAGGTAATCTCTGAGTGAAGCCCTGACGCCGACCGAGAGGAGCTCATCAAGACGTTCCTTCAATATTTGGCCGTATAGGAAACCGCCCAGAAGTATCTCCTGGTTCTGAACGGCATCGGGATTATCGACCGCGCAGTCACCCGCGACGAGGGCGTACAGCTTCCGGATCATGAAGAGGAGCATTTTGAACTTGTCGGCGTCTTGCTCCTCAGTGACGTTGACATTGCCAAGGTGAACGAGCACGATTCTGCGCAAAAACTCCGTGCCCACCTCGTAGTGAGACATGCTGTCTGGCACGCCAAGGACAACCCTAAACTTCTCTCCGAGGTATGATCGAGTTTTCGTCTTGCTGTACAGGCCGTAGCTCTTGTACGTGCGGAGGAGCAACTCAACACGGTCCGTCAGGAACGTGTTCTCCGAACCCTTCGAACCTGCCGGACCGATCAGGCCCTCGAAAACCTCCCGATCGTTGGTCTCGACCAACGCTTTCATAATCATCATGACTGGGACAAGGTACTCGTTCTTCCTCCAAGAAAAGCGGAAGGTCACATTTCCGTCATTCAAGTAGTGTAGGACGTTTGTCTGCGATGTCTCGTCTGGTCGTACACATCGCATTATGATTCCGTAAGGGGTGTATGCGTGCCCACGATTCGTGAAACTGGGGCGATTGATGGCGAGAGGGTAATTCCGTCTGTTCATCAACAGCATCCGAATGATCTTCTCGTTTCCGTTCACGATGAAGTAGCCGCCCAATTCCTCGGACTCCTCTTTCCGTTGCACAAGAAGGGCTGGGGAGTTGTTTTCTAAGTGGCACTTGTTTGACTGTTGACGTGTGAGCAGGTGATTCAGCAAGATTTGCTGCAGGAGGAATTGTCCCTACCTTGATCATGATGGGCATGTTTCCCAGCTCTCGGACGAACTCGCACGGGTCTCCATCATTGACTCTGTATTCGAGAGTGGCTGTCAACTTGCCACGGTATGTAGCATGTCTCTCACGAGCCTCGGCAGGGAAGATCTCGCGAGTCTTTGCGAACTTGTTTGACGGCGGAAGCATGGACTTTTGGAGTTGCACGCTCTTGTATCGGATCGTCAATTTGTTTCTCGCGTTCGCGGAGGATCCATCAGGACTGTCGTAGAAGACTTTTGTTCCAATATCCGCCAAGCCATGGGCTATGATCCCTTGCCTTCCATCCGAGGGAAAAAGGGCATTGAAGGACTCGATGTGCGGGTTGACGGCGATCTGTAGGAGAGGGTATGCGGTGTGATCTGTGGGGGGGTTTCGGAATAAGTCTTCACGGCGCAAAGTATTGTACTGGTGATCCCATTGGGTCTTGGTCTTCGGGGGAGCCATGACGGGCCGTGTGTTCTGCGAGAATGTCAGAGGTGCTATCCGGTGCTTGTGCTCTGGGGCATGAACTTACACTGCGCCGTGGCAGACAGAAGGGGCGTTACTTGCCAAGGAATGGGAGACCCGGACAGTAACTGTCCTAAAAGTATGGCCCCTTCGTCAAAATTTCCCGAGCAGACCACTGGACGGGCGGGCGAGTTCCATGGAGTCGATGCAAGACGGCAACAAAAAGTCGAAGTCGATTTCGTACGAAAAAGATTTGAATTCCTTATCGGCGCCGGTCGCGATAAGGGACCCCTGTTCTCTCCATCACTGCCCGCCCTAGCGAGCGTTTGTTAGTGCCTACTACCTATCTAGGTAGTCTAGTAGGAACCTAGGTACCTTGGGAATACCTAGTTATCCAGGTATTAGTTTACCTACTTGCCCAGCTTACTTTCATCCAACGCTCCCGTCGATCATGAAGTTGGCAGGATATCTCAACTTCCAATATTGTTCACAGCAGAACAGAGGCTCGGGCATCCAGACTCCCAGCGGACTTTTGAGTAGGCCCTACCGTGGACGACACCATCACCGCACACAGCGCTAGGCTGATTCCCCGTTGCAGACCTTGTGGGGGTTGGTTCTCATTAGACGGTAGTCTACTTAGGTACGCGTACATCAGGCTGACCCAAACGAGCATACCCATTCAGGATGCTATCTAGGAGACTAGGCGGTCGTGGAGCCCATTGCGAGATCTGAGCCGAACATTGCATCCACCAGAGAACCGCGTTCGACCACAAGCGACTGCTGCTATTGGGCATCTGCCCACAATGGCAGGCTGCGTGAGGTGCGAAACAGCCAGCCGGTCAACCGGTGTCACCCTCTGATCCAACCCCCCTTCTCCCTCTTGGTCGGCCCCCTCTGTCCACCCCACGGACCACAGCGCCGATGGCGTCGTGCCATTAGCTGGGTACCTGGAGTACTGCTGCCACTGCTGCCGTACAGGCACGCAGCCAGGCATGAGGAGACTGGGAGATGACGGGCGGGCGGGAGATGGAGGGAGGGCATGGTGAGGTATCCATGGGTGCCAGATGGAACCACAGCCGAGCAGCGAATCGCCGTGTGGCCTGCCGGCCAGGAAAGGCCGTCGCGACATCAAGGCCCAAGTTGTCGACCCAACCCAGGCCCGAATTGCGGCCTCAGGCTGGTCCCGAGGTGCGCCGTGAGCCAACCAGGTCGCCGATGCTGCCACGGCTCTGCTGGTGCGCTGCGCGGAGCAGAGAGGCGATGCATGCACCTGCAGTCAAGCTGCATCACCTTGCAGCCCAATTCTACCTCACCTTAGCACCCACACGCCACAGCACCCAGCTCCGTCCCGGGCCAGCGTTCGAAATAGCACATGGTGCAGATTACTCCCGCACCAGACCTGCACCAGACCTGCACCAGACCTGAGAGCCTGCATAACACACACACATGCTGCCTGCCTTGCCTTGCCTTGCCTTGCCTTGCCTTAGACTCCGCTACCCGACCTTGCTCCTGACGAATTTTCGTAGCCGGGGCCTGACCCCTACCTTTAGGTTCCCTTCACCTCGACTCCAACTGCCCACTGCCACCACCATCATCATCATCGCCCTCGTCATCCGTCCCATGAGGGCCCCGCTCGACCTCTGTCCGCACTGCATCATCTCTTCCCGCTGCCGAGAGGCCCTTGGGAGGCGACCTTAGATTTCTGTATCACAACCCTGCGCCCTCATCCCTTGCTGCTCGTGGTTCTGGGTACCAGGCCGAGAGCCCAGACTGTGGTTGTTGTTATTGGGCCTTTGTCGGGGGGTCACACACATAAGACGGCCGACCGCCCAATCATCCCGAGCTCCTTGACCCCGCCGTTGAACATTGTGCATCGCATCTTCTCACTTGACCGTCTTCCTGCGGTTTTACTTCTCCCGGCCAGCAAAGCCGCTCGCCTTCTCGATCGCCCAGGGCATCGGTCACCTGGACAGCCACGGCAAGACGATTCTTCTTCTTCAACGAGCTCCCCTGCGTGGCGCCCTCCGGTATCTGCTCCGCGATCCGCTCCACTTGTCACGAGGTATGTATGTATCTGTCGACGGATGGCAGGTCCCAAGCCACGAACCCTAGCAGCAAGCAGTGTCAGGAGTCGAGTAACCAGCGCCCGTCTCCGTTCTGCGTCTCCGTCTGCACCAGTCCCTGCAGTATCTTGGAGTGCCCAGCGGCAGCCTCACGTCTTCCTGCATACCTTACACTGCTCTCGACCTAGGCGCCCCTAGACCGTCGTCGAATGTCCCTGGAGCTGCTCGCGTTACGCGTTACAGAACATCCTCCAGGCGCCCGCTTGTTGGCTTGTATTGCACTGCAACTAGAGCAAGACTCCAGCCGGTTGTTGGGCCCCCTTTGGCGGCTTCTCCCGGCGGAGGTCGTCTTTTCGCGTTGCCCCGCGGGTTCTGTCCTACGGGCCCGAAAGGCGTGCATGGCAAAAAGATAGATCGGTCCGATCACAGCTGCGCTCCTCCGTCGCCTACCTATCTGAATATTCAAACCTCGTCTCCTCGCATCTCTCTGCCACTCCGGGACTGTGCTGTTCAAGTGCCCAATGTATTTCATCTTCATGCGCTCGTCACATCTGCTATTGCTATTCTAAGCCCCGTCCCGCGTTTACAAGGTCTCGCCGTCCGTTCTGACAGCTCCACTCTAACGAATAGAACCCCAGTCCTAGCCGCTGCTCCCCTTCGCACGTCCCAACGCAAGGAACCCCGTCCGGCATCGACTTTGTGCCCCCATTTTTCGAGGTGGAGAGTTTTCGCGCTCCCACCAAGCCGGCTCACCCATATCACTCACTATCCTCGATGCGCGACAACAGAGTCACGACCGTCCGCTGATCGCATAAGAGCCTCGAGAGCGTCCTGACTTCCGGTAACTGCGTCAACTATTCGCCTTAGCAACCCTCCCGGCGTGGCGCACCTTGCCAAGCCCAGAAAAAAGAAGACACCGCAGCGCAGGGACCCTGAAAGCAGCCCGGCTGATCGCACACCCCGCGCTTGTCCATCGTCTCCCCTCGGCGAGCTCAAGATCACTCGACGCTCGGGCCCATTCCTGTCGCCTCATACAGTACACCTGAGCCTCTCTCTCTCTTTCTTCCTGCCACACACACATAGTTGAGTTTTGAAGTGCCAAGTTAGCTCGTACGATGGCGGGCCTTTTCCGGAAGGTGTATGACTGGTTACTCAGAACTTTCTGGTAAGCCTACATCACCGACAATCTGTCCCTGGTAGACCCCGCGGCTGCACACTGCATATTGCTTGCGCTACCCGGCCGCCAGAGGACGCGGTTGTCGTCTCAAGCAGCCGAATCCTTCTGATCATATCGCACAGGGCGACGGAGATGGACGTCACCATGATCGGACTCCAGAATGCAGGGAAGACTTCCCTGTTGAGAGTGTTATCGGTAGGTGCCCCTTCCTGAGCTGGGTCTCACCACATCGTCCTGACGAGATCATCTGCTAGGGCGGAGAATTCACCATCGAGTAAGCGCATTCCTTCGTTCCTTTTCAGACTGCGGCATCCGTCGCGACACTGCTCATGTTTAGTCGAGGCGTCTTCATCGTCGCGGCGCCCTTTGCAACTCTGACTGACCGACTCGGCTTGCAGTTCGATTCCAACGGTCGGTTTCAATATGAAGAAGGTGCAGCAGGGGCATGTGACCCTGAAGTGCTGGGACCTGGGAGGGCAGCCCCGATTTCGGACCATGTGGGAGAGGTACTGTCGCGGTGTCAACGCGATTGTCTTCATCGTGGACATCGCAGACATAGAACTCCTGTCGCAGGCGCGTGAAGAGCTCCATTCGGTCATGAGCAGTCCGACACTGGAGGGTATTCCTCTTCTCGTCCTGGGCAACAAGTCTGATCTTCCGGACAAGTTGACTGTTGATGAGCTGATCGATGCCATGGACCTGAAGAGCATCGGCCACCGGGAAGTGTCGTGCTATGGCATCTCCGCCAAGGAAGAGACCAACCTCGACGCAGTTCTGCAGTGGCTGGTGAAGTTTGCCCACAGCAGATGAAGGGCCCTGGCCTCGAACAATTCCTTTCTCTCATTCGACTCGGCACTGCTTTGGGAATCACTCCCGGATCAAGTCGGTCGCTTCTTTCTGGCGCAGCGGGGCCTCGTAACGACGGCGGCGGGGGGCAAGCTCTGGGTTCGAAAAGACGTTTCACATCTTGGCCGGCAACGACCACTTCACACCAAAATATCCCACCACTCAAGTTCTTCGGAGGACCTGCGGCATGAACTGGTCTGAACATTGTTCCTCCATCTGGGCTGCCGCAGGTTGCGCTTGTCTCTCCTCCGACTCTGACTCCGAAGGACACTTGCCGACACTGTTTTCATCGCATCAAAGGCAACGCCCCCACGGGCCCGGAGAGCATCTCCCGTCACCATCCGGACCGAGAAGAGTGATGCTCGGGAGGTTGCCTCGGAGACGACGATCAAGTCCACCTGGCTTTTCTTGTGTCTTTGCTTGTTTTCCTTGCACACATACCTTGCGAAAGAATTTTTATGCATGGCCTGCGACGCGCATGGGGTAGTTTGAACATTCTGAGGATTTCTGATGGATATACCTGGGTAATCACATCAATGATGACGAAGCCATGAGCATGAGCCACACAGCATCAGCATGAGAATTATATACCAGAAATCTCAATCACTTGATGATATTTCTTCGCGTGACAATGCAGAGGCCAGGTGCGAGATGACAGCAAGAAGCAAAGGAAAACACGTAGAGGTCGAGCCAGCAAAGAAAAACGTGGTTTGTGGAGATGGAACGGTGCGGGATCCTGGGAACTTGACAGAGATGGAAATTGCCCAAAGCTCAGACCAGCCTGGGACCCCAACGTCGACGGGATGGGCGAGGCAAGGCAAGGTAATCCTGGGAAGGCGAAGGCGAGGAGGATAGCAGGGCTGAAAACGCAATGGGCAGGCGAGCCCAGGGGGAAAGCGAAAAGGATGGGAGGAAAGGACAGACCGAAAGGCACCGCCCTACGAAAGGATTGATGGGGGGCGCTTCTTGAAGTCTTACCCGTCTGTGCGGCAAGTGTGAGTTGGCACGTCCTCATTCGCATCGCGAGAGCAACAAGAAGGCCGTCTCAGGCGGCTGATTGGCTGCCGAGCCGACGTGTTCCTTTTACTATTCCATTCACAAATGCCCCAAGCTTTTTCCCTTCCCGCGCCCCTAGGGCCCCTCAGACAGAATTCCCGCCCGCGCCCTTTTTTTTTTCATGCCTTTGCGTGAATTCGTTGAGTATTCTCATCCTATCGTACCGTGGGGAATGACCTTGGCCGGTCTGGGGTGGGAAGGGGGGCCATGTGGGAGGGGCGAGCCGTTGACGTGGTCGTGCATGATGCAGCTTGACAGCGCAGCAAGCCAGCCAGCACCACCAAGCAGCCCCGGCAGCAGCAAATGGCACCCAGCAGCTAGCAAGCCAGCGCCCAGCCCAGCGACAAAGCGGGCCACCGCGCAACCCAAGCACAGCACGACACCACACACCCACTGCCCCGTTACCCGACCTCGTGGTTCGTCCGATGCACGTCTTGTGCTTCACACATCTCGCGCGGCCCCCTCCCTTTCGTCAACCTCGAGAAACGCGCCAGTTTGCTTCAATGGGAGGGAAAACGCAGCCGCTCTCCAAAGATGCATGTGTGTCTCGGAGGCTGGCCTTGTTTTCGCGTCTCATATTCGCCAGCCCTGAGGCGCACCGGATGGTCTATGTGTGTGTATATGCACTTTTATCTCCCCCACGGGAAGCCACTCCGATCCGCCAGCTCGACGGGTGAGAAAGAGACGTGTCTGTTATTTCCGTGAATCATATCTTGCGGTCTCGTATCACAGCTTGTTGATTCGACGGCTTTCCAGGAGTGCGTCCCGTCTGGCGGAAAGCTGGAGGACGTTGAGTTGATGCCAGCTCCCATTGGCATACTCGATTTTGACCTGTGGGATAACCCGTCTGGAGCGCCTCGGCCCCATCCCACCTCGAAGCTGTGAGGCCACGGTGCCACCAGGGTCCAACCCCTGACCTCAACCACCGGGGGCACCTACAACACAGTAGACTGGTCTTTTACACGATACTGCACAATCATTTATTCCTGCGCTCCTCGCCTCCCACAGTTTGAGAGAGGCGATAGGAGGCAGAAGGAGGAACTGAGCTGAATATCTCCCCCGGGAGTGCGTGCTTGATAGGCCGAGGCCGACACCAATTATCTCGCCGTCTCGCTCGTGGGCTTTGGTACCGCGTTCGCTTACACTGTCAGAATCGAACAAAAGCTGACGGGCAATTCGTCCCATTATATCAATACAGGCCGAATAATTATATCACCTATGCCTTCTCCCTTTCAGGAAGCTCGTCAAGTCTTGGCTTTTCTTGGCCGTCGTGATCAACACGGATGGCCCGTCACGAAGGGAACATGCCTCTTTAGGCAGGAGGGAGCTCCTTACCCGGGCGCATCGAGCAAAAACTAATTCAAGCGGCGCCGACATGCAGGTATAAATGGATAAAGGTATGGACCACAAACAACTCCCTGGTGGCATATCGTTGGCGGACGATCTCGTGAAGACTTTCAGGGGTGCCAGCCTGAGCCCTTTCCCGCCACCGTCTACTCTGTCATATTCTATTTCTTGGGAACCAAGATGAAAGCTCAAGTCATCCTCCAACTCCTTGGCCTCGCTGCCACTGCCGCCGCGGTCCCTCCTCGCCCGGAACAGGGCGAAGAGACCTTCCTCGTCCAGCTCGAGACAGGGCAGAGATGGGTGACGCAGGAGGAGAAGCGCAGCCTTCGCCTTGCAGGCACGGGGTTCATTGACAAAACCTACTCTCCAAACCTCGACGCCTCGAGCCTTACAGCCGCGGCCAAGAAATACACATATCCAAGCTCCGCCTCACACGACGCGGCCGTCAAGCCGCTCTTCAGCTCCCTGTCGACTGACCTCCTGAAGTCCCGGCTCACGACCTTCTCCGAGTTCCAAAACCGCTACTACAAGGGCGGGTACGGCGCTCAGTCCTCAGCCTGGCTCCTCGACATAGTGAACGCCACGCTCGTCGAGGCGGGCGTGACTTCGAGCCTCGGTGCCACGGTTGAGGCGTTCTCGCACCCTAAATGGAACCAGGACTCCGTCATCGCCAAGATCCCCGGCAAAACGGCCTCGACGATCGTCATCGGCGCCCACCAGGACAGCGTCAACTGGAAGGCGTCCAACCAGCAGACGTCCCGCGCCCCCGGGGCGGATGATAATGGGTCTGGGTCCATGACGATTCTGGAGTCCCTCCGTGTCTACCTGACTTCGCCGGAGGTCCTGGCTGGCGAGGCTGTCAACACGGTCGAGTTCCACTGGTACTCCGCCGAGGAGGCGGGCCTGCTGGGGTCGCAGGCTGTGTTCGATGCCTATGCTGCCGAGGGTCGTGATGTCGCTGCCATGCTGGAGCAGGACATGACTGGATACTCCGCCGGCATGCAGACAGAGACTCTCGGGGTTGTGACGGACTATGTGAACAAGGAACTAACGGAGTTCATCAAGATGATTGTGGATACCTATTGTGACATACCTTATGCGGAGACAAAGTGTGGTTATGCCTGGTGAGCCGAAATCCCCTTCTGTGACTTTGTCGTGGAAGTACATCACTGACAACTTGACCTTCAGCTCCGATTTCGCCTCCGCAACTGAGGCCGGTTACCAGTCGGCCTTTGTTATCGAGGCGCCGTTCGAGAAGACTTCTCCATATATACACTCGAGCGAGGACACGCTCGCGACGGTAAACTATGCTCACATGGTGCAGCATGGGCAGATGACACTGGGATTTGTATTTGAGCTTGCCTTCACCGAGTTCTGATCAGACGGGGCGGGAAAATGTATCCCTGAGCACTACAGCCTCTCCTGTTTAGACGAGTTTAGGTGTCGCTGAGTCTGATATCTTCTATGTTCATATTTCGAGTAGATACAGTAGTATATTCACCTTTGTCGATAGGCTGATTGGATATTGATAACATTACCTCACCTGAAACTCCAGAGACTGATCCGTGAGAAATCCAGCTAAAGAACTTGGATTGACTCCTTTCATTTCACCTGTCGAGGACCTTCTGGTCATGGAAAGACCTCGCAGGTCCTTCTTACAGGGGGGGGGAGGTGCCTTACCATCATCACCTTCTTTACTGACTGTAGGGTCTCACTGGTATGGGATAACATTCCTATGCGAGCGTGAGCTCGTTCAGGGAGGATTTGGTGTCCGCGGGGTAGTTCTTTCTAATAGATCCGTCTCAATATTTCGAACAGAAGCGCATGGGCAAAATCAAGCCTGACTGAACTGGGGACATGTGATCGGGGCGGAGAGCATAGATAGACCACGGGGCCGCCTGAGCACTGCACCTGGCAGCCCTGTCAATCTTGACGTGAGAAGCTCGTCGATCGAAATTACCAAGAGTGCGTACGTGATGGTAGGGCTGATGGTGCAGTAATGAGTTTATCGGATGGCCAAACTGGCTTGGCGGTCGAAGTAATGGGCTAATTTGCGAGGCTCCTCAAATCGAGGAAAAGATACACTTTAATAAATGCCCTTTGATGATATAAGTCAAGAAGGTACTTGTACCTCTCGTCTGTGGTACCTGGGTACGGCTCGCAGCCACGGGCTACCTAGTGTAGGTACGCTGTTACAAGGATGCCAGGGATACAGTAGCTGCCCAGCGGCCAAGACAAGGGGCCTGGAGCTCTGGTCAATGAGGACCCCCTTGCTACAGGGTGTTTGACGTACATCGAGGTACGCAAGCAAACCCTCGACGGACAAGTAGCCTTCTCTCCAGAATGCCTCGACTCTTCCCCCATCGGCTTCTGGTGCAGCGATGAAATTGATGTCCACGTCGAGCCGAGAGAACCCCATGTTCTCAGTTCCTAAGCCGATTACGCCTTGCGACACGGAAAATGTCCCTTGAACCAGGCGGGCCCAGGTCGATCTCGCCTGAGAGTGCTACTCGCGACCCCCAACACCCTCCGCGACAATGGAGGAACCAACTCAGCGCTGGTAAGCCTGTGCTCCGATTCGCATGTCTGGTGAACGGCTGTATGAGTTGACTGACGTATCTTGTGCTTCTGACCAGAGGATGACCCGCCGACTCAAGACAAAGCCTACCGCAAATATGCTGTGGGCGTCGACCGAGCCCTCACCCTCTTCGAGACTGCGCTGCAGGAATGGGCAGACTACATCTCCTTCCTAAATAGACTCCTCAAAGTTCGACTCATATGCCCCGGAACGCTTCGCGCACGTAGCTGACTGTCGGAAACACCAGGCCCTCCAAGCTCGGAACCAAAACATACACACCGTCCCGGCCAAGGCGACAGTCGCGAAACGCCTGTCGCAATGCCTCAACCCTTCCCTGCCGTCGGGCGTCCACCAAAAGGCCCTCGAGGTTTACAATTATGTATTTACAGTAGTAGGGAAGGATGGCTTGTCACGGGACCTTCCGTTGTACTTGACCGGACTTGCGCCCACTCTGTCCTTCGCCTCCCTATCCGTGCGGACGCCCTTCTTAGACCTCCTGGAACGCCATTTCCTCGACTTAGACCCCCGAGCTCTTCGGCCCGCCATGAAATCCATCATACTGGCTCTGTTACCAGGCTTAGAAGAGGAGACCGCGGAGGACTTCGACCGAACACTGAAGCTTTTGGAGAGCTTCAAGAAAGCCATACGGCCAGCAGGATCGGAAGAGATCACGCCCATACACTCGGCCGGAGATGACTTCTTTTGGCAATGCTTCTTCTTGGCCGCCATCACGGGACAGAGTCGCCGGCCTGGAGCTCTGGCTTACCTCGTGCGAAGCCTCCCCAAGCTGGGTCATACACTGACACCGGAGTCGCGGGACGCAGACAGTTCGATACAGAGGGAGGAAACCGAGCTATCCTCCAAGGTATCCCAGCTAGTCACCACACCAGAACCCGGGCTGCTGTTGCGATGTTTCGCTGCTGGTCTGGCTGATGAGCAGCTGCTCATCCAGAGAGGGTTTCTAGATCTGCTGGTGACCCACCTGCCCCTACACTCCAAGGTCCTCCAGGAGCGAGTTAAGCCAGGTGATCTAGAGCTTCTCCTGAAGGCTGCCGCCGGGGTAGTGACCAGGCGAGAAATGAGCCTGAATAGGAGGCTTTGGACTTGGCTCCTCGGCCCAGAGCCCCCCGCCGGTGAGACCGACAGCGGGCTGGAATCCCCTAGCTCTCCGTCGGCACATCACAACGGACTGCTATCAACAAGGACAAGCTATTTCGAGGAGTATGGACTCGAGCCGCTCATAAAGTCATTGTTGGCTTTGATCAAAGACGCCCCAGAGACCACTGCGGCTGAGAAAGCCCGTCCGTACCGCATTTGCCTGTCTCTGATGGACAGATGGGAAATCGGTGGCCTTGTTGTGCCTGAGATCTTCCTGCCAATCGTTGACAGCGTCAGGAACTTCAAGGTTGAAGCCTCTAGCCAGTCAGAGTTTTCTGAAGTCCTGCGTAGTGCTAGCACCTTCTTCGACGGTGTAGAGAGTGGCTTGATATACGGCGAGATACTAGGTCAAATGGCCCAAGCAATCGGCCCTGGGGGCTCTTCCACATCGGAGCGGTCAGACAAACTTGCGCTGGTCCAATTCATAATCAAACACTTCAACATCAGGGAAGAAGAAATGGTCACAGTTCACGCTCCGCTGACTGCGCTTGCGATCTTTTGCATGATCGAGGACGCGAGGAGCAGAGAGGAGACAGAGACTGCATCTACGCAAAGAGATGACCTAGTCACCACTGCACTTGGTATTGCGGCCGATCTCCTGGACATCGTGCCTGAGCGGGCGTTCCCGTCCAAGCCAGAAAGCACGTCTTCAGACTCGACAGTTCTAGGAACATCGCAAAACTTGGATCTTTTGCTGAAGATACGAGACTTCTACATCCACGAGCAGGGTAATTTGGACGTTTCGAAGCCACCATTGACCCGCCGCGATGTAGGAGAGCTCCTATTGCAAAAGTCTTGCAGCCTGGGATGCGAGAGCCTAATGCGCAAAGAATCAGCAGCAGACCTCAGCGTTAAGTGCCGCATATTGATGACGCTGATCTCAAAGACGCCACAAGACTCTCCATTCGATAATTCTCGTCTCCTTGCAGCACTCCACACCTGCGCCTCTGAAGAGGGGTCACTGCGGTTTGTTACTTACTCGTCTATCCTCTCCCTCTCCACCCATCTATTCTCCTCTGGCCGGATATCCCACAACGACCTTTCCGAACTTGTCATACCTCTGGTTCAGCATGCTTGGTCCTACCTGTCCGCTTCGAAGCCGCGGTATCATGTCGAGACCGTGAGGAGTCTTTGGCAACTTCAGAGTGTGCTTACCACGCAGAATCGGGATATTGAGGCAGCTATTTGTGCTTTGATGAGCCAAAGCGATGTCAACGGAAATTTCCCTGTTCGACCTGCAGAGCCTGGTCGAAGATTCAGCATCCTGTGGTCCCACAGTCTGCAGGACAACCCTCCAACCTCAGACAGGAGAGCCCCAAAGACTCCTCATGGAGATCTGTCAACCTCTCCGAGGCTTGCTGGCATAGACAACTACGAGGTCATGCTGACACGGCCATTATTTTTGATGCTCGATGCATTCTCGGATGAAAAGACCCAGCTTTTCATGGCCGCCAAGACATGGCTCAACAGTCTAGTAGGCGTTGACAAGTGAGTTGATTCATCTTAGCTGCCCCAAACAGGTGCTGATCTATGACGCCTCAGGATATTCTACGTCTTTACTTTGCAATTTTTGCAATTGCCGTTTCTGCGAAGCGCCCCTGTCGACGCCGGCACATCCGATGAGAGGAAGGGATTCACCGAAAACGATGACCTTGACCTCTGCCTGTACTATCTGAGAACAATCTCAAATATCTTCCGCTGGGCGCCTGACGCGATATGGAGTGTATTGGCCACCAAGACTATCTCTGCTGATGATTTTCCTGGTTTGGTAGAAATCAGTAAGAATGGCACTGGCCTGTAATACTTTGACAGATGCTAACTGTTGTAGCCGATACCCAGGACGACGTGCCTCTCCAATTCTTCCTCCTACAAGTTTGTCTGAGGTGCATCTCACATTACCAGATATCGGATGACAGCGAGATCAAAGTCCGAGTCACACAGCTTATTCGGAGTGCCCTAGTAGTCCTCCACCAGATTCTTCTCAGTCCCTATGCTGCGCCTCTGGCAAGATTGCATCTTGAGGACATCTTGATCGAGAGGCTTTCCAGGTCTTTGGACTGCCCAGATCCCTATTCCCAGGTTCTTCTTCTAGATGTCGTATTCGCTTCTCTGAAGCTTCGAGAGGTGCTCTCTGCCGAGCCTCCACCTTCACCTACTATGGAGAAAAGGAAGCAAGGTGGTGAAGTTGGAAGTCACCGTGGGTCCGTCTCTGCGGACAAGACATCTCGACTTCCTCCCCCGCCACCAGCGTTACTCAAGTGCCTGCAAGCCGGTCTCTCGTCCCCGAGTAGTCGGCCAGTATTGGACAGCTGGATCAGTTTCCTTACTGAATGCTTGCCATACTATGCCGACACCATATTCCAGGTGCTGATTCCGCTTGTGGGGACGCTGTGCGATCAGATCGGTACCACCTTCACCAGCCTGCAGCAAATGTTCAAGGGCCGTGAGCAGGACTGGAAAGATCACACTGACGCTCCAGAAACGACCTTGATCTCTTTCTTGAATGGGCTTGAGCACGTCCTGGCTAGGAGCCATGACAGGTTATTGCTGGAGGAGGCACGCACACAGGTTGTTAAGAGCCCCGATCAGCCACAAGGTTTCTTCGGAAATATGGTGTCTGGCGTGTTCTCAAACGAAAACCTGCACTCTAGGAGTGCTACGGCGAATGATAGGTTGACCGTGTTGCTGGCTTTTCAGGATGCCGTGAGAATCTGCTTTAGAATCTGGTCTTGGGGCCAAGGCGGTGACGCGACTGCGCAAGCCACCAGCTCCATGGCTTCTTTCAAGTACACCTCTCTGCGTATGAGAAACCGCGCCCGCAGACTTTTAGAGCATTTGTTTGCCGCAGAAACTCTGGAGTGCTTGGAGACAGTCATCGACATATGGCGCAAGTCGTTGACCGATTCTTCATCACAACCGCACGTCGAAGTCTTCAACCTTCTCCCTGCCCTTGATGGTTCACGACCAAAACATACCATACCGGCGATATTCAACTCTATCTATAGCCGGACGAATCCGACGGCGCTTGATCCCACACGCAAGTCTAACCTGACGCTGGACCTTCAGGACACTGATATTGTCATTTTCTTGGTGGACTACGCCAGATCTCTTGAGGACGACGCCATGGACGAGATTTGGCAGGACTGCATCACATTCCTGAAGGATCTGTTGACCAACCCATTCCCACATCGTCAGACACTTCCAAGCCTTCTCGAGTTTGCTGCAATTTTGGGGGTCAAGGTCGACAATACGAACTTCGGAGAGCAGCGCAAGATGCGCCGGGAGTTGGGGGTAAGGATACTCATGCTCGAAGCACTAAGTGTACACGGCTGACATTCTTCACTGCAGGACCTGTTTTTAAGACTGCTGACCGCGCTATTCACGACGCGGCCTGTTAATTTCTCGGATACCAATAACGGCACCTCTGAGAAGCCGAAGCGCCTTGAGCCTTCCGGACAAGCCACACCAAGCAGGACTCCCCAAGAACGCGCGGACGATGTTGTCTCCATATTGTCTTCGATTACCCCTGATCTTCCCAAGATACTGGTTGAAAATGACCGCGTCCTCTCGGCTGCGACATCCATCTCCACCAGCGTGATCGGACCAGCATTACGCGCAAAGGCATTCCCAGACACATTTTCTAAGAGCACTCTGGTCTTGCTGCAGGAGCTTACGCGACTACCAAACAACCAAAAGACCTGGAAGAGAGACGTCACAGACGCATTCAATGATCCTCGGTTCTTTGGGACGAACGTGACACTGATTCTGAATGACTGGTTGCCTCTGCTCAAGCAGTGGACAGTCACGGACAAGGATCGGTTGCCAGAACTGCTTAGCCGGATCACTGCACCGACAACAGCAGGAATAGTGTTTGGCGTAGGCGCCACCTCGGCGAGACTCGAGGCCGATCGAAAGACGCAACTGAACCTCCGCCGCATAGCCACACTAATTCTGGCGGCAGCGGAAGACACATTTGTCACAGAATTGCCCAATATCTTAGACAAGCTTGTCGAATTACTAGGAGCAACAGCTACTTCATCCCCATCCTCGACCACGCGGGCAGAGCTGTTCATGGTTGTCCGCGCCCTCGTCCTGAAGACAAGCGCCATACACCTGGCTCCGATCTGGCCAGTAATCAATGCGGAGCTGCACTCGTCTGTGTCATCCGTGGCGGCCCCTGACCACAGCGCTGCCTCGGAGATGTACAACAACGGTTCGGTACTGCAAGCGTGCAAGCTATTGGACCTGCTCATCTGTGCGGCCCCCGATGACTTCCAACTTCACGAATGGCTTTTCGTGACAGACACAATCGATGCAGTGTACCGACCGGTCAACTATCAAGCGATCGCGCTGGTGGACGAGCTCTCCGAGGAGTTGGGGTCCGCAATCGTGACACCGCATCCGCAGTCAGAAGACACAGCCTTTCTGACTGCACAAGGCCCTCGCAAGCGGCCTTTACTGGGAGCTGGTGGTATCAGGGATGATATCAACCTGGAGAGGAGGGAAGAGCTGGTTGCAAAGATACTGAGGCCGTTCTTCGGCCAACTCAGCATCTTTGCCTTTGAGTCAACGTATGCAATGAGTCCTGTGGACTGGGAGGGCTGCGTCCAGGGACTGCTGAGGGATTTGTTCGATGAGTCCACCATTGTGAAGGCGCTATGATGGTTTTAGGTAGGCTCCGTGGTCGAACCTAGACGATTCCTCAAGAAATGCTAGATATTGATGGCCTTGAAAAAGTTCTGGCGATGTAAAAGTGATTTACCTTGCCTCTCAACTAGCCATCTCGCGCTCATCCTCGGGCGGGTAGTAAGCAACCAGGCCCTTGGCAGCGCCTTTGACACAATACTGGACCACGTCCAGCTTCTCCGCCGCACCGTCAGGGACCAAGCTCGCAAGCTGCCGCAGGTCCCCGTTCCGGGGTAGGAACAGCGCGTGCGCCATCGGGCGGCACGCATCGCTTATGTGAGCCAGCGAGTAGGGCTCCATGGCCTCCAGGTCAAAGACGTCGGCCTGGTGGTAGCCCACGCCTCCCCACGGCGGGCTCGCGAAGACCTCGACGCCGCGGGCGAGGGCCTCCGCGGCCGACGACCCGCGACCCCCCAAGCCCAGGCCCAGGCGCACGTTCAGCGTGTCGTCCAGGGTGTCGGGCCGGTTGACCAGGCGGTTGAGGAAGTCGAAACAGTCGGCGTGCACGAAGGTGACGTACTCGGCGACCTCGTAGACCTCGGCGTTGTGCTGCGCGCAGGCGAGCGTGGCGGCGTCGCGCTCGACGGCGATGACGCGGTCCCAGGCTCCCGAGAGCGCGAACTGGATCGTGTTGCCGCCGGCGCCGGCGAAGAGGTCGATGACCACGCTGGGTTTGTGCCGGCGCTGGGCGTGCTTGGCTGCCATCTCACTTGCGATCTCGCTGGTTTGAGCGAGGTGGGTTCAGTTAATGTCCCGTGGGGGAGGAGGAATAAGGGTTGCGGGTCCTTACACTGCTATGGGCTCTGGGGTGACGCCGAACCAGGCGGCGTCTGTCATTCGTATGTCGTAGTCGTCGTACTGCCATAGAGTATTGCGCTGGTGCCAGTATCTGTCTCGCTCATCAGATCGATGCAAATGTGACTCGTGCGGTGAGGGGTGTGATCACGTAGGCAACTCACTTCTGTAAATTCTCTGGCATCTCATCATAGGAGGAATAGTGTTTGCATTCTTTCGTGAGAGGCAGTCTGTCTGCTGGCTTCATGATAGCAGCTGGCAATCCATATCTGCTACTGAGATACTCATTGATGACGAGGCTCCCGTCCTGCTTAAGTAGTCCGCCAGATAAGCCTGCTGAGTGGCTTGTAGCTGCCACTGTCTGCATCATTCTCCGTGTCCCGCTTGCACTGGAGTACGAACTGATTGAGAATAACTGGAAAATCCCATAGGGCCTACAGTCCACTTGCCATCTTCGCATGCGATTGCCGGTAGACGTTCAGGTGATACACCTAAAATTCGCTAGCAGAAAGCTTCAGAAAAGTACCAAGGTACCTGCTAGAGCTGTGGCGCTAGGGACCTCGGGAGCTCCCTCAGGTAAGGGAGCTTGGGGCCAGGGGGTCCCGCAGGCAAGGCTGAGAGACACAGGGCGGCAACGTGGTCGTATAGCATTCACTATCGGCGCATGTGAGCCTCAACAAACGCCGTTGCATCGTCAATTAACGGGCGCCCGAAATCGTTGGACCCAAGAAAGGCACGAATAAACACCCTTCGAACCTTCCATTGGTCGATAACAACAATGTTCAACGCGCTCAACCGTTTTATGTCCCGCCTCGACGGCGAGGACCCTCGACAGAAGCAGCATCAACAAGGGCTGTTCGGCTTCCAAGTGCTGCGAAACGCAAATCTACAGCTCGCAATCGAGCCATGGTTCGACTTTGTCGTGGGCATCAATGGACGCATGATCGTATGACTTCCCTTCGGACGTCTGGAAGACCAGGAGGGGCATAGAATACTGAACAACACTCCCAGGACGACCCAAGCCCCGGCCTCTTTGCGCAAGAGGTCCGCAACTGTGCGGGAGGGAGCGTGTCATTAGGCCTATGGAGCGCAAAAGTATGACACCGCGAGAGTGCAATGGAGTATTTATCTGTTACAAGGCTGACATTCCACCGCCAGGGCCAACGGACACGCACGATGCACGTCCCGGTCCCGGTCGACGGCTCCTCGCTCGGCCTGTCCCTCCAGTGGACGTCGCTGAACGCCGTCGTGAACATATGGCACGTCCTTGACGTCCCCGCCAACTCCCCCGCCGACCTCGCGGGCCTCCTGCCCTACAGCGACTACATCCTCGGCTCGCCTGAGGGCACCCTGCATGGCGAGAGCGGGCTGGGCGAGATCGTCGAGGACCACATCGGCCGGCCCCTGAGGCTGTACGTCTACAACAACGAGTACGATGTCACTAGGGAGGTCACGCTGCAGCCGAGCCGCGAGTGGGGCGGCGAGGGCGCGCTGGGCTGTGTCCTGGGGTACGGGGCACTGCATCGTCTGCCCGCGCCGCTAAGCGAGCCGGTGGACGCGCCGGGCGACACGATCTTTGACGGGTCGTTCTCGGAAAAGACGCCCCTTTACGGCCAGGCTGCGGCTGCACCTGGAGGCGACACGGCCAACTTCTTCACACCCGCCGAGGCGGAGCAACCTCTGGCTGGTGCTCCCCCGGCTGGGGGTGGTGACTTCCTCGTCCCGGCCCAGATGGCAAGCGCGCCGCCGCCAGCAGGGAACGTGCCGCCGCGAAGTCAGAAGAAGAAGGCGCACCGGGCGCCGGTCGGTGGGATGGATGACTACTTCAACGAGCAGGAGGAGAAGAGCAGGGCGCTGGACCGGCCAGACTCGACTCGGAGCAAAAGCCCCCTCGCTCCCCCGCCCAAGGCGGGTGGACCACCAAAAGGAGGCCCGCCGCGAGCAGAAACACCACAAGCAGAGGCGGAGGAAAGTGCGGAAGGTGCATAGAGAGAAGGAGCGTGTCATGGAAGAAGCCCTCGTCAATTGGTTTTACGGCTGCAGCGGAGATATACCCTGGCCTTTGCCCCGCCATATCGCTCTTCATGCTGCTCCCCCGTGCTCCGTGCCATGATTGTACAAGTAGATGCCACCTTCGAGATCCCTCAGCCGAATCTAGGGGGTAAAATAATCGGAAACGCCCCTCCGCTCGCTTTGCCTGTCCACGCCGTCCCCAGGTCCTCCCTCAGTTGATGTAGTTGACGCAGAAGAAGTGCAAGATGAGGCTGCCCAAGATGTAGTCTGCAAAGGAGCGCTCCGGGGTGACCTTTGGGAAATCGGACTTGTTCTGCTCGTCGGTTTGCATGCGCAGGGAAACTGTCGCAGTCAGGTCAGTTAGAAGGGACAGGTCAATCATCGCCATGAGAATGCCGATACGTACCAGTAAGGACGAATTGGCCAACGGTGGCGGCAAAACCTGCCAGGAAGGCGTTGAAGGGCTGTAGGAGAGCCAAACATCAGCCTTGCTTGTTCAACAGAGCCCGGGTCTGAGAGGGTGTCGTCCTTACATCTTTCGCAATCAGGAAGTAGTAGACAAACTGGATGGCCCCGACGGCCATGAGGAAGGCCAGGAACGCATCAATCAGGCGCGTCTGGTGGCCGGTGGTCTTCCAGTAGTGGGACCAGATCTGCTCGGGGGACAGTGGTGATTTGAAGGGCTGGGCCTTTGCGGCCTTGGTGGTCTTTGCCGGGGTCGAGACCGGCGTGTCTGCCTGGGCAGCAGCGGCGGCGTTCTTCTTCGGTGCCATGATGGATTATTCGAGGATGATGTTGGCAATTGGTGTTGTCGGTACTGGGGAATGTGATGGTGGGTTGCGTGGCTGCTTGGTTGATTTGGAATGACTTACGCGACGGTTGCCATGGGCGTTCGAAGCTATTGCTTTCCTAGACGACACGACAGCTCTTAGACGTAGGTCCTCTTATCGGCGATAAGCCCATGGCTGCACAAGCGGCTCCTGGGGGTGGATCCGGAACGTGGGTAGCAAGCTCGTTTATTGGCTGTGGTGTACAAGGGACTAAGGCCTTGATTTTGACGTACCTGTCCCTCGGAGAACGCCTCCTTATCAAGACCACGGCCGGTTCTCCGTGTCGGAAGTTTCACTGCCTCCTTTTGCTGGTGATCGTGGTTTGGAAGGTTTATCGCTCGCTTCGGGATCAGTTCTTGGTCGAAATGTGAGAAGATTAGGATGTTCTCCACTGTGAATGGGGAACGAGAAATCCGGAGGATTGAGCTTCTCAGGACCCTTGATGTAGCGAAAATGAAGATCTGGGTGATGGCTGATCTGGTACCAGGTGGAGACAGACATTTCAAGCTCAACGACATATGACCCTACTTGGTACACATTGTTGACGGTAATGCGCCCAGAAAGACCTTGATGATCCCTTAGGTATCGTCGCAGATCTTCCGCGTCGAGTTTGGCGTCATTGGTATAGCAATCAACCCGGACAGTAGGTAATCTTTTGTCGAAGAGAAAATCAAGGGGAGGCTGGTATCGGCTGACAACAGGTCGAAGAGGCGCGATGATAATTGGAGTTTGTAAGCCCTCATGTAGAAGCATGTGCACTGGCTCAGCCTCAAGCTTCCGTGTATCTTCTCCGATCTCTTTGCGTGTCCAGTAGTTTGCGTATAAACGTGCATAGAGTTGAGAAGTGGGCATGATGTTTCGCGTGTTGAAGGCGTTTTGTAAAATGTTATTCACATTGTTTGTGAAGGAACATTCTCCCCAGGAACCTTGACCAGCATCTTGGTGTCTGTCTCCTACAGCGGTTGCAGCTAAAAGTTCCTTGCCTGATAGAGGCCCGCAAGCAACAGCTGCAGCATGACAGCAATCCATGAGCATGAGTACATGGGGAGCAGCATTATCGATGCAAGTTTCTCGTAGTTTTGTGAAGTCCAGCTTGGCCCAATGTTGAGTTGGCTCAAGCTTGCCTTCAGAAACTTTTAGAAAGCTTGCTGCAAGCCTCTGGGAGAATTGCCACTCGTCTTCTTGATTGTGACTGTCGAACTTGTTACAAATGGTATACTCACCATGTCCTTGATAATGTAGAATGAGTAAATTATGTGTCGTCAGGCGTGCTGTGGCATGACGGATTGCTGTTGCAAGCATGTTGTATGCAGTTTCTTCTGCATCGTGAGGCAGGACAACGCGCTTCGTGTCGTAGTTATAGAGCTCCCTGAAAGTTTTCTCAAGCTCACGAGACTGCTCCTCCTGAGTCGAAATGAAATCTGGCAAGGCATCTTTGTCCCAAGTGACATGTATGACCCAAACTCTGTCGTAGTAATCTTTGCATCCTTCTCCAATGTTGTAGGAAGCTCGAAATTGTTGGATGGAGTCGGCGAGCTCTCTCCACGGTCTTCGCGGGGTTCGGTAGTGTCTCTCCATAGTGGTATGAGCTTACGAAAAGCTGATCGTTGGACCTTATTTGCTGCGTTGCTGGAAGGACACGATGCTTGGTTCTTGTTGGGTTGAGGTGGAAAGGATGGCTTTTCAAGGAAACCCAGATTTTGGGTAGAACTGGAAGGAATCTTGAAGGTCGCCAATTTCAGCCAATATCGCGAGGGCTAATGTGGGAGCTAACTCCCAGGTAGCTAACCAAGCCACCAATCACCTCGTGTGAGTGATGAAACTTCCACAAGGCGAACTTGAGAGTTCGAAGACACACAATTTGAGGTCTGTCGGCAGTAGTAAAGACAGAGAAGAAACAAGGATGCGGAAGCAAACTTGGACCGCGTGGGGATCCGACCGAGAAATCAAACGGCTGGAGCGCCTGAGCTGCTCTGCGGACTTGTAGTTCACAATAATCACTTGCATCCTATCCCAGCACGATATACATGAGGATGTTCACGGGCGTTGCCTTCGCCACCGACCGTGCCTCGCCCTGCGTGGCAGCCAAGAGCTGTCAAAGTCTTGGCAACTGCCACTCGCACGATCCCGGGGATTCCGTTTCGGTCCCAGAAAATACTGTTGGAGCGTCTTGATTTGCTGCCGATGGTCAAACCCGTCGAAACACCACAGGGTGAGGATGAACAGCCAGTCTTGGCAATACGAGCTCCTGCACAGACATGCTGAAACCGGCGCCGCTAGGTGGGGGTGGGAAGGCTGCTAGCTCGTCAGACAAAAATCCGAAAATTCCCATCGACCTCAGGGATCACGGGGCGGTCTCAGCCGAGGCCGCAGGTTGGTTCATCCGTGGGCCGTGGGCCGGACAAAGAGATGGCGCTGTTCAAGCGCTGAGGCTGAGATGTGGTCGCCGTTGTGGCTAGCACGTTGGCTGTCAAATTGGTTGGGTGAGATTCTAAATAGAAAGTTTGGGGTCATGGGCCACGATCCTCCGGCCCTCGAGGGCCGGAGGCTACTCACGACCTCGCGGCACAGCACCCGATTTAGGTCGTGGATGGGAGAGCATTGCCTCTGAAGTTGAGTTCAGCTTTCCGAAAGCAGAAAGACGACGGCGGGATGGATGGTGAGAGAGGCTCCCTTGACTGGAACGGTTGCATCCCGGGCTCGTGGGTACCAAGCTTTTGGGCTGGGTGTGTTAGCTTGAAACGGGCCCACAAGCACCCAATCGGCCGGCGGGCGATGGGCCAGTGAGATGGCAAACGCCTTAGATCATCGTCAGGGGTCATTCTGCGGAGGTGGAGCCTCGGGCATGTCAAGGTTGTGCCCGCCGAGCCTTTTGGGACCATGTGACAGGTGGAGGAGCTCCAGTTCTCGTGGTGATCGCTGGGCCCACTGCGTGCATACCAGCCTCACGGCAGTAGAATTGCCGCTCCCAGGTTGCGGGGCTCTGCAGAGAGCTGAAGCTGGAAAAGCGACGTCGTGGATATTAGCGACTGGGCGAGCAGCTGTGGCCCCTGCCAACGATCGTGATGCCTGTGCTGTTGGTTGGTTGCCCTGCGGACTAATGCAGCCGACAGAGGCGGCAGCACATGGTCACGGGAGGTCGACCAAGCTGCAAGATGGGCCAGCCAGGCTTTGATCAGCGCCTCAACAGCTTGCTGCAGCGATTGGTGTAATGAATCATTGTAGATCGTAACCGATGCCATGACGGCCTCATTCTCCGGCAGACCGAGTTCCCATATGCATTCCGCAATCCCATGTGCCTCCTTCCCACCGCCCGGATAAAACGGACAGGCCAAGCTCGGCGGTGTGGTGTGGGAGGGGGATCGACTGGGTTGCAATGGGGGCTGGCAGCGCACGTCATGGACATGCAATGGGTTCCGCACTGTTATGTACAAGAGATATTGGGTTGACCTTCTTTTCTTGCTGCCGTACAGATGCCGTAACACCAAGCACAAAGCATCTCAAGGCCAACTGAAGTGCGTGGGGAAACCCATACTCCGGAGCTCTGCTGTCCGTCGCGGGCGATTGATTGGTCTCAAGCAGTTGGAAATCAGAAGTTTGGTAGTTGGATCCAATGGACCTTGGGCAGGCTGTGTTTGATTGCGGTCAGTTTGGCCGCAAATAGATTCGAAGGAGGCTGGGCCGGTGAGATGGTCAGCAAACACAACAGCACAGCAGGACGGGCTTTACACTCATGCCTAGGTACCTGTTGTGGCAGGGGCCAAGCTCTCCCAAGCTGAGTCCGGCTCCAATGGCAGCCCCTGTCAGTCGGTCCCAACAGGCGCTCGGATTGTTGTTTCGAGGGGCTACCCCTGACGCATTCCACCTCCCAGCCTTGTTCCCTTCCAATCCTTTTCTGGAAACCACAGATCCGCAGCTGAGCTGTCATGGGCTACGGTGGGGTTGGAAACAAAGCGACCAGGCAGCCCAGGTTGACAGGTCGACAGGTCAACAGTTGGTAGGTGGTTGGTTGTGTGTTTGGCCAGTTTTTGACATTTGATTCGATCTTCGCATCTGCTGTATTGCATGCAGGCGCGGCACATTGTCTCTCGCCCCCAGTCGATATGTATCACAGCTTCATTTCCAAGCCCCGGCCGAGAGTGACTGTCGCACCCGCCGTGCGGTCCCGCCATGCGGTACTTTCTGTGCTCCAGACCTGCCTAGATGCGTGGTGAGGCACGCCGCACCGTTGCGAGGAGCTCTCATCTCGGATGAATAGGCGCCAGGTGTGAGTGATCTGGGAGGAGATGTGATCAACCAAAGCTAGGAATGGGCACTACTGTAGGAAGAGGCGGCCTGTCGCACGTCCTGACCTCCTGGTCCCTCCTCCTTCTCCTCCTCCACTTCCTCTACCAGACTGCCGAGTGGCTTGGTACCTGCAGCATCCATGTCTCTCACAAGCAGGGGGGGCCTGCACCCATCTGAATACTGTACAGTACATGTGTACCAACACAGCAGCCTTCTGCTCCCCATCAATTTAGATTGACTCTCATATAATAGTCCGGCCTCTGCCTCGTCCTTCATCTCCTTCATCTCCTTCATCCTCCCTCTCGCCATCCCTCAACGTGACCCGTGTGCTTCCAATTTCCAGTCTCGGCCATTTGTCTGATCTTCCCTGATCGGTGACTGACACAACCCAACCGCACCTCCAAGTCACCTAGCATCGTGACTCGTTTGTTCGACAGTCACAAGCCTCACCTCGCCTACTTGGTGCTTACTTTGTCACACGCCTTGTGCCAGCCCCACCTATTTATACGACTCTTGTAACGCTCAGGACGCCAACTCGTCAACTGGACAGCCTCACAATCCTCTGACCCCTCCTCGTACCACCAACAACCGACATCAGCAAAGTCCCACATAGATCGTCAAAATGCGCATGTCAATTGCTACTGTCATCCTGGCTGCTGCCGGCGCCTCAGCCCAAGACACTGGCGTTCGTCAAATCATACCCTCTTCTCACCGAACCTGCCTGCTAACTCCTTTCTAGAAACTTGGAGATGCTGCAGTCATCAACGACAACCCTGCTGGAGCTGTGTACAAGGCGACTCTGCCCGACACTGCCTTTACCAAGAGCGCGTACCCCAACGGCGGCAACGTGAAGGGCTCCGTATACGCCCTGTCCAGCCCAGATGGCACCGGTGTGATCTTCAAGGTCAAGTTCTCCGGACTCCCCAGCGAGGGCGGTCCTTTCAGTAAGTCTGGCACACTGTCAACATCCCTAGATCTCCGCTAACAAGCGATAGTCTACCACCTTCACGACCAGCCTGTTCCAGAAGATGGAAACTGCACTTCAACGCTGGCTCACCTTGACCCTTATGAGCGTGGAGAGACGACCCCATGCGACCCCAATTCTCCCCAGACCTGCCAGGTTGGCGATCTTTCCGGAAAGCATGGCAATATCACTGGCGACACTGACGCCACCTACACCGACAACTTTGCTTCCCTCAAGGAGGGCATCGGCGCCTTCTTCGGCAACCGGAGTCTCGTGTTCCACTTCGGGAACAAGACCCGCATCACTTGTGCCAACTTCGAGGCTGTCAATGCTGGAAACACATGCAGCGGCACTCCCTCCTCGACCGCGTCCAGCACGGGCACATCGGCCCCGACCAGCCGGCCCACAGGAGGTGCGACTCCCACCACTGGCTCGCCGATCGGCAGCAACGCGACTGCCACGGGATCAAGCCCATCATCGACCACGTCGTTCGTCCAGGCTGCCGGAAACGCCAATGCCCCGACAGTGATCCTCGCTGCCGGAGCTGCGGCCCTCGCGTTCCTTCTATAATCACAGAGTCTCTCTCCAAAGCACTGAGTTTCTTGTGACTTGTTGCATGGATTTCCGGCGTTTCTTGTTTGGTGGAGGGTCACCATAGATGTTTGTGACAAAGGTAGGGTAATGGGTTACTTGGCTTTCGCAAAACTGGTTGGGAAGATACCTCATCTGCCGCAAAATTTGCTTCGAGTACATTAGAAAGGGAGACCGGGCGTGTGGTAATGAGGACATAATGGACCGAACCGCGCGGTCACATCCCAGTTAATACTCCAATTTTGAGAAGCGAGATTCTCGCAAAAATTTCAAAAGATTCCACAATATCCAAACAGACTGCGTGCGATTGGAAAATTCTCCCGTGAGAGGCTCTTTGCCTCCGCACACCGCGAGTGCTGTTCCAATCTTGCCGTGCGCAAGCACAGACGGCAGAAGGTGGGAAACAGGCATCGTGACTCGCCCCGCGTCCCCAGCATTCGACTCAGAGCCCCGTGCCTCTCAGTCGACGACTCCTCCGAAAGTCTCAGGTGGTGAAATTGGACGGAACCGAACGCCGAGTGAATCCACTCGCCAGACCTGCCAGCTCCGATGGCTAGCCTCCCGTCGTCCCGCCCCCACGTCAAACGGGACTAACCCGAGCCATGACGTTTCAAGGCAGGACATCTTGTTCTTTGGCTGTCTGAGCCGAACTGCTGGTCAGTGCGAGGGAGCAGCCCCCAGCCCCTTGAAGGAGTTGGGGATGGGGGTTCGTTTTTCAAGATGGGATGAGGATTTTCTCATATCCGAGGCGCTATGGACTTTGCCCCAGCCCGGACTGGGCTTGTATTACCACAAGGTGGAAGATGATCTACCAAATTCATTTCAGCTGCCAATGGGCAGGAGGGTTTGGGACGTTTACGTTCCCATGGGGTTGCGTTGTTGAGTTTATCCTAATTTAGTTTTACAATATAAACTTCATCGGTGCATCTCGAGGCTCAGGGGAAGAAATTAATGAGCGATGTTTCTTCATGTCTCTTTGTCGTTGTAAGGAATTTGAGCCATGACGTTTACTTCAAACCCACCTTCTAGAATCAAGTTTGTGTTTCTGTTGCAGCCCATGCCCATGTTGTCGGCGACTTGCGGCCCCGTCCTGGATGTGGCGTATATGTGTTGTTAGGGGTGTAGATTTGGAGGCCCAGCTGCGGGATGAGATTGCAGTCTGTTGATGCTAGAGAGGACACCTTGCCCATTCTGGGATCCTGGCTTTCAGCCCCTACCACGTAAGAAATACTTCAAAAAAAAAAAATATATGCGGGCCTCCATGGCAGTCCGGGATGTGGTTGGGCGGCTGGCCTCAGCTGGGCTGGCTCAGGGCATCAAGTTTTCGTTGGGGGCGAGGCTGAGATGCATGCAGGCGGTAAGGCAAATGAGCGTAGCAAGATCTGTCGATAGCTCGTAACGGAAAAATTCCTCATCGTCCTCGGGCTTATTCTCACCATGCTGAGCCGTGCCAAGCGACACGTTCGTCGTTGGTGCCGTCGTGCCACGAGATGATCTGAAACGAGATTGAAGGTGGTTGTCTCGACCGTCCCGCACATCGTGCTCTCTGCTCAGAACAGGGGTCTGACCGCGTCTTAGATATATGTCGAGGCCCTTTGTGGAGTGAGCTCTGCGGCTTGGCTGGGCCCTTCGAATATGGAGATCCAAGACACACGAGGTGCTGAAAGAGTTGGGCGCTGATGGGCGCCGAAAGAATCACGTTTTAAACAAGAGAGTGGACATGGCATTGTCGGCCGTGCTATAGATTAGACAAGGGATCCAAGCACCCGGAATGGAGATCTTGGCCGACCCGGGGCACTGGGACGGGTCCAGGCCCGACGAGGCCAATCACAGCTGTCACGATGCGATGCAGGGCCCGGCTGCGCGGTTGCACCCGAGGATCGAGGATCGAGCCCGCGCCGCATGAAACATGGTTCGGGCAGGAAAAAACAAAACCAGCTGCAGCACCGCAGCACTGCAGCATCATGATTCGCGTCGGGCCATGTGAGGGTCGCCGCTACGAAAGCCCGCCATCTCCGTTCCCGCCCGAGATTGATTGCTGAGCTGATCGTCACCGAATCCTCCGGCGACGAAACCTGGGCACACAGCAGCAGCTTCTGGCCCCGTCCCACTCGACGGCCTGCCCTCTGCCCTCAGCGCCCGCCACGCCCTGGCCGGGCACGGCAGCTGTGGGGCCCCACTTCACCTTGGACCTGCTCGCCGTGCAGCCTGAGGCGCTTGCGATTGGCCCCTCACCTACACCCACGGGCCGACTCGAATGCTCGAAACGGCAGACAGCAGCTGTCCGTTTGGAATGGGCTTCTGCAAGCACGATGGAAATGGAAGGCGGGGCCAAACCACCCTGCATCGGATCACACCCTTCTTTTCGTGGACCTCCGCATCGAGTCACGAAGAAGCCTGCCCGTCAGCTTGGCATTTGCCGCTTGGGAACGCCCAACCCAGACCAGCCAGGGCAGCCAGACCAGTCAGGCCCGGCAAGGCCCAGCATAGGTCGCCCCAGGGACATGCTTTTCCATCTCGGGACCAGCAAAAATGCAGCCTCGTTGTGGGGCATGGCACGTCTTACCTTGCCTCCCCCACGAGCATCAGCAGCGTGACCGGACCAAATCGGTACTTTTTGCGATGTGCCACGGCAGCCACGATAATGCACCACGGATCTGCAGGGCCGTGACTACCACTCGACGCGCTCAGAAGTCACCGATCCCCGGGACCTTGCAGTCACGACCACGACCATCGCACGGCGTGGCCATCCCACCGTATACGACCGACCCGTAGCCCACACGCAGCCTCCCGAGCTGGCAGGTCGGACGGTGTGCCTCTGGCAAGACTCCACGGGCCTTGGGATCGTGTTTCCAAATTTGGAACGTCGTGGTTAGTCACCAGCCGTCCTGCCTGTGAGGCACGAGATCGGGCGACACAAGGTGCTGCGGCCACCCGCCGGACGGGTCCCATCACGAAGTCGTCAGCAAGGCAGCATGGCTGGAGGGCTGGAGGGCTGGAGGGGGCTCGCAGGTAGGCCGGGGCCGTCGGACCCACAGGACGCTCACTGATGACAAGCATCGACACGCGTGCTCGGTAGATGTTTCCGCAGCTACATGATGTACACCAGGTTCCGGCGGTCGCTAAGATTCACATATGTATAACCATTCGAATCTGGGCGGATCGTGCGGCAATCGTCCTGGGCCGGTGCCCACGGGTTTGCTTTTTGCTTCGCAAGCCACCACCACATTAGCCACCGCGACCTGCAAGCCCAGCAACCGCAGTCACCAGACCGCCAAGGTAGCGCAGTATCATGCCCCAGGCGGCATGTCTCAAGGGCTGAATAATGGCGCTCACGAGAGCTGCAGGTCGGCTAACATTGTCCCCTCGACCGCGCGCAAACCAACATTGACGTGATGTTAAGTCATAGGAGGCGGTTCCCGGGCGGCCGGCCAACTACACACAGAAATCCTTCAGCTGAGCTAGTCCTCGACCTACCAACCCGCTCGACAAATAGGGTTGTAATCCGCGTCACCTTATCACGAGGTGGCTCCCCTGACCACAGCCTTGGGGGTCATCTTCCCAGCACTCGCCAGGACTCGCCCAACACCTATCGGGGGCTCGCCCTCCCAGGTCTTGGCTTGCCCGCTCTCGCTTCGGCGCCGCTGCTGGGTGCTCAAATGACAGTACACACACCGTATGGCCAGCGACGAACGGGCTACGGCCAGGGGAAATCGAGGAGGTGCGAAGACGGTGCATGAGGTGTGGGGGGTATGTGATGTAGTTGGTTGAACCTCGTCCTCGGATGAGATGGACCGCCCAGAGGCGCTCCCCGTTCAGACGAAGAGGTGGTGGCAATCAATAAGTAGTCCCCGGGATCTCGCCATCTCACTGTCCTGCTCGTACGAACCCCCCCCCCCCATAGCGCCATCGCAAGCAAGCTACTGTTTTGGATATGACTTCTCTAAAGGCCTTCACCCGGCAATGGCGCCAGACCAAGGACTACCCCGTAGTGTTCTCTTGTCCCGGGAATACGCCTCCTCGCCGACTCTTCACCGGCACGCCATGTAAGCATCTTGGTCTTCGATTCCGGCCAATCCGGCCAACCTTGGTCTGACCACGAGACTGACCTTCGCACATTAGCGCCCAGAGCAGACAGAAGCCTCTCAAATGTCGCCGATGAGAGTTTCTACCCATCGCCTGTACAAAGGATCAGGGAGACTGAATATCCGCACATGAAGAAGGGTGAGGCGAACCAGTGCCGTCCTCCCGAGAGACGCCATCTAAACAGCCATAGGAATCTACCTCGATCATGGTGGCACCACCATCTACGCTAGAACTCTCATAGAATCCTTCGCAAACCACATGCTCTCCAACCTGTACGGCAACCCTCACAGTGCTAACGCTCCCGCCGAGCTCTCTGGGCACGTGGTCGACAGTGTGAGACAAAAGGTATTAGACTTCTTCGGGGCCGACCCGAGACACTTCGACCTCGTCTTCACAGCCAACGCCACGGCGGGCATCAAGCTCGTGGCGGACTGTTTCAGGGACCTGGCGGAGCGGACGCGCGACGGCAGCTTCTGGTACGGCTACCACAAGGACTCGCACACCAGCCTCGTCGGCGTGCGCGAGCTGGCCTACGGGCACTCCCACTGCTTCGAGAGCGACGGCGAGGTCGAGGACTGGCTGCGCCGGCCCGGCTCTGTTCCCTCGGGCAACAACCGCAACACCCGCCTCCGCCACCTGTCTCGGCGCGGCGGCCTCGGCCTTTTGGCGTACCCGGGCCAGTCCAACATGACCGGGCGGCGGCTGCCGCTCTCCTGGCCTGGGGCGGTCAGGTCGTCCCCGGACCTGACTAATACCTATAGCCTCCTCGACTGTGCTGCCCTCGCCATGACCAGCCCCTTGGATGCTGTCTTCAGGAACGTGGAGACTGCACCTGACTTCACCTGCGTTTCCCTGTACAAGATCTTCGGCTTTCCTGACCTTGGCGCCCTGATAGTCAGGAAGGATTCTGGCCACATCCTGACACTCCGGAAATACTTTGGCGGCGGCACAGTAACCATGGTCTCCGTGCTGGGCGGGTCATGGCACAAGACCAAGGGCCTCGACTCCACGGCCGTCGAGTCCCACGACGGCACCGCCGCCAACAACAACAACAAAGGCCCTTCTTACGAGATACACGACAGCCTCGAGGACGGGACGCTCCCCTTCCACAGCATCCTGGCCCTGGGTCAGGCCATCGACGTCCACTCCCGGATCTACGGATCGATGGGCAACATATCGCGCTACACGACGTCCCTCTCCAAGATATTATACAACGAGCTGAGGCGCCTCCGCCACGCAAACGGCCGCCCGGCCTGCCACATCTACACGGACGACGACGGCCAGGGCTACGGCGACCCGCAGAGGCAGGGCGCAACCATAGCCTTTAACATGATGGACGCGGATGGTGTCTATATCCCGTATTCTGACGTGGAGAAGATAGCCAACGATAATGGTGTGTATGTGAGATCAGGCGGTAAGTCAAATCAGACCTCCTTCAGACTTCATATGCACACAATATTGGCTAACCCAATTCACAAAGGAATCTGCTGCCCAGGAGGGCTCTACACCGCGCTTGACTACGAACCGTGGGAGCTCCAGAGGGCCTTCTCGGCCCATCACGTATGTGGGCCGGACGGCATCAGCTTGATCCACCAGCTCCCTACCGGGTACGTGCCGGGTCCCTTACCCCCTTCCTCGACACTTCCTTGCTGACGCCGGACTGTCTTGCTACAGAGTCGTAAGGGCTAGCCTCGGTGCTATGAGCACGCACGAAGATATAAGCAGATTCGTGTCTTTCCTGCAAGAGACATTTGTACGCCAGGGAGCGTCTGGACATCATAGGATCCCAGGAAGAGCTGAGCAATATAGCGAGGATATGGACTATGGTATAAGCAGTCCCGCTTTAGCGACGGCCGGGACGGCTTAGGTTGGATGTGTATATTCTTTCTTGTTATTCCCTCACTTTTTCCTTTGTCTCTGTCTTTTCACGCATGGCGAGGCGTACTCCTTTCCACAGACCAGATCCGAATAGCAAAAGATGGCGCAGGCTTTACAGAAGACCCGGAGTCTTCAGCAATCGAGTTGCCCCCGGAGCCGAGCTGGCCGCGGCTGCCCTGCGCAGGGAGGTGGAAGGTACCTACCTCGGCAATATCTTCTTAAACAAACAGGGGGCTTCGAACTGAGGCGGGCCGTCAGGACATCAGACAGAATGAAACTTTTCCATAGGCCTGAAGCGGGGCCGCAATGACCGCAGAACACTTGAGCGCGATTCGTTGCAGGCGCGCACACTTGAGGTTGCCCCATCCGGCGACCACACCACGCCCGCTCGGTTGTAATCTACTCCACGTCACCGCTCGCGAACTATTAGCTCTGCAGCTCGAAGGAATAAGAAGGTTCTTACTCCCGATTGAACGGCGCCAATTGCATGACCCTGATGATGGTTGTGGTGGGGGCCCCGCGGGTAGCTTGGGGGGGGGGGGAGCTTACCGGGAAGGCTGGCGGTACCTGGCCCATCACCCAATATGGCTGAATTGGAACACGTCCAGGCTGAAGGACTGGCTGTTAGATTGCACATATCACTACAAAACATTTTCCCCTTGATACATAGGGCCTTTGAGTTACGGCCAGGACATAAATCCGAAGCCGGTGCTAAGGGTTGCTTCATCTCCCGACATGTCCTTTGAAGGGTCTACGCAAACACTCTAGAACCGGCTGTGGTTCATCTTTGTCCCGGTGCATACCTTGGTGCCAGATCTCGAGCTCAAAGGCATACCGGACTCTCGTGTGACGGCTTCTGGCTGTCTCATTACCCCCGGGAGCAGAGCATGATGCATGCTTATCACGTAGCCTCATAGCCTGACCTGTCAGCGCATAGCATGACGTGCGCATGTTGGTTCATGTTGAGTTCGGCAATGCGATCCGATCGGACATTTTCTTCTTCCTCGTCAGGCTCTGCCTCGTCTGCATCAAGTCACACTCCAGGGGTCTTATATCTGGAACACAAAATGCCGACCCGGAAATCCGGTCATTACGGCGAGCACCTATAAGGAAAGCTCATATTGTCGCTTAAAGTCTCGCCGTCAAGTATATGACGCCGTAAACGAACACACCCGCTCGGAATGTATCCTTGAATACTGATCGAAGCCCATAGGCGCGCCAAAGCAGGACTCTCGGCGTCTGGTGATAGTCTCAAGTGCTGATGCATGTGTTGCCGGCAGGCTTATGCAAGACAGCAAACCGTACATGCAGAATTCCGAGCACAAGCAAGATTATCTGTCTGCATTGCAGTGCTTACAGCGGCGTCCTCTGACGTCGGGATGGGGGCCACAGCCTGTCTAATCGCAGGGCTGAGACAGAAACAACTACGGCATACCACATCTTGTCTTTCCAAATCTGTTCCTGTCACCTGCGAATGTCTCTTCACTTCCGTCTAGTGTTTCGCGATGCAAAGTCTTTCTTCGCGTGTCTCGAAAGCTGCTGACTGAACCACAGTTGCACTGCACCTCCCAAACTGTATTGGTCAGGGCAACGTTGGAATATCCAACCCATACACCATATATAGTGACCAACCAGGGTCTTGCCCCAGGGCTTGTCTTGGTCAGCAAGTGTGAAAAGCAACTTAGTTCACCGGCCCCTCCACGGCGACGATGTGTCAGCTGTTTCCTCTGATGCCCTGAGGATTGGATCTGGACCCTGGAGCCCCCCCACTCGCCGGGCTGATGTTGGGCTGGCTGGTGGATGGGACGGAGGTGTGGACACGATCCAGTGTGCTGTAGATGACGACCTCTGCCTGCATGAACGGCCCACAAATTATACAGACGTCCCACATGCCTAATTGCACCTGCCCGAATCTGTTCAATAGGCGATATTGCATTCAGCAGTCCATGGACCATAAGGGTGTGAGAAAAGCACTCATCGATCAGCAAGGCGCTCCGGTGGGGAACAAAAGGTAATGGATATTGCGGCAAAAGCGGAAGAGACCCAGACCAAGACGGCGAAGGGTCAAGAGATTCTAGACTAGGTAGATTGTAGTCGACTTGAGACATAAGGAAGAATAGGGCAGCATTGTCAGCTCCCAAATGTCAGTCCAGCCAACAGGAGTGGAACACACAAGACCGGTCAAGGGGCGGCAGGCTTTCCGAGCTGCGCCGTTGAATGGATGCACCACGCACGCTTTTGACAGCCATGCAGAGGTGTCCTGCAGCAACGCACCCAAGTGAGATGCACACACACACAGAGGGCCGTGGCTGCAACAGGGCGGCGTGACAGGTCACAAAGACCGTTCTGTCAAGTCCTGTCAGTCCTGTCGAGGCGTCTGTCTCGTCTTTTCCTGTCGAGTCCCTGCCTTCCCACCAGGACACACCCCTGGCCTTGGCTGCCGTCACGAGGACCCTTGCAGGCCCCATGTATCACCGGCAGCAGATGCACTTCGGAGAAGACTGTCCACGCACGACGCCAATGGATTGCTGGACCGAAAGTGCCGCAGGATGGTAGGTGCCCATGTCGGGATGGGGTGACTTGGGAAGCCGGTAATGCCAACATGACGGAATGCGTCACCGTCGACGTCCACATTCGTTATAGCCGAGCACCGTTTCCCCCCCTTAAATCCGCCGAGGGCCATCTAACCTCTGCTGCTCCCCATGATGCTGTAACTTCAGCCTGCAAGAGGAACCAGAGAAACCCTCGAGGCCCACCTTTAAGGGTCTCGCGACCTGCCAATCTCGTGAACATGCGATATGTAGAGCAGGTCAAATGGGCATTGACAGCCTGGCTCTGGGTCGGGCATGTACGCACTTGCACCCGGTGTCACAGTGGAAAAGAGAACCGTGGGGTGCTTGGAGCCACTTGTCCTCCTGGTGTCGCGTCTGCATCATGATATTGAATATCTACCTAGCATCAGTGGCCAGGCCAGACCAGGTTGTGTTTATCCGGATGCGGCCATGTTTCAGCGCTCAATTCCGCAGGGAAAATCCAGCCTTTTCTTTGCAAATCACGTTTGCTTTGTTCGCTAACTGGACTCAATTTGTCAATACGGGGAAATAAGCTGTCTTACTCACCATCTCGGCGTTGCCAGTTCGAGTTTGCTGCCCCCCCCCCCGGACTGGAGCTCCATGCAGGCAGTCTGGTGCAGGAGCCAGCTTCGGCCCTGCCCTTGCTTCCTCAGTCGGGACCCTTACCCCTTGCCTCCACTCCTTCTTTTTTTTTTTTTTCCTTCTGCATACCCTCTTTGAGGAATGGGCTCCTTACCTTAGTCATCTGACAAGTCTCACCGTGGTCCTACCGACTCCGAAGAGACCATATTGCTGCCATCAGTTGATGATCGGCCTGCGAGTGTCTCTTTCTCCTAGGCGCTAGCAGGGCAGAGCAGGAGAAAAAGCAAGGACGGCGAGAAACAGGAAAAGCCCACCCTTTGCGCTCCTGTCCGTCTCATTAGGCAATCGGGCTCGCCACCGAATCACCCGAGTATCAAGGGACAGCGCATCTTGGAGTTGGGCTGGACTGGGCTGGGCTGGCCCTCATTGCTGCCAAACCATTGCTGTCAAAAAGGAAGTGGTCTGTCTCAGGTCAGCAGCGCGCCAGAGTTTCTATCGAGAGAAGGAAAAGGTACGCCCGCTGCTCAACATACCTCCTTGGCCCGTGTCCACCTGCGGCCACGGCCTCCTACACGCCCTGCCTGTCCTATTCCTGATCGCCCCCAAGGCCCCAACCTTGATTTCGTGCATGTGCCACCATTATCCAGCAGCTGCTGCCCAACAACCAGCGTAATAAGCCCTTGATACCAGGGTATCCCTCGGAAGCCGGCCACACCGTGTTGGATTTGGGATTCGCGACCCAAAGGCCTCAAGCCAAGAGACTGCTTGTGGGCCACAACATTTGATGAACGAGTTCCAGGCCGGCATGCCTGCTGAGGTTCTGGACCTGACTCCCTGAATCGCCCTCAATCCAGAACAAAGACTCGTCCTGTTGTTGACCTGCCTGCTGCTGTCAACTGACCCGGCCTCTGCACGCAGGCGGCCTGTCGAAGGGGGCTATCCGGAGCGACGAATTTGCGGTTGACCGGCGGTCTAGAAAACCTCGAGGGCTGGGTGGGAAGCCCACTGCAACATCATCCACATCTCTCACAGACCGACTGCAGCAGTCCTTCGTTCCACCCCACATGAGCTTCGCGCCCTTGGTGCTGCTGTTGCTGCTGTTGTCGAGCAGTTACGGCAGTCCACTGTGCAGATCTCAACGGCGAATAAGCCCCACGCCCGACCCCCGTTTCTCTCCATAACTGCTGCAAGAGTTTGCGGCTGGCAGAGGTAAATCTCCCTTTAAAGACGAGTCAGATCGCCTGGGCCCCCAGTTCCTCCCCCATCTCGTTTCGGCAATCTCGATTGGCTCGCTGGAAATCGGTACCTCTCTTTGTCTCCTCGCCTTTGGCCATTCCATTTGCAGAAAGGCTACTTGACAGCGAGTCCTTGATTCAATTCCTCATATCCTGAGGAGCCGCCTTTGTTTTCGAATCCGGCGCGACAATAGAGCGCTTGTGCTCACGTAGCATCCCAAAGAAACGCCCCAAGACTTCCGTAGGGCCCTCCACCGCGACAGCACGCCGTCAAAGCCAGCACGACAAGAAAGGGAGAAAGGACCCTTCTGGCACGAAAGCCAGGATTTTGGTTCTTGAACACGCCCACCTCGGGCGTTCACGTCCCCGTGTGCTTAAAGCAGGAACCCCGAGAGCCCAGGAGCCGAATACCCGCACAGCCAAAACACCCAAGCTGTTCATGGCTTGTGGCTGTTCCACCATCGTGACACTGACAAGCGGAATCCTCGAAGGCCCATCAATCCCGTGACACACATAAACGTGTTCCAGGGAGCTAGGAGCGATAAAATGTCGTATCAGTACCCCTCGCCGACCACGCCACCACCGCCATATGATACAGGCTATCCCATTCCTTCGCAGCCCGCTGGAATGGGCATGAGATCACCGGGAGAACCAGTGAAAACCGAGGGCGACCCGGCCACCTTGCACTTCGACGGCAAGCGAGAATCACCAGACCCGGGACTGGCAACAGCCGACCAAGCACAAGCGTCCGATCCAGCGAACATGGGCATCGGTGCCGACAAGAAGAGAGGAAAGCTGAATTACCACCGAGCAGGGACTGCATGTAGTAAGGAACCACCCCCCTTTCCCCCGCGGCGACAGACAATGTCGCGCATCCGGTCGTCAGTACTAATCATTTTCTGTAGCAAATTGCCGGAAGCGTAAGATCAGGTGCGTGCAGACGCGAGGCCCGAAGTGCGAGCAATGCCAGCGACTTCACAAAGAATGCGTCATCACGGCCGTGGACCAGCAGCAGAGCTCCATGGATGCCAGGAACAAGCCAATACCACGCCCAACCGCGGGTCACAGGCTTGCCTCAGCCGGTTCTTCCCCGAGCATGCATCACCATGTGGCCATGGCGATGCCCCCAATGCAGAATATGGGGCTGGCAGACCCACCAGATCTCAAGAGTAAGCATCCCTTTGCCCCGCGCTTAGATGCTGTTGCTTGGGGCCATTCGATTCGGAGGAGGCTTGGTGATAACAACAAGCTTGCAGTACCTCATGGCGGACCCATGAACCGCGCATATCCCGATTACGGCAGTCCGGGGATGACGGGCACGTGGCAGCCGTTCAGCCAGGCCCCGCCCGTAGTACCGACCTTTTCACCTTACCAGCGCGCCACCCCTCCTCCCGGGGCCTGGCCAGCTCCTCCAGTCGCGGGGGACGCGTCGACGAGAGACCAGATGCAGTGGAATTCATACCCTGCCCCAAACCAGTCATTCGCGGCCATGTCGCAGATGACGGCCGACGCTTACGGCCGAAAAACGCCCAACCCCATGTCTCCAACAGAGATGTATCCTACCGTGCCGAACATGGGATCGCCCCAGGTGGGGACAAGCCGCCTCGATGTCCCCTCCTGAGACGGCGTCCCAGGTGACCAGCTACGGCCCATGGCAGCAGACGTACCCCCCGCCCACGATGCCGAGACCAGGAGACGGCTTCGGGGGCTGGTATGGGGAGGGCGAAGGTGCAGGCTCCCAGCCGCCACCTGGCAATGCTTCGCACGACTGGAACTGGAACGTGCATGGGAAACCGGAGCAGGGCGAGACGCGGAGTTAGATCAAGGAAGATATTCGGAATCGTTCGCTGCGAAGGGGTCCGACGCGATTATCGCGCGAGCCCTGTCGAAACCAGCATCGCCAGGCGTTGATTACACGGCCGAGCTTTCTTTGAGGCAGTGAGATGGAGTACTGCGTCAAGCCCGCCAGACAGGAACCCAGACCTGCGGTCATCGAGAGAGAGGATTGAACGCATCTACTGCGCTGACCTCGCCCGCCGGCGGGTCCTGGAGTTCTCCGAGGCATTGCTGGCCGGGAAGCAGTAGTCAACACCAGTGGAAAGAAAAGAACGAAAGAGAAGATACTTCCATGCTACCTCTTAGGTATCGCCTAGGTGCTCATCCGGAGAAGACCTGAGTCAACAGCATCGGCATGTTTATACCAGGAGAGAAATTTCAAGCACGAACAGATATAAAGTGTTAGCGCAGGGAGAGAAGGGGATGGAGGGGTGAATTGCCAACATCTAGAGACACGACAACTAGAAGAGCCACAAACAGAGAGGCATCGCACCAACAGCGACCACCAACAATTTTTTTGATTTCCTTTAAAGAACGACGTCTAGAAAAGGGTAAATCTCGGCGGGATGCACAGGGCAACATGGGAACAGGGCAAGGACCAGGCCTGCGGGGATCGGCGCCAGGCGGGACGGTCCAAACTTTATTGTGTGGGGAGGACGGGGGGTTGTGGGAAAGTGGGCTCGGGAACTGGGGCAAGGGTACTTGGTTTCAGAATGGGGGAGATCGGGACGGGGATGGCATCGACAATGGCTCGGCGGGATAGTATAGTATGGGTAAATATAGTTACTTGGATGGTCGGCTCGCATCCTAATGTGAATTGCAGTTTGTTCTGGAGGACGACGGCCCTGCCTCGGGGAGCCTGCGGGATGCCCCAAGGGTCTTTATTTGGCCCTACCTTGCACTGACAATGCTCTACGGTCCCGTCTTTCCGAGGTGGCTGCCCGGCAGACCGCTCGCTTAGTTGACCGCCCAGAACATGAATTTGTGGAATTGACAAGCCGATGGAGAACTTGAAGTCATGGGCCCCAAGAAAAAGGCTTCCTGCTGTGCCAGGTTGCACAAGGCTGCCGCGTGGTACTCGCACAACATAAATGAGGTTCCCTGACCGCACAGCTCGATAGACCGCGGCCTATTTATCCAACCACGACATGCATTTGTGCTATTCCGGCCTCCTTCTGTTGCCAGACAGGAACGGCGCATGAGGCTGTCATCGAGCCGTTCCTGATACCCCTTCTGGACGCTGATGCGTTTCAGCTGCGTGAGCCCCGCAGTAGGGCGGCCAGCGCACACAACACACCCATTTGGACGGGCTGATGGTTGCCTCCTTTGGACCCTAGGCGCGCCCTGAGTGGTCCTCGCGGGCTTTGGGCGTTCGGATTGCATGTGCGGTGGTGATTCACATGATCTGCCGGACAAGGTGTATCTTCGCGCGGATGGCTAGTGGCGACCAATCGCAAGAAAACTCGAGACGGGGACCCAGAAAATTATCAATATGTACCCAGACCGACAATCACGAGGATAGCCTCAGTGTCAGCACTAAAAGCGTGATGTAGGCTCCCAAACTCAAAAATGTTAGGAGTGTAACTGGCGCGTTATCAGTAAAGTGTCCATCAGTAATGCGTTCCCAATCCTGCCAAAGAAGAAACACAGTCTGCGGGTGAGTACGTAAGATGTTGGCTGTGATCGGAAATAAATACCCAGATTCGGCTCACTGAAATTCACTTACCGCTATTGCCACTGGTGCGGAACTTCTTCCTAATCATCTGGACCCGCCTTCGGGGCCGGGGAGAAGCAACGCCGCCGTCTTGGCTGAGTGCGTGCTCCCCGACGTCGCCGTCATCGCTCTCGGAGTCGGACTCTTCCTGGTCAAAAAATTGCTTGTTGCCTTCATATCGTCTGAAGATCGCCACCACCAGGACCGCCACCCCGTATGCGGCGAACAGCGCTCCAATAGCGTAGAACTCGCTGGTGAAAATCTTGAGGATGATGAGCGCAAATGAGAACTGCGACAGGGCTGTCCTCATGTAGGCCCCTTCGAAGGTGCGCTGGGCAGCTCGGATTTCGGTAAGCCTGATACGGGAGGACGCATCGAGTAAGCACTTGACAGGTGTGCATTCTCACGCAGGAGTTCCGGAAGAGGGTGAGGGGTTTGCACCGGAAACGAAATCAACAACAGGCACGCACGAACCCCCTCCCAAGGCTGGGAGTCAGAAGAGGAGCAAGACAGGGTGGGCGGCCGCCCAATCACTCGATGGCAGGACGTGGGATAACATCGATGGAGAAGAATATGGGCTCGTGGGGGCCGACACCTTTGTGCATCAAGCAAGGTACGCCATAGCCCTGCATGATGCAGAAGTGGACGTGCTCGTTTCCAAGGTGCCAGGGGGCTTGCAGAGGGAAGTCACTTGCAAGCCCGCGAGCCATGGTGAGAAAGGCTAGAACATGCAAATGGCCGGACATGTGGTAGTCTGAAGCAGAAGAATGTTTCGAGAACTAGGCCATCAGACCAAGAGTTTAGAACAGTACTAACTCTGAGGATGTGAGAACAATCGATCTGTTGTAGTCACGGTCAGCTACCGGCCAAGGAAGAAGTTTCAATGAGAAATGGGTGACATGTGACACCCTCTGCCCATAGCCACCTGGGCAGTCTCGTGGTTGAGATGCTTGGGCCCACAGGTGAGGTCGCTGTATCCTTTCAAGAGGTCTAAACAGTCTCATGAATCTCCCTACCTCGCGCGATGTAATCTCAGATGGAGATGGTCCTCCGGGTTTGGCTGAAGTGCCTAGGCATGCGAGTTAGGCTCAGGTATTCAAAAGCCTCACGAGTATATTCCGTCACTCAGAATGGGCTGACCTCAAACATGACGATAGATCGGCGGGGCGAAGACGTGGGTTAGAAATATATTGGACAGGGCAAGTGCGAACTGCACACCTATTCTGTCTTCGGGCTACCCTGCGGGGAAGCAGGAGGACGATCGGCTGATTTCCTGGTTTGCAGCAACGACAAGACCCTCGAGACTGGGCGAGCGAGAGTAAATGACGATATGACTGCCGCACGAAAGGTGAAGATCCTGTAAATGACAGAGTCGGGATGTCTGAGAATGTCTATACAATTGCCAATTTGTTGATGGAGTGAGTAGACGCAATCGGCACTTGGAAGCTGGGGGCCCACATTTATGCCGGTGGCCAAGCAGCTTGGTGACTAAGCTCATCCCGGCTGCCAGGTCGCGGTGGCAGGCAACGTTCCGTTACCTCGCTCCGGATGGTTGACGACGAGTCCATCACATCCATCAAGCTACGCCAACAGTTCCAGCACCACAGACCTGACGACTTCGACGACTTCAAGACTCAATATTGGCACTTACACCAAGCTCCCCTCGTCCCCTCGAACCAGAGTCCAGCTTCGCCCGCCATGAAGCCCGTCGTCGGAGCCTTTCAAGCTTGGTCTTGGTTCGTCACAGCTCCCACCGCCCGGTGGAAACACGGCTGGCGCGACATGATCTAACCCGGGTGCAGTTTCGTCCTGTCGATATTCGCCATCATAATCCTGTCAATCCTGGGCCTTGTCTACAAGAACGGCCACGAGGAGTTCGTCGGGGGCATCGATGACCCCGAAGACGGATCGGCCGTAGCTTCCACCATCTTCGTTGCTGTCTTCGTATACATCGTCCGTCGAATCATTCCTCCCGCTTACAATGCCGTCTGGCTAACAGTTGTTGGATACAGGGCTTCCTGGTCTGCTGTGGCCTCCAAGGCCTTCTGCACATGCGAGAGAGTCGACGAGGCGCGATCGCGCTGTAGAGGGGCTTGCATAATTGAAGAGGCGATACGGCGTTCCGGTTCATTTCGAGCATTCACGTTGCACATACGACCAGGGAAGAGACTGGGAACACCATTCAACGAGGCCCGAGGCTGGATATCACAACCCTGCTCGCAATCCCCCAGATGCGAAGCATGCCAGGTCCGAAGACATCAAGGCTTCAAGTGTACACTATTACAACGGGATTCATCGACTGGAAACAGTCTATGGAAGCGGAAGGAGTCTCAAACCACATCTGGGTTTGGTAGCTGAGGTGTTACGAAGGGGGCTGTCCACCATCAGAACGCCATCTGCTTCTGAGTGGTTGGTTGATCGAGTCCCGGGCTATCTGGCATCACCTTTGCGTGGCAGCGGAAGGAGTGTCGAGGGATGGAACTGGATGGGCTAAAATATGCATTGTACCAAAAGCGTGTCTCACCAATCTTGGGGATATCTCATAAGTGAGCGCTATATACACCATGGATTACGCTTACGTAACTATGTGATTGTAGAGATTATATCCGGTCTTGTTCTTGGATCCTACGGCTCTAGCCACGACGGAACCCCGCTCATCATCTCCATTTCTCTGAAGTTGTGGGATATCACCATACCGACAAAATGTCTAAACCATCGATACTAATTGTTCCCGGCTCGTTTACTCCCGGCCACGTCTATGGGAACGTGATGGAGAGAGTGGCCGCGAGGGGCTACGACATCAGGGCACTGCAAATGCCGAGCGTTCGTCTCGAAACGGAGTCTCCCACAGCCAGGAAGCCGTCATCCATGTATGACGATGCGGCATTCGTCGCTAGCCAGGCCGCTGCTCTTGCGGACAACGGCAAAGATGTGATAATCATCTCGCACTCGTACGGGGGCGTGCCTGCTACGGAATGCGTCAAGGGGCTAGCGAAAGTCGCGAGGCAGAAGCTGGGGAAACAGGGAGGCGTTGTGAGGCTCGCTTATATGACTGCTCTAGTACCAGCGCTGGGGTCTTCAGCAAGTAATGTGCTGGATATGGGCGAGCGCCCCGAGGGGGATCGCCTCACTATGGACGTCGATGTTGGTCACTCCTTGCTTCGCCACCACATCCATCTCAGTCATTTTACATAAAGCAGCTAACTTCCAACCTACTAGGCTGTGGGTTGGTTGACAATTCCAGTTACAGCAGACACTCTACGCCTCTTGGTACCTGGTCTACCGCAGGGAGAGGGTGAGGCATGGGCTGGCAAGATGACAGCTCACTCCGCAGCCAGTTTCGGAGATGCATTGACTTATGCTGGCTATAAAGACGTGCCAGTGTCATACCTAGTCTGTGAGGAGGACCTGGTCATCCCGGCAGGAAGTCAGAGTCGTATGGTCGATCTGGTCGAACAAGAGACTGGCAGAAAAGTTGATGTCACAAAGATCCCTGCAGGCCATGCCCCGAATGCCACCGCGACGCAAGCGGTTGTTGACTGGATCATTCATGTAGCGGAGAAGGATGAGAATCTCAGTGTTTAGGGCCGGACATCAATATCCATCTGTCTGAAGCGTCCGTACGAAGGTATTCCCAACATGCATAATGTCGTTGGAGAGCATACTGCCTACTTGCAAATGAGAACGGATTTTCGCACAGAAGAAAACAGATGATATACAGATACCTCTTGAATAATATTTTCACAGCTAATCAGAGCATAACAGCCACACCCAATTCACATATTTAATTTATACAATTCAATTTAATTTGTACATAACATAAGTGTAAGAGTATATGAATTAGGTGTGTAAATCAGGTGTGTAAACATGGTATGTAAATTGTAGTGGGTATGTAAATTAGGCTTGGGTATGTGAACTGGGTGTAGGTGTGTGGGTGAATTGGGTGTGGGTGAATTGGGTGTGGGTGAATTGGGTGTGGGTGAATTGGGTGTGGGTGAATTGGGTGTGGGTGTTTTGGGTGTGAGTGCAGTGGGCGTGTGTATGCCATCCGTTCTCATTATGATGATTTCACGGCCGTGGAGAAGTGGTTTTCAATCAAGCACGGAGTTTGATTATTACTGGTCTCTCAGATATGTTCCGTGACCAAAATTTTCAAGTAGGCAATCTTCATCTCCATCTCGGCCTCCTCGGCCCAGAAATAAAAGAAGTAGCGAGTGAAACGAGTGGGGACGTAAAAGAAAAGGAACTTCCTAATAGCCATGACGGGAGATTCGGCAAGACAGTGAGTGGTCCAACCAAGGGAGCGTGCAAATATCGCCGTACCACCTCAATCCACAATCACCTCATCCTTCTTGGGCTCCTCCCAAGCGGATGAGCGCAAGGTGTTCATGAGCCTCGACAAAACGTCAACGCCCTGATCCTCCCCTCCGTCTTCTGCCTCCTCCTCATCCGGCAAGTCATCGGCCCTCAACCTCTGCACCCGCCGCGCCCTCCTGCCCTCGAAGCCTTTCCAGCCGTACCGCTGGCCCTGGTACGTCTCGCCGATGCGCTTGGCGACGTCGTTGGCCTCGTGCAGGCTCACGAGACGCCTCTTGCCCGGGTGCGCGGCGGCGAACTCGGCCGCCAGGTCGTAGATCTGCTGCACCCTCGGCGCCGCCTTGGTGGGCCCGCCGTCCTTCGCCAGCCGGGCGAAATCCTCCGGCTTCATGTTCACAAGAACCTGTGCGACGGATTTGTCCTCGTAGCGGTTGTATCCGTATCCCCAATGACGGTGCTGCGGAATGCAGGCGCGTACGAAGGCGTCGTGGGCGACCTGGGCTGGGGTCAGGCCCACCGCGTTCTCGCGGTGCAGCAGTTGAGGGTTGTAGTTCAGAATCTCTCTGATGATTGCCGGGTCCGCTTGCTCGCGGATGAGTGTGTGCAGAGGCGTGTCGCCGCCGGCATCGAGAGTGTTAAGCTCCTGGCCTTTGGAGTGCTCTAGCAGCAGATGGAGTACTTTGATGTAGCGATCCGGTTTCTCAGAGATCGATTTGGCGTACGTTGCAAGCCAGCGGTGAAGGGGAGTTCGCCCATCGCTGGCGTTGAGACCGCTGCGTTCAAGAACCAGATGGGCTAGGAGCTCGGGATCAAGAAGCTTCAGAAAGACGGCAAGCTTGTCGGGCTCTGGGTCATTTGCAAGAGCTGCGTGGAGGATACTGTCGTGGCTCGTGTTCTTGGTTGATTGATCGGCGCCGTTGGCAATTAGGGTCCTCGCAAGGTCAATCCTACCAAGCCAACTGGCCATGAAGAGAGCCGTCATACCGGTCGTGCCCTTAGCTTCGAGGGCCGACGGGTAAGCTTTGATGAGATATTCGACAAGAAGCTGGGCTGTACCATCGTTGGGGCCAAGAACTGCAGCGGAAATGACGAGGTCGTTCTCAGCACCCAGCCACCTCGTGACGGCCTTCTCGAAGCCTCCATGAGACTGGTTGAGGTGATTCAACCTCAAATCATCCTTTGCCACCTTCGACTTGCCGAATTCGAGGTAGTTCCTCAGCGGGGCATCGCTCAAGAACCATTCAACAGATTCTATACATCCCTTCTGGGCGGTACGAAGAAGGGGCGATTCAGTGCTGTCCTTGGGGCGTGAGATGACGTTGCGTCCTGCGGTAGCCCAGTCCTTTCTCTTCTTTCCATAGACCGTCAGGCCCTGATAGTACCTAGGTTTCTCCTTCAGCTCGACGCCAGTCTTCTTCACGAGCGCTTCGAGGGGAAGTCCAGCACCAGCCCACTTTATCATGTCCGCGAGAATCCCGATCCGTCCCTTCTCAACGGCACTCCAGAATGCCGACTGGGGAAGTGCAACGAAGTGGTTGCTCTCATCGTCCTTGTCCTCATCTCGATCTGAAAAGTAGACTGTCAGATCATAGTAGTACTTTAGGCCTTTGCGATCATCGTTGCTGATGACATGTTCCAGAAGAGTACGGCCTCCGGTGAACCTGTGTTTACTACCATCTGATTGAAGAGTTGGAAAAGTCCAATCCAGCATTCTCAGCGGCTTAACACGGCTCTTGACTTGCATTGAAACCTGCCCAACGTTTTCGATGGTGAATTGGTCGTCAACAATTTGGCCGTAGATGCGCGGCTCATCGTCGTCGTTCGTCGAGTCGTCTTCGTCTTCCTCATCTTCTTCCTCGCTGGTCTGCATGCGATATCGGGTCACGGGCTTCTCCTCAGGTACATACTGGGCCTGGGCAATCTCCAGGATGGCCTTAGCAACATCGAGGTGTCCGCGCATGTAGGCCAGCGAAAATGGACTGTTCGATCGGTCGTTCACGGCAATTTGCAAAGGCGGCTCGTTATTCTCAGGGTCCCAAGAGACCAGTGTCAGAGCCTTGATTTTGTCGAGGTCACCAGACCATGCGGCTTCGAAGAGTTCGATGTATTTCTCCCTCCTCTTCTCTGTGACATCAGACACTCCGAAGAATTGGAAGTCGTATGAGAACTCGAGAATCTCTTTTGGTGGCTGCCACCGGCTGTGCAGAGGTCGACGTGACTGACTGCGATCAGGATGAAGCTTGACGAAGGTTTTGCCACCAGATGCGACGAGAGTGTTTCTGATCTCTTCGAGCTTGGCGATAGCCGCGTCTATCGCCGCCTGTTTCTCCTGAACACCCTCCAATCCCGAAATGCGTGCCTTTTCTTTTTCGTGATCCTTCAGCGTTCTCTCGTTGCGCTTGTGGGCAAAGGAGACAGCCGTATACACAGCAGCGTATTGCCATGTGCCTTGCTTGTACTTTTTCAGAACTTCTTCCATTCCAAACTTGAGTTCAGGGGTTTTCGCCATCGGGGGCTCGTACTTGCGCAGGCGCTGGAGCTGGTCTTCTACGAGATCGAGTACGGTCTGCCCGGTGCTATAACCAAATGCTGTGCTATGCACGATCTGATAAGACTGCTTCGTCATCGCGTTGACATCGGCGCCGCGCTTCAGTAGCTCTAGCACGATAGATGGGTTCGAAGATTGGATGGCGGTGATGATCGGTTGCTCAGTGTCTCTCTCGAAGGCTTTCGTATTTTGTTCAAGCGACCCACGCAGTTGGTTTTCCATCCTGGCAGCTTGTTTGGCTGACTTCAACCAAGTCTCGAAGTCGATCTGTGGCACTGCACCTGCGTCGAGAAGCTGGATGATAAGCTTGACGTCCCCTCCCCTGATTGCATGCTGAAGAGTCGAGTCCATCTGTTGCCAGCCGCTGAAGGCTATATGATTGATGGAATTCTTGACACCGATCTTGTCGAAAGCCAGGAGCACCTCGACGAGTCCAGTAGCGTTCTCTTCTACAATACGTTGGAATGCCGTGGACCCATTCAAGTCGGCTTGAGCAGAGCTGGCACCGAGGCTCAGAATAGTTTTCGCCATTGACTTGGCCTTCTCGATTGGAAGCTTGATGGATAAGACCAAAGTCAGGATTGCGGCTGTCGGCTGCTTCTCCTCGTTGAGGAACTTGACAGGAAGCAGGATGTCTGCGCCGTACTCCTGGCAGAGAAGTTTGACTACTTCTTCGTTGCCACAAATGATTGCAAAGTGCATGGCGGAACACGGCGAATCCCAAGCCACGACATTGATATCGTAGAAGTCTGGGTCATCTTCCTTGTCCTCCGGCACCGCTCCGGCGGGTGCAGAACTTTCGGCATCCTTCTTGACCTTGACGAAAGACCCAGTTGCCATGCTCTGTTGCTCGTCGTCGCTGTCGGAATCAGCGTCACTAACAACTTCAACGTCCGAATCACTTGCATCTTCAGACTCGTCTTCTTGAGAATGCAACTGTGAAGGGGATGCCGTCTTGTCTTTCTGGATCTGGGCCTGCTTGTCCTCTTCTTCCGCTTCATTGGCAGTACTCTTCTCCACGAGGATCTTGACAATCTCGACGTCGCCTCGCTCTGCGGCCAAATGAAGCGCAGTTCTGCCATCGGCTAGCCGTGCAACAAGTCGGGAACCGTGGTCGACAAGGCACTTCACGACTTCCGCGGTAGAGCTCGTCACTGCGAGGTGGAGGGGCGTCCTGCCTGTGTGGTCGCGAGTGTTTGGATCAGCGCCATCTTGAGACAGCCAATCCTGAACATGCTCAATCTCGCCATCAACAATATCCTGGCACAGGCGAGCAGTGTTGCCAATGTAGGCCATCTCAGTCCAGTCATCTTCAGTAAGAGGGTTGAAAGATCCAATTTGCTAGATCCAGTCAGAGATGGTCAAGTCGTAGTCTTGAACATGAAATTCATACCTGTCTTCCTGGGTCATCTTGAAGGAAGGAAATTTTTCCGGAAACGTAGATCTTGCTCTCTTCTTCGTGGACTACTTTCTCCTCATCTGTCTCCGGCTTGGGACAGAATCCGCAACAGTCGTTCATAACGTCTTCGAAGCGACCGAAAAAAGCAGGATGGCGATGAAGGTAGACCTCACGATCCTTGGGTTGGTTCCATTCTGCATTGAGTAACAGGTCCCTTGTGTAACAGAGCTTCTCGATCTTCTTCGCGTGGAACTTGACGCCATAGGGAACCGTGAATGTGTGGTAGTTAGACACCTCGTCCTCGTTCACCCACTACGGAATTAGAGCGTCAGTTGGCTATTGATACAACACACGACATTACTATTGTACATACCTCGGCAACCTCATCTTCGTGGTACTCTTTGATGTTTCCGGCAAGACTTCGAAAGTAGCGACGGTTCAGAGGCGGTCTCCCACGTTCCTCGCGGCGTTTGGCGAGGTATGAATCCCTAGAGGACGCAGTTGGCAACCTTTCCAGGACGAGTAGCCTCGCCAAGCCCAAAGTGCGCTGGAAACTCCTCTCAAAGATGGTAGGATCGATGCGTGAACGATCAAGTTCGGGCCAGTAGACCTCGAACCCTCGGTGTGAGTATTTGGACAACCTGTTCTCGTACGAGGGGCTCCGGCGAGAGAGATCAATGTGGTTGATTTGAGTGATGTACGACTGCAAGGCTCTCGGGGTGCAGTAAACTTGCTTGCCATCATAGGCAGCCCCAGAGCAGTCAATATCGAAGCCCGTGAGGATCTCCGAGACATTCTTGTAGATGCGCAAGACGATCTAACCCAGATTAGCTCATGCTTGTCGCTCCAAACTCGAACAACGAACCTGAATGTGACGGGTGGGATACTGGCTGCCTATTTTCATTGTTAGAAATACCTCCTAAATGTCATAAAAATAATCGGGGAAGCCATACAAATCGTAATAGCATTCTTGGTCCGAACAGTCGTCGTCTCCGTCAAGATGGAGTCACGAATTCTCCCCTCAATCTGCTTGATCTTCTCGATTGCCTGCTCTTCGGTCAAGCCGTAGATGAAAAGGTCGACGTCACTGGCAGGACAGAACTTCTCATGATAGAACTCCCGTAGAGCTCTCTTGGAATCGCGGTAGCGTTCAGGAACAGGGAGAAGGGTATTGACGACAGACGAACCGGAAGCAACGACGTTGCTCCAATCAAGATCAACGAGCGATGACTCCGAGAAGACATTGAAGTTGTGCTGAAACTCCTTCAGGGACGGGACAACAGCAGACGAACCGTTGGGACGCCTCTGCTCGTCGGGAAGCGTCATGACATATCGATCCTTCTCAGCTTGGGCCTCCACATCGAGGTCCCTGGCACGGATTCTGATATCGGCCTTCTCGCCGTCATTGAAAAGGGGGAAGACATTGAGATGGTCATCTTTGAGAATCTCGTTATCGGGCTCTTGGGCATAGAATTGGCGCAACTGAGCCTCGAACTGTCTGTATGGCTCGAGGAGGCCGACCATGGAGCGATCTGGATTCTCGGCGATGTACCGTGCCAGCTCGACATGGGGCACGGGGACCTTGGGAAGTTGGAGGGGAGACATGATGGGCAGTGGTCGCAAAAGGAAAGAAATGAACGAATCGCAAGGAAAAGGGAGAGCAGGTGTAAGAGACGTCAATGATGGAGTGGCTGCAACTGCGCAGGAAGAGTACGAAGTTGGTGCTGAGGGGAGATGTCTGTCGAGGAGTTTGCTTCTCCCCCAGAGATCTGGGACGGCGACGTCGAGTCTTATACACGACCACTTGACGCTTTGTCGAATGTCACATCCAGGCAGTTATCTGGAAGTGGCTCACTCCTACCTAGTAGCACGTCCTTTGACGTGGGCTGAAGCGCGCCTTGGAGCGACGCTAAGGCTTTGTTGCCTGGGACGGCCTACACGAGATCCCGTGACTGTCAAGCATCTTCCAGGAGATGGCGAAAGTGTGTCACAGTTGCCTGGCCGAGATTGGGACCGAATTCTGGAGGATGCGATCGTATCCAGTTTACGAATCAATGCTGGCACCTGTGTGGTGGAGGATGCAGCTGCTGCCTTCAGCTCGTGCTGCCAGGATCTAAGCAGCATGGCCCAAGCTTGCACTGCAGGGTGTAGACTAGCAACCCACGCTGACCGCAGTTACACAGAGACAGCAGTATCAATCATTTTGTATCAAGAGGCAGGAATTCTAGTATTTTGCTCTCGTGTGATGCCTGAATTCGGTCATTAACGAGAAAGATCTTCAAGAAATAGGGTGATAGCCAGCCGTCGAGAAGCCCACCAACGGCTAGATTTCCTGGGACTTTTGACACCAAATTAAACCATGGGATAACCTACTATGGGATAACCTACTATGGGATAACCTACTATGGGAAAACCTATTATGGGATACCCTACCGTGGGATAACCTCCTTTAGGATAACCCCCTATGGGATAGTCTCCTGCTCCTATGGGATAACTTCCTCTAGGATACCTTCCAGTGGGATAACCTACTGTGCGATAATCCACCAAAACACTCCACATGTCAAAGGATATAAAATAATACAATACCAGCTGAAGCATAAATGGTATTCACAAGTAGGAAGTATGTCAGACCAAGTAGAAATACGGGTGTCAGCTTTCTACGGAGGGAGTGAACTAATGACCAAGCAAACAGAGACCATGGATCGCACGCAGTCCGACGAGGCTGGCTGGCTCGCATGGCTGGCATAATGTCACTGTGTGGAACGGGAAGTTGAGAGAATCTTTTGTTTTTTTTTCTGTATGTGGTATCAATTTCATAGCCGTTCCAACCAACCCTTAACCCCGTCAACAGCAAAATCACAGGGGTATAAAACAACCAACTTCAAACCAATGAATGACGAAATAAAGCCACACCACACCGCACTTTTCCGACCAGTCCCCCCGAGCGACAGTCTTTGGTTTCCTCCTCTGTCGCTCGATTGAGCCCGCCATACCGCGGTGGCCAGCTGGTGGTGGCACAAGCTGCCTCTAGACGAGACTGTGGAGGTGGAGCAACCGGCGACGGCCCTATCTTCAATATTTGTGGACTGATCTCTTGGGTATGTGTCCTTTTTCCCACGCGGCACTCATCAGCCAGTCCCTGAACGCCGTGCTTAAAAGCCAATAATAGGAATGAATCTGCGTAAGAAGATGAAAACGGTGGCCTCGTGCCACACCCTGATAGACTCTCCGTTGGACGGTGTTGCCATTCCCTTGGAACCGATACTTTTGACCAGTTCTAGTGTCGCCAGCGGGGCTTATTGTCCTTGTCCTTATCCTTATCATTCGAGGTAGTACTATTCCCCCTCCTGAGCCCGAGCCTCGACCCGAATGTGGACGGCATGGGGCTTTCCCGACCAGGCGCACTCTCTTCCTTCCTGAACCTAGGCTGTGGCAGCAGACTGGTCCGCCGATTTGTAGTGGCGAGAGAGCTTGCCGGGCGTTGGTACAGCCCGGGAACATTGGTTGGCGGCGGCTGTAATGTTGCGCGACGAGTCGACGGGCCCTCGGGTCGGAACTTGGAGGTCGTCTGCTGGGAGTATGGACCGGGTGCAGCCAGGCGGTCTCTAAAAGACATCTTGCTGGCAGGCTTGGATGGTGTGAGGTCTTGACTCGGAGATGAGGGCTCAGCTCGTAAGGGGCTGCGCATGGTAGGGAGCTTGGACCCAATAGGAGCAGCTAAGGATGAGTGCGAGCGCACGGGGTTAGGTGTTGTCTTTGCATATGGGCTTGGGGTGGTGAGAGTGAGAGGCTTGAAGTTGTGACCAGTATCGACATTGCTGGCGTTGGCGTAGGCATTCCACTTCGGTCGTTGGGCCATCGTTGTGGCTGGCCTCGGTATGCTGGCCGCATGCCGGTTTGTAGTAGGGGTGGCTGCCCCTTCACGTTTCGGTGTCGAGAGACCGCTGACGGTTGACAGCCTCGAGACTGGCTTCCGAGGAATGCTGGGCGTGTTTGTTGCCGATACAGAGCGTCGTCCGGGCTGCAAGAGGTGCCCACTCACACTGCTCGACGACCGACGTGTACGAGTAGCACTGGACTTTCCTGGTGTCCTCGTATCTATTCCCAGCCCAGACATGATAACTGAAGAAGGTGGAGAGCTTTGGGGAGTCTCGATTCCACTTCCGACGGTAGATGCTACGTCGTTCGACAGCATGCTTGATATGGAGTCGCGCAGGTGGTTTCCCCTCTTGTCGGCGTGTAGATCGTCCAGCGTGAGGTCCATCTCCTTCATCTGGTTCTTCAGATCTGCCCACTTCGCCTGCATCTCGCCGTGCAGCCTCAAGATCTCGCCATTGACCGTAAGCCGGTCTTTCACCCCCCTGTCAATAATGAACAAGACGCGGTCGATTGCTGGTCCGTAGTGCGTTTTCTTGGCGTCAAAGCTCTCAATCTTCTTTAGCAGGGCGGGCTGATTCGTCAAGTGCATACGTGCGTCGACTGCCTCTCTGAGCCTGGCCACACTGCGCTCCACGGATTCCATCATCTTCTGGGCCTGCCGGGCTGCACCACGGAATACGAGTACCCATCTGTCTTCTCCAAGCTCCTTGCGCAGTCCCTCAGCATCCTTCTCCAGTTTCCTGTAGCTGGCGTCGAGATCTTCCCGTCGCATTTCCAGCTCATCGCATGCGCTCGGAAAGGACTTCTCGGCTCGGGCCTCGAAGACAGACAAACGCATTGGCAGGAAGTCTAGCGATGCCCTTAGCGGCTGCATCCTGGCAAACAGCGCGAGAAGACCGGAGTCGTCCTGGGAAATTGTGGGTCCACCAGGGGACGTAGGGCTTGCGGGCGAGCCTGTCGAACTGAAGCGTTTGTTAGCAGCAGCCTTTGCCCGGGTTGCTGCCGGTGGAGTCTCTTCAGCGATTGTTGCCAAGTCACCAATGTCCACCGCGTCACCACTTGAAATCGCCATGGCTGACTTGTGTCGGCGTTCCTCCATTTCGAAGACCAGGCGACTCAGCTCGTCCAGCTCGGTCTGGATCTCACCGAGTACCACATTCCAGAGCTCTTCCCACTCCATGGCGATCTCGACCTGGCCGCGAACGCTACGGAGCGTCGTACGTATGTTGGTCCATTCCTCTGTGATGGCCTCCATCTGCGTGACCGCTCTAGTAAGATCATCCGTAGAAACGTGTGCGATGTCCATGCGACCTTGTAGCTCCTCGATAGCGGTCACGTAGACATTTATCAGCTTCTCGAACCGTGTTGTTGCATCCTCCACCTCCTCCAAGCCCTCGCGGCCGCCGGCTGCGGACCACTCGACGTCATCATCGCTATCGAGCCCCGCAATGACTTCGGAGGCCTTATAGATCCAACTTCGTATTTGTTCGGCGGCACCTATCAGCGCTTTCACAGCCGCCTGTGCCGTAGGAATCGCTGCTACCTTACCAGCAAGCGACTCGGCGTCCGGCAGCTGCAGCGAGGTCAACTGCGCAAGCTGGTGCGCGAACGAAGCGCGCGAAATAGTGTAGATGGAGCCAGGGCGCTGCAGCCCCAGCGGATTGAAGTAGTCATCAGGGTTAAACGGTTGTGAGGAGGTGGGAGGCGTATCCTTTTCTGGCACGGGTGGCGGGCTGTCTTCGGGTGACGGGAGCGGTCTTGTATCGCGGTCAAGATGTTCCCTTCTCGTGTCCAAAGTAACCTTGGTGCCGTTGCCGTTGGTGTGATCGGGTAGACGGAACTTGTTTGTATCCATGGCTGGAGGTTCGGCAGCCTCGAGTTCCGTGAGCAGCTCCGAGTCGTCGTCCTCGTCCGGGCTGTCGAGGATCTTGATCAGTGGGACGTTGGCGTCCCCGGGAACGATGTCCTCGGGGGTGACAGCGTCCTTGTTGGATTTTGCCGACCTCAGGCTCGCCTTGGAAGGGATGCGGACGACGCCCTTCCAGGGGCGACCCCTGCGTTCTATGGCGAGTTGCCTGGAGCGTTCTTTGTGATACTCGTCGAGTTGTCGGAGCTGCTCCTCAGGCAGGCGGCCAATGTCGCGTTCCTTGAAGCCAGATGACTGCGAGGTTTTCCTTGGGGTTCCGAGGCCGAGGGCTTTTAATCGCGCAGCGAGACCGGGAGCTGGTTTGCGTGGCTGGTGAATTGGGATGTGGTTGTTGGATGATGAGGTGACGTCGACGGTGGACTGTGGGCGGGACGCGGTGTGGTTATTTGTGGACTGGGGTGGTGTTTGGTTAGAGATTTTGGGGCTGTTGTTGACGTTGTTGGGCTCAGGCTTAGGCTCAGGCTTGGGCGCAGGCGCAGTCGCAGGCGCAGGGTCCGCAGCGGGAGCGGAAACGGTGGAGGGCGAAACGAAGTCGTTAACGCCGCCGTCAATCAGGGGCCCCAACCAGGAGAGATCGCTAGACACGTCGGCGAGCTTCGGTCCGTTCTCATTGGCCGCGGCGCGCTCGCGGTGCCGGCCAGTCAGCTGTGGTGATTGAGGCGCGTCTGGGCCGTCAGGGCCGTTCCGGTGCAGTTCGTCTTGTTGCACCGGCTTATCAGCGGAGGCAGAGGTCGGCGAGGAAAACGACGTCGCTGGGGGAGCATCCACGACGGGTTGCTGCTCACTGAGCTGGACGGGGCCGGTGAGTAAACTAGGCATTTTAACTGCCTTCTATCCTTGGACGCGGGCGAATATGGGCACGGCTCCCTCTCGGTGACTCTGGCTTGGGCGTTGGAGACAGCGCAAGCCTGTCCCAGCCTCCCGTTCCACACCAGGGCAGCGCGCAAGGATTTCGAAACCTTAGGTTAGGGTGTGATGGGCACGGCAGCGTCTGGCTGCAGCCAAGTGGGCGTGCGGGCTGCGATATGATAGCTGCAAATGCGCCAGATACTCCTACATGCCCGATGCAGTCCAGCTGGCCACCAGTGAGTGACTTGTCGTTTAATGGGTGCTTTTGTTGTTGGCCGTCGTCTCCCGTCTCACAATTGTGTCCTGTCCTGTCCTGTACTGCCAGAGCGAGGATGGGCCTGTCGTGTAATGGTTGCCAAGAGACTACTTTGCGTAAGCGTGCTCGATCGCAAGTATCGATGCCGATGCCCACTGGATGGGATGTTCGCTGCGCGGGAGGGATGGGGTTCTGTGGGGGGTTTTGCGGGATCCTTGGAGCAAGCTGGAGTGGTTGCTGCTGCGATTGGGGGACGCAGGTTGACTGATGGACGGCAGTGGTCGTGCGCCTGCAGTAGTGTGCAGCTGTGCGCTCCCGAGATGCTAATGCGGATGCGTCGAAGTCAACACCAGGCCAGGTCAGTGTTCGTCGAGACTTGACGGTATCTTTATCGTTGTGCTACTGTTGTTGATTGTCGTTGCGTGTTGGGGTCCACAGGGGGCTCGATCGGGCGGCAGGTCGGTGGTTCAAATTCCTTCTCGCTCTCCTGCTGCTGGTTCCTCGTGCTTGGGATTGGAACTCGCTGTGCTGAGCAGGAGAGGAAAGTGGAGGAAGGGAGTGCCGCGGTACCCAAGAAGGGGGAGAGAGGAGAGGCCTCGCCAAAAGTTTAATGAGGACAAGCAGGTCCTGTGCCGTGGTGTGGTACGGATACAGCGTGTCGAGCCCCGGTGCAGGACAACGTGCAGGCCTCGACGAGGTAGGTAGGTGGTGGTCGCCTGGGGATGCAAATTGGCAACTGCGACTGCTGGCCAGAACAGGGTGCAGGCGAGATGATGGGCGATACCCTCCCCTACAGGAATTGGATTGGCGTAGTAGTCACGGTTGGCACCGGTGCCAGGTTGCAGTAGGCTGAACAGAACGGCTGCTAGCCAGTACCAGATCCGATCTTGGTGTGTTGCATTCTCTCATCAATCTGTCTCCGTCCTTGTCTCCCTTCCTCACCATTCCCCTCAGCCGGTCGGCCTTTCACAAGCCGCCGTGATGAGATGAAAGGGAAACCTGAAACGGTTAGGCCAAAGTGGGCTCCAGGTTTCGCATTCTGTCTCGGTGTCCGAGGAATGGGTCAAGGCAAGTCACCAACGACAACGACTCGGCCATCCTCCTCCTGTCTACGACCATCTGTGTGTGCATTGTATGCGTGTGCATGCGCGCGTGTTCGTGCCCTTGCAGTCTGTCTGGATAACGCTCTCATGACTTTCTCTGACTTTGTGAGGATACGGAAGCCAGGCAGCAGTCAGTACCATGCCATGCCGTGCAGACGTGATAGATCAAGGTACACCAGAGAGTACATGTGGAGGTAGACGCCCGTTCTATTTCCAAACATAGGCAATCAATCAATCGCAGACCCGATGGGGACCCTCATTCAGGGTCAATCACCGGCGAGGTGGCCCCATCCCACCAGTTCGGTACTGTGTGCCTGTGGTAAATTTGGACCTCGTCCCCGGCCTGGCAATTGGCCCCTGCTGCTCCTATGACCCCGGCCGTACTTGGGCAAGACCCATCCAGTAGCCACTAGCCACGAGGTCGGCTGCTCCACGGCACGGTACAGCAGGCCTTGGGGCGACACACGCGGCACCGTAGTGCACTGCAGTGCAGGTGCAAGTCCACTGGCAAAGCGCAAGGACTGCTCCATGGCCTCTGCGTACCGTTTCTCCATCCAGATCCCCTGCCCCTCAGATGTCTTCTGTGTGCCTTGCAGTTAGAAACTGCGAAAAGACAGCAATGACCAGGCTTGCCAGGGAGCTGGAGGACCGAGGTGTCGACTCAGGTTCCCGCGAGCCAGTCTGCCAGTCTCCGCGTGACCCGGCCTCTGAGCGCTCAATAGTGGGTGTCCACCGTGAGCTGAACAGTCAGGGATCGGCTTGACGGCTGGAACCGAAATTCGACGTGCAACACGCGTGCCGCCCTTGGAAACTGCGTCGTGTGGAGATGTATTTCCAGCAATCTCGGCCTTCGTGTTGATGACGACAGGGACACATTACAGTGCCAGCCGCAGCGTTCTCTCTGCGAGGGAAATGTGAGAGATGTGAGCGCACACAGCCTGGATGTAGTCGGTGTCAGGGCCCTATGGTCATTTTCTCGTCAAGCCTCGGAAGGCAGGGCTAATGGCTGTTGGAGACAGGCTAGTCGTCCACGCTACTGATTACGTATGCGGATGAACGGACAAGGTTGTCACTAAGGAGCCTTTTAGCCAGGCACATTGTGCATCCGGCATGCGAGGGTCGGCTCGTTGCAGACGGAGCACAAGCCAGTCTGAGCTGAAAATGCTACCAGGCACGCCCGGTCCTTTGCTGCTGGCGAGTGCCGACCGCGACGTGCCTGGTACCTGCGCAGCTCCTATGACATTCCAAGTTTGTGGGAAGACCTGTAGTAGCACCTACGGATTGCCTAGTAGCACAGGTTGGCCTGGATGGTCTGTCTGCACCACCGTCTTGAGGCGAGGCTGGCGGCCAGCAGCCAGACTCGGAGCCTATTGGTTGCCTCGTGAGCCCCCCCCCGTCTTGTTTGATTACCATGACGGAGGCGCCATTCCATCCAATTCCACGGTAATTCTAGACGGTCAGGGCTCATGATGATCAGCATTGGCGGTGTTGCCCGGGCGGTAGGCATCGCATTCGGGCAGCCCAGAGATGCCATGTGCCAGCCTTGACTCGCCCTGCCCTGGTACAGCCGAGTGCCTTCTCATTGATTGGGCCCGAACGTGCACCGAGCGAAACGGTCGGTTGAGAAGCCGAGCAGTTCGATCAGGTAGCCCGAGGCCCAGATGCGCAGCCTTGGTATCTCGAGCCCGTTGTGTGTGCAGCTGCAGTGGCTATCAAGGCAAAAGTCAAGACTGGAGAGGATCATGACACTACCGCGTTATCGAGAGACGAGGCCAGCCGCTGGTGGTTTTATCCGGAGAGGCCGTAGGAGCTGGGTGGGCAGTTCATCAGCCCAACGTGCCAATTCTGCCCGGAGCCCGCGTGCCCGAGAGGACAGAGAACAGCAGACGAGAGAAGGACTGACTGAGGACAGAGGACAGGCGAGAGAGATGTCACCAGAACCGACGCGTCCACATGGGTTAGGTAGACTACGTACAACGTGTCCTGTGCTGATGAGGCCCCGTACGGTCTGTCGTGTCCAGTGGTGTCCAGTGGTGTCCAGCCCAGCCCAGCCCAGCCCAGTCTACCTGGTACTCTGGCGTGCGGTGCGCCGTGATGTGCTGTCAGTCCTGGCCTGTTTCATCAGCGGCGCGGCCGGATCGGGGCATTTCTAAGCCTGATTGTTTTGGATTGATCTGAACATGGAGCTCTGAATCACGACCCCATCCGGGTCCACATACCCACTACTGTGGTTACTGCCCCAGGGCACGCTGGCTGGCACCGCAGGGAAGGGTTCGCCGATGGCTCCGTGACCAATGCCCAAAAGCCGTTGCGGATCCATGCGTGTGCTGGTGGCCCCCCTTGCAATTAAGCAGCCAAAACCCCCCCTCCTCACGCTTGACGTTTGTGCTCCACACTCGCTTCGTCCCACGAGCAATTCCTGGGACCATTTCACTTCCTCACACAAGACCGCCTGCCTGCCTTCCTGCCAGCCTGCCTGCCTCACTTCTCACGTCCGCCTGCCTCTGCCTCTGCCTCTGCCTTTGCATCTTGCATCTGCCTTTCCCATCTCTCCTTTATTAGTATTATTATTATATTGTCATTATTAGACTTCATAGTACATACAGCCTTCGATCATTGCCTGGCCGTTCGAGAGACCCGCAGCTACCAGAGTCCAGAGCCACACAATCAGCTGCTGCCCGGCTTCTCTATCTGCACGCCATCCGCCCGCCTCGGCCTGTGGTCTGCCATTTCGTTGCTGGGCAAATCGGGCCCCTTTTTATTTACTTTATCCCCCCCGGCTCGTGAGGCACCAAGTTCCAGTCACTGGTCGCGCCTCGAAACACGTCACCTACCCGTCCTCTTTTTCCCTCCTCTTCCCCTCTCGAGCTCCCTGCTTCCCTGGATTTGCTGGCACATCGACCAAACTCGCGAGACCTCTTCCCTTGCCGGCATTTGTGTATTTGTGGTTAGCTTCACTGCTCACCATCTCGCCAACGCACATCTACACACACATCCCATCCACCCACCCATCGCCAAGCCTACCTGCCTGCACTACCGGCCCGCCCACACTCCAACATGGCCGCCACCCACCGCGAACGATCTCAGACCCCGCCTCCCGGTGTCAAGCCAACAGCTGCCCTGGGAGCAGACCTCGCAGACTACGACGACATCTCGCCACGCTCTGTCTCGGTAGCTTCCACCGCCTCGTATGGCTCCCATTCCACCCGGGCTTCCATTGGCAGCGACTCATCCGGTTCCACCGCCAGCCGTCACTCCTCAGCCAGCTTCCTTGCCACAGCCAGAAATCCAGCCCTCAACCTGGCCCCGACAGAGAATGTACGACACTCGACAGGCAACTTCGGCGTGGCTGGCCGGCCCGTCCCAAGGAAGAGAGGCTACATGAGACCCACGGGCACAGATTTTGCAGCTTCCGCAAGGAGCAGGGACAGTGTATTGAGCCTGGGCAGCATCGCACATCTCCAGTACTACTTTGCACGCACGGGGCTGCTGGACGGGAAGGGCGCCCAGCTGGCCCGCAAGAACAGGCAAGCAAAGGCACAGACACTCGACTTCAGCAGTTTGAGCACGTACGACTTCGCAACAGCCTCTGGTAACACCCCGAGGATCGTGACGTCGGATGCGGAATCGAGCTACATGAACCTGGGCACGAGCCCGGACGCGGGAGGCTCGCATTTTGGCGTCGACATGACCGACAGCCCCACGGCCGACGACGACGAGGGCGAGCTTGACTTTGACGAGTGGGAGGAGCCAGACCCCACCGTTCTGCCTCCCACAACAAGCACGTACAAGCACAGGGAGAAGCCGATTCCCAAGCCCCCGTCCATCCGGCAGCTCAAGGCCGACCTGAGGACGGCCCTGACCATGGCAAGTGAGGCAGTGGAACACGCCAAGAACAACAGGGTCAACCCGTATGAGGGGGAGAGCCGGTCACGGGCGCAATCCAACGTTTCCGTCACCTCCCTGACTGACTCGCCCACGCCCCCATCGCATGCGCGCCAGCTCTCCAAGGCGACGGTCCAGGCGCCTGGCTGGTTCGAAATCCAAGGCATGCACGTGCTGGATGTCATGACCCTGGCCATCCGCGCCGCAAAGGTCTACTACACCTCGCACGACGCCCCTGAGCGGCTCGACTCGATCAAGCCGGAGAAGGAGCTGCGCAAGGAGCTCTTCAACGTCATGGAGATGCTCAAGCGCATGGCCACGCGGGACTTCCAGGGCGGCATGCGCGACGACGAGGTCAAGACCATGGAGGAATGGGTGACGGGACTGTTCCAGATGCTCAAGGAGGAAGAGGAGGTCGAGGCCGCCGAGGCTGAGGAGCGCGCCAGCTGGACATGGCTCAAGGACGAGGACTGGCCCGAGGGCACCGAGGTGCAGAGGGAGTACGCCTTCATTGTCAGCATGCTGGACGGGCCATCCAACACGAACAGGGCCCCCGCGCCCGACGGCAGCGTGATGGAGGTCCCCGCCCTGCCCGAATGGGTGCCTATCGACCGCTCCAAGCCCCTGGAGGACCAGGACCTCCCCACCCCGTTCCTGCTGAGCCTGCAGAACGGGCTGCGCCTGGTCCAGCTGCACAACGCGGCGGTGCGTAAGTCGCGCCGGCGATTCGGCATGATCGGCACCTTCCACACCGACACGCAGAAGCCCTATCGGTGCGCCGACAACATCCGCTACTGGGCCAAGGCCGCGGAGCTCAGGTGGGAGGTCTCGGGGCTCCAGTTCGACGCGCTCGGCGTGGTCTACAACAGCCGCTCCGACGTCTGGGTCCAGTTCGAGGACGCGGTGCTCGCCTGGTGCCGCAAGGTCAGGGAGGAGATCACGGCCGACCTGTCCAGGCCACCGACGAGAGTCGGGCCCCCGGCTTGGCTGCCCTTGAAAAAGCAGCCGCTTCCTCAGCCAGAGATGCTGACTGAGGAGTAAGGGGAGTTTAGCTCTGAGCCACGTCTCCGGTAGATGGGCTTGTCGACCAAATTTCATTTTTCCTTTCCAGTCACACATTCGCTTCTCCTACCAACGCGCGGAGCGTTTCCGGCATACTACAAAGCTTTTAATGCTACGTGCCGACGCTCTACGACAGAACAAGCATTGCACAGAGACAAAACTCGGCAATCACAACAACCACAACAACGAAGGATTTCAGGGGGCGGGAAATAACAAATACTACCTCGATTTTTTCAACGTCAACTTCACGTGGCACGCGGATCATCTTCGAACAGAAAGCACACCCACGAGGTCAGGCCCCATAACATCAACATCTTACATTCGCTGCATATAATTTTGGTTTTAATCTTTCATCCCTATGCGGATACACACACGCCTCGGTCGAAATATGCTTCACTTACGAAGGGACTTGTCGTTGGCTTTTGGGGGGTTGTCCTCTTTCTTTCCGGACAACAACACGGCGCGGGAGGTTTTGGAGTGGGCGTGCAAACGGTGGTTGCAAAACTTCATGCCGGTGTTTTTCTTTCTTCCTTCTTTTTTTCTTGCTCCCTTCCATTCATTTCATCACAATTATCAACAACACCAAATTGCATAGCGGAAAACCCAACTGCCTTGAAAAGAACAGGCAGCATGGAGGAGAAGGGGAAAGGGAAAGGTCCTGCCTCCCTGAAAGGCGGCAGACAGCACCACCCATCAATCAGTGAAAGCAAAAATTCTTGTCTTCTTCTTTCTTTTGTGGCCCTTACAGACAGGAACCCCCCTGGGGATTTTCAAACCACCATATACCCGCAGTGTACTGCAAGTCTAATGAAAAGATTACCATCAAGATTGGTACTTACTGAGATTGACAATCCCTCGTTTCACCATGTGTCGCGCTCTTCCTGGGCCTGTCTCTAGATTGATGCAGTAGCAGATGCACATATTTGTAAGACTCTCGCGCTTGTAGAAATGCATGCAGCAAGTGCCAACCACCGCCAGACCAGACCGCCCTTGATGTAAGCTTCGAAGCGAGAGCAATGCAGTGCATACAGGCGCCAATTCATCCCTCCCTAGTACGCCATGATGCGGAAGACCCTCAGTGCATATATATACGAGCTCCTGTCCCCATCAACAAAAAGCCCTCCAACAATTAGAATGGCATCACAGCAATCCCGCTCCCACCCCTCCCACCACCGCCAGGCCTCGAAGCACCCCTACTCGTCCCGGCCTTGGAGGACCCACCACTGGACCTCCTGCCCTTGCCGCCCTTCGAGACGCCGCTGTATGACCTGCCTCCGCCCCGGCTACCGCCCCCGCCCTTGCGGAAGTAGTTCTTCTTGGAGCCCCCCTGCGAGCCCCTCTTCGCACCGCCGCGGCCGCGGGACACGGGCGCGGAGTCATCGACCTGCGTCGTCGCCGCGAAGCGCTCGGACCAGTTGTCCAGCTGGCTCTTGATGGGGTCACCGTCGCCGCCGCCAAAGTACTTGGACGGGAGCCCCGGGTCTTCGTAGTCGTCGTCCTCATCGTCGTCGCTGACCAGGTCGATGATGTCACTCTCTGGCTCCGCGGCACGCCGGGTCGATGATGGCCCGGCGGTGCCAGGTATGGTCGCCATCGCGCCGTCGTCGCCTTGGCCCATCATCTCGCGGTAGTTGTCGTAGAATCGCATGACGATGGGGATGAATTTAGTCCCGAACTTGTCGACATTGTCGGTTTTGATATCAGGTATGCGGCGCATCTGGTCGACCGTCGTGGTCCACCTGATTGCCATCTGGCGGAGTTGGCTTTCGGTGAACAGCGGCCGGCGGTAGCCCTTGTTGTTGCGCAACTGTTCTTCGAGGTTTTTGGCTTCATCTAGGAATGCTGCGACAATCACGCCGTGAACATCGTCCAGCACCTCATCGCCGCTAGCTCTTGAGATATGCGGGTCTAGTTCCTCCAGTGTGCGCTGACGCCGTGATTTGATCGCCGTCTTGTGGACTGCCTCAAAGTAGTCCTCCTCGTCATCTGGCACACAGAAATCGTCTTGTTCGTAGCCATTGTAGTGGAGAACCGCTTCCGGTTCCAGGTCGTCATGTTCATCATCTTCAGCGAAAGCCTCCTCATCAAAGAGGCTTGCAACGGCTTTGCCCTTTCTGGATTTTGCAGCACCACGACGTACTGGAGAAGATACCAACGTTGACGCTGGTCTGGTCAGCTCTTCGTGCTCGTCTGTTGCCTTCCTCTTCGTGGGTTTCTTCTTGGTAGTCTTGGCCGAGGCGCTCTTATCGCCGCCGGTTCGAACCACTACTTCCAGCTTCCGACCACCAGACATGAAACTAGCTGCCTCGCGGCCGAGCTGAGAAAAAGTTAGCACACATTATGCCAAATGAGTCTGCGAAGGCAACCTACGATGAAGTATTGAATGGCTATTCCGCCGCCACCGACCCTGTTCTCTTCATCCAATGCTCCTTCCGCTGCCAGTCTGACAATGACACTGCTCACCTCAGGCTTCTTGAGATGCCTTGCAATGCCATGAAATGACTGCGAGCCTTCATCCCCGTCGGGCTTCTTCGTGCCCCTGAGCACATCGGTGCACTGATTCAGGGTTAGGCGCGTGTGCCACATGACAGCCTCCAACGCTGCCACGGCATATTTCGTCCTGTCTGCGACCTCGAAAGTCCCGCCTATCCTGCAGTTGTCGCACGTCTTCTCGCACTTGTCGCGAGAAAACGATTCACCGAAATAGTGAAGGAGCTGACTGCGCCGACAATCTCGCGAGTTCTCACAGAACATGACGACACGGTTGAGCATTTCCTTCTGGCGCTCCTTCTGCTGGCGATTGCCATCTCCATCGTCGATCATCTTCCTGAGGCTATGGATGTCGCCATGGCCGAAGAAGAGGATACAGTCCGATGGCAGCCCATCACGGCCAGCTCGGCCGGTTTCTTGATAGTAGCCTTCAAGACTCTTCGGCAGGTAATGGTGTATCACAAAACGGACGTCTGGCTTGTCGATGCCCATACCAAAAGCGATGGTGGCAACAACCACCTTGACCCGACCACTCTGCCAGTCTCGCTGCACTTGAGCTTTTTCCTCTGTCTGCAAGGCCGCATGGTAGTGTTCGGCCCTGATGCCGCGATCCGTCAGCTTCTTGGCGATATTCTCTGTCTGCTTCCTCGAGAGTGTGTACACGATGCCCGTCTTGCCAGGGAATCTCTCGTTGATGATATCGGCAATGCGTTCAACGGGCTGTTTCTCTTTAGGTCGGATCTCGTAGTAGAGATTTGGGCGGTTGAAGCTCTGTGAGAAGACCGTGCACCCTTCCATGTCAAGATTGTGCTTGATGTCGACTATGACATTGTTGGTTGCTGTGGCCGTCAAAGCCATGACTGGGACGCCTGGATACTTCCGCCGCACCTCGCCGAGCATCTTGTAGTCTGGCCTGAAGTCGTGGCCCCATTGACTGACACAATGTGCTTCGTCGATGACCAAACGAGCCAGCTTCTTGTTTCTCCACAATGTCATCAGGCCGCTGTTGAACGCTGAACTCTTGCTGAGCATTTCGGGGGTAACATATAGAAGCTGAACATGATGTTCTGGGTTTCTCAGCTTGAAGCTTTGCAAGATATCGTCCTTCTCTCGCCTGTCTGTATCGCCACTGAAAGCTTTCGCCACGATGCCCCGAGCCGTCAAGTGGTCGACCTGGTCCTGCATCAAACTGAGCAGAGGGGTGACGACAATGGTCACGCCTCGGGTTTTGCCACTGTTGATGACAGCGGGTAACTGGTAACACAGGGACTTTCCACCACCTGTCGGCATGAGGACAAATGCGTCCTTGCCATCTAAGGTGGCATTGATAGCCTCCAGTTGGTTGTGCCTGAAGCCTTCGAGGCGAAACCTGTCCTTGAAAGCCCTCAACAGGTCACCCGACCAGGGAAATTTTAACAGTTCCTGGGGTATTTTAGGCTTTGGTACTTGCTTGACAGGCTTTTTGGATGTGGCCTTGACTCTTGCTGAGGCGCCTGCGTTTCCAGACGCCTCGGACAGAATTGATCGAGCGTGTAGATTGCTCCGACTTTCAATTGAGGATTGCCTCTGCTCGAAGTCCTCGGCCTCTTCAGCCATTGCCACCATGGCTGCGAGATCGTCGTCACCATCACCATAATCACTATGGTTCTCTTGTCGGCGTGGTTTTGTTCTCGCTGGGCTTTTGGACTTCAGTGCGGCGGTACTTCTTACTGAAGATGGTATGTGAGCCCTGGCATGAGAGTGAGATGGTTGTGCCCAGAGGTCCTCATCGTCGTCGTCAAGCAAATCTTCCATGTCTAGATCGTCTTGCGCTGTGTACGAAGGCTTTGAGGTACTTATGCTTCCCACATTTCGCGACGATCGTGGCCCTTCGTGCCGGAATTGTGGGGCAGGCGGCTTGACCAGCTCTGAGCGTCCCTCAAGACTTGCAAGTCTTGGCTGTTGTCTTGGTGCCGCTGCGAGTGCTTGAGTCTGTCTGATGACTTGAGAAAGGCACTCCGGTATCATAGTTGTGTCTCTTGATGACGACGGTGTTTCCTTAGCTGAGATTGCCTTTTCGATTGGGTCAGATGGTTCAGGCTCTTCGGGTGGGGGGTCCGGTAGATCGTTAAACATGGTGGGATTGGCTATGCCTGCAGCCACGAGTGCTTGCTTCAAGGTCCGCTCGTTCTGCTCAATCTCCGCGTCCAACTCTTCTACTCGAGCTTCGGTCTCGGTTGTGTCTTCGTCAGCATCGTATGCCATGCCAATCTGAGTCACGAGGTCCTCCTTCTGTGCTAGGAGGACCTTGTAAGCCTCATGAGAAGCCTTTAATTCTGAAAGAGCTTTCTTCTCTTTCAACAGCGGCTCCTTCTCTTTCTTTACTTGCATTTTCCGCTCTGGAGGCCATTTCTCGCGGAGCGATCTAGCAAAATCAGCCGAGTTCTTGGCCAACTTTTCATTGACAAGTTTCGTAAGACCCCTCATGATGTGTGGTTTCTCCAGGAACATATCCATAATGAGCGTCGCACCGTCCGTCTCTGAGCTATGAGGATCCATCTTCGCCGTAACGCCCGCTGGTTTTTGCTTATCCACAGAATCATCGATATCCATGGCGTCGGGCTGAGCCAGAGGCTGCGAGCTTCTGAGAACGACTTCGGTTTCAAGCGCCGATGAAGGTCGCTGTCGTTCAGATGCTGACTCGGGGCCGTTCTCGACAGAGGGTTCCTTTTTTGCGGTATCCGGGACGTGCTCCTTTTTCGAAATGGGAATTGCTGCATCACTAACGAAAGGTACATGGGAAGTCTTGCGCGATGGAGGCGTCTGGAATTCGTCATCGGAGTCCATGATAATGTCTCCGCGTCCGCGCCGGCGGGACATTTGAGGACTTGGGTTCCATGTGAAGCCCATGCCATCATCCGAGAACTCTTCATCCTTGCCTACAGGACTCTGCGGCCGTTGCGTCGGGTCTGTTTTCAAGGGACTACTTGCCTTTGACCGCGTGGCTGGTCGCGAGGTCGGGTCCTCAGGTCCCACTTCCAACGGCGACTCGGGTTTGGCGATGCCTTCTGGGCCACCCCGACTTGGTGTTTGCCCTATGCTACTCGACGGCCTGTGTATCCGCGTCTCTGTTGTGCTCACTGTCTGCGTGACCGTCCGCTGTGTCATAATCGTAGCATCTGGAGAGGCCAGTTGGAGCTTGGGTGGACTTCTCTTGGCTGATTGGAACCCAGCAGCACGCCGTTTAACCATTGCCGGAGTCATCATGTCATCGTCCAGAAAATCGGCAATGTCGGGATACTCGTCGTCATCCGGCTCGACAGCCTGGTTCCTCTTCGGTGAAGCCTTGGTCATCTGGCCGCTCTTCCTCTTCCTACCGGATGGTGTGAGTATCGGCTCGGGCCTCAGGGCATGGTCCTCCGTCCACAGCAGGACAGGCTCCCCAAATGTATAGGCAGTGGAATCGGTGACATCCGGATTGGAAGTATCCACTCCTGTTAGATCGTGAAATCCATCGTCGTCTTCCTCGGGGATGTCCTGTGTAGAGCCCCATGGTGCAGGTCTGCCAAGTCTGTTGGTGGAAGACGGCGCCGCGCTTGTATTTGACCGCTTCGCTGTGTTCGATGCCCTCTGTTCATCATCCTTGGCGAGAGACGCCGTGTATGCCTGATGCAACCGACCGCCCCCGGTCGTAGATGGCGCCGGGGTCGGGAGCTGCTCTTGCTTTGAGACCAGAGACGGCTTCCTCGTGGACTTCGTCGTGAGCCTCGCCATACCCTGCTCTTGCCCGTGTCCGGTCGCAAAATCCTCCAGCACTATTTCCGCTAGCGAGTCGTCATCTATAGTCAGGTCGATTTGCGGTGCTTCGACAGTCCCGGACGAAGACGCGGCTGCGGCTGGGGCGGGGGCGGGCGGCCTCGCGTTGGCCTCCCCGGTGCTGGGCTGCGAAGAGAGGGACGCGAAGCTTCGTGAGTTGTCGAAGGCGTCGTGGGCAGCTGGCAAAGACGGGCCAACAGGAGTGGAGAGCTGGAGATTGGCCAACAACCAGGCGAGGTGGTCTTTCAGGTTGTTTTTCGTCATAGATCCGAGTTGGACCTGAGGATCCGGAGCATTGCAGCTATCATTGGGACCCCAGATTGGAAATGCGCGATGTTGTTTTGCGTCCCTGGCGATGACTCGTGGGTCGGATCGAATTGATGGCTTCTAAATGGCTTCTGCTGAGCTTCCTCCAGATCGGTCTCGAGGTCGCGTAGAGACGTGACGCGCTACCTGCAGCACTAAGACCCCGACTGCCTGCTGTTCCTGGGTGGGACGGCAACAGCCGCTTGACGCGCACAGCAGGAGCCAAGTAGACTACCAAATACGCGACAGGGATACGCGCGCGTGCACGTGATAGCCCTTCAACTTCACATCGGAGACATTCGTGGCAATTATGGTCTCAAGATGAGCCAGCGCATTGAATTAAGGGTACAGACTATCTTCCTTTCTAGTTATATGTGTGAATGCTCGAATCTTGCCGCAGTCACTGGATGTGATCTCTCATCATCGCCCCATGCCATCTTCCACTCAGTAAATACCTGAACTACCTAGGTACTGGATCCTCGACCCCGGCCCGTTCGAAAACAATCACCGCCGCTTGCTATGCTTCTCTAAACACACTCGTGCATTTTTTGCCCCTTGAAAAGCGAATCAGATAAGGAGAAAAATTGACAACACGCACCCAGCCTCTTGTTGATATATAAGTCGATGCTTGTTGGACTTCGGGTGCCAAAAAGGGCCGTCTGGTATAATATGCTGAACAAGCTTTTAGTGTATCCGCGCCCCGTGGCGCCGTGTGTCTCGTAAAGAAACTCGCATCGGGACCGTGCCTCCCAATATACTCAAAAATATAGGCCGCTGGCCCAAAGATCTGCCTTACTCTTCAGCCATGGTCTGCAGCGCGCGCGTGTCCAGGCCTGACGTCGCATGCTTAAGCGCTGGGACACTCCTATGTCGTGAAATCGCCCCAACACCGGTCATGATAGCTGGTGGCGCCGAAGACGGTGGGACGATGGGCGATGCAGACGCCGGTGAGCTCCGGCGACTCGCCCGCATGGCCAACATTCGGCAAGCCTCGAGACGCTTAGTCTCAAAATTTTGCGACCGTAGCCGCTCTCTCTCAATGTTTTTGTGCCGCTCCAAGGCATCCAGATCGGCTTCTTCCAGGCTGTGGTCGTATTCCGCCAACTTCTTGATGCGGTCTTCGGCCTTGCGACAAGACGCATCCAAGTGTTCAGCGAGATCTGGCTGGACCAACTCAGCAGGCGTGGCTCGTGGCTGCGACGAACCACCCCAGCTGCAGCGAAACACGAGCTTAGCTTTGAGCTGCTCATCTCCATTGCCGGACCTCCAGAACGTTACTAGGTCTCCGTCATGCAACTCGATCCAGTTCTTTGAGGGACCTTTGGGGTTCTTAGGCTCGTCAGATGGCAGGACGGTCTTGTTGATCTGTATGCCGTTGGTAGCCTTGGTGGACATGAAGAAATGGAATCCATCCGTCGCACTGTTCCATGGGCGAAAGTTTTTGGATGGTTCGTAGCCTTCTTTCCAAAGTATGACTTTCAGAGCGTACTTGGGCACCTTGGACTCTGTTTTTGGTGTGTAAATATGGGTGTTTTCCGGGGCTCGTCCCCAGGAAATCATGGCCTGGTTGATTGGAACCGATATACCAGACACAACAGACCCCTCCGCCGACTCGAGAGTGGCCACGACTCTGTTGAGTGGTGGATCCGCTTGAGCCGGGATGACGGTGCCGTGATCTGGGGGAAGTGTGTCAGGCATGTCTTCGTCCTCATTGCCCGCGTTGTCCGAGCCCCAGGGCCGATCACTGGATGCGTCAGATCTGCGTCTCGACGCCCTTGACTCGGCGTCAGATGCACTGCTACCATCCTCAGGCGGCGGCGGCGTCTGGCCATCTGCCGGTGGGAAATGCTTCATCGCCAAGTCCCAGAGTGCAGACTTGCCTGGAGCAAAGGATTCCCCTCTGGCTTTCGCTGCTGAAGCGAAGGCATCGTGCTGCAACTGAGTCATCTCTGGATATCTGAGATGCCAACTTCCCTTGTCTCGTGCGTCCCAATAAGTCGACTTATGCACAGGCTTGTCGATCTGCCTGCTCGAGTTGACACGAGATAGTGGCGGAATCTGTGCATACAAGCCCTGCTCGCTGTCTTCGTCCCAGCTCATCGCATCACCAAAGAGGCTGTCAGACCTGAGTTTCTTGATAGGGGGTCGTGCTCTTGGGGTGTTGTCGAACTCATCGCTCATGTCGTAACCGGGTTTCCTCTTGCTCGTGTTGAAGCTGCTCATGTAAGACATGCCATTTGTGGGAAGCAACGATTTCATATTCAGATGCTCCAGCTGGGACTCTGCACCCTCGAGATCCTGGGACTCGGCGTCAAATGTCATGTTGTTGATCTCATCAAGAGAGCGACTGACAGACCGACGGCTCTGTGTCAGGGCTGCTGGGACGGCGGCGCGCGGAGTAGGTTGGGATCTCTTGGTCTGCCGAGGCGTCGAGTCCTCTGACCCGTAGCTATCCTTGATCTCGGGATCAAGGATTTCTGTTCTGTCCAAGCTCACTACTGAGTCCGGCAAATTCAGGCGAGTTGACGGGATGACTCCTGCACTACCAACGGCTGACCCGTTGACCTCCCCGAAGAGCTTTGAGCGCTGTTGGTCCATCTGGCCGAACGTGTAATTCTCCTTTTGAGACTCATAGCCATCGAATTGCACGTCATCGACCCCTTCTCCGTCATATTGCTCCAAGTTGAGGTCATCGTCGTCGTCAATCCCATCAACACTGGCGGGGATCCGCACTGGAGAATCTCTGTCCTGAAGGCTCAACTGAGAGGCTTCTTTTTGGAGGCCTTCGTCAACGTCGTCCTCGTTCGAGAATTCTGTTCCCTGTAACCACGGGTGAGACCGAAGCTCCTCTATCGTTGCACGCTGCTCTGGACGTCTCTGAATAATTCGCAGCAGAAAGTCGATGCCATCTTCCGAAATACTCATCTTTTCCAATGGCTGCGTGTTCAGCTTCTTGGTCATGATCTGATGAAGGAGTTCGGTGTAACTGATCCCGTTCTTTGCCGGAAAGGGAGGATCCCCCGTAAGGGTATAGTATAGCACGCCGCCCAGAGACCAAATGTCTATAGCATGGTCGTATCGCTGACCCTGGGGTCTGCGGCGGTGCCTGTTCCTCGGATGCCTGTGGCCGTACTCATCGTATTCTGCAAATTCGTTGTACACTTCTGGAGCGCAGTACAATAATGTTCCACAGAAGGTTTTCAAGAAGGTCTGCTCGGTTTCAACCATTTTGGAAAGCCCGAAGTCTGTCAGCTTGACGACGAAAGGACTGTACGAGTGGCAGAGAATGTTGTCTGGCTTAACATCACGGTGCGTGATGTTGTTGGCGTGTAGGTATGACAACGCACTGAGCATTTGACTGGACATCTCCCGGACGATGTCCTCTCTCAGCGGCCCATTATCGCCGATGAGGCTGCCAAGATCACCGTTAGGGACATACTCCATGATGATGATCATAAGCCGATCGTCCCAGTCAATATGCTCAATGTACTCGACGATATTCGCCTAAAACTGTCAGTGCTTGTGAGGCGGTCAGGAGAGCAAACACAACTTACATGCTTCACTCTTTGCATGATCCTCATCTCATTCTCGACTTTCTGATCGAGCACGCCGTTCTTCATGAATTTCCGCTTGTCTAGCTCCTTGGCGGCATACGGTTTCCCGTCGAATTTCGCAGTCACTTTGTAAACTGTCGCAAAGGCGCCTTTGCCGATGCGCCCAACACGGTTGTACCTGTTCGAGCCAGTCCACTCCTTGGGCAATCTTCCCATGTCCTCCTGCGTTGGATCGTCTGGCAGTCGCAGTTGACGCTTGGCACGTGGCGTCGGCTGTTTGGTTTCGTTCACAGGGAACAAGTCCACCTGCGGCTTGTTAGCGGCCAAAGAAATAGGGCGAGCGGTTGCTTCAAACTCACATGTCCCCCTGGTCCAGCTGTTATGGTCTTGGCCGCATCTACAGGCTCGTTCTCAGCGCGGATCTGTTGCAGGCGCTTCATGTAACGAGTCAGATTCCTCCTGTATGTTTCCTCATAGTCTCCTTCCCGGCGTGGGATCTGCACGATAAAGTCCAGATCATCCTGGCCCTCGTGCATGAGGATCTGTATCTTTGAGCCCGGGTTGATGGTCCTGCGCTTCGGTAGCTTCTTTTCTCCTGTTTTTGCTCGGTCCCCTTGCCTGGCCTTCAGCAGCGTTCCATCGACAACGGTCCCATTTATGGAAGAGTCCTCCAGCATAAGGACGCCATACTCGTTGAGGTAGATCCGAAAATGTATGTTGCTGAGCCTCCTCATAGGATCGTTGTGGAAGCACACATCACACCGTGTGACATTCCGACCGAACGTGAAGCCCTGGAGAGGGTCCTTGACATGCGCTGAAAGACGCAAGACCAAGGCATGCTCGCCAACAAGATGCGGCATGATGCTCTGGCCCTCGAGTGCTTGTAGGTCGGGATGCGCTGCCTCGTCCGCGTCGACCATGTGTTGAGAAGTTCGCAGGGCCATCTCGCGAAGCTCGGCGCGGGCGCCGTTCGAATAGGGAAGGAGGAGGCATATTATATCGGCGATGTCGTCATCTGAAAAGCCAGAGTTCTGCTTCCCCAGGCGGCGAGGATCGAGGACATTCTGGGTAGCTAGTACAGAGTATTAGTCCTGGAGCTTGTACTGGCCCGAGCATATTCGGTGGAACACATACCCTGCTGGGTCGGCTGGGTCTCAGGGCCATCGGAATCCATTGGGACCAACAGACACGAACGCTGGGCTTATAGGTCTGTGTACCAACCCAGCAGCTCAATGTCTGCGGCAGCCGGTTGGGGCTGAGCTCAAAGTCTTGCCTGCTCCAGTTTCGAGGCTATTGGAAAGCGCTGCAAGCGAAGGGTTGTGGCAGCTCCGACGGCGGTTGGGCGCAACAACGCACCGAGATAATCGTCGAGTGCTGCGTAGTCGCGTCACTCGTGCGCACAGAGTGGAGTCGGAGCGCTTGGGTTTACGATCGCAAGATCGCGCGTGGAGAGCGTCTGACCGGGCAACGAACGCACTGGCAGTGGAGTCGAGCCGAGTCAAGTCGAGTTGAGCCAAGCTTGCACAAAGAGAACGGGCGCTTGAGTAACACAATTGGATTGCGCAGATGCTGTTGGACTCGAAAGGGAAGAAGAGAAAAACAGCAGAAATTGCAGGGCTTCCTCTACGAGAACGAACGTGTGTCTTGTCGAAAAAGCAGGCCGGAACTGAGTTGATTGGAAATGCGACAGGTCATGTGGATAGAGGCAAGGCAAACTGCTGCGATCCGGAGTGCACATCACCAGTCCACCAGATTTGGGCTCGAGATCTCTCCTCAGGCCCTCCAGGGGTAGGCGCGTTGCGTTGCTGGGGGAGCAGGGGTGCACGAGGGAGGGGGGCTGGCAGGCCGTCAGCTCAGCTGCGCAAAACGGGCGGCACGCGGGGGAGCGCACGGGGCACGAGGCAGCCGGCCTGCCTGACAGGCCTGCCCGGCGCGCCTAGCTCTAGCGTGCCCGGCTCCCTTGCGAGCCTTGGACTAGGCGAGTTAGGCTCCTAGGCACAATGCAGATGCAGTAGGCGGCGTCTTGCCATCTCGCGGGGGGAACATTCCGGTCCAGCAGGAACAGCCATTATCGAACGAACCCCTGGCCGCCCTCCAAGTTCCCAAGAACCTGGGGCAAACACCCAGCCAGTCCAACCGGTCCAGCCCTACCAATGATTCCTCTTGCCAGTCCCCGATCCCACACCACTCTTGCAACCTTAATTCGGACGGTTGGGTGCCATCGGCCTTGAGCCTCGGTGCAGATAATCCAGTGCCGAATTGTCGAATGATGTCAACCATTAATCCATGAGATGTGGCGCAGCGTGCGTCATCCAGCAGCACGACACGACCCCGGGCGCGTTGTTGCCTCGCGAACGACTCGCGGGGTGAAAGCGATCGTAGTCGCGGCTGAGCGATGATAAAACACCATGACTTTGGTCTGATGTCGCGCGTCGCGATGCAACGCGAAGTAGAACCAGCCGGCCCGAGTGCTCGGCCTAGTGTACGGGGGTTCAACACAACACAAAAGACTTCCTTTTTATCCAAGCGAATGATTTTCTGAATCATTTCCTTAGTCACCCAGGTACACAAGTACGCTGTCACTCATTGCCATGAATAAAACAGTCCCCATCTTGGCTGTTGTAAAATCAGCCGATCTCTATAGGCTGGCATTTCTTCCTATGCTCTTCCTGAAGGCTTCAAGCCCCGACGTACGAGGGACGCCTAGGTTTTTACTCCTCAGCGACCCTCCACACAACTTTCTCTCCGCTAACAGCTCCGTCCCTAAACAAAGACAGCGCCTGCTCAGCCCTCTTCAGCAGCGTCTCCCCCTCCACGAGTCTCTGCTTGTTCGGCCGGATCGTGCCATCCTGCAACAGCGCTGGCATGATATCCGGCTGCAAGTGGTACTTGAAGAACTCGTTGTCCTGGTAGAAATGAGTCCTCACGCCCCTCAGCTCCACGCCCTCCTTCCATTGCCCCACCAGCACATTGCCCACGTCCATCTCGTACGTCGGCGCATCGCTGTTGCTAGCATGGCTCACGACCACAGGCAGCATGATCGCAACCTTGGTGCCCTTCTCGGCAATCTTGCTCAGGGGCGTCACGGTCCCTTCCAGCGAGCCGATGCAATCAATTATGTATGGGATGTACGGCCCAGAGGATATGGACTTCACTGAGTCTTCATTGTTGTAGTCAAAGACAGCAGTTGCACCAAGAGCCTTCAGCGCTTCGTGGTGCTTCGCGCTCGCCACGGCCAGAACATTGCGATAACCCCAGTGCTTCAGGACCTGCAGAGTATACTGGCCCACGCTACCGGCGGCACCCCATACCAGGATTGGCTTGTCGGCCTCGGGTGATGCCCAGTTCTCTGGCACAGGCCACGGCAGCTCCAGTCCCAGATCTTTGGTGATGGTGTGTATAGCCGTGCAGAAGTTACTCGGCACCGTGACTGCCTCCTGTGCTGAGATGTTGGTGGGAACCTTGCCGAGGAAGGTCACGGGGACGGTGAGATATGTCTGCATGGGCTTGTGCTTCTCTTGTTGGAAGGTGAAGCCGAAGACCTTGTCGCCCACTTTGAGGGCCCTGGAGGACTCAGATAGAGATGGCTCCTTGAGGTCCCCGAGCTGAGCCACCGTACCAACAAAGCAACCAGACATGATGTGGGGTGGCTTGATGAGTAGCCCACCGTCTGCTTGGTGTAGGTTCAGAGGCGTGGAGCCGAACCATTCGACGTGAACGAGGGCCTCATCTGTCGACGGGAAGACGGTGTCGACCTCGTGTATTTCAAGAGGCGCCCCTGGGGCTACAATGACCACTGCAGGATGCTTTGATGGTATGGGGGATGCCATATTGACTACAGGTAACGAAAGACCCAGATGAGATGTAAGTGTCGAAAGTCCGCCTCAAGTACGAGGAGTTCAGAATTCGCAGGCAAAGAGGTTGGAGAAAGTGCATTGAGGGCACTCAGTCTTGACTGCGGCAACCCCCTCTCTCACGGCGCTTTATAGGACTGGAGCCCCTCCTCGTCCCTCAGTCATCCATGATTTCCAAGCCGTCACTCGTGAGACCTGAGACGTGAGGTCCGCCCCCAAATCGCGAAACTAGTCGTCGATGAGGGATGAACTTGCCTACTGTGGCAGGGCCAGATTTGTCATCCGCGCCGACCTACACATTTGTCAGCCAGCCTGCAAACGAGTCGAAGGATTCAACAGCATTCAATCACTGTCTCGCGCTGCCGAATATCGCGATTATGATGGGATCTTTGGTATTTCACGTACGACGCAGTAAGGCTTAATGACCCCACTAAGTACACGTCGCGAACTGGATGCCAGGGTCAAGTGGGCACCGTGAGGACCTCCCACAAAGCTTGACAGCGGGTTCCTAGTGTTGTTCTCCATAGACTCGTGTGCGAATATTTGAAGGAAGCCAGCTTTCAGCTTGAATACGATAGTGTGCGGGACTCCTGTTGTGAAGACATCTCTGTGATCATGCCCTTGGTGAGTATAGTTGTGCCTATAGGACACCTGGACCGTGTGTTCAGCTCGGAGGATCAGTAGCATCATGTATGTTCTGAAGGCAACCGAGTCAATTCAGTAGACAACGATTCAATTTTGAATGCTAACAATCTTCCATATTGAGCTTCGGGAAACCCTTTGCTTCTGCAGCATCTAAATGCAGTCACACTTCCGAGGCGCTCTGAGCTGCAGCCTTCTTGGAGTCCCGCTCTCGATTGTATCCTTTTTCATCTCCTGGCTTGTTTAACCCATCGAGCCCTCTTCTTCCGCAGTCCTTCCCAGGGGATCAAGTCCCCCGCAGCTGTGGATGTATCCATGAGACATCCCCTATGACGATACAAGACACCAGCGTCGCCGGCATCTTGTACCAAAAAAAAAAAAAAAAAAAAAAGAAAAAAAAAAAGAAGCAAAAAACAGAAAGCCAATCGCGAGGCTTGCGGTATCATGAAAAAAACTCCTCCCAAGAAACGCCATGCTGATTACATTCTCGAATCGAAAGCCGAAGAGAATATGCTTGTTGTCTCTAATCGGCAGGGAAGGTTGTGGACCTAGAGCCTTGAGGGCGGCATCTGTGCAGCCCAGGCAAAGCTCTGCTTCTCCCTGTCGTCGTATTCGAAAGGCGATGATCCGATATCCTTAACGGCATCCTTCACCCTTTGCTTGAAGGAGCGCTTTGTCTTTTTGGGCTGTTGGGGAGTCTTTTCGTACGAGCACGTCGTTGAGACCGAGTAGGTCGACGGTGCGTAGGCTGTCGTCTGAGAAGGCATCGTGATTTGGATGGGTTGGTTTAGGGTGGTGGTCTTGCTTGAGGTGGGAATTGTGAAGATGTTGGTGATGTGGTTGAGCGCGGAGATAATGTACGCGAAGAAACTTGACTTGAAGCTAGCCTTGCTGGTGTTTGGTGCTTTGAGTAATTCTGAATGATGGGAAGCAAGAGATGTATGGTAGGCTCGGAGAGTGGAACTGTCCATACTTATAGACGTGTGTCTGAGCTGACCAGGCATAGGAATGTGAGTATTTCTGACAGTGTCTGTGTGCCACCCATCCCAAGGGCGTCCCATAACATAGACATATCGGAATTCACAGAGGACGTAATCCTTCGCTTCGTACCGCGTACACCCCCCGGGCTACTCAATACAAGGTTGAGTCAGATTCAGAAATGTAGTGAAACTTGGTCCGCACTTGCAAAATAGAAGTCACAGCCCCCTTCTGGTCCTAGGACCTACGACGTGAGGGCTGGGCCGCACAATGTCGTTGAATGTTGGTGGCGGCCCCCAAAGGTGCACGATCGGAGTTCGGAGTACCAGCCGTACTCGTCAGCTCGCAAGGTTCATCCACCGGGATAGGACCACGACCCCAGGGCACGTCCGCGTTTAGCGTCCCAAATAGTGAGTGATGCCTGATCCTGCTGCCCCAGAGCCGGACGAAAATGGTGTGCCTGGCCTGTGGTGGGGATTTTTTCACATCGATCCTGAGGCTCCCAGGTCAGCCCAAACCCTGTCTAGGACGCAGAGGGACCCAACGCAGGAGTAAGACGGCGCAATCTTTGTGGCGCTAAACCGGTGCCTTGGACCTAAGGACTTGGTGGCCGTGGAGTCATCGGTAAGCACCCTGGCAGACTAGGGATGCGGTCAGAAAGCTTAATGGATGCAAGCTCCAGCACCGCACTTGGCAACGTCGGTATTGGCGTCGAGTCCTACCAGCAAAGCGTCCTGGGTCTTGGACACTCCGGGTCTGTGCGGGCGGGTGCTTTTCAGCAGCGTGCCTTAACAGTTTTCCGTTCTGGCCCCTGCTTTTGGTGATAGCACATCGGCTGAACTTCGTGACTCATCTCACGCAGACGTTTAAGCACCTGCAAGCCACTTACTAAGTGTTCTCGTGTACAGCCTCACTCACTATGCAAGGGAACCCATTTTCCTTTTTCCTCTTTTCATTCGGGACCCAGCCTCAGCAGGTTGACTCAACGGTCAGAAACCAGAGTCTTTTAGCTCAAATGGGAAACTTCGCCGAGATAGCGATTGCTTACGCAGATAAACGGCAGCAAAGTCGGCACCGCTTCAACAGAACCGAAGCGTAGGGGAAACCGACGTGCAGGTTGGTCTCAGAATCCTGTTATGGCAAGTCTCCTCAAAAAGACCCGATGTGTGTGCAACCATCCTGTGCGCTTATGCATATGAATCGGTCAGCTCAGAGGCAGTGTCTGGGCGTCGGCACAATTGTGCGACACATGCCACATGCCACATGTTTCTTCATTTTTCTGCTTTGCATCGCCCGCTGCGCTGCCTTACTCGGACAGCCTTGACTAAGATGATAAAGTGGCAGTGGCTTGATCTTAGTGGCTCAAAAATGCATGTTCGGACTTGATGATACTGAAGTGTAGCTATCTCCTTTCCTGCCCACGAGACTGCCCAACTCCGATACTTCTCAGCTTCTCAATCTCGGGAAGAAGTGCTTCTGCCAGAGACCTCACTGGCAATCTAAAATAGCGCGCGGCAGTTCTCTTGCCTGGCAGTTGGCTGCTGTGCCACGTTCGTGCAGCCTGAAAGGCTCCAACAAGGCGTGTTGGCGCCTGCCATTGGGCTGTGGTATCCCAGTAAGGAGGCATTGACATCGAGCCTATCGCACAACAGCGCAATGTGTTGCTTCGTGTTCCTTCTTATTCATACAAAACCGATGGATGCGCTCTTCGATTTAGATTCAACGTCCGTAAGCACTAACTTGTGAACTCGTTTCAAAGTTCCTCAAGTGATCCACTCCCACATGGCGTGCCAGCTTGGGAGATTTGATTTGTTCCGGATAACTGCCAGGGAGCCACTTTTCAATTAATTTCTCCCATCTGGGTGCCGTTGAGGGCAGATCTTGGAGCCTTCCATTACGATACTGACCATGAGCATAGTACAAAATCAGGGCAAGTCCATCTACTGTTGCACGCACATCCCTAACCCTGGTTTGCAACCACTTTCTAGAATGCTTAAATAGTTAGATTTCTTTTGTTTCCTCCTTTTAAACTACTCTTAGGAGATAAACGCTTTTATAATTATGCTTTTAAACTCCTTATAATACTTATAGCCTTTCATAATTATAAGCCTAGTTTATATAAAATAATCTTTTTTTTTATAAGCTATAAATAAGTTATATAAAGCGCATTTTAATTATATTTATTTTATATTATTTATTTCCTTTTATTTTTAAGCATATATTTATATAATAATTATAAATGCTTTTTTAAACCTTATTAATTAAGTAATTTATTTAAATATTTATTCCTTTCTTACTTAATTTATTATATTATAATTTCATTACTAAATTAAGGGGTGCTAAGAATTTATAAACCTTAATGCATTAAATGCAGCCTTTTTTAAGCAATTAAATATAATCTTAAAATTAAATTCCTAATTTATATAGCATAAAAAAAAGAAAAGAAATATTTAAAAAGCTTTATATAATAAGTATTAAGAGCATTTAAGTAATAATAAGCTTTTAAAAGATAAAATAATACTTACTTTATTCTCTCCCTTATTTTTTAATAAATTAAAAAAGGAATATAATTAATATCTTTAATAATAAGTTATCCTAGCTCTTAATAAGGTAATTAAATTTAGTAAAAGATAAAAAATTTAGGAATAAATATAAAAAATAATATTTAGCTTAATTCTCTCTCTATATTTAATTAAAATAATAAATATAAAATAGTTTTTTATTTAATAAATAATTTAAAATATTAAAAATAATCTTGCACTCTTTAAATTAAGCATAATAAATACCCTTTAAACCTAATATTAGCAATACTTAAAAAAAGCAAAGAAATTAAGTATTAAATTATAATAATAATATTAAGACTTTATAAATTTGCATTTATAAGCTTATACTTATAAGTTATTTAAAATTAAGGGATTTGCTAGTTTAAATAACTTTTTATAAGCAATTATAATATATATTACCCTTAATTAAATAATTTCTAAGCATTAAGAACTTATTAAATAAAATGCATTAAGAAATTTAATTTATCCTTTAAAAACCCTATTTAAAAAATTAGCAATACTCTTATATTATAATAAGCTTGCATTAACCTTTAGGAATATTATAATATTTGCTATATTAAAATTAAAAGTATCTTTTAAAATAAAGAGTAATTAATTAAGGAAATAATTAAGGAATAAGAATGCATTATCTTAATTACGTTAATAAAATAAAATATATAAATGCCTCTGCTAAAGAATTAATTAATAAAAAGGATATATTTAGCTTTTCATTAATTATCACTGCCTTTATTTTACGCTTTTAAGGGAATAAATTTTAAAGCTAAAAATACTTTTAAGGGAATTTAAATATAATAAGATTAAAATATAATTATAAGAAAATCGCTATAAAAACTTAATTTAAAAGCTTATTTAAAAGAATCTTTTACTTAAAGATTAAATATAAAGCTTATTAAGAATATTAAAAACTCCCTTAAGTACGTTTTTAAAAGTTATTAAGAAATAAAATTTTAATTTTCTTTTTTAATTTTATTTTTTTTTATAAAAGCAAACTTATGCTTTTTTAAATCTTAATTTTAAAAATTAATTAATTAATAATATTTTTATTATATTTTTATTAACTTTTTATTAATTTATTTATGCTTTAATTAATTTATTATAATTATTAATTATAATTAATTTCTTAAGAATATATATAACCTTAAATTTTATGCCATATTTTTTATTTTTAAGTATAGTTTTAAATAATTGCAGCATTATTTACTTTATTAACTTTATTAATTATTTAATTTTAAGCACCTTTAAAAAAGCTATTAAGATAAATATTATTAAAGCAAGGACCTTATTCTTAAAGATCTTAAATTATAAAATAAGGTGCTTTAAAAATATATTATATAAAGTAAATAAAAAAAGAATTAAGGATTTAATCTTGGAAAACATGATAATTATGGATAAATTTTATATTAATATAGTATTAAAAGCGCTTTTATAGAAATTAAGTGTTTAATATTGTAAAATTAATTTAATATTATATTTTAAATTATTTAAATAAAGCGTTATTTTTCTTAAACTTATTTAATAGCATAATTTAATTTTTTTTAAATATATATTATTATATTTTCTTTATTTTTACCTTTTATTATAAATACTTATAAGCGTTATAAATATATATAAGCTTGTAATTTTTTTAATAAACTTAATAAAACCTTTTAAGCCCTTTTAATACTTAAATAAAAATTAAGAAAACTTAATAACCCTTTAGCATTTTTAGTTTAAATACTTAGGGGTTAATGCTTTTAAATTGCTAATTTAATATGCTTAAAGCATAAAATTTAAGGGAATTAAATAAATTAATTATAAAAATTACTTTAAAGCCTTTATTAAAAAGGTAATTTAATATAAGTTATTAAAAGGCAAGAGCTTAAAACCCTTTTTCTAAATCTTATAAAACTTATTTTATTATTTATAAGTATTAAATAAGTTAAATTATAAGCTTATAATAATAAACAAGTTCTTAGGATTTATTTACATTTTTCTCCTTATATTAAAGACTTAAAAATAAGTATTTAGCACTTTTTATGCTTATAAAAGCTAAATAAAATAATAATATAGTTTAAATATTTACAAAATTAAATAGGATGTTAAAGCTATAATAATTAGCTAGTTTATAAATATTAAATACATTAAATAAGTAAAATAAAAGGGTATTAATTTAAAACTTACTCCCTTTTAAACCTTAAAAATAAATAACGCTATAAAAAGGGCTGGCAAAGCAATAATTAAATATACCTTAGCTATATTATTAAGGGTTAATTTACCTTCCAACCTTTAATTAAAAGCAATATAAGCTATAGCTTAATTATATAATATATCGCTTACTTTAAGGAAAAAGGGGCGTATTTTAAATACTTTTTTATATGCATGGTTTTCCTATTATTTTTAATAATTTAAATTAGCTTAAATTCGCTATTTTATAGCTTATTTATTACCTTATTAAGGTAATATTTATGCTTATAAGTACAAAGCATATATGCTTAGAAAGGAATGCGAAAATAATATAAAGAAATGCCTTATAAAAGGGAAATTAAGGGCTTATATTAAGTATTTAATTAATTATATAGCATTTAATATCTTTTAAATTTAAATTCCTTTGCTTAAGTAAATAATCTTTATAAAGAATATATAATTTAATAAAGATATATTTTATAAATTAGCAATAAATAAAGTAAAAAATAAGCTTTTAATTTTTAAAGCAAAATTATTAAATATTAAAATTATTAATGCTAAGAAGATTTAAGATTGCATTTATATTACACCCTTAATATCTTATGCAAAAAATAACCTAATTAATTTAAATAATAAATTTAATACTTATTTTATATTAAAAGAAAATAAAACTAATACTTTTAATTAAAACTTAAGAGTAAGGACTTTTAAATTTAAAAGGTAAAGTTTGCTATGCATTGCTTTTTTAAAGAGCTTAAGAAATTAAAAATAAGGACTTTTAACCCCTAAAAGGACCTTAAATATATTAAAATAAGGCTTTTATAAAAGGAAATATACTTTTATTAATAAAGTAAAGGCTAATAAACCTAAACCTTTCTTTTAAAAATTATATATGCTTAAAGCTATGGGAAATTAAAAATCCTTTTAATTAATATAAATAAAGAAAATATAGAAATAAATTTAAGAATTTAAACTTATAAAAAGATCTTTTTAAGTGCATAATTAAAATAAATGCCTTTAAGAATCCTTTAATTAATTATTATATTTAATAAATATAATTATATTTTACCTTAATATAACCTTTTAAAGTAACTTTATAATTATTTTTTTATTTAATTAGCTTAAAAAATAAAAATAAAAAATACTTAAGGACTTATATTTTTTAACCTTAAATAATATAATAATAACCGCTATTTAAGCTCTTAAAATTAAGTTTAAGCCTTATTTAATGCAGCAATATTATAAAAATCTTCCTTTAAAATTAATTATATAAAGAAAGGCTTAAAAAAGCCCTTTTTAAAATAAATAGCTTAAGGCAATGCATTAAAAAATGCAAAGCTTTATTAAGCTTAATATTTAAAGGATTATTAAGTATTAAAAAGTAAAATTAATATTATTACCCTTAAAATAAGTATATAAATATAAGCTTAATAAGGATAAAATAATTAAATCTTTTAAGGCGTAAATTTGCATTTAAAAAGACTTGCAACCTTATTTTATTATAAAAAGCATATATGCTATAACCCTAGCTATAAAATCATTTTATATAATAATAATAATAATTACGCATTTTAATTTAAAGATTTAATAATTTAATATTATAATTATATTTTTAAATATTAGCTAAAAAGGATTAAATTAAATTTATTACAAACTATTTAATAAATTTAAAAAGTTAAGAAAATATAAAGTACTCCTAAAGGTACTTTATAAATTAAAAAACTCCTTATTTCTTTAATATAAAGATTTTAGCTAAATATTATAAAATTTAAGCTTAAAACCCTCTTTAAAAAAGCCATGCCTTTTTATTAGCTTAGCTTATAAAGTAACAATCCTTTTTTATATAAATAATATTTTAATTACATATTTTAAAGATAAATATAAATTCTTTATAAGGATTAAAAACAGGATTTAATTTATATATAAAATAAAGAATTAAGGGAAGGCCTAATAATTCCTAAATATATAAATTTTTAAAAACTAAGAAAAGCATATTATAATATTCCTTTATAACTTATATATTAAAAAGATAATAAATAAATATAACTTATTAAGGAGTGAAAACTTTTTATTATTTATCTTAATGCTTAAAAAAAAGCTTAAGCCTTTTTTTAAATAAGCCTTAAAATAAAAAATTTAAAAGTTTTAAGAAAAAGTTAATTTTATTCTTTATATAATAATTATAATATACCTAAATATAGCATTTCCTTATTTTATATTATTAAAATTCTTTATAAACTTAAGTTTAAGTTATCTTAAGGCAGTAAATTATGTAATTTAATATTTATATATTACTTAATTCCTTAAATTATAATTTAAAGGGAATTAAGAAGTTTAAGCATTTTTAATAATTAAAAATGCTTTATTTATTAATAATAAGGAAAATTAAAGATCTTTTTAAGGATATATAATAACCCTTTTTAAAAGCCTTATATATTAAAAAGCATATAAATAAATAATTATTTCTACTTTAATTATTAAGGCTAAATTATTAATTTTAAAGCTTATAATTAAAGAAATAATGGCTTTAAAATGCTTATTTAAAGATATAACCTTAAATTTAAGTAAGCCTTAAATTATTTATTATAATAATTAAATAATTATATATTTAATTATTAATAAGTATAAATAGCTAAAAATAAGGCTTAAATATATAAATATTTAATAAATATAATTAAAATAAGAATTTAAAAGGGGTACCTTTAATATTATATACTTAAAAACTAAGAAAATATTAATAAATAAACTTATTAAAGTTTTATTACGCATTTAATTTAAACATTTTAAAGCTTTTTTAAATCTTTAAAATATAAGGAAAGTAATGAAAAGGGATTAATTTATTTATTAATTATTCTTATTATTAAATTTTTATTAAAAATCTTAAAAATTATACTTCCTAAAAACTATAATATAATCCTTATATAAAAATTATTCCATAATTAAAAACTACCTTTTAACCTTTATAATAATATATTAATTAATTTAAAACCTTTTTTTAATTATTATAATAACCTTTTAACTTTTTTAAAAAACTTTCTTAACCTTTAATTAAATTCTTAATTATGGTTTTAAATTAAAATTTAATAATATTTACTTTTTAGCATTATCCTTAAATTAAAAGGCTTAATTAAGATAATAATGCAATCTTAATATTCTTTTATAATTTTTAAGTTATTAATAACTTAATTTTAAAGCTTTTAAGCCTTAATATTAGCTTTATTATATTATTTTAAAGTAATTATAATTTAAGCTTTAAAGTGCTTTATTATATCTTTATACTTATTTTTTTTAGCTTTTAAAAGCTATTGTTATAAGGTAAAGATTTTTTAAATATTAAAAGAAATTATAAGAATGCAATTAGTATAGGTTAAATTAAACTTCTTGCGCTTATATATATTTAAGGCTTCCTTTTAAGCATATTAAAACTTTTTAAATGTTAAAAAATTATTAAATTAAGCATAGCAAAGATAAAGTATAAATAATAAAAGGAATATTAAAAGCAGCTTGCAAGAATTGCTTTAAATATAATAATAGCAATAATTACCTTTATTATTATAATTTATATAAAAATTATTATTATGGCTATATATAAAGCTTTTAATATAAGAGAAATAAGGAATGTAATGCTTATTAATCTTCTTAAGCTCTTTTATATCCTTCTTTTTTTTTTACACTTTATTTTAACCTTTTCTTTAAAAAGGCATTTTATTTTAAGCTTTAAGCTATTTAGGTATGCCTAAAGATTTTTTAAAGCTATATTAAGAATTAATATACGCTTTAAAATTAATTTTTAAATTAATTAAAAAACTTACTTTTAAGCATATTATTTAATAATATCTTAATTAAAGCATTAAAGCTTTTATTATTTTTATTAATAAGCTCCTTATTAATTTAGCTATGCTTATATTTTTTCTTTTAAATTTTAAAAATAAGAGGAGGTAAAATAGCTTATAGCTTAAAAGCTTATTTTTTACTGCTTTTAGCTATTTTTAATACAATTAAAAAAATACTTAAAATTAATAAAAATAAGTATTTTTAAATATAAATTTAATTAAAAAGTTTAAAAAAAAGCTTTAATTATTAATTATAAGCTGCATTATAAGGCTATAAGCAATTAAAATTTAAGTAATAAAGTGCATATATTATAAGAAAGATTAAATAATTAATTGCTTAGCAAGCTATAATTAATATTTTTAAGTATAAATTAGCTATTTAAAAAAGTAAGGCAGTTAATAAGATAGGAACTGCCTTTTAACTAAGGAGTATATTGCATATATATCCCTAACCCTAATTTATAACCACTTTTTAAAATGCTTAAATAATTAAATTTCTTTTATTTCCTCCTTCTAAACTACTCTTAGGAGATAGATGCTTTTACAATCATGCTTTCAAACCCCTCACGACACTTGTAGCCTTCCACATCTACCTGTCTCTTCGTCCGGCGATAGATGGAGCATTACATTGCTCACATTTCGCATTTATTGCCGTCTAGTGAAAGGTACAGATTTCTCGTTAACATGAAGGCAGCTCGTCCTCCGTGTCTATGCGGGCGAATTCTCCTGACAAGCGCCGTGATCGTCAGGCAGCGAGACGGATCTGGTCTAACGACGACGGAATTCACCTTACTCGGACCTTCGATCGACGGGATGCCTGATCGATGCGTGCGTCCATTCGGTGTAGAATTGGACCGTCCCTGTAAGCAGGAAGATGGGCTCTGACCCACCAGGTCCTACATGTTCTACCAATCGCTGGGCTCGACAGGTTGATCCCGTGCTGCCTCAAGCCGGTCCGTTCGCTGAGGACTGAAGGCGCGAGAACCGCAGCAGAATATCTGGGATGGCCAGAAAGTTTAGTTTGCAACCTTCTTCCTGTGGAGGGTAAGCACGCTTCATCACTCCGCGCTGCCCCGGAGAGATCGAAGGACTCGTTACATCGCAGTGTGCCGAACAGGATGTCTCGCGGGGAGCCTGCTACGCGATGTACATTATTCTCAAATTCTCAAGCACCAAATCCCTGGCTGCCAGGCAGCCATCAGATCGGCCGGAAAACTTGGAAATGAAATGACATCCTTGCTCGATGCCAGCTTCCATAACCATGACTTCTGTGGATATACCAGTTTCAGAGCAGATTGGCCGAAACATCTCCGAGCATGTAATGATGCTGTTTATTCCGAAAGCTTTGATGATTTGATTTCAACTGGCAAGAGGGACAGGAAGAGGCGGTTGGTCACTCCGATATTTCCGATAACTGTCACACGGCGTACGTTCTTTTGGTACGATACCGTATTCGGAACCACTGACAGACCGGAGTCGTTATAATGAGAAAGTACTGGACTGGTTCGAGTGCAACTTTTCAACAACGCGTGGTTCATGATTTCGTTGGTTCATTACTTTATCACTTTCTATTAGTACATTATACTTGATACATTGGATTCTTTCCATTAACCATACATCTGCCAAGAGTAGCCAGCCCCCGTCGCAGTATCCATATCGTGTATCACAGTTTTGCCCCACTGCGGTGACCTCTGATCATTGCTGACGGTCGAGTACATCGTCGGAAGACGCAGAGGGACGATGTCACTTTTCGAGATAGTACGTCTCGCCGTCTTCTGCTTAGCGCCCTCGGAAAGGACCATCATCTCGACGAAGATGGCGCCGACCGCAGCGACGAGCATGATGGACGTGAACACTATGAACACGGCCATCCAGGCCCAGTTGACCGTGAACACCCGCTCGCCGGGCCAGGTCACTGTCGAGGGTGCCGTTTTGTAGCGGGGCTGCAGGCTAGTAGGGACCGAGGTGCTGTTGACCACGATGCCTGACGAGCACTGTGGACAGTAGCCTAGCCCGACCCAGGTGCTGAACAAGTAGCCGAACCGCTGGGCGAATTCATCCGGGGAAACGGTTGCTGAGAGGTTGAACTTGGAATTGCTGACTTGCCGTGGTCTGATGAGGGAGGTTATATCGGACGGCCCACCACGTTGAATATATCGCTCGGCTAAAGTCTTGTTAGTGTTGACCTCGGTAACTGTGCAATTAAACCGGCAAATAGAGAGTTGGAGAACTTACTGGCTGTTGCTGTATTGTCCGTGGTCGGCAGGTTTCCAGACCAGACAAAATCCAGCGCGAAGTCCCGTAAGGGTGTGCTTAAAGTACCATTAAAAGGCATGAGATGTGCAGCGCCTGACTGGGCGCAATTGCTCAGGCCAGTGCTGTTGTCTGGACTGCACCGCATGGGCACACTGTAGAAGACCTGCTCGTAGCTGCAGGTGATGGAAGAGTACTCCCACTGGTCGACCGCCAGAGTTGTGTTATCGCGACGCCTCCTTCTCAACACGGTGGTGTTGGTAGTTGATTTCCTGTTCAACGAAACGAATCGTACCATTGGGGGAGTTGCCGAATCATCATGGCCCGGCATGCTCAGTCCCAGAGTCTGAGAAGCGCTGTAGAATATCTGCTCGGACGACGTGTCGTTGGAAAGCTGCCTCGTCATAAGAGTCCAGTCTCCACATTTCAAGTCGTAGGCAGACGCGGTCATCGAGAAATTCAGAGCCTCGAAGTCTGCTGAGATGGGCACGCCTTGGTGGGTGTTGCTGACCGTTTCATCGCGAGCACGTATGCGTCGATGCAAAGCAGCATGACTCTTTGACCCATATGTAGACACAATAGAGTCGACGAGTGTGGATTTTTGCGGTAAGTAAATGGAAATTGGTTCGTTCATGGGGTTGTTGACGTTGTCCTGGGAGAGGCTGCGGATATACTTGGCGCTGATGGTCTGGATCAGCTGGGAGCGACTTGTAGATGACAATGTGTTTGCCGACTTTGGAGCCCAAACTTGATTGTGTCCCGTGTTCTCAACGTAAAGAACATCGCGATGGCCTTGAAGCGTCTCCTGAGTGACTCCGTACATGTGTCGGGCAGCCTGCGGTCCGATCGGCGACAGGCACCAAATCAGGAAAATGAGAAGGCAAAGCGCTTCGAGACGACGCAAGGTCAAGTCTCGCTTTGCGCATCCGTTCAGACGTCCATTTGTGCCACTTTGTATCCGAGAAATGATTCCGGCTTTGAAGCATTGCGCTACTGTAGTAGCGAAGACGATAGGCCAAATAACGGTGGCGATCTCGATGAGATCTGCGACTGAAGACCAGCTCGAGGACACTGGCTTCCCCCTCATGAGAATTGCAGCAATACCCAGGGCAACAAAGGCAACAGGTAGAACAACGCTACAGCTTGCCAGGACGAAGGAACACAAGCGGATGAGACGCTGCAGCCAAGGTCTCATGGAGGTCTCCTCTGTTACAGTCCCCACATAAACCTCTCTTGTCTGGTCCCGTAGCTTATCCGTATATAGGGTAGACGTGTTGCTGTCATCCGAATATCGTACTGCAGGTAAAGGGCTGGGTAGCACTGCGTTAGCAGGCGGCTCACAGTCCCAGAATGCAGCTCTGGCATCCGAGGTGTTGTAGGTTTCGTGTGCTAAACTCTGTCAACATCAGCCTGTGCAAGAATCAGGATGTAGGCTTACCTGATATGCTGCGACGGAGTGTCGGGCGGTTATCCCGTTCAAATTCTGCTGCATGGCCACCACCATCTCCATGATCACTGGCCGAGTATCTGCGACTCCGTTCGTATTCCTCGTTCTCGTCGATATGGCCAATCTCAATGTTCCCCGATGTTCCGCTGGCCCCGGTCGTGGAGCCTCCATTTGCAGCATGCCCATGCCTAAGGACGCCGCGCGTCCTCTGGTAAGTCTGCTGTTCAGCCAGTGCGGTCTCGACAAGTGTCATGGTCGAGATCATTGTGTCCCGGCTAGCATCGTCATCATATATTGACACAGACCTGACCGATGCACTTCGACGCATTTGTTCCCTGTCCGAGGCTCCAGGCTGTGTTCTCATAAAGAGTTCGGAGTCACGAACGGGCCTTTGGACTCTCACGAAACTGCCGTCTGATGTGCGGGCAAGAACAGTTCTGCAGGCTCCTTTTGCCGCTGTGGGCGTAGAGGCGAATGCCACGGCTTTTCGTTCCGCGCCCGTTTCCCGTGTTGACAGGCTGCGTCTGATTGTCGTTGAGCTGCCGCCAGGCTGATGGATGTTCACCCGCTGGTAGCTTTGCGGTGCCGACCTGGCCGTCCCGGGTTCATCCTCTGATATGATAGAGGCATAGTCATCAATGATCTGGCTGACTGGGGTCTGGGACCGCCTCCTATGTGTTGAGTACATGGTGAGCACGATGGATTTGAGGAATAGCAGTCAAATCAAGACAACAAAGGGCGAGGAAAGGGGTGCGAGGATTCGAGGATCCTCGAACCGGGGATACATGGCTCTTATTTCGTACTTCAACACACCAGAGGAAGGCAAAGGGGGTTTCCGAGGCCACCAGCAAACCATCGTGCTGTCTTCAGTCCGTGTGCGGGCCCAAGTTACCCGTAGACCGGTCTCGACGCAGTTCCCATTCTGTGGATAGATCGTCGTCTTTGTTCCTGAACTAGGTGAGAACCAAATACTGAGAATGCATGTGACGGCTCGCCTTTAGCGACCGATGGGCCCGGCCTGGTGGAAGAGACCTGATCCATCTACTGACTAGCCTTCCGGCTCTACCGACAGTCGCTCTCCGGATTGTGGGACTTATTCCGATACCAGAGCCACAATAAAAGTTCACTTGTATGTACATGATACAAACCAGGGCTTACAAGGCTGCTTTCAAGAATGTTCAGATGCCACCGGTCTACGGTTGACGTTGTCCGCTTCGATGTGATATGGAGCCAGCCGGCCCAAGCAGTGATCATTAAAGCGTTTACCATGGAGAAAAACCCTTCTCAAAGGCCTTGGTACATAGGGAGGATGTCCAGTAGAGTCAGTCAGATAGCCAAGGCATCCTGTTTCGGCAGGGCAAGTAGCGATCAGCTGGCGAGGCCCGCAGAAGAAATGCAACACAGAAGAAACATCTGGACTAGTCTTCCTAGTCCCGCAGTCCGAGTTCGGGCGCATAGTCTTGATGAGGAGCACGGCTTTCCCGCGAGTAGGCTGGTGACTGTGTGGTAAACTCAATCTCTGTGTGGTAAACCAGAAGAAGCCGGCCCCGTCCTACCGTGCCACTAACGCCGGCAGTCAGATGCGCGAACGTGTAGTAATGCAAGCGCCATTGCTAGAGCCAACGGTGCTTTGAACTGGGATGGCCGGCTTCCTTCGATCAGTCCTGTTAGGTCAATGCCTTTCAATCGAGTTGGGGCTGGGCTAAATGGGGTCAGCGTGACTACTAGTGGTGGCCAGATCACATCAGTCATTGTCTTCACACTCCACTACTGCTAGCAATTCTGTCTAGAACCCCAACGTCAAAGACTGACTTTCTCGTTGTGTTCGTGGTAGGACCAGCAGCACCAAGTCACTAGCCCAAAATGGTAACCACCCTCAGAAACCTGAGAGTGACAGGGGTCTATAGCGCAGAGCAGAGCGAGTCGCCACAATAATTCTTTATTCAAACAGCTGTGCTCATCAGTATCTTACAGGCTGGATTTCGATGTCCTCTACTTGATGACCCCGAGGCCTGTTGGCTGGTTGCAGCTTAAGGAGAGCTTCATACCTGGGCATGGAGCCCGGAACCCACCTCCTCCATGATGATTCGCCTGCCTGTCTGGGCATCTCGAACAGGTGGTTGAAAACTCCTTGCGTGCACAGTCAGAACCATCCTGAAGGGCCATGTCTGCTAGTGCCTTGCCGAGCAAGGGTGCGGTCTTCATCGCCCATCTGGCCGTGAATAGCGGGACGCTGTCTTTCGGCCCGCTACGGAGATAGTGGCACAGAGTCCTGGCTTGCAACCAGGGCCCAATGACCATAATTTTGTGGTCTTCAAAAGTCTCTGTGCAGAGTTTCTGTTTCGTATGCGTACAGTCCCAAACTGTTTTCTTGCCCAATCAGCATCGTTGAGATTGTGTTGCTATGCACAAGCTTAGCCTGGCGGATTTTCTCTTCGGATTACGCTGTTATAGTAATTAGTAAGTTCAAATTAATGACATCTCTGTGGCTAGCTGGAAGGCAACTTCGTCCAATCGTGATTGAGGCGGTGAAGGCAACCTACCAATCGTGAGATCTGTCGTCGGAATGAGAATCCTGGAAGAGTCTGGTCAATCTAATATAAGACATAGCTGAGCTGTATGTTTTGAAAGTTTGGGAACGATCTTTTCATCTTGACAAGGTCTTCTCGCAGCTTTCGGCTTTGGAGGAACTGAAATCCTCAAAGCATCTGTTAATTCGAATAAAGACATGGCTGGGGCCATGATTCAATGGCTGGGGAGTGGCTGTGAGAGTCTCCTGGCCGGTTTCAACTCTGGAGAAATGGAATGATCTCACTCACGTACCAGCACGCAAATAAGTGTTACACAATGGACCTCGGCCTGAGGTATATCCAGCTGAAACCGTATAGACCGCGTTTAGGGAATCAGGTTTGTAAAGTGCTTACTAGAATCTTTGCGGAAGTTGGCCATGGCCTTGAACCTTTCAGTGATTGGACTTGCATGTCTAATTGCAAACATTATCGTAACCAACCTCCACCATCATGCGCAGCTCTCAGGCTCCACGGCACAAATCCATCAGGGCCCGCTGGGCAGGGACATTGATTCGCGAGAAGCTAGCCGCTGAACTCAACGTTCTTCAAGAGAGAAATGACCAGTCGCCGCTTGGTTTTCAAGGCTCGAAGCCATACACTCACGACACGCTGCCTCGCAACCCTGAATGCGAAGGCGGCAAAAGAACAGCCCCCGGTAGCGACGAGGGCGAGCAACCTCCACGCAAGGTGTGCATTGTAGGCGCTGGTGTCGCAGGTCTCTACATTTGCGATGATGTTGGACACTCTGGAGATCCCCAATCTCACTTGCGACATCCTCGAGGCCAGTTTCATGGTTGGCGGTCGCGTCTACACTCATCGCTCCAGTGACCAGCGACATGACTATTACGATGTTGGTGCTCTGCGGTGTCCTCTCATTGCCATCATGGACCGCACATTCAAACTCTTTGAGCGTCTCAATGTGCCAACCGTTCCTTACATCTTGGGGAACCCAAAAGCTCCCAAGCTATTCAACGACCGCCTTTTCTCTGAAGAATTCGACCCCTACCACGTCAGCATCAAGAACGGCGGGTCTGTAGGCGAGGACGGAACGGTGCATCTGCAAGTCCTGCTCGGTAAGCTCCGAAAGAAACACCAGTACAGGGCCTGAATCTTCGATTGACAGGCGTAGTATTCAATTCGTATGAGAGCTTTTTCTCACTCGTTGTTTTTCTGATCACCCAAACGTTGTCATGAATCTTTTATGGCATGACCGCCCACTGGTAGGTGGGCAGCAGGGTAGCCCCCCCCCCCGCCCCCCCCAGCTTGGCACTGTTGTGCATACATCATGCAGGTATGCATCAAAGCAGTATACCGCCGTTCCGAGGGCTGCCTGTAATGAGACCTCCCCTGACGACGTCAACTCTAATCATGGAAGCTCCAGCAAGGCGCATAGCAGGAGCCAGCATGGACGCGCTCCAAAGTCACGAATGTTCTTGGGCTTCTTGTCAGCCGCGCATCCGTCCAGGAGGCTGAATCATCAACCGAAACATGACACATCTACCCAGTGACCCCCAACATGGTTCAATCCGACGACGGCGCCGGCCGCACTGAGCCGCCCGCTGCCAAAGGCTCCCCAACAGACATGGCCACAGACGTGGACGACGAACGGCCCCCGCCGCTGCCCCCGAGGCGACCATCCGTCCAGGTCGACGCCGGTCACCTCTCGAAACCGACCACTGCTCTCACCTCCATCGATGTTCAGACGCTTTCATTCCCCGATGGCTCACGCGGCACCTTCGAAGCCGCAGCTATGGCGCCCAACTCTAAGGGCACGTCCAGGGTACCCAGCGGCAGTGCGACGCCAGTCGAGCTTGGAGGCTTTGCCCCAGGCTCCGCGCTGCCCGCTCGCGGCAGCGATTTCGGCGACGACTCGGTCAGCGTCATGAGCTTCTCACCGACTCTCCGACCACCTGCCGACCTCGCCAGTCTCGTGGCTGGTGGAATGAACAAGAACAGTAAGGCGTGGGCAATGCTGAGGTCACAATCCGCTACCATTCTGCCGTTCCAGAGAGCTAGTCTGGCCGACAGGTTTGGGAAGTTCGAGACAGAGTTTGAAGAGATACCGGCTGAAGGGGCCCTGAACGACGATGGGAGGCTGGCCCTGTGGAGATCCAAGCTGAAACACTACATGATCCTGTCTTCTGCTGGAAAGCCAGTATGGAGCCGTCATGGAGACCTGAGTCTGATCAACTCGTCCATGGGAGTGGTGCAGACCATAATATCATTCTACGAGGGCATGAAGAACCCGCTACAGGGATTCACGGCTGGAAACGCCCGTTTCGTTGTTGCGACCGAAGGCCCTCTCTATTTCGTTGCCATCAGCAAGCTCGGGGAGAGCGAGGCTCAGCTCCGGGATCAGCTGAAAGCATTATATATGCAAATCCTCTCAACCCTGACACTCCCAACACTCACAAAGATCTTTGTGAACCGGCCATCAACAGATCTGCGGACGCCACTGCAAGGAACAGAGTCACTCCTGTCATCATTGGCGGACAGCTTCACCAAAGGCTCTGCAACCTCTCTCCTGGGCGCTCTGGAGTGCCTGAGAATACGAAAATCACAGAGGCATGCCGTCAACAACGCGTTCCTGAAGACACGGACGGAGAAGCTGCTCTATGGCCTCATTGTTGCTGGCGGGAAATTGGTCAGCGTCATCCGGCCACGACGCCATTCCCTTCACCCTAGCGACCTTCAGTTGATTTTCAATATGCTCTTCGAGTCAGGCGGGATCAAAGCCGGAGGCGGCGAGAACTGGGTTCCTCTCTGCCTCCCGGCATTCAACAGTAGCGGTTATCTCTACATGTACGTCAGCTTCTTTGACGACGCCTCGGCAGACGGGACCAAAGAAGCTACCCTCGAGCCCGAGGGCGAAATCGCTATCATCCTCATCAGTCCAGATAAAGAGTCCTTCTACGACCTGAAAGAGATGCGCGACAAAGTTGCGAGTAGCCTTAAGAAGAATGGCAGTCTCGACATCATCAAAGCAGCGGCCAAGGCCGGCCGGCCTCAGGTCGCAAACATCGCACCTGGCAGCCAAGTCAGCCATTTCGTGTACAAATCCCGCGCCAACGTGCAGTTCTGCATGTCGTCGCTCGACCTGTTCATCAGATCAAAGGGATCCTCGCCAATCAGCGCCGATGATGAGGACGACGCAGAAGCAAGCAGCGCCGACGGCCTCGTCTCGCGCAGGCGCCTCATGACGCTCTACCACCAGCTGCATGCCTCGGTCCACGCGCGCCACTCGCACCTGAAGGTGCTGCACTGCGTCGGGCAGGATGCCACTAGTCTGGCGTGGGTCACCCCGATTTTTGAGTTTTACTGCGTTGCGGGCCCGAATGCCTCCCGGGCGGTGATGACACAAGGTGCAAACAAGATCATTCAGTGGGCTAAGAGGGAAGAGGAGCGGTTGTTCATTATCGGTGGCGGCGTCTTCTGAGTATGGCCACATAAGGTGGACTACGAGGAGTTTTCAAGATTCATGTTTCAATGTCGGAACCACGGTCTGGATTGCAGGCTGCTATAGATGGTATAAATAGTTGCTGGATTGCAACAAGTCGAAACCCAGATACCCGGCCGTCGTCACCAATATACCTTTTTCAAAAGCCCCTAGTCGTTGACAGAATCCCAGATTTTCCTCCAGGGAACAGTGCACATCGCTCCCTTGCCGTGAAGTTGGCCGCTTTCATCCGTGTTGATTTGGTGGCTGTTCTCGTTCACCTCTTCTTTGCCATGCCTATTTGTCGGTAGAGGCAATCTTGGTACTCCGTGCGATCGACCAGCGCATCGCACTTTCTTTCCCTTCAGCGCGCAGTCGATTGATGTTGGTGGATGGACTAGACTGAATGTCTGCCAGACAGCGGCGGCCCGTCTCATGCCCATCCAAACGCGAGTGACTGCGGCGTGCCATGGAATCCGCGCTGCACGAACTTCTTCGAATTTTTCCCCTTCAGTGATCCAGTCCCAAGACTTCTGGCCCCGCTTATCCATGCCTCGGTGGAAGAGTACTCTTCCCGATCCTCCTCTGACTGCTCTTGTCTCGCTCCGGCGCACTCCTCCTCCTCCTCCTCCTCCTCCTCCTCATCATCATCATCATCATCCGACAGCTCGTACAGTCTCTCGAGCTCCCGCAGCCTCTCGAACATGTCCACCAGCTCCGCCTCAGGATTCACCGGCGCGCCGCACAGCGTAGTCGCCGTCGAGCTGTAGCCGGCCCCGCGCGCGGCCTTCTGCCTCGCCTCCTTGGATGTTGGATCCTGCAGGCGCTCCTCATACCTCTCCAGACGGCTTACAAACCCGTCCTCGTAGCCCCTGAGCCTCTCTGTTCCGACCTTTGTCCACGCCTTCTGCGGCTTAGGCCGTGCCTTGTGCCAGTGCGGACAGTACGGCGGTGGCTTTGGCGGCGGGCTTCCTTGCTTGACTCGGTATTGGCGTCTGCGGAGCCTTTCTCGAATTTTGGAGATACTGGCCACCTCGCGGAGGCGGTCTCCGAATTTCTGTGTCTTGCACGAGAATCTCGTACCTCTTAGGGGTGGGGGCTGGTTGATGGGTTTGAGGGGACTTACCTTTTGTTCTTGTTGAACCTGCTTCTCTTGGTCGTCCATGTATTGCTGATATATCCTCCACTCCTTTATATATTTCTTGCGAGGGCCATCCTCTGTGTGTTTCTTCAAGACAACCAGGAGCCTGCAACCGAGCAGGCCACAAATAATCTTGAAGAAGCATGGTCTCGGTGGCGCTTCTGGGTTGACCCCGTCTCGTATTTCTCGTGAGCATATGATTGATGTATTTCTAATGTATGTCGTAATGTGTTGGCTGAGGCTGAAGAATGTGTTTAGTGTGCTTTGAGTGTGGGAGGGATCGGATTCCAGTATGTACGGTTTGCGGTGGTGAAACCTGGGGGGTGCAGAGCAGAACCATCCCGGCTAAGGGAAGTTTGGGGGGAGGCTTCATTATAAGCTAGTCGATCATCTAAAACATGTTAACTCAGGTAATTTCTTAGCCTTGAACCTCTATGAGCACCGCCCATCAAGGTGACTGTTTTGATGGAAGCCCGGCTACAGCTCCTATGGGGAGTGTTGTAACTCACTTAGCATATAAGAGAATATAATGTGTCTCTTCAACGATAGACTGTGAGACTTGGCCCAATTTTCGGGTTTCATAAAGCTCAGAAGTGCTGTTTTTGTTGTTGTTGTTGATGTTGATGATGATGTGGCTGGTATGGTGATCATAACACCTACGTAGATGGGACACGCAGCTTCTCAGTCTAGCATCTTACAGATCTAATAAGTGGTCATTCATAGAAAACAACTAGTAGTTATATTTCAAGACCGGCCGGCCCATCGTTCCAAATTTGGAGTTCTACAGTATTATTTCTGAATTTACTTAGATGTTACCTCACCCATCAACGTGCTCTGGTGCAGCTATGCCACGCTAAATGCAAGAACCTTTTCGAGCATAATATGTAGAAGACTTTGATGCATTCGTTCTGCTCAATACTATCAACTTTCCGGCTTCTGGTCGTAAAATACCAAACAGTGGACCTTGACAACAAAGAAAACCTCGTCGCAGACACCAAGGATACCCAGCATCTGCAACTCGCTCACCAACCTCATACGCACAAAACTTACAGTGATACATAGACATGCGCACTATGTAACTGATTAGTGTAAAAAGATGTTGGCGTACGCCGCCACTCAGGCAGGTGCATGACTAAATGATCAATCGATGATTTCCCCGCCGCCTCTGCGCGTGCCTCTGTGCTATGACGGACTTTGTCATGACATGCTTCTCCATACTGCGAAAAGTTCAACATCAAAATTTCCAGTGTTTGCCATGTATAGTGAAATGGCAGCGGAACTGATCAATCGCGTCAATGTCCTAACGTTTGGGTAGTTCGAGCTGTATGTATATTTTTCTGCGTATTGTGTTATGACTTCCATCTTTCATGAACCGGACCACGAGTGACAATCTCTAGACAAGGCGCACGCTCTATCATACAAGTCTCTCACATGAGTTCCTCTCTGTGTATGCTGTTTTCCTCACACTTTCATATGCCTTGATGAACAGCATCGGGACGACAACACACCGACGACGCATTCCGCACCAACAACTATGGGACTGGTGCCCGAAAACTCAGCTTCCACTGAACCAAACTCTTCCAACTGCGGTCTTCTCCAAATTCTGAACCATGGGCGTTGATTGCAAAGACCAGGATTGGTCAGCTTTCACAAACAGAATTAAGTCTTACCGAGTAGATTGGCAGAGCTTCAATCAATCAATCCTGCGTTTGGCTTTACCCCAAGTTCGAAGCTTATGCTTTGCGCCCTTCATGAACTTTTCCAACTTGCTTCTCACTCCTCGCTTGGCTATGACTTGCGGATGAGCTTTGGAGTTGCTCGTTGATGCGGACAGCTCTTTGTATGTGCCTGTTGGCTGGCTGTCAGCAGACAAGGAAGCGCCGACACCATCGCGATTGTCATCCTTGCGATGTTGGTCCTCGAGACGGTCATCCTGTGGGAGCTTGCTTAAAGGAGACCGATGAAGGTTTCGAGATTCTGCAAGTTTCGATTTCAAATTGGAAATACGGGTTCTCAACCCTTGCCGCGGCTTCACAATGCTGTTGTCTGAGAAAAAGCTTTGTATTTCACTTTCCACACCTGGCTGCGAGTCGACACTCGGTACGCGCAGCATATCCATGTGTGCGTCGAGAGATGTGCCTCTAGTCTCAGCATCGGCAGGAACTTGCCGAATCCTTGCCACCGGCGTGACCTTGACCATTGGTGTGTCTACGTGGACTCGATTGTGCAGAATCCTTTGTTGAGTCGAGGACACATGGCTGTTTGCCACTGCAGTTTGCAGGGCAACTGCGGAACTAAATAGATCAATTGGCTCTTGCGAAACTAACTCCGACACAGTGCTAGATTTCTGGATGCCTGGCCGTCGTTTCACAGTCCCTGCGTCGTCAGGCAACAGTGGAGTGAGCATGGGACGTGAGACCTTGATCGGGAGTCTTCGCTTCACAGGGGCAGTAGAGTACTCTGTCGCCGCCGCCGCCGCCGTCGAAGTCCTAGTCGAGGTCGTCGGTCGCTTAACAGAAGTATCAGGTCGTGAGGCACTTTTTGGGGTAGTGTATTCACGCCTGGAACTGCGCTCGTGCTCCACCGCGAATGCAGTAGCATGCTTCAACTTCAGTCGAGGCTTGCGGGCATCCCGGTCAAAGATGAAGGCATCGTAGCCTTTGGGAGCCTCATCCGCCTGGAAAGCATCGATCAGTGTAGAACGGGCATCCGTCAATTGAGATATCTCGAAGGGCTCGAATTCCATCGGCATGACTGCTGGCCCAAAAGGTGATTCCGGAGCGGGTGCGTACCCAGGGAGGGGTGGTAGAGCCTTCATCAATTGAGGAATACTATTTTTCACCCGCAACAACTTTGCGGGTGAGATTGGCTGCGGAGTCAACGTTGGGCCTTCCCGAGTCGAAACAACCTGGTACTGGTGAGGCTCATCGACTGCAGTGTTGACCCTCAGTGCTGTGGCTTTCCTCCTATTTTCACGGAGCGATGACATTCGAGGGGGGTGCGACACCGCATTGGTGACTTTTTCGGGTCCTGGCTCCTCATCCTCCCTCAGGCACGGACTATTTTTGACAGTTGCGGCTGCTTCATCGGTTTGAGTTCGAGGATGGGATTCCTGTGATTCACTACAGGCAATGTCGGGATCTTCTGGGCCCGGTGTCTGAAAATGTTGGTCAACTTGCTGGACGAAGGACGCCAAGTCAGACAACCCTGAGCCCAAAGAATAAAAGCGGCTCATGCCGTGGATGACAGCTCACCCTCGGAAGTGTCGAGACGATGTCGTTAGTTTGGTGAGACGTCGGAGAACTGGCAGGCGTGGCCTTTGACAAGACCGGCAACGTGTCGTGTCCTTGCGACAGGACGAAATTCCGAACAGTTACACGACCATCGTGTGAGTCTCTACATGGGTCGACATCCTCATTTGGGCCCATCACCTCATGAAACGGTCCGCCCGCAGTGAAGGCAGGCGTTTTGGGCTCAGATAGATCATCGAGAGTAGAAGCGTCTGACGTTATCTCGACGACCGTCGATTCCTTCACCTGGCCCATATCCTTTTCTGCGCTCGTATTTTCTGCTTGCACACTCTCGTCCAGAACTGGAGTCAAGTCACGACAATCAACAGCTGGCGCAGCCATTTGCGTGGATGGATGTGAGTCGATATGGTCGTCCGCCGGTTGCCGCGGGATGACCCCAGCATCACCAGGTGGCAGAGATATTGGCTGGACTGGGGCATCGATGGGAATGTTGCCTTCTTCGGGATGGTGCCTTGCGTTCGCCCCTCCCTGAAGGTAAGCCTCAAATTCGTTCTGTACATCTTCCATGCTGTCGGGACCTTCACCGCTGTTGTTCTGGAAGACCACACGACGAAAAGAATTTGAAACACGTCGTGGGATGGGTGCTATTGGAACGACCGGTGGCGGCTCTATGATATCCTCGAAGTCCTCGCTGTAGTCGTAAAATAGAGGCTTCTTTTGGACTGTTGCAATTCCGCGGGCTCGTGAAGAGGCCTGGCCGTAGCCGCCGCTCATTGATTTCAAGCTCATTGTCCTCAAACTTTGATCTGATGAGCCACTTTCAAGCCTCTCCCTTGGTCTCACACCCCATTCGTGAAGGTGACTCGGTAGTGGTGGCCGATTCCGCGGTCGAGGTGGGTAAAGACGGGCTGTGACGTGGTTATCAGAGAGTGATCGCGTCGAGAGATTGGCATCTTGTTTCAGAGATAGTGGCAGTGGATTCCTTGTCGTCTTGTACGGAAACAGGGTCTTGTGAGGGTGATGTGTTGTTCGCTGTTGTGCGGTCAGTTCTGGGCCACGTCCGAACAATGAGCTGGCACTGCGCGACTCACGTAAGAGATTCTGTCAATCTCGACCATCCTGCTGTAGTCCACGTCTCCACTCTCGGTCAGGGCTGGAGAGGCAGGACGGATTCCATGACGTGGCAATCGGGTTGGATAAGGGTAAGGAGACCTCGGGCGCTGTATTCTTCCCTGGTAGTCTTGCAAGTGCTGGCCTCCGTTGTGCCTCTGCATGAAGTAGCCTCTGGGGCCGCAACTTGTCATCGAGTAGGACCGCGGGCCATATTCATCACAAGGGGTGGTGAGTGAGCTGGAAAGAGACTTGCTGCTGTGGTTCTCCGATCCATACATCGATATTATCTCAGAGGTGCTGTCGCGGTAGGAAGGAAGCTGCTTTCGGTCGTCCCGCCCCGCGAGCCTGTCACTGCTGCTTGACCAAGGTCGCGACGGTTGACGCAAGTCATTGAGGCTTGCTCGGGCACGCAGACCACTGGGCCTTCGGTAGAGCTGGTCATGGGTCCTGGTGACATTGATAGAGAAAATGCCGATGTTGCCAGTCTCTGTCGTTTTCCTGAGCATACCCTCTGCTGACGCGGCAGGGTCCAGGAAAGTGTGCTCCCTGATGCTCCTAAGCGGCTTGAAAGGAGGCAGCTGATGACCAGAATCGGATCCGGCTCGACCCTGAGCGGCGTATGAGCTACTCAGCGCTCCATGACTGGCTGAGCGCCTGGCGACGCGCTGCTGGCTCATTCTGACTGCCGGGGCCGGACATTCGAAGAGGTGGCCGTTCCAACTGACCGAGTATGGGCAAAAGATACTGAAACACGCGAAGACGATGCGTGAGCAGATATGTATGATCTATGGTTGTGGGATGGTCCCTCCGGGCTTCGTAATCAAAATCCAAGATCGTGACGGCGGCTCGACGAGACGGCGGGTGGGGGGAATGGGAGCTAGAGAATCATGATGCACAAGTGCTTCAGGAGAATCCACGTCGCCAAGATGGGCGTGAGGTCCGTTGGAATCAAGCCGGAACGGGAAGGCATGAGCAGTTGAGGCGCCCCTTCTCCTGCTGCTGCTCTTGGTGTTGAGAAAACGGCAAGGGCGGCTCGACTGACTTGTACTCTTAAGCAAGTCCCAATAGACACCAAGCCGACACTCCAGCGGTTTCCCCCCTCCACGTCCACCGTCTTTGGTACTGACCGCTGGGTACCTAAATAATAAAGCCAGAAAGCGTACAGTGCTGTTCTGTGCTTACTTACCGGGTGTTCCCCAGGTAGCAGTGGCGTTAAGCGATGCGAAGGTGTCCATCTCCGCCGAAGGTCGGTGCACCCTCACACGAGGAAATTGCTCACAGCAGTCATATCGCCTGCCCCCTACCTGCCATGTTGTCACAGGTAGCACCTGCCCCGCCTGCCCCCTTCCGGGCTTTTTGGTCTTTTGTTCTGATAGAGAATGGGAGTGCTGACCACTGTACTGATGAGTTAGTATGTGCTGTGGCAGAGACTCATGGGCTCACTTACATGGTGGGCTGGTACGTGATGAAGGTTAGGGTTCTGTTTGGAGTTTCTCGGTATGTATAGCCTTGCAGCTCACCCATATGTACTATGGCACGATCTTTCCCTGAGCCAAGAGCAGACCTTCTTGAGGGAGGCATACCGCAGTCGTCATTGACCCTTCAGATCACAATGGAGCTGCCAGTAAGCTCCCAGATTACAAGCCCAGGCAAGAGATGTCATGGAGTGGCTAGACCGAAGACATGGGAATAGGGACGTATGACAAGACAGATAGGTTCGGAGCACTGATAATTCATGCCACAGGTAGGCTATGGGAATTGTACAGGTTTTGTTGAGGGCTCGAGGCTTCTATCTACAAATTGGGCTTTTGTAAACAGACTTGCAGACAATTGCCCGTCCAATGTCCGTCCTGTGGCAAATCTGCCAGCTTTTGGAGGAGGAGGATATACTGCAAATGCGGCTCGACATCCTAATGCCTGAGAGGCTCTTTCGACAGTCCCTGACAAGTGCACACATCGCCTCCCTCCGGCGTGCCTCTTCTTAAGAGGAGAAAGAAATAGGGAAAGGGAAGAGAGAAAATAAGAGCAGACCAATGCAGGTACATAGAGACCGATGCACTTTTGCTTGACCATGCAGTGTGGATGTCATTGACACAATGTCCTCTCTTGGTAGAAGGCAAAGCCGCAAGTAACGAGCAAAATCTTTGGCCCTCGTAATCATTGTGGCTGGAAGTAAGGGCCATAATCCGCAAGAATATTTCCCGGACCGTCACGCCACGTCGGCGGCATGGCGCTGGCCAAGCACACCTGGGTGCATGACCAGACAATAATGATAAGAGATTTGCGGACAGGTACTCCGACGTTGAAGACAGATATCCTCTTCTTGAGCTCACTCAGCAATGTGGGCAAGGGTACTTGTGGTGGAACGGAGCAGTACATAGCGGCAGTCGGCCGAAATGGCACGAGCAGTAGCGGGCCAGCGGTTCCGTTTAGAGCCTCTGTCCTGATCTGGCTAGCTGCTGCCCCATGCCGTGTCCATTAATTGAATGAGGCAGCTCCCCTGTGAGTGGGGTGTGGTACTTGCGCCCTGGGACAATTGACTGGTGGCCTCATCGACAGCTGCTGTCTACCAGTCGTAAGCAGATCAAGGTGCCCACTCAGATATTAGCAGAAGAGCCAGCAGTCCCAAGCAAATTCACCGTAGATCTGAAGCTGGTGCAAGTTATCTCCATGGTTCAGGTGTCCATTTAAACGCGTCAGTTCTGGGGGCCTAAGCTTCCTTATTAATCATAATGGCTGAGGTGGCAGTGTAGAACAGGCTTAGTAGGGGCGAGCATAAACGCATTAAATGAACATCTAAAATTAAAACGCAGAAAATTTAAAACCCAGGAACTAAAGCCTATGGATGTTAAAGAATATCCTTTAAATACTCCTTAATTACACTATCTTCCCAACTAATAATTTTAATATAAATAAAATGCTAAAAAAAAGGAATAATCAAGCTTCCTATTTTTTCTTTCTTTTTTCTTATTTTCTTTTATTTTATAAAGCGCAATATATTTAATTAATAAATATAACTTAAGAATTATAAGTACTTTAATTAATTAATTATATTTTATTTTCTTATTTCCTTAATAAATAAAGTATAATTTATAAAGGATTAATTAATGAAAGTTTTTAAATCTTAAAAGGGTACTTACTTAAGTTTAAAAAATTTATAAAGGAGAAAATTAAATTCAAAGGGCGCCGGGCTATTAGGGGGGCCCTTAGTCTTTATAGGCATTGCAGTTTGATCACAAACCTCCTTAGCCGCGAAGCTGGCCCGTTCTCTCCGGCCACGCCTTATATAAGTACAAGTTTTGAGTCATGCTTAGCTTCGCAGCCAAGGAGGTTTGTGTGTCAGAGATAAGGTGCAAGTGAGTTATGCGTTCGCAGAACCACCAGAGCCATGGAAGGTGCAGCACAAGAATAGCACCCAGCGCCCAGAACATGGGATTTCTCGATTCAGTAATGCTCTTGTTAGTCTCCCAAGGTTCCCCATGATCTTCGGCAGGCTACAATCCCTGCTTACGGTGGCAACTAGAGTCCTAGGTCGACCCTCCGGTAAGGCTAAATTGGGGGGGGTTCCTGGCCCGCCAAGAGCTGAAGGAGCTGGTGAATTGGAAAAGACACCTGTTCAATAGTCAAGGTAGCCCTTTGGTGGGCTTAGAAATCGCAGGGGCCTGCCCATCCGGCCCATTTTATCGACGTCTTTTATCCAAAAGGTCGGAACATCAACGCATTCATCATTCCCTTCCTCCCTCTCATTCCCCCATCATCAACCTTTAACTGAAGAGGATTGTGTATACTCTTCTCTTCTAGCCATTCACTAGGAAATCACTTTCACTGGTGATCTTTTTGTCTGGGCTGTTTCATACCTCTCCGCCGTCCCTTACCCCGCCACCAGCAACGGATACAAAAGGCCAGCTTCCAAGGTACGTCGCCTGCCACCATGACTTGCTCTACGCACCTTACATCGCTTTGTCCTCTCGCACAGCGTCCCGCAAAGCATTGCATTTGCAATCCAACAGGCCAGCAGACTTGTGACACACCAGCTAATACTCTTGCTCTTCAGAAACACCACACACCCCAAAATGCCTTCCGTCAGGAATATGGCCTGGGGCCTGCTCGCTGCTGCGGCAGTTGCCTCCGCTTCAGATGTCACCCAGCTGAAGAAGGACACCTTCGACGAGTTCGTCAAGGAGAACGATATTGTTCTTGCAGAGTGTATGCTCCCCCAGACGCCCGTTGTATTGATTCGGCAGCTGACAAGACTGGTTCAGTCTTCGCACCATGGTGCGGCCACTGCAAGGCCCTCGCCCCAGAATACGAAGAGGCCGCCACGACTCTGAAGGAGAAGGACATCAAGCTCATCAAGGTTGACTGCACAGAGGAGTCTGAGCTCTGCCAACAATACGGTGTTGAGGGATACCCTACCCTCAAGGTCTTCCGTGGCCCAGAGAACATCACCCCCTACAAGGGCCAGCGCAAGGCGTCTGCGTAAGCTTACCCTCTCTCGGCCTCTCTCCCCAGTCCTGCAACAGTTTACTAATCATGTGCGCCTTAGCATCACATCCTACATGATCAAGCAGAGCCTTCCCGCAGTCTCCGTCCTCACTGCCGATACCCTCGAGGACTTCAAGAAGGCTGACAAGGTCGTCCTCGTCGCCTACTTCGATGCCTCTGACAAGGCCTCCAACGAGACCTTCACCAAGGTCGCCGAGAAGCTCCGCGACAACTACCCCTTCGGCGCAAGCAGCGATGCTGCGCTTGCTGAGGCTGAGGGCGTCACCGCTCCCGCTGTTGTTCTGTACAAGGATTTCGACGAGGGCAAGACTGTCTTCTCGGAGAAGTTTGACGTTGAGGCCATTGAGAGCTTCGCCAAGACCGCCGCCACCCCCTTGATTGGTGAGGTTGGCCCTGAGACCTACTCCGACTACATGTCCTCCGGCAAGCCCCTGGCCTACATCTTCGCCGAGACCCCCGAGGAGCGCAAGGAGCTCAGCGAGGAGCTGAAGTCCATCGCTGAGGCTCAACGTGGTGCCGTCAACTTCGCCACCATTGACGCTAAGCAGTTTGGTGCTCACGCCGGCAACCTGAACCTCAAGGCCGACCAGTTCCCTGCCTTCGCCATCCAGGACACTGTCAAGAACCAGAAGTTCCCCTACGACCAGGAGAAGAAGATCGTCGCCAAGGACATTAAGAAGTTCGTTGAGGACTTCGTCGCTGGCAAGATCGAGCCCAGCATCAAGTCCGAGCCCATCCCTGAGAAGCAGGAGGGCGTGACTGTTGTCGTGGCCAAGAACTACGATGAGATCGTCAAGGACGACACCAAGGATGTCCTGATCGAGTTCTACGCTCCCTGGTGCGGTCACTGCAAGGCTCTTGCTCCCAAGTACGAGGAGCTGGCCGCGCTGTACGCCAACTCCGAGTTCAAGGACAAGGTCACCATCGCCAAGGTTGATGCCACTGCCAACGACGTCCCCGACGAGATCCAGGGCTTCCCTACCATCAAGCTCTACGCGGCCGGTGGCAAGGACTCTCCTGCCACCTACAGCGGCTCTCGCACAATTGAGGACCTGATTGAGTTCATCGCCGAGAACGGCAAGTACAAGGCCAAGGTTTCCGTCGCTGAGGAGGAGGAGACCCCTGTGGCTCCTGCGGCTACTGAGAAGACTGAGGAGGCCAAGGAGAAGGAGACGGAGCACGATGAGCTGTAGAATAGTGATGAGCCATCGTGATTTGATGCCCCAGAATAAATGCAGACGGCTTGGTATTTCGTTTTAGGACTGATTCGTTAGGATTTTAGGGATTCACGGTCACGGTCAAAATAGCCCGTTCTGGCGCAATGCGGATAGTGGAATCTTTTACGTACTGAACAGTAGCATCGTCGCGCAACGTGATGGTGTCTTCTTAACACAACCCCGAATGCTCGGTGATATGATTCCACTGGTGTGTCGCCATTTCACAGTCTGCACACAGCATCTCCATGCCTGTGAACGGACACCAGCAAGTATTTGTTGGAAGGCCGACGGCGAGTATCTCTCTGTTGCTGGCTTCGTATTCTACGTGTGTCGTGTCCTCAACTGACCTTCGACCGGGCAAGGAAATGCATGTCCGTAGCAGTAGGCTGGTCCAGTTTGCTCCCCAGCAGGCTGGCCTGGTCCACTACCATGCATCTTGGCTGTCCGTAGCCGCCCTCAAGTAGCTCGTGCATATGTATACGTAACCAAGTAGAATGTGCTCCCTCCTCCTGGAGCTGGAGAATTGACGGGCGGCCTGAGGCGTGACACAATTTTGGGCCGGTCAATACTAGTTGACGTCCTCACGAGGGTAAAGGGGGACACCGGCCTCCTTTAGCGATGCCCAAATAGAGGTCCGACGTGGCTTTACGGCTCGTGGTCATTGCACAAGCCGAGATCCCTTGGTTGGCCGCCGGCGGCCATGGCGCGGCTTCCAAACAGCGGACGGACCACTGGTCCAAAAGGTCGTATTCCCGCCTCACGGACTTACAGGTACCGTACTACTTGGGGCCTTGATTGTACAAATGACTGGGTTTGGATTTCGCGGCTGAAACATACATCGTGAACTACCTGTTATCATCGATTATGTTTGAGTGTAGTGGTGGGAAGGTAACCGACCATTGACAATTTGTACAGTAGCCGGCTGCCAGATTTGGCTGCATGCTGAAGGTGGCTATATGCCCATGATATCCAATTGAGCCCTGCAAGTAACCAAAAGGCGGCCATTGGCCAGGCGGCCCCACACGTCTGGGGCGCGGTCGCTTCCGGGGTGACGTCTCAGGCGTCAGAGCTCCTCCAAAGGCAAGCTTGCGGAGACGGCTAGCTACTCCTCGCACCTCTCCCGACCGACCTCCACCTCGCGACCTCACGACAGCCTGCCAAGATGGCTGCAAGACTATTCTCATCCGGAGCTCTCGCTCTCCGTTCAGTGGGCAGCGCAACGCGACGATCCTTCCAAACTTCCGCCCCGAGACTCTACGCCGACGCCGCGCCGCTCCCGGCCAGCAAGCCCCTGGGCGCATTCCGCGGAGGGTCAGTCGAACTACAGCGTCCTGTTGCAGGCAATGATGTCAGGATCGTATGCTGATACGCAGAGATAACAGACTGTTTGGTTTCCTGGTCGGTGCGACTCTCGCTGGCTCTGGGACCTACTACTACGTCCTGCAAGACTACAAGGCGTCAAACGAGCTGCTCCAGGACGACATCTATGTGCGTCTATGAGACCGATTCTATCCCTTCCCATACCCAAACTTCCCAAGGATCAGGCACACGCATACCCTTCATTCTACACCACACTCGGCGCCTGCCTCGCAGATCCAGGAGGCCCGGACTCAGAGCACGATCGCTGACCCTCTTTGGCGTACCAATACAGGCCCTGCAGGCAGCCACGCATCGGATGAGCAACTACCTGACCACCCTCGAGGAGAAAATTGACACGATGGAGAAGAAGAAGAAGAAATGAGGGTTGTGCGGGCGGACTGGATCGGGGCGCCCGGGCGAGCACGGGTTGGTTGCGAGACGGTGGACAACGAGGCTGTATTATTCATAACCGAGCACCCTTCTACAAAAAAAAACACAAAAAAAAACACGCATAACAATTCTATTCAAGAAACGAGCGTGTCTCCAATTGAGCTGTCTTCATTTCGGAGTTGGTTTACGTGTGAGTTCTGAGTTGTGTTTCAATGTGATATTGTCTGCTGTCCGTTTCCAAGCGACGACGTGGACTGCAATCCCAGAATAACCTTTTCGCAGGTCTATCAGAGCAACAGGCATCCGATTGCTTGAAAAGGCTGTTCTCGGTGGCTTTTTGCGCCGTGGATCATTTGTAGGCACAGTCATGAGAGCCCGTCCGCGCTCGAGCTTGTACAGTCGGAACTCACAGTGGGTCGAGCTCTTTGCCGAGCGCGGGCCGACGCTGTCCAAAAAACCCACCTTCGCCCGGACTCAGCCTTCCTGCGGGCAACCTAAACACAACCACACCTCTCAAACCCTCACAACCATGAACAACTTCGGCGTCATCGAGGTCGCGAGCGCCAAGACCACCAACGCGCCGGGCTGGGCCTATGTGCCGGACACAGGTGCCACCGCGACCCCCAGCCAGTCCGTCTCCGCCGTCCACCTACACGTCAACCGGAACAAGCGCGCCGCTCGTACTGCGAACCAGGCCGCCGGCTCGACCGCCAACGTGCAGAAGGGCATATCGGCGCGCCGCGACGCCAAGATCCAGAAGGAGCTCGATGAGTTGCAGCGGGACTACTTTGGCGGGCGCGACGGCCAGATCCCGATACCGAGTGGCGGGAGGGACAAGGACGGCAAGATCAGGGGCCACACGCCCAACGTGAGGAAGATACTGGCCAGCCAAAAGACGTTCGCGAATCACCTGGACGACTTCGAGGCCTGGACCCGGACGCAGAGCGAGGCACCCGTGAGGAGCCAGGCACAGAGTCTCGAGGGTACACCGGCGCCGTCTGGCCCGTCCGCCGGGGGCAGCAGGAGACCGGCAGCGGCAGCTGCCGCAGCAGCGACGAAGAAAGCAGTCGCGTCAAGTTCAAAGAGCAAGACACCCGCCGGCGGCAGCAAGAAGTCCGCCACCCCGGTATCAACACCAACAGCCGACGCCGACGCCGCCATGACGGACGCGCCACCGCCAGCACCGACGAGCGGCGCCGACCAGCCCGAGCCCGCCGCCCCGCCCGCCGAGGCCGAGTCGGAGATCCTCACGCCCTGCACGCGCTTCCAGCCGCCGCCGTGCGCGGGCGACACCGACCCGCTGCTGGAGTCGTGGCTGCCGCCCCTGCCCGCGGACGAGGAGCTGCGCGAGCTGCTGCGGGCGCCGCCGCTCAACTACAACCAGGCGCGGGGCGAGTGGGCCGAGGACGATAGGCGGTACCCGCCCCGGCAGTTCTGCGACGTGTGCGGGTACTGGGGCCGGGTCAGGTGCATGAAGTGCGGGGCGAGGGTGTGCGCGCTCGACTGCCTGGACGTGCACCGCGAGGAGTGCGTCACGCGGTATGGGCTGTGAATCGGGCCGGCGAGAAGTTTGGTTTACGCTGTGACGTGATGGGCCGCGAGATGGAGGGAGTGCCGGTGTTGATCGGGCCTGGTTATTTGGCTTGGTTTGACAGGGCAGGCTTGAGCGTTTATTGTGATACCCATATTATTATGATTCTTACCGGGGCAATTCTCCCCTGACGACATTTACATGGCACTGGCGATTCATTGAAAGTGATACCTGTGCTCGCTCACGCGTCGAGATTATTGTAAAAGCAGACTGAACAAGTATCTGCTTTAGTGTCCGGTGTGATGAAATCGGCCACTGCAACGCCCGGAGATTGTAGGTGGACACCATATTTTGCGGTCGGAGTACAACGCCCCTTGCTTAATCAATAATTTGCACCTAAGTGCCGCGCGCCTTGTTCTCGACCTTGCAGGGACGGAGTGCCCAAGACAGCCGCCCACATGCAATAAAACAAACCTTGAAAGTACTTTGAAACAATGAGATTAAGCATAGCAACGTAAAAGCAACAATTGTTTCGCTCTTAATCATAATGTAGCATCCGTGCCACTCACTCGGAAAAAAGGACCCTGATCTGTTTGTCAACATCACAAAGCTTGAGCCTCCGCAGAGACAGGTATCTGATAGGTTATCGTATCTAGCATCATCACAGGTGGTAGTACATCAAGTCCCTCCCCTGTCTTGACCCTGGTTCCGCCTCCTTCTTTCCCATCGTTGGGAAGATAGTACAAGGGCAGGCATCAAGTTAGAGTGCCAAATCTCGTCCTTTGCCCACCGAACGCCGCCCAATAGCCTTGTCCCTAGCGCACTGTCGAGCCTTGCCATGAGGTCGGTAGAAGTGAAGTTGGCCGTTCAGGTTGGTGTGATTCCGCCGCCTCAGCCTGTGTGGCGGGGACGGAAGAGCACTCTCTCCCTAGGCGCCTTCCCATGATGGAAAGGCTTCTTTCGGTCGTAAATTGGTGTTTTTATTCGTGTCGCTCCCGCTGGTGCGCCCGCCCCTTTCAGCGCTTGGTCTCCAGCGCCGGGTTCTCCAGGACAAAGGCGACGTCCCCGGCGGTCGCGCCGCCGCGGCAGGTCGCTGAGAGGCTGCCCGTGGGACAGACGGAGCGGGCGGCGTGGACGCACTCCTCCCACCGGACCTTGGAGATGTTGATCTTCGCGCCCTCCTTGAGTGCGGTAAGGGTGAACTTGGCGCTGCCCTTGCGACCGACGGTCGTGGCTGGCGACCCGCCGCACTGGGACGTGGAGCCTGAGATGCCGTCACATATGGCGAGCTGGGCTGCGTTCTCCTCGTGGAAGATGATCTTCCTGTGATGCTTGTCAGATACGATTCTATAAGTGGGTGATGGGCAATTTGAGTGATGTACTTACTCCTCAGTGTTCCAGCAGCGCACGTCGGTCACAGAATCTGGGTTCAAAGGAGTGGCGCGTCTGAGAGCTAGGATCTCAAGGTGCTCTATTGGTCTGATTAGCATCTTGTCATTATTTGCACAATATTTTCTTCGAACATACCTGGGGGGACGCTCCAGGGAGCAGGTGCAGCCGCGCTGAAGCCGGCCAGGACCACGAAGGCCTTGATAATTGCAGATGCCGAATGCATTGTGAGGATATATGAAAAGTGCGATGAGATACGCAGGTGATGGTGTCTTCGATTTTGCTGAAAGGTTCGTCCTTTCGAATGAGAGCCAAGAATGGGACGAAGTTGAAACGAGGTGATGGGAGTGAGAGGAAGACGTCGACTCGGTCGGACGGGACGACGAGAGCACACGAAGTAGAAAGTGTCAAATTCGATCAATGTGTTGAAGAAAGGACTGAACGATCACAGATCTGTGAATCAAGGAAAGAGAATGGTGTCGGTAATCCGAGCGAGATACCGTCGACAGTGAAGTGAACGAAGATGAAGGTCTGAACAGGCACGCGGTGGAGTTGATGTTTGGCGTTCCCCCTCTCGCCCTTATACAAACCGAACAAGTATAGGGTCTCATGGATATTGTTCGAAAATAGGCCACAAGACATATCGACCGGGTTCAACAGGCACACCCACCATATTATCCCTACCTTGGCACCTCGTGCGCCGGGGGCTCTTCCAAACAAAGCCCAGCGAAGCCCAGGGATCTGCACCGCATCGACTGCAAGAGTGATCCTCCCGCGGTAATCCTCGCAACCCTTCCAACCTTCCCGAAGAATCAGACGACCTGGGTCCCGTCTCTTCTGCCGTCTGGGAAGGGAGCCTGCGCCCCGGGGGCGGTCGACGGTCAGGGCAAACCCCAGACAAGGGGCGTGCGCGCGAACGCCGCTGTAACCTTAATGCTTTTGGCAAACCTTATGCGTTGCGGTACCCCACCCACACGTTGGTTATTGCGTGGGGTTGCGATAGGATGGAAAGGGAGCAGAAGAAAAAGATGAAACAGACCAGAGAGGGCGTCGGCAGCAGATCCCAGCCAATCCCTTTGGGAACTAGCACCCCGAGATTGACCTCTCTCTTTTTTTGAACAGCAAGCAAGGGCGCCCACACTGGGCAGGTTCGTTGTCTTCCCAAGACATATCGTCAGCCTCGCTTACTTCTCTCCATTGATTAATTAGCATCACACGATGGTCAAAGGGATGAGATGAGGGAGGAGGTGTTCATTATTCAACTAGGATGCAGTAGATCTACCAGCAATCTGCAAGCTGCAGGCTGGAGGGCGATCATTTCCGACCCGTGGTAGCAATGGATGTCTGTGTTCTCCCATCGAGGCCGTGGACGCAGACATGCTGTGTGGCGGTGTCTTGCCAACCCGCTGAGATAACTAGAGCCTCAGGTCTGTTGGACTTGGCTTTCATGACACGATTTCTACCGGCTGCTCGTCCGTGCATATCTTGCGCCCCGTCAAGAGCAACGGCAATACTTCATCCGGTGCTTCGGATGGCAAAGCCGTAACGTGGGACGATGAGCTGCCCAAGAAGTGCGTGCTTGACTCGTTTGGGAACCCCCATCTGGTTCAAGGGCGGCCTCGAACATCCCACCACACCAAGCTTCCCTCCCGCCGTGGATCCCAGAAACAAAAAGCACGCACCACTGAACAGGATCGCCAGCGGGTCATGCTATGAATGTCGAAGATCATATCGAGCACCAAGCGAGGTGTTCTCGGGACGCCGTGGGAACATGACTCGGCTCGTTTTCATGCGGTCGTGCTCGGCACTCTCGCCGGGATGTCGTTGATTTCCGACACGTCGTCCGGTCCTTTCAGCCGGATGCACCTTTGCGCTGCCCACAAATCCCACATGTGCCACAGTCACCGGCGTTGAGATAGGTGCTGTCCTTGCACCAATCACTCTTGCAACTCCATGTGCCAGGCACGTTGGCCGGATCCAAAACACTTGAGCACATGCTGCAAGTTACAGCGTACGCCTCGTTCTGGAGCGAGCACGCCGTGCACGTCTCACCTGCTGCTGCATGTTTGGCGGCGCCCTGAGTCACCACCGTCTCTATTTCGGTGCCGCGAGGCTGTGCCTCAGCCGTTTTCATGCTCAGGGTCTGCATGTCTCTAGCTTTCGGCTCAACCTTCTCAGCGGCCTGGTAGGGCTGACTTATTAATTCTCCTTTCGGAGCTGAGAGCTCAGCTGACGAGCCGGGGTTCCTGTTGTCGCGATTGGGCTGGTTCTTGTTGCTTGTGACAAATCTCGTCATGGACGTTTGTAACTCCCTTAGCTCGTTTGCCGCATCTCGATCGTCGGGGTTCTCGTCACCGCAGACCCGAACCATGCTGTGGCCCTTCGTGTCTAGAAGTTTCTGCCCGTTGATGTCGACGGCATCAGCCGCCTCTCCTTCTGCATCTTCATAGTCGCTCTCGCTGGCGGTGCCTTCGTCGTCGTCATCGGGCCTCCCTTCGCCGGCGGACTCCTGCTTCTGTTGGTCAAATCTGGCCAGCGCAGCGGCGGCCCTCAACTCCCTCCCTCTCTTACTCTGCGCGACTCTTGGAGCTGCTTGAGTCGCGCGGCCCTTCTCCAGCTGCAGCTTGACCTCTTCATCGGCACCCAGAGCGAGGCCATTCTTGCCGAACTTCTTCTCGATTCGCCTTTGTTTTTTCTCCTGGTAGGATAGATCCGGCTTTGCTTTCCTCTTTCTCCGTCGCGATTTGTAGGTTCCGCCACAGAGGTGCTCCGGCAGGTCCTCGCCAGCTGTAATCGTATTCTTCTCGAACTCTCCGGTGCGCAACAGTGCGCCACGGCCCCATAAGCCCTCACCTGTGTAGCCCCTAGACCATAGCACGCGCATTTGCTCCGCATAGTCGTTGCGGACTTTCCAGAAGGCGCGGCTGTGGTTCATCTGACGGCAGTGCGCCAGCTCGTGCATCATCACCATCTGCACGTAGTTGAAGGGCAGCCAGTGGCCTGACCGGGCCTTGAGCACGAGCTGGATGATCTCGCCTGCGTTGAAATTGCGCCCAACAAATTCAGGATTGGGTTCATACTCTTCGAGTGTGGTGATAGACAGATGGTGTTCTTTCATTATGGGGACTTGAATGTGAGACGGTCAGCATCTTGTGAATCGGCCCTTATAGAGACTTGAGAGCAGTACGTACGACATTGTGCGGCAATCCGTTCAAGAAAGTCCTGCGCGACAGCTTCATCCTTACCCTTGAGAGGCTTGATGAAGACCACTCTGTCGTTCGGCTGGGTCTTCTTTGCATTCAGGCGCTGGATGCCTAAAGGCATACTGACTGGTGCGATTGCGTCACGACTGTTGCACCGAACGTTGCCAATAATTGTCTGCAGGAGATGTTTAAGTACAACCCAATATGACAAGACCACTGCAGACAGCAAACTGTAACGTTCAGTCGCAACAAGAAGGAATTGAAAGTGAAAGGCTGATAATGTTTAGTCAAGGCGTCTTGAGGTTTGCTGAAGGAGGGACGGAACATTGGTGGCAAACCCTGCTTAACCCTACAAAAACAACCCCCCCCCCCCCAAAAAAAAAAGAAGTACCACCAACTTGGGATGCTCCTTTCCGCACCTGCATGCAGTGTAATAATCCGCCCAAATATATGCCACAGTGCATTCTCTTAGTGTTCCTTCGATACTTCTGGAGGAGCGGGCTGCATATAATTGCTGTATTGACAGACGGAAATGTTTCTTTTCCATCCAGTGACTACTCAGTTAGGACAGATTATACGCCAGTCTTTGTTTTATGGAATTTGCACAAAATGAGTGTGACATGATTGCATGGATATTGGAAACGTCTAGTTAAGGGCAACGCATGTCTGCTCACACCGCATCTGTAAAGATGTGACAGTGAAATGGACGGTTCTATATATGCAACCACTTCTGTCCTGAGTGTTGGTGAAATGGCTGCGAACTCCACTCCCACAACAATTGCTCACCACTGCCTATTCCAAAACTACATTTTTGGTACCGAAGAAGCAGGGTTGACGTGAGGACCAGTCAGGGGCCGGGTCGGCTCTCTTTCTCGTGGCCCACCACGGACATGAGTGTCTCGCCAAAGTCATATAGCTGCATCTGACAGAAAGGCCCAGTATGGGATAGCGACGAAACGGTATATATAGTATCTGGTCAGGCCGCCGAGCCCACAGATGTACGCACTTACCGCCGTCTCCCAGCACCGCCGCCACCACCACCGCCAGCCCCGGCCTCTCCCTTGTCGGCCAGCGAGACGACCTCGCCGATGCCGGCGGCCTCCTGCTCGTCCTCGAGCGCGGTGATCTCCTCGCGGCAGTCCCACCACTTCTCCTCGCTCAGCTCGAACGCCTTGGCCTTGATCTCCTTGACCGTCAGGCTCTCGGGCTGGATCCCCTTCCACCGGAGGCTCGTCATCAGCACCTCCTGCCACTCGGCCGTCGTCCGCTGGAAGAAGTCGCGCCGCGACTCGAACGGCCGCGGGTGCGGCAGTCCGTCGTCGACAGACGTCGCCACCGTGTCCGCCTCGGACTCTTCCTCGTCCGCCGCCGATGCTGCCGTCGATGGGGCTGTGGAGTCCGTGCCGGCGTTGGAAACATCGTCCTGCTGCTGCTTCTTCTTGCGCTTGCTCTCCGTGAACTTGGTGCTGCCTTCGTCGGCCATCTCGACGTCTTCATCCTCTTCCTCATCGCCCATGTCCTCATCGCCCATGTCCTCATCTTCATCCTCGTCATCTTCCTCGTCCTCCGACTCGATCCAGTCCTCCTCTGCCTTCCTGCTGAAGATCTCCTGCACCCGTCCATCTTGCCGAGGTCGATGGCGTACAGGTCGTCAAACGTGAACTCGCGGTCCCCCTTCTCAAACGTCCCGCCGTAGATGTAGAGCACGTCGTCCTGCACCGTGAGCTGGGCGTTGAACCGCGGGTGCGGCAGCTCGTGCGACACGGGCATCTCGCGCGCCGGCATCTCCCCCTCGCTGCTGTCCCCGCCGCCCTCCTTCCCGTCTAGCTCCATGTCGCCCGCGTCCTCGACCGACTTGCCGGTCTCCAGCGCAGCGAGCTGCTTCAGGAGCTCCTCCTCCTTGGCCGCCGCGCGGCCCCTCCTGCCGACCCTCTCGTCGCCCTCGCCACCACCCTTCTTCTTCTGCTGCCGCGGCTTCCGCAGCGCGAGCGGGAAGAAGCGGTTCCGCTCGACGTTCCACGCGAACAGCCCGTTGAAGAACTCGCTGTCCATGCCCTCCTCGCTCTCCTCGACGTCGTGCACGCCGCCGAACATGATGCCGCGGCCCTTGTGGTACGCCATGGTCGCCCCCGCGCGCTTGGGCTCGGGCGCGTTGGCCGGCCTCTTGCGGCGCTCCCACCGCACGGTCGGCGGCGTATTGGGCGGCGCGTCGGCGGCGGGCGCCGTGATGCGCAGGAAGAAGCAGTCCTGGTGCACCATGGGCTTCAGAACGTTGCGCTGGCCCTGGGCCCCGGCCTTCGCGCCCTTGTTGGCCGCCGCCGTCGCCTTGACGCGCGAGTAGCCCCCGAACAGCACCGCACCCTGCTCGTGCGGGAGCAGCGTGAAGCTGGACCTCGCGTCGGGCTTGAGCTGCGCGGGCGGCAGCACGGGGGAGATCCAGGAGAAGTTGACCGTGTCGTAGAGCCACAGGTCCGCCAGGTACTTTGTGGCGTTTGATGTGTCCTGGAAGCCGCCGAAGAGAACGACGTACTGCTTGTAGTACGTCATGCGGTGGCCGCTTCGCGCAGGTGGCGACTTGCCCTTGAACTCGATCCGCGTCCACTCGCGCGTGTTGGGCTCCAGCCTCCAGAAGTCGTTGTAGTGGTAGAAGGTCCCCTGCTTGGGGCTGCTAAACTCGCCGCCGAACAAGTACACGTACTGGCTCTGGTTGCCACCCCGGCACCAGGCGTGCCCTGACCGCGGCAGCGGCGCATTGGGGGACGTGACCGTCTTCCAGACGTCCCTGTCAATATTGTAGATGTGCAGATCGTTGAAGAAAGTTGCCAGCGCTCCGTTGAAGTACTCGCCGCCAAAGAGGAGGAGCTCTTTGGAGTTGCTTGGCGAGGCGAGGAAGCACGATGCGGTCCTGGGCTTCGGCGGGCCATCGGCGACGACCTCAGTAACTTTGAGGAATTGATCCTGCTGCCTCTGGTACTCAGCTAGGACCTCGTCCAGGTCGACGTCCTCTGCATCGCTGTCATCGGCCTTGGAGGCCTTGTTCTTTGCCTTTTTGTCGGCCTTCTTCTCCTGCTTTGCTTTCTTCTCAGCGAGCTTGGCCTTTTTGTCGGCGCCCTTCTTGTCCTTCTTAGCCATGACGTCGAATGAGGAAAAGCCGGGTACCCCACAGATTCTTCTCTATAATAACAATCAGGGGCCGGCGTGGACTCCTGAGCGAGGCTGTGTTGCTGAGAATCTGCCGATGAGATTGGAAAGTGGGCAATGCGTCAAGACGGGGAAGTTCACCAAGCAGAAATTTTGCCCATTTTGGTTCACGTGCCCATGCAGTTCTGCATATATAAGGTGCTTGATTTGTACAGCAAGAATGGAAATCAAGTACAATCAACCCAATAGTATATAAGAAGGAGCAGACTACAGTCACAGTATTTGGGATTTACAGAGCTTGAAGATGAGGTTGAATTGTGGTGTTTTGGAGGGGCACTGCACACAACAGCACTCGGCCAACTCTCAATGAGCTCGCAAGGAGGGGCAGCCACTCGCAGAGCAGCACTGCTGCGAAAACGTCATCGCTCTACGATTCTGGTACCAGATGCTATGCAGTAGATTTTTAACGGCAAAAGGAGCAGTGATGAGATTTGAAGTTTCGAGAATTGAAGTATATATGTACCAAGAAAATCCCCGAGCTCAAGTTAACTAGCTCTAACCAGCTCATCTCATGGCTGTCTCCACGGACAAGCCACCGCGTCCACAGCACCAGCTTTCAACAGCTTATGGTTGTTTGAAGGACGTGTCGCCATGCCCGCAAACTATGACTTACTCTCCACTTCATGAAATTCGTCGATTTTACCCAATCAGATGCAAAAAGACGCCTCCCCAACCCATCAACTCCTTGAACCCATCTATTATGCCTTCCGTCGGTCCCCAAATGATAATGGCATGGTCACGTAAACGTCCGCCTTAAACTCCGAGCAATCAAGTCTCTCACATGACCACACATTTCTTGTCCTTCTCTGACTCGGCAGCGCCGCCAAAGTTATATGTCCTCCTATTCCGGCCCCTCCCAGCCGTAGACCATGTGGCATCCGTCCACGCGCTCTGGCTCATCACGTCAAAGTCAGGCTCCTTCTTCTTGCCCTTCCTCGCCTTGTCTTTCTTGCTCTTGCTCCTGCCGGGCCGCCAACCCTTTTTCTTTGCATCCGAGATGTTCTTGGCGGCACTGCGTTCCGCCCGGGACGACCGGCGGTTCACAGAAGACAGCCGCGAGTTCAGACCCGGCGCAGGGACAGCTGATGTGACGAAGGATGGGTTGAGCTGTCCCTCAAGCTGCTCGGCCGTGGGTCGCGGCGCGCCTGGGTTTCGGGAGGGCCGTGGGTGGCGGGGTACTGGTGCGAAGATGGTGGGTTCAGTGCGCCGTTCTGAGGGCTGGCGAGCAGGGCCATCATATGCGCCCGACACGCCCGTTGGGGTGCTGATAATTAAGGGCTGGTCTGGAGTCACCAACGCGTGGTCGATTGCGTGGGTCACACTCGGCGGGTCCGAGAGAGAGCGTGAGTATGGATACTGAGGCAGTGGCTGGTGCTGAAGATCCGGCACAGCCTGAGCAGCTCTATGACGAGGGGGTTGGTGGACAGACATCGGCCTAGCCCTGTCACTATTCCGACTTGTAGGCACTCTGGGCAGATGGAAACCAGTCGATAGTCTCCTTGACAGGCTTGATTGCCTGCCATTGTCGTATACCATAGGCAACTGCTCCTGCACGGGGAGCGGTGGATGTTGCTGAGTGACCCTCTCGGCCACGAAATCCGCCAAGGGCGCTTGTTGGGTATATCCCGTGGAGGCCATCACAGGCATTGCAGAGTGGGGTGGCGGCGGAATTGGCCAAGTCTGCGAGTGCACCACAGTCGGATACGAACCACCGCCTGTGTGAGGATTCCAAGTAGAGTTGGCCGGTGAGGCTCCTGGCAGTGGTCTCTCGCCACCCGACTGTTGCTCTGGAGGCTGACTTGAGCGGGCAGGCGACGTCTGGATTCGAGGAACCAGTGGCATCACACGTTGAGTTCCAGTATAAGGGGATGCACTTGTAAGCCCTGGAGATGGCTCCGACCCCGACCGCGCAACGCTTTGGGGGGTCGCTGGGCTGGCAGTCTGCTGTGTGCTCGAGGATCGAGTGGCCTGTGGTTGTGGGGTATCAGGGGGCGAGACATTGTAAATATCTTCCTCTTCATAAGAGTTGGTAGGAGACTCAATATGTGGCCCTTGCCTGGTGGGTATGTGAGTGGCCGGGTTCGTGATAGAAAATCGCTGTTGCTGCAGAACAGCGTTTTGAGAAGTGCGCTGGTGCGTGCCTTCCATCCGATTCGGAGCAAGTGTGTGACGTCTGGAAGGCCGAGGCTGTGAATTGCCTGATGCAGCGCCTTCTTGCCCTGGCACTCGATGGACTGGTGGGATAGGTGGAACAGGGGGCAGGTCCCGTTCTGAAGACTCGGATTCTGTCGTGGCTAGCACCGGTACCATCGAGTGACGCAAGAAGGCGGGTGCTTCCTCGGGGTCCTCCTTTTGATAAGGCGGGGGTGGAGGTACCCAGTTGTCGGCGTCACTCTCGTGAGGGTGCTCAGCCCGCCCATCAGCCCGTCGATATTCAACCGGTGTCCCCGCCGTGGTAGTCGGGTTGAGTCGCCTGTGGTTGGCAGCCGCGGTGGCGGCACGACGCAGAGTGGTAATGGAGCGAGGGCCCGTGTGCGAGTAAGGTGCGTCCAAGGCCTCCTGTTCCTCCATGATCGTCGCTGTCTCCGTCTCTTCGGTAGCCGCAGGAGGCTGCGCTGGGCGAGGTGGTGCTTCGCCAATCCGACGAGGCACAAGGGGATCGTCATCATCGTCCTCTTCCTCCGTCGCCGAGGCGGGTGTGGGTCGCGCGGCCGTTGTTGCCGCTCTCATGATCGCACTGCGAGGGCCCCGCCTCTGCGCCACAGTCCTTCTTCTGACGATGGCCACCTCTGTAGCCAAGTCGCGGTGCTCCTCCTCGAGAACCTCCGGCTCTTCTAGCCCCACCTCGATGGTGATTTCGGCAACACGGCCGTCTTCCATCCCGTAATCGAAATCGACCAGCGTCAGCCTGCCACCATCCTCAAAGTCTATACCGTCTTCATCCGTGATGGGTTTGGCCGGAACAGCGCCCTTGGCAGCAATGACCAGACGCTCCTTCAGCGATGAGTCCCCGAATCCAGCCACCCACTTCACAGTGCTCACGCCGCTGAGCTCGGTCACCTTGAAGCCTTCCACAAAAGTATTGCGGAGCTTGTCGCACAGTAATTGCCATTGTGGTACCCTTGCTTCCCCGGCTTCCTGTGGCCTGGAGCGCATGGAGCCTCCGCTAACCCGGCGATGGACTCCACCGGGGTTGGCGGCAACATCTAGATTGTTGCTGGAAGAATCCGGGACCGCCTCGAGGTCTTCAGGCACACCGTACAGCCAGACCTCTTTTCCCTGGAAACCTGCAGACACCAGGTCGCCGCAAAGAGAAGCTGCCGGTAGAGTGCACGGTATGAGCTTCGCCTGTAATGGGGTGTTGGGGATGGGCCCGGTGAAGTAGGTGGTGCCATTCCGTAAATCATCGATGCGCACAGCGCGGAAAGTCTCGAAACTGCGGTCATAAGTAAAGGCGTAGGCCGCCTCGTCATGGGCGGATTCCTGTATAAGCACGGCATGGCTGCAATCACGGCTGGTATTTGGGAAAAGAATCGAGGTGGTCCACAGAGCACTGATATTGTCACTGGACAGGTGACTGCCCGGATCATAATAAGGCGCCGTCAGAATGACTGTGTTTGGCTGGGCAGACTGGACGGTGGTGCCTAGGATTTGAGTGCCATCAAAAGAGAAGGCGAGGGCGTCCACAGCGTCGCACTTGACAGACCTCCTATCAGTAGGCAGGGCCCCCGAGCCGAGGGACTGGACTTCGATGCCGCCTTCGTAGGCGGCAGCCAGGACAGTGCCGCATGGCGACAGCGCGATGGTGCGAGGGCTGTGGTCAAGTATGATGGACTGAGTACGTTTCGGAGGGCTCTGGGTGAGGTCGTATAAGTCGACCTGCATCTCAGTCAAGAGCACCGCCAAAAGAGAGCCGTCATCCTTGACACATGTCGCAGCGGGTCTGCGGAGTATCTTGAGCTCCCTCTCCACTTTCAAAGTGGGACCGCGAAGGTCAATGATGTTGATGCGCGAAGAGTTGTAAGCAAGCAGGAAGTGGCCCTTGGGCGAGGGGCTGAAGGACATGCCATCGCCGCCAGGGCACGAGGAAGAGCTAATGGAGTTGGACACAATCTTGACAATGGTGTGATTCGGGCGCAGGTAAGCGTCGAAGAGGTTCCGCTTGACCTCCCTCGCGAACAACGTCCTCAAGGCGGGCAGATTGTCCTGTGCGCCGTTGGGAGGCTTCTTATGACTCGCGGAATATGACGGACATCTCATCAGCTGGAGAGCGTAAAGTCGACCTTGCTGCGAAGCACTGCGCCATTTTGAATTGACGAGAATCAAGGAGGCGAAAGAGCTCGGGTCGGCGGCTTCCAGAATTCTAAAACAAGGCACTAGGTGGTTAGGAAAGCAGGCGACAGACGGGTGCTGAAGCACAGAACAGAAAGAGCATGTGCTCACTGCTGGATGATCTCCTCGGGCAGCCTGTCGAGAGCGGACGGCTCAGGGTCATCGTCGAAGTCGCCCATGCCCCGGTCGGACAATATAGGCTGCTTCTCGATGGAGGAGCGCCGCTGGCGCTGGCCGTCGACAGGAGGCTCGTCCATGGCCTGTGACATGGTTGAGAAGAACAGAGGCCGGCCGGGTTGAGGGTGTAAGTTGCAAAGATGTTGTGGTGGGTAGCGTCCTGTTCAGTCCATGATTCGTGGCACCCTGTCCTTGCGAACTGTTTGGAAGAGGAGGGGGATGCCGGTTCGGCTGGTGGCCTTGAGGGTGCTGTCTGGTGGCACGCAGGGTCGGCGAGGAGACAGAATAGGCACACCGGCTGTGTAACCTCGCAGCACGGTCTGTTTGGTCTATTGAGGGCGGGGTGATGAGGTGGCCAAGGAGCGATCAAGAGGCGAAAGAAAGTCGAGGCACACAAAGGTCGGAAGGGAGGCGGGCTTGACGAGAAGGCCGTTTAGTTCGGTCCAGTCCAATCCAGTCCAGCTCAGCGGCACAGACACGCAAAGCAAGGCAAGGCAACGAGGATGCAGGCACAGGCACAGGCACGGTCTGGTTTGGTTTCCAGAGGTAGGAATGGGATGTGCCGTGCAGTAAGATGAGCCTGAGATGGCAGACGGCAACAAGCAGCAATCCATCTTGTCACTGCTGGCCGCGTGCACAGCATGGTTGGTACACCTGAGGTACTAGCCCGGGAGCCTACGCAGTACGCCGGACGCAGTTGGCTGCGGAGGGGTGATGGAACGGCGTCGTCCATTGGGCAGACCCTCCTCGCTGGGGTGTTCCCTGGAAGCGCCCCGGCAGGGGGTCGTCTGTCTTGTTCTGTGGGCTGCGGGCTGCCACTGTGTTGGACCGCTCTGTCCAATGAGCGTTGCACATACCTGAGCACCTAGGTAGGTATGTACCTAGTTAGGCTAGGAAGGCACTCAGGTGAGCAAGTGCAGTTACGGCTGGGCGGGTGTTGGTGCAGGTGCATCCATCGAGTCTCAAGCAGTCGAGTCTATGCCACACGGTATCTAAAACGCCATTTTCGTATAGTCGGTGATCCTGTTTGTATTCAATATACATGTTGCCCCAGCGAGGCTGTCAATGTCAAAGCCTCGCCAATCTTGCATCTGGCAATCTGCCTCTCGGACAACCTTGAAACCTCGAGGCCCTCGAACCTCGAACCCTGACTGGAGCGTTGCAATTGTTTCGGCATGTCCCTGCAAACCCAAAAACCCAAAAGAACGGCGACAGCCTTGGAAGACGTCATTGCCCGCCGGCCCAGTAGTCCTGTCAATAGTTTATCTGGAGCTGATACTCATGTCAGTAGTACGTAGTATAACGTCTCCCACATGCCTATAGTTTTGTGGTGCAGATCGTCCAAAGCTGTTCGTCCATTGCTTGATCAATATTTTCACTTTGATCTTTCTTTTTTTCTTCCACACACTCCGACACTGTACCTCCAACAGAAAGAATACAGCGGACCTCGGTACTCGACCGGTAAATTGGGAGACGCCGCCGCTAGTCCCCCATGCGGTCGAAGGAATGCGGAAGGATTCTCTAGCTTTCCTTCCCCACCTGGGCAGAGAAACCGTCCCCCCCGTTCCCCGTCTTATCTCCCATCTCCTGGCTCCAGTCTCCCCCTCACACCTCAACATAGTCACCCTCCGAAATCCATCGGGGAGCCGCAAGGCAGCAATTGAGCGACAGCCTCAGTTGTGTTTGCAAATAAGCAGCACTTGTTGCTTGCACCGTCTAGATTGCATGACGGCCTGTAGTCTGGGAATGTGCGAGTGTAGTGGCCCCCCGCGGTGTCCCAATCCGCCCTAGGGCGCCGCACTCACACACTGTTACATACCGTAGCTCGAACCATCTCGGAATCTTCCCTCGCCCCACGTCCATATCTGTTTCTATTTTTGGCAAACCCATCTGCACAGTGAACCCCAGGAGGCAGCACCGTGCGCACGCACACCCCCTCCGCTGCTGACGCCGTGCTGCTCAAGCAGTCTGGCCCAACACGCCCTGGCCCAACACGCCCAAGCCCCATCCATCACGCACGCGGCGTATCGCCTCCATGGTTGCCATCCAGCTGCCGGACAGCCAGCCCGATTACGTGAGGCTCGTCTAATCCCATCTGTTGTGCAATCAAGCCCAGCTCGCTCCCCATGAAAAACTCTCACCTCGTCTCGCTCTCACCTTGACGACGGGGCTGAAATATTGACCTGAGCCCGGTCCTTTGCAAGCTGAGGCATCTCACAATGCCTAGCCCCCGAGTCCTTCTCCTTTCGCCTGCCGCCCACGTTTATTGTAGTCTTCTCAGACAGGTTGCACATAGCTTTAGCCCCATTCCTGCTGGATCCGATCGACCACCTCCCTCGACACGGACTGAAGGACGCCAACCTGCCAGCTGCCATTTTTGGAGGCCGTGTTGAGCCATTGTCCTCGTTCCCGCCGTCCCGCCCTCTGCCAAGTACACCGCCTCGGCGGTCCCGACCGCGTGGAACGACATCTTGGCCAGTGGGCACGGTATCCATTTACAATAGTAGACTTTTGAACTCGAGATTCTACAACGAGGATTCCCACCTGGGCTCTCAAGGAGCTTCCGAGCCCTCGGGCTGCTGACTACTACACAGTGGACACCTCCGCGGCAGATGGTCGCCCATGCACGCCCCCATATGTGCTAAGCCACAGATCCAGACCACCCCAAGACCGAGGCGATAGTTGTCCCAAGAGCCTCCAGAGCACTCGGGCCGCGCGCTATGGGGAACGGTCGCTTAGGTGCCCCCAAGACCGCGTACCGGCGACGCCCGCATATACGAATCGCGGTGATCTTGACGAGTTGCCAAGCACTTGATCATTCAGTAAAGATCCACAGAGACATTTCTACACACGCGTGGTCGACCATCCAGTGATGACTTACATTGTGTCCTACAGAATGTCGACAGGTCTATCCACGAAGCATGGATGTCTTAGTATTATTACAAATTACAGATTATCCTACATGAGTCGAACGTCAGCCTGTAGCTGGTTAATCCCATGACAGGTTGTCCCATGTCAGGTTTTCCCACAAGAGGGTCATATTGGGCAAATCACACACCAGTCTAGTCCCCCCTTTGCGCCTCCCACTGATGGATCTCACAATGCGTCAGCGGAATTTTCCAGGGTCTTGCTGTGGGGATCGCTCCGCCGATTATCAAAATAGTGGCAAGCCCGAGAAATATATGTCCGTCCGTTCCCTTGTGAGGGATAACAGTCATGTACGGCTTCTTGTCCTTGATGGAGACTCGACGCGGAGTAGGCGCTCCGTCCCCTGTACGAGAGCCTGACGTGGTCCCTTCGCATTCGCCTTCCCTTCCCCTACAAGTAGCACATTTCATGCCCAGGACACAATCCCGCATATTGGCCAACGGCCCTGCTGCTACTGATAGGAGGTGATACCCAGGCTCACGTTATACACACTAAACTAGACGTAGCCTACCCAAATTTTCACAGTACGCATGAATTGCATGACCATTTAGCAACCAGGCCTTCCAAACCAAGATGTATTTTAGTAGAGTACTTCAGTGGCCTGCTAAGGCTTCACGTGCTCCCATAACTAGAGTAGCCTTTTTTCATTTTGTTCAGGATACTGGAGACACTCTTGATATGGTTACACCATCTATAACCAGTCCGTGGAGTTTCCTTCTCCTCGCCATAATCACTGTTAGCCGAGCGTTAATTTTCAGCGAGCATTTAACGAAGTGTGTAACCCAGAGGTCAATGAAGAATTCAATCATTCCCTTTTTTGTAGAAATCTTGTCAATCGTAGCATACATTTGCCTCTAGAGAACATCCAGGAAGTCGAAAGACGGCTAGCCAAAAAAGACCTTTGCCTCGCGTCCTCATCGCATTCAAGGGTCGGGAGGTCACTGATGGGTACAGGGGCAGAAGCACAAGTTTTCCGACGACTTCGCATATCCAACATGAGTTACGGCCAGTGACAAGATATCCTTAGCATACTTTATTTACTTTCGTTTGACTGCGCAGTCACGATGTGGCCTAAATCTGTCTTCCTTGGCATAGTTATCTAGTTTCCACTTTCTATGCTCTGTGCTCCGCACATAATGAAGACGTGGGCTAGTCAGAACTTTCGACTTGTTCATTTTACTCATTTTAGCCAGTCCGGGCTTCGGCCACACTATATATTTTTTTTTGAATTAACTGTTTATTAATCTATCTGCTATCTGCTTAGCTTTCCAACTATTCCTTAGCAGCCTTAAGCTAGTGTATAAATTTATATATAGCTTGATATATTTATTTATATTTCATTAGCAAAGAAACCTTAAAACCCCCCTTTTTATTCTTTATTTTTATTACTTTTTAATGCTTTAAATATTTTTTAATTATTTATAATAATAAAAACTTTAAAGCAAATATAATAAAATTATACTCCTTAATATTATGGATTTTATTATAAATATTTTATTTACTTTCCTTTAAAAATTTTATAATAACTTTATAAAACTATTATAAAATAATTATTAAGGAAATTATTTTTTATTTTAACTTTTATTAAAGTTAGCTTTAAGGTTAAGTATTAAGTATAATAATAACTTACTTAATAAGGGTTTTTAAGACGGTCCTCACGTCCAAATGGCAACAAGGGCACAATGTGACAGTGAAGAATGGTTGATTTACAACTAGGTTTGCCTAAGAAAAAAGAAAGGAAAAGGAAGAATTGCCGAAAGGGCAGATCAGAGTGGTTTTGGAGGCCAGTTGGGCTGATAAGATAAGCCAACCAGACGGGCCCAGGGGGCCCCTGCGCATGATCAGCCCCACGGCCCTGACAGTTTTTTAAAAGCTTATTTTTATAACTTCTTTAAAGATTCCTTAAGAAAATTATATTAATATAAATAAAAAAATTAAGTTTTTAATTAAAATTATATTTATAAGATTTATTTTATGAAGATTATTTTAATTTTTATTATATAATTAATTGCTTAACTTTTACTTTAAAGCATTATAGTAAATTAATGTTATATTATTTATATTAACGGTGATAATTTATAACGCTGTAAAAAATTATTCTTATTAGCTTTATTTTTATAATTATTATAAGGTTATTATTAATTTCTTAGCTATAAGCTATAATTATATTTAAAACTTGTTATTATTAACATTAAATTATTTTTTTAATGCTGAGTGTTTAAGCGTTCATTATTATATAAAGGGACTGAATGCATATTGCTTAAGAAGTATATATGTACAGATTAAAAACGAGACCACTTAGCCAGTCCGTTCTTATTCCAGATCAGAAAGATTCCGGGAAAGCCTGCATATTGTACACATAAGGTTTGTTCAGCTTGAGCCCCTTGTACTTATGAAGCAGGCGAGTACACCAGACAGAGGGATATATTATATAGTCGCATCACCACACTGTTCACGTAAACCAGAAAGTAAGACGATATGAGATTGCTTTTGTCTTCCCCGAAAGTTGTGTTGTATTCGTTTATTTGAATGTTTCAGCTGTGCACCCACAGATAAAGTTATGCATATGCTAGATCCCTTCCCTGCTCAAACAAAAAAAAAAAAAAAAGCGAAGGGAAAAAAAGAAGGAAGAATGACCGAAAAAAAGGGGGGGGGGACAGCGCCAAATCCCATATGAAGTTCTAGAATAGCCTTAGTTCCGCTTCTTCACCGCAGTGATGAATATTGCTCCTGCCAATCTCATCGTCTTCCAGGCCCCCGCTCAGACAAGCTGGCTCTCCATCGCGCTTTGCAGAATCCTCAAAGTCTACGGTACATTTGTTTATCTGTAATTTCTAATTAGCCATGACGTATATAATGGGGCCACAAACTCAACATACCTGGAGCCCGCGGGTTTTCCGGGAGTTACTTTTCACGTGGTTATAGGTCGGCGCCATGAGTGTAACAAGGCCGGATGAATAGATGGAGCAGTCGTTGAGTCAGCTTGATAACACGAGTTCCTGGTGATACGCCGGTGTGCCGCATCTCTTCCATAGGATGAGTGTTGAGGGGGCCTTGCTGAGTGTCTTTTCGTGGGAGTGGGCGCGCTGGCCATTGGGAACTCACACCGCTGATGTTGATACGGTGTAGGGCACCATTGCTGTGGCTGAGGGCGTTGAGGAGTCTGACGGACCTGAAATGTCCTGTGAGATGGAGTAGACTCCGTAGCTTTGGGACACGTAGTCAGCCTAGACCTGGCATCACGCAGCTGGTGACTATACTTCCTCTCGATATCTGCTCTGAGTTGCGCTAGGCTCCCCTCTGAGACTCGCAGCTGTTGTATGACCTTATCCCACCGGAGTAGGACCGTGTATGGTACCGTGTAGAGGTGTTTGATATAGACCCAAGATGCTCGTGGCTTGTTCATCTTGGCTGCCGAGTCAGAGAGCTTGAGGTGGGCGTTGGGGCTTTGTGGTGGCAGTTTCGTTCCGATGAAAGCGTGATAGTCGTCCAAATTCTTCTCTTGGTGAGCAAGCATTCTCCAAGGCGGGAGGAAGTTGTTCTGGGGCCCAGAGTTGAAGGCTGTGACGGTCGTAACAATAGCACGACCGGGACCAGCCGTAAGTATAATAACTGGGTGTCTGGCGGCTTTGGGATGTAGATGACCTGAAGCAATGAGGTCTTGGTAGTCTTTCGCGGAAAAATGTTCGGAGCCTTTGAGAAATGCGATCTCGCCGTCTTGCCAGATGCGGTTGGCGGAGCTCGCCTGGCTTGAGCTTCGATTGTTCATTGTCAAAAGCTGACGAAAGGGAAAAAAGGGATTTGCAGTGCTGCTATTGTAGCAGTTGTTCATAATTCTTTTCCTTGGTTCATGTTTTGAGTGTGTGGCAGATGAGGTGGGATATGGTATGAGGTGGTAGCGGAGAGGGAGAAATGGGAGACCGACAATGTTCTGGAGAAGCGGGGCTGGATGTTTATTTATATATTCTAGCTGACTGGCTAGCTGCTCATCAATGTTCTCAAAGGTTGATATTAGAGCGATCATAGAGGTTCATTTTCATAGAGGTTCACAATGTTGTTGACTAAACACAACTACTTGCAAATAGACTGAAATGGTACAGCAGCACGCTAGTCTGTGCTTGATCATGGGCTAAGCATATGTCTTCCTACTCCCGGCTTACAAAGTGAGCAACTATTTATGCTTCAGCATCACTTAGGGAATAAGGGGCTTGAAAATTTGTAAATCATAGTTGGAAACTTTAACCAGGCTAGAGACACCAGTCCATATAAAAAGCTCATGAATAGTTGGCAGACTTTATTCAATGCCCAAAGCACTACTAGTATGAGAAATGAGCTCTGAAAATTAGGGATCACCAATTTCTGATCTTTCAAACTGAGCCTACCGAAACTCCAATAGCAACCGCATAAGCTCGACTTACGAGATCACCTAGATCGCACAGATCAAGTAAGTGCTAGAGCGCGTGTAGAGAGCTTGATGAATGTGACGAGTCTGCTCTCGCCACAACACGGAACTAGACATTACGGACCCAAAGTTCGAAACACAAATTCACCAATACGAGGAAAATTCAACTTGGACACTGATAATTTCTCCATTTGTGAGGTCCTCACACAGTGTCCCATGCGCTGTTTATGAATGCTGTCTCCAGAACGTCACCGTCATCCGAGGAACAGATTGAACTCCTATTACTTCAATATCTGTAAACTGACCGACATTAAGCCACAGGAAAAAGGAATGGCGATGTATCCTGATTCGTTTGCGAGATGGAGCTGGCTGAGATGGGAAACTCGCAACTTAGCATACCTCATTACTGGTCTTGAAGTGGTATTACGCTTAGCTCATGGTCAAGAAGCGACCAATCATCCGTGCTTCTGAACGGAAATGAATGCAGACAAACACTGGGGACAAAATTGAAAACATCGGCATTACAACTTGGTTGAAGGTTACCGGTAAACCCCAAGCATCAATCACTCCCAGATATTGCTCAGTCGCTTGGTTATCATGTGTGAGACCAGGGCCTACAAGTGGCTGACACTGATGATGAGGATTATTCTGTAGGACATCATGCAGCAAAGGCCGTCATGGAGGAGACTGTCCCGCTGGAGAGAAGAGGCTATCCACAAAAGCTTGTCCCACGGGAGGCCCTCCCAAGGGAGGTTGTCTTGGAAGAATTTATCGGACTGGAGGTATTTCCAGGGGAGATTATTCTATGAGATGTTCCTCAATACCGCGCTTCGTAAAAGACTCAGGGCTCTATCTTGTCGAAGTCACGCCAAAGCAGTGCTGCACTGTAGGACTGTTCGCCGTCGCTCGGCGGACGGACTTGGCGACTCCGACAGCCGGGTTTCAGGTCGACCATGATGACAACACGCCATGTTCAGATGTGTCCGCTGAGCATTTCACATGGGCTGTTAAGCTCAATTTTGGAGAGAAACTGATTTAAACAGGGAGGACTACTTTGGAAATGTCTTCCAAGCGTTAAAGAATGCATGTCGTAGGTGGTAATTGCGAACTCTGGACACCCAGCCTCTGGGTTTCCGAGACTGGGTTTCCAGAGCGGGTTCCCCTGTCCACCCACACCTCTCCCGGCACCCGCACGCGACTCCGATTGGCAAATCAGTGCACACAGCCTATTCCTGCCGCTCGGCTCCGCCTGCAAGCTCTGCAAGACGACCCCTCCAAATGTTTGCATTATAGTTCACTAAATCGCCAGAGACTTCACCTCTATCCGGCCGCGTGGCCTAATGGCTAAGGCGTCAGATTTCGGTTGAAATCATCCTCTCTGAAGATTGAGCGTTCGACTCGCTTCGTGGTGAGTGTTTCCAGTCATCCAGCTGTAACACACCATATCCTAACATTCACCGAGGTCGTGTTATCATTGAGATATCTTTTTTTTCATGGGTTTGTCCACATGTACGATTTCGCACCTCATGGCTAGCGGTCTTGAATTTTGGGCAATATTTTAGATGTATTCCGACTGAGACTCCTCATGTAATGATTTGCATAGATAGTGCTTGAGAGGAAAGGCACAACGCTCATCTGTTTAACGTTGGGCACAGTGTGTACACACCATGCAGACTTGCACGGGAGCAGCTCAACAGCATGTTTGTGTCCTCGGCAGTCTGCTCGGCCCTCATTCCATCTGATTGATGAAATGGATGTATTCGTTCTTGTCCAGTGAACAGTAACCACATAGATACATGAATGCAAGCTCCGGCAGAGAAAGACGACTGGTTGTGGAGACCTCACATGGATGGCAGAAGATGGCGGACCCAAACTGCTGCTGGAGAATTCGTGTACGCTTCCAGAACAGCCTGTCAAGTCCCACAAGTTTATGTTTAAAAGAGCAGTGCCGGTATGGTATTACGCCTTAAAGATCGAGTTTCCTGGGTTGAAGTTGTCAGCTCAAGTTTGATTGCCCGCCCAGCAACACGTGCAGTCGCGTCTTGGTCGTGCGCGTCAACAGGGATCTAGCTCGTCTCACATTCTCGAGCTTGACCCTCGACGTAATCGACATACTAACCATCCCAAACGAACCTTTGTCACATTGGTTTCGACTGTTCCGACATCTCATCAGTGCTTATCATCTAAAGTCAAAATGCCTCCACGGACATCGCCCCGGAAGAAGGCGACCGCCACAGCCGTCAAAGTCGAAAAGGAAGTCGTCCGGAAAGTCAACGGTGCAGCAGCCAAGGCCAAGACCAAGGTCACCAAGGCCAAAGCTGAGGCTGTCACCCCGAAGAAGAAGACTGCAGGCAAGAAGCGCAAGGCAGCTGACGACACCGAGGATGAGGATCACGAGTGCGACAGCCACAACGAGGCAGAACGAGGCGAGAAAGAGAAGCCTGAGCCCAAGAAGCGGAAGACCAAGAAGGAGAAAGAGGCAGAGGCGATGCCGCTCGCCGAGAGGACAGCCGTCAGCTCCCTCAAGAGGGCAATGTATATCGGCGCGCACGTCAGTGGCGCAGGAGGTCCGTGATAATTGTCTCCAGCCCACCCTCCCTCCATGAGCTCCCGCCCGCTAATCTGTTGCTCCCCAAAGGCTGCCAAAACTCCATCCAAAACGCCACCCACATCGGCGCCAACTCGTTCGCCCTCTTCCTCAAGTCCCAGCGGAAATGGGTCTCCCCGGCCCTCAAGGACGACGACCGCGACGCCTTCCACGCCGCGGCCAAGGAGCAAAAGTACGACCAGGGCCAGCACGTCCTCCCGCACGGGTCGTACCTGGTAAACCTCGCACAGGCCGACAAGGCCAAGGCGGACCAGGCCTACGACAACTTCGTCGACGACCTCAAGCGGTGCGACGCGCTGGGCATAAGGCTCTATAACTTCCACCCGGGGTCCACCGGCGGCGAGACCATGGCCTCGGCGTGCGGGCGCATCGCCGCGCAGCTGAACCGCGCGCACGGGGCGACCGAGTCGGCCGTCACGGTGCTCGAGAACATGTGCGGCCACGGCAACATCATCGGCGGGAAGTTCGAGGACCTGCGCGACGTCATCGCGGGCGTGGACGACAAGTCCCGCGTGGGCGTGTGCATCGACACGTGCCACGCCTTCGCGGCGGGCTACGACCTGCGCACGCCCGAGGCGTTTGCCGCCACCATGGCCGAGTTCGACCGGGTCGTCGGGCTCAAGTACCTGCGGGCGCTGCACCTCAACGACAGCAAGGCGCCCTTCGGGTCGCACCGGGACCTCCACGCCAACATCGGCACCGGGTTCCTGGGCCTGCGGGCTTTCCACAACGTCATGAACTACGAGGGGTTCCAGAACCTGCCCATGGTGCTGGAGACGCCCATTGACAGGAAGGGCGATGACGGCAAGACGGTGGAGGACAAGCAGGTCTGGGCTGACGAGATCAAGCTGCTTGAGTGGCTCATCGGTGCGGACCCGGAGAGCGACGAGTTTAAGAAAAAGGAGCGCGAGTTGTCGGCCAAGGGCGAGGGCGAGCGGAAGAAGATCCAGGATCAGGTCGACAAGAAGGTGGCCAAGGATAGTAAGAAGGGGACCAAGAAGAAGGGCAAGAAGGCCTCCTCGGATGACGAGGACAGCGAGTAAGTGTGTTCTGTCCGTTTCTTGCTCTGAGATCCATGTTAGGCGGCATTGGCGTTCGGTCGGGAAAGGTAAATCAGCTGTGACGGCTTGTGTACACGACGGCAGAATGGTTTTGGTATGCCAGTCAAAATTTGTATGAACGCTAGGAAAGGGTATATTTGCGTGTGTTAACACTGCGCGACAGGGACAATGAGAACCAACAAAACTTCATGAAGACCTGGATGAAGAAGACAAAATGAAAGTCCGATCCCAATGCCGCTGACGCCATGTGAACTCCTCATGCCAAGGTCGTGATCCTCGTGCCCAACCACAAGTGTGCGTCACAGCCCCCAGAACGAGAGCCATTACACCCTCCTAGCCTTGGCAACAGCCTCCACCCTACCAAGCAAAGCCCTCAAGCCCGCGCCCTTCTCGCAGTTGCCCCCCAGCCACGCCTCCATCCGCTCCCTCACGGCCTTCATGCCCCTCAGCAGCGGCATCCGCGTGCCCTCCTCATCCCCGACGCGCCCGCCCGGGTTGAGCAACATCTCGAAGCACTCGCCCCAGATGTCCGTCTGCCAGTATCTCTTGAGGCCCTCCCGGATCTTGTACCTGCGGCCGGCCTGCGTCCCGAGCCCGCCGGCGTCGCACCTGACCGTCTCGATGTACTTGCTGAACAGGAGGCAGTGGATGATGCCGGCCAGGCCGTGGTAGTCAATCTGCCACGTCCACGGGCGGCCCTCGCGTATCTCGGCGCAGTCCTGCGCCGTCGTCTTCCAGTCTGCGACGAACTGCACCTCGGGCACGAACGCCCGCATGTCGATGGCCCGCCCGAAGTCGATCAGGGTCACGCCGCGGGAGCCCCAGCCGCCGGCGCCGTCCGCCCGCCACTGCGCGCTCAGGGCCTCACCGCCAAGGCGCAGCAGGCAGTTGTCGGCCTTCAGGTCGCCGTGGAGGATCTGCTTCGAGTGCAGGGCCTCGACGGTGCGGAGCAGCTCGATGGTGAAGAACATCGCCAGGTTCTCGTCCATGACGCCCGAGGATTCCGCGCGGAAGATATTGACCACGTCGAGGAGTGTGCCGTGAGGGTGGAGCGGAAGGAGGAGGAACCCCTCGTCCTGGTAGAGGTGCATCTCAAGCGCGCAGGAGAGGGAAGCTGTTGCTCGGTGCTGTGGGCCAAGACGCGCGTGGGCCAGCCGCATCATGTGGAATTCCCAAGCGCTGGGAGGGGTCTCCATCTTGAGTGCCTCGAGGCGCCTGCGTTGGTTATGTGCGACTGAGAAAGTCCCCCTGCCCATGGCCACCGGCGCCTCCTCGTCTTCAACCTCGTCAGGCAAGCAGTTCTCGACCAGGTAGACCGGTGCAAAAGCCCCGGCCCCAAGCTCCTTCTTGAGCGTGTACTCGGTCTCTATTCCGGGGAGACGTATGACAGGGGAGGCACCAAGATTAGCTGTCCTGTCTGTACTGTTCCTGCTGCTCCTGCATGCTTTGACAAACTTGCGGATCTCGCCTCCCCTCCCGTAATTCTCGGATCGGTGGTCGTAAAATCCAAGACAAGAACTCAAGGGCGGTTGCGTTTCCTCGAGGATCTTGTTGCGAACATCATCATCCACGGGGTTGCACTGCGCTTCCCTGATGATGGGACCTTTCGCAGGTGCTGCTCTCGCGTCCGTCTTGGGCGCCAGGGCTGGCCTTGACTTGGGCAGTAGAGGCAATGATATGTGCTTCACGGGAGAAAAGTCTTCATGAATCACTTCCTCCAGTGGGCTGCTGCTCATATGCTCGTCATCGATATCCTCAACCCCTCGCGGTGAGGCGCCATACTTCCTACTAGGAGTCTTGTTGGTGCCGTAGCGGTCGTGGTCTTCAGAATCGACCTTCAGCGACGACTCGGTCTTCTCCGTGATGGGCGTCATAAAGGGGAGACGATTATTAGCCATCTCAACAGGGTCCCTATATGTTCGTGTCACGGCAACATAGTCTTCCGGAGGCAAAGGGACGAATGTCGTCCTCGTCCTAGGCGGGGACATATCGTCGTACATTGGAGTGTCGAGGTCCTCGTCGTCGTCGTCGTCGTCGTCGTCGTTGTCGTTGAATTCAGGCGCAGTGATGGTATGCTCGGTGAATGCCAAAGACGGGTCTGCATCTCGGATGTTGATCAAGTCGGATAGAACAGACCGGTCTTCGTCGTCTTCGTCATCATCTCGGTCAATGCTAGGAATGTGTCGCCCTGCTGGGAAGTCGGACCATCCACTGACACTCTTGACGTCCGATGTCTCGTCGTCTCTAACTGCTTGGTCTTCTTCAGCATCACCCGCCTCGCTCGTGGTAATCTGTCGAGTGGTGCAGGTGCTCTCCCCGACGCTCGCGGTATAATTGCTGTCTGTCTCGTATTCTTCGTCATCTACATTCTCATCTGCCTCATCAGAAGAGCGTTCAGTGGAGCGTTGAAGATGTCATAGATGTCATCCGTGGCAGCCCTGGTGTGCATGGTCATCGTGGGCTCGGATGTGTGTTTCTTCTTCAAAGTCTTGGGACCGGTTGGCGAGTCCAGCTTCGCTTTGACTGCTCTGAGTTAGCTGGTGACGCCTTTACCTTATACCGTGTGTCCACCTACTGATTTGGGTCTCGTTGACTTCTGCTAATTTCTTTTTCCTCCCTGCGCGGTGTTGATCTGGGAGACGGCCATTCTCATCCAGCGTGATGATGTCTTGACGAACGAGCACCTTTGCTGCCTCTCTTTGCGGCTGAATTGACGCGCCGTCCTTGACGCCTCTTGAAACTCTTCCATCAACTGTTTCATTCCTTTGCCATGACTGGTCAAGCCAGCCACGGTTTGTCGCCCAGATCTCCTCGAAGCTCAATTCAGTACCAGGAGCTTCAGGGCTTGGGTACACGGCCTGCAGGTCAACAAATACTCGCTCCTTCTTGCCGTGAGAAGGGTTCACGGTCACTTGATAGTGTGAGGGAGCAATCGTGATATGTGATTTGGAAAGTTGAGACTTGAACTGATACAATACAACAGGCCAAGCGGCCGAAAACAATTAGTCCTGATATTCGATCAACAAGCGGCTATGGTGGGGAGTGTTTGGAGACGGGTAGACTCACCGGATCCCTGAACACAGACATCTTCGGCCCGCTGCTCTTCTTGCCACCTGCCTGCAAAGTCTCGCCTGCCCATGGCTTGGGCTCCATCTCGTTCTCCTTCTTCCTGTCCGCCAGTGATCCGATCGAATCCCAACCCTTCGAACCGGACCCTTTCGAGCCCATGGCGGAAGGAGGCGGCGCATCCGCGTCCGAGAAGATCTGCAGCTTCGATTTGGAGGACTTGGGTTTCTGTCCACCAAGGCCACTTGTCTGGCTCGGTGCCTGAGGATCTCTCTCCACGGCTGCAAAAGGATCAACCTTGGCCGCCAGCGCGGGTCTGACCGTGGGGAGAGCAGGGCTCGAGGGGCCAGCGTCCTCGGGTTGTGCGGCCCGGCGCTGCTCGAACTCGCCAAATTTCCTCACAATCCTGGCTGTCGGACGCGCTTCCCTCTCGATGCCCAGCTTGTAGACTTCCTCGGCTTGGGCCCACCTTCCTGCGCCCTCCAGCCAGGCCGCGTACTCCTCGTAGAACAGAGCGAGCGTCTCACCAACGCCATGCCTGGCGAGGAATAAGAAAGTCTCGCGCGGCGAGTCGGCAAAGAAGGATATGTAGAGAAGCCACAGCTTCAAGTAGCGAGGGTCATTCTTGTATTGGGGAGCGCTGACGAACGCCTTGGTCGCACGCTCAAGCACGGTGTGGATCTGCGATGCAGGTGTCGCCTGGGCCGAGGGATACGCGTCGAAGATCCAATGGACATAGCGGTCATACACGTCGAGAGGGTCGTCGGCCTCGGCAATGTTGGCAATCTCGGACTCGTACTCGGCGCGGATGCAGTCATTTATGTTCTTTGTGTCCGTTGGTGTTGGCGTGGCGAGGCTCTGCAGCGCTGGTCGTGTTGACTTTGATGTGAGCGCTGTCGAAGGTGAGAATGTCTCGGCGAGCTTCCTTGCGGATCGGCCGCTGGGGAGCGCCTGGATATTCTCTTTGTGGGCTTCGATCACATCAAAGTTGATGAGATCGTCTGATGCAGCCATCGTGCTACTGCTGCTCTAGGCTGAGCCTTACGCTGATTAAATCAATGTCGGTTCAAATGAGGGAAAAGAGTCCTCTGTTGGTCTCATGAATGTGTAGGAAATCTAGGTTGAAGCCGGCATGGGCGGGGTTTCGGATGTTGTGTGTAGTGCGTGTGTGAATGTCACAAGCTACGATGAACATGGGACCGCTTTCTGTAAGTTGTTGATGTTGATTTGGACAGGGGTGCTCTTGCTTGGTTACATGGTGTGTCGTCGTTGCCCTGGAAACAAGCCGGAGAGACAAAAAAAGCTACCGCCCCAGAGCTCTGGTGGGTGGTCCAGACCGATTGAAGCTTGCGTAAAAATAATGGTACCAATTCAAGAACAATCTACCGCACACAAGACATCACATCAGATCAAACGGTTTCACTTCTGCTGATAGCATGTGGCTGTTGTTGAGTATGTTCATCATAACTTTTATTCGGTCATCTCAGGTCATAGAATGCAGGCTGGTTGTCCTGCAGATGATCGAGCTAGGCTCTCGTAACTAGCACTAATGCGTCCTTTTCCAATATGTCGACGCTCAATGGGATATCTCAATTGCTCAAAACCGCCTACACGCACTGGGCGTGCCTCATCGCAGCCATCTTACAGGTTGACAGACTTGCGGAAGTTGGTGCCAGCGTAGACGGCGTTGGAGCCAAGCTCCTCCTCGATACGCAGGATCTGGTTGAGCTTGGCGAGACGCTCAGACCGGGCGGGGGCACCAGTCTTGATCTGTCCGGCCCGGATGCCGACGACGATGTCGGAGATGGTAACATCCTCGGTCTCACCAGAACGGTGAGAGACCATGACACCCCAGCCGTCGGCGTACGAGTCCTTGGCGGGCCTGGATGGACTCGGTCAGGGTTCCGATCTGGTTGACCTTGAGCAGCAGGGCGTTGGCAGCCTTGAGCTCGATGGCCTTCTTGATGCGGATGGGGTTGGTGACAGTCAGATCATCACCGACGATCTGGATGTTCTGGGTCTTGTAGAAGTAGCTCCAGGCCTCCCAGTCATCCTCAGCGAAGGGGTCCTCGATGGAGACGATGGGGTACTTCTTGGACAGGTCGCCGTACAGGGCGGCGAGCTGCTCGTAGGTGATCCACTTGGTGGGGTCAGAGTCGGGGTTCTTGAAGTCCAGGTCGTACTTCTTCTCGTCGACCTTGTAGAACTCGGACGAGGCGACGTCCATGGCAATGTTCATCTTGCCGGTGTAGCCAGCCTTCTCGATGGCGTCGGTGATGAGCTCGAGGGCCTCCTCGGCGGTCTGGATATCGGGGGCAACACCACCCTCGTCTCCGACGTTGCCGGCGGACTGGCCGTACTTCTTCTTGGCCAGGCTCTTGAGCTGCTGGTAGACCTCAGCGCCCCAGCGCAGGGCCTCGGTGAAGGAAGGAGCGTCGGAGGGGACGATCATGAACTCCTGGAAGGCCAGACGGCCACCGGCGTGGGAGCCACCGTTCAAGACGTTCATGAAAGGAACAGGCAGGACGTAGGGCTTCTTGGTTCCGGCGAGGTCGGAGACGTGAGCGTACAGAGGGACGCCCTTCTCAGCAGCACCGGCCTTAGCAACAGCCAGGGAGACACCGAGGATGGCGTTGGCGCCGAGCTTGGTCTTGTTGGGGGTGCCATCCAGCTTGACCAGGAAGTTGTCGACAGCAGTCTGGTCCTTGACGTCCAGGCCGGCCTTGATCAGCTCGGGGGCGATGACTGTGTTGACGTTCTCGACTGCCTTCAGGACACCCTTGCCGCCCCACTTGGACTTGTCACCATCACGGAGCTCGCAAGCCTCGTGCTGACCTGTATGCGAGGGACTGTATCAGCATTGAACGCTGCAAGAGACCTGTATGTAGGAGATTTGGACTAACCAGTCGAGGCACCGGAGGGGACAATGGCACGGTGGAGACCGGTCTCGGTGACGACGTCAACCTCGACGGTGGGGTTGCCACGGGAGTCGTAGACGTAGCGAGCGTGGATCTTGGAGATACCCATGTTGGATGTGTGTTTCTGAATTTTGGTCAAGTCTGTCAGCTGGCCAATCGTGGATATATGCAGGTCTTTTGTTGGAGCGGTCTCGGCGAAACTCATGAGGGGAGGTTTTCAAGGTGAAGGCATGTTTGGGGAAACCCGGAGCCTGTAGGTTTGAGGTTGTCCACGAGAGAAAGCAAAGCAAGCCATTGGCTTCATGACCTCTCAGTGGAATCAAGCTTCGGGGTTGTATGACGAGAGGCAACATCGCCGAGGTGGTCTTGGTAATCCCGAGCAAAAAAACCCTCAATTGAGTCTCACGGGCAGCAGGTGATAATGCCTCAGGAGGAGCTCGGTGACGTGAGGCAAGACGGGAACTGGGGAAGCTCTGGGGAGCTGGGCAGAGGTCGAGGGGGAGGATGGGAGGCGGCATACCTGAAGTGAAAATGACTATGTCGAGCTTCACGATGACAATGAGGTGAGGGATTTGAGGATGAGACAAGAGGGCGAGAAGGCGAGAGGGACGGAAGAAGGGAGCCTCAACGTTTTAAAAAAGCTCTCGGCGGGGTTGCTGTCGGGCAGGGCAAGCTGGGAGTCTAGGGTCTTGGTGGGATGAGATGGAGGGGTCCCAGCTCCCAGCTCCCAGCTCCCAGCGGTAGTGGGGTGATCTCATCTCTCAAGGGGCTGAGGGGCTGACTAGTAAGGTGTGGTCAACATACAGACGCATCCCTCCGTAGTCCGCACAGTAGCCTACCGTGCATGCCGGCGCAGGGCGTGCATGAGAGGACAACCTTGGAAGGCGTGCGAAGGCCCACCCGGACACGCACCTCACGCAGTACGGTACGACCTCTCCTGCAACAAGCAGGGGGCCCGCCTGCCAATTGGCACAGCTCACAGCACAGCTAAGACGGGGGACGCGGAACAGGACCCAGTCCGAATTGCTCTCGGCAGCCTCACTGCTGCTGCCAGGGCTGGATGGAGACTGGCGGTCATTCTAGACTCGCAGGCTCGTGTAGTGTAGTGCCGGGGCCTGCTCGCTCCTCACCTGAGTTGGGCGAGGCCATGGACATCGTCCGTGGGTGATGTCTTTTATTCTGGGCTCTGTCAGGCTCGATCGGACCGCCGGGAGCTCACATCACCCCAGCCGGAATCTCATGTTTCTGAGCCGCCATCGTCAGCTTCCTGGCCTTGTCGCTCGCAGACCCGCTGTCGGAGCCCCTGACGACCAGAGGGCGTAGAAAATCCCAGGAGTCCCAGGATGTCCAGAAATCCCGCGGACGGCCTTTGGTCTCGAGTGCCGCTTTGCGGCCAGGCGTTGCAAATTCTTGGTCCAACAACACCACGTGTGGATTCAACGTCAGTGCGGCCTGGACCGAGACAAAACATCACATCATTACCCAGTGGAGAGTATCCGTTGCTTGGCCGCTCAAACATGGCATTGGCGTGACTGCGTTGCTTTGCTCGCCTAAATTATAATTCGGGATCGATGCGGCTCTCTGCTTCCCTGCCTTGTGATGACACCACCTGCCCGAGTCCATGACGGACGAGTTTTGAACCTTTATGAACAGCTAGACGGCCTCGACTCGCACCCATTGGGACAGACAAAACGCCATGTGCGCCGTGCAAGCCCACGAGCTTGGGGCGTCCCGAGACCTCGACGCCACAGCTCTGTCTACCTGGAACAGGACGGATTTCTAGCCATCCATCTGCCTGTGTCGGCCGCGGCCTCACTTGACACAGGACGAGCAAAGAAGTGTAAAGTCTACTCAATGGACTGTGCTGGGTTCTGACCTCGGCCAACGCGTCGCGTAGGCATCACCGTTGAATCGCCGAGTTGAAGCCGCCACGCCGCGACTTGGCGGGCAGGGCTCCTGGAACACCACCGTGCCTAGCAGCTCAGACGGCGTCTTAGCTCTCTCTTCGTGTTGCTATGGCCCGGACGGCAATCCTTCAATTCCCCGGGCCTGCGAGATGACACGCAGCTCAAGACGACAGAGAAAAGCAGTCCCTATCTCTCGGGCCTGAGCAGCAGGTGGTAGTAGCCTCGAGAGGCGATGGGAGGGAGCATGGCGGGGCCGCAACGATCAACCGGATCAAATGACAATGACAGAAGGGACCACTGAAGCTGGGGCCGGGCATGGATGGGAGGTCGAGGGGAGCTGTTGCTGAGGCAGTCAGTCGAGCGGCAGGCTCGACCGGCCCCCAGTCGTCTCACCCCTGCCTGCCGCTGGCCTCCAACGCGGCGAGAGCAACATTTGAAGACTAACTAGACAAACCGACCGACTGGACTGCCAGGACCACCAGACCAGAATCCCCAATCGCCAGTCGGCTACGCGCGGAACGGCGAGTGAGGAGAAGAGACAGAGTGCTCGAGCTAATAGTCCATCTTTCAGTCCTCTCTGCAGCCTCGCTTGGTCTTCCGGTTGGTCTCTGGGTCATGTCTCTAGCTCTCTCCTCATCGCTGAGATCAGCCGCCTCGCAGAGACTTTTGACTTCAAGATCCGCAAGCGCCTCTGCCCTGTTGCTGTCCTCGAGGTTGCCCGGGACACTGCAGCCGCCATCCTCTTTTAGACCATCGTACGTGCCTTCTTGAACCCCCTCACCCAAAGGAGGCTGGCTTGTCTCTCTTGTTTCTCACCCTCTGCCTGCTGAAACGTAAACACGCCTTCAACCGAGGTCCCCTCTCTCCTGCTGGAAGGGCCCTGTCTTTTACCCACAATTCGTCCCATCCCACCTGTGAAACGTCACTGACTCCCGCCCGCCCAGAGGTGCAACCCCTCCAACCCTCAGCAAGAGGTTATACTCTATAATCAAGACTTCGACTTCAGACCATTTCCCACTGCCCCGTGCCCGGAGAACACCCTCTCGTACCATACCTCAACTTCGTCACTGCTCATTCAGGAGAAACAACATGTGCAGGCACGCCGGCGCCCCCGAGTCCTCGAGCTCGCTCAAAGTCAATGGGAGGGAGCTCCTCCCCACCAACGTCGTCCCGAGGCACTATGATCTAACTCTGGAACCCAACTTCACCAACCTGACCTTCGACGGTACTGTCGTGGTAGACCTCGATGTGGCCGAGGAGTCAAAATCCATTTCCCTGCATACTCTCGAGCTCGATATCCACTCCGTCAAGGTCTCATCGGACGGCAAGGTCATTAGGTAGGCCGAAAGCTCCCCTCCACCCACCCCTCGGTTCTCGAGCTGTTGTAGCGCAGCGAACCCACGCTCACTGGCCAATGCAGCTCTTCGCCCCAGGTTTCGTATGACGAGAAGACCCAAGTTTCCAAGATCGACTTCTCCGATGCCATACCCAAGGGCAGCAAGGCCCAGGTGGAGATCAAATTCACTGGCCAGCTCAATGACAAGATGGCGGGGTTCTACCGCTCGACATACAAGAAGTCCGATGGCACTGAAGGCGTCCTGGCGACATCCCAGATGGAGCCCACTGACGCACGGAGGTCCTTCCCTTGCTTCGACGAGCCTTCGCTCAAGGCAGAGTTCACCGTGACCCTGGTCGCCGACAAGAACCTGACTTGCTTGAGCAACATGGATGTCGCATCAGAGACCGAGGTTCAGTCTGGCAAGAAGGCTGTCAAGTTCAACAAGTCCCCACTCATGTCGACATACCTGATCGCATTCATTGTTGGCGAGCTCAACTACATCGAGACCAAGGATTTCCGTGTTCCCGTTCGTGTCTACGCACCCCCCGGCCAGGACATCGAGCACGGCCGTTTCTCTCTTAACCTGGCGGCAAAGACATTGGCGTTCTACGAAAAGGTCTTCGGCATCGAGTTCCCGTTGCCAAAGATGGACCAGGTCGCAATCCCAGACTTTGCGCAGGGTGCCATGGAGAACTGGGGCCTGGTCACCTACCGTGTTGTCGACCTTCTTCTCGACGAGAAGGCCAGCGGTGCCGCTACAAAAGAGCGAGTCGCCGAGGTTGTGCAGCACGAGCTTGCGCACCAATGGTTTGGCAACCTTGTCACCATGGATTGGTGGGAGGGTCTCTGGCTCAACGAAGGTTTTGCCACTTGGGCATCTTGGTACAGCTGCAACGAATTCTATCCCGAGTGGAAAGTCTGGCAAACCTTCGTCACAGACACGCTCCAGGGCGGTCTATCTTTGGACTCCCTCCGGAGCAGTCACCCTATTGAGGTGCCTGTCAAGCGGGCCGACGAGATCAACCAGATCTTCGATGCGATTTCGTACATGAAGGGTTCATGCGTCCTTCGTATGGTCTCTACTTACCTCGGTGAGGATGTCTTCCTCGAGGGCGTGAGGAAGTACCTTAAGAAGCATGCCTACGGCAACACGCAGACTGGTGATCTCTGGGCCTCTCTCGCCGAGGCCAGTGGTAAGGAAGTTGAGGAAGTCATGGATACCTGGACGAAGAAGATCGGATATCCAGTTGTGACCGTCTCAGAAAGTGGCCCAGATAAGATACACATTAAGCAGAACCGATTCCTGCGGACAGGCGACGTGAAGCCCGAGGAAGACGAGACTTTGTATCCCGTTCTACTTGGCCTGCGAACTGAGGATGGCGTCAACAGGGGTCTGATTCTTAACCAGCGCGAAGCAGACTTCTACGTCCCCAACACGGACTTTTTCAAGCTGAATGCTGATCACACCAACCCCTACCGAACCTCCTACTCCCCTGAGCGCCTTGCCAAACTCGGAGACTCAGCCAAGAAGGGCTTGATGAGTGTCGAGGATCGTGCAGGCATGATTGCCGATGCAGGAGCTCTTGCCCAGTCAGGCTACCAGAAGACTTCTGGAGTCCTGAGCTTGCTCAAAGGCTTTGACACCGAGACGGAATTCGTCGTTTGGGGTGAGATCGTGGCCCGTCTGAGCGCTGTGCAGGCTGCCTGGATCTTCGAGGATGAGAGTGTGAGAGAGGGCCTGGAGAACTTCCAGCGGTTCCTTGTCAGCTCAAAGGCTCACGCGAAGGGCTGGATCTTCTCCGAAAACGATGGGCACGTCGAACAGCAGTTCAAAGCTTTGCTGTTTGGAAGTGCCGGGTTGTCTGGAGATGAGAAGATCATCAGTGCCGCCAAGGATATGTTCGGCAAGTACATGGCTGGGGACAGGAGTGCCATCCACCCCAACATCCGCGGCAGTGTTTTCGCCATGGCTCTGAAGTACGGTGGCAAGGATGAGGTACGTCTTTTCTTACTAAGATACTGGGAATTTTCCATACTAACGCCGTGCAAAGTACGAGAAAATCATTGACTTCTACCGCAACTCTACCAACAGCGACGAGCGCAATACGGCGCTCCGCTCCCTCGGCCGCGCCAGGCAGCCAGAACTAATTCAAAAGACCCTGGACTTGCTTTTCAGCGGTGAGATCAAAGACCAGGACATTTACCTCCCCACGAGTGGGTTGCGCACCCACCCGGAGGGTATCAATGCCCTCTTCAAGTGGATGAACGAGAACTGGGACGAGCTCTACAAACGCCTACCACCGGCTCTCTCCATGCTGGGCTCCATGGTCCAGATTATGACCTCGAGCTTCACCAAGCCGGAGCAGCTGGCCGAGGTCGAGAAGTTCTTCAAGGACAAGAACACCAGCGGCTATGACCAGTCTCTGGCCCAGAGTCTGGATGGCGTGAGGTCCAAGATCCAGTGGCTGGAGAGGGACCGCTCTGACGTGGCAACCTGGCTGGCTCAGAATGGCTGGGGTGCGTAGATGGACTCCAGGAAGGGCACCATATGAGGGCCAAACCACACGCAGAGGTGTGGGTGCAACCATTTTCCTCTGTAGTGCAACATAGATCGCGAACTTCCTCCAGAAGCCAGATAGAAAGATGCTGGAGAGACTTGGAGTCGACGTTGACTAAAGATATAAGTCGAATGACTACCTTTAGAGAGTGTGGATGATGGATATATAAAGACAGGACTGAGGATGCCGCAGAGGCTTACGTCCTGAAGAGGGCAGTTTACCGTGACGCCGCTCTCCGCTCTACGTTGACAGCGGTGCGACAGACACAATACCTGTGCATACGTTATTAGACACCAAAATCGATGGCATGTAGTGCCGACCGTCATCCTGCAAAGACCTTCTCGTGCGTGTTGTTTGTTGTCAAAGTGATGATTTTGTGACTCTCTCAACTATCTAGATAACATTGACAGCGCTCTCTCCTTTTAGCCTAATTTCCAGAGTCCTCTTGAGGCACAATGACCATAGAAATGCCATGTTTTCCATTAAACTGGGTATCAGAAATAGGTGAATACCTACAGACGGGAAAGTCTCTTGGGAATTTAGTTTAATGTCGGTCTGCAGCGTTCAACGCAAAAGCCAAACTTAATACTCGTTCTCTCGAAACTCAGTTCACGTTCTAATACTGTTTGAACCCAAAGATCTGTACGGTGATGTTATAGCTACAAGGACAACAGTCACACTTGGAACCCATTGGTCAAATACAGGAATCAGTGATGCTTTTGTCTCGCCATTTAGGCCTACTATGCTCTAGCAAATGATTGTATCGCTCCCGTCTTGATCGAATTCGGAAGTAAAAGCAATCCCACTACATCTCTTCTTCACTCCAGCTTCAACTGCTTCAGCTGCTCGATCGTGGTTTCGAAGCCCTTCAGCTCACCCTCCATATCCCTCAGCTTCTGCTTGTCCGCCTCCTGCGTCGCGACGGCCACCTTCTCGGCGTAGGCCGGGTCGTTAACTAGCTTGCGCTGCTTGTCAGCGTCGCCCTTCTTCCTCTCCAGCTTCTTGGCCGCGCTCTGGATCGCCTCGTCTAGGTCCACACGGCCCTTGATGTGTAGGAAGACGGCCGCGCTCGCACCAATCGGGTAGGCAACGCAGCCGGCGGGGCGGGGCTCGTCGGACCCGACGATGGTGATGCTGCCGACGCCCTTGCCTGAGAGCGACTTGATGCTGCCAACCTGCTCTGTGGCAATCCTGTGCGACTCGGCGTCGTAGGTCTGGATGAAGATCTGGGCGTCCTCCTTGAGGGCGTTCTCGGACATGAGGGAGCGGATGCCGCTGGAGCTGTTCAGGACCAGCTCGTAGGCCTTCTCGGCGGCCGGCTGGTCCAGCTCTGGTTGGTGGACGGGGTACTCGGCAAGCATGACAGACTTGGTCTTGTCATCGGGACGCCTTGGCAGGCGTTGCCACAGCTCCTCAGTCACAAAGGGCATGAAGGGGTGTATCAACAGCAGGCCGGCCTCCAGAGAGGAGTACAGGGTTTGCAGAGCGGACTCAGCCTGTTCCTTCGTGCCATCTTGAATCAAGCCTTTCGAGTTCTCGATGTAAACGTCGCAGAGGTTGGCGTAGATGTAGTGATATACCGCGTTGGCAGCCTTCATGAACTCACGCTCCTCCAGGGCTTCGTTGATTGTCTTTGAGGCTGCGTTCATCTTGCTCAGGATCCAGAGCTCGGATAGAGACTCTTTGCCCTGCAGCGTCCTTGTCTTTGCGGGAACAAATCCTTCGACCGTGTCGATTTTGCCGATGACATACTTCGTTGCTTGGTACATCTTGTTGGCGAATCTTCGGTACATCTGCATAACCTGCACGTCAAAGTTGATGTCGCCACCACCAGTTGTGTAAGCTGCAAGGCACATCCTCAAGGCATCTGCACCACATCTGTTGTCTGGTCAGTATCATACCGTGGGAGGTCTCTAAGGACATTTTCAACTTACTCGGGTATGCCTTTAGGGAAGGCCTTTTTCTGGTAAGCGGTGGCCTTCTTCACCTCTGTTGGGGCGAGATTGCCTGTGAGAAGCTTGGCGTGGAGGGCCTCGAGATCAATACCACTGATCACGTCAAGTGGATCGATGACGTTGCCCAAGCTCTTGCTCATCTTTCGGCCATCACTGTCACGGATCAAGCTGTGGCAGTAGACCTCCCTGAAAGGCACATCTCCTGTCATCTTCTTGCCAAGCATGATCATTCGAGCGACCCAGAAGAAGAGAATGTCCCAGCCAGTCTCAAGGATAGACGTGGGATACAATTTCTTGAAGTCTTCTGCTTCGGCATTCGGCCAACCCAAGGTTGAGAAGGGCCAAAGACCGCTGCTAAACCAGGTGTCCAAGACGTCAGGATCGCGCTCGAGCGTGTATTTCTTGCCAGCCAGAACCTTCTTAGCCTTCGCCTCTGCTTCCTCTGGCGTCCTGCCACTGAACCATCGGTCGTTATTCGATGTGTCCTGCTCCTCGCCCTCAACCTTGGCAAACCAGACGGGGCATTGGTGTCCCCACCACAGCTGTCTTGAGATGCACCAATCTTGAATGTTCTCCATCCATCTGTAGAAGCTCTTCTCGGCCGACTCTGGGCGGATCTTGATTTCATTGTTCTGGACACATTTGACGGCCTCATCAGCCATACTTCGCATGGACATCCACCATTGCGGCTTCATAATCGGTTCGATGACATCCTTCGACCGCTCAGAGAGAGGCACCTTCATCGGGTTGTCCTTCTTGTCGACGTACAGCCCCTTCTCCTTTAGGGCATCTTGGATTGAGTACCGTACATCAAAACGCCTCTGGCCGGCGTATGGGCCAGCGTTCTCGTTCAGAAGGCCGTCGTCGGTGAAGATGTTGATGAACTCCAAGTTGTGAGCCTTGCCCAGGTTGAAATCGTTAGGGTCGTGTCCAGGTGTCAACTTCACAGCTCCGGTACCGAACTCAATGTCGACATACTCATCAGCGACGATGGGCAGTCGGCGGCCCTCAATGAAGGGATGAGTGGCGAACTTGCCAACGAACTTGGTATACCGGCTGTCCTTGGGGTTGACGGCAATGCCAGTGTCTCCGAGCATCGTCTCAATACGGGTCGTAGCCACCTCAATTGTTTCGTCTGAGCCCTCGATGGGATACTTGAAATGAACAATGACACTGGAAGAGGCCGAGTCAGCTTCATTTTCTCCATCATGGGAAGACTGGTTGAGGTTTACTTACCCAAACTCGACTTTCTTGTCATAACCTGGTACATCTAGAAGAGTCCTGCCGGCGAGCTCCTTCTGGTCAACTTCCAAGTTTGACAAGGCGGTAGTCAAAGTGCAGTCCCAGTTGACAAGTCGGTTGGCTCTGTAGATGATCCCCTCCTCGTGAAGGCGCACGAAATTCTCAGCGACGGCCGCGGACAAGTTCTTGTCCATGGTGAAGGCCTCTCTTGACCAATCCGCGGAAATACCCATTTTCCGCTCCGCATTGTTGATTTTGTCGTGGTACTCCTGCTTCCATTCCCAGACGAGGTCGAGGAACTTCTCTCTGCCAAGATCATGGCGAGTCTGCTGTTTTCTCCTCCAAAGCATTTTCTCCACGACACTCTGAGTGGCAATACCGGCGTGGTCGCAGCCAGGAAGGAACAAGGTGGTCTTGCCAAGCATTCGCTGCCATCTGCTCATGATGTCTTCCAGACTGTTGCCAAGGGCGTGACCCATGTGCAAGCTGCCTGTGCAGTTCGGGGGAGGTATGACGACCGTGAAGGCACCTTTGGGCTTCACATCGCCGGTCTCGGTGAACTCGGGCTTGAAAAAGCCTTCCTTCTCCCACCATTCGTACCATGCACTCTCGACAGCAACAGGGTTGTAGGCCTTGTAGTGAGGATCGTCCAAGGACTTGAGCCGTTTCTTCTGTCCGAGGGGCGTGTCCTCAACAAACTTCGGCATGGTCTCCTCGGCAGCCTTGACCTTCTTCTCTTTCTGCTTGGTGGGAGCTTCGGCGGGCGCTGCTTGTTTAGCAGCCTTCTTAGCCTGGAACTTTGCGAGCTTCTCGGCCTTCTCGCGCTTCTTCTGGAGCTCCTTGGCGGACTTCACCTTGCCTGTGCCCTCCATTGACGCTGCACCGGCATCCTGGCCGGCAGCATGGGTTCCCGTGGCACCGCTGGTAGATGTCGTCTGGATAGTAGCCTTCGCATCTTCTGAGACGGGAGGTGGGGCCTGGTTGTCGACATTGGGACCGTCGGAGGTGGCAATACTGAGGACAGAGGAATGTTAGCGTCGTCAACTAACGTTTGTGTCAGTGTTCCCTTGCAGACTCACGGGTTGCCGCGGCCAGAGTTGGTAGCCATTGTCGCACGGGGAAAGCTTGTAGGATATCGTCGCAGTACTGACGAGTGCACCAGAAGTGCACGAAGAATTGGACGCGACAGCGTGGCGATATCGACTTGGAGGACTATGTTGCGAGAAGGAAAGAGTGAGTCAGGCTTGGTGTTGAACCTGTCTTAAAATTCCTTGACTCACAGGGCAATCGGATCTCAAAACGCGACCTGCATTTTAGATGGACGGAAGATGGAGGGGTAGCTCTCACTTAGAGACTTGGGATTGAATTTTTTTTTGGGGGGGGGGGGGGACGGGGTCCCAGGGGAAAACCCTGGATATTTTCACAAGCCTCAGTCGACTTCAATGATTTCAGTATCCATTAGACGGTTCACTCACCCTCATCACCGTGTTGTTCCCTCACGTTTCAATAAGAAATGTCATAGCCCGACGCCTTTCTCCCTGCTGGACCCTATAGACTTGCAGCCAGTCAATCGTGGCTCCTCGCCTTGATGATGATGCCGGTCTCATCTGCGTTCCGGGTGCGCCTGACGCCGATATCCAAGTCCACTCCCACCAGAATCGTCAAAGCCGGCATCAGAGCACAGAGAAATGCAACAAACACTCCTTTGAAGCGTGGGCTGCCAAGAAACCAAAGGCCCGCGGATAGACTGACAGTATTCACTCAACCCCGTGCTACTCAGGTATTGTGACACTCAGCAGCACCATCCCCCAAACCAGCTGTCTTGGCTCATTCTGCCACACGAACGCTAATTGCACTCGCAGAGATCTGTCCTGAATCAAATCCGCAGCAGTCTATCAGTCCAACCCTCCAGACCAGGCGAGCCGGCGCGCGCAGCTGTCGTCCTTGCAAGCCCCAGGCACGCCTCGTGGCTGACCGAGAGTGATTTCACTAGTCATCTGGTCCACGCGCTCCATGGAACATTTGAGGAAGGCGTGAGGTTTCACTTGCTGTCTGCCGTGGTCGACGGACTCTGTGCGCGATCACCCAGCCGTGAGCTACAGGAGGGTCTCTCGATCCATGTTGGTCAACTGGACAATCTACTTCCCGGTTTGTGGGACAGCACGAGTCCCGAGGATGCCGCACAATCACCGTCTCACTCGGTCACGGACCCAGATCTGCCGTCGAGTCTGTCTGTACTGCTTCCCAGAAAGATGACTCGCGAATATGCCAGAATAACACTGACATTGCCACTTGCGAACACGCTGTTTTCCAACGGCAGGAGATCAACTCTTCTGGCATCCGAGTGGAGGCTTGCAACAGGATTCTCCAAAACACGCGTCGAGATGGTCAGAAACGCTGAGAAGCACAACCAGCTCATTGACATTCCACCTTCGGTCATGTTCGACCAGGTCGACATGAAGGCGCCCCTGGTGCCCATAACGCACCCACGCAAGATCCTGGAGGGGCTGGGAAATATCATTGCAAAGGTCGAAGTCGACGGAGAGCCGTACCCTGCCTCCATGGAGCTACAGACCAATATCCCCCGCTTGATAGAGGCTCGCCGAGCCCTGCCCCATTCACAGCCTGTTTCTGGGGCTATCGGTGTGTGGGCTATGATATATCCCAAACACATGTTTCTTCCTCGAGAAGACGTGGCCAGGTTTTATTATTCGGTGAAAGGTCGGTATCTGGGAACGGCGTTGGGCAAGCTGGCCTTTGATATGTCAACCGACTTGGAGCGTTTGGCATGGGAACGTGAGACTGTTCTCCGGAATGCTTTCTTTCAGGGGGCCCGGCTACACAAAATTTGTAAGTCAAACCACCTTCAGGAGGACAAAATTGAGAGTGGCCGCTGTGGGACATTCAAAAAGCGAGTAATATTTACGGCACGCGGAAACCTGATATCTGACCCATTTTCTTCATTCTCGCAGTGGGCGGCGGCGGCGAATGGGGCGCCAAAGCCAGTCTTCTATCCCTAGATCCCAAGACCAGCCACACACCTCAGTCCGAGGCAGATGAGCTGGACAGATTTATGAGATCCTTCAACGGCGAACATGATGCCAAAGATGCCATCGCGCAGCCTGGGGACTTTGTGCAGTTCTTCGTGGAAAGAGATGCGAAACAAATGCCTCTTGACAAGCATCACAACCTCAAAACAGTATCAGACTACCCCCCCGTCAGGTTCGGGTGCGGGGATATGCACATGAGAGATATTGACGAAAGCAATCGGATTCTCACGAGGCAGCGAAGTGACCGGGCCCACCCTGAATACCTCTGTTCCGATCACTTTGGCGCCCATAGCGCGGAGGGCATCTACGTGTCATCCGGTGAGCTAGGTCCAAACACCAAAATGGACGTGCCTGGAGCAACGGTGACCATGACAACAGTCAAGGGCTCCGAATCATCCTATCGCCCATACGTGAGAGTTTCTCTCCAAGAAATGGGTAGGAATGGCGCACGCAAATAGGGCGCTGAAGCTTGCAGGGAGGTTGGCGATCACATATGATCCTTCGGTTGGGCTTACTGTACAACCCAAAACGGGCGGCGTATCGCCTTATGTAATCATACAACCTACCATTTGTAATTCATGAGAACGGCTGCCACACGTTCAAATGTCGCCATCTTCACCATTTCAATTGCAAGCGATAAAGGCTGACGCAACTTGTTCTGGTCTCAGACCTAGCCACCGGAAACGGACCTCTGTGAGCAAGAGTGGTGTAACATCTCGTCAGAGAATCGAGGCTGGTCACTTTCCGGTCCCATTTGACCAGCAGGAGATTATCCCTCGTACCGATCCCAGTGGACAATACTAAGGGCCTAAGGAGTCCGTCCGTACATTCGAGCCACAATGGCCTCGTCTAAGCTCGCAACCATTGGCATCCTCTCTCTCGGGGACATGGGCACGGGGATCGCCAAGCTTCTCGTGGCCAAGGGCTTCTCGGTGGCCACCAACGGGTCGGGCCGCAGCAAGGAGACACTGGAGAGGGCGCAGGCCGCCCGCGTCACGAACCTCGCAACCGATACGGACCTCGTCAAGCAGTGCGACGTGATCCTCTCCATCGTGCCGCCGCGCGATGCTGAGGACACGGCGCAGCGGGTCATAGACGCGATGCAGTTCGTCAACAAGGAGCAGCAGCTGTACTTTGCGGACATGAACGCCGTGGCCCCCAGCACCATCAAGGCCATGGAAAGGAGCATCAAGAGGGCGCAGGTGCCCATCACCCTCATCGACGGCTCGATTCTTGGAGGGCCACCCAAGCCCAAGGAGGCGGGCTCTCCTGCTGATGCTGGTGGAGCCAGCGCGTCGGCCGGGGGTGACTGGTACCTGCCACTCATGCCGACGTCAGGCCCGGTGCAGGTCGCAGAGATCCCGGGGTACGGGGCCAAGCTGGCCGAGACACTGAACGTGAGACACATTTCGCCCGGCATTGGCGCCAGCTCCGGGCTGAAGATGTGCTACGCGTCGCTCTCGAAGGGCTACGCCGCCATCGCGATACAGTCCTTCACCACCGCCCAGAGGATGGGCGTTCTGGAGCCACTGCGCGAGGCGCTGCAGGAGACTGTGCCCGGGCGGGTGAAGCAGACGGAGAACGCACTGACAGGGATGCCGCCGAAGGCCTATAGGTGGGTGAGGGAGATGGAGGAGATAGCTAAGACGCACGCTGAGGAGGGTGGCTTCGAGGATTACCTTTTCAAGGGCGCGGCTGGGGTCTTTAAGGCTGTCGCCCAGGATACAGTCCTGGGGCAGGAGAAGGTTGGGCAGAGGAAGAGGGGGCGCACGGCCGAGGATGTGGCTGCTGCGATGGCGGAGGGCATGGAAAAGAGGAGAAAGAAGATGGACTGAGGGTGGGATTGAGACCGGCCCGCCTCCTCTCCCAGCCTGGCCCGCGCAGGTGAAGGACTACATACGCAGGCGTACATTTGCATACCGTTGGCGGAGAGAGGCTATGCAGCGCGTGATCTCGAGCAAACGAAGAAACGACTCTCGGCCTGGAATTCGGGAAATCCGTCCCGTCGACACAAGGTCATTCCACTATTTCGTAATAGAACCTGCGAGTCGTCCGCATACACCTTGCTTCGAATATATTGACTGCAGGAGCGATCTCTGAATACCTTCCCAGCCCAGTGGATGCACTCTCCCATCTCCGATCAAACAATCTCGGCTGCGATAGCCTCCTAATGGGACATCCTTTAGCAGGATGGTTACTTAAATCCATGAGAACGCCCTTTCTGGACAGATACTAGACATTTGTTCAACTCTGAGAGGCGAGCAAAATTCAGACAGCTTCCCTCCTTGGATCGAGGTGCCTACAGGGAGTATAACCAGACGAAACGATGACAGATATGACTCTGAGCGATTTAAAAGCCGGAATTAATGGAACGAATTCACTTAGTAGGTCGAAGATCTTGAAGGTGTGGATATTTATTTCCTGTTTGTTGCTGCTGCTTGGATCTGAGATGTGAGCCTATGGCCGACAACCCGGACACTTGGGCTGTAATACACATAGCAACCTCGTGTTGACAAGACGATCACGAATCCTTCAGTCCATAAATGCCCTACGTCGGCTGTCTTCAGAGAAGTCTGTAACACTGCGTGGTGGTTCTCCTGCCACGAGGCCATGAACATCATTCATGCAAGACAACGGCGGCCCACAGCATCCAAGACAACGAAGAATCCCATTGGGACGAACTGCCTCACCGTCGACGCTCGGGGAATAAAGCATGCCCGGCTGCACTGCGTGCCATCCCGTGCATACCCGTCGGTGTGGCCACTCTTGGCCCTGCGTGGCAAGCCAGGCCGGAGAGATGTTCGGCTCAAGGCCGGGCGGGAAGCAGGTTCCAAGCACGGAGTTGGGTGAGGAGAGAGACGTAGCAGACTACGATAACCGCGTCCGAATGGGAGGATCGTCACCAGTCACGAGTCAAATCAGCTGTTTGCAAACCGGGCAGAATTCGGGCGAGGGAGGGATACCGATGCAGAAGCTGTCAGGAACAAGTCGCAACTGCTTCCAAGGGGACACCCAAGCAGCCGTTGAGTGCATCAGCCAGCCACCATTAATATCCTGTCAACTAGTAGGAGACGACAAGCGAGATCCAATAACGCATGGCATTAAGACCAGATCAGTAACGGCTCCCGTTCAGGGACGAGGCATGTCCGATAATGGAGAAAACCTCGTGTGAGAAGGGCTCCCTCATCTGCGAACCTTGGAATCCTGGGTAGGGTCTGCGACACCACCACGTGCCGCGTAACTGTTCCTAGGCACAAGTGTAGTGTACCACCGTTAGGGTGGTTGAGTAAGAAAACAAGGTTTGGCAACGATGTCATAGGCCGCACCCTGTCGCGCCCGGTCCAAGGTCCTGCGGGTTGCGCTGCGGCGACCCCAAAGCCGGTTTTTGGGTCACGCCCACTGCCCAGTTGATCCATGCATGCTGCAGCTGCCCCTAATGCCCCGTTGCCTTGAGCCCCCCCTCCACCCTTGTCTCGAGGTCCCCTAGACGCAGCCTTAAGGAAGCTGATCCCGTCGATCTGCGATGGTATTAGAGTCTGCAGATTGCCGTTTTCGAACGACGACAGTTCCTCCATCATATCAAGTCAAACAACCCTTTCGCACCATAGCCCCATAATATGGACACGGGGAAATCTGGACCTGAATCAGAATCATAACGGACGTACCTACATATACTGAGGTACATGTACATGCTCCACCCCGAACCCTCGCAACCACTTACACCAGAACTGGGGAAATGGCTCCAACACCACCTTCGTCATCACCGGCGGCGAAACCAGAAACTGAGCGCACGAGGAGGAGACGGCCACAACGACCGGCCGAGGACGAAGACGAGGATGAGAGCTCTTCAGACGAGGAATCCGGCGATTCAGAAGGGTCTGAAGATGACAGTGAGGATGAACTACCAGCACGGCGCAGCAAAACCAACAGCAATATCAAGAACGGAAACAAAAACATCAAAAGACCACCGCCCAGGCCACTGAACCCAAAAACAAACAGGAGCAGGACGAACCAGAAGTCGTCAGGGGCAACGACAGGCTCATCAGCGCCAAGCTACGAGGACGCCGACGCCGCGGACAACACGTACCGGCAAAACAGCTACTCCTACCTCCCCACACCACCATCCCAGCGGCAGCCCTCGCCCCTCCGCCAACAACAACGGCGCAACCCGGCGCCACAACAAGCAGGCCGGCCACCCAGGCCGGCAAGGCCGCGCACAGGCACCGCGCCGCCGGCGCCGGTGATGGACCTCCCCGGCAGCGGGCCCGCGGCGGAGGACTCGTCCTACTCCTCCTCCTCGACCGCCTCCTCCGCCGGGCCCTGGAAGCCCTACGCACCGGGGTCGTCCGGCCGCGGCACGCCATCGGCCAGGCCGTCAATGCCGGGCACGTCGAGGCGCAGGACGGTCCGCGAGCCGGCCCGCGAGCCGACGCAGGCCATCGTGCCCCGCGCGCCAAGGACGGTGGCCGCCGCGCCAAAGATAGACGAGGAAGGGGGTGGCGACGTCGACGGCGACGGGGAGGAGGATAATGAGGTCGAGTTCGTGCCCAGGGGCCCGGCCTCCTCGCCGGGACTGCCAGCGGGAGGCAAGAAGGCCGCGCTGGCGGTGGAACTGAAGCTCAACCTGGAGATCGAGATCGAGCTGAAGGCTAGTATCCACGGCGACGTCACGCTGGAGCTGTTCAACTAGTGGTGTACGTTTTTTCGGGGGTGGGATCATACTCTTTTTTAATCCGAGGATCTAGATTGGGGCTGGAGGGTTGTCTTTGGGGCTGGTTGATTCCCCCCCTAGCGCATGAGGTCCTCTGTGCGGTATGATGATAAAAGGCATGGTTCGGTTCGGACTGGGCAGGTTGGCACGTTTGCGGTATGATAGAGTTTTAATCGTCCTGCATCACGAGAAATCGTGATTCTCTTTTTTGAAGCTCTGCGAAACCGTATTGCTGGTACAGCAATGGCGGGTCGCACGGCTGGCTATAATTGAGATTTAAGCCTCCCAAGAACTCTCGGCGCCATGGAGGTTGTCCATCACTCGATCATGTCGATATCGTCTTCTGCGGGCTGGACCGCCGCAGCTTGGCCGTTGCTATTGCTCGCTGGCTGGGCGTCCCCTCCACCACCGCCGAAGTAATCCTCCATCTCGGCGTCCAGCTCTTCCTGGGTTTTCTTCGGACGTCCATCTCTGCCTGCACGTTCTCCGCCGTCCCTTGCAACCCCACCTCCGCGGCGGGCGCCGGGACGGCGCCCACCCTCGCGTCTCCGGCCACGAATTGGACTGCGAGAGCGGTTGCTCCGTCCACCAGGTACGTAACGATCGATACCTTTACGGGCAGCCTCATCTTCCAGGTCTCTGTCCGGCGACAGCGAGCGGTTCCGCCCGGGCGGGACAGTAACGCGCTCGGCTAGGGGTCGGCCTGGCATAACAGCGGTGTCGAAGGGGTTGCGCTGACGTCGGGGAGGAACAATAGACAGCCGAATCGGTTGGCCGTGGGCATTAGCACCGTCAAACTCCCGGATAGCCTCCCGAGCATCGTGGTATGAGTCGTATGTGACGTACGCCACTCCCGTAGAGCGGCCGGCGCGGTCGTAGCCGACGTCAAGTTTCTGAACTGGCCCAATTTGGTTGAATAGTCCCTGGAACCGTCAGCCTTTCATTCAATGCTTCCGCAAGGGGCCGTCATACCACCAAGTCCTCCCGGCTGAGTTCGTAGTGGACATTCTCGACGCGGATCTTGGTACCATTCAGCTCACTATAATCTCCTGTCAGGCTGCTGATTCCCCATTCTATTGAGTGACATATATCCAACTCACGACAGATCCTCGGGCTCGTCCCGTTCTGGACCCCTTCGTGACTGGCGTGGTCTGCGTCCTGCGAGGCAGTCAGCTTGGCGCTCCGGATCAAGAACAGCTGTGCGTGGGGTCATCACCATTGTCTTCGAATCTATCGTGGACCCATTCACTGCAGAAGCTCGTCAGGATTTAGAGCCTCCTCCGGGTTCGTTTTCAAGGCTCATACGTACGAGTCGAGGTTTCTGGGCGCATCGTCGCGGTAGGACTGTTCCGTGGCAGTGGGAAATGTCAGCTTCTGCGGATCGTCTTGTGTCAATTGTTCCCCCGGTGTTCGACCCGAGCGATAGCATCGCGCATGGCCAAGGCAGCTACAACGGCAATCGAAGACCGAATGGGAGGTGTTGGACAGGTGGGCAGGCGCAGTTCAGAGAAGGGGGAGGAGGTAGGGCACCTGTGAGCCGGGCATGGTTCTGGTCAGGCTGTAAATCTTCCACGTGCATGGGGATCGCTGATGCGTACCTTTCTGACGCCATCACGAGGGAAGTCTTCGCGGGGTTCTCGTCGCCGTTGGCCTCCGTGACCACCACGGCCGCGAGGTCTGCCGCCCTTTCGCTGTTGTTGCGGATCCAGGTTAGCAAGTTGCCTCGAGGTGGAGAGGACGTACCGCAGAAGCAGCTGGGGAAGAGGCGTACGTCGTCACGAGCGGCAAGGATTTCGTCAAGACTGCGATCCATTGTGATTGTCTTGTAAGGATTCTTCTTAATTGTGAGATTCCTCAAGTCGGGTGGTCAGAATTGGGTTGCGTTGGTTGTTGAAGACCCGGCGACGCGTGATTCAAGGTCAGACAATAAAGTATGGACAGTGTCCACCAGCGAGGTGAGACGAGGCAGCTAGCCTGACAGGTGGTTGCTGGAGCTTTTTTTTTAGGGGCTCCGGCACCTGGGCAATCCAGGCCTGCCAGGGTGCCAGGGTGATAGGTACTTCGAAGATGACTGTGGGCCCGTGCGCCTCAACGGCTGCCCCACCACAGCTTGGACACATGGTAGGCTCCTCGACCAGCTCACCAAGTCAAAAGGTCGCCTATTGGGCAGGATATTCATCTGTCTGTCACCCTTGTTCTTCTTTACCTCATTCAAACTCAATGTGGAAGATGACTGTAAGAATGACCACCTTGGGGCCAAAGAATATCAATATGCGCGAAAATTCCAAAGAGATCAAGTCATGGTCCATTATCATTACCCTTCTGTCTATCTGAAGCGTCTGGAAACGCTCGTCCTTTTGCCAAAGCAGGTCTATGGGAGGTCTTCAATCGAAATGGTATCCCTAAGTCGGCGGCCGTGGAGTTGAAGAGGCGGGTTTCTAAATGACAATCTCATTGCAGAACCGGACCAATAAGTACAAAACTGGAAAAGTACTTCATGCAGATCCGTCCAGATATCTCTCGGTAGGCACAGGCCCAAGAACCTCCCGGCGGATATCGAAAAGCAATCAGTGCAGTGAATTCGCGCACCCCTTAAGAAAATCAGAACTACTTTTGTTGCGCAACCCCTTCCTGTGCTGCGCTCGTGCCAGTCAACCGTGGCAAAGCAGCCCCTTGCCCTCTAACGACCAACTCGGCACTTCTGCCCCCTGTTGCGGTGAGATTCCAACGTGTGCGAAAGCGGCGTAAGTTGATGTCTGTAGAGGGAAGAGTAAAAAGACGAGTTCGGTGTGGGTGCGTCTAGATGAGGTCGGCAACGTTCATGGGCATCTCCTCGATCTGGGTGCTGTAGAATTGCTCAATCTCACGCATCATGCGGACGTCGTCGGCGGTCACAAAGTTGATGGCGACACCCTTTCGGCCGAAACGACCACCACGACCGATACGGTGGATGTAGTTCTCCCGGTTGGCGGGGAGATCGTAGTTGATGACCAGGGAGACCTGCTGGACATCGATACCACGGGCCAACAGGTCAGTGGCGATCAGGACACGGGAGGAGCCGGAACGGAACTCCTTCATAATCAGGTCACGCTGAGCCTGGTCCATGTCACCGTGCATGGCGGAGACGGTGAAGTCACGGGCGGTGAGCTTGTCGGTGAGCCAGTCGACCTTTCTGCGGGTGTTGCAGAAGATAACGGCTTGGGTGATGGTCACAGTCTCGTACAGATCGGAGAGGGTGTCGAGCTTCCACTCCTCCTTCTCGACGGCGATGTAGAACTGCTTGATACCCTCGAGGGTAAGCTCGTCCTTCTTGACGAGAATCCTGACGGGGTCGCGCATGAACTTGGTGGTGACCTCGAGGACGTCCTGGGGCATGGTGGCGGACAGGAGGACGACCTGGGTAGACTGGGGCAGCAGCTGGAAGATGTCGTAGATTTGCTCGGTGAAACCACGCTGTGGAGACGGGTTAGCACAGGAGACAGGGAAACCCACAAGGCGAATTGGGGACTCACAGAAAGCATCTCGTCGGCCTCGTCGAGGACGAACATCTTCATGCCGTCGGTCTTGAGGAAACGACGCTGGATCATGTCGTGGACACGGCCGGGGGTACCGACGACGACCTGGGGGCCGTCCTGGAGAGCCTTCATGTCATCACGGACACTGGTGCCACCAATGCAGGCGTGGCACTCAATGTTCATGAAGTCACCGATAGCGACGACGACCTTCTGGATCTGCTGAGCCAGCTCACGGGTAGGAGCGAGAATCAGGGCCTGGCACTGCTTCAGGCTGGGGTCGATCTTCTGGAGGACCGAGATGGAGAAGGTGGCGGTCTTGCCGGTACCAGACTGGGCCTGAGCGATAACGTCGTGGCCTGAGTTGGCAAAAATTAGCCGATGTGTTTGCGGAGCGAGGAGTGGTGTGTATCTTACCCTTGATGACGGGCATGATAGCGCGCTGCTGGATGGCAGAGGGGCGCTCGAAACCGTAAGCGTAGATGCCTTTATCCCCGCGTTAGCCCAAGGCGTTCGTTGCGGCGGCAGTCGGCGGCGCAGATTTTCTCACCTCGGAGCAACTCAGACTTGAGTGCCATCTCATCGAAAGAGTCGACGGTCTCGTCGTAGTTGGACTCGATCTGACCTGTATTCGTCGTCGCATGTTAGCCGTATTGTCCTGCCAGTCTCGGTGGTGGATGCAGTGCCCGGATCCAGGCTCCCGCGCAGCCGCAGAAAAGTCTGTGTGCGCAGGGAGTGGACCGACCGCCTTCTGGCGCGGGGTCGCAGAGGCCGACGAGGTCGACGAAATCGTAGCGGTTCAGTCGCAGCGAGAGACGAGGAAAGGAGTTCTTACCCTCGGGGACATCCTCGAGTCCCTTGTCGGTAGCCATGATTGCGGTTTGCAGGTGATATGGATCTAGATCACAAGCACTGCTTGAGACCTAGAATCAAAGAATCGAAGGTGGGGTTTGTTGAGGGTCGAGGAAAATCCACAAGTCTCGCGGGGAGGCGGTGGAATCCGGCGGTGATGTCTGTAGACTGGGAAAAGAACCAGATCTGATGCTCTCGGTATGTTGAGAGCAAGTGAATCTAGTTGTGGAGGGGAAGGTCTGCTGCTTGGGTGTATGGAGATGGGTGATGTCGTCGGGTAAGAGCAGACTCAAGAGAGAAAATTTGTCTGCTGGTGGAAAAAAGTTGAAGTGCCTGCGTTGCCCTGTTCGCTTTTGCCACGCTAAACTTTTAGTGGGGCATGCGGGCACCACCGTCAGTTCACCCACGTCCTTCGGCCGTCTCAATGCGCTTCAATTTTCCCACGCTCTGGGCCGTGGCCGAAAAAAGCCCACCAGGGTGACTAGGCGAGCTCATGGAATTGCTGAAGACTCGCTTCTTGTGACTCTCTGGTCTCGTACAACTCCTGCTGCTGCTGCCTGCCCTGCCCTGTCACTCCTGCATACTGTACTGTACACCTGGCCATTGTTGATCAACGGGGCCAATTGTAAAGTGGCCCTACTACTCCTGTCCTGACCTTTCCCCCCTTCTCCAGTCTTCAGTCACCCCACTGCCATCCACACCCAGAGGCCATGCTCCTCAAAGCCGCTCCCGCCCCGGGCCACCAGGAGGACATTGTCCTTCGCAACCACAATGGCCTGGGAGTCACTGCTGACGGTCTGGGCGCAGGCAGGATGGATGAACCGCAAGCTAGCGTTGAGTCACCGATCCCCAGTCATCCCCTGGGAATCAAGCCCCTGGGCAACCAGTATTTGTCGTCCGCCGCCAACGCTCGTGGCTCCATAGGCCGCCTCCAGGTTTTGCCCGACGAGGTGCTGGCCCAGCTGTTCGAGTATTTCGGACCGCAGTCTTTGCGCAAACTGGGCTACACCTGCAAGTTCCTCTTTGCTTTCTGTCATGCTGACGATCTCTGGAAGGCTTTGTTCCTGGAGTAAGTGACATCCCCTTACCAGTCGTTGCCCATTCCTGGACAGTTGTTTACCGGTGTAAGCCTTCATGTCAAACGCACAATCCCTGGCCATATCGGCCAAGGGTTTTGTTTATTGTTCGGTACCCTTGATCATGTGTATCCCGTTTCAGGGCAGTTGGTCTCTAAATGTTTTGAAACACAATTGACTCCTCGTTGGGCCAAGGAGCCTGTGATGTTGCGGCGGTGGAAGTCTTCCCTCACACACTATTCCCACTACTCACGCACGCCTTTCGTGCTCTTGTCTGCTTTGGGTTTGCCGCTGGCGGCAAATTTCTGAGTCTCGAGGTCATACTTTCACAGCGAGTTGTTGATTGACGGGTTTCCTTAGGAGTCATGAGGAGAAAAGGCGCCCCTTCCAGTGGAAGGGGACGTGGAGGTCAACCTTACTTGAATTGTCACCAGACCAGGAGGCCAAGATCAATTGCTGTAATGTCTTCTCCGATGTTCTTCATCGCCCGTTTGTCTGCAGCAAGGTGCCTCTGGGTCGTTTCTGCTCCAGAATCCCCAGCGCGAACGAGATCAAACGGCTTCCGGACATGACATACGAGGAATTTGCGGACAAATGGAGCGACAGACCCTTCATTCTGACGAATTGTATCCGTTCGTGGCCGGCTTGCAAAGAATGGAACATCCACCAGCTGTCGAGGACATACGCTGACGTGGAATTCCGCGCCGAGGCGGTGGACTGGCCCTTCTCAACATATTGCCACTACATGTGCAGCAATCAAGACGAGAGTCCCCTCTATCTGTTCGACAAAAAGTTTGCCGAGAAAATGGATGTCTCGATCGGGAAAGTTGAAGGGGCGGCATATTGGAAACCAGACTGCTTCGGGCCCGATCTTTTTGAAGTGCTGGATTCGGAAAGACCAGCGCACAGGTGGTTGATTGTAGGGCCAGCGAGGTCCGGCTCGACGTTCCACAAGGACCCGAACGGTACGTCGGCGTGGAATGCTGTTCTTCAAGGAGCCAAATATGTGAGTAGCTTCCCATAACCCCAAACTAGGCTCATGAGGCCGTTCGTCTAGTCTGGACACCTGCTAAGCTGCGTTTTTGAAGTGGATCATGTTCCCCCCTTCCGTGGAGGTGCCGGGTGTCTTCGTATCGGCCGACCAGAGTGAAGTCACAAGCCCTCTGAGCATAGCGGAATGGCTTCTAGAGTTCCACGAAGAAGCGCGAAAGTTACCAGAATGCATAGAAGGCATCTGCAGGGAAGGCGAGATTCTCCACGTGCCTAGTGGATGGTGGCATCTGGTTGTCAATCTTGAGAGTGGAATTGCGCTCACACAGAACTTCGTGCCCAAATCACACCTCGCCGTCGTTCTCGAATTTCTGAGGGACAAACCAGACCAGGTGACGGGGTTCAAGAGAGACGTCGTCGATCCCTATAGCCTGTTTGTGGATCGCCTCAGGGCACAATTTCCGGAACTCTTGGATGCAGCGCTCGTTGAGATGGATCAGAGGCACAGCAAGAAGAAGAGGAAGTGGGACGAGGCCATCGCTGTCGAAGAGACGGCGCAGACTTCAGGGTCTGGAGGGTCTGGAGGGTCTGGAGGGTTCAGCTTCGGGTTTGGGTTTGGCGGGGACGATGAAGAGATACCGTGAGCAAGAGCCGACCAGGCATTCTGTGTCTGCTATAGTGGAAAAATGTAAAGAGTCAAAGGCCGTGAAATAGATCGCCCTGTCTCGTTCATCATGGCACTCATGCGATAGAAACATAGAAACAGCTTTGGTGGTGCAGGAATGTATGCACACACGGGACCGTACCGGGGAGGTAGCTTTGGTGACCTGCCAACTGGGCACCAGCAGAGTGGTACTTAGATGTATCCTTTGCTTTCATCTCAACTGCCAGCATGACACGCCCCAGGAGCCGGTTTCGTCCTGCCAAGGGCAAGCATTTAGTATACAGCATTTGCAGCGTCTATTGATTGGGTGAGTGGCATGAACGCAGTTGTCAAATCTCAGGTTGGGGGCGCTCCCGTAGCTGAGCTGGACGGCGCTTGTACAGCACGGTAGGCGTGCAGAGGTCAGCCGTGGACCGGCCGACAATGACAGGGATGGTCCACCGCAGCCCCTTGCGACCCCACGCTCTCCTCTCGGCCTCTCCCTTCAGCCCTTCTAGTCTCCCAGGAACCTCTCAGCATGGCTGCATGGTTCCTTGGGTGGACGAGACCTCATCTGGGCAAGGTCCACGGGTCGGGTACCTAGCCTGTCTACGGACGTAGATGGATAGTCTGTCTAGGTAGTGCCTCAGGGTACTGTTAGGCCAGCAAGAGCCAAACAACGCGCGCCCCCTCCCTCTCGCGCCCCCAAGCTCATCACCCCGTTCCGTGCCCGTCTCAGCTGGACCGACCGACGGCAACCCATGATCAATCACGTCGTATCACCCATTCAGCCGTCACCCGCGCTCTATCACCCGTCCCAGCAACACCACTTCCCAATATCGCGCATCTCTACCTGTACATACATAAACACATACATACATACATGCATACTCTTGTTGGCTTTCCCTAGCCTCGTCAAACCTCCAAGGACACCGCCTCCAGCACACCGACGGGGCCTTGCTGGCTGACTCAGGAGAGCTCTCCCTGTCAGCACGAAGCTATATCTATCTAGGTACCCGGTCTACCTGCATCGGTCGTGTCACTTCCCAACCCGAGCCGGCCTCCTATCCCCCCTCCTAACCCCAGCCTGCGACCTCTATTCACCTGCGCACTATCTGGGTACTCCTACCTGCCCACACCGTCCGTTCGAACCCTCAGCAGGGCAAGGCGCAGCCTTGATCGTTACACGACGCCCGGTGCCTGCATACGTAATGCACTTCAACGCTCTGAAATAGCATCATGCTCTCCGGCCTGTCTCTCCTCCCGCCCAAGCCACCACCGTCTTATAGACTCAGCTCCGCCCACCCCCGAATAAAACGACGCCGAGAGCGGTGTCTCGTTCACGTCTAATATTGGCTCTCCTGATCTTGATCGGTTTGTGTCTCTCGCGCTAGCTGTATATCACACCCGAGCCTTGGTGCGCCCCCTGCGGCCCCAAAGAGCGCGTCTGCAGTAACTCGAGGCTGACTGAGACAGCCCTATTGTAGTCTTCGGCAATCATCCATAATATCTGCAGCATCTCGAGACAGCCTTTGCAAAAAATCCCTGCTCTCTCCTCCCCCCGTATCAGCCTTCATTCGACTTGCGCCCAAGATAGAGCCCGTACGAGCGCGTCATAATGGTCTCCGACGAGACATACGAGATCTGCCTGCCAGTCCTCCAGGACTCGGCCATAGAAGAGGAGGACAAGACGGACAAGCTAGAAGAACTCTTGAAAAACGAGACGGCTCTGACCGGCCAGTCCCTGGAGAATGTTGTGCTGGACGTGCTTTGGCGCTATCGAGAAGGGGGTGGTAATAACGCCTCCCCTCCCGCCATCCGGCAGACCATTCTCAGGAGACCTTCGCCAGCCTCGTTCAGGACCACGGCTACCCCTCTCTCCGGCTCACCCCGTCTCGGTGTCAGTCCGCTCGCACCTCCCGGCTTCATGCCCTCGTTCAACCGCACCCTGTCGTCGGCCGCCTCCCCCTTTTCGTCTCCGCGCCCTTCGCCCCGTCTGGCGTTTTCGACACCAGTCATACCTCACAGCCCCAATCTGAACGCTTACGAGTTTGCGAATGACCCAGAGCCGTCGCAAGAAACGTTTGAGGACTACGCCTCCGACAACGTGGACTGGCTTGTTGGCGATGATGCTGTTAGTGTCGCATCCTCCTTTGGCACGTCCAGTGGATTAAATGCAAACGCGCCCGAGTTCTCGTCTCAACAAACCCCGATGAGACCACACGATGTCCTGCGATCGATTCTCGGCGAGTCCAGAACGGACGAGGAGATTAGTCAAGCACTGCTGGTCCATGGCTATGACCTCGGGGCAGTGCTTATATCAATGATGGACAACCAGGATGCTTCAACGGCGAGCACGTCAGCCGAAGGCAATGGCTACTTGGTCGGAAAGTCCATGACTCCAGATGCACGCCCAACCACGCCAGCCGATCAGAGGTCCGGGGTAATCTGCAAGTTCTACCTCGCATCGGGCAGCTGTATGCGGGCAGATTGTCGATTTAGCCATGACTTGAGCAGCCACATTTGCAAGTAGGTTTCGCCGCTTCTAGCCACGCACTCCGTTACTTACTAAACCCCTTATGCAGGTATTGGATGTCAGGCAACTGCCTCGCCGGGGATACGTGCATTTTCTCGCATGATCCGGCGCACCTCATGAACAAACTCAACGTTGACGGCACAGACACGCCGCCCACACAGAAGTCCCCAGCAAACATCCAGGTCCAGGACTTTTCCAGCTTCCCGTCTCTGGGGTCTGGTGGGCCGGACTCGATCCCTGTCTTCACACCTTCACTAGGTGTCACTCCTCCCCCTGGTTTCAAGAACATACACCCAAATGATCACCGCCCTCGTTCCCGCCCCGGCAGTCGTCACCAGCAGGGCAAAGAAAACGCCCAGGCGGCGCCATCCCTCGACGACAATGAGGCTTTCCCGACTCTTGGCTCTGCTGCAGCCAAGCCGGGGAAGAAGCACCATGGGAAAAGAGGCGGACACGGCCATGGGCCAAAGGAAGCGTACACGCCCAGCTCTCTCGCGGATATTGTAAAGATGTCGCCATCTCCAGGACCGACTTCAAGGCCCGACAGTAGGAAGATGAGTCGAAACGGAAGCTCACAAGGATCAAAGAATGGCGAGAACAGCGCAGCTGCTCAAGCAATCCCGAGCCCCAAGCATATCCCCTGGCTGGAGACGGGTGACAGCTCCAACAAGGCGTATCTCAAGGCACGCCAAGAGGCCATTCGGCACAGTGCTCTTAGGAACAAGTTTTTGCAGAAGTGAGTCTCGACCTGGTCAACAAGCTGTACAAAACTCATCCTAACTAGACCCACAGTGCGGCACAGGCATGGAACCGGCAGGACGCCCGGCAGGCCAAGGTATTCAGCCTGCGGGGTCAGAGCGAGAACGACCTGATGAAGAAGGCACACAGGGAGGCGGCGGAAAAGCTGTACGAAGATCGCAATAAGAAGAGCTCGTCGAGCCCGGAGATCTACGTGGACCTGCACGGCTTGCACGCAGAGGAGGCTGTCGAGTATCTGGAGCGGGTGCTCCTGGAGAACGAGCATGAGAGCCGGCCGATCTATGCCATCACAGGCACGGGGCATCACAGCAAGAACGGGAAGGACAAGGTGGGCAAGGCGGTGCGGGGTTTCTTGAACGAGTGGCGGTATGCGTTCCGAGAGTTCTCGGTGCCGGGCGACCGCAACAACATGGGGGGCATCCTGGGGGTGGACGCGCGGAGCTACGACAGGTCAGCGTCTAAGGAGGGCGGTGGTAGCACGAGGAAAGCAGAAGGGGGCGAGGAGGCGGTGGACATCCTCAGCCAGGGGGTCGAGATTGGGGACGGCAAGATGAAGCTGTTGGTGAGGGATACGACGATTGGCAAAGAGCCGCCCAGGGGGCCTCGAGGTGGCCGATGACATGTAGAGAGGAGATGAAGCAAACAAATCAAAGCAAATTCATATAAATAAGGACGAGCGTATCACGCCGACATGTGCAGGGTATGATTATACCAGAGAGGCTGCTTCTTGCCGTATGATGCGGCTCGCATTCCCGAGGGACTGCTCTGCTGTCTGTGGAAAACGAAACGCAGCCCCCCCCCTGTCGTTTTGACTCATGTTCCCCCCCTCGGCGGCAAAATCTCAAATCTAAAATCCAGCTATATTCTATTATATCTTTATTAAAGAATTATTTATTATAATATAAAATATATAATTATACTTTATTTAAAATATATAATTATACTTTATTTAAAATATATTATTTAATAAAATATAATATAATATTAAAAAAGTATTTTATAATAATATATATTATTATAATTAATTTATATATTAAATATTATAAATAAATTATATTTAATATTTTTATAATATAATATAAAATATAATTAATAATACATAAGTAAATTTTCTTCTTAAAATATTAATATAAATTAATATAAATAAAAAGTAAATTATATAATATTTAAATATTAAAGTTAAAATTATAAAATATTTAATATTATATATAAATTATATATAATATTAAAGTTTATAATATATAACTTTAAATATAATAAATATAATCTTATAATTATATATTAAATATATAATTATTTAAAATTTTAAAACTTTATTAAATTTAAATATTAAATTTAAGTAAATAATATAAAGTATTTAATTTTATAAATATTTTATATATATTCTTAAAAATATAAGGATTATAATAATATATATATATTTATAATATAAGTATTTATATTAAAATAGTTATATAGGAAATAGCTTATATTGGGAGGATTTGAGATTTGGGAGCGGAGGGGGGGAACACGAGTCAAAATGACAGGGGGGGGGCTGCGTTTCGTTTTCCACAGACAGTGTATGTCGCCAGCTGCCATGACAGGACCCTGGATCCTTGCCTCATCCCGCCTAACAGCCCTGAGCTGCTGCAACCCTCGGACCTGCGCATGAAACGGCCCCGGGCTGCCACTCGTTGTTCTAGCACCTGAACAAGACCCGACGTGCCGTCATTGGCGTCACAGCTTTGCTTACTACATGGCTATTCGAGGAACTGGCCCAATCAAGCTCCAAGAACACGCTTTCGGTGGGTAGCACTGCAGGCTATGAATATAGTTTATCTACCCAGCTAGGTACTTACTTGGTCCAGTCTAACGTACTTCGTAGATGTGTGCCAGACCTGACCTGCTTCCGGCATTGACGAGCTGCGCCTCCTTGACGAACGTCCCTCCCCAAGACTCCAACCACCGAGTCCGTGAACATCATCGTACCCAACCGAAAGGGCCAGCCACATATCACAACGTTGCAAGCTCCTTTATCGATTCAATGGCTACAACAAGCTAGCCCTAAGCCCTCACCATTCCCTACTGTAAGCAACCCGCACTTGTCCGCCCTAGTCACCCTGACGTCGTCATGCCGGTCTCTTTGAGGACAGACATTGCTGACCGTCCAACAGAACGCCGTTCACTCTGCACCCTCAACAACACACACCATGCCGGCCGACTACAAGTCCGCGGCAGCAGGCCTGGCTGTGCCCCCGTCTCCGGACAGCGAGACCCCTTCCGCCGCATCCGCCGCCGCACAGCTCGCCAACTCCTCCAGCCGGGACGAGCACGACGACGCCCCCTTCCGCGATGACAGCGACCACGAAGAGCATCAACGCGCAGACTCACCCCCGTCGTTCGGCCGCGACGAACGTCCGCTCCCGTGGGTCCGCCACAGCGGCGGTGGCAGCAATGCCCATGGCAATACACGGTCCTCCCGCCGGCTGTCGGCGCCCTACTCCCTCAACTCGCGCACCTCGGCGACCCGCGACGGCTCTGTCCGCGGCCAGTTGTCAGCGCTGGCTTCCTCGTCGGCAAAGACGGCAAACAACCTGTACAGGCAGTCCATAACCATGTATAACGGCCTGACGCCCACGCAGAAGGTCCTATTCATCATCGGCGGCAACCTCCTCGGCGTGCTCACCATCGTTCTGCTCATCTTCTCCCACAAGATCTTCACCCTTCTCGGGCCAGTTGCCGTCTCGTGGCGCGAGCTGCCCGCGGGGTGGCTGATAATCTGGGCCGCGACCTTCTTCGTGGCGTTCCCGCCCATGATCGGCTACAGCACGGCGTGCACGGTGGCCGGGTTCGTGTACGGGTTCCCCCTCGGGTGGCCGATCGTGGCGACGGCGACGGTGGCCGGGTCGGCGGCGGCGTTCGTGGCGTCGCGGACCGTGCTCAGCGGCTACGTGGACCGGCTGGTCGGCAAGGACAAGCGCTTCGTGGCGCTGGGCCAGGTGCTGCGTCACGACGGCCTCGGGGTGCTGGCGCTGGTGCGCTTCTGCCCGCTCCCCTACAGCCTGAGCAACGGCTTCCTCGCCACGGTGCCCAGCATCCAGCCCCTCAGCTTCGCCATCGCCACCGCCTTCTCCAGCCCCAAGCTGCTGGTCCACGTCTTCATCGGCTCGCGCCTCGCCATGCTGGCCGAGAACGACATGACCTTCGGCGACCGCCTCGTCAACTACGCCTCCATGCTCGTCGGCGGCCTGGTCGGCATGGGCGTCGGCTACTTCATCTACCGCCGCACCATGGCCAGGGCCGCGGAGCTGGCCAGGGAGGAGGCACAGGCCGGGCGGCCGCTTGGAAGCGGCAGGACGCCGGGCGCCGAGTATGCGGACGACGACGTCGGCGAGGGCGGCGAGGACGCAAGGCTGATGGATCCTAACGACGCCGCCGCGCTGATGGTCGATGACGACGACATCTCGCTGTGGGACGCCGCGGGCGACAGTCAGTTTGAGGACGAGGACGAGCACGCGAGGTATCGGGATGAGGAGGAGGCTGTCGAGGGCCACGGCAAGGCGAGTGGACCAGGCGGCGCGCAGGCCTAGAGTCAAGAGGTCACCGTCTTTGTGTGCAAGATAGATGTGTTTGTCATAGAATTAAAGTGCGCAAACGGCACGGACAGTCATGATTCACGAACGAAGCCAATGTATCTCTATCAACGACCCTTTTGACATCCGACCACCCCTCCGAGCTTGACACGCATGGGACAGTCCTCTCACGTGAGACCATTTCGCTAGTCGATGGCATCGTCCCGAAGCTTAAACAGCTGCGGCAGGACCTCGTCAGGCCGGGCGCGAAGGGCGTTGTGGTACATGGTGTTCGTCTCGAGGACCCGGATAAGATTGATCCTGCGCGCCGTGTCCCGCGCGAGCTCGGACTCGACGTACATGTCCTCGATGAAGCTGGCGGCGTAAACGGGGACCTGGTTCAGCCGCAGCCGGGACTCGTCGTAGAGGTTGTCCCAGCCGTCGTGCTCGGCCAGCGCGTCGGCGGCGGGCCTCAGCCTCGCCAACTCCGGGTAGTCGTCGAACATGAAGGGGAAGACCATCTCGCCCGAGAAGCAGAGCGGGGGCGCCGCCGGCTCGGCGTCGTTGTCGAAGGCCGAGAACTCCGGGTCCAGCCAGCGGAAGTTGTCGAGCTGCTGGCCGACCCGCTGCGCGGCCCAGTCGGACTTGATGCCCTTCTCGTAGCAGTAGATGGCCTCGTGCAGGACGGCGTAGACAGGCGCGGTGTCGAATGGGAGGTACGACTCGAACTGTAGGAGGGTTGGCCTCGTCAGGAAGCCGAACTGCTCCAGGTCCATGTTCAGTCTCAGGATCATGGAGTGCACGTTGTCGAGGCCGCCGTGCAACCCAAACATGTGGCCGAGAGTGAGGAGCCGCCTGGCCGTCACGAGTCCTCCACCGGGCAGCCGGACGCCCTTTTCAGGGCGGCTGTGCAGGAAGCCTGCGACTCTCCGCACGGCAAGGACGTCCTCTGGGAATTTCCTGTAGTAAGCCATGTTTCTCTCAAAGACCTTCTGGAAGGTGGCCCGGTAGACCTGATCTGGGGTCTTGGAGATGGGCGCGAGGCCGCCGGTCATAAAGACCTCATTGAGCCCCTCGGGGTGCTGGGAGAGGTAGCTGAGGCAGACGAAGCCGCCAAAGGACTGGCCGAAGATGGACCATTTCCTCTTGCTCTCGTCGAAGCTGTCGGTTAGGCATTTGCGGACGGCCTCACAGTCCCGCACATTGTCGACCTGACGGAAGAACTTGAGGTACTCAAACTGCTCTTCAGGAGAGGCGTCTGGCGTAGGAGCGGTATCGGCAGTGACTGGAGTGCTGAGCCCGACGCCTCTGTAGTCGAGGAAGAGGATCTGGTAGCCTCTGTTGAGGAGGAAACGGGTCAAGGAAGAGTCCTGGGGCTCAGGATTGCCAAAGCCAGGACCTCCCTGGAGGAAGACAAACCAGGGACGGTTGAGGGACGACTGGAATTGCGACTGTTGAGGGTTGATAGGCACCTCATACTTAGTAGCTCCCCTGGCGAAGAGCTGGATTTGTTTGCCGGATGGGTTTCTGTAGTCCAATGGCACCGAGAATAGGTACTCTGTCACCAGTAGGGCCCCTGGGTCGAGAATTTGCCATCAGCATTGTCCATCACAGTTCATTGAGAGCAACATTCTGTACTGTACTGCCTGTCATGCGACTGGGAAAGGAGATGGTGGCGTTGATGGATCCCCCGCTGGCCGGTTGTTTCGACGGTGTGCAGCACTCACCTGGGACGACGTGCCTCACAAAGCTCTTGAGCTTGGCTTTTGGGATCTCAAGTGCCATGACGCAAGAGGAAGTGCAACACAGACTATATACAGACGCGGGCTAGGAGCTGGCAAAGAGCGAGGGACGAACGGTAGGTTGCTGTAAGAGGGCACAGCTGGGGTCCACTCGTCTCTCATGTACTGCACAGCACCGCGATGTCTGTTTGTCTGCTATACGAGATGGGCTGGAAGGGGCCTTTCCGAGGACACAGGTCGCGTGGAAGACTAAACGAGGGCACGGTATAGACCCAGCACCGGGCGGGAAGGAGAAGTGTATCCCCACAGGTGTCTTGTCTGGGCTGGAATCGTCGTCGTCGTCGCCGCCCACTGCTGGCATCCCCGTCGTTAGCCTGGGGTGCATGTCGACCCGTTGACAGGTGATAACGGCCTGCGGGGTACTGTGAGATACCTAAATCACAGGCTGATCAGCAGACCCTCAGGCCCCGGACATCCCACCTAACCACCTAGCGGCACCGGTACTTAGGCACAGACTCGGGTACCTGGCTAGGCGGGTCTCCCGGCATCGGCGGGTATGAAATCTCCGGCCTGGATAAAAAGGCAAATCTCGTTCACTTGTGATTTCCTTCACCTGCCTCATCACTACCATCTTTTCCCTCCTCTGCCCAACGACACCCGTCGCGCTCTCACTGGGCAACAGCTCAGGATTTCAACTGCAGGCCCAGATGTAAGGCAACACGTCGGCCGCCCCGGATTCGCGTCCGCATCCGCATCATGGCCGTGGACTCGCCCCAACTGATTCAGACCTTGATTGAATCCTTCAACGCCCTCGCCGACGAGGTGCAGAACCTCGTTGACAGGAAGACTATTTTGGAGCACAAGCTTCGCTATGCCCATGAGCAGGTCGGTGATTGTTGTTTTCTTCTCGTTTTTCTTTGCCTACGTGATGATACTTCATAGCTCTAGATCTGCAAGTCGCCATTTTGGCGAGCGTGTAGACAACCTTTTACCACTTGTCTGATATTCCCCTTGGCCCCCACCTAACAAACAAACCCTCTGATTTGCCGCCGGCTCGGCGTGGGGCACCCAAACATGCTGACCAATGTCGCACCTGCAACAGTACCAGCTTCTCGCCGACAAATACGCTCCGGCCGCTCCTCACATTGCCGAAACTCTGGCCAAGCTTCAAGTGCCTCCAACCCCGACACTGACAACCTCAGGCCACGTCCCCCTCCCCAAGCGTCAACAGTCCGACAGCTCCCAGGCCGAGCTGGCCCTGTTCATCCGCGAAGGCAAAAAGGTGGCCCGGCAGCTGGCAATGGTGACGGATGCGAGCAAGGAAAGCGGGTCCAGTCGCGAGACCTTCTCCACCAACATGACCTCCCAGTCAACCTTCCTGGAGAGAGACTTCACGGTCGAGGGCAAGAAGGGTCATCTGGGCTGTCCATTCTCGGCAATGAACAAGGACGCCGTCGAGCGAGTTGAGGTAGATGATGTTGATGATCATGATGATCATGATGCGAATTACAATGAGAATACCGACCCTACACCACACCATTCCAAAGACCCGATATGTGCGGCAATGTTCGAGGAGAGCATGTCGGCCCCGGCGCCTAATGCCTCGGCTTCGAAGTGTCCCATCAGATATCTCGATCAGCACTCCCCCGAAGAGATCGCCCGTTATGTCGAGACCCACAAGCATGAGTTGCCGCGGAGCCACGAGGTTTGTCTCAAGAGAAACCAGAAGAACGAGGAGCAGATAAGGAAGCTCGACGCCAAGTACGGCAACCTCGTCTCCATGATTACAGACCTCAGTCACCTCCACGCTCCCATGCTGCCCGAGTCCCAGGTTGAGGCCCAAGCTGAAGCCGAGGCCGACCGGTCTTCGAACCGCCGAGTCAGTGATTGGGCCCAGAACGTGAGCTCTAGTACCGCGGACGGCCTGGTCGAGGAAACTGTCAAGGATGGCGAGGTGCCTACAGCCGAAGACTATCTCGACCGGACCGGTCATTTCGAACGACCTCTGAAGGAGATCCGAGTCGGCGAGTCGCCCAGCAGGCCATGGGGCATCTCGGTCCCTTTCCCACCGGATGAACCAGTGGAGCGCCCTACCTCCCCTCCTGCGCCTGTTCGTATGCCTTCGCTGAGCCCGGCCCCAGCGCCCAAGGCGCCTGAGGCTCGACCCTCCAAGTGTCCGTTTGACCACACCAAGGTGAAGAAATTAGACGGACCTGGCCTGGCCGAGTTTCCGAAAATGGAGGAGATCCAAAGCCCTCCACGACCTACCGCTCATAAGCCGGCTGCGAGTCAGCCTTTCACAACGCCTCTGAAGCATGCACAGCCTTCAGTGCCAGATAGTCCTCCTCCGTCTAATCAGCCTGCCTTTATCAACACGACGGAGATCGCAAAGACATCTGCGGTTGGTGCCTCAGCCCCTCAGATGGTCTTCAACGGCCCGGTATTTATCGGCTACCCCATGGAGCAAGCGATTCAGTTCATGCAGCATTTCCAGCGGCAGTCATGATCAAATTTTCTTTTCCTTTCTTCTTTTATGTGTTCTATCTCAGCGAGCGAGGGCGTTTGTGATGGTTTGGTACAAGTGGCATGGCGTTGGATTGATTTCAGATGGACATTGGACTGGATGGCAAGGCAGATCATAAATCCGAGGACTACGGAGAGGTTATGATCCTCTACACGGCGCGCAATGAGAATGAGAGACGACATTCGCCGAGCACTCACGGATTATATATCAGATGTGGAAACGAGAATGATAACCGTCTCACTTAATTAATAGCATGATTTTGACGCCGTTTCACCCGGCTGTCCATCTTCTTGATTGCTGCTGAGCATCGGGCGTAGCCTACCAAGCGACGATACACAGGGAGGGGGCAACAGCATCGCCATCCCCAACGTCTCGCCAGCCACGCATGAGGTTGGACAGGACAGTACATCCCGGTCTCTCCCAGCGCCGGTACGACCTCGGCGTGGTCCTGAAATGCCGTCTGTGTCACGCATGACGACCTTGGCGACGCCTCGTGGGGCATCACAAGTTGCCAGTGGCGACGCCCCCGCAGTCTCAAGCAGCCTCGCAGCTTGAACGATCCTTCCACCGCTTTTGAGCTGGCAGCTCTTTGCGACAATCCTGCTTCCCGACCGAAGCGAGGTAGCACAAGGGGGATCAGAGCTGGCAAGATTCGCTCGTTGATAGATACGCCATGGACATTTTGCAACGTGGCATTGGGCCCGATAAGACGGCTCAGGGCTGCCTGGACTGGTTGATATTCACCTTGGCTTTAATGTGTGTGTGTCATTCATTGTACATCTCAGAACTAACTCTGCAGAGACATCTCTTTCTATATAGGAATCTTGGGTGCGACGCTCTTCCAGAAATCACACCGCCCCCTGAGCTGCGTGAGCTCGAGCTGGGCGAAGCCGGCCGCGTCGATGTTGAACTCTTTCCCCGAGGACAGCAGCGGCGGCACGCCGGCCTCGTCCAGGCCAGTCAATTTCAGCTCGTTCGGGTCGGACGTCATGAAGAAGGAGGCGAACGCCCCCGCGTAGCCCTTGTAGTGGAGCGGGTCAGACACCTGCGCGGCGTTGACTTGGTTCCACTGGTTTTGAGTGATGGCTGTGTCAGTGTGCTTCTTCAAGATAATAGATTGGGACGGAGGACCAACATAGATGGTGTCGCTGCCGTGCTTTGCTGGGGAGATGGAGTACTCCCCCAGGTGGTTTCCCTCCGGGGCCGCGCCGGCTAACCAGTACGCCGGGCAGGCCAGGACGGTGTCCCTATACACCAGCCCAGCGCGCGTGTAGGAGCCGTTGTAGCTGGGGACGGCCTCGGCGGTGCCCGACTCCGGGTACAGCGACCTCACCTCGTCCAGTTCTTCCGGGGACAGGCCGGGCAGGAACCCCGCGAGCCAGCCATCAAAGCTCGCCGTGCTGGCGTTAAAGGGCGGCGTGCCACTGTCCTGGACGTTGGCGAGGCCGGGAGGGATGAAGTTCTCGCCCTCTTGGGTGTTATACATGCCCCAACCATACTCCATGTTGACCTCGCCCGCCGCCGCGGCCTCGCTCAGCGTCTTGGTCAGGAACGCCCCGTCGACCACCGGCGCCCACGTGTAGCTGCTCGAGTTGTACGTGTGGCTCACGGCGACGGCGAGCGACGCGTTCCGGAGGACCTGCAGGTCCGCCTGCTTCAGGCACGCCAGGCTGCCGGCGCCCGTCCCGCACCCCGCGAGCGACGAGAACATGTCGTAGACGGCCTGCGCCTCGGGCGCGTCGCCGCCGTACGTCTTGGGCCAGAAGGGGCTGCTCGCCAGCGCCCTGCTGAACAGCCGCGGCCGGTCGGCTGCCCCGGCGCGCGCGATGGACTGCGCCACGACCGACCCGCCGCCCGCCGACTGGCCCCAGATGGAGATTGAGTCCGGGTCGCCGCCGAAGCTGCTGGCGTGCTTCTTTGCCCACCGGATGGCGGCGTCCTGGTCGAGCAGGCCCGGGTTGAGGTCCGACCCGTCGTCGTCCCCGGCGACCTCGCTGCCGGGCAGGAAGCCGAAGGCGTTGGTGCGGTAGTTTGGGTACACAAAAACCAGGTCCGTCTCGGACGAGACGTTCAGGATCGGGTACGCCGGGGGCGGGATGCTGAAGTACGCGCTGCCCTGGATGAACGCGCCGCCGTAGAAGACGACGACGACGGGGCGGAGGGGCTGGCCCCTCGTCCACGGCCGCGAGTAGAGCCCCAGATACAGGCAGTCCTCGGAGCCGTTGACTGTGCGCTGGACGCACATGTCGAAGGGCTGGCTGGAGTTGAAGGTGCCGTTCGTGATGGGGAGCGGCGGCTGCGGGCCCCGGAACCTGAGGTCGCCCACCGGCGGCTGGGCGAATGGGATCTTCTGCCAGTACGAGATGTTGTACCTCGCCGAGTAGGTGCCCTCAAAGGTGCCGTAGTCGAGCTCGGCGACGAGGTCCTGGGCCACGGCCCCTGTCGCGAGGAGCCCCGACAGCAGCAGGAGGAGGACTGTCGCGAGGAAGGAGGTCATCCTGGCGGCTGAGGCAGAGAGTCAAGACGGCGACTGTCGTCACTCCCACGGGTGGAACAGTCCTCCATCTTGGTCCAGGGTGGGTATTGCCTACTTATTGATGTCGTTCGGATAGGCCTTCCGGGTCAGCGGCTCATCTAGTCAGGCATGTCAACTAGATAACCCGAGGGCGTGGAAAGCAGCGTCACTAGTGGGCATGGAACCCCGGCGAGAACGGGATTGTGGTCACATCGGCCAAGTTGTCCATGATCGCTGGCTGTATTGTCGACAGTGGGGATTTCCTCCGCACTTTTTGGCGTTATTAGGCTAGAATCCGGGGATTGTTGGGGGGGGGGGGACAGCCTAACAGCAGAAGGGAGCCCATCCAGAGCAGAACCACAATCAACTAATAATCCATTTAGTAGGGATCACTGTTCCACCAATTGGCTACCTAGTCATGATAAATGACGAGTCACGCTCAGGGGGTCATGGTGCTGCTTTAAAAACAGACCGATGTTGCTCGGTAACTGTCTCCAATGATAGCCCGAGGGGTATAAACAACGAAGCACCGCTTGGCCCGTTTCCATTCACTTTCGATAGCTCCGTTGACAAAACACTACAAGTTGACTTTCATCAATCGTGCCCGTACATCACAGTACGGGAATCTTCGACCCGGATCCTGGACCCTGTCCTCGGCCAAAAATTAATCGTTAACAATCCCAGGTGAAAGACAGGCATGCCTCGCAAAGCCGATTTTGAAGTCAGCAACAGCGAGGACTAGCTTCGAGGAGATCCCGCTGCAGAAGACTCCTTGGGTGCTGGCATCCAACTCTCCGAACCGCCAGGCCAGCCCACGCCCTAATATCTCACGCCCCTCGGAAAAGGACGAGGGTAGATCTGGTGATCAAAAGGTCGGCCCTGGGGCATAGTCCAGGCCGCCCTCTCCATGCTTGGTAGGTGAGAGCCGTGCACGTCTTCATCCCTCCTGATGGACGTCTCCTTCAGCATCAGCGTGGCAACCTCGGGGTTGGCCAGCAGGAACGCCCCCGTCTCCTCCGGGGCCGTCTTCCACAAGGTCGGCTGCAGGAACCCGACCCTCGCAAACACCATCCTCAGCAGCGGGTCTTCGTCGCCCACGCCGTCGTAGATCTTCCGGCAGAGCCTGAGCACCTCGACCTGGGCCGCATCTAGACCCGCACTCTCAAGCTGATCGATAGTCACCCTCGAGATCTTGTCCTTGAAGCCGTCGAGCATATACCTGTCCGCACAGATGTAGACATCGATGTTCAGCTCGTAAGCGATCAGCCATGTTCGCATGTCCTCGCCCTTGATGCGGGCCTCCGTGTCGGACGGGGACGTCGCCATGGGTGGTGGTGACCCCGGCCGCGGAGGAACAGGTGCGCCGTCCGGACCCCGCCTCCGATTGTGCTGGTTCCTCCTCGACCTGTCTCGCCCGGTCATCACGACACCTGGTGGGTAGCCTGGTGGGACGATTGGAGGAGGGAATCGTGGTGCCGCGCAAGCCCAGCACCTGCGAAATCTGATGTTAGCTATGGACGCAGCATGAACAGCAATCTCATGTTCGCAAGCGACGGGAACGTTCACTTCTGCCGGTATATCACCTCACGAGCCGTAGCCAATCATGGGCTTTTTTGAAGCCCATGAGATAGCTCGCCAGTCAAGAACCCCTGCAAAGGAAGGTGTTGATCGTGTCGGGAGGCTGCTTACGGCGGTCCATGAGAATTAACACATCGTGGGCATATGCAGTCTGGACGGTGCGCCCCTGGATGTTTTTGACGAAGGCGCTCGAGTTGCCTCTCCCGTCGGCGCCGTCGGCGCTCCTGGCGCCTTCGCGACTGGGCACTAGAATCACTGTGCCAGCTGAGCCCATCCGAGTCTGAGTCTGAATGGGCTGTGTCGTTGGCCAGGTCCTTCCCTTTGCCCTTGTCTGGGTCCGGCACCAAGACGGTTGACAGCGGCTTAGTTGGTAAGTATCGCTCTTCGTAGAGATATGCGACCAGAAAGTGGAAGATCGCCGGGTCTTCTTCTGGCAAGTCGAGAGACTGCGCCTCCGCCTCGAGGAAGCTGCCCAGCAGCGCTTTGCGAAACCATTCGGCCTTCAGAAGGACGCTCTTGTGTACCTGGCTCCGTGTGAGCACAACTTCAGTTGGTTTCGAAGGAGGGTTCCCGAGCCCACCTGGAAAATCTCCTGATGTGGTGGAGTGCCGACGCGAAGAGGGATAACAGCGGAGCTGTATCGACTGTGGCGGGCGTGTCAATCGCGGAATGGGACTTGGACATGTCGATGTCGAGTGACACAGACAATGGGGAGTACTTGAACACAGGATCGGACATGGCGAGAGATAGAGGTCTTACCCGTCGCTCGTAGAAAGCCACAAGTCTTGGCTTGGATCTAACACCTCCTTGCGGTCCAAATCATCCGGTAGAATATCCAACACAACAATGCCTGGGGTGTTGACCGATGGCGCGCGCATCGCTTCGCCGAGTGTCCTCTGGGAGCTTCCCTCGCCGTTGGTCCTAGAGGACGAAGCCATTTCCAGTCTTGTATGCTGTCGTCACGGTGAGACTTATCGATGTTTTCGGAAAGAATGCTTTTAAATCCGAACGCCCTTTCGACAGGAAAGGGAAGCGGGGGTTGATGGCAGCCTGCGCAGGAATCCCTGGGAGCAGGCTGAAAGATATATATGATTTACGCGAGCCATACGAGCCAAAGGCGGCCGTGCCTAAGCAATCAGCAGTAGGCTGAGACGCAGCAGGTGAAGAGGGTGTGGTGGTAGAACACGGAGCTAGCCAGGCAGCCCACACCGAATCACTGTCGGATGACATGCATGCGGACCAGATCCTATTGGCATGAGGCGGTAGAAAAATGCGCGGATTGTGCGATCGATGTCGCTCTGCATTCATTGTGTGTCTGGTATCCCTTCAGACGGGCTTCAGGCTCATGTATCAACCCAAACTTATTTCGCACCCCTCTCAAGTATGAGGCAGAGAGGCCTGCCCCGGACAGTTCAAAGGCCTTCTTATGAATCAGGCAAAATCAATAGCTCGAAGACATTCTTCCCACGAGCTCTGGATGCATGAGAGGCACGAAGAGAGTGCGGCGCGGGGGGCGACTCGACTTCGTCCGGCCTGCTGAAGCTGAGCCGGCTGGTGCGTACGGCCGGTCACCAGAGATGAAAACCTCTTGTCGTCTGTGTAACCGACCAGGCACACTGGCCTTAGAGCTGCATGTTTTTTTATTAACTCCGCATGGCACAAATCCTGCCCAGGCCTGCATGCAGCCACTTTCTTGCCGCCGCTTGGGAAGGTTGGGGTCACGCTGACTGGATGGTTGGACCAAACGTGTGGGTGGTGTGGCAGCGCGGGACCACCGAGGTTGGACAAGTTGAGACCGACCCCATAGGGCCACCGCTACCATGTCTTGAAGGGAGAATGGTGCCTTTACGTTGCAAGCGAGTCCATCGACAGGGTCCTGTAACCGAATCGAGATGCCGTCAATCAAGACTTTGCACGATTCCAACGATCAACTCCCAGATTAACGGAGCATACGGAGCAGAGGCATTTGGATGGCCCCCACGTAAAAATTGTGCCCAATTCATCAACCACAGGCATATCGTCGTGACTGTCCAATCTCCTGCCCCGGGGCGGCGGCCATCTCCGCGTGTCACTCGGCCCCGCCAGTGAAGGTACGAGAAACACGCGGCCTTCTCTCAAGAAATCCCCTGGTGTAATTGGCAGTCTCGATTGCCCTTTGCCACACTGTTGTCTAAACGGGCACATTGTTTGCCTTGGCCGACCTCGAACTGAGGGTCACCAAAGGCGAAAGCTGGAGTAAAGCAGTACTGGTCGAACATGCTGCTTCTCGCAGCATTATTCGAGATGGCATTTGCGGTCAGGCTCTCGGAAGGGAAACTGGGATATTCATCGCAATGTTTCCCAGTGACGCGACTTGCCTCTGGTCAGCTCGGTTGCTTGAGCTGAACAGGTCTTTGAGAGGCTCCTATCACTCTTCCGTGATGCCTAGGGCATTGTTACCCACAGAGGCACCTCATTCACTTTGCTCGGCTCTTTTGATACCAGCATCACCGCCGTCTCATTCGGTGTCTGCTACTCTTCGTCCATATCTTGCTGCATCTCGAACTCTAAAATCGTAGTCAGCAAAACGGCTCAGTTGCAAGCGCACACACAAGTTACTCACCCCACAGCCTATTCGCCGATTTAGCGATCACTTGCGCCTTCAGAAGCAACTTCTCCTTGTACTTTTGCTCGTCCTTGGCCTCCAGACGGATCTTGTTCGGCTGCGCTTGCAGGAGCACGGGCACGAGCTCCTGTGGGTCGGCATTCGCTACCGCAGCGACATTTCGGAAGCCATTGTCCCAAAAGACGCGTGCAGTCCGGCTCTTGACAAAGGTGATCTTCGCCAGGGCTAGCAGGTCAAACTTGGCTCCGGCCTTCAGTCGGTCTGAAAAGTGATCCAAAGCAGCTGCCATGACTCCCCACCCCATTTGCTCGCAGAACTTGATCATGCCGGCGGCGAAGCCTTGACAGGACTGTGCTAGCGTCTGAACGGTTCCTCGTGGCATGGTATATTTCTGCGCCACGCGGTGTACGGGCATCTCATTGCACAGATCGCGTAACTGAAGAGCGAGATAAAAGCGGTGGTAGACACGGGCGACTTCCTTCTCCGTGGTTGTTTCTGTTTTCATCGCCCCTCCACGCATCCTACACCTGTCAGTAAAGGTCTCCCCGGTGGGTGATTCGAAGACTCACATTCTGTTGATCTCGGTAGGCTTCAAGCCAAGGAAGCTGAGGACCCTCAGTCCGCTCTCATCCAGGCTTTCCATCTCGTTTGCATAGATTTTCCAATTGATGTTGACCGACATTTCCTGGACAGGCGTGAAGGTATAGAGAATGTGCATTTCGCCATCCATAACAAAAGCTTGAAGAGCCCTCTTCAGCTCATTGTGTATGAAAACTCCATCGTCTGGGTCAAGAGATGAGGTTACAATCGCTTTACCCAGCTGAGTGGCCTCGAAGCTTGAGAACGGGTCGATCGAGATAAAGCCTCTGGCTTCCAGATCTGAGAGACTGGCTTCAACGATCTCATTGATTTTCACAATGTCAGTGGACTGGTAGAGCAGCGTCTTCCGAACAAACTCATCGAGTGATTCACGACTAGTGGCCAGCCGCACCGCTATAGCTTCAAGCAGCGCCCTTTGAATACGGTGTTTGTCGCTTGTGAGACAACTTGTGAGCTGGGGCAGTTCTGCTTGCATGAGCTCGGTTACTTCCTCGAGGTCTTTCTGGCGACAGCAGAGATACGTCTCCCCAACCTCGTCCTTGCCTTTCCGTCCGGCACGGCCTCTCATCTGGCGGAGCATGGACGGTCCAACAATATCGCGGCCCATGCGTGCGTTGTGTAGGATGACCCGCCTTGCCGGGAGGTTTATGCCGGCTGCAAGAGAGCAAGTGGCTACGCAAACTTTGATGGTGCCAGAATCGTAGGCGTTCGCGATGAGATCCCGCTCTTCAGTAGTGAGCCCTGCATGATGGAAAGCAACACCATTGGTGATCGTCTGCTCAAGGATCGGGTCAAGCCCCCCTGGCAGGCTTCTGAGATCACCAAGCAAGTCTGTTCTTTTCTCCTGTATGTCCGTGTCCCACTCATGGAGAGGCGGCATTACCCGACTGATGATGAGCGCATCCGACTCGCAGCCCGCGCGGCTACTTGCAAATACCAGCACACCATATCCAGCACGCGCCGTTTCGTTCGCCAGGGCTACGACCGCATTGAGAACAGGGTCCTGAAGTTCCTTGGCATCCGATGCCGCTATCGTCCCTATCGCAGTGGATGGAGCCTGGGAGACCTGCGTCCCGTTTGCCTGAGTTGCGGCGGCCTTGACCAGTCGGCTGGTTGTCCCGGCGGCGTAGATTCGGCTGTCGTAGACGAGGTGCTCCTCGATCGGGACTGGCCTGTACTGGGTCTCGTAAAAGTGACCCTGGAGCCATGTCGCCAATAGCTTGATGTTTGTCAGGGTTGCACTCATGCCAATAATCTGTACGGCATGATCGTCAAGAGCAAGAAGCTTCGTGGCCATGAGTTCCAGCAGGTAGCCTCGGTGATCGTCGTCGACCATGTGAAGCTCATCAAGAACTACAACTTTCAGACTGGTGATTGAGCCATCGTTAATGGCCGTATTCACGAGGGAGTTTGCCTTCTCAATGGTGCAAACGCCGACATCAAAATCAGCCCACGTCTGCTTGATCTTGCTGCCGCCGAAGAACCCAACAATTCTGACCGTGTCCTCATCGGACCGTTTACGCCAGAACTTCTGGTCAGATTCTTGGATGGGTCCAGTGATAGATTCTCTGGAAATACCGTTGACCAGTTTCCTCAGCCATCCAATTTTCTCCTGGACGAGCGCCACGTAAGGCAGCACGAGGATTGCTTTGGCCTCCCGGTCTTCCAAGACCCTTTTCAACATCAACACATCTGCAACCAGAGACTTGCCTCCGCCCGTAGGTGCGCTATAGACCAGGTTCTTCTCGCCTTTGAGAAGTCCTGGACCCATGAGACACTGCTTTTGCCAAGGATAGATGCTGAGTATGCCAAGGGCCTCGAAGTTGGCAACCAGAGGGTTGGGGATTTTGTAGGCAGGATGTGACAGCTTCAGCAACGCATCGTGAGCTGGGGTTGGCGTAGCCGGGAAAGCTCTTCTCTGGGAGTATTCCGAAAGACCACTAATTGTGCCGCTCTGGGAAATTCGCGGCAGATGTCTTGTTATCTGGCTCGCAGCAAGCGATGGCAGGCCTTTGGAGAGAGAAGCGGCAGACTGAAATGGAGCGACGCGTTTAACGGAGGGTAAATTGTGATCAATATCACCGTTTTGGTAAGCATCAACCTGACGCTTCTTACCGTGGGCCGTTGCTGTCTGGTACTCGGCCTGTTGTTCTCTGGCCGCTTGCAATGTTGTTTTGTGCCATGTGCCATTGTTCGTAGCCATGATCACTCTGGGATTGGCCTATTCTCAGAGTCAAGGAGTAGGGCCAGCATGAGAGATGTAGCGATATTACTCATATTTGAGCTCTTGTCTGCCGAGTCATTGCCTTTTTCCTACCCAAGGAAACGATACTCGGGGCAATGGCGCTGACGATGGAGGGCAACAATGTATTTGCAATGAGCGGGTCACCTGCAATGGTTGGGCGTTTGAGTTGCGAAAATGATGGCATTTATAGTACCCCTAGTGATTGGGAAGCGCAAAGCAATGCGCACAATAGTACAGGCGGAGCCTGGAAAAGGACGAGCATGGTCCCTCTGGCGGCTGTGGCGATGCTGAACCAGGGCTTGTGAATCTGATGTTGACTTAGGTAAGCTGCAGGGAAGGTGGATGCCTCTGCATCCTAGTTTGCCGGGCCCTGCCTAACAATGACAAGATTCTAACATGGGGTGCCCAGGGTGGTCTGGCTGATGTGGTGGGAGGAGCAAGAGAGGTTGCCCAGGCTCCGCGGTGCAGGGTGCAGGGTGGAGGGGTGGCGCATGGAGGGACAAGGTTCTTGGCCGACACGTGCACATCTGCCTGTGCCTGTACCTGTGCCTGTACCTGTGCCTGCACCTGCGGCAGCCGCCCGCCGGGCCAGTCCAGTCCATCCAGGCCAGTCCAGTCCATCCAGGCCAATGCCCCCAAGACCCCCAGACTCTCAGACCCCCTCTGACCACCTCCCCCCTCCCCCCTCATCCCCAAGCTGATTGACTGAGAGTGATTGATTGATCTTGACCGACGGATGAGTGAGAAGCGCACTGCGGCTGCACTTGGGGCTGCGGCTGGAATCTGCCAATCTGCCAAATCTGGGATGCAAATTTTCCACAAAGGGCAGCCACCCCCGCAATTGGTCAGGAAGCTCCGGGAAGGTGGATCCCCCGCCCTTGCCCCGATGCTTTGTGCTCTGCTCCCCTGCCGTCCAGTCAGCCAGCCCATACTGGTGCCTTTCCACCCGCTCGCTACTTTTATTAGCCTTGTGAGGCCAGGGCGGCCGAGAGCCCCGACCCGGGGGTCATCTCGAAACGTCATGTCATGTTTAAGAAATCACACATCCTCACTTCCTCGAGATTTGCAGCCCTGTTGCTGAGTTCGCCACTCTCTGAAATGACTTCGTGTGGGATGCAGAGCATTTCTTGTACCCAGCGATGCGAGATTGGCGTGATGATGTCCCCGTCATGTCGTTTGACCAGTCATGGCCCCCGTGCATTGCAGGCCGACATCACCGGCCCTGGGCTGCGAAACCCTGAACGGCAGGCTCTCCCCTGTGACGAAGCCCCGATGGTGCTAACCTGAAGTTATTCTTGTGGCCGTTGCATTCCTCATTCCTCCTTTCTCTGCGCGCCTGCTTCTTACACGTATTACTGCAGCTGGGCGCCTTCCACTAGCACCGCCATGGATCCTCCACAGTATTTGATTTGCATGCCCCACGACTACCACCACACCATTGTCGTTTGCTGCCGTGCTGGGGAACTCTCCTCTCACGGCCTTGACCACACTGCCGGGCCAGGCACTGGTATTGCATGGTACCTACCTAGGTACCCAGATAGTGCCCAACTGTTCATTGGCTTCACCATCATTCTGGCTTCGAGGCTTGCTCGACGCGCGAGCTTATCCTTCCGAACAAGCCAGCAGGTCCCCTTCGGCAGTCTGGGAGTCGGCATGGCATGGAAGCCTCGCCCGTGTAACTTGGTCAAGGCGGACGGGATATGGTTGCTACATTTGGTCCCTTTCTCCTATGTCCATCATATCCGGTGCATGTAGAGGGTGGGACCACTACTGTGAAGGCGCAGCAATGCTCTGCCAGAGGCTTGACGGCTTCTGGGCGGAAGGCTCCCCGAACTTGTATGCCCGGGTTGCCTGGCTTTCCGCGACTCCCGCGGTGGTGATCTCACGAGAAAGAGCTTTCGGGCGTGCCCTGGGCTTCGGTGAGGGAACACATGATAGTAGCACAACGTGTGCGGTGGGTAGGTGGCGCTGCTATTCACGGGGCGTTAGGCCCAGTAGCTTGACCCGTCTGGTCCGCCACGGCTGATCGCTGCAGACGGCGTCATCTCTAGCCCAGAGGGCACATGAGACAATGGCCCAGGATCGCCAACTGACAGCGGCTCATCAGGCGCGCTCCCAAGTCCAGCTCCAGTGTCCCCGCGGGCTGCCGACAAGCACCGCCTTGAACGGCGTTGGGTGGTGTCGGCCCTGACCCAGGTCGTCATGCTGAGTCAGGCGAGCACGACTACTCTGGCGATGTCGGCCCTTCGCCCTTGAATTTGTGCATCTTTTGTCGGTGAGCAAGAAGCAGTCCATTGCTACCTGCGGTTCCCCAAACGGAGCCCATTGAAGCCCTAAAGCTTGACCGGTCCGGCTTAGCATTTTGATATCCGGCGGCTGTGTGTGGTTAGAACTTGGAACCATGGGTCCGTTGGCAAGCAGCGTGGCAGCGGCCAGCCACCCCCAGGCTGCCAAGCGATGACCAGTGGCCGGTTTGACCTTTGAAACAAAGCCTGCCGTCCATCCATTGCCAGTCCAAAAATAATTGCAAGTCCGCCGTGAACAAGATGCTCAGGTGAATATCCTACCTGCTCTGGTATAGGTAGGGAAGCGTGCTGCTTCTTTTCTCTTCTCCCTGGGTGTTGGGCGGGAAGGGCGGCGCTTCTACTAGAGCGAGCGGGTGTTGCGACAGTGCGGCATCCCGAGACCCGAGCTGTCGTGGGAGGCGAATCTGTGCGGGAGCAAAATGGCCTTCGAGACTGCTGCGCAGGAGGGAGGGCATGCAAAGCGAACCCCTCTCTACAGTGGTTAATAAGGGGCTGCCGCAACGACGTGCCCTCTCACCCTCAGCCCCGGTGATCCTTCTAACAATGCCGACTGGGGCAGTCTCACCTGTATCAACGGACTCATGTATAAGAAGCGCGAATCCTGTCCTCACATTGCTTTCGACTATCGTCTATGGTCTGGCCTTCGGAGGCTTCCGATGTCTCTCATTGTCGCTGGGCTCGAGCTGGGAGACATCGAATTGGATGCGAGGCTCAGGCACAAGGCCAGGCAGTCCAGAAGTGCAGGTTGAGGTCAAATGGCGACAAGGGCTGCCTTGGGAGCCTTGGCGACCACATTGAACATTTGAAATCTAGCGAGCTCGAGCCCTGGCTCCTGTGGGTAACGGGGTGGCGATCCCGGTGCCGTTGACGACACGACAGCATCGCAGTGCCGGGCTTCGTGCGTGAGTCCGGCGACATCGCTCAGCAATTCTTGAGAGCCCTGAACCCGGAGTCTTGGTATTTTTGCCTGATGGTAGATAGTTCTGAACGCAGAGGCAGGCATTTTCAAGCACAATACAGTCAAGGCGAGCGCCGTGTGGAGAGACTCGATCGGTACGCAAGGCCGTGGTTGGACATGACACGCTAACCCGAACGGATTCTCAACTTTGACTTGTGTGGGTGGGCTAGCCCAATCATTAGCAACCGTGATCCACGCGATTGCGTGCATGCAAAAGCTTGGGGGAGCGTTGGGACAGTGGGAGCAGCGTGGATCTGCCTCTGTTCCGAGAACTTTGGCCGCGGTGTTTCATGCCCAGCGGCACAAGTACATGTATATCAGCCAGACAGGGGACTCGGGGGGACAGTGTGAGAAGATGAGATGAGATCAGGGCGTTGCCGTAGTGTAGGTGTAGTGCACGGGGCCGACCTGAGGATGGTGACGATGGGAGGCGCGGGCCAAGTTGGCCGAGCTGTCGAGCTCCAGAACCGAAGTGAAGTCTGTCTGGATGCTACTGCAGTCTGGGCAGTTGACTGGTTGGTACGCTGCATATCTGGCTGCTGCCGATGGGCGGGCAGAGTGTGAGTGCGTGGGTGAGTGACACGGCGAGTCGATCCCCCCCCCCCCAATGTATCTGGTGCCACGCAGTTCCTCCTCGTCCACAGACTAACTGCTGGCATCCTGCCAGATGCATAGGTAGTTCTGTGCACGAGTTAGCGGAGCATAACGAGGATTCCGAGGGTCATACGTACCACGGTGCCGTGGCTAGATTTGCCCGTCTGCCGGCGAGTCAAAACACTGGCATGCGTCAACCGTCGGGCTGTCGAGTGGATTGCCTAGACGCAGAGAGGCAGCGCCAGTGAGACCTCAACATGCATCTTGAAGCCAACATGGTCGGGGTTTGCAATGCTCTCGCACCGCACCTCACCTTGGCTCGCCTCATCTCACCCACAGTACAGTACTGGATGCTGCTGCTGCTGCTGCTGCTCTGCAGTAGCAGCAGTATGCAGCCTGAAGCCGGGCTGGGCTGGGCTGGTGAGGGAGGATGCCGAAGTTACCTGGGGCGGGTCCACTTCATCTGGCCAAGTAGAGGTGAGGTAGCCGGTACCTCCGCGCCCAGGTACCCAGGCACGGCTGGCACAATCGTTTCTGCGCGTGCAGGTCAGATCTCGGCCGTCCCAGCCAGATGGGCAAGATGGGCAGACGGCGCCAGACGAGAGGTGACGAGAGGCGGCGCCGGGCCAGCACGCCCAGCATCCTTGCCCGCCAGAGACCCGCGAGGGCCACCCTGGGCCTACTCACCCAAGGTGGCAGATATGTTTGGTGACCCCAAGCCTCATTCAAGGCCACCATCATGGGGATGAGTGCCAGCTTCGCTGCTTCGGTGTCGGCATCAAGTGAGGAGGCCCCAGGTCGCCATGTGGCATTTGGTCAGTCGAGAGACAGGCCTGGCGACTGCGACTGCGACTGCGACTGCAGGAGCCTCAGACTCGTTGGGACCCTGGTGGTTCGTTATATCCGGACATGGTTGGACGTCCTGCTGAATGCAACGACATGTCGTCGAAGTGGCCCAACGCAGGAAGCCCAGTCTAGGTTTGAGCAAAGCCGGAGAAGTCACGGCTACGTGGGCTGTACTTTGCAGACCCCTGCAGGCTAGGTGGGCTTGGTGCAGCGGAGGCGTCACGGCCTTCGTCTTCCCTCCCATGTCAAGCAGTCCACCGCGACATCTTGCACTCGCTCTCGTCCACCATTCCATTCCATTCCACTCAACTCGCTCGCTCGCGCTCCCACTCCGTCTCTGTCCGGCCCAGGTTGTTCGTTGCGTGATTCCCAGTATCCCACACAAGCCGGGACAACACAACACAATTGAGTACTTGGTATAGCAAGCCATCAAATGAGGGCCTGTTCCACACGCACACACAAGCGCACTAACTCTCACACACCCACACCCACACGCATCCGCTCTCTCACGCCCTCTCTCTCTCTCTCTCTTGCCCGACGGCCGCTGCTCTATCTATTGTGCATAGGCTCTGCCGTACCGTGTAGAACTTGGAGCTCCTCTCCCGCAGCCTGCGAGACCTATTGCATGTACATGTCCATCTCCCTGACCCCAGACGGCCAAGGGGACCGGACCACGCAGCTGTCAACCCACGCTACCCACGTACCGGTTCTTTCTGTAGCTGTCCCGGCCTTCCTCGATCATTTTTTGACTTTCCCGCTGCCCATCGCATCGCCTGCTCCGTGTACACCTTGCCCGTACCCGTAGGACCAGGCTAACAGATCCGGACTGCCTGACTGCCTGCCTTACCTAAGACGTCCCATACTCAAACCCATGGCCCATGGGCTGGCCTATGGTCCATGGCCCATGGCCCATTGCGCGCATACCCATACCATACCCATACCCATGCATACCCATGCCCATCCACACCCATACCTCGACTCGCCCTTTTCCACACTCTTCCCATTCCCTCCCGATATAACGTCTTTCCTTCAACTTCCACCTTGCATCACCCACCCCATTTCCCTTGTTGATTTGTTTGCTCCTCACGCCCTCATCCCCGGCACTGCTCGCCGCCCGTCATTCAACTGCCACCCTTGGCTCTTCCTACCCGGTCTTCCTTGCTCTTGTGCCCTTTATTTCCTTGACCATCCCACCACCACAACCATCACCACCATCTCTCGCCCCAGCTGGGATACCTTCACTCCGTGACCCTGCGCCCCGACCCAGCGGCGCTCTCGCACATCTGCACGTTCCAAATCCTTGCCCGGTGTCTTCCAACCACCTCGCCGCAGGTAATATTTGATCCAGATCAGCCAGGCCCCAATTTTTGGTGCTCCGACTGTCCTCATGGACCTCAACCGCCACATGTAACCCCCCCATTTTTTTTTTGAACTTGTGCTGTGTGAGTGAGCCGTCTCTGGTCACTTCTCGTGGCGCCGGCAGGAAACGACAAGGTCGGCGCCTCGTTCCCTCCAACTCTCACTCTCTCACTCTCCCATCCTGCTTTGGACCACGGCACCCTGGCCACAGCCGTCATCATGGCTCCCAAATCCCAACCACATCTCGCCGGCACAGAAAGTCCTTCACTTCCCACCGCTGCAACATCATCCAAAGAGGGCTCCGAGGCACCCATCTCCAGTAAGCAATCAGAAACGCCTCGCCCTCGTCAGCTACCGGCGTGCCGCCCAAGAGAGCAGGCTCTGAGACAGCATCTGGCAAAGCCGCATCCACCTCTCAGCCGATGACCAAATCTTCTTCCTCGTCGTCAGGGTCAAATCCCCCGGACGCCAAGGACGCAGCCACTGGACCATCGCCATACGGCACACGCTCCCGCAACAGGACCGGCCGGGCACGCCCTAATTACGCAGAGGACAAGGACATCGACTCAGACCTCTATGATGCAGCTCCGGAGCGAAAGGATGATGGCGATGCCAAAAGATCCACGCGACAGGCAAACCCCTCCTCCACCACGGCCCAGGACGCCCCACAGCCTGGACCTTCATCAGCCTCATCATCATCGTCGCGGAAGCCTCTGCCGTCCTCTGACGACGGGAAGCACGGTGGCTCCGCGGCCGCCGCCACCAACCCCATCACCACAACCACCACATCAGCAGCCAACAAAGAATCACAACAGCAACAGCAGAATCAAGCTAGTGCAACACCAACACCCGCACCCACTACCAATCCCGCCACTGCTACCCAAACATCCAAGAAGCGCAAAGCAGGAAACCAAGGCAGCTCATCCGTCCTGAACCAGCAGAATGGTGCGGGGCACTCATCGGCATCGTCGAGTGCCGCCCACAGAAAGTCGCTCGGTGGTGGCGGCGGTGTTGGTAGCGCCAGCGGTTATGCCGAGACAAACATGATGAGTTTCGAGGACTGCCAAGGCAGGCCCAAGAACAAGACACTCACAGCGGATGATGGGACCATCCTGGCTGTAAATGGTAAGTGAAATAAATTATGCCATCCGTTATTGAAGCAGCACAGGCTGATGCACCCGTCCAGACCACGTCTACCTGATCTGTGAACCGCCTGGTGAGCCATACTACATTGCACGGATCATGGAGTTTCTGCACTCCAAGAACGATGCATCGCGGCCGGTAGACTCCATCCGAGTCAATTGGTTTTACCGACCCAAGGACATTGGGCGCAAAGCACAGGATACGCGGATGTTGTTTGCTACGATGCATTCCGACATTTGCCCTCTGAACTCGCTGCGCGGCAAGTGCACGGTGAGGCACAAGGCAGAGATCCCCAATGCGGAAGCTTACCGCAGGAACCCAGACTGTTTCTGGTGGGACAAGATGTACGACCGCTACATCCAAAAGAACTACGACGCCATCCCCACCTCGCAAATCATCAACGTGCCGGAGCGGGTCAAGAAGGTGCTGGACGAGCGCTGGAAATACATCCTGGTTGAGCAGGGTCGTGGAAAGGAGCTTACCAGCGCTGTGAAGTCATGCAAGCGATGCAGCGGCTACTGTGCCAGGTACGTACCCTCTCCCAACCAACAGCCAGGCTGTCGGTGGACAGAGTCACCACAGTCACCATCCCCCCCCCCCTAATTCCTCCTTCACCCTCCTCTTCCCTTTCCCCGGAAGCCCTGGTTTAGCAACAGGCAGTCCTTGAGCAATCAGTCAGACTAGCAGGCCCCAGCGGGCCCGAAAAAAACCCAGGTGTCACTCCCCTTCCCTGCTGGCAGACACATGAATCCACGCTAGGACCCTTTTGGGCCTGCCCGTCCGCCCCCACCACAGGCGCTAACCACTTTGGGTAGTGCTGATTCGGTTGACTGCGGGTTCTGTAAGAACACCTACCACATGCAATGCGTGCGGCCGCCGTTGCAAAAGAAGCCCGCTCGCGGCTTTGGGTGGGCTTGCGGCCCCTGCAACCTGGCCCAGGAGAGGAAGCTTGAGGCTCTCAACGCACCACATCTCCATGACTCTGGTATCAGCGCCGAGGATGAAGAGCTGCTCGAGGAGGAGGAGGAGGAGGATCCTGCGCAGGCAAATACGAACCGCACCAGTCCTATTGTGGAACACGAACACCCACCACCGACCCCCGAGCAGATATACCAGGCCAGCCTTTGGCCCTATAGGTATCTCGGCATGCACTGCGATATCGAAGATGCGCTGGACTACGACGACCGCATCTACCCTCGCGCCAGTTCCAGGCTGGGTCCTCGGCATCAGGCCACTGTCGGCGACTGGCCAGGTCGGCCCGTGCGGTTCGTGAAACCCCTGGAAATCAAGAAGACCGGCCGCAAGGACGGTCGTCACTCCAAGGAAATCCAAGCCCTGCTTGAGAAAGACAAGCGGGAGCGCGAGAAGCGCCCCAAATGGGTACAGGATGAGCCATTCTCCGGCTACGTTCCGCGAGGGCTGGACCTCGCCGAGGACGACCCGAACTCGACATCAGCATGTCTGTGGAAGCCTGCCGAGGGCGCAGATGGAGAGCCCGTCAAAGATGCTGATAACGATCTGGTTATCTCCGAAGCCGGAATCGACGACTACATGGACAGGGCCAGATCTATGACCAAGGAACTTGGACTCCCCGACCGGAGTACAAACTTGGAGGATATTGCTCGGGATCTCTTATACAAGAACCATTATGACGCGGAGGAATCACTGAGACAACTTGCCAAGACTGACAAATCACTGTTCAAAGAACCCGAATTGACCGTGGCGGAACAGAAGAAATTCGAGGAAGCTGTGGCCAAGTTCGGTTCTGAGCTCCAGAGTGTCAAGAGACACGTCAAATCGGTTCCCCACAAGTGGATCGTTCGCCATTACTACAAATGGAAGAAAACGACACAGGGGAAGAAGATCTGGGGAAACCACCCACAGCGGAAGGGCAAGAAGGAGATCAAGCGTGCGCAAGCAGAGGCTAGCAAGGCTGCGGACGAGGTAGCGGATGATCATGATGATTCGGCTTTTGACACTGGCAAGGCCCGAGACAAGAAGAAGAACTTCATGTGCAAGTTCTGCAACACCAAATCATCACGACAGTGGCGTCGCGCGCCAAATGTTTCCTCCGCGGTTGTTACTGAAAATGGCGGCAAAACCAAGGACAAAGGCACACAATACGTCGTGGCTCTCTGTCGAAGGTGTGCTGAGCTCTGGCGGCGCTATGCCATCCAGTGGGAGGATCTCGACGAGGCGGCCAAGAAGCTCACTTCATCCGGCAATCGATCGCTGAAGAAGAAGATTGACGAGGAGCTGTTCAAGGAGCTGCAAGCAGCAGACGAAAGGATGATGGCGACCAAGTACAGCACGCCCGAACCCTCAGTCGTTCCACCAAATGCAGCAGCAGTCGCCACATCCCAAACGACGGGGCCCCAGGAGCCGCCTCGCAAGAAGCTCAAGTCCGAGCGAGACTCGGAGCCCGCGTTACTGGAGACGGGAGGCGTGGGTAGCGTTGCCGCGGCCAAAAAGAAGGAGAAGGAGAAGGAGAAACCTGTCGAGAAGCCCGCTCCTCCGCCTCCACCGCCGATGCCCAAGCCGAAGACGATGCCTTGCAGTATCTGTCGCCAATTGGAGCCTCTAGGAGATCAGCACCTGCAATGCAGAGAGTGTCGGATGACGGTGCACCGCAACTGCTACGGCGTGATTGACAACAGGCAAAACGGAAGATGGATGCGACATGTGTTCTAACGACAAGAACCCGCAAATCTCACTGGTAAGAAGACGTGTCCATTCCCTTCCATCGAACGGAAAGCTGATTAATTTGTGCAGCACTACAAATGTGTATTGTGCCCGGTCGAAAGAACTGAGCATGACTTTGTGGAGCCTCCGAAGATCTCTCACAAGAAGAAGTCGGAGAAAGAGCGCGAGCGAGAACGGCTGGAGAAGGAGTCCGCTCAGAAGGCGGCCGATTTCTATCGAAAGCTCCAGGAGGAGCTCGGCAGACCGTTAGACCCCAGGGAACCATTGAAGAGGACAGCAGACAACAACTGGGTCCACGTAACCTGCGCCGTCTTCACTCCCGAGGTCAAATTCGCAAACGCGAAGTCCCTCGAGCCCAGCGAAGGCATTCCATCCATTCCTCGGTCGCGTTATCAAGAGGTATGCAAAGTCTGCAAGCAGCAGGGCGGCGCTTGTGTACCATGTCACAACCCAACCTGTCGAACGACATTCCATGTCGAGTGTGCGTACCAACAGGGCTATGCTGTCGGGTTCGACATCACTCCCGTCAAGGGCTCACGTCGGGACCAGCACAACATTGTCAGCATCGGCGGCGAAAGTGGGACCATGACAGCAGCGATCTGGTGTAAAGATCACGTGCCAAAGAGTGTCATTCATCACATCGAAGACGTGGTCGACGAGTCCGGCTTGAATGCGCTGCAGCTCTATGTGCGGAACTTCAAACAGGCTGATCTGGCACTGACAGGCTGTGCTCGCAAGGCCAACCTCATCCCGGCAGCTGCAAGGCCTGTCACTGCTACGACCACGACGCCAATCAACCGCAGGGCTTCTACCACCACGCTTGTCCCTGTGACATCGCCAGTTCAGGTCAACGGAGCAATCAAGGAGGAGGTGCCGTACATCATGCAGCCAGTTGGCAAGGTTTGCATTACTTGCGGCACGGACGTCAGCCCTAAATGGCATTCAATCGACGAGTCGCAAGGCCTTCTACTCGTGAACGGCCATGGTGGCAGCTTGGGCGAGGAGGCTCAGAAGTTCGTGGCACAGCGCAACTATCAGTGTCACAAGTGCAGGAAGGCCAACCGGCGTGTCGAGCCCCAGCCAGTCGTCAAACAAGAGGCATCCCCACCGCCCGTCGAGGCCACGAGGTCGCCCCCTCCTGCAATTCAGGCTACTGCGAGCCCACAAAACTTGATGAGTGTCAGAAATATTGCGCCGCAGCCGTGGGATCACCCTCCCCGCCAGTCTTCCTTGGATGCTCCGGCAACGCAACCGCCGCCGATGGCTGCATCAAGCCACGGACCTGCTTTCGGGCCGCCTCCTGGATCGCTTTCTGTGCAAGCCCCGGCTCCCATCGCGCCCCCTATCGCGGCCCCTATGGTCCAGGCTCCGCAACAACAGCCACAGCCGCCGCCGTTGGCCCAACCCATCGCGGCCCCGTCCCTGCAGTCCGCCATGCCACCGCGAGGCCCTCCGTCTCACCAGTACCCACCACCCCATACACCGCCCTATGGTGAATGGCGTCGACCATCCTCACAGCATGGTTCTCATCCTGCTCCTCCGCCGCCACCGTCCCAGTCACACCACATGAATGGAGCACATCCGCAAATGCCGCCCAGCACTGTGCCACCGCTGGCCCCGCCTAATCATCTGCGCCCACCACCGCTGTCGAGCATCCCTCCGCCCCCACCTCCTTTGCAGAACGGCCATGGGCTTGGACACCATTACGGTTCTCAGCCGGCATCCAACGGTATGCCGCCATCCCCGAGAGGCGTAGGAGGGCCACCGCCTTTACCGAATGGAGGTCCCTACCTGCCTCAGCACCATCAGTCCCACTCGATCCATCATCAGCCTCCTCCGCCTCCTCATCACCTTACAAACGGTGGGCCTCCGCCGCGTGCAGCAGAACACCCCTTCTCTCACGGTCTGCATCCTCAGAGGTCTCCGTTTTCAACCCCTCACGGCAGTCCTCCCGTGACGAGGGATACCGTCATGGTGGGTCGGGAGACAAGTATGCCACCACGCGCACCTGATAACCGACAACCCAGTGGTGCCTCCGCAAGCCCGTCATTGCGAAACCTGCTACATTAGGAGTCGACTGGGTCGAGTGAGTCGTGCTGAGGCTGCCTTGGCAGGCTAGCCGCCGCCTGGTCAAAGAAGAAGAAGAAGAGAAAGAAAGAAAAAAAAAAGAAACAACATTTGAGCCGCGTCTTTAGAAGGAGTGCGACGTCGGCCAACTGCGGGCCTAGCGTCTTGATCACAATTAGCGCTGCTTTATTGTCACCCTGTATTTCAAAAGAGGTCACACAGGTCACTTGTAGAATTATTGCGTCCCAATGAGGTATTCTTAGATACTGGCCATGCTCCCCAGTCGACGGAGGAGCTGGCATCCAGACGAGCATGGAATGGAAACGAGGCTCTCGTGCCACCAGGGGAGGTGACTTCAAGAGGGCTAAGTCAGGCATTGTCTAAAAGAGCCATAGAAGGGTGCCGCCAGTGTTTGGGGCCCAAAGAATGGCAGAGAATCAGGAAAACCTTTACAAATAGGTTGTATCATGCATCAAACCGTGACATGTTAGCTCATACCCGACACCAACACTGAGCCCGTGAATCACTCCTTAGAGTACACCCTTTCCTCCACGCCAATATCCTCGTTCCTACAGCGGACGCTCGATCAGCTCACTACAACGTCATCTGAAAATAGCACGAGAAAGGCGAAACACAGCGCAGCCAGTTCAGGTGAAAGGTTGGTCCAAGGGGAGTGGGAGGGGGGCGGAATGGGTGTCGAGATAAACGCACCACAGCTCAGGCTTCTCGGCGATGAACTTGTCCATCAGCTCCCTGCAGCGCGCGTCGCCGACGACGACGACCTCGACGCCGCGAGAGCGCAGGTAGGCCTCGCCGCCGAGGAAGGTCTCGTTCTCGCCTATCACGACGCGGGAGATGCCGTACAAGAGGCAGGCACCTGTGCACATGTCGCAGGGCGAGAGGGTCGTGTACATGGTGCTGCCCTGGTAGGCCTTCGCGGGCAGGCGGCCTGAGTTGTAGAGGGCGGACGTCTCGCCCTTTTATTGACAGGTGGGTAAGTGGATTGTTGACCAGATGTTTGTTGCGAAGTCTGGGCCCAGCGGAGCGGGACGTCACTTTCTGGGCTGACTTACATGGTGGACTACAGCTTAGTTAGTATACTCTTACTTCTGTGGCTTTCGCGTAATAAGAGAGAAGGGGTGGCTACAGGGAGTGTTGGGAGTGGTACATGGATACGCTCATTTCCTATGCTCCTACTTGTACATAGACATCCCCGTTGCGTCAAGGAATGGGGGGAGTTTTCTCAGGGTGAGCCAGACTTACTTGCCGAGCCCAGTTGGACTCTCTGGTTGTGGCCGCGCCCCAGCAGCTTGCCGTCCTTTGACACCAGCGCCGCACCGATCTGTGTATTGGTTTAACAGTCAGTCAGAATTGTATTAGGCCTGTGAGACTGCCGCCATGCAAAGGTATATCCAAGAATGGCGGCCGTCAGTTCACCAGGCGTGCGACGCCCCGTCTTACCGGGATTCCGCCTTCCGAGTAGGACTGCTTGGCCTCCTCAAAAGCTACGTCCATGCCCTTAGAGTCATCCATTATAACGATGATGCTGGAGTAATACAATTTCAGTGAACCCTAAGAGTTGAAGAGGTTAACATGTCCATGGAAAGATTCTGTCGGCCTCAGGGAAAGCCCCTCTCTAGGTCTTCCCCACCATTGCCCGATGTTATCGTCCTTGTGCTGATAAGAGGCAGATGGCCATGTTGACATTAATTGATAAACGGGCATACACTATGATTTAGATCATCATATATGTATTTGAGAGTGGAATCGTTGGTCCTTTCTACATATTCCAGTCTGATAAGTGGCAGATCTTTGAAGTGCCTGCGAGCAGCACTGCGCTCTAGAAGCCCAAGACGATCCTAGTCCGTGACGGCAGGAAGCGTCGTTCTATGTCGAAGTCGCCCAGCTCACTGGACCAGCAGCAATCCTCTCGTTCCGCATCGTGTGCCACCACCTTGCCGCCCTCCACATGTCGTCGTCCCACCCACCCACCAGGAAATGATATTTTCTCAAAAACCACGGCTTCGGCTCCCAGCTGCGCATATCCCAAGGCCTGCACGCCTCCATGCCCTGGTTGTTCCCCTGCGAGCCCCAGACGATCAGCCCCTCCCTGCTGCAGATGTCGCAGCACAGCTCGTCCTCGTCGAACAGGGGCGGGTCGTGGGCGATGGCCTTGAGCGCCCTCTCCCGGAACGAGGGGAAGGGGATGACGTCCAGGTAGACGTGGTGCTCGACGGTGATCTGGACGTCAACGGGCTGTAAGTCCCTGGGTGCGCCCGAGAACTTGGATCTGATGTCCGCGAGCTGCATCGACCCCTTGCTCTCGATCCAGTCCCTGTTGAACGGGCTTCCCGCCTCGTCGTCGAAGATCGCCTGTGAGCCGTTCATGACGCCGATGGCGAGGGTGTTGTCCATTACCGCGGCGAAGAGGGCGTTCTGCTGCACGAATATCACCCGTTTCACATCCGGGAGCCGCAGGTTCATTAGGTGCTGCATGAACTCCCCGAGGCTGTCCTCACCTGGCAGTGTGCACGGGGTGGTGACTGCTGATCTTGTTGAGTGTGCCAAAGTTGTTGATAGTCTCGACGAGGATGAAGGCGATTCAGCCCTTGAGGCTTTTCCTTTGCCCTTGCTGCTCTCCTGGGGGCTCGAAGGCCCGAGGAGGTACATGGATAGGTGCTGCCCTGGAGTGGTAAAGAAGATATCGGCCTGGCCCATTGTCGTTGCCGTAGGGGAATACCTCGCCTGCGGTCTTTGTATGAGTTCTGGGATCTCCTCATTGCTGGAGCTCTGATCATTGGCGGTATAGCCAAGCACGGATGGAGGACTTCGGGCTAGAGTTGGCAGGCCTGGGTGCGGCTGTGCCATACCAGAAGCGCCATCTTGGTCGACCGAAAAGTTCCACATCGGATCAGTGCTTGGCAGTTGCCATGAGGTATCTAAGGACAGGCCATCTAGGGCCGATGGCTCCACGGCGCCCACGCCTTCACTCAGGGGCTCCGAGGAAGAGGGCTGGACAAGGGTCTTTTCGCCTGGCTCGGCAGAGGTCGCCAAGCCGGAGGGAGGTTGCACGTTTTCCAGCTGAGATGAAGCCGGGCCCGTTGAATTGCTCTCCTGTGATGATGCTGGAAGTGTTTGGTCCTGGTCCTTCTCGAGGAGACGATCCAGTAAGGCCAGCCTCTGCTTCCTCCGTTCTCCTATGATGAGACAATCAGCCCCTTGCCGGGCTTGACTTGCTTGACGAGAAGTTCAAGGTGACAAACTGTATATGCGAGAAGCATTCCTGTTTTGCTCCTTTCTGATGGCGCTGTTCCTCTTGGTCGCCCGAGCTGCTGGGCGGGTCTCACTGCCCCCGGTTGCGTCCGGCCCCATTTCGTATAGATGACCTTGTTGATGATAGTGAAGCCCAAGTATTATACATCAGCTCCTTCGTCACCTGAGATCGATGGTAGACTAGAACATCTTGACAGAATCAATGGGAGAACCGGTCAACCAGAGAGTGGGATCATTTCAGACGTCCCGTCTCGCGGCACATTAGAAGGAAGGCAGCCAGTTGGTGAGCCGTATGTCAGCAAGCGAGCTAGGCGGAGCAAGGTGTTAAGTCCGACGGGAGGATTCGCCTGCTGACTGCGTAGTAGCATGGACAAAACCCGATGCTGAAAGTGTTGCACTGCTTGAACTCACCTTCAGTATCGAGAATTGTTGACAGGTTCATTGTCAATAATGATTCTTGGCTTGGTGAAGACTTCCAAAGTGCCTGCTTGCCTTCCACCCGGGAGTTTGACTTTTGCCTTCCGGGCACCTACTTACTGTACACATACATGTTCACTTGATACCGATAGGTAGGTATTCTACCTTGTGTAGAAACATGTTGGTGTTACAGGCAGACTGCGCCTGCTTGCGTTGGCATCATGGCCGCATGCAGGCCACAATCAGGCTGGCATGGCAGGCTGGCAGGCTGGCACAGAGAGAGGCTTACAGGCCTGCCTTGCTGGTCCCCTGATCTGGAACATGGGAAATAGTGGATCCAGGGTCCTGGCTTGGTGTGTGTCCAGATGCAATGCCACTGGGCAGGTACATAGGAAGTAGGTACCTAGGTACTACCCAGGTAGCTGTGATTTTTATGAGCCTGCATGAGACCAGGGTAGTAGCTTGAAGCGATGCCATTATCTGGCGAGACATTTGGGAGTAATGGCGAGACAAGACATGGCTAGGTGCCTGGTGCCAGGTTGGAGCTCATCCTGCCAGAAAAAGACGAACTGTGCAAAGTTTATCTGCACCTAGGCAGGAGATCAACCCAGAGGAAGGAGCATGTTCTGGTCAAGTCCGGCCCCGGGAAAGTTCAGGACCCCTGCGAGCTGTGCAGTACCTGGGTACAGTAATCTGCAGTTTCCGGAAACGACGTAATGGGTGCAGGGCAGCCAGCCGGGCGGGACTTAGCACCCTGCAGCCTGGCAACAGTGAACTCTTGAGGAGAAACCCCGAGGGCTGCGGGGCATCCCTGCCTGTTAGCAGTGACTGAGGCTATTTTCAAGTTTGCCCAATTCACCAGTCCACCACACACTGCCAAGGCAGGCACGGCCCGGTGGCGGAAGTCACCCACTAACAGATCGAGCAGCTTCTATGCTCTTCCATAGAATGGATTTTCGATGGGCGGGCTGACAATCCGGTTGGTCCTGCGACCTGCCTGCCTGCCTCTGCACCCGGTTCTCCATCTCAGCCTCCTCTTACCGTTGCCGTGCTGCGAGTCTGTGTGTTGCGTGCAAGCTAAATTCATTTCAGCGTCGCCACGGCCGCCTCGTCCATTGTCCACTGCCTGACCAACTACTACCGACACTTTTTTTTTTTGCACAACACCAGCAGCAAGTCAGTCTTCCCAGGGATTCATTCCCCTCGTTATCTCACATCCATCTCCCCTCAACTCCTGCTCTTGATACCCTTCTCTGCGTCCTTGGCCTTGTCTAGCCAGCCTGGTCATCGTCCCTCCGCTCCAGCGGCACCCGCTAGCCCGCCCAGGCCCTCATCTTTTCCTGTATGTCCAAACGTCTCCTTTTCGCTCTTGCACGACGACCATCGGCCGTGGATGTGCCCTTTACTCCTTACCTTTTTGGAGTTGCGCGAAACTTGGCTAACCGTCTGTTGAATCCATAGCCGTCTTCGAGCGAGAAATCTTTCCGATCGCCCAACAGATACCCCCACATTTCCGTTCTATCACAAACCGACACAATGGTCCGCGAGACTGCTTTCTACGATCAACTTGGGGTATGTTGACCACGTGCAAACACTTCTGCTTCGCTTGGGCTTTTGCGCCGGGGCACAGGCTGACAGAATTCTCCAGGTCAAACCCACTGCCACTGAGGCAGAGCTCAAGAAGGCCTACAAGGTCAACGCCCTGAAGTACCACCCTGGTACGTGATATCCCCTTCGCTCACGGCCTCCACCTCGGCTCCCCCATCCTAATAGCAGAACAGACAAGAACGCCCACAACCCAGCCGCTGAGGATAAGTTCAAGGAGATTTCCCACGCTTATGAAGTCCTGTCGGACCCCCAGAAGCGCCAGGTCTACGACCAATATGGTGAGGCTGGTCTCGAGGGCGGCGCAGGCGGCGGCGGCGGAATGGCGGCCGAGGACCTGTTCGCCCAGTTCTTCGGCGGCGGCGGTGGCTTCGGCGGCGGCTTGGGCGGAATGTTCGGCGGCGGCGGTATGCCCAACCGCGGCCCACCCAAGGCCCGCACAATTCACCACACCCACAAGGTCTCCCTCGAGGACATCTACCGCGGCAAGGTCTCCAAGCTCGCCCTCCAGCGCTCCATCATCTGCCCGAAGTGTGAGGGCCGTGGAGGCAAGGAGGGTGCTGTGCGTAAGTGCGCCGGCTGTGACGGGCACGGTATGAAGACCATGATGCGACAGATGGGTCCCATGATCCAGCGTTTCCAGACAGCCTGCCCGGATTGTAACGGCGAAGGCGAGATCATCAAGGACAAGGATCGATGCAAGCAGTGCAACGGCAAGAAGACGGTCGTTGACAGGAAGGTCCTGCACGTCAACGTCGACCGCGGTGTCAAGAGCGGTGCCCGCGTCGAGTTCCGAGGCGAGGGTGACCAAGCACCAGGCATCCTGGCCGGTGACGTCGTATTCGAGATCGAGCAGAAGCCCCACCCTCGTTTCACTCGTAGGGACGACGACCTGCTGTACAACTGCGAGATCGAGCTGGTGACTGCGCTGGCTGGAGGCACCATCTACATCGAGCATCTTGACGACAGGTGGTTGAGCGTCGACATCCTGCCCGGCGAGGCCATCGCACCAAGTAAGTGCTCGCCCAAGCTGCTAGTTCCTAGCCCGATCACAGGTTGCTAATCATGCTTGCAGATGCTGTCAAGATGCTCCGTGGCCAGGGTATGCCGTCGTACCGCCACCACGACCACGGAAACCTTTACATCCAATTCAACGTCAAGTTCCCCGAGAAGGGATGGACCGCCGATGAGGCTGCCTTCGACCAGCTCCGCAAGATTCTTCCTTCGCCATCTGTTCAGAACGTCCCCCCTGCTGAGGCCATGACTGAGCCAGCCGACCTGGAGGACCCAGACACCAACGCCGGAGCCAGGGCGTTTGGCGGTGGCGAGGGCATGGACGAGGACGACGAGGATGGTCACCCACAGGCTGAGCGCGTCCAGTGCGCATCTCAGTAAAAGGAGGTGAACGATTTTGTCAACGCGGACACACACTTCCCTTCTCCTTCCCAGCCATTTAGGCTGGGACAGAACTCATGCCGGGGCGTGGAATCACGCGACGACGGAGCATCTTCTCAGGGGTCTTCCTTTGTGCAAAAGACCTTGTTGTTTGTGAGATAGAGAGGCGTGTTAGTAGAAGGGGGAGTGCAGACCGAACTCCTGCTTTGGTGCGTCATGGCTTGCCTTCTACTTGCATACTGGAAGGAAGCGCTTTGATTGGGATCTAGCGCTTCAACACACGCTACGGAAAGATTTGATACATCGGGTGCGGGTCTTGCCAGGTGGACGTAATGAGGAACGCTTAGGGAGGATAGATCACATTGTTTGTGTTCTGTCTTTCCTTGGCTACGTCGTGATGAAGCAAATTGTGGGCGTTTAGAGGGGCATAGACAGGCATTTGGGAGCTGATCAGCTCCCAGTGAACTCCGTGTTAGGCTTTTGCAATGGATGGTTCGCTTTGAACAGAGTTTCATGACTTGCTTTCCCGCTACAAGTGCCTACTACTCTACCTCTGCTAGACCCTCCTCAGAGTCTGTCTTACGCAGGTTTTCCGCGTTGAACAGCAACGTTTGCAACTCATCTTCCGCGAGGTCTGTTTCGTGCTCGCCGAGGTCTGGGACATGACCGACCAGCCCGTCAGTGACTTGGTACTGTTCTCCCATGTGTTCGACCTTCAGTAGAGACTTGCTCAAATCGTACTCTCCACTTTCTGACCTGGTAGGTTCAACTGCAACCACTAGCTTGTCGCCATCTACAACTTCAACCTCAAGCGGGTTGCCAGGGAGGCTGATATTGCGCGCGTAGTCCAGGGTGCCAGTTGCTTTCAGGGTGAACAGGAATATCGCAGGCACACTTCGCAGGTTAGTTAGTCTGCTTCTCGCAACGACACTCGCATCAAATATGGGGGATGGTCACACATACCGCTCGCAAACAACCAGAATAGTCGCGCCCTGCTCCGCTCCCTCGGCTGGCCTCCCCTTCCAATGCGCCAGCCCCGTCACGGCGACCTTGCCCGCCCCGGGGAGCACCCCCCTGACAGCGCTCAGCAGCGGCGCCCTGGTCAGTAGCTTTCCCTCCGCCCAGCCCCAGACGAACAGGTCCGGGTCGCCGCCGCCGCTGACCAGCAGGTGGCCCAGACCCTCGGCGCCGTCGGGAATGCAGAGCCGGTTGACGAACTCGCTGTGGCCCATGCAGAACGCCTCGGTGACGTGCGCCTGCTCCGCGGTGCCCCTGCTGACGCGGATGTGCTCGTCGCGGTCCGCCGTGATGATGTACGGCCTTTCCTGCGCGTCGTGGCCCAGCGCCACCGCCGTCAGCAGGGAGACGTGGCCCAGCAGGAGCGTGCGCTCGAAGGCGGGGACCTCGGCCTTCTGCGCGCCGCCGCCGCGCTTGGCGGCTTTGGCGCTGATGTGCTGGTCCAGGAGGGCCTGGCGGTTGCGCTTCGTGTGGACCGTCAGCTCGTTGGCCTGCGACTTGAAGGGCTTCTCCTCTGGTGGTGCCAGGCTGGGAGACGCTGCCGCCGGGGAGTCCTCCTTAGGTTGCTCTGGGTCCTGTGATGGGATCAAAGGCACAGAGTAGACGTCGCCGAACTTGTCTGCCGACAGGATGGTCTGGTTGTCGGGCGTGATCACGAGGGAGCATGGGCGCTTGGGCATGATCCTACGAGTGTGTGTGAGCTCCATGCTTGTTTACATTTGCCGGTTTTGCTTATGTGGTCTGAAGCTACGTACCTACGGCTGAGCTGCTTTAAGTTTCCGAGTCCATCGTGCTCGAACACCCAGATAGACTTGCATTGGGTGACGGCGACGATGTGTTTTCCGTCGGCTGCAGCAGTCAAGATGATGACCATGGGCCGCTCTGACGGCTGCGACCTGGGTCCGGGGCGAGGATTGGCGACCTTTCCCCTCTTCCCGTTGGGTGTGTCTTTGCTCTGGTTTCCTTGCTTGTTCCTGTTGTCGTCCCCGGCTGATGGTACACCTGCCTGCTTCCCGTTCTCCCCAGCGCCTGAGATGGCTGCGTCGAGCTTCACACGCTTTGCAGGTGGTCCGTCATAGCCGTCTTGCGAGGGGTTGGGAGTTGACTCCTCGGAAACACTGATGACCAGCCGGTCCTCTGGTCTGAGAACGCCAGACTTCTTCTCCAACGGGTATTTCCAGCTCGAGATGTGAGAGCCGTCCGTGAGCTTGAATGAGTGCAGGTTTCCGCCCCTTGCGGCGAACAGGACGTCGCCACAGACCTGCACGCTGTGGAACGGCAGTTTCATTTTGAACTGAAATGCTCACAGATTCGCGAGCTACTCCTCAATTCGACACATGTGCTTCTGGGACCCTCCCCAAGCGACAAAACAGTTGGTCAAGGCTGATGAGCCAAATGTAGGCGATGAATATAGGCAATGCTAAGAAAAAGTCCAGGCTGCCTTATCGATAAAACTTTTGGAGGGCAAGCCACAGTCTTGCACGGCCACATTCTCTTAGCGCCCCACCCCGAAAATCACAATTGCTGCAACAAAATCAAAAACGGCCCGCCGCTGTCTGAACCTTCGCCTTACCATCTACAGACACACGTCAAGTCAATCTCGACGACTTAACAACCCTCAATTCCTCAACCCGTTTAATTTGCCCTTAAACTCCTATCTTCAAGCTTCGACAGCAAAAGAAGAAATGGGGGGCAAATCCGCTAACAAGGCCGGCTACTTCGACAAGCTCAAGGGCTTGCTCGAGGAGTACAAGTCCATCTTCATCGTCGGCGTCGACAATGTCTCGTCTCAGCAGATGCACGAGATTCGCCACGCCCTCCGTGGCGAGGCCGTCGTCCTGATGGGCAAGAACACCATGGTATGTGATGCGATGCGATGCGATCCGTTCAGTCGGATAAATGGCTAATACAGCTCGATTCGATCAGGTTCGCCGTGCCCTCAAGACCTTCATCCCCGACTCTCCCGAGTACGAGCGTCTCCTGCCTTACGTCAAGGGCAACGTTGGATTCGTCTTCACCAACAGCGACCTGAAGTCCATCCGTGACAAGATCCTGGAGAACAAGGTCGCCGCCCCTGCCCGTGCCGGTGCCCTCGCCCCCGCCGATGTGTGGGTCCCCGCTGGCAACACCGGTATGGAGCCCGGCAAGACCTCTTTCTTCCAGGCTCTCGGTGTCCCCACCAAGATCGCCCGTGGTACCATTGAAATCACGGCCGACCTGAAGCTCGTCGAGGCCGGCACCAAGGTCGGTCCCTCTGAGGCCACCCTGCTCAACTTGCTCAACATCTCCCCCTTCACCTACGGTCTGGGCATCGAGCAGGTCTACGACCAGGGCAACACCTTCCCCCCGGAGGTCCTGGACGTCGGCGAGGAGCAGCTCCTGAAGGCCTTCGGCAGCGCCATCAGCACCGTTGCCTCGGTCTCCCTGGCCATCGGTTACCCCACCCTGCCCTCCGTTGTGCACTCTTTCGTCAACGGCTACAAGAAGGTCATCTCCGTCGCCATCGAGACCGACTTCTCCTGGCCCGAGATCGACGAGCTCAAGGACCGCATCGCCAACCCCGATGCTTATGCCGCCGCCGCCCCTGCCGCTGGCGCCGCCGACTCTGGTGCCGCCGCTCCCGCTGCTGAGGAGAAGAAGGAGGAGGAAGAGGAGGAGGAGGATGACGACATGGGCTTCGGTCTCTTCGACTAAGCGGTGTCTTCGCACCTCACGACTTGTTGATGACACGTACGATCGATGAAATTCGGTTTTCCACGACGGGAAACGACTTCAACCGGTTCTTTGCGGAAAATTTGAAAACGGGTAAATTGGTTCGTCGGAATAGGGACCATATTATGGGATAATACCCTCTTGGTAGCGAACAACTACGGATCATTTGCTCCCAGCCATGTGGTTCATTGGACTGCACCGTGACAGGCATCGCATGTTTTTGCGCATTGTCGACCCAAATGGTAAGCCTAAACTTTTCTCTTTTCTTCAAGCGAAGGTGTGTCGAAGATTAAAAAAACTGATCAAGAGCTTTTTAACCCTGAATCTTTCTGATGACCTCATCACCACCCAATGAGACACACCTTTATGCTTCGGCCTGTCTTGTACAGATATCTATTTGTTTACACAGTGGGGTATCTTTGCTAACTGAACCAAAGATTTACAGATGGTTCCACATGCTCGACGTGACGCGATAATTCTCAGGCTTCCCGTGAACTCTGAGCGTCAGTCTGCCTAGATCCGTGTGTGCCCATGCTCATGAGACCTTTTCACTCACCGCCCTCCCCTGCTGAGGTATGAGTATCTCCCTCGCCGTCTGTAGAGCCGCCTCCGGCAGACCCGCCAGCCGTGCGACCTTGAGCGCATGGCTCTGGCGGTTGACACCCTTCCGTAGCTTGTGGATGTAGACAAACCCTCCCTGCTCATCCTCCGCCACATCCGTGCAGTACATCTCCACCGCGCCCTTGTCCCTGCCGTCCTCGACACGCATCGCATGCTCGGCCACCAGGTCCGCGACGCCGTGGAAGTGCGTCGCGAACAGTGCCCTGCACTTGTTGACGTGCACGAGGTGGTGTAGGCACGCGAAGGCCACGGCGCACCCGTCCTCGGGCGTCGTGCCCCTGCCGATCTCGTCCATGATCACAAAGGACCGCGGCGTCGCCTGCCGGAGTATGGTCGCCGTCTCGAGCATCTCCACCATGAAGGTGCTCTGGTCCCCGTAGAGGTTGTCGGCCGACCCCACGCGGCTGAACATGGCGTCCACGACGCCGACCTCGGCGTACGAGGCCGGCACGTAGCAGCCTATCTGCGCGAGGATGGTGATGAGCGCGTTCTGGCGGAGGAAGGTGGACTTGCCCGCCATGTTGGGCCCCGTGATGAGCCAGACCCGGCCGTGGTGGCCGGAGCCCTTGCTGCTGCCGCCACCGCCGGCCCCGACGAAGCAGTCATTGCTCGCGAACGTCCTGCCCGCCTCCCGCAGCCCGCCCTCGACAGTGGGGTGCCGACCGCCGACGATGACGTGCCCGGTGCCGCTGTTCAAGACCGGCCGGACGAGGTTCTGCTCGGCCGCCAGGCGCGCAAACGATGTCGCGATGTCCAGCTCGTCCAGAACAAGGGCGTTGCGCCGTAGCTTGACAATGTTGAGCACCGTCTGCTGCCTGAGCTCCTGGAACACGCGCTGCTCCTCGGCGCGGATGTGGAACCGCGCCTGGTCCAGCCGCCGGCCGAGCTCGGTCCACTCAGGCAGGTGGAAGGAGCGCGACGACTGCGTCTGTCGGCCCAGCAGCCCGGGGATGTCAGCGATGGCGGACGACGCTGATTTCAGGTCCTTCTTCCCCTTGATGTGACAAATGTGGCCGAGGCCAGGGGTCCACTTCAGCGTGAGCGACTGCGCGCTGAGGCGTTCGCGCAGGCTTGTCGTGAGGCTTTCCTTTTCGTCGAGGAGGGTGTCGAGTTGGGAATGGAGTTTCTTGAGATGCCGGCTGGCGTCTGGCTTCATGACCCAGACTTCGTTGTCCTCGCCGTAGTAATTTTGAAGAGAGACAGGCTTGCGCTTTTTGGCCGACTTCGGGAGTAGTGTTGAGTCTTCAGCCGAACCTTCATTGTCCACAATTTCTTGGGCCAGGGCAATCATGTTCCCGGCCTCACTATCTTCGATCTGGTGCTGCTGCACGATCCCCTCCTCGTCTATCGCCTCGCGGATGCGACGGGCCAGCTTGCAGGGGCTTTCAAGGTCTATCCGGTCTGTCATGACTTTTAGAGATTCTTTCGCTGCGGCCGATTCAATATCAGTAGTAGAAACAGCTCCCAGGAGCATAGAGATAATGTCTTCCGTAGCTTTAATTGTGCTCGCGAGGTCAAGGAGATCATCGGCATCTCCCCTACCGAGCGCAAACTTCTGGACAAGCCTCTGGGAGTCATGGCTTCTTCGTAATAATAGAGTGATACCTTCTCGGAGTGTCTCGTCGGCAATAAAGCAAGCTACAAGGTCTTGACGAAATCTAATGACCTCCAAGGACGTCGAGGGGGCGCTGAGCCACTCATTAAGAAGCCTGGCACCGCTCTTTGTGACCGTCCGCCTGATTGCGTGAAGCAGGCTGCCACGGAACGCACCGTCCCGTATGGTCTGCTTGATCTCAAGTGACCGCATGCTGTTCCTGTCGATGTTCATCACCTGCATGGTCTCGTGACGTAACGGGGGCTGAAGCTTCATGCTGATGCCCTGCAGGCGATCCTTGACGTAGTGGAGCAACAAGCCACCCGCTTTGATCTCACCATCTGTGAACGACTCCAGAGTGTGGGGTGGTATTTCGGACTCAAGCATTGGTGCCCAGTCAGAAAGGGCCACCAGCTCGCCCTGGGGAGCATATGTGATGAGCTGTCTCTCCTCTTCGAGGATCGAGAAAATAGCATGACCCGTGCGTGATTGGAAGCCTTCATCCAACACGACCTCTCTCGGGCATATACGCGAGAGCATGGAGCCTAGCAAAGGCAGGGTGGCGGCCTGGGTGAAGAAGTGGCCTGTCGACAGGTCCAACCACGCCAGCCCAATGTGGATGTGGGCATTTCCGGGAGCATCAGCAGACAAAACACCTGGGCCCGCGTCGGGAGACATTGTTTCAAGAGCCGCAGGTGCCGAAGCTCCAGAGACATGCTCCCCAGGCAGGTGAATGGCCATGACGTAGTTATTGGCATAAGGATCCATGAACTGCTCGTCGATGAGAGTGCCAGGGGTGATGATGCGGGCGACCCTACGATCGTGCATCAAACCACCCGACTTCGCCTGGTCTGGAGCGGTATTTGGGAACTCCTCAGCGACGGCCACATATCGATTCAAGTCCTGGACCAAGATCTTGAGGAATCGGTCTAGCTGGAAGAATGGAAACCCGGCCTAGTGTCCAAGAGACAACCATTAGAACCTGACGAGATGGTGCCAGCCCCGAGCAGAAACATACGACGTCTGGCCCGAACGGGCGGATGGGAGGGGAGGGGACATGGCCGGGCTGAGAGTTACCATTGGCACAGGGCCGGCAGCCGTCTTCTTCTGGGCGACCTTGAGGTTCAGGAGCGGGCCGTATTCGTCCGCATGCTCAAAGTACAGCTCGTAGAACCCACCGACACGTGTCAACAGCACGCAGTTGTCAAATCTCTGCATGTTGCGGCGCGCCTGTAGCACCACGGTCGGGTAGGATGGAGTAGCAGCAGCTGGGGCCTCCTGCTCGTCGGGAGGGCTGGCAGGCAGGGAGCCTGAGCCTGCGCGGACGAGCCCCTGGGGGAGATCATCGAGGCTGACAACGGTCTTGGTCCTCTTGCCCCGGATCTGGGTGGTGTGGGGGAGGTCACGCGGTACCAGATGCGCCCAGGTCGGCAAGCCGTGGTGTTGACGGCCGGACCTGCATCGTATGGTGGCCGTCGGAGCTGGCCATTTGCCCAACGGGTGAGAGTGAAATCTCCGTTTGTGGAATGTTACTCGTGAAGAGCGGACGGCTGAACCCAGGTATGAGGGCAGCATCAAGACTGATTGTCGTCGTTGAATGGCCTCGACGTGCCCCATGTCCAGTCCAAACTTAGTGTCTCAGTATTATCGTGTGGAACAGACGCAAGCGAAAAAAAGAGTGGCGATGGGTCAACACTTCGGCGTGAGGCGCGCAATCGAAAGTGGACTGATTCGTGTGGTGTTGTACGAACTGTGTTGGTGTTAGGGACCAGGGTCAGGGTCTGGAGCTCTGGCCAACCCACCCACCCCTAGGCGGCCAAGCATCCGGGACGGATGGATGGATCACAACCCTTGCCATCGCCTCTCCACTCATACAAACTCTGTAGTCATTGTTGAGTGCCCAACCTCAACACAGCCCGTCTAGCTCATCGGTAGAGCGCATCACTAGTAATGATGAGGTGACTGGTTCGATTCCAGTGATGGGCATGTTACATATTCTATCAGTGCATCGGCCCTTGTTTTTTTGTTCATTTTGGCAGACTCTGCTGGCCACACTCAGCTCGAAGATCAAATCGTCATGCACAGTGCTCTCGCTATCTTGGATCGGATCTGGTAGGCTGATTCAACGGTTGGGAAACACCCTCGTGGGGCCCAAGATCGGCGTGCACTGAGCAGTATGTATGGCTTTACAACACCACCTATATAATGGCCCTCGTATATGCTGAGTGATAACCTGCAGGATGTCGTGGAATGATCCTTTATGGTCCCTTATACTTTGTATACTGGCCGTTGTAACATCCAACACCCTACACGCCACGTCCAACTGCGATTATTGGCACACGGCAGATAAAAGCAGACCTGGCTGTTGCACGGTACATTCATAGTCCGCCATGCATGCATGTGTCGCATGAACCACGGACGGCTAGTCGTCAATTCGCACTCGGCGGAGTCGGCAGTCGGAAGTCAAAGTCTTTAATGTGGATCACCCACCCGCCTCGAGAATCGACAATCGAGAATCGCACATCACCGATCGCATGGGTGAAATTCCAGGAGTCAGGGCCAGGCGAACAGGACCCTGAATTCGGACACAAACTTCAAGTGCAAGTCCTCCACCCCGGGCCGCGGACCCGCACGACCCTGGGGTCGCAACACCACGGACAACGAGCCATGCCATGCCACAACCGCGGATGGGATTGATTGATCGAGATCACCGCAAGTAACACAACACCACGACGCCCACCCGGCTAGCCACTCTGGCAGTATGCCAGTCTGCCGGTCAACCTGCCCGGTCAGGAACAAGGGCAGATCGACAGCCTGTCCGACATGCCACGCATGATCTAGAATCTGGCAGTGGCCATCTCGCGTTCAATGCCGGACAATAAACAGCAGCCACGAAGTAAACCCGGCAACGCACCCTGCTGCTCGCCAGCTCTCCCCCCCCCCCCGGCTCTCCTCCCTCTCACGACGCTCTGTGTGCGCGTGTATTTGTGTGTGTGTGTGTGTGTGTGTGTGTGACCACGCCGCTGGGCCCAACGGGCGGAGGCTGTCGGGCCCGCGATTTTGAGTTTAGAGACGTGTGGTTTGTGCCCCGGACCACTTCCCAAAGAAATGAGCTGGAGTCAGGACTGGGCTGATGATGGCATAAGCTTGACCAAATCAAATCAAAGCAAATCAAAGCAGGTGCAGGCACAGCAGGGCAGGCCAACGGCACATGGGGCAGCTGGCAAGGGCTGGGTCGTGCAAGGCGTGCAAGGGCCCTTGCGCAGCAGCCGTCGGCATCGACCGATGCCCGCATTTATTTCATCACGTCTCGTTCGATGTTTATCAGCTTGGCCCGCTTCTTGCTCACAACTGCCCTAATGTTCACGACATAGTCGAAAGACGTCTGCCCGTCCTCTGCAGAGTCCTCCCCTTCCTCTGCCGTTTCCCCAGCGGGGTTCATCCGCCGTCAGCAGCTCCTCGACAATGCCATCGCCCTGTTGGCCGCCAATGCCGGCTGCCCTGGGCGCGCCCTGCGAGCCTCTCTTGCTCTCCCACCAGTCCGAGTCCCACCGTCCCATCTCACCCATCAGGCTGATGATCCCTTGCCGCCGTTGCCCCATGGGCCCATCGCGAGCTAGATTGGGACCAGCCCATCTTCTCCACGAAATACCAAACATCAGGTACTGACGTCTGCACGCTGCCTAGCGATCCCACGCTGGCTGATGCCCTGCCCATTCCCCAGCCTGACTGCTTGCAGCCGTAGGGCCGGTCCCCCCTGAGCGGCGAGGATGCGAGTGCATCTCATGTTTTGTCCCACCTGCTCACTCGCTTCTCTTTCTGCGTCTTGTATTTATTCAACCCGTCCCCTTGTCTCCACCGTCAGCCTCCGGGGTGCAGGAACTCCTGTCCCCCTTCTCTCTTGATATCTATCTATCCATCTCCTTGCTCTCGCATATTACTGCCCTGCCCTGCTGCTCAGGTCCTGTTACTTGCCCCCCTCAGCAGGTTTCACCGGAATCAAGAATTCTTTCTCATACAAGGCTGTGGACCGACAGGGAGTTAGTCACCTGCAAGTGTAAGCCCGCGAAATCGGCCGGTGCAGTGGCCCGAGAAACGTCGATTATCACGCCACCTCTGTCACCGAATTTCTCCTACTGCCTCGTGTAACCAGCAACCATGGACGCCTCAACCTTCCCCATCATGCTGAATCTTTCCTCCCAAATTCCGTTACCACTCCCTCCAGATCACAAGTTGCTCTTCAAACACGGTCCGAGTCACGCCCCTGCAGCAATCCCAGGCCTTGCTCACAACCTCACGAATCCCTCGCTTCTCAAAACATTTGCCAGGGAGATGAATGGACCAACGCTTAAGAAGGAACCCTCGCTCCTGGAGAAGCATTTCCTAGAGCAGCAACAGCAGCGCATGAACCTGAAGAGGAAGAACGAGGAGCAAACGGAGAAAGAACAACAGAAAGAGCCACAAACACAAACACAAACACAACAGCAACAACAGCCATCATCACAAGATTCTGCTAGGTCCTCGTCTACGCCATCTGCGAGCGAATCTAGCGCCGACACCAAAGTACCACCTCCCTCCGCGTCACCAGACGCTGCCAACCAACACCTATTTGACCTCGGCGGCGATCACCCAGCCTTCGCTGACCCCAAGTACGTCCAGATGGTCTCCCGGATGGCATCATTTTACCAGCAGAGGTGCCAGGCGATCCTCAACTATCAACAACAAAGATGCCAGACGTGGGCTACCGGTCACAGGCAGAAATGCCAGGAGATGATGCAGTCCGCCATGCTTGTCGTGGCATGGTACATTCGGGACCGGATAGGGCGGAGGAGGCGCAAGAGCAAGCGGGCTTTCCGCCGTGGTCTGCGCGAGAAGAACACCGCCGCTGCCATGAGACGAGTACCGAAGGGTGAGGTTGTCCGCAAGTGGGTTATGAACATTCCCGATGCTGCGCTGTCGCCCAACAATGGCATGAGGGATGATGCAAAACTTGACATGGAGGAGAGAGAATTCGACGTTGAGAAGGAGGTCACTCCCGACAAGGACAGTCAGCTATTCTCTGTCGCGGACCAGATGATCAAGTCCCAGCTGGCCAAGATCGACATCCCTCTATTGGGGGCGTTGAATCTAGACGACAGCGACAGTGAGACTGATGATGACGACGACATGGGGCGCTTCCGCTATGCGCCCGAGGACTACGAGCTAGAGGATGATGGTGAAGACGATGGGGACTACGACGACGACGACGACGACGATATCGACTATGAAGATGAGACCCAGGAGCCTGCTGAGGACGAGATCTCCCAGGAGGCACTCAACGGAACCGGAAAGGGGTCGCTGAAGAGGAAGCGCAGCGACAGTGATAGCGACATGGAACAGGTTGAGGTGACCGTACCAGAGCCAAAGCGCCGTCTCGCAATCTAAAGGAACGGACAGGTATGGGGCAGGACGATAGAGGAACACGCGCACGGCGTGTCTTCAATGGGCTTTACTTGTCAGGAGTTCAGGAGCTTTCATTCGTGTGTAATAATTCGGATACCCGTGTCGGCGCTTCGTTTTGGCGCGGATATACATCATATGGGAAGGGTATCTGAGTCGCCCTATTTTTGACGCTTGGGAAACCGGCATGGAAAGGGCAACGGATATAACCTGACATAGCTTTGGGAGTCTGGTTCGCAATGTACGGGCCTCTGGGTTGAATCATCTAGGCAAAGAGAATAAAACCGAATCATTCCATTAGTTTGACCGTGTAATTTGTGATTTCCTCCATGTATAAGCCACCCTAATCTCACGTCTTCGCTTGACTATGCAGTACTGCAGCTTTGCAAGGAAGACACGTGTTTGCAATCGCCACTATCTGGTCAACCCCTTCTATGTAGAAGTGTATTCGACCTCTACGAGCCCGACAAGACCACAGCCGGCATGTGAGCCTCGAGGCTGCCCTTGATTGCTCTACAAGCTGAGCCTGTATGATCAGTCATGGTCCTCCTCCGTCAACCCAGGGCAGCCCTCCATCTCCTCATCAGGGTAGGCGAGCTTGCACCAGAAGCAGTAACGGTGCCCCTCCCTCAGGTACGCCACGAGCCTCGCCAGCTTCTCGCCCACCTCGAGCTCCTCGAACTCCTCCAGCTCCGGGTCCTCCTCGTCCAGGTCGTCCGCCGGCATGTAGACCGTCTTCTTCTCGGTGCGGCCCCCGCCGGTGCCAAGCGCGATCTTGTCGTCCTCGTCCATGCCCTCGTCCTCGTACGCCGGCAGCCTCGCCGACAGCCCGCCGCTGCTCTGCTCGAGGTCGTACCGCATCCTGCGGTCGCGCTCGGCCTCCTCGCGGCGGCGCACGAGGCCGCGGTAGACGACGGGGACGGACTTGAGCGGGCGCGACGACGACGGCGCCTTCGCCTCACCGCCGCCACCACCACTGGCGGTACCCTCGGCAGCAGCTGCAGCAGGTGATGTTCCCCCGCCGTCCTCGTCCATCTTCTCGGCGACCTTCTGGGCGGCAAAGACCAGCTTCTCCTTGCGCGCCGCGTCCCGCTCCCGCGCCATGCGCACTCTGTAGTCCCCGAGCTCCTCGACGCGCGCGCGCTTGGCCAGCCCCGCCGCCTCGGCCGCCTCGGCGAGCTTCCTCTTCTTGTCCGCGTCGGCGCCGATCCCGCCTCTGTCCTCCTTGGTCTCGATGCGGAGCGGCTCGCTGCGCGCCGACGGGTTGTCGCGGCTGCCCAGCGCGGAGCCCGGCGTGAACCCCATCTTGGCCATCATCGCGAGCCCCTTGCTCTTGGTCTTCTTAGGGTTTGCTGCTGACGGTTCCTCCTCGGCCGCGGCCGTCGCTGCACCAGCCGCGGTCCCCGTGATTAGAGACCTCGACAGGCCCTCCTCTCGCCTCTGCCGCTCCTGCGCTGCGAGCTCGGCCTTGGACGGTATGATGCCGCGCTTCAGGCCCTCCTTCCGCAGGCGCTGGCTGCGCTGCAGGGAGGTCTCTGGTTGCTTGGCGGGCGCGTCATCAAAGGTCATGTTCATGTAGTCGTCCTCTTCATCTTCCTCGTCCCCTCCTGCTCCTGTGCCTCCATCATGATCTCTGTCGATATCTGGTGGTGACGCCGATGTGGTGGGGTCGGCATCATCCACCCTGTTTTGGCGGCCAAGGCTGCCAGCCCTCTCAGGTTTGCTGCCAAAATGTCGCATAGTGTCAATGCTCTGAACTTCCGTCGTAATTACAGCAATTATTCCTGTGTGGGGTTCAAAATATTGGAAGTCCGGTGGATTATAGTGTTTTCCTGAGTGTTTATGTTTGGTTTGCGTTACATGGTGGGACCCTGCCGTTCACTCGGAAAAGAAGCTGCGATTTTCATTTCATCTCATTTAGGTGATTCTCACACCTGAGGTATTTCATCAACAACCTTAAACGCCGGGCCCCGCCCAATTGATACAGAACAAAATCCCATGGATGTGCATAGCCAGTTGGTATTTCTGCATGCCCCCTTTGATTCTGAAAGTCTTTGCTGCATTACTACTCATTCTGAGCCATACGCAAAGTCCTGACGCCGGACATAACCAACCTAACCTTACAGTCCACCATCCGTAGGAGAGGTATGGATGGACATTGTCATTTATTCACAATTAAGGCCCACAGATCCACTGGAGCCCATGACCGCTCACGTTGAGTCATCCTCAGGAAGTTCGTCAACCACCGTCTCAACCATCCTAATCAACTCGTCTCTGGAGTGGCAAAGTCAGTGGGAATCTCAACCAGCATGATCAGATCAGCAAATGGGTACTCACATGTCCGGCCTCTCACTTGGCTCCACACTCAAACACTTCCTCACGACCTCCTTGATGGGGTCACTGATAACAAGGTCCTCTGCCGCACCATTCGCGCCACCGCCCTGGCCCATCCCGGTGTTGGTCCTCCTTACCGGCGCCTTCCTCTTCGTGCCACCAGGCCCCTCATCCGGGAACCGCCAGTCCCCACCCAGTACGCAGATACTCAACGAGCCGCCCGTCTCGTCGCTGCGCATCTCGAACGGCGATTTCCCCACAAGACAGGCGTACAATGTGCACCCCATCGACCAGATGTCTACCTTGGTGTCGATAACGGTCCCCGTCTTGACGTCGAAGAGCTCCGGTGCCCGATATGGCATCGTGCTGTGCTCTGCCGCCGTATCTTGCGTCGCGATGGCGAGGGACCGGGATGTGATGGGGATAGGAGAGACGGCGATAGAGCCCAGATCCATTAGTATTGGTGCCGATCCGGTGTCGTCAATCATGATGTTGCCTATCATATGTCAGCACCTTCAGACAGTTCCAGACTGGTTAGAAAGTGGAGGAAACCCTTACCAGGCTTGATGTCCCTGTGCGAATAGCTCTTGATCTCTCCCTCCGGCACGCCCTCATTTCCGTGCATCAGCGGCCTCTGCTGCTCTGTCTCGTCGTCCTCGTCCGCCCCGCCCGACTCCTGGTTCCTCTTTGACCTGCCCTGCGCCGCCTCGACGTTCTCATCCACGCCGTTGACGCGCATCTCCATCCTCTCGGGCCCCGAGCCGCCCCCGCCGCCGGGCCCCGTGTAGACGTGCATCTCCCTCAGGGCACGGCAGACCCCGAGGAACAGGTGCATGAGCTTCTTCTCCGGGAACTTGGTGTGGTTGACCAGGTTCGCGTTGATGAGGTCCTGCAGGTTGCCCCTCCTGTAGTAGGGCAGCAGGACGTAGACGGTCTTGGAGGTCTCGCCGCCGCCGCGCTCCGAGGCTATCGCGTAGTCGACGCTGTGGATTATGCCGGTCGTGTTGGCGAAGAGCTTGTATGCGTCGACCTCCTTCATGGCCTGGGCGACCGACTCGGCGCCGAAGGGGCATCGGATCTTTTTCAGGGCGAACAGCTCGGAGGTCGATGTGTCTTGGACGAGGTAGACGTAGGAGAAGCCACCCTGTAGGTGCACATGCCCGTCAGCCCGGTGTTCTGAATTGCACAGGCGTAATGAAAGTGAAGGGAAGTGGAAAGGTGGCTTACCTCGCCGAGTAATCTCAGGATCTTGAAGTTGCGACTGTTGATCTTGAGCGACGGAGAGCCGGGAAAGCAGTTCAGGCAGTTCCCGAAGGAGGTGATGAGGTCGAGGAATACTTGCGCCATGGCGACTGCTGGGTCGGCGCAATGCCTGAAGCTAGGACCTTGGACTACCAGAAGAGGGTATCGTCAACGTGTGGGGTGGGCACGGCGCCTTGTCCACGATCACCTCTCTGGCGGCGTCACTGTCCAAGGTGAGACGACGTGGCGCGTGTTTCAACGGTGCTCGCCGGGGATGCTGGAACGCTGAGAGCTTCACGGACAGTGCGGCATCAATTGATCTAAAAGGCGTGGTTCTGACAGGGAGTATCACTCGGTATCATCTGCAACTGAAGAAGTAATAGCAAACAGATGGGTTGTATCTAAAGATGGACTCCAATAGTTGGAACAGACCATGTATCTACACTGTACTGCCCTGCCCCGGGTCATACGTAAGCTGCGCCTGCTTCCAGGGTTCTTTCCAATGTTCATCGGGAGCTTCATGCCGCCCGGGTTGGGCTTTGAGCAGGGGTCCCGGGTACCTAGGTACCTGCCTGATGACACTGGTCGAGGTTATTCCCAGTCTCCTCGAGTTTTGTGATCAATAAACAACTTGGGGGATACGGTTTTCTCCCAGAAGTACAACTTTGCAAATACTTATGCCTCGTCACACCCCCCCCCCGGCCCCCAACCCTTGAACAGCAGCAACTTCAGCCTCGTTAAGCCAGCAGGGCATTCAACACCCACCCCACCGGCAGGGCAAGACCAACACGCCTGGTAAGCCAGCACTCGCTCATCGCTACACCTTCCATAATGTGAATACCTGCTAACGAGCGCGTCTAGGCAGGATGGGTGGCTACTTCAGCAAGACAGCCCGCTCGGCTGGTGATGGCGAGGGGTGGAAACACTACCTAACAGTCCAAGAGCAAGAAAGCGTCCTGCAGGAGGCTCAGTTGATCCAGCAAGGCTAACAGCCTGCATGCCACGGGAAGAGGGAAGGCAGTGCAATTTTCTGGGCCTCTACCTCATGTTACGCTCTCCGATGCAAGCTTGCCGAGCTCTTGGCTGCCCTTGAAAACGGTGCGAATCCAAACGAGGAGGAAAACGTGCTACCGCTCCAGACGCGAAGCGGTCGCCCTCTGGACCTATGTCTGGATTATTCTAAAGCAGACCTCGCTGATGAATCATTACTCAACAACATCCCCGTTATCCAGATGCTGTTGGACTACGGTGCTGTAAGTTCAGGTCTTCTACCCTGACACTTACCTGTCTGTTGTGTTCTGGAAAAATGCATCACTTCAGACTCCGCGGCAGATGTTTAACACACACTAGGACCCGAGGCTTGATCCAATTCCACAATTCAAGCATGCCCTTGGGTGTCCGAAACCACCTGTCGAAACTGCACGGGTACTGGCCGAGATGTCGGAACCCGGTCCAATGAAGGAGTTCTGCCTCGAGGCATACCAAGTCCTGAAAAAGGCTACCGATCGACTCAACAGCAAGTGATGATACCTGAACACACATCTACCTCTTGAAATCAGGTTGTGGGTTTATTATCGCGATTCCGAGCGTGGTGCTGGGATTATGACAGAAGGTCAGTAATACGTATGGCCACGGACAGCAACTTGTTAGCAGATATTTGTCTCTTGAGGTTCCATGACTACACTCTGTTTACTTGAAAGGGATGTCGATCACCAGCCCCTGAGACTCTCGTCTTGGCTGTGCAACACTGATCTCGGCGAATCTTCCTCTGATGTGAACTCAGGGAGATAACGGTTGTCACAATCATAGAACAAGGCATCACGTCGACGTCTCGGTTGCAATTTCCTGGAAACGAGGCAAGCGCTTTGAAGCATCCTTCTCAAAGACACACGGATCGAAAAAGAAAAGAAAAAATATGGGAAGTTTCTGGTGCACGACTTTGATGTTGCAGGACAAACGGTGCAAATGGCCCTAGGACGGTCCTAGGAAAGCTTGAGTTGAAGTTGGTACTTCCTCAAATGGCCCCGGATATTCCAGAGTGCGCATGCAGTCAACAGTCTCGACTGTGAACAGGTTGGTCGGATAGCAGTTTGTATCCAACAAGGCCCAGGACTGCTTGGGGCAGCGGATAGGTACTTCTCAAAACACTTCACCACTGCCAGACGACACCATCAACACCTAACAGGAGCTTGATACTTGAGTTTTCGGTCGGGACTCCAACAAGGAACCCAGCTCGCAAGAATCCCAACCGTCTGCGTCTAAATTGACATCCAATGGACAAAAAACCCTTCAGAGGGGTATCTCTCCTTCCCTCTTGATAAACTCTACTTTGTGGGGTGAATCCTTCTATGATATCATGCTCGTTCCTATGTTTCGGTCAATTTACCTGGCAAATCTTTCGGACTCTGTGAGCTGTACAGGTTGGCTACGCACTTGCTTTGTGGTGTCATCTCACGAATCACCGACAAGGCGGCAGCATTTAGAGCCTACGGGCTTGGACCAAGACTGCGGCCAAGACACGATGAAGTGAGCATGCCAACAGACGAAGAAGGACACTGTCAGCAGACCTATCGATCAACCCCTCTTTGAGGCCCTGTACCAACGACACCACCATTACAGACCAATAACTCTTACAAGCCGAGTGAACATGATCGAGACTCCGTCTGCTCTATGCTTCCGCTAGATGCCTTGATTTCTTGAGGGCGTTCAGGCTGCGTGATCTGAACTCGCACTTGTCTTCTTCGTCGCGCCTCCAAGACTCGCGCATCCTGCGGCATCATGGCGTTGTATACCAAGCTTCCAGACACGATTGATGAGGCCGATGTGATCATCGCCGGAGGTCAGTATTCTGCATACCCACAGGAAACTTCTCAACTTTCTCACAATATTGGGATTGACTTAGGTGGAACGGCCGGCTGTGTTGTCGCATCAAGGCTCGCTGATGCAGATCCCGGGCTGTCCATCTTGGCGATCGAGGGCGGTCCAAATAGTGACTTACCCACTGTCGAGATTCCGGCCAGCTTTTTAGCCCATCTTTCCCCAGAAAGCAAGACCAACCGGTTCTACCTGACGAAGAAGTCGCCTGAGGTTGCTGACAGATCCCTTATTATCCCCACGGGGGGCTTTCTGGGAGGCGGCTCATCGACCAACTTCATGATGTACAGTCGAGCTCAGCGTTCCGATTGGGGTTCGTGGAATACCCCAGGATGGTCCGCCGATGAGATGTTGCCATTTCTAAAGAAGGTCAGTCGTGCGCCCAAATTCAGAGCGGCCTGCAAAGTTCCTCACGCTGACGACCGGTCGCAGCTGGAGACGTATCACGGCGATGATGCGAAAGGTATCCACGGACACGAGGGGCCAATTCATATATCCCGTGGTACATATAACTCCCCCAGAATCCAGGACGAGTTCATAGCGGCAGCAAAGAACGTGGGCTGGCTCGAAGTCCCGGACTTATCTGACCTCGACTCGATCAATGCCATATGCCGGGCCAAACGCTTTATCTCGCCCAGTGGAAAGCGTCAGGACGTAGTGTCAACCTACCTCCACCCGCGTCTTCGCGACGGAAAGCACCCGAATCTGCAGTCCTTGTGGAATCTCAAGTGTCCCGGATTCTGATCGATGATAGCAAGAAAGCCTATGGGTCCGACTTCAGGCCCAACCCAGTCTTTCACACTGATGGAATGGAGCAGCCCCCTCGCAGAGTTGGGGCGAGGAAGCTTGTCATCGCATCCGGTGGCGCCTGCGGGACGCTGCCACTTTTGGAGCGGTCTGGAGTCGGTGACAGTGAGATCCTCACCCGAGCTGGTGTCCCGGTCTTAGTTGACTTGCCCGGAGCCGGCAACGGCTACGAGGACCATCATCTTCTTGTTTATCCATATTTTAGCAATTTAGTACCCGCAGACACGCTCGACAAATTCATCTACGGATCTCAGGAAACCCAAAAGGAGCTGATTGAGACCAAGCACAAGATGCTAGGGTGGAATGCCCAGGAAGTTCAGGGCAAAGTTCGGCCGACCGAAACTGAGGTTATCGCCCTTGGACCTGAGTTCCAGGCCGCCTGGGATCGAGAGTTCAAGCCGAACCCAGATAAGCCGTTAGCAATTATCACTGCAATTGCTGGGTAAGAACTCTAGGTACTAGAACCGAGGCTCTCCTCACCACCGTGCTCAAGTGATACATAGTTTTCCCGGGGACCCGCGCCTTACCACTGGCGACCCCTGCCTCTCTACGACGGTATTCACCGTACACCCGTTCTCTCGCGGGCACATTCACATCACGTGCCCAGGGGTAGACGACCCGGTCGACTTCGAGACGGGGTTCTTCGCCGACCCCGGGCAGCTCGACGTGAGGAAGCATATGTGGATGTACAAGAAGCAGCGCGAGATCATCGCCGCATGCCGTGCTACCGCGGCGAGATGGCCGCGTGCCACCCGCCCTTCGCGGCCGACTCCGGCGCCGCCTTGGTCCGGCTCACCGACGGACCGCTGCACGCCGGCGTGCCCGACATCGAGTACTCGGCCGAGGACGACGCCGTGCTCGAGCGGTGGCTGCGCGAGAACGTGGGCACGACGTGGCACTCGGTCGGGACGTGCAAGATGCTGCCGCGCGACGAGATGGGTGTCGTCGACCCTAGCCTCGGCGCGTGCGGGGTGCGGAACCTCAAGATTGCGGATCTGAGCATCCCCCCGCGCAACGTGGCTGCGAATACTAACAGCACGGCGCTGGCTATCGGCGAAAAGGCGGCTGATATTTTCATCAGGGAGCTGGGCTTGGGGTCTGTGTAGCCTGAGAGTTGCCCAAGGGGGGCCGTGTTCTGGAGCTTGAGTCTAAGAGCCCGAAAAATGTACACGGTGTCAAAACTTTTGGCAGATTGTCATTTGTTCTGTATTCCTGTGCTACGCTGCTGCTTGTTGGAGGAGCTTGCTTTTCATCCTCAGCCGCGGGCCATAAATCCTGAATGCAAAAGGGATCGGGATCATGACTACCGCCAGGCAACCGAGCAGAGTACAGGCCCACTGTACACCCAGGTTCTTGAACATCTGCCTGGAAAAGAGCGGGAACCCTGCTGCAATCGCCGAGCGGAGCATAATGTTGGCAGCAACTGCTGATGCGGCCCTGTGACAAGTCAGCCGGGTTTTCTTCAAACAGACAAGGGAGTAGATGGTTGGCAACTCACAGGGGCAGATACGCGTCGACCAGATAGTTGAAGCAAGGTAGGAAGACACATAGAATGCCAAACCCAGTGAACAAGCCTGCGAGGGTGGGCGCAGCCCAATGAATGTCAGGGTCGAATCCAGTCCAACCGAACCTAATGGAATGGAAAATGTCAGTATCAGACTAGTAAACTCTCATTAAAGTAAGGATCTACCGACCAGAAAATACCCGCCGCAAATATGGGCGCCCCTATCAGACTAGGTGTCAAGCGCCACTCAGGAACTGGCACGTTCCCGTTCCCCGCCAGCTTCTTGACGTAGTTCGAGTGTTTCGAAAGAATGAAGGCGAGGGCTAGCACTTGTCCTATAAGGAGGCCAAGGAACGGAAGACCGCTCACTCCTGGGGCAATGCCATGGACATCCTCGAAGACGATGGGGTAGGCAGTGAGAAGAGAGTAGACGAGCCCGTAGATGAACGACATGTACATCGACACAAAAAGAATGACGGGCTCCGTCACCAGCATGACCAACGGCCGAGTAAAATACTTCTCGACCAACGCCCTCGCGTCCGCGTCAACCCTCTCGTGCTGGGCCTGGATCCCCCAGTTCCCAGTCTGCCGGCGGAGCGCAGCGGCCTTCTCGACAAGAATGCACGGCGCGTACGTCTCCCGCAGGAATAAGAGCGAGATGCCCCCATTGGCAAAACTCAATATCGCGGGGATGTAGAGGGTCCACCGCCAGCCCAGGTGGCTGGACGTGACGAAGCCGCCGACGAAGGGCGCCGTGAAGGGCCCGCCAAAGACGCACAGGGCGTACAGCGAGATGGCGACGCCGCGGTAGGTGTTGTCGAAGACGTCGGCCAGCACCCCCGGGACGACGGTGAGCTGGCCCGCGCCGCAGGCGCCCGCGAAGAAGCGGCACACGGCCAGCGTCTGGATGTCGCGCGCCACGGCCGACCCGACGGTGAAGACGCCGCCGGCGAGCATCGAGATGGTCAGCGGCCACCTGCGGCCCCAGAGCTCCGACGAGGGCGCCCAGACCACCGGCCCGGCCGCGAAGCCCAGCACGTACAGGGTCGTCCCCAGGGTCGCGACCTCCCTCGAGACGCCGAGGTCGTTGCTGGCCGTCTGGGTGGCGGGCGCGAAGACGGCGCTGGCGAAGGACACGATGTACGTCCCGAGGCAGACCAGGATAGAGGCGAAGAGTCTGTGGAAGAAGAAGAGTTGTGAGCTTTATTTCTCCTTGTTGAATCGCAGTCAGGGCGTGTCATACTTGGCGGCGCGGCTCCAGTTGTAGGGATGCAGCGGATCATTTGTTTCTTCGAACTCGGCTGTATATATGTCTTGGTCGGGAAGCGTTGGTGGGATTGGCTTTCCCATCCCCATGGACAATTTCTCCATCATCTTTGCTCAGCCAGTTCCTTTGACACCTCTTCTTAACGTGGTCCTAAGTTTGCAGTATGCATAACCGACTCGATTCTTATATGGAATGTGACAGCCTCGTGTGAGTTTGCATGTAGACCTTAACTCCTGGTGCGAGTTGATTACGACAGGCATATGTTCATAAGTAAAACCCAGGATACAAGGTACAAGGAGTAGTAAGAGCATATCGAGATCTTTTCCAAGGGCTGATGGAGTCCTTGAATCTTGATCTTTATTTGTCGTTGGACTGCTCTCGGGTGTTGCGGCTCCTTCATGGTTCCAAACATTAGCTTCGGTATTAACGAGGGCGCGAGTGAGAAGCCGCAATATCCGCACCGCTCATGCCATCGCTGAATCCTACTTTTGTACGATGGCCTGAGAGCATAAAGGTGATCTGGCTCAAAGTGTTTCTTGTTTTTTTTTTTTGATCCTAGTTTTTCTGTCTTTTCGCAACCAGTGAATCACCCAGATCCGCCCATAAAGGAAGAGCCAGCAATTGTTGGATCCGCATGCAGGAACTGTTCAAGGTCAATCCGCTGAAGTCCGGGGAGGTCAGCAACCAGCGCGCCAAGCCATGAATAGTCTTCGGCGCTGGGACTTATTTGCTGTGGTGGCGGTGCCGTCTGCCGCTCTTGGTGGTGGATGTTGAGAGCTTCACCGAGGATTGCTATGTCGTCTTTCCTGCGTTGCTGGTGCAGGAGAACCAAAAGACACGCAGCACTATGCGCCTCTCTCATTGCTTCCGTGTCGTAGGTTGAGGCGACGAGGCTCAGGGTCTGCATCGCCTCTGGGAGCATCGCAAGAGATGACCGCGTGTCCATTACGAGGAGGACGCAGAGTACGTGGAAAGGCACGTTCGCGACCTGGTGCCACGGGCAGCATTCCGTCACCATCTTCCGAGCGCAACAAAGTCCTTTCTTTAACAAGGCCAGTACCTGCTCTGCTAGGCTTGGTGAAATGTCGAGATTCTGTGTATGGATGCGCCGGAGAATACAGAGCACCAGATTGCACTGCGCGAGAACCGATGGCGGTCTGGTATGGACGCCTCCCACAACATCAGAAAGTGTCGACGTGAGGTCTGTCTCATCCTTGAGCCTCCCCGGGTCCAGGCTGACAGACACCGGCAGGAGGCCCAGAACCTCAGCGGTGTAGTCCCCTGGCTTTGGCTCCGGCAACCGGGGCAGTTCGTCGGTTCGAAAAGAAACGCGGCAGAGTCCCAGATCGAACGAGGTCCACGCGTTCAGATGGTGGGCAACCCCGACCAGCCTTCTTTTGATATCTGGGTCGCATTGTGCGGTGGGCAGTAGGACCGACGTCGACTCTGGGTGAAGGCCCGAGGCCTCGACAAGGTGCATCAACGTGGAGCTGGCCAGCCAGGTGGAATGAGGCGAGTCCGTCATCCGGAGATAGCTTGCACGGAGGGTCCAACCGGTCAGGAGATCAGTGGGCGGAGGACCGCGTAGATGGTAGTTGTCTAGACAGGCACGAGCCGAGCGGACCAGATGTAGCTCGGTGATTGTGGCGTTGCGTTGAGAGAATAGACACCCAATGGCAGCAACGCCGCCCAAGACACTATCATATACGCTCGATGTCTGAGGCGATTCCCATCTTGTGGTCAGATTAGCAAAGAAGTGCTCTTGGTCGATGAACCCGTAGCATGGATCCACCTTGTCGAAGTAGACCTGGGCCAGGAATTTCATATGTTCCAGTGAGGTGATCTCAACAACAGACAGCGGAGAAGCAGTGGTACTCATCTGAGAAGAGACCTGTCTTGCTCCAATATTCCACCCAAAGAGGTTAAGCTTAGGCGCTTTGGTGGGATCGATCTTGAGGCCGAGATTCCGGACGAAGGCCGCTCCGGAATTGGCCTCGAGGCGCCGGACCAGGCCAATGTGGTTGGACTCGGCGGCACCGGGCTCCGAGGCATTCTGATGTAGGGACTGTGATCCGACTGAGGGTGGTCCTGGAGTGACCTGCCCGACAGCTTGAGAGGTCCTCCGCCGGTGTCCAGGCTCGTAGTAACAGGAGTAGCCCCAATCCGTGCATGTGAGGCACGGCTCGTCCCCGTCGCATCGTCTCTTGCGCTCTCGGCAAGGCCCACAGGCCTGACGCGCACGCTTCCGCTTCAGGGAGCTCATGGAGCCAAGCAACGTGGGTAAGAATTCAGGACTGATGTCTCGTCAAGACGCCGCTCGGCAGGGAGTGGGTGAAGTGGGATGTGCGGAATTGGCGCCTCGACGCTTTTACGCCTCTGGCGGGTGCTGCGGCTCGGTCGGCCATTGCGGAGAGGACGGCACATGGCAGGGAGCATGACGTCGACGCCTGGGTATGACTCGTCTACAGTAGTTGAGTCCCTGAGACCATCTCATTTTCCCTCCAGCCCAAGTGCGGCTTCTTTTCCGTTTCATGTTCGTTCGTCGGTCGGCTCTCCATTTTTCGAATCCGGGCGTGTTCGTGTTCGATGGGCTGTGCCTGTACCCAGGTACCCATGTGTCCTAGTCCCACTGCTTGGACGAGAGTTTGACCGAGAAGCTGCAAGAGTCCGTCCCCCTGGCACATCCTCGGGCCAACTGGCAAGTTAGAGACCCCGAAACCTTGGGTGCAAAAGGGACACCAGTAGCGACACTTTTCATCTCGCAATAACTGTTCATCTGGTCGTGAACCATCTGATTGCCCACGAGCAGTGAGTGTATCTACCTTCCGGTCCTCTGCCGCTTTAGTGATGGCCCGATGTCGTTTTTCGCCCTCTTCCGCTTTGCTGGCCTGCCGTCATGCTGTGACTGAACGAGCCATGCACGCACAGCAACCTCTCCGCCGTGAGGAAAACTTGATGAGGGCAGTCCACTCTAAACCAGGTTGTGCCGATCCCTTGTCATTACCTAGGCATACCTCACAAGCGACATCCTGAACACGTCTAAGCTGCGCATGCAGGGGGCCCGGTGAAGATGACAGTCAACCATGTATTGGAGGATCGGACGCCTATCACTCCATCTCTGGCAACTGATGGTTGCCCCGCGTTCGTCTCTTCTGGATTGTTCTTCAGCCGGAAGCATGCCAGTGTGTCTTGGCGGGCCCATGAGCCGCGTTGCATCCATACACGACAGCAATCCCTCTTTTACAGCCTTGGTGGATGAGCAACAGAAGCTCTCGGCAATTCTGACATCTAACTGTGCTTATCCACGGAACTTAATCACGGCCTGCCTAGACTACAACACCGACCTGGTCTGGAACAACCCCATCTTCATACAATGGGACTTCTGCGTGACAGTCGAAAGCACCCAGGTTTGCAGCCTTCAACCAGGACATTTTAATTTACCACCTCCCTCACAAACTGCAACTCTGCAATAAACGTAAACTCGGTTCGCGGGCAGCGAACGCCACCGTCGTACAAGCCCCTGCTCAAAAGAATGGTAGAAAGTCAGGCCCTGTCCAAGATCAGCATGTATGCTCTCGAGACAAATAAAATACGCTGCTGAACTACCGGCTGCACCTCGCAAACTCTTCGGATGCCCTTCTCCCAACAATCCCTTGGCCGAAACGATGTCACTTAGCTAAACAACATCTTGAAAGATGGCGACAACAACTAGCGACGCCAAGCCGACGCCTGTGCTGATACCCCCTCCGGGCACAACGTCTAACTTTGACCACCCAGCAACGTCGAAGGGACCAATGACTATCGCCATTAGCGTCGTTATACCGCTAACCACTATATGTTTCCTCCTACGCACATATGTCAGGATCTGGATTAGGCGACAATGGATCTGTGAAGATTGTGAGCGGGTTCCAGCCGATGAGCATTTGCCAGAGTAAAAGACAGACCCAGCTAACGACCAGAATAGGGCTCGTTCTGACTGCTTGGGTAAGTCTCGACCAAGTCGTGATAATAGGATGTCTCCGGGCTAACGGCGCAGGTTGGGACAATCACTTATTGTGGCACTGGAGCAGCCACGATGGCGCACCACGGCGGAGAGCACAAGTGGGACTTGACCCATGCCCAGGTCAAAGAGGCATATTACGTACGTACTCACGCCCCTTCCATTCCCTGCGCACGCCTGGGTCCCGTGCCGGAGAGGCACAGGAGAACAAAAGCTTCGAGGGCAAACAGAGACTGACATGAGACTTGAACGACGGGAAGTGGTTATATGTAGCCAGGATCCACTACGGCGTTGCCATCTGCATGGCCAAGCTCGCGATCCTTTGCCTATACCGGCGCATATTCTCGGGGCACCCACGAAGCCCCTTCAACGTCGCCGTCGTTATGCTCAGCGTCGTCCTCGTGCTCTACTACGTCGCCACAGTCATTACCAAGATATGGGAGTGTATCCCACGGGCCCGGGCTTGGGACCAACTCATCCCTGGCCACTGTGTTAATGTGCTGATGCTGGTTAACGTTGACGGCATCTTTAACGCACTAACCGATTTCATTATGGTTATAATGCCACTCCAGGTGGTCTGGAACCTCAACATGAAGGTTGTGAAAAAGGTTTATGTTGTGTTGGCTTTCACGTTTGGCATGTGGTGAGTATCTCTCTGTGGCTTAGATCTTGGCTTTTGCGAGCAAAGACTTCCTACATGACTTCAGGACTTCCAACTGACTATGTATCAGCGCCCCTGCGTTCAGCCTGGTGGGTTGTGTTGTGCGACTGCGAGGCCACGAGAACCCAGACAAGACCTGGGTCCAGCCTCAGGTAATAATGTGGGCGTAAGTCGATCGGCCTTCATCTCTGTCCCCAATTTCTTCCACTTGCAATAAGACGCTGCCGTCTTCTGATGTAGGCGAGAAGAAGCACACATATATTTACAATATCAATTGTTGTACGATCTCTAACACACGGCACTCGCTTCATCAGGCTGGCCGAGATAACGACAGGAGTTCTCCGCGTGAGCTTCCCGGAGCTTGGGTTGCTCCTCAGGGGGCGGTATGCGCAGGCCAAGCATGGAGGCGAGCACGGGCATCCGGGAGGGTCGGTACCGCGAACAGAACGCCGCATTCCACGGCGTGCGCCATAGCCTGTGGACCTCGGGCAAGAGGGGCAGCGGCGGCGGTGGGGAATATGAACACGTCGAGCTGGATGAGGTCGGGCTTATCAATCGCCCTGCAAATGTTGTGAGCGTCGAGAGCAGCCAGCCGGGGCACCAGACGCCTGGAAGCTCGCATGGGGACGTCGAGGTTACGAGAGGGGTCAGGGTGGATTCAGCTAGTATTGTGTAGTGCTGGTAACGTGGTCCAGGGTTGTCTCCAGGTTGCAGATAATGTGGGAGGAAAATGTCTTGGCATTGGCATCTGGAGACGGGCCTCTGGTGTTGACACCTGGGCAGAGGTGGAATTGCTATCAGTCTCAAGCGAAGTGACACCCCTCCCTTTCCCAACGGGCCCGTCCGCCGGTCGTCTGTGGCGAAGGTTATAGAAGAGTAAAGCTGTAAATAAGGCGCTTTGTAGTTGTAAGTTAAAGTGTCTGAATGTTGTCGCATGAAGGTCCCCAGGTGTTGACCAAAGTTCGAGAAGTAACCATTCTTCATGTTCAAAGAGCTTGATAATGAGGGACTTCCAAAGGAAACAATTTGATTCACTTGGTGAGGACACAATTGCTCTCATGTAAGCCACAGCACTCTCAGCTGCCTCCTTGACAGCCTCACCCTGTGCTTCCTTTCCAAACGTGAGGAGGCGCTTTTCCCAGAATGTCTAACATGTACATGAACCATCAAAAGCTACAGGTGAGACTGGGGCGTCCCGCGGATTCCACGAAGTAATCTCGTGCCCACGTAGGATGTCGTGTAAGTTAAATCCTAGATCTACCAGCAGGAAAAGTACATTACAGCATCCCTGTATTGCATCGCATGGAGCAGAGTATCGAAGAACTCCAAATTCAAGCAAAGTACATGGCTATTCAAGGTCACAATTGCTGAACCCACTTGAATATTTCAAAGCATCTCTCCGTCGGTACTGACGTATGTATTAATCTTCAATTTAGTACGTTCTGACCTGAATGTTGACAACATGCCGGACTTCATTTACTTCAGGTGGCGGATTAAAGTTGTCTAGGTCAGTGTAGTCATGTGAATTAATTCTGTGTTTCGACAGCGTGAAGATGAATCCTTGGCATCTCGACTCCACGTCCATCTTCGGAACTTCCAGTTGGATGTATTTAAATTGGGGCAAGACGGATGCCTAATTTTCTGCTGACAGCTACTGCAAAAGGAGTTAAGGCTACATCCAGTATGCTACCGAGATGTGTCCTCTTGAGAATAAAAACGGACAAGGCAGGGATCGCTCAAGATTTGGTCCCAACAGGATTTGGTGGAGCGCATTTATTGACCAGCGACTCGCCTGCTTAGAAAACCTCGCCAAATACATCCCCCGGCCCCAAACAATGACGGAAATATATCTATAACCTTCCAACAACATCAAAGACACTAGGGCAGAGGCTATCACAATGTCGTTTATATCATCCGTGCTCACCCGCTACCTGGCATGGTTAAATTCTGTTGCACGTACATCCCTAACCCTGGTTTGCAACCACTTTCTAAAATGCTTAAATAGCTAAATTTCTTTTATTTCCTCCTTTTAAACTACTCTTAAGAAATAAACGCTTTTATAATTATACTTTTAAACCTTTATAATACTTATAGCTTTTTATAATTATAAGCCCGGTTTATATAAAATAATTTTTTCTTTTTATAAATTATAAATAAGTTAACATAGTTTACCAAGAAATAGCGAATATCAAGAAATAGCGGATTTTTGCAACTTTAGCCAACTTTAGCTAGCTATAGCACCTACTTAATGTAAATAATTTAATTAAATTTAATATTAATTAATGCCAATTATTTTAATAACCTTATTTTTAATTAATTTAATTAATTTAAAGGGATTAATATAATTATATTTAAATTTAAAATAATTAACTTTTAATAAAGAAAACCTATTTTAATATAAATTACATCTTAATTTTTTGCATTAATCTTACTTTAATCTGCCTAATTAAATATTTAATATATTAAAAATTAATAACTATTAATATATCCTTTATTTAAAGAAAATAAAATCCTTTTAGCTATATAAGTAATTAAAAACTTAAAAAAAAATAATGCAAAACCTATGCTTATAACTTAAGCTATTAGCATTTTTAATATCCTTAAAACTATATTATACTATAAAATAAATTAATAATGCTTATATAAAAAATTATATATTAATAAGCATAAACTTAATTAAATTAAAAAGTAAATACTTATTTAATATATTATTAATTAAAATATTTAAGGATTTCTCTTATAACTTTTTAATATAAAGAATATAGCTAATCTTTTATTAATATTATAAAATGCTAAATTTATTAATAAGCATTAAGCTTAATGCTTTATAAATTAATAACTTAGCCTTAAAATTAAGTTTAATTATTTTTATAATTATTAAAAAGCTCTTTATAAAGATTTAAAAATTATTAAAAATTAATTTAAATTACTTTATAATATAATAATTAAATATTAAATTATTAATAATAATCTTTATAACTTTAATAAAATTAGCTTTATAATAAGTATAATTATTATATTAATAATTATTATATATATTAATAAATATAAAAAGGCTAAATTAATTTAGCTTAATAATTAAAAATAAGTAATTATTATTAAATATATTAATATAAGCAAGTTATAAATCTTATTATTTATAATTATTTAAAACGCTTATTATTTTATTAGCTAAGCAATAAAGTTAAGTTTTTTAAATAATTAAGTTATTAAGCCTATTTTTAATAAATAAATAAATAATAAAATTAATTTAAAATAAATTTAATACTTTAATAAATATATTAAATTAAAGAAAAATATTAATTATTAAATATTAATTATAAATAGTTATAAAAGCTATATATTAATTAAATTTAATTAATATTATAAGAATAATAAGATTATTATTATTAATATATTGCTATATTTATTTTACTTACTTTAGCTATTAAATATTATATTATATTTACCTTTAAAGCATATATATAGCGATTAAATTAACCTTTTTATTTAAGCTTTTATTAACTATATTATTAAGTTTAAGTTTTTTTTATATTTAAAGCAGCTTATAATAAAACTTTTATAATAAAAAATATTAAATTTATATTTAAAGAAGTTAAAATTTCTCCTTAAAACCTTAATTTTATAATTTTTAAGCTTAATATTTGCTTATAAACTTTTATATAATCCCTTTTTATTTTCCCTTAAAAATAAAAGTTTTAAATATTATTAAATGCTTAATAAACTATTTAATAATTAAGTTTTATTAAAGATAAAATCTTTGCTTATTAAAAAAGCTTCCTTATATTAATTATAAATGCCATTAATTAATTAGCAAAAAGTATATAAATAATAATGCATTTATTTATTATAATAAATAAATAAATTTATATATTTTAAAAAGCTAATATAATGCTTATAAAACATTAAAGGGCTAAAAAAATCTAAATATAGCTTAAAAAAGCACTTATTATTAAGAAATCCTATATTTTTATTTAAAAAAAATAAAAGGGGAAGCGGCTAATTAATAAAATTAATAATAATGCTAAGAAGTTAATTTATAATAAATTAACTAAAAAATAATATAGTAATTATGATAAAATTAAGCATAATATAAAAACTTATAAAAAAAATAAAGAAAGATTTATTTAATTAAATTTTAATTATATTATAGTAAATCTAACTTAATTAGCATTAATTAATATAAATATATAAATATTAATAATTTGCAGTAAACTAACTTTTTAAGGGTATAATTAGCATTAAATAATGCTAAATATATATTTCTTATTAAAAGTTAATTAATTTAAATTAATATTATAACTATGTTAATACCTTTAAATTAATAAAATTAATTAAAAATAAGAGTTTAATTATAATTAGCATTAATTAATGCTAAATCTTATAAATCTTTTTACATTAAGTAAATGCTATGGCTAGCTAAAATTAGCTAAAGTTATAAAAATCCGCCACTTCCTAATATCCACTACTTCTTAATAAACCACGTTATATAAAATATATCTTAATTATATTTATTTTATATTATTTATTTCCTTTTATTTTTAAGTATATATTTATATAATAAATATAAATGCTTTTTTAAATCTTATTAATTAAGTAATTTATTTAAATATTTATTTCTTTTTTATTTAATTTATTATATTATAATCTTATTATTAAATTAAAGGGTATTAAAAATTTATAAATCTTAATATATAAAATATAGCCCTTATTAAGCAGTTAAATATAATCTTAAAATTAAATTCCTAGTTTATATAATATAAAAAAAAGAAAAGAAATATTTAAAAAGCTTTATATAATAAATATTAAAAGTATTTAAGTAATAATAAGCTTTTAAAAGATAAAATAATACTTACTTTATTCTTTTCCTTATTCTTTAATAAATTAAAAAAGGGATATAATTAATATTTTTAATAATAAGTTGCCTTAGCTTTTAATAATCAGGGCTGGCGGCTGGGGCAAGGCGGTTGGGCCCGTGCAAGGCCCTGCACGGGCCCCCTTATCAATAAGCCCCTCCTGCCCTACAGCTGCGCCCAAAGGGCTCCTCTAGAGCCTTCCTTCCTTTCTTCCTCTTTTTTCCTTTTTAGGCCAGCATACTTTTTAAATCCACATAATTTGGTGTACATTTCAAGCCCTTGTGCCGTGAAGCCTAAGTAACGTCTCATTAATAGGGTAATTAAATTTAGCAAAAAATAAAAAATTTAAAAATAAATATAAAAAACAGTATTTAGCTTAATTTTCACTTTATACTTAATTAAAATAATAAATATAAGATAGTTCTTTATTTAATAAATAATTTAAAATATTAAAAATAACCTTATATTCTTTAAATTAAGTATAATAAATACTCTTTAAACTTAATATTAATAATACTTAAAAAAAGTAAAGAAATTAAATATTAAATTGTAATAATAATATTGAAACTTTATAAATTTATATTTATAAGTTTATATTTATAAATTACTTAAAATTAAGGGATTTATTAATGTTAATAACTTTTTATAAGCAATTATAATATATATTACCCTTAATTAAGTAATTTTTAAGCATTAAAAACTTATTAAATAAAATATATTAAGAAATTTAATTTATTCCTTAAAAACCTTATTTAAAAAATTATTAATACTTTTATATTATAATAAGCTTATATTAGCTTTTAAAAATATTATAATATTTATTATATTAAAATTAAAAGTATTTTTTAAAATAAGAAATAATTAATTAAAAAAGCAATTAAGGAATGAAAATATATTATCTTAATTATATTAATAAAATAAAATATATAAATATTTTTATTAAAAAACTAATTAATAAAAGAAATATACTTAGCTTTTTATTAATTATTATTGCCTTTATTTTATATTTTTAAGGAAATAAATC